AGGGAAGAATGAAGGAAGAAAAGAAAGAGAAGAAAGAAGAGAAGGGAAAGAAGAAGAGAAAGAAGGGGCTGTACATAGATTTTTTTTTTCTTTTCTTTTTCCATTTTTTTTTTATCTCTTTTTCCTCAATTTTCTTTCTTGTTTATTTTTTCTCTTCAATTCTACGGTTGTAACCAGTTCTTTCTTTCTTTTTAGATTGATTTTAAATCTTGATGTCAAATTGAATTCTTAGATTTCTGGGATTTCTGGGTTTGGTAAAACAGAAGAAGAAGTATTTCATAGGTTTGGTAAAATAGAAGAAGAAATCGACAGTGAATAATAAATTACGCATTTTTATCTTCATCTCCATGTTCGGTCGATTACTTGTGATAAATTTGGGATCAGTTTAAAATTTATGTTATGTTTAGCGGATTTAAAATGGAAAAAAAAAATGAATTGAGATAAAATTTTAGAAGTATGCGGAAGAATAAGAAAGAAGAATAATAAGGAATAATAAGAATAAGGAAGAAGAAGTTGTTGTAAAATGTAGTCATTAGGGTATTTTAGTAATTTTATAAAGAAATATATCATTTTATGACCAAAAATCACATTTCAGGCGTGTGATTTACGACCTCCGTTAAATCCTATCCTAACGAATGGGGGATTTTTTGCAACATTTTGGAAACCACAAGTAGGTTTTTTGGAGTTTTAGAACTACGAAGAGTTTTCAGCAATTTCGGGAAACCACAGAGGTTTTTTTTGCTATTTTGCCTTTTTTTTATTTTAGAAATTTAAATGGATCATGTATGAAAATAGTTATGTAAGTAAATAAATTTCGCTAGAATAGTCCTAGTCCTCTGGTGCCGGATTCGCCACGTTGCTCCACCTTTGCTGATGTGACGCTGACGCGGTTAACATGTTATCACTACGTCAGTGATACGTCGGAGCATCATTTTATCGAAACTTTTTTACTTAGCTGTACTATTTTCAAACATGGTCCATTTAAAGTCCTAAAATAATAAAATGAGGTCAAAGATACGAGACTAAAAAATAGTTTATCTAAGACATTTTGAAAAATAATTAAAAACAAAATCACGTGTTGCTGGCATATATGTGGCGATGACATGCCATCCACGTCAGCAATGACGGACCATTGTGGCGAGTCCAGCACTATGAGATCATTTTAGCGAAAAAATTTTACTTGCGATAGTATTTTCAAACATAATCCATTTAAAATTCTAAAATTATAAAAATTGTGAGATAGTACTAAACAACAGTTTCCAATAATAAATAAGCTTGACCTGTGATTATTCCCCACAACTAATATAATCGTCTACAAATTAATTTTAGCAAGTAAATTTAATACTAAATAATTTTTTATTAATATTATTAAATATACATATGTATATATATATATATATATTAACTAAAGAAATAAATCAACAATTCAATTTAAGAGTGTTGGAAAGCTAACTGTATTTTTCTCGTTCTTTTGTTTGTTTTGTTCTTACTAATGTATTTTGGGTGATATAGTTTTATTTATTTATTTTACTATTCTGTGTTTAGGCTTTTCTAGATTTCTTTATAAATTGTATTTAAATGTGTAAAATAAGCAAAATGAGTGCAATTAAAGAAAAATGTAGGAGTTAATATATTGAATAACAGAAAATTTTATATTGAATAAGTAAATAAATACATAAGGTTTGTGTACTCTATTTTAAAAAATGCAATATTTTTAATTAGATATATTTATCTTTAAACATATACTTAATATAATTTGCTATAAATATACCCAATTTATGTCTCAACTTATTTTCATACAGTATATTTTTCTTACACATGAGTTTTCTTTATCCTGATCCAATTTTCCACATAAAAGGCTTCTTTTTTGTATATTCCTTCCATTTATCACTTTGATCCGTTTAAAATTAATCAATCTATTTTTTTTTAATAATTATAGTTTTCACATAAATAAAATAATATTCTTTGACGTGCTCTTAAAATTGATAACATTCAAATCCTACATATTTGTACAACATTGAGAGAGAAGTTCAATTTAGTAGTCATATTAATTCTTCTTGGTTATGGATGGCTTGATCAATAGGCATTTGATTTGCTATGTTACTATTTGTTATAATCAATACTTTGCATATCAAAAATCTGCCCTTGTAAGTTCCTTTTCAAAATTGTAGGATTACTAAACATATTATATATTACAGTACATTATTGTTGTTGTTGAATTACTCTTTGTCATATGCTGCTATGCACTCACTCTTCATGGCACTTCATAGTTCGATGATGCTTCAAAATTTAGGATTACTGTTGTGTTGTCTCTTTTCCTACTAATTCATTCAATATCGACCATAATTATACAATATGCTATGTATATTTCAAAAAATATATATACTGAATTTGATCCTCGTATTGAATACTACATTTATATCACAACCAACTTGCAAACACAAGTTTTATTCACTTGGGAATAAAGACATCTGCTTGGTTATTTATGGCAAGGATGCATATATGTGTGTGTTTGTGTGTGTTCGCGCGCGACACTCACGCATGCATAGCTAGGACGATGACCTGGCACCACCGCCGCTGGAGGAGGAGGCGGCAGTTTCCCTTTGGCAGTTGTAGTAGAGAGCGGCGACAGGAGGGCCGAGGTTATGGAGCTGAGAGAACTGTCGGGTGTTGAAATTATGGCGCCACTCGGAATTGTGATCGACTGAATCCCGCCCACCTAGTTGTCGGAAAAGGACCAAAGCTATCCGGTGGATGCCCATTGTTGGATCAGGGCTTTCATAGCTCACTATCTCTTTCCCTGCATTCACAGTTTCACACAGATTCATTAATCATCGTAATAACGAAAATAACATAGATTGTAGTAAGAGTAGCTGTTTCTCTTACCGAAGCTCGCCCCTGTGCTTCCTGGGATGTCCGTCACCAACCTGAATCATTCATCGTTACAATATATTCGAAACTAGGGTACATCCAAAATACACCAATATACGCATCGGTCTGCTCTGTCTATATATACTTTTATGACAAATATAAACACATGTGGGTAAGAGGCTATGAGAGAAGAGAGTGACCAATGCAAGTATTCCCTTAGATATGGATTGCCGGGACTTGGAGAATCGGCATCCACCATCACCTACGAACCAGAGTCACACAGATCAAATCAAATCCACAGGGCATATAAATGGAGGTAGAAATTAAGACACACACACACACACACACACGATATACATAACAAAGACATGCATTCTTACAAGAGTATAAAATGTGCGGAAAAAGACATGCATTCTTACAAGAGTATAAAATGTGCGGAAATCATCGCCTCCAGTGTCAACCCTAGGACGGCCGGCCACCTGCGCAGGTCGCAAGCTGCACCCGTTAAACAGCTGTCTGCCATCACTGTAGACTCTGAGCTCAGTTGTCGCCACAAAAGGATCCAGAACATCTCCCACCACACCACTAACCACCAGCGGGTGCCTTTTACTTGACATTTGTATTGTTTGATATTATCTACATATCTATATTTCACGTGCTTATGCATCTGCAGGGTAAGGAAACCCCCCTCTTTATATAGTAGATCCTGCAAAAGGTTTTCCTGGCACCTTGTGATACAGAAATTCAAAATTTCAACTTTTGCGTCTCTTTAAGTCATGCAACACACACTAATGGAATCGAGATTCCTTATCCCTCTCCTTCTAATAATTTTCATATATATATAAATGTATGTATGTATGTGTACGTTAATTGTGTGTAGTAGAGTTTGTGGGGCTTTAGATTCGTATTCCCGAGCAACTAGCAGAGGGAAGAGCCCACACCTGCATCAGTCCAGCCCGCGATTGCAAAACTAGAACCCGAGCAAACAATGCTTGGATGAACAAGACCTTATCCTATCTAGGTAATATCTACGGACACGATCAACAAACAGTACTTATAATCAAATAAGAATGCACCAGAGGAAACAAATTTAGAAAAGAATGAATCATTCTTTTCCTTTTGCAGAAAATTTAAATAAAGCAACCGTGAAAATAATAGAAAAAAAGAATGAGAACTTTCTTTTTAGGGCTATGAGTGGGAGTGATGAATTGATACTAGCCACAATCGTGAATCTTGCTTTAAGTGAAAAGAGCCAGCACTATGCGAGGTACGTGAATCTTTACTTTTCAAAAATAAGATTGCCTCATAATTAATCTAATATTCAATGAAGTAAAGTAAAGTTTCTCAACCATCAAACTAGATATGTCCTCAACAAGTGAAAGAAGAAAGCTCAGGAATGGAGAGTTAGCTATGTGTTGATAAATACACAAGGCTGAATAACGCATAATGGCACATGGTGCGGCATGGCGCACACCATAACACATTATTACCCATTATATTTATAAGAATGAAAATATAAACTTACGATGTAACTATTAAGCATAAAAATACACCACTCAAATTTTTAAGTTATAAAAGTAAATACTAAACACATGAGCTTTCAAAAATAAATATTTAACTCTAAAACTTGAGCCAACATAATCAACTAGCAAGGACAATGACAAGACAGTAACACTGGTACCAAGATAAAAGGCAAGTCTCACAAGTTGAGGTCACAATATTTGATCATAATTCATAAAAGCATATAATTATAAGAAGAAAACATAAGAGCAATTTAACGTGTTTGCGGTGTCTAGAAAAATCAGCCTTCAATATTATGCTTGCCATGGTGAAGGGAGCCATTTAATGAATACCAAGAATGGTCTAAAGGGTTCAAATATATGCCTAAACTGCCCTGCATTACAAGAAGCCTATGATCCAGGACTGCTTAATGCCAGATAATCTTAAGTTTCGGCAGTTATGCTTTAAGAAGCTAAGTACTTATATAGATGATAAAATTCTCCTTAAGTATCCCAATCTCCAGAAATCTACCCTCGGACAATAATATATGTAATATATCTAAGCAGAGACATTTAGCCAAGTTTCAATACATAAAGTGTGGATATTAGATTCATGGTTTAGGAAATTACCTTCCCTGCATTTCACTCTTCCATGTCACATCCAGTATCCCTTATCCAGTAGCATTGTCTGGTTCCACTAGCTAGATTATCTGGAAGACAAGTGCACAACAGCTATCACGGAATATAGTAAAGCATAAACAATGGATATGTGAAGATGTAGTTCTTGGGAAGCACCGAATCTTGATTGAAGAACAAGATTTGAAAACCGACAGCCTTAATTGGCGTTTAATAGAAAGCCCTTCAACATGTAAGCAGTCCATGTCTTAACAGCATATATATGTCTGATGTATGACACTACAGTTGACAATTATATATCGTAATTTTATTGAATGGAAACAGTCTCATGATAAAATGATATTCTATGATGTCAGTGCCTTACAATCATTGTAAGAGTATGAGAAATTTTCTTTGACAAGTATAATTGCTGGAGTAGAGCCAAAAAGTGAATTTCAACTGCTCAAAATCACGAAATATTACACTCGAAAATGAAGTTAAAAGAATCTTATGGAGTGGACACATATATAATCTTCAAAATCTACTTCTGATTCATCAGCCCTTTCATCTCATGAAACAAATTGGGGCAATTACGAAACGGAAAATACCCAACGACTGATCCAGTCATTCTTCCATATCAACAAAGTCAATAAACATGACAACGATACAGAAACTGGAAGATCACTCGATTACCCCATTTTGCATAGCTCCGATCCCTAAAATTTTCATATATTAAACAGCACTCTGCCGGGGGGGACAAAGGCATTAAGAAACTCAAGAAAAAATTAACACAAGGCGAGAACAAAAAGAAATTCGCGAGCCAATTTCATAAACCAGGGACTGATTACTGCCAGTGAAAGCCTTAGACTGCCTTGGGAACAATGGAAGAAGCCTCCGGAGTGGCGTCAACGGCCTTATTGCCGGGATTAAGTGGAGCATTAAGGGAGCCGGCTGTGGTCTCATCGTCGGGATCGTAATCCGGGTTGAGATTCCGATCAATTGCTTCCCGACCTTTCTCAAGACACGGTTTGCACGCTATCTCGATCGTACACCATCCCAGCGCCACCGCCGCGATCGCTATTAGCGCCGTCGTCACCGCCCCCATCTCTCTCACTCACTCGCGTCGAGATCCTCCTCAATTTGGGAGATTAGGGATTTGATGGTACCCGTCTCTACCACCCCCCAACGTTTCTGTTCTTTCTATTTATAATTATCCAAAATTAAAAACCACTACAAAATAACTGTTTCTTTTTTGGCAATATAAAAACCCCTCACATTACACACAGACATTAAACTAGCAGCAGCAGCAGCAGATCCCAACAATCATACGTAGATACATACATATTCCATTAACGATTAACAGCATTAGATACATACATAAGAACAACAACAGCTCCTAAGCAAACAGAAGCTGTGCACTCGATGGAGTCAGATCGAACAGAGTGTCCGGTGCATCCACCATTTGCCACTGGACACAAAACCTCTGCTTCTTACCACATGAACGCACCCTCATTACATGTCCAACCGCGACGTGAAGATTCCGACCCACAACGTATATCCTACCCGCCCAAGAATTGACGCAGAACGGCTTGCAAATCTGCTCCGGCAACGCCGGCCCTTCCACGACCTCCCAACAATCTTCGTTTTCATCGTAAAACTTGACCTTCGTTCGTTCGTGCTCGGTGACCACAAACAAGTGCCCATACATCACTACGCTCGACCCCGTCCAGCCTTCTCGCAATCCGGCAGCCATATTCTCCCAACTGTCCGTCGCCGGGTCGTAAACCTGCCCCCTCGGGACAACATAAAATGGCCAAAACCAGCCTTCCGTAACGAGGAGCTTCCCGTTCAAGACAGCCGCATCGTACGAAGTCATGCTCTTCCCCATACTCGCGACGCTTTGCCATGTCCCTTTCCTCGTATCCAATGCCTCGGCAGAACTAAGCTCGATCATGTCCGAGCTGTTCCCTCCCGCCACATAGATAGTCCCGTCAATCACTCCGCTCGCAAAAAAGGATCGCGCCGTATTCATTTTCTTCATCACGGTCCATCGATTCTTGAGCACTTGGTATTTCAGGACTAAGTTGAGCGGGCAATCTACGTCAGATACAACGCCGCCGCAGACATAGAGGCTACCGTCGTGCGGGACGGACACACACCTAAATCCCTGAGGGCAGACCCTGTCCTTACACGGCATAGCCGGGATTGTGTGCCAAGAGAACTGGACAAGATCCAGAACTTTCCACTCGATCTTCCCGGTGCATTTGTGGTATGCGAATACAAATAACCATGGATCATGGAAGCCGAGCTCCTTCCTCTGTGTAAAGAAGTGTTCTTTGCAGCCGAACAACGAGTACCAACGCTTGCACACAGTCTTGCAGGCTAAGTGCTTATCAACCGGAACACGGAGAAGACATTGCAGCGCGACATCATCGGGTAATCCGGGGATCAATGGCTCGCCGTGACGAGATAGCTGCAAGTGCAGTGAAGGATCAAGCAGAGTGGATTGCACAGCGAGTAATCTGAATTTCGGGGATAAGGTCATCTGTGAATCGCCGAGCTTGTGCACCGGAGCTTGCTGCGACGAAATTCGAACACGTTGCATTGGTGTCTTCCTCTGATCTAAAGTCATTGAGATGAACCAAAGTTAATTTAGCAAACCTCCCCCAAATATGAAACTATCAATGATTATCAACTAGAATTCACGAAGAAACTATCGGATAAACACCTACAAATGAATACAAGAATCAATCTAAGGGATTAACTAAATTGTACAATCAAATTCCTCAAGTCATCGTCATAGCCTGTCTTGACAGGGCTATAAAATTTGTTCTTCACTCCAACCGTCAAATGTGCAGATAAGATTTAATGATCCAAAAACCTAAGAAAACATCCACACGATTGAAATTCAAACCACAAAAACACAGAAACAGAACAAGAAATACATTGAAATCAACGGCAACAACTGATATACATACTGATCGAAAACCTCAAATACCCACTTAAAATCACAGAATTGAAAAGCAATACCGACAGAACCTGTCTATATCTATCCCACCTGACAATCGAAGAAAGGATAGGAACGATTAACATTCGGATTCGCAGAAAGTAATTAAGATATGGTGGAGGCAGCAGACAAGCACCGAAAAGGGATACTTTTTTTGGCGAAGCAGATAACAAAATGAATTCAACTTACAGATATAATAATGGAAACAGAGGAAGGAATAATAACTTTATTCTAAGCCGCGCAGATTTCACGCTAAGAAATGATTGACCAAGCAAACCAAATTCCTTTCTCCTCGTTCTTCTTCTGCTGCTTCTTCCTCTTCTTCTTCTTCTTCTTCTTCTTCTTCTTCTTCTGTATTAGTATTATTTAATCTGTAGTCATGGATGGATCTTTATCCCTATGGATTTCGTATTTTGCCATGGACGGAAGGATTCTTAAGCGGGTTAGTGGAAAGTGGCCCGCCATCAAACCCCTAAAAATTATGCTGCTCACTGCAAGAAACATTGATCCGTCCACATGGAATCATCAAGGCTCGCTAGTCTCATATCACATGGGCGGCTACACTCAACGCGCCAGTGTGGCGCGTGCCGACACGCGTGGGAAAAAATGAAACGCGCTTTCATAATTTTGCCTCACGTCGCCTCTTAAAAACGCTGTGGCGTTTCTTTTTTTGTTATGATTTTTTATTGTTTTTTGTATAATTTGATATTAAGGAAAAGAAATGATTGAGACAAAATGTTGTTGTTTCTTTCCCTGTGGGGCCTAAACTTGTCTAAATATCGCGCATGACCCATAATAAATTCTGGGCTTGTCTTAATCAAAGATGGGCCTATTTTAAATACATGAAGTAGTGGGCTGGTTTGGAATAAACAAACTCTACCATATGGTTTAACTTTAAAGTAGGAACTGTCCTTGAATTTGAAAATACACGGTCTTAATTTTTAATATAATATATATATATATAAGGAAACTTGTCACTTGGCTATTGGAGGAGGGAGGTATTAAAATTTTACGCGTAGATAATTTAAATATAAAGACCACTTTGGAAAATTAATAAATAGAAACACGTATACGTATACAGAAAGAGATAGATATAAATGAGATGGATAAGTTGTTATAAATTATTGATATTAAATTAGTGTTGTGGCCAGATTTACCAAGACAAAAAATAATTATTGAAGTCCATCATTCATACATGCATGCATGGTTTCTTGTTGAATGAACAAATAATGGTCATGACTCATGAGTCTCTTTTTACCTAATTGTCTCCGTAAAATTAAATAATATTAATTAATATAGTTCTATATAACACATTGAGAATTATTAGTGGATGAGACAGTCAAACATGCATTAGGTTTGTATATATATATATATATATATATTATTACATTAATGTAATCTATAGCTGTTTTGAATTTCTTTTTCCTTTTATCCTAAATTCACATGCAATATATAATCAATTCCGAGCTAGGATACCCAATTACCCACCCCAATAAAACAAATTAATTAAATGCACTATGCATTATTAATTCATATTCTTGAACGACCATGCATATAGCTGTCGTCTATGGAATTCAACATTGACTAGAATCAAAAGATTATCGTAATCTTACCAACTTAATTCCCACCCAATTATTATGCCAACACAAATAAATTAATTAGTCAAATCTTAATTTCTTAGCTAGACAATGTCAATGGGCCGGGGTAGTAAAACATACATGATCTATAGCAGCCTAACCCCACTTTTAGAGTGGGAGGCTTTTTATTTTTATAGAAACGAGTTAGTTTACTTGTGAATTTTATATTTTGGAGATTTAATCCTTGTTTCAAATTTTAATTTAAATTTTAGTAGATGGACTTATATCTCTGAGCACAAGACCAACTTTAATTTGATGTTGACCAGCACTGCGTAATGGCTATTTTTATTTTCAACATGTTGTATTAATTGAAAAAGTAAAAAATCAATGTAATGGGACATATCATATATGATCTAAATCTAACTGAAAAGTAAGTGTCGTCCCATATGCATAGCCGGTGGATGAAAGTTGTCATTTAGTATTGGGGCGGGGCATAATCGACTTTTCCATGTAATAAAATGATATATAATCACAGTTTTCACTTATTCGACTCTTTTCGCCAGTGTGTATATATATATATATATATATACATTACACTACATGAATTTTAGATTTTTTGGTCCCCTAAGCATTACTATATAAAGTCTTCTACATCATTTAGAAAATATAGCGCATGAGGTATGTTTTTGAAATTCATTTTAGTTTTGATTCTTAAATTTTATTCCGCATTGAATCGATTATTATAGTAACATTACCTCATGTCAATGTTGCTACGAATACCAACTTGATTAATTAATTAATCAATCAATTGCCCCTGAATTTAATTTATCGATGATGATTGATTACGACTCCCCTAATAAGAATAATAATTAACACTTAGTATATATATTCCCTGTCCCGCATATTTATATTAATTGTTCTTTTTCTTCGAGGGATAATTGATTAATTATATATATATATATATATTTTAATAGCCTTGTGCTTGCATAGATTATTTGTGTGTATCGTCTCGTCCCATTCCACTCCACTAGATATTTATTATGTTGCTCGTCAGATCATATGAAGAAAATTATTTTAATATGAGAAATGGGAGTTGACTAGTGAGAGATATTTTTTGATCATGTAAAATCGATAAGGACAGTGGCACCAACTGATATACTCTATACCCCTATATTATATTATATTATATTTATATAATCATCAATCATTACATATATCTTTTCTTTTCTTTTCTTTTTTTCTTTTACGTAGGAAGGAAGCATTTAAGGGCCCTTTATCCGAAAGTCCAAACTCCACCCCTGTAATTATCATGGGGGGTCTGGCCCTGGGGTCCCAGGACCGCCCAAGAACACAATAATGCCTAATTATATATACCACTACTGCAATGCAATGCATGCATCATGCACACATTATGGGCTTTAATTTGTAAGAAAATATGCCCTTGTCACAAATCCACCACGTGGTCATCCCCCTCTATTTAAACCATTTTGCCCCTCACTCTTTCCCCCTCAAAATCCCCTCTTTCATTCTCTCTAATTTTCTTGCACTAACAACTTCCTCCCTCTCTCTCTCTCTCTTGAATATTTTCTTCTTCTTTATGGCGTTTTCTATTGCAAAATCTTGTAATGGATCATGGAGTGGAGCCCATTTGAAACCAACGTATTGTGATTTGGGCTTTTCATCAAAATCCATTTCAGTGAAAAAACACTCTACAAAAGGAAAGGCGACACTACAATGCGCTGTACACGCTCCTTCAATCTTTACATTCCCTTCCGTCACACCAATCGACCAGACGCCACCGCCGGCGCCGCAATGGAACATAATCCAACGAGCGGCTGCCAAAGCGTTAGACACAGTGGAAAGCGCGTTAATCTTACGCGACAGCCAACACGCGCTCCCGAAAACGGCCGACCCCGGCGTCCAGATTTCCGGCAACTTCGCTCCGGTGCCGGAGCAGCCCGTGCGGCATAATCTCGACGTCGCCGGAAAAATCCCCGACTGTATTAACGGAGTTTATGTTAGAAACGGTGCCAATCCGTTGCACCAGCCCCTCGCCGGACACCACCTGTTCGACGGCGATGGGATGATCCACTCCGTCACGTTCGGCGCCGGAAACTCCGTCAGCTACGCCTGCCGGTTCACGGAGACACAGAGGCTTGTCCAAGAGCGCCGGCTCGGCCGGCCGGTTTTCCCGAAAGCCATCGGAGAACTCCACGGGCATTCCGGCATAGCCCGGCTGCTGCTGTTCTACGCCCGAGGACTTTTCCGATTGGTCGATCATAGCCAAGGGACCGGAGTGGCGAACGCCGGACTGGTTTATTTCAACCGGCGGCTGCTGGCAATGTCTGAAGACGATCTTCCTTATCATGTCCGAATAAGTCCGGCGGGAGACCTGGAAACGATCGGAAGGTACGATTTTGGAGCTCAATTGAAAAGCACGATGATCGCTCACCCAAAAATCGATCCGGTTTCGAAGGAGATGTTTGCTTTAAGCTACGACGTCGTTCAGAAGCCATATCTTAGGTATTTTAGATTCTCGGCGGAGGGCGAGAAATCGCCGGACGTTGAAATTCCGGTGGAGGTTCCGACCATGATGCACGACTTCGCTATCACGGAGAATTTCGTTGTGATCCCCGATCAGCAAGTGGTGTTCAAGCTCCAGGAAATGGTCGCCGGAGGATCGCCGGTGATTTACGACAAGGAGAAGAAATCGAGATTCGGAATCCTTCCGAAGAACGCGACAAATGGCGGAGACATTGTCTGGATCGAGTGCGCCGACACTTTTTGCTTCCACTTATGGAACGCTTGGGAAGAAACGGACACCGACGAGGTGGTCGTGATCGGCTCCTGCATGACTCCGGCGGACTCAATTTTCAACGAAAGCGACGAGACCTTGAAGAGCGTCCTGTCTGAAATCCGGCTCAATTTGAAAACCGGCGAGTCGAGACGGCGGCCGGTGATCTCCGAGCCGATCAATTTGGAAGCCGGGATGGTGAACCGGAACAGGCTCGGCCGGAAAACCCGGTTCGCGTATCTTGCGATCGCGGAGCCGTGGCCGAGGGTTTCGGGATTCGCGAAAGTCGACCTGTCGACCGGAAAAGTGGAGAAGTTCATTTACGGCGACCGGAGATACGGCGGCGAACCGTTTTTCGTGCCGAGCGAATCGGCGGAAGATGATGGGTACATCATTGCGTTTGTGCACGACGAGGAATCGTGGAAATCGGAGGTGCAGATTGTGAATGCCGGAAATTTGGAGCTGGAAGCGACGGTGAAACTTCCGGCGAGAGTGCCGTATGGATTCCATGGGACATTCGTGAGCTCCGAGGAATTGGAAAATCAGGCATCTCGATCATGACGAATATACATATAGATATATGTATGTATATATATCGTAGTAGATTGGTTCGTCTGAGGGATTTTGAATCTAGGGCATCGCCGTCGTCCCCGGCGTTCCTCTCCGATCTTGATTTTCTGTTGTTTTTTTTTTTTTTGAATTATTGCATATGAATGGCATTCTGTGTGTTTCTCTTTCATGGTGGAGCCAAGCTTGAAGCTTTTTAGGCGTGTGTAGATATTTTAGTAATGGAGCTCAGCTGGTTTCTGTTTGTATTTTTGTTCGTGCCATTGTAATGGTTAGTTCGTGCTGTCCTATTTTCTCGGAGACGATGGAGTCTGGTGCTGGGGTCCCGGGACTGCTTGATTCTCTCATGAGGTGAAGGAATATGTTTTTTGGGGACTAATTAAGCATTGTTATGCTGAATTTATTACTGCAGTTGGTGATTAACGTTGCTGGTAAGAGAGTCAAAATCTGCTTTCCATTGAAAAATAAATAAATATGTAACAACTATAAATAAATAATGGAGTAGTAGTAATTTGCCGGCGATTGAATATGAGCCATATATAGCTTAATCATAAAAAGGTGATGTGACTAAAAATAGCATGGTTTCCAATTTTGCTGAGGATAGTCACACTCCATCACCTTAATTATTTTTTTAGAAGAATAATATAATAGTTAAACTAAATCAAGCATATATATTGATTAAGAATTTTGCTATCCAAAAGGGTAATTAATAAATAAACAATTGGATGGGGTTTTAGTAGGGAGTGACGATGCTGCTGAGACACGCATGTAAACCTTAACTCACTGCCCGAATCCCAGGAATATATAAAAATAAATATTGTATATGTGCTAGCCCTCCAATTAATTAATTAAAATTAAAATTAAATTAATAAAGTTTGCTGAGCAGCATGCATCACGGTGTTCGTCATCCTCCATAGATCTCGGGTGGGTCAAACTTCCTTCATTTTTTTATACACTGTATTTTATGTGGCTTTTCTCTACATATATTTATTTACAATAACAAAGAAAGAAAATGATGCATCAAACAAACAATATATATAATTCACTAACATTATATTTTTATATAGAATTCAATATTACTCATATATGTAACACTTTGTCGTCCCCATAAATCAACACAAATCTTTAGAGCTTTATTGATATAATTAATTCTAAAATTCGCTTAGGTGTCGTTGATATGAATGATGTAAGCCATTCACTAAACTCTAGCGTTCTTTTAGGTTGTGAAGTCCCAAAAAAAGTATCCATACTATTAATACTTAAGCTTTATCTAGATTTGGAAAATCATAATATATATTTTTGAGCTATGAACTAAATTTAGGAGAGGATCGACTCGACGTAGCTAGCAATATCTTGTTCAATATTAATTAATTGATGGAGTGGTAGATGGGTCGAATTGAATGATGTTAGCCAATTATGGCAAGAGTGGTAGAAGATGGCATGTGTTACGTGGATGCATTGGTGCCATGTTTCTATATTTATTATTGTTGTTGTTGTTTATATATAAATAAAATAAAACCAACCCAACCCAACCATGCAATGATTTTTAGGAACATAAGCATAACCACCACCCTTCTCTTCTGGGAGACTCATTAAATTACACCCATTTTTCAAAAATAGACAAAAACAAATTAAACAAACAAATCTCTCTCTAGAGCTAATTCCTTCCTACATCCTTGGACACCTTTTCGTTTTCATGATGTAATAAAATAGTAATTCTTTCTTTGAGCCCACCCCACCAAAATATGGGCAGATTTTCAGAATCCCATATCATCTCGATCGGATTTAGCTTTGATTCGAGGGAATTTACTTTGCTGTTGGGTAACAGAACGAATTGAACCAGAGGGGTCATGAGTGATCACAAGAATCAATCACACCATGTGATCGATGCATGCATGCATGCTTATAAGATTAGATTCATTTCAATTAATCAATTGCATTGCATTGCATTGCAACCACAAGACAGAATTGACAAATACATATATATAAAATATGATGCTCGAATTAGTCCAAGACAGACAGAGGTCAGACATGGCGATAAACGTTTACCTCAAAAAAGGATTGTCCTGTCCATGCTCCAGGAGAATCTCTGTCTGTATGTGATCAACTAGCTCAAAAATCCATTCCATTCCATTCCATTCATGGACCCTAGCTTGTCATAAATACATCTCAACAGCCTGCAATTTAAAGAGCATACACACATATACATATTGCCTTCATGAAAGGGAAATCTGGAAAATTAATTAAACATGGCTGGTCTGGTCTGGCCTATCCACGTGGAGACATGACTGCAGCAAAGTGCAACAGGGCTTTGCAATTTAATACAGAAAGTGGCAACCATTAACATCCATGGGACTCCACACCCAACACTTGTATTGTAATAATAATAGTTAATGTAATGAGATAAGAGACACGCCCATGTTCATTTGACTCGATCGAATACATGAAAGGAACTTCTAAATCTGTAATGTAATGTATCATCTTCCATTCAAAACTATCCATACCTCCTCACATATTGCAGTTCATCTGATTCGATCGAAAAAGTACCTCCAGATTCGATTTAAACACCAAACAATACATAACAACTCTACGAATCATAGAATTTTAAACATAATTCAAGAGCTAGCTAGCAACAACGCAAAGATGATGAGTCGAACAAAAATACCTAAACATTTTATGTGCCAAGGGCTACAGGCAAAGCTGCTCGACTGCAGCAACGATCTGCGCTGGTTGAACAACAGTCCATTCCTCGAGTGCTCCTGCATACGGAGTCGGCACATCCTGCGACGATAAACACACGATCGCAGCATCCAAATAATCGTTAAAATTTTCATTTATCGAAGCCGTCAAGCTGGCACCGATCCCGCCAGTTCTCATGCACTCCTCCACGATTACAACACGGTGCGTCTTCTTCACAGAATTCCCGATCGTGTAGAGATCAAACGGCTTCAAAGATCTAATATCAATGACTTCCGGATCATATCCTCTGTTCACAAGAGTCTTGGCAGCCTGCATAACATGATACCGCATTCTCGAATACGTTAGAATCGTGACGTCCTCGCCGGCTCTGACCATCTCGGCTTCCTCGAGATTCAATACATATTCTTCGTCCGGAATCCTCTCTTTCAGATTGTAGAGCAAAACATGCTCAAAAAGAATGACGGGATTCTCACTCCTTATTGCAGCCTTCATCAAGCCTTTGGCATTGTACGGCGTCGAGCAAGCCACCATTTGAATCCCGGGAATCGACTGGAAATACGATTCAAGGCGCTGCGAATGCTCAGCTCCGAGCTGTCGGCCGACACCGCCAGGCCCGCGGATCACTATAGGTATCGTAAACTGCCCGCCCGACGTGTAGTGGAGCATCCCGCAGTTATTAGAGATCTGATTGAAGGCCAGAAGAAGAAAGCCCATGTTCATTCCCTCGACAACGGGGCGAAGTCCTGTCATTGCAGCTCCGATTCCCATTCCGGTGAAGGAGTTTTCGCAAATTGGCGTGTCGAGAACCCTGAGATCGCCGTACTTGGTTGCCAACCCCCTCGTCACCTTGTAAGAACCTCCGTAATGCCCTACATCTTCCCCCATTACACATACCCGAGGATCCCTTTCCATCTCCTCCTCCAAGCCCTCCTGGAGAGCTTCGAAAAGCAAAAGCTCATGCCTGGAATCAAAACAGCATTGGCAATTCGTGAACCAGAATCATCCATCGAAGATTCGTACAGGATGAAAAGCCTAAGGGATCTCTATTCACTAATTTGATTGTAATTCTCTCAATTGGCAAATGAACATTCGATTTCTATGATTATTGCACACACTACATTGATGATATTAGTAGTTGAAAAGATAGGGAAGCATCTGATCTTGAAATTCAAACATTACATCATAAGTTTTTGTAATGGAGTAGAGAGCAAATTACCCAGGTTTTGATGCAGTGGCAGCTGCTCCTTTCTCTTGCTTTGTCTGCAACCAATAAAGGAATAGATAAAATTAATGGCGAGACTTCAAAGACCATGTGAAAGATCCTCTAAACATCTGAACAAGACAGGATGAACTTACTGCAACTGCATTGGTAATAAACCGCTTTGTCCTACTATTACGAGACTTCAAATTCGATCTCAAATTTCCATCACTGCAGACATGAAATAAGCTCCCTGTCCTCTCTGAAATAAATTTAAAAATTCAGTGACGACTAGAAATCTCCAAACATTGATTCAAACATAGTTTTTATTTACTTTTTTTTTTTTTTAATGATCGCATCAGTTCGAAGTTCCAAGCAGAATATTAGAAATTTAGGTATAGTGCAGCTAATACAACTATAACAAGGGTTTACAAAGAACAGCACATGATCACATAAAAATTCAACAGACAGAAAAGAAAATAGAGAGCTGAAAAACCTTGCAGTGATCCTCGATAACTAAATGCGAAAAGTGCCATTTTTGTTCCAGCGGCAGGCATAATCGAAGTTGCCATTAAAGAAGAGCACGAGAATTCGAAGATAGTAAACTACCCCTTACTCTTTTCAGCCTATACAATACAATGTAGTATCTGAATCAACAAAAAGATTGATTACACCGACAACCTAGAGAAGCGGCGGCGGCGGCGGCGGTTTACGACGATTTGGTCTATGTTGGGAAGACGAGAGGCTGAAGAAGACGGTGAGAGCAGAGCCACAGAAGTTGGGCTGTTCGATTATGTCGCCTAATCGCCTACTTGACGGTTCACTGAACCACACTTTTGAGAGCCTATCCAAACTGGACACGTAGCATAGAGAAAATTAATTATTAACAAAAGGCTAGTTTTATCTCACCGTCGATCTAAATATGAAGGGCCAAGATGCTTTTGCCGTAATAATAATTAATTTAATGTAATTACCAATGTGAATGCGAGTCCAAAAAAACCTCAATTAATAAAATTATTAATTCTGATTTAATAATATTATGATTATTAAATAAGGGAAATGAGATTGGAGTTGTTTAGTATGTATATATGTTTTATTTTTTTATTTAATATGAGGTTTATTATATACTGAAAAAATTAAGAATGGATTGAATATATATTATAGAAAGAAAATTCAAAGTATTGATAGAGTATATAACTAAATTCAATGAATATAATTCAAATAAGACAATGTATAGATGAATATTAATATAATTCTTATGGTTAATAAGACTTTTGCTAATGATCTATTAGATAGATACTTCCATAAAATCAGTTGTGCTATTTTTCATATGAGCTTGTACAGGTTCATTCTATACCTAGCAAATGCATTTGTATTTTATATATATTCAAACTAACATCTTTGATCAAATAATTTGATGCCACGGCTTTGTTTACATAAAACTTAAATTTATAATTTCGATTGATCAGTACAAGAACTGGTCAGAAGTGAAGTGGAAACATGAAGTAACACGTGACTAAAATGATTAGATACATGTTTTTCTTTCTTTCTTTTTATTTTATATTATATTATATTTTGGTCTATCTATAAACATCTCTTTGATTTGAGTCGTTGGTGCAACTTTTCAAAGCTTGGAAAAAAAGTGTCGTCGTGTTCTATTCTATTTCTATATATAACGACTTCTTACATATACATATACACCAACATGGAAAGAAACTGCAATCTGGAACTTGGCCTGGCAACTCCGCCGCCGTATGATCGTCGTAATAATAATTACCGGCGGGGTACGGAGGAGGAGCAGCAGAAGTTAACTATTTTCTACAATGGAAGAATGGCTGCCTCCATTGATGCCACTGAATTTCAGGTACCCATTAATGATTCCATTCATTATTTGATTAATAATTAATGAATTAATTAATTAATGTGGCCCATGCAGGCTCGTGCAATCATCGATCTTGCAAGCCGCGGTGGAGACAAAGAAGAGTTTGAGGGTAGTGCTGCTCAGACATGGACAACTTTAAACCCATTATTAGTATTACCATTATCATCAACCAATAATAATAATAATAATGATAATAATAATAATAATACTACATCGTCTAGGGTTTGTGTGAAGAGATCACTGCAGAGGTTCCTTAAAAAGAGAGAAGATAGGGCACAGTCCTTGTCTCCTTACCCTCAACCCTCCCTGCAATAAATTAATTATTTCTTAAAAACACTATGCATTTGGGTGTATTTGTTGTGTACTTAGGTTAGGGTAATTAATTAAGGTCCTATTTATTTTTCATTATTGTTGTTTGAATTTTTAATTATTTCTTGATAGAAATTTGGTTTGGGCTTTCGAGAAACGGCCCATTAACTTGAAAGCCCCAAGACATGGTCTTCTTCCTTTATGCTCAAATCAATCACTCCATCCATCCATCAGCTACAAAAACCAAATGTATATTTTACTATTCTTTCTTGTACGTAACTTTCTTACACGTATTCAGAATGGATATATATATATGTTTGCATTCCCTTTCACTGCAATAATATAATATAATATACTATAATGAAGTTCAATATTGGCGTTTTCTAACACAACATATATATTTAAATAAATATAAATTATTTTACAGCTAATCTGCAAGTGCCACCCACATATACCTATAGCTATAGCTATAGCCAACTCATTAAATGTATATACCATCAATATAATTATATTTATCATCTGAGATGGAGATCAAATTACAATCCTTCAATCATTGAATTCAAATCTCTTTTTCAAATTGAAGATTTTTCCCAGTTTCAATGGTTTAATTACGTAATCGCCATCCGACGGCTGTGATTAAATGTGCTGCGCGAAGACACACGTGGCGACGATGCAACGGTGACGTCAGGTAGATCGGCTCGCCACGTCACTGTACACTTGTTAAGACATTAACAAAAACCGACTGAATTAAACTTAATGACGGCCTACGTCAGCAGTTCTCCTTTGGGAACTCCCGGGAGCACGGCTCCCAAATTCATACATGGACGGCTGTGATTTCAGGAATTCATAATCAGCTATAAATACCACACCGGAATTCAGATCATCCTTCAACAATGGCCGCCGGAAGTTTCCTGAGCTTGGAGAGATTCTCTGCAGACAACCTCAAAAACTCCAAACTGATCATATCCATTGTGCTGTCTGTCGTCGTCCTCCTCCTCCTTTACATGTCAGCGTTGAATTTCTTCAACCTCTCGCCTACAGCTCTCCTCTCGACCACTAAATTCTGGTTCGTAATATCCAACACAATCCTTCTCATCTTCGCCACTGATTTCGGTGCCTTTTCGGAGACAAATAATCATTATTACTTTGAAAACAATAATGTTCTTGTTGTTGTAAGGAGTAATAATGCACCTGTTTGCTGTCTCCAGATCGACGATCAGTATAATTATTCCGAAGACAAAGTAAACAAAGACGACAACGAGTTAGAATTAATAACAGAGAATCTTAACAAAGAAGAAGAAGAAGAGGGACATGAAAGTGAACATGAAGGCAAGAAAACATTAATGTCATCAGTGAGACACGATGAAGACGAAGAAGAAGATGATGATGAGGAGTTCAGTCGATGGTTCAACAGGCAGATTAGGTTACAAGCAGAAGCACAAGGACCCAACTTACCTTAATTAACTGATCGAGGTCTGGTAGAAGACCACACGCATGCTGATGTGGACGTACGGACATCATCTTTTAAATTAATTTATTTATTTATGACAAGCAATTTTGCAATATCTTTACTTAGTCTAATAAAAAGGGTTCTTTATTATTTAGTAGTAGTAGTAGTAGTAGTATATATTTCATTCATCATCAAATTAATTATGCAGTATCACATTGATTATGATAAAAAGTCACATTACACACAATATATTATATTATTAATATCATGCAAGAAATTAGGATGTTAATAGAGTTTCAAATAACACAATATATATATATATATATGTGATGTATTAATTGAAGGCATGTGTTGACAACATATCTTATAAGCTTAAATCAATTATAATATTCACTAAGTGAACTATTATTGTATGTTGTCAATTCATTTGTTACATTTCTGTTATATCAATATATATAACAGGGAACCGAGGAGGGAGGGAGACAAGAAGGAGACACAATAATGGAGGAACTTTGGTAGATCTGAAGTCATATGAGATATTATTGAGATATATATATATATATATACACACACAAACACAGATTATATATACAAGTGTCAGATGTAACCTCTAATATCTCAGCAAAGTGCATGGGTCCTCATTTAGGTACAATTTAATAACCCCTTAGCTGGATTCCATATACAATATATATATGTATATGCTCATTGATTTATTGCTCTACTTGCTGGAGTTTGTTTCAGTGCATGTTAGTTTCCAGATGCAGTAATTACAGATGGTGGGATTTTCATCTATTGGGAATTAAAGTTACTATTTTGATAAACCATTACTATATATATACTATATTATTGAAGTTGGTTCATAAATTAGGGCACCGATAGCGCAGTGTATAGTTGTCAAGAAGCTGTATTGTAATAATTTACAATAATCAGTTTTGAAGTGTGGTATGATTAAATGTCATTTTCATACAGGTTGGATATATATGAGGATCAGTATTTCTTACAACAACAAACAACTGGGGGGTTTTGGGTAATAAAGAACACCATGTTGTACGTTCTGAAACCTTGATTAGCCTGTAAGTCAATGTTGGCAACAGACAGGTATCCTAAAAGGGATGGGATCGCTTGGTTAACACCAAATAACACAAGAGTAAATTGCAAGGAATTAATTGGTACCAAATCAAATCAAATCAAATCAAAAGCACCACAGGCCAAGATGGGGGAACCTCTCCTACCTGTCTTCCCTATGCTTTTTGTCTCAAGAAATTCTGTTTATTGCATAATATAATCCAAAATGGAAATCTTGATTGAACTATGTATGTAGTGGTAATAATTTTTGGGGGAATTGGATTTTTAAAGCTTATTGGATTGAGGTTTGATGTAGAATAGAATAGAATATTGATTGTAAAGCTGAAGCAAAACGGCAGAGCAGAGTGTCGTTTTAGAGCATATCTTCCGTCCCATCTCATTAAAAGGGCACATAAAGGAAGCCGTTGAACCCTTTTCCTCTGCAACTTCCTTTGTCTGCTCCGTCGCTCCTCCGCCGTGCGCTTCTGACAAGCCGCCGGAATTTGCTGTTAAGATGGAGTTAGGGATTGTACTTGCGTAAATTTTTCAACTTTCAGATCCATAGTTTTGGTGAACTCTCGATTTCTGAAGCTGTGGAGTTTTTGGGTGGGAATGGGTTCGATTCGTGCAGATCTGGGCAGCAGAATTCACCCCGAGCCGATCGACCACTTCGACCGTCTTCCGGACTCGCTCATACTCCTGATCATCGATAAAATCGGAGATGTCAAGGTTTTAGGCAGATGCTGCGTCGTTTCGAGGCGGTTCCACTCGCTTGTTCCCCAAGTCGACAACGTTGTAGTCTGTGTGGATTGTGTTATCTCCGACGATGATCCTTCCGTCACCTCTTCTTCGTCGGCCGCCGTCGCTGCCCCCGTCGCCTCCGACAAGTCTCGGGATCCTATCTCCTCGCTATTCCGAATCTTCTTCTCCGGGCTGTTGAAACCCTTCCATTCCCTGTCGCAGCTCATCTCTTCCAACTCATCCCGCCGCGCCGCCGTCTCCGAAGGTTTTGACTCCGAAACGGAGCACAACATTGTCACTCACCACTCACCTACTCAGGTACTGAAGAATTTCAACGAAATCAAGGTCCTTCGTATAGAGCTTCCGAGTGGGGAATTAGGGATTGACGATGGCGTTCTGCTCAAATGGAAGGCTGATTTCGGTTCCACGCTCGATAATTGTGTCATTATCGGAGCATCCAGCGTCATTCATCACACCGTGAAAGGTAATAGCCCTAATTCCTGTAACAATGATGGCAACAATGGAGGGGAAAATGATAATGGTAGCATACCAGAGTCGTTTTACACAAATGGTGGGTTGAAATTGCGCGTGGTGTGGACTATTAGCTCGTTGATTGCAGCCTCGGCCAGGCATTATTTGTTGCAGCCAATAATTGCAGAGCATAAGACATTGGAGAGCTTAGTGCTGACGGATGTGGATGGGCAGGGAGTGTTATCCATGAACAAAGAACAATTGGAGGAGCTGAGGGTGAAGCCCTTATCTGCATCTTCTGCATCTAAGAGGACTCTCGTTCCGGCTCTTAATATGCGGCTATGGTATGCGCCGCATTTGGAGTTGCCTAATGGAATGGTGTTAAAAGGGGCGACTTTGGTTGCCATCAGGCCCAGCGAGCAGCCGAAGAAGGAGGTCGTTGGGTTGGAAGGGAATTGGGTTGCGTCGGCTTTTGAGGAACCCTATGGAACTGCTGCAAGGATGCTGGTGAAGAGGAGGACTTATTGCTTGGAAATGAACTCTTTCTAAGGCAGAAATCGAATGTTTGGAGGTATTCTCTATTTTGCTGCAATCCTTTTGAAAATTCATGCCTTCTGAAATCTTGTGTTTGATATCATGTTTCTGTTTTGTGTCCACTGAATTGATATGAGCAAATGTGTATACATATATATATATGTGTGTGAAGGAAATCGATAAATTAGCGAGCTGCATATTTGTTACAATTGATCAACTTTTAAGTATTTGTCCTGCATTTGCCTTCCATGTATGATCTTCTGCATATTTTCATTGCTCGTTTCTTTTTTGATATCCGGTCTTGACTTAGTGAGTATTCTGTTACCCATACCATCAAGATGTTTGGCTGCAATGATTGTTGAATTGTTTTCGGATATATGTTCTGCCTTGCTTCATTTCTATTTGAAAAATTCTGATTGATTTCTTTGATTGTTACAGCTTGTTTCATGTTTGTTTTGTATTTGTAGAGAAAGAAGTACTAGTCGTGGTTGCGTGCATTTGTGGCCAGGTATGAATGGTGGCTGGCAGAGATGACACTATTCATCTACGACTGACTGCGGGTGCGAGGCGCTGAATCTGCTTGCCAGGGGATGTAACAACGGTAGGCATCTCATCTTATATCCTGCCTTGGTTTTGAAATCGAGCATATGCTTTAAGAGCGAATTGTATGCAAAAATGTAAGAGTTGTAAACCATGGACCTGTTGATCTTCTTCCCAATGTTAGCAATCTCTCTGTACATACACCACCAACTGTTGTAGGTATGAATTCTATGCTCTTATTACAATCTGCTGTCCTTTTTTAAAGATTCGCCAACAAATGTAGAAATAGAATGCCATTGTTCTTGACATGCCTTCTTGGCTACTTTCTTGTCTAAATTAGGTTTCAATTGGCCAATTAAAGATTGGGCCTTGCAATAAAGTCTAAGAAAACAAAGCAAATTGATACTACTACTACTACATTTGAACTGAACTGAACTCAATGTATGTCCCAGAAAATCTGACACAGAAAAAGCACAGTTTCACTCACAGAAGAAATGTGTCAAAAAAAATATCCCTATCCCAGCAATCTTGAGTTTGTTGGCATGAATTGCTGCCTGGTGGCTCACACTCACTGCCTCCCCAACAATCCCGATTAAAATAAAACCAAAATTGAGTGTTTTTTTAAAATTGTCACAAAGATGGATACCAACTACCATGATAAAAAAAGAATTACAGCATATATGCCATGCCCCTGTGCTGTCCTGTCCTGTCCGGACAATAATAAATAGTACATGAAAAGAACTCTAACGGATAAAAAAGGACTTGAACTCAACCATGAAATCTGGTATATGTGTTCTGGTTGGTCTATTAATTACTATATTATTGCCTGCAAATGTTAGGTCTATATATAGCCTTTCGGGTGGATTATATCCCCCTATAGTGCTAATTAGTAGAAAAAATAATATTATCTAGAGAGAGGGCCAGCACATTGACATGTGTTGAGTTCACGCTAGGTGAAAGATATTTTTCCCTCTACACTGTCCAAGGCAGCGACAGGAGTGGAGACCCAGTGCAACCAGGAGAACTAATTCTATTAATACCAAGTATTATTGTGGACTAATTTTTATTGTTATTACCAAATAGTGGTAGTTATCTAAATACCTATTTTTCCTACATTAACAGGTGATAATAAAGTAGGCACCCAACACTTGACTAAGCCCTAGACATGTTAGAAACCAGGGAACCAAATTCCACTCTACCCACAATCACAAAATTGGTTATAAAATAGTGACTCATATTTGGTGAATCGAAACCAAGAAAATGGAGCAAAATGATCAAACCAGAGTAAAACAAAACACAATGCTGATCTGATATAAAAAGCCTCGAACCCATCTCAAGACAAGAACTCAAACCACCGTAAATACTGACTGCATCAAGGCAACATATGATGACTAAACGTTTTTACCTTTGCAGGAAAATTAAGCAAGCAAGAACATTACCAGGGAATGAATTAATTAATGAACTCGCGATCAATTCTTTCCTCTCCCTTTCTGACCGGCGAAATGCCTATTGCCGGTGTTAGCATCTCCGCCGTAGCAGAGCTGCAATTCTGAAAGATAGGGCTGGCGGCTGCTATGGTTATCCGCAGGTGCAATGAAGAAACTTGGAGGGGTTCCGTCGGGAAACCTCTGGAAGTGAGGCAACGACAGTGACGGTACTAAAGAAGTTGAATTGGACTGAAGGGTCCCCCTAATGTTATTGAAGCCAGCGGCGACGCCGCCGGAGGACGATGGATTTGGAGATGACGAAAACGACGACGACGACGATGATATTCTGAAGTTCAAATTGTACTCAGTATTGTGGTCGCTGTTGACGTTTCCGGCGCCACTGTTTCCTCCGGCGACGAAGTGGTCCGGCGGGACAAAAGAGAAGTGGAGGAGCTCCGGGTGGTGCTCCACCCCGACGTTGAATATCGGCGGCGCCGCCACGAACGGATTTGTTGACTGTAGTTGCATCATTTGCCCCGTCCGGCCTAGAAGCCCCGAATTGAAGTAATCCATCGGCCACTGCCGGAAGTAATTTGACTCATTGGAACCACCACCGCCGCCGCCGCCGCCGCCGCCGCCGCCATTGTTGATTCCTCCATTCAATAGCTCGGTGAAGGAAGAGGTTTGGGAGAGAGGATTTAGTGCAGAAGCAGATTCAGTCTCCTTCTCCTTCTTCTCCATCTCCATCTTCTCCGATGCAACTCGTTCCTTGGCGCGCTCCCTGGCCTTCATCCTGCTCTCAGATCTGGAAAGAGACAGCCCGGAGCCCTTGCTCGTCTCCGATGTGCTGCTACAGGCGGAGGATTTCGCCGTCAGTTGCTGCTGAGAGTAATTCAGATCGCCGGCGGCGGCGGCAGACCCTAGCTGATCGCTTCCGGCGGTGCTGGACCTCTTCTCGTCGCTCAGCTGCTTCGGCGTGTCGGGGAACGGACTGTTCATCGGCGGCAATTCGGCGATGGAACTCGCCGCCGCCTTCAGCAGCCACTCCACCGCCTTGCTCGGCTGATCGTACCCTAACCGGTCCTGAAGATCGTAGAATTGAATCGCAGTATTCACCGACAGCCGCACGCGGCGGTCTCTCAGCCCCTTGGAGGTCAGAACTTTGCTGTGCCGATCTTTCCCGCCGGAGGCCCGCGAAACCCTCACAATTCGCGACGAAGGCCAGCCGTTGAATCTCCCGACGGCGTCGACGGCTCCAACGCCATTGGAGCAACCTCTTCGGTTGTCTCCGTCGTCGTCCTCATCGGGATAGTGGCCGCCCATTTTCTCGCCGCCGGCAGCTGCATCGCCGATTCTGGGAAACTTGCACCGAATTTCATCTGCCTCCATGTTACAGCTCTCATTTAATTCGTAATCGGGAACAGAAAGAGGGACAATTCTAACCCGAATCGGAATAATTCGGAAAATTAGGGTTTGGGAGGGAGGGAAAGGGAGAGGGAGAGGGAAAAACAGTGGGTGTGTACAGTGCACTGCAGCAGTGGGGTGGGGAAGACTGTACCGTACTTTGCAGCATTGATGACGATTACACAGACCGCTTTGGCTTTTGTAATGATGTATACATACACCTATACATACAATCACATACACATACACATACAGTAGTGAGAGAAAAGATCAGATCCCATTTTCTGCTCCAATATATATATATGACGACGATGGCGGGTCTTCTTCTTCCTCCTCAATTCTCCTCAAGATTTTCTTTTTCTGCGCTGCTTTCAAAACCCAAAATCAAATCAATCGAACTAATTAATCTTACAAAATAGAACAATCAAATCCACAACCACACCACCAAAAAAAATAAGAATCAGATGCTGAAAAAGAAAGCGGGAAATAATAAAGTAAAAAAGAACGTTGCTTTTATCTTCTTTTCCTCCAAGAATATCAACAAACATAAATCAATAATAGTAATATGTTTTAATTAAGTTGAGAAATTCTAACTAACTGTGATTTATTTGTCGAGACGAGGGGGGAAAAGACAGGCAGGAGTTAGAGAGAGAGAGAAAAAATAAGGCTGAATAATTAAAAGCTTGCTGACCCTAAAAATTGCAGACATTATTGCTATGTGGTGGTGCTTTAAGACAGATAGCCAGGCGGCCATACATAAAAATCTCTTCCGTCCAGACAGACACTGAATTGTGGAAAGTACTTTACCAGAAAAAAAATTTCCCCCAACCTTACCTGGATGTAACCAGCGGACGACGGTGACCACTCGACTCTCCCCCTCGGTCGGGTCGCTGCAATAACACTCTCTGCAAATCAATTCATTTCCGCCATGTAAATCCAAACGTTAATTGTAATCAATCCGGGGAGGGAAGCATTATTTACATACATATATATATGTGTGTGTGTGTGTGTGTGTGTGTGTTAGAAAAATCAACATTGAATTTTCCATGGTCGAAGCACCAAGATTTGAACTTTATTACATGTATATTCATTTTTTGTGAAAATTTATTAAGAACGAAGAAGGGAAGAAATAAACCTGGAAATTGGTTAGTTAGGAACATAAAGTTGGAGAAGAAGAAGAGAGATTGGGGATGAGATTATGTAGGTAGTGTAAGAAGACGACCCACCCACCCGACTTCGAAGTTCGTAAATGGGCGAAAACCCGAAATTCCAGTGGAGCTGTTGCTTCCTTAGTAGCCAACTTCCCAAACTCCAAAGCCCTCTTCTCCCTCCCTCCCTGTAAAGTAGAAATCAATTTGCTCAGAAACAATTAATAATGGTTCTTTAATGGATTTCTTGCCCTTTCAACGACGTCCCTCCATCCGACCTTAATAATTAAACTCCCAATCAGAGAAAAATACAGACAATTAATTGGAGGTGGAGGATTGAATTAACTGCTTATTGCATTACACAGGAAGGAAGTTTTTGATTTAGCCATGGTGATTAATTAGGGTTTTGATTTAAAACTGTGGGTGACATGTGTAAAGGCAGAAATCATTACAAGGATTGATGGAGGGATATGGGGATGGATTCATTGGAACAGATCAGCCTCGGCTTATCAGGAAAGGACAACCTTTGCTGCTTCTCTATGTTTTCTCAATTTTCTCCCTTCAATTTGTCCTTATTTACTACTTTATCTGCCTTGCATCTTAATTTCCTACAAAAATACCCTAAAAAAGAAAGAAATTCTGTGCCCCTCTCTCTGTGTGTGTACATATATGTATGGATTTATTTTTATTCTTCGAATGCATAATTGTAATATATATCCCAGCTGATTGTTTGGTCAATTAAAGAAATTAATTACATCCATCAATGATAAAGATTCAATTTTTATTTTTTTATTTTTTTTTAATCCACATACTCCTTCACTCACTATATGTGTGTGATGCTGTTTTCATGTAATCTTATGACATTGACAAAACAGTAGCTATTTGATTGAATATATAAAAGATCCTATGATCAATTCTTGAATTCAATGAATGTGATATAACTGGTTGTTGAATTATGCAGTAATTTATTTTACAACAACAATCTACTAAATTAAATACCAAAAGGGTTCATTATAATTATAATTATATATTTATATATATATATATATATACTTTATAATAATACAAACACAAATGCATATAATCATCCACCCCCTAGCTACAAAAAGGGTTTCTTTTTATCATTGTCTTTTTATTTCGGGTGCTTTTACTAAAAGGGCTTTTAAGGATACCTCCTATTAGTTATACATACATACAAGTTTAACTAACAAATGGATGGTGTCTTAAACTACTAGTCAAGGATCACGTCCGTACATGCATGTAATAATGCATCCCATTGCTCCATTTCATCAACCTCGCACATACATACATATATATATATATATAAATACACAAAGTGGGATCAAATTAAATTGTATGGTACGAATTATGAAATTAAGAAACACACTCACACATACATACGTACACACACACACACACACAACCAAGTTGTGGTTCCATGTTGGATTTGGACCACATTCTTGTTTCACCTTTATGGATATCTTACAAGCCACCAAAATATGCCCCCATTCAATATTCATTTCCCACTTACCTTCCCATAAATGAGATTCATAATTAATTATTCATTCTGCCCATGCACCCCAATTTTTATTTTTATTTATATTCATATCACAATAGTGGAATAAGGGTTGAAAAAGGAAAAGGATGCTTTCTTACAAACTATATGTATTCATTTGGGTGATTTATTTTGACATTAATTGATATGATCTAAATGCTATACGTAGTATGGTATGGTTATGGTTTAATTATATATTCTAACTAATTACTATTTTATTCTTTCTAAGAGAGGTGCATATTTTTACTTAATCGAATATGGGAATTCCAAATAATTATATATTTATTTAATTCAAGGGGCACGTGTCGATGTTCGTAAAGGCATAGGCATTTGACTTCTCGATGACCTGACCATAACTACACTGCACGTGTCGCCCTCATCCCTCATCCCTCATCCCTCATCCACCCTCCTTTTCTTTTCTTTATTATTATTATTTTTTTAAAATAATAATAAAAAAAAAAAGTTAGGTATTTTACTGGCTGTATTTGGGCTGATAAACCCATGTTCATATTGGGCCATATTGTGATAGCCCACTGAACTTTACGTTGTACTGCCTTAGCCCAAATTTGGGCCCTATAGTTAAAAGCTCAATTTAATTTGGATCCAATACTTTGATAAAGGGGTTTTTAGTGCGCCGGACGAATTGTCCGCGGCGGCGCTACCTCCGTTGCTCTCAATCAGCTTCTACTACTTGCGAGCTTGCTCTTGATAAATGCATCGATAAGGTTGAATTGTTGCGGGTGATTGGAGAGTATTTGTTTTTTCTTCTCGAATTTGACATCTGAGCTCGAATTGATGGCTGCTTCTAATTCCTCTAAGCTGTTTCGCGGTATGTGATTTATCATGGCTTTGCGATCGACTCGATATTGTCTTCGTATTTGTTAATTTCATGGAGAAATGCTTACATTTTCTAAAACAGATAGTTTTTTTCTTCACAATTTTCTGGTGCTCCATATCTATGTATGACTGAATTCTTATGTATTAGAGCAATCGGCGTCAAGTAACCGCGAGTATTAGGAGATCTAATGTTTGCAGGATCTATGAAAAGATAACTCATTTGGTGGTTTTTCTTTTAACCTCAGAAAATGTTTTGAAATCTTTTACTTAGCTCAAAATGGATTACGCAATGAATTGTATAATTCTAGCAAGTTGTTAGATTTATTGAAGAGAGACCTTGACCTTGAGTATTGATTTTATCTTTTTATATCATGAAATTAAACCTTAATCTTTTGGTTCCTTTACAAAAACAGTTTTGTATTACTACAAGTTAAGAGCATTCTTACCCTCTGGCATGTAGAAACATCCATCCACGAATCACGATTACTCTCTGCTCCATGAATAATTCTTCTGTGTATATCTTGTGAGTCTCATTTCTGATGTCTGTACTGCTTGTTGTGATGGTTATGAATTCCAGCTGGTCGTTCAATACTTGGTGGCTTTAGCAACAGTTATTTTGGGGCAAGCAGATGGACTTCACCACTCAACCACATGGAATTCTTATCTCAAGTTCGTATTTTTCCCTCTTTTCTTCATTAGCATGGCCCTTAAATCGCAGTATTTCCAAAATTTTAATGGTTCCCATCTTCCCCCTTTTAACTGCCTATACTATTTTAACATGATTTGTTGTATTGCTTGTGAGGGAGAGTGTGGATAAATTTATTAATGTTCTTTGAAATGTGCTATTAATCTTATCTATGATGAGCATTAGCTAAAGAATATTTTGTGCTGAAACTCAAGAGTTAAGAAGATTGGATTCAATTCCCACTATATATATTGTTTAAAAATTGGCTGAACTACCTAATGTGGAGGTGCTTGAAATTGATGTATCTATATTGTCAACATGTGTTCTTGCAGCAACAAAGGGCGTTCATACAGATGAGGACTAACCTGAAAGTGGTGGACAATTCCGGGGCGAAAAGAGTAATGTGCATTCAAGCCTCTAAAGGAAGAAAAGGTGCTAGACTGGGGGATACCATAGTTGCATCTGTTAAGGAAGCAAAAGTGGGCGGCAAAGTGAAGAAAGGAGACGTGCACTATGCTGTTGTGGTTCGTGCTGCAATGCAACGTGGCCGTTGTGATGGGAGTGAAGTCAAGTTCGACGACAATGCTGTGGTACTCATCAACAAGCAGGGCGAGCCGATTGGGACCCGAGTGTTTGGTCCCGTGCCTCATGAATTGAGGAAGAAGAAGCATCTCAAGATCCTCAGTCTTGCCGAGCACATTGCCTAAAACATTTTAATTTGAAAAAGCTTGCCATAGCCATGCCATGTCTCTGTTAAATTCAATGAGATTTCTGGATAATTGCAACAAACAGAATTATTGATCGCTTCTTCTTATCTTTGTATCTTTGTACTCTGTGTTTTTTTAAGAGCGTCTTGGTTTCTTTATTTCCTAACTATACTATTTATTTTTCTCCAGGCATATACAAGCTATTCCGTTATATGGATTGGGTTAATGGCCCAGATATATGGGTCGGGTCGGGTCGGGTCGGTATTTATTGGGCTCTAGAGGTAGATAGGGCGCCGGGCCCATTAAAGAATAGGGTTATAGTTACTATCAGTCCATTGTAAATTAGGGATTGGACAGAGGAGAGGGGGAGGGCGAGCAGTGATAGAGACGGCGATGGTGTCAGGGATGTCGTCAATAAGGACGAAAAGCATTGAAGGAGAAATGGCGTGAGCGTCGAGCGACGGCGGGTATGGCGTTGGGTTGTCGGGTTGTCGCGTCGGTGTGAGGTTTTAGGCGTTGTTCACTCACTCACTCACGGCCAGGCCAGGCCAGATATAGCAAAAGCTTTTGTCTGTCTCCCGTGATTCGCCTCCTTCTCGCCATTAATTCAGCCGCGATTCAATTAATTAATCTCTCTCTCTCTCTCTGGTCTGCTCTGCTCAATAATTCTGGAGCCGTACCATTGGTTGATGCTCATGCTCGATCACGCCGACTGTGAAAAAGCAAGTACCATTCCCCAACTCATCCTCAGTCTGTGAGCTTACCAACACTCTCTCTCTCTCTACATTTGTAGTATGCTGTGGCAAATGTGTGTATATATGTATGTATGTATGTGCGTACATATTCTGCATTCTCACGTAATTCAAGTGATGACTATAACTGCATATTTTTTTCTGTTGTGATATTTTTGGCTGTACCTTTTCAGATATGAATAATGATATTATTATTATTATTAATTAAATAAATGTGGTCCCTTCCCTTCCTGCTCTGGTATTACTGTGATTTTTATGCATATTATCACAATACAATTTCAAAACATATGATTGATTGAATCAGTGGGGTTTGGCTGAAACATGCAAATGAAAATTAGGGTTTGGTCAAAAACACATGGAAAGTACATGACTGTCCAGCAACAAAATGTGATCTTTGCCCATCTCTTTCTCATCGGTCAAACATCAGAAAATGTGATGATGATAACCTCAATCCCCAAATTTTACCCTGTCCAATCAATATTAATTAGTTAATTAACACTACACTCACAGTAGAGTAGAGTAGAGTGGAGTAGAGTAGAGTATAGAGTAGAGTAGATGAATATATGTATAGAATTATCCAGAAAGAATTGGCGATGAGTAGACAAAAAAAACAAAAAAGGCCGTACGTACATAAGCAGAAAGTATGAGAAATCAAGGCCGCCGGACATTGCCTGCCTCCCTACAGTACACCTACGCCCCCTACTGTACTAACCCTATTTTTCTCTCTCTTATTTCTCTCTCTCTCTCTCTCTAAATATCATGCTATATATTCATTGCAAGCAATCCCTTATGCTCTCTTCGTTTTATCATCGGTCTGTTGAATGAATTTTTGGGCACGTTATATCAAGAACTAGTTAGCAGGCAGGCAGGCAACATTTCCTTAATTCCATATTTCAAGTGTACTTGCAAGAATGCAGGTGGCGAAAGAGTTGCCGGCGCCGGCGCTGAAGAATGCGGAGGCGGTGTACCAGAAGGTGAGCCTTTTGGTTTCCGGCAACGCGGTGGTGATGTTCACCATCAGCGGCTGCTGCATGTGCCACGTCGTCAAGCAGCTGCTGCTCGGCCTCGGCGTCGGTCCGACCATCGTCGAGCTCGACCGCGACGCTTCCGGCGGCGACATCCACGCGCTCCTTTTCCACCTCTCCGGCGGAGGGGGAGTGGGAGGGCGGCGGAGCCGCCAGCCGGCGGTGCCTGCTGTGTTTGTGGGAGGAAAATTTTTGGGAGGGATTGAGGCGGTGATGGCCTGCCATATCAACGGAACCCTAGTTCCTCTTCTCAAGGACGCCGGAGCTCTGTGGCTCTGATCGCCGGGTGGCTTTTATATGATAGGAAATTAATTAGTCCTTTGGTATTATTATATGTTAATTTTTATTTAAACATGCATAACATATATAATATATATATATGTATATAAGATTGTAGAAATGTTATTCTATTTCTTATTAAATATATGAATGGCTTAATTAATTTTGATTTTGAGCATGGTTCTAATTATATATATATATATATATTTGAGTGTGTTTTATATATAGCTTAAAGATGAGGACATGAAAAACAGTAAAAAAGACAAAGAAGATAGAACTGGAGACAGGAAGAGGGATTCATCAGCTGTTATTTGGTGGTAGTACTGAAGATTTCTACAAAGATGTTGCACTATGATCATGACAAGGAATGAAATATTTGCCTCTTTCTGCAAATAAATTCTGATCCAAAGATCAGGATGACATACTCATTTTTGACCACCATATCTTTACCCTTTGGTCAGACAATCATATGCCTTTCATTGCCACACACAAAATTAAAAAAAATATACATATATGTAAATGTATGTGTGTGTCCAACTTCATCCAATACTAAAACATGGCAAAGTTTCTATATTATTAAGATTAATCTTCGATGAATTGATGAAAAGATGGTAGGAAAAAAAAAAAAAAAAAAAGAGAGAACTAGTTAGCTAGATTGATTTATACAAGAAATAACCCTGCAATAAAAAAACACAAATCACCACTAAACATCAATAATGAAAAGTGCATGCATGCATTCTCTTCTTTTAATCTATCTAGCCTCCATTTCTCATCATCAATTCTCATTTCATCACACCCTTGTAGAATTTGGCAAAACCTTTTTTCTGTTGCAGTTTTCCTGCATCCATTCTCCCTATGTTTCCTCAACGTGTCCGGAATTGATCAAGAAGGGTCGTAAATAATAAAGAGATCAAAAGGTCAGGAAATGGAGAAATTGTTGATCGACAGCAGATAGGAGGCAAAAGAGAGGATGACGGGGAGGAGGCAGAGCAGGTGAATGGGCGTCGATACAATCCCTAAATTCCTCAAAATGGCGTTGGCAGCAGCCTCCATCTTTTCTGATCCTTCTTCAGCAATAGGCTCGAGTCGGGGGGCATAATTGGAGGGCTTTTTCATGCTACGAAGATGAATAAGAAGGGCAGGAGCAAGCTCAATCCAGTTGTGCATGAATCCAATTTGCTTGGAGCTCATGCTGAAGTGCAAAGGATCAGAAAAGCCTTTTACGCGGAGGGCGAGCACAGAGTACTGTTACCTGATGATGATGAGAACAAGAATGATCAAATTGGTAAAATATATATAATTATATTGCAATATTTCGGACAAAAGCTAAGGTCTTGTTGGCGTTGGTGAATGGAACAGCTATAATGGTGCATATCCACTAAGAATTTGTTTGGACGTGAATATAGCCCACCATTACAGAATGCCTAAAACAGGTTTTATTTGCAAGCGTAGAAATTGGGAAGAAATTAACTAAAGATAAGGATTTAAATGAAACTGAATTAATCAGAGTTTAAATTCAGCATATTAACCTTGCATTTTTGGCTAGGTCAGGGATGCTCTATTGACATCAATGTTGCATTTTCTGATTGCTTTCAGATTCAACACTTTCTTTTAATCTTTGCAAAGCTGAAAACAAAGCATACATGTAAGATAAGCAATTCAATGGGCATAGAAACAAAAAGGGATGGAATAAGACTGCATGTTAATATTTGACACTAGCCCTAGCCCATCTTGGGAACATCGAGGAAAGCTGTAACCTGATTTCATTCCTGATGGGAGAAATAAGTACCTGTATCATAGGTCGAACGTAATGACTCCACCAACTCAAGTGGGACAGGATAATTTGGACAAGATTCACAACCGGCCTTTTGTAACAGCATTTTGAATTGCTTAACCTAAAATTAACACATTAATAATTCCCATATGATGAGTAATATGAAAGTATTATCTTTATATTTAACTCTAAAGCAGCTGTGTTTTATCAAGTAATCCAACAAAACTAACAACCTCATCCTTACAAATACTGTAACTTATAAAGCCTCTATAATACTAATAAGATGTCTACAAAAGAATATTAAAAGAAACAATTGAAGGAACATAAAACAAAAAAAAAGTACAAAGATCTTTTGAGAGGAAAGAAGTACCTGGTCTTTGTTCAGAAATGTGAAGCAACACCCATTTTGGCCTGCCCTTGCCGTTCGACCAGCCCGATGAATATATGTTTTGATACGGTTGGGCATATCGTAGTTGATTACATTCTTTACACCTTCGACATCCATTCCACGAGCCATTGCATCAGAGGAAATAAGAACTTGTGATAATCCTTCCCGAAATCCCTTCAATTTGTTGCTGCAAGACAATCAGCATCAACCCACATCAGAAAGAAATCAGGTAACCATGTAATTGATCGATTAACATACGTTAATTCATATGATTGACGAAACACAGCTTAAGAAACTGCAATAATTATGCATAGCTAGGACCTTCTTATGTGTCGAAGTTGACGGCTAGAGTACTCTTCAGTCTTGATGGGAAGATCATCAAATAAATTCAATAACGTGCATAGCCTGTGTGTTGACTCTACGGATTTTGTGAAAACAATACACTTCTCTCCTTGTAAACTTTTTAAAAGTGCAAGAAGATAAAGTGGTTTAAGCTTTGATTCACAAATCTGCATATAGTAAATGTAACATCATCAACATAAACTTCACAGCCAATGATATGAAGCATGTAGTAATCATACCACTTTACAGGACTTGAGCTCATCAGGGAGCTGGTAACGATTCATTCCCACTGCTAAAAGCAAAGGATGGTGCAGATCAAGGACTGCTAGCTTGCTCGGATCCTGTGTTAATGTGGCTGATAGAACCAATTTCACAAGTCTTGGGTGAGGCTTACCCAAAAATCCCCCTTCAACGCCACTGCATAAATAAGTAGTTTTCAATTGATAAATAAAAATCTTGATTTAGATTGGTATTTCATTAATTATAAAAATCAATCTACTTTCCAAACAACTCAAACAGTCTTTATATTATGTCAATGACAAGTACGGTCTCTAGATATTTGTAAGTAGATGTCATAATTCATGAATAACGCCAATACAAATCGTTTCCTTCCAAAAGCACACCCAGGGCCAAACACAGTTTTGGTGAGAGAAGACCAGGAATCAAGTAAAACTGCTATGGAGAAACACACAAACAAACAACTACTTTTAATTAAAATGTAAACAACTGCAGCATGTGGGTAAATGGAGAAACTGACCAACTCCTGATGGTTTTCAGGGAACCATATATGGGAGGAGCAATGCCATCGGCTAAGGGAAACTGACTCTGTCTGCAAGAATACGCTGACTTGAGAACATTAGGCAACCAGGAGTGATAATCATCCCTAAGTAACCTATCTGTCTCATCAACAACCTGAGATATTCCTTTATTAGTAACATGAATTTTCAAAAATTTGAAATTACATAAGCAAGGTGACCTCTCTCTTACAAGATAATGAAGATGCTCCAGCGTAAAACCCTCTGTATTATTGATATGATCCATCAGCCTTCCTGGCGTTGCAACAAGAATGTCAACTCTGCTTCGTAGCTCAGGAGGAGAATACCAATTATCAGAACAGATGCCAAAATCCAACTTAGGTTTCTTCACTAGCTTTGAGATTTCATCTGAAATAGAAGACTGACCAACTGCCAAACCCACTGACAAGCCCATTGCAGGAGCCACAGAATCAAAAACTTCCTTCACCTGGAAAAGACGATGAAAATATGAAGCACAATAAAATGAAATATAAGTCAAATTTATCCAGCATTGTTGAAGAGAAGGAAAGAATGGCATACATTGAACATCTTATTAAATAGAAATTTAATAAAAACAACCAAAATCTTTAACCTGTACTGCCAAATCACGAGTGGGCAAGACAACCAGAGCTCGAAGGGCTGTAATTCTGTATTTGGAAAGCATATGCACAATTGGCAAAGCATATGCAAGTGTCTTTCCACTGCCTGTAGGTGAGCTTATACAAAGATCTCTGTCGCAACAACCCGGCCCAATTATCTCTGTCCAGACTGACAGTTGCACAGGAAATAATGAAGTGATGCCCATATTCTGCAAAGCTGCTTGCATCCTAAAAAAATTGAATTGGTGTGAGTGATATCTAATAGCTGTTATTCATAATTTCATACAACTACATTTGTTATTTCCCCATATATTTTCACCTCAAGTACAACAGTTTGATTGATAACACCCAATTATAAATCGATAGCAACACTAGTAGTGATTATGAATTAGTATATTTTTCGCTTATTTGTTATTCAAAATCCCTCGCTTTTTTAGAGTGTCTCAACTTCCTTTTTTATGTCAAATATCGCAAACAATCACACGCACAAGACTTCAACATGAATTAGAATAGAAGCATAAACAAGAATCCTCGAGTACGCTAACAATAACCAAATAATATACATGGAATTCCGATTCCCAAGCATGGTGATATCATCATCTAGATAAGAAAACAAGTCACAAAAATAATAAAAACAACCAAACCAAAAAACGTTCCAATCAGAATACGCAGTTCAACCATCAGAAAATATGAATTATACGTATACACAAACCTGGGATCGAGGCGGGGAACACAATTGAGAGGACGTGGCTCATAATCACTAACATCCACTGGCTTTCTCATCCATGGCACTAGAAGCGAGTTTCCACTCTTGTCTTGCTCCGACGCCGCCGACTCCATTAGTCTCGACGAAGAATCCGCGCCTCTGCTCTTCTGCAGCCGATCTTTCTTGCACAGTATTCGGCGGTGCAAAGGGTTTTGAATTTTGATTGTCCGTATGGACTGAACCCATGGGCCTTTGTAGGTCCAATTTAATCAGTCCAATACATTATAGCCCGTTATTATTTTTATTTTAAAACTTTCCAAAAAATTTTGTAATTTTTTTTTACATAATTTTTTAAAAATAATTTATAAAAACGCATTCAATAAAAATAGAGACAACCAAAAAAAAATTCAAAAACACTTTCTATTCCATGTGAGTTTATGCTAATATTTCTAAAGAGATGCTCTGGTTGTGTCTTATATTTTGGAAATGAAAAAAATGTAAAATAAGTAAATATTTGATATAATAGTTTAAGAAATTAATAATTAATATAATATATTAAATCAAAATAAAAATATATTATAGTAGAGTATTTTGTGAAGGAAAAATTTAGAGTAAATATTATCATTATGATGCAATACGTCAAAAAACGCAACAAAATAATTACGCTTTTAAGCCAAACAAGAATTAGACAATAGACATTGGTGTCACATTGTTGATTGAACAGAACAATAACAATTAAAGACGTACATCATCCATCCGCATTTTTTTAATCCAATAATATTCTGTCCACGTTACGTTACGTGCTACAATCATGATTCATGAACCATAAAATAAAATAAATTTTATTAAAAAAAAATAAAAATAAAAAATGGTAGGTGTCTCAGCTACTAATGACAACATAGGATTGAATAATTTATGGGAAGACCAAATTTACTGCCACTTTAAATAAACAAAAGGCGATTTATGTTTCGCAAAACTCCAAAGTCAGGGTACATGATTGCATTCTTTATTATAATAAAAACATTAATAATTGGGTTAGCATTAAAATGAGAATAATATGCTTTTCAACTTTTAATAGGATAATAATTTTCCCAAATACAGTGTATATATATAAATATAAATAAATCAATCGTGATTGGTACTGGATGAATCATTGATTTTATTTTTAATGCATATGATAATAGAAGAGTCGTAGTTAATTTCCACCAAATATTCTGCGAATATTCTTTTTTCTCTTTCCCTGTGTTCTTTTTTCATTGGTTGCCTTTTGAAGATATGTATAAGGCTTGATTTTGATATATACATTCATTATATTCAAATGCATTCAGTAGTAAAAAACTCCAAGTTCCGTCATCCATAACAAATACTCACTACAATAAACACACGCTTTCCTGTCAGTGAAAATTTGAAAAATTGATAAAGATACAGATGCAGGCAGGGGCAGGTGTGTCGTCGAACACGAACACGGCCGTGTCGCACTTGTCAACTGTTATGTCACCATCCCCATCCCCATCTCCTAATCAATAATCACTGTTGGTATGAAATAATTAAACCAGAATAATAAATGCTATCTAATCATAAAATGTAGCATATGGTGGTAAGAAATTGCGATTTATGATTTTTATTTTCTTATTTCAGGTTTCGATTTTCCTTCCTTCGCAACTCCGTGGTTTCCCCAGACATTTCCAATTGCGATCGATGCAAAAATCTTCCCTCCGATAGGATCAATAATATACAATCTCAGATCTGCTTTCCATCTTTAATCCATACGTCTAGGCTCTAACATCGTCATTTCAATGACTATCGATGCCCGTCGCTGCAACGAGATTCCCGGCGCCGGCGGCGGAGTGAAAATCTTTGGGTAGTTTTTCCGATACGATAGTTTCTGCTCTTCTTCGCGCTTTTATTTCATTTTATTTAATTTTTTCAAGAGAAGATGAGTGTGGTGAAGTCTCAAGTATGGCAACCTTGCAAGAAGAAGAGGCTATAGGGATTAGGGTTTTAGGAATTTAGGGTTTGAGAAAAGGGGGGAATCTTCTTAAAGAGCGACGGAAGGAGCGTCAAAAAGGAAGATGGATGGGATTTGTATTGGAGCATCAAATTAGCTAAAAGCAGATCTAACAAGTATCCGAGATTGGGGATTTCTTGGCTGAATCAGTCAGATACAAGGTTTTATCCAAAAATGGTGATGTCATCGAGATCAGGCGGCAGTGGGAGCAGTGGCAGTCATGGGAGGACTCGCGTGGGAAGGTATGAACTCGGAAGGACGCTAGGGGAAGGAAGCTTTGCCAAAGTGAAATTCGCCAGAAATTTAGAGACAGAGGAGAATGTGGCCATCAAAATTCTGGACAAAGAGAAACTTCTCAAGCACAAAATGATTAGCCAGGTAATGTTCTTACCAGAATTATCTTATTTTTCGCTTCAGTTTCCGGCACAGTTATTTATCTTTATGTGTCCTGTTCTTTCGTGCCTCGTTGCAGATCAAGCGTGAAATTTCAACCATGAAATTGATTAGACATCCTAATGTAATTCGCATGTTTGAGGTTGGTGTTTGATTCTTGCAATCGATCTTCTGAATTAGCTATGATCTCGATGTGCTTCTTTTGTGTACTAACTGCAACTACAAGAGTGGATCATTTGCCGATTGCAGGTTATGGCCAGCAAGACAAGGGTATACATTGTAATGGAATTTGTCACCGGCGGCGAGCTCTTCGACAAAATTGTATGATTTGGGAGTGTTCACTTCAAAACCGATAAATAGGCGATGTAGTTTTAAAGAAATGATCACTAAATGTTTTGTGGATGCCAGGCTGCTAAAGGGAGGCTGAAAGAAGACGAAGCAAGAAAATATTTTCAGCAGCTTATCAACGCCGTCGATTATTGCCACAGCAGAGGTGTTTACCATAGGGATCTTAAGGTTACGGGCGATACGTTTTCTGATTGTCCCAATTTATCCTCCATGTTCCCTCAATTAATGTCTGTTTATTGACTTGCAGCCGGAGAATTTGCTGCTCGACGCCAATGGGGTTCTGAAAGTCTCGGATTTTGGATTGAGTGCCCTACCCCAGCAAGTTCGGGTAACTTGATGCGATTTTATCATTAATACATCCTTAAATGAGTGCCGTACTTTTGCTCTGAACCTCATTTATACTTTATTAGGATGATGGATTACTTCACACAACATGCGGGACGCCAAATTATGTTGCTCCGGAGGTATATTATCTGCTTCTAGCTAATGCTCTGGAGTCGTAGTTCTTTGAATGATTCTGCTTTCTGAGGAACAACTCCTTTATTTTTCGTCGAATTTAAAGGTGATCAACAATAAGGGCTACGACGGAGCCAAGGCAGACCTCTGGTCTTGCGGGGTCATTCTTTTTGTACTCATGGCTGGATTCTTGCCTTTCGAAGAATCAAACCTTATGGCATTGTACAAAAAGGTGACTTTTTTAAAGAAAAATCTCCACCATTATACCCACTTTGGGAAATCGATACTAACTTTGATTCACTTGATTGTAGATATTCAAGGCGGACTTCTCATGCCCACAGTGGTTCTCCACGAGCGCGAAGAAATTAATCAAAAGGATTCTGGATCCGAATCCTGCAACAGTACGCAAATTCCTATAGCCGAAAGCTGGTATTATCTCGGGGTTTTTCGATCCATCATAACTAATCCTTACTCGATTTTTGTTATCGTACGAAACAGAGGATAACAATTGCTGAGGTCCTCGAGAATGACTGGTTCAAGAAAGGCTACAAGCCACCTGTTTTTGAACAGGAAGAAGTTGATCTCGACGATGTTAATTCAATCTTTAATGAATCAACGGTTGGTAGTCTTGGTCATCTCAATTAATCTTCGAAAGTGGCTACTTATCTTGTTTATTGGCATTCAGGAATCTCCGAACCTTGTTGTGGAGAGGCGGGAAGAACGCCCCCCGGCAGTTCCTGCGACTATGAATGCCTTCGAGCTTATATCTAGATCGCGAGGACTCAATCTGAGCTCCCTATTTGAGAAGCAAATGGTAAGTCTTATCAAATAGCTAGATCTGACAGTCGAACCTCAAAATGTTACCACAGCTGATGTTTTCGGTTACTCTAGGGGCTTGTCAAGCGAGAAACGAGGTTTACATCTAAATCTCCCGTCAACGAAATTGTCTCAAAAATCGAACAAGCTGCTGCGCCGATGGGATTTGATGTGAAGAAGAACAACTACAAGATGAAACTTCACGGGGAGAAATCCGGGCGAAAGGGTAATCTCGCGATCACCACAGAGGTATACCCACCCAGAAATACCACCAAATCCTCATCGAACAGAGGGATTTCGATCTTTTTTAACGATCTATCCTTGTGTTGCAGATTTTCGAAGTGGCTCCTTCTTTGCATATGGTCGAGCTGCGCAAGGCTGCCGGAGACACCTTAGAATTTCACAAGGTATTATTACAATACATTACTTATTACATCCAACCTTCAAGATTGTCTTATCGGGTACAATCCGTCAACGATGCAGTTTTACAAGAATCTTTCGACTGGGCTGAAGGATATCGTCTGGAAAACTGACGATGAGGAGTAACAACGAGCCCGTCTCACAGAGTCTCGGTCCCTGTTTGTTTGGATGCTTCATTGTGATTATTATTATTATCGTTTTAAGTAGTAGTTTGAATCTGTGTCTTATCTATTGCCCAAATTTCGAACTAGCGGGGACAAACATTAGACACACAAACCCCTTGCTTGTATTTTAAGATCATTGTGTGGGAAATGAAACTATTTATGGACACATGTATGATCAAAACTCAAAGTTGCTCGTACGCCTGCAAAGTTGCTTTCTTTACTACAATTTCTCATCCACAGAGAACATCTTGGGATATAAATGAAGCCCAAGCATCCTGCATCACATTTGAACAGAGATCTCTCGTCATTTTTCCAGAATTCAAAAGTTGCTGTATCGACAACGAAGAAATACTGACCTGAAGAATGGAGAAAGCTCTCTCGGCGATGAATTTTTGAGCAAGTGTGGCGGCCCTTTGCTCCAGCTTGTCCGGGTGCAGGCACAGCCGCGCTTTTTGATAAGCTTTCTTCACTAGCGATATTTCGATAATATTTGTGAGAGGAACAGGTACCCATCCACTATTAGCCCATAAAATCTGAATGAAGGTATAGCAGAGCAGATTATATATACATCATCAAAGATTTGCTTGCATATTTGGCTTTAACTGCAAATAGGAAATTCTTACATGATGCAAAGAAGATAATAGGAGGCGGATGTCCCGTTCCTTCCCAGTTGACCACAGCCTTATCTTTTCATCTAGTATTTGCATTTCACTCTGCACCTGATGCATGCAAAAGAACTGAGAATTAGCTGTAGGATGACTAAAGAAAAAGATCGTTGGTGTGGGTAATGTTGAATCACTTTGTTTTACCATGCTTTCGAGTTGTGTTGTTACTTCTTCCACAGCCAATATATCGTGTTGTTGTTCATCCTGCAAAATGATGATGAATAAGGCAAATGGGAAATGGATAATTCTAGTTCTTGTCCTTCGTAGACAACTTACGGATGATCTGAAGCTATCTGTATGACCACCTTTAAAATTTTCTGCATAGAATCAATAGATTTAAAATCGTGTAAGAACTGAGCATGAATCGAACATTTTCTGTGTGAATAAAATGAACGAGCTCTAACCTTTTGAGGTGTTTTCTTTCTCACATTCTTGTACAGTTTGAAACCTCTCTTTTGCCCACGCTATTGCTTCGTCGACAGCATTTGATTCACAAGTACCTTCTCTGTTATCAGAGTTGATCTCAATAACATATGAGCTCAATGATTCATCTTCTTCCTCTAGTTCGTCTGCGTCTTGCATAGGAATCTGCTCCTCATGAATTTCGTCGTCAGTCTTTTGATCTTCATATTGGGAAACTAAAGAAACTGCAGACGGTGGTGAATTGAGCTTTGAATTTTTTGCAGACGCTCTGAAACTGCCATTCGATATTGGGTCTAGACTAATCGTCTCCGGAGATGCATTTCTTCGATAGTTGCAGGTCCTCAAGCTCTCCATGTTGTCGATTTCAGATTTGTGAATCGGTTCATTGCCTGCGTATTCGCTCCCGGTTCTCTCCCAATTCCACCTGGACTTGACATTTATTGGCCTGATCAATGGAAACGAATTTCAGTACGTGTCTCTGTCGAGCTGACAATGATTTTGCGGCGTTGGAATAGATTGGGAATGACGTGACTGATTTCCCCCAATTTGTTCTAATTTCTAACCCTAACCCTAACCCTAAATTACAGGAACAAAATTTAATTACCTGAGCTTCGGAGCGAACATGGAAATTTCATCTTCGTCGTCGATGTAAACCGCCGGCCGGAGAGGACTGAGGTCTTCCGAGCTAAGAACTGACGAAGAACTCGCCATGGATCTCGATCTCGACCTCACCGCTCTATGCTGACCTTCTTCCCATCCGAAAATATCACTGTAGAAACCGCTGAGCTCGCGTCCACGCTGATCGTGAATTCTCCTCCTCTGTTCGCCGGGGATCCTGAACTGCGGCAAGCTCCGGCCACTCTTCCTCTCAACCGTCGCTGTCTTCTGGCACGGCCGGAAAATCTCCTCGTAGAAGAAAGTTGTCGTGGACGAGGACCGCGTAGGGAAGCCGCGCGCGGAGAATTGGCGTGACAAAACCGTTCGAGGCGGCCCTCCGAAAACGTCGCTGAAGTCTTCGGGGTCCAAGCAGTCGTCTTCAGGCACGGACTTCCGGCGGTCGGAGATTGCCTCCTCGGCTGATCTCCGGGGAGGGTAGTCAGTCACGAGATGCGCCTGCATTCCGAATCTTCGTCGCCAGGACTCATCCATTTCGCCGGCGGCAGACTAAGGCCGTGTTTGGTTTGTGCTTACAGAAAAATTGAAGTCATGCATGCCTTTATACTATGTGGGTCGGGTCGCCCCTAACAAACTTACAATAAATTCTTTTATCTTTTTATTGTTGAAAATATATATTTTAGATTCCAATACTATTTATTTAATTAAATAATATTAATGAATACAGAGAGATATGTATTGAGGAAACAGAGTGTGGTGGGCAATATTATTACAGGGAGCTTATCTGGAAAGCTGCTTTTTGGTGCTTACCCCACTCTCCACTGCATTGCTGCATTATTATTATTATTATTATTATTTCAATTATTAATATTTGTATTTGTTCAAACATCTATTTTGATTATTCGCCTTTTTAATCTTTTAGCACAATTTCCCTATTAATTTGTTGCGACTATGAAATTTGGACATCATACAGAAGTACATAGCTGCAATCATTGTACACATTCAAGAAAGATATTATTACATTCAGTTTTCAAATCATGCTAAATAAAATAAAATAAAATAAAAAGCTTCTTTCGGATTGAATTTTGCATGTATTGAGAAGATATTATTATAATTGGTCACGTTCAATTTATTGGCAACAGGTCATGTCGGATTTTTGCTACTTTGTCCCGGCAGGCACTACATACCAAACTTAGGAGTTGGAAATTTAAAAATGTGCATAAATATTAATTATTATTACACGTAGATAAATAGAGGCAGAGATCACGTGCTTAGTGCATGCTTCACCGATGTGTAATTATTCATTGTTGAAGCAAATGTGTTTTTTGGATTGTTTTTTATTCCACGTGGGAGTGGGAATATATGCACGAATATGGATCTGGTATGTTAATTAATAATAATAATAATAATAATAATAATATTTTTATTATCCCCACTCAGCTGTCTTTGCTTCAAAAACAATGCTAATCATTATCCCCACTTGCGTAAAGAGTTTTATTTGCCTATCATGATCATATCAACACGCTTTTGAGTAAAAGTGAAATGCGATTTATGCTCCTTTTTCTGGGTATATTTTTCACCAATTAAATGATAGTGGGCCGGCCCAGAAAGCCGAAATGGACCACAATGTCTCAATTGGGACAAAATTCGAATTGAATGTATATTATAATTAGGTAATAAGTGAATATATTATTCAATTGCAGTCCAAATATTAGACCAAAGGTGAGGTTCTAGAAGTTGGTGTTCAACTCATTTGGTCCATAAAAGAAGGCCAGGTTGGAGAGATACGACTAATCAAAGAATGCAAATGTTGAGTCCATTATTACGATATTCAAACACTTGGACAACTCAGACACTCCTACTTTGTGAGGTGTGTTTATTTGTTCATTCTTCTTCTTCTTCATCGTATTCATAGTCATATGCACAAAAACTTAGATTAAGAAGATCATTCATTTATCATAAGAATAAGAAAGACCAACAAAAGGGATATGATGGCTTGTTATGTTCCGTTTAACAGCAGGAATTTGGATATTAGCTTCTTCGCTTTCCGGCCGACCGTCGTCGACGTCGAAGATCTCATACAAGCTTTCAAGCAGATTTCTTGCTACACTGAGAGCCTCGGCTGTGTTCATAGCTCCATTTTCAAAAGCATCCATGGCAACCTCGTATGTACTACTATTACATCATCATATTCTTTATGTACACATATTTAATTTGCCATAGATCTTGAGCTGTGCAGATTATATGGTATGGAGCATGGATGAAGAGAAGTGACGAAAACAAGCAACTCCTAATTGCTACCCTCGTAAGTAAATATGATTTTAATTAACACAACAAGTTAATTAAGACCACGTCTTATGATTCATTCTTTACAACTTTACAATTGTATTGTAAGAATACAGGCTGCTACATCCTGTGCTCATTCGACTAATTTGATCAAATCAGTATATATTATACATATATTTAGCATATATGTTTATTATATGTTAAAATTATAAATACGTTGAGATATATGTATGAAAATATTCTAATTACCAATATAATATAGGTTAATTAATGCCCAAGAATATATTATTAGTTTCATTATTAAATTAATTTATATTTGTTGATTCAACAGCTCTCCCTGTTCACAAGAGTGACAAGCATGGCGATGTTATCCGACTACGGCTTCTTCAGCGCATACGCAGGCGAATCCAAAGACGGGTCCCCGGCCGCGAAGTTCTTCACGGGCGATACGATCTGCTTCAGCTCCGCCAGAGTGTGTGGAGATTACTGCAACCAATACAACAACGATCATAACACGATATCCTACGCCGGCTTGGCCATTTTCAAAGACCGGTTCCTTAAGATGAGCGGCGCCAAGTCGGGAGTGTGCTTTCGCTGTCAAACTGAAACCAAAACCGAAACTGAAATCGAAACAGGGCCTCCCATATTGTCCCTTGTGGTGTGGCAATCACTTCAGTCGTGCTACACTTTCCTGCTAACCTCCCCCGATTGCCGGAGGCCCGCACTCGACGACCTCGCTCTCGACATCAAGTACGATGTTTTTCGAGTTGTGTATGTAAGTGGTGAGCCTGTTGATATGGTGGAGCTTCCATTGTATACTAAGAAAAGTGTGAATCAAGTCCAGCTGATTAAGAACGAAGACGAAGGAGATTGTTGATCATTTATTTTTTGGATCAAATGATATGTGTGTAAATTTGTACAATGAATGTGTGTGTTAAGTGTTTGATTGATGGAGAAACTTTCAGTAGAGTGAATTTTGTTAGGGATTATAGCTTTTTTCTGCATTGTATTGTATAATGTATATGTAAATGTTGTTTTGGGCTAAGTCAAATTAGTAGGCTGAATTTTTAAAATATATTTTGGGCCCTCGACGAAATTAATGGGCTGAGTCCACAACTACGTGTTGGGCCTTGATAAGCTGAATTTCAAATGGGTTGTAGTAAAAAAATATATTGGGCTCTTAATGGGCTTGGTTATGAAAAAATTGTTGGGCCCCCAATTTAATGAATTGGATTTTAAAGAATTAGCTTTAGCCTAATATTCTATTCGTAATTGTTGACTAACATGGGCCCACAACATTTGTATGTGTATGAATGTATATGGTCCTCTCTTTCACCCTTCATTCCTAGCAGGGATTGGAAAAAAAGGACAACTTTAGCCAAAAATTTTCAAAAGTTTGGTGGAAGGAATGACAAATTAGAAGGGCCCACTCCACCCACCCCATAAGAGAAAATAGATGGGACACTTTACTATGCCTATATCTTAATAATTTCAAAAATGGATATTAGGAATATATTCAACTACAATTAAAGACAATCACACACCTCTTTCTTCAAATAGTACTATTATATGGATATTCATTGTTTCTTTTAATTGTTGTAGCGCCATGCATAAATTATTACATGCTGTTTTAGTACACGCCCACACCGCCCTAACTAACTAATTTAATGTAACTATGAAGGATATATGTAAAAAGATCCCAATTTGCATTGATTTATTGTATAGGTGGGAAGTGGCCAATACATATATATGATATGGTCAAATAGGTATGATTATCACTATAAATTAGTAATATCAATATGATCAAAGGGGTGACTACCAAATCCCCCTCACACTCTTTACATATGAATATGATGATGTTTCACTTATGTCCAAGATTTCTTTGTGTGGTGGGCCCATTACTTTTCAGGTCAATTCAGACACAATCCAAAGCCATAAACCCAAATCAAATCAGATGATATGTGGTCAAAGAATTGAAGGTGTGGATTGGACAGACATTTGAGGACAAGTGCAAGAAAGCAAGCAAAACAAAACACTCCCATGTGAAAGTGGAAGTGATGAATTGATATAGTGCCAAAATCCTCCCTCAGTCCAACCCCACCCCCTTGAAAATAATAATAGTAATTAATTAATTTCTTTCTTCATCAATCAATTATTAATTATATATAAAGATGAAACTTTAATAGATTTTGCACTTTGCATCTTGCATCATTCTTTTAACAATGAAAATGAAGCAAATCATGGCCATTAAGATCTTCTAAGAATTCATTGGGATGATCAAGAACTGGTCACGAGGCCATGCACGTGCGATGCCAAAGACTACTAGTAGTACTCCTTTTTTTTCTTTTTTTTCACTAATGATTACTAATTATCATTGCAATTTATCTTACAACAACTACTACTACTACTACTATTATTATTATTATTATTATTATATGTTGAATTGGGTTACGTGACCATATGACCATTAATTTATTATTCACTTCATCATTGCCATCTGCCTATAATGTAATTGAACAATATTATTGATTGCATATATAAAAGCACACACATGCATGTGTTACGAGTGAGATCGAAAGCCATAGCTAGTGGCGATTAACCAACCTCGTAAATAATAATAATAACAGCATGCATAGTTGATATGGGCTTTGGATGCCTCCCTATTACAATAATTAATTAATTAATTGTATCATGATTTGGTTACATTGCCACAATCTGTTTTACAAACATCATTGATTGATGATACCTTTCGGTGTTCTATCAATTAAAACTTATTGATAACTACTATCCATATATACTATTTTTTTAAAAATAAAAAATTAAAAATAAAAAGAAATAAATTCAGCATGATCTCATCATACGGTCATTAAATATGATATGGTACGCTAAGTACATATTCCAGTTTTGTTTCAGTCAATTGGTAGCTTTTATTGTAAGAGCAGTTTGTGGAAACTGCCCTCATTTCTCTAAGAAATACTTGCAATAATTATTTACACTTGTGGAGGACCACTTTGGACCATTCAGTATTCACATACACACAAACACACACACACACACACACATATATATATATATGTATGTATATATGACCTGAAAAATAAAAATAAAAATAAAAATAAAAATGAAAATAATATTGTCATGGCGCGGGTCAATGCAGGGAAAATATGACCAACTTGATAGCCTTATTAATTACACCCAAAATATTCTAAATCAGCTATATTGATTGTATTAAATGTTTCTGCTGACCAAAATGATAAATTCAAAGCAGAAATTCCAGTGTTTGTTGCTCGCTCCCATCACTCCATTCATTGCTGCAAATAATAATAATAATAATAATAATTGAAAAGTGAATATTCTAACAATAAAAGCCAAGAACTTGGGCTTATTTTTGCATAAATATATAAAGTGTGGTGAAAAGGCATAAGAGAAGATTATGTAGGGACTGAAATGAAGAATCTGAAATATGTAGGGGTAAATTTAATTTAAGTAGGGATTGGTGGGTCAACAAATGGGTAAAAGATGAGCAAACTTTTTCCCCTCACCAACTCAGCTCAGCTCATCTCATCTCATCTCATATGCTGCAGAGAGAGAGAGGCAGTCGTCCTTCTTCTTTAGGGATTCAGATTTGCAGAGGCTGGGGCAGTGATGTGTCGTCCTTGAAGAGATTTTTGGCTGCTTCTCAGCTCTCTGTGGACTTTCTGGTCAAGATTGCGTATGCGTGTGAGATTGACAAGTAGGGGGGGCGCAGAACAGAACAGAACGGAAAAGTAGATAGGATCTTATGGAGTACGAGAGGATACACAAGGTTCAGGTTCGTTGTTGTCTTTTTAAGTGTCTCTTAGCTACAGTTGTTTTACGTGCATCATTTTTTCCTGCATTTGTCTTTTCCTTGATTTTCGGAGACTCGTCGTTTTGATTTGCTTGATTTGCTAATGATTGCTCCGATAGGTCGGTCTATTCTTTTGATTTTGATTCTTGTGGAACGTAATGCTCTCTTTCTCTGATTTGAGTGTGACGAATCGGCGCATTGGTTGTTTCTTTGCTGATTTTAGTGTTTTCGATGATAATGTGATATTTGGATTTGGTAATAATTGCTCAGATTGTTTCGTTATCCGGACCTAAACTTCTGAAGTTTTCTTCCGAGCGGTGCTAGGGTTCTTCGACTTGGGGATTGTTTTAGCATCGGGTTATTAATTAATATATAATTAATGCAGACTGGAGTGATATCTCCGAGCAAGCTGAGGATGAAGCTAATCGGGGCACACAATCAGAAAAAGAAGGATGGATCAAACAGCAATTCGTCTAGAACGTCTCCTTCTAGGATGGAAGATTCCGAGTTTGTGAAGAACAGCTTGCTGGCATCCTCGAATGGAGATTTTGTCGATGAAGGTTAGGTGATTTCTGAATCTTCAGTTAAATCCCTAGAGTAGTTGATGGTAGTTGTAATTATTACCCACCAACTGCTCAATCTGTCATTAATATCCAGCACCAGATTATTTATGTTCTTTAAAAAGTGCAAAACTCAGTGCTGATTCAGGCATTTTACATCCTCTGATCTTTCAGCTGCCACAAGTTTGGAAATTCATCCAATCCAGCCTGATTCTGGCTATATAGATTCAACCCAAACCGATGCAAATTTGCTCCAGTCGAAGGAACTCGGAGGTAGGGAAAATGGCGAAGCAGGCAATATCAGATTGCCAGTAGTTTCAAAAGGGGACTTCAGTAATTCCAGTTCCGTTCATCCTGTTAGAACATGTGAAGATGAAAATCTTGATTACGATAGTACGTCCAGCTTTGAGTTCCACAAGGGGGAGAGATCATCACTGCACCATTCAGTGTCAAAGTCCTTGTCAAGACCAATGTCGTCCAAGTGGAACGATGCAGAGAAGTGGATAATGAACAGGCAGATTGCACAGTCACATGTGTCGAAGAAGAACAATGTGCAAAATCTAGGAAATAACCGGGCATTGGCCCCGAATTCGGTGAGGGTTGCGCCTGAGTCTACAAGTTCTGAACACAAACCGTCGGTGAAGAGAGTTGATTTTTGTCAGCCTCCGTCGCTGGCTGGATCCACAAAGTTCGGAGGCTTTCCTAGCCGTGGACCAGCAGCAAATTCAGGCCAAGTAAGTGGTGGAAATTCATTGGTTGATTTGCGCCCAGAAAGTATGGATTTGGCAGAGGTAGATGGCACAGGTTTGCCTTGCACCAAGAATGTGACAGATGAAACCTCAGGTAATAAGATTTTGATCAGGCTATATAGCACATCTAATTGTTCTTGTTATAATCTATAATTGTGAGGTGGATTTTAGTTAGGGAAAGAAGAGCTTTTGTCTGATCAATCTCTTGGTAATAATGCAGGAATTCCTGCAATAAGATCAGTGTCTATGAGGGACATGGGGACAGAGATGACTCCTATTCCAAGTCAAGAGCCTTCAAGGAGTGCTACTCCTGTGAGTTCGACGACTCCAATCCGCAGCCCGACTTCCTCTATGCCGTCGACTCCTCGCAGAGGAGAGCCGGCTCCAACTCCTGCGGAACACTTCAACAACAATACAGGTGAAACTGGGAAGACAGACCTCTCCGAGCAAGAACTGAAGCTTAAAACCAGAAGGGAGATCGAGGCATTGGGCGTTCAACTTGGTAAGATGAAAATTGCTGCTTGGGCAAGCAAGGATGAGAAGGAACTGAGCATGTCAGGAAATGAAGCTGTCGAAGGAGACGAGCTTGAGTACGAAAAGCGCGCAGCAGCATGGGAAGAAGCCGAGAAGTCTAAGCACGCTGCCAGGTTCATTGATTTTGCTCTCGACAGTCTCCACACCGGCACTTATGTCGTCTAATTGATATTCCTTTTTAATCGCAGGTTTAAACGAGAAGAAATAAGAATTCAAGCATGGGAGAGTCAGCAAAGGGCTAAACTTGAAGCTGAAATGAGGAAAATAGAGGTGGTATATGCAAATCTTCTACTATCAATTTACTGGTCCTACAAATAATCGAAGCTTTCACTTAACATGGATTCGACAGGCAGAAATCGAACAAAAGAGAGTGCATGCTCAAGCCAAGATGGTGAAGAAGATCGCACTGGCAAGGCAGAAATCGGAGAAGAAACGAGCTGCAGCCGAAGCTAGAAGAAACCGGCAGGCTGAGAAAACTACGGCACAGGCAGAGTGCATTCGGCAAACGGGTCGAATCCCCCCTTCGTCTCCTTTTATTTGCTGTGGTTGGTCATAATTCTAAAGTTTTTAAGGCCAGCCATGTCCATGTATGTATGATTCTCATCATCCTTGGAAGAGGACCTCTCCAATGCAATAGTTGTGTACGCACTACTACTACTACTACTGTATTCTGATCCTGATCCTGATCCTGATCCTCTGTGTAGAGTATCTATTATCGCTTTTAAGACCGCGATTTCATAATACTTGACTTGATACTATTAAAATTGTTCAGTTGCTTTGCAAATACTAGTTCCCATCTGCAAGCTTAAAGAGGCTAGCCTATGCTATGAGGTTATACCAATAATAATAGCAAAAGTACCATATAGAAAAATCAATGAGAATGTACAAAAAATCATTCCATATAATTTCATACTGACAATAATTTGAGCTTTGGATTAGTCTGTTTTTGGTGGGCCTGTGACTTTTAGTGGCCCTATTTTCTGAACTGCTCATTGCTGGTCCACCCTTAGCCCAACTAGAAATACAAATAATGATTAGCGATGGTGGGCATACCTCACTGATTAAAAGTGTGGTTTATGACCCATGTTTTTGTCTGAATTTGCAGTACATACATAAATGCATAGTAAGTAGTAATGTGTAATAATAGATGAGGAACCAAACAAGAATAAAATAGATCCACCTGACGCTTTTCAGAATCATGTTTTGGTTACAAATGATCGACTCTTTCGTTCACTGAGAAATTCTGTATCATGTCTCCAACAAGCAAGCAGCAAAAATGATCATTTAATCAACCCTTCCTTCATTAGCCCAATAATAAACTGAACATGTTTAGAACACAATTATAAGCATAAACACATTAAAAGTCATACACAAACTGCGCATAACAAAGGGGGTAAATAGAAAAAATATGGTTCTTGATTGCAATAAAGAATCTTGGGCTTATCAAGACATATGGGCATTTTTCAATTGGTTTCTAACTGTGCATAACAGAATATGCCTATCTATTGTTTATTCATGCGCTTGGCAATGGTCAAAATTGCTAAACCAAACACTGATCATGATATATTATCCTAGTGGAATTATTTTATTCCATGAGTCAACTCTACGAAAAGTGCCCAAAATACATCCTTTGGATTTAGTGAGGACACATAAAGAAGATAACCTAATAGGCATAACCGAGATTCGTTTTCATTATAAAATGGAGATAAAAAAAATTTAATGTAAAAGGTCAAATCATGTTAATTCACAATGCATAAACTGAATACTATAGATTTGGTGTACTGTCTTACCTCAACTTGTGGTGTGGCAATTACTCTTCCTGATCATCAAAGTCCATAAGAAAGTCTGTTAAGTTCTCCGAATCATCTATAGCTTCATCCAAAGTCATGCCATTCTTTGTAGGTTTGTTCTGCAATGATGAAAAGATTTTACCAACATTCACCTCCCTGTCAAACTAATTTTACCGTAACTTTTTGTTGATAGACTTGGAATACCTTTGACTTGTTGGGTAGTGCACGATTGCTTTTAAAAGCACTCCAATTTCGTCGGATTTTCCCATCCTCTTCCTCGTCGCCATCAGCTTCACTGTCCTCTCCTTCATCCTGTAGTAAAGAGTTCATCAGGACAAGCCATAACCAACTAGCAACGACCTCTGCTCTCCCATAACAAGAGAGCAATAGTAAATACAAGAAACTTACATCATTTTCTCCGATGTCAACAGCTCGTGCCATAGCTTCATCCATATCTGTCATCTGGTGCATACAGAAGAACCAAGAAAAATATTAATACGATACCCATTGCAAATCATGACCGGTGACTATCACAATACAAATGATTGGTTTTTTAATTCCCCCTTTACCTCAAGTTCCTCATTCTTCTCTTTGGCCAGAGTTTTCTCCAACTCCTCTCTTGATATTATTTTCCCATGCTGAGAAAAACATTTGACAAGCATAATTACAAAAACTTAGAAGAAAGAAAAATGGAAATCATGCATAAGAATGATTTCATCCCAAGGGATCAAAGTAATTATTAGAAGTAGTATTGCACCCCAAGAACTAGTGCTGCCACTTGATATCTTAAGTCACCCCGAGCAGCAATCACGTAATCCCGGCTTTAAGGCATGATTTTTTTGTGCTTGCCATTGAAAGTGTATTTGTTATCTGGTCAAACTGTAATGTCTTTATTTCTCATCGTGGATAGAATGCAACTATCTAAGAGTAGGTGCCTTTTCTAATTAGCTCTTATCTATTCATCAGGCTCAAGAATTTGAAATAAATTTTGTTAATTCTGGTATAGAAAAATCAAGCAATTTGGAAAGCAAGTTTAAGTGAGTGAATGTTAGTTAAACCTATCTACAGGCTTATATTACAATTCAAAACCATTATCAATAGCCCTCATAATAGAAGGAACTTTTGCATCATGAATATAAACATATGCCAAGCATGCATTAAATTAATGGCAATATAAACAAAATAAGATGAAGTTTCAGAACAAGAATTTAGATCTAAAAAGGTCAACTTCCAAACCTCTTTAAGATAATCAAGCATGTTTGGGGTTGGTTCATGAAAATCAGGACCCCTGAAATCAATCACTTCATTTGGATCCTGGATATAGTTCACTGTTGGATAAACAGGATCTCCACCCCATACTGCAAAATTGTAAAAAATTAATAATAATCAAGCAAAAGCAAGCTTACGAATTCGACACTGCACCATGTAATAACTCCTTAAACATGGGGTGTGTACGCCATATTTTAGATATCAAACTCAAGCAAGATAAGAAAAAAATGGATAAGGAAAGCATGTACTTTGCTTTATTTCATCCTCCGGCATTCTCATTGCAAGGGGATCCCTACAAATACGGATATCCGTGCCCATCATGATACGGTATTCTCGATCAGTTTGATACGTGAACATCTCAATTAGTTGGGCGTTCTCATCTTCACCTGTCTCTTCAAAGTGCTTTTGTATTGCTTCCCGTGAAGTGTCTCTTTTCCAAGCTTTAACCCATTCCGAGTAGTATGCAATGGGTCCTATTTCCTCAAGTTTTTCTTGTTCTAACTGAAGCCTGTAAATTATTCCATAGTTAGAGACTCTAAAAAGTAAAGACAACTTTACTGTAGCAACCATCAGTAGAAAAAAAGGAAGGTGATGGCTTGCACTTTTTGTGGCTTTCTGAGAGGAAGTTCCATCAGAGACAAAGTTTTTACAGTGCGCCGGTGTGCTCCATTATTAAACATATAATGAGCATGATAATAACCATACGGATTCAAGTAATTCACACTAAATTGAAAATTTAAACTTAGCTCTTCAGACCCATACGTTGAGTTTCATATGTTCCTATTAGAATAATCGCCTTTCAGGATAAACATATCAGTCAAAGAAATAACAGCATACCTCTCGTCTTTATAAATTTGTCTCCGAGCTCTATAGAGCGCACACTCTGTCTGTGTAGGTTGGTCACCGTAAAGCTTTATCTGCCCTGTCTTCGCCATAGCATTGAGAAATACCTGAACAGAATAATGCCAAAAATGATGAAATATGCACAATATTCCTTTCAGATTATATAACAATTGGTGACCTTAGAGAGTCACAATAATTCTTGAAATTTAACAGTCATCTAGAAGAGAAAGATTAAATGAACATACTGTCTCAACATCTGGCCGTCTCCTTTGCCATCTAGACCATTGTTCTTGTGCAGGTTTTCTCCAGTTCCACCACAGTTCTTCACTCGTAAGTGGCTCGTCCATTGGTTTCTTAGTTTTTGGATCAACAAAGGGATGAGGATTTCCAATAGCTTTGTCCAATTCATAGCCCGTCAACTCTTCTTCCCCAGTTTCAGTCTGATAAACAACATACTCAGATAAGTGATCTTTAGCTTCATCAGATGATTCATCTGGAGATTCCGCTTGCACTGGATCATTCTCAACCACATTCATCTCAGAAGAACCAGACGCAGCAGCCTTAGGCTTGTACTTCCTCCTACTTCCAGGATTTTTCCCAAAAGATGGCTTTCCTGTTGACATACCAGTTGGTTCAGGAGCCCTAGCTGCCCTCACCAGATTGGATGTACCTTCTGGCCAGTACTCTTCACTTGGAATGCTTGCACGAGCACCAGAAGCCGGCTCAAGTTGTCCAGATGTGGAGTCATAATAGACATGGTATGGATAACGCTCAACCGATACCTGTTCGTAGGAGTTCTCCTTATCTTTTTTCTCGCACTTTATAACGAGAGGCAAAGGAATCCTTTTATGCAAGGTCCTGCTGCCCACTGTAAACTTCGTTATAGGCAATGGAAATTGACCTGCAAATGACACCTGAGCAAACCAAAGAACAAATGCTTAGAAACGAACTTCAACACAAAGTTCAAACATATGCATAATACCATAAAACCATCGCCGAGAAACAGTAATCGAGAAAAACCAACCTTCGTATAATTAGCGAAGAACTTATTGGGGACGACACAATCCACAGAAACCATATGTCGCAACGCTCCATCTAAATCAATAGTTACAGGAAAAGAGAAATTGAATAAACACCGTAGCAGATAAACCCAAAATAAAGCCGTCCATAGGAAAGCAATCGGAACAAGTACCTTGATAATGCCAAGTGGGTGAAACGGTAGCCATTTCCTTGAGCAAAAGGAGGAGATGAACGAACACTCCGTCAGTAGGGGTTTAGCGTTAGCAGCCCATAAAGATTTTAGGATAGGGAAGTTAATAGCTGAGAGCGCAGATGGGAATTGGGATCATTGGTTGGGGTGACGAGAATAGATTAATACGGGCTAATCTACAGTTGTTTAACGATGACGATGATGAACGAACGAACGAAAGCGCTGCGCTTTGGGCAATCAGCATTCAAGAACTCGATTCAAGATTTAATTATATATTATAATTATTATAAAATATTTGTATTCAAATTATATTTGACTCTCTACCCAAGTATTTGTATTTTTAAATAACAACAAACATTTATAGTAGTATATTTGAGGCTTGCTTTGTTTTGCGATGGAGCAGCTTTAATTGATTTGAAATCGAATCGGCAAGTTATGTAGCAGCTGATGAGGATTCATTTTGACTTGTGTTGTAATATTGTATTGCTTCATAGAGATTGAGGATCTTACTTAGATGCACAGAATCAATTACATGAAACGTCAAAGAAAGAAACAAGCAAGGCATAAAAATGTTAAACCAGCAAATGAATGTGGTGATTAACATTACCTCAAAGGTGTGTTGTGTTAATCAGACATTAGTAGCAAAACTAACCACATGAACATGGATGGTATGGTATCAAAGGGATCAGAACCCCTGCAGGTGTCTTTCAAATTTTCCACTCCTTGATGAATATTCAAGTCCATAACCACTACAACTTTCAGCTAAGACTCACTATCAAGATCTTCATCTAAGAAATGCTCAATCTTTCACTTGTACAGAGCTAAATAGCATAGCAATGTTGCTTCGAATCTTCATGATTAATTAATAAATAGAACAAAGAAATTCGCAAGAGGGACAATACAATACCATGTAAAAATTGCTGTTGACTAGAACTATAAAAAATGTACAAAATAGCTTGAAGGTGCAGCATCTTATCCATCTCTACCTCAATGCATTTTCTTTAACAAACAAATAAAAAAGCCACAGGCAACTAACAGCCAAATTCATCGGATGTAAAGTCACCCGTCTACAGGAACCTTCAAACCAAGCCAACAGAGCAGATCTGGCCTCGGGTGCAAAATGCCACTAATCTTGTTTCCACTCCAATATGAGGGATTGATTGGTGGTTCAAATGCTGTGTAATAAAACCACAAGCTTATAGTTGTACATATACCTTGTATTCAATATTTAGGATTTCTAAGTTAACTGAGGCTTATTGGGTTAAGTGTTGAAATACTTTCAGAAACATGGCATCTAGCAGAGCTAAACAATATTTTTGAAACTATGATATTCAGCGCTTCATATTCTGCATTCAAACAAAAATTTGTGTGATCATATACAACCATGTACCTAAAAAAAAGCATCTCAAAGTAATGTGCTAATGTTACATGTTCCAGCATCAAAAGTCTTGTTCCCTCTCTCATATCACTGATCAAAACATAGCATAATTAACAAACCAAGCACAAAACAATGATCCTCCAAAAAGCAGAAATATCCGGATAGTTGCACATAACGCACAATTATCACAAGCGCAGGTAAAGTGATTGAGCAGTAGAAATTATTTTTGGTGATTTAGGCTACAAGCTTGTATATTCTGCATTCAAACATCATTTATAAAACCAGCTATATACTTAAACGAATTGCATCTCATGTAATGAGCTGATGTTAGACTTTCAGCATCCAAACGTTTGTTCAATGAACAAACCAAACCAACCAAGCATAATTTGTCCAGATATTTGAGCACATAAAGCACAGCAATCTATGCAAGGAAATTAGCATAATTATCAGAAGCACATGCAAAGAGAAAAAGCAGTTCCTTTAATTAACCGAGCAAGAAACCTGAATTAGAGTTCTAACAACAAACTGGACAGTGCCAAGTTCCAATAAAAATAAATCTTGCCCGCAGTTGTAAATGGTCAGTAAAGTACAACTAATTCACAACCAGAAGTGCCTACTCATACCCTCAGAATTTGTAGCTTGTTGGAGAAAGCTATTGCAACCCAATCAGGCTGCGAAGAGGACCACTGCAGCTGCTCAATCTCCGCCCCAGCAGTGTATGCCAGAATTGGATCCAACCCACCCTCCACCGGCTGGGACATTGATGAAAGGTCCCAAATTAAAGCTTGTGAATCATCCCCTGCTGTACAGATGTGGCAAGAACTATGGGGAGCCCACGCAATCGCATTCACACTCGCCAGATGCCTCTGCAACTCCACCACCGGCAATGTCGGAAAACGTATATCCAGAACCACTACCTTGCTACTATCCATTATTATAGTAGCCATGTATCTGGGATCCTGCTTGTTCCAACCTAGCCTCACCAATGGCGTATCTGGCTCCGAACTCTCATATATGATTGTAGAGTGCTCCTTATCTCGAAGATCAAAAACCCTAACCGAGCCATCTGCGGAAACGGAAGCAAAAACCCCAGCCCCGCCCCAGGCAATATCGTAAACCTCCTTATCGTGCGCAATCAGCTGCGTATCAACCACCTCCTTCTCAATATCCCAAATCGTACACGTAGTGTCAATGCTCGAAGTCCCAATCCTCCGCGGTTCACCTTCATTCCAGTCGAAGGAAGTCAACGGTCCCGAGAACTCGCTGTTGCGATTATTATTCAACAAACTTTTGAGCTCGACGCGCCGCCCGCCGTCGGAATCGGAAATCTGCCACAGGCGGAGGAAATCGGAGGAGGAGGCGAGCAAATCTGGGCGCTGGCAGTCTTTATCGGGGTTAAATATAAGCTTGGTCGGCGGGTAGGGATGGTCGAAGGAGAGGGCCGGGTCGGAGCGGATCTCGCCAGTAGAGTCGTCGAGCTGAACGATTTCCACGCGGTTCTGGAACTGCTCGAGGAGGCTAGCGATGGCGAGGCGGTACTTCTTGTCCTTGCGCACGCTCCAATTCATGGCGTATATGTGCCATGAGGCTTCGTATGTGTAGATCTCGGAGCGGCGCTGCTGCTCATCCGACCCGTCTTGGTTTGGATCACTACTCGCCCCCATTCTCGGTGGCTAGGGTTTCGTCTCGTCCGGCGGCTCTTCCTTCTCCGGCTCTCTAATAACGATTCGGAAGGAAGGACCACCGACTTCACTATCGTCGTATTCTTCGCTACTGAGTCTGTCTCTCTATATAATATTAATATATATATATCTGTGACTGCGAACACGACGTGGACATTTCGGGACGCGTATTTTGGAGTCATATTTTATTTGCTTCGTCACAGTCCTTCCAATTAAGGTCTCTATGATTAAAATTAATGATTTAATTAAAATTTATAAATTAAAGTATAAATTTTAAAATATAATTAAAATATATAATTATTTTTAAAATTTTGTATAAAAAAAAAATAAATAAAAATTAATACTTCATGTATTAAGGAAAGAGTAATAAAAATGGCTACAATTATTTATTTATTTATTTTTCTTAAAAAGAGGATCTTCACCGATTAGTATAGTTACATTAGCTAGATAATTAATTAATTTTAATTATAATTATATAATAGGTGTCTTCACTTGTGTTATTGGTGTTAGGGTATAAAAAATTATATTGATAACATAAAACTTATTAATTGTGTTTTTTACGAATAAAATATATATTATGTTAGTATATAAATACAAGTATATTTATATTTTTACGAATAAAATATATATTAATTGTGTTTTTTATATATTTAATTACTAACATAATATATATTTTACTCGTAAAAAATACAATTAATAAGTTTTATGTTATCAATATAAATTTTTATTTGTAAAAATATATATTTATATTTTTTAAATAATATTTATATGAAATCACACCGTTCAAAAATATTTCTAATGTGAAGTATTCCAAATAATTATCTCATTCTATTGGATACAGAGATCCAAAGATTATATACTGATGATATAAATTATATAATCATGTGAAAAAATAATTCAAATGTTTATTTTAGAAAATAGAATGATGCAAAGATATTTATTTTCATAAACTCATTGATTTTTTTATTCGGCAATAACTCGGGAATTAATTCCCTAGAGACAATATTTTTACTTGATTAGTATTATGTAATGTTATTAATATTTTTGACTCGGCAGTAATGTAATCGAAATAATTAAAATTATATGAAAAGGTTTTGTGTGTGTTTATTTATATTTTTATAAAGAAATAAAATTATACTCCCTCTTCCGTCTCACATACTATGTCCACATCATTTTTTCTTTTTTAAAAATAATTACACACTTTAATCTCATTTTAAATTTTTTAATTTATTTTTTAAAAATTTTTTAATTAAATTAATTAGTTATCTTAATTTTAATTTATAATTATTTATATTATAAAATAATTACAGAGGAAGTATTTAGCAAAGTAGTATATTTTTATTAATCCGTATATATATTAGGACAATTCGTGCTAGATTTTTCTGAAATTATAATTTTTCAAAAGTAATATTTTATAATTTTTATATAATTCTATGTCATATATAAAAATAGATTTAAAATAATTTAAATACACATTAGTTAAATATTTAATTTAAAATAATATATTTATATTTTTAAATCTATTATATATGTATGTATTGAAGTCCACTTGTTAAGTAACATGCAAACCCACTGATGATATAAATTTGCCTAGTTGACTCACTCCGACTGGGTCTTCCCATAGACTTTCTGAAGTCTTCCCTGTGGAGTGTGCGGTCTGTAACCTGCTTTGCTTCCCCGTACTGCAAATGTTAGGGTATTATCGAGCCATGAACACATCAAGACTCAAGACCGAGCATCGATCTGCTGCCAATTTTCAACCTCTTTTCTGCCGAGTTTGATTTGGAAGTGGCTATGCTTAGTTTGTCTTTTGAGCAGGTGAAGAGAGTTAGGAGCATCTGGATTATCGATGAAGAAGTTGAATGGATAAAAAAAAGGAATGTCCATCTACAAATCAATCCATTTGTTACGAATGATCTTTGTTTAGTGTAATGATTGTTTGTTAATATCGTGCATTTTAGGTCAATTAAGACGAATGTGCTATAGTTATGTTAGGGATGCTCATAGTGAATTGATATGCATCGTAGTGATTTGATGACGGTCCTGTCTCGAATTTGGAATCTGTAGGCCGTAGGCATTGCACGTGTTTGGTAGTTGGATGATTGCTGTGATTGTTAGATATGACTTAAGTGAGATTTGGCCTCTGCAGAGGGTTTTTGCTTGGTAATTGGATTTGCAGGGATGAAGAGGTTTAAAGGAGAGCCTCCTGTGAGGTTCAAATTATTATACCTTTTATTTGGTGCAGCTGTGTTTTATATGATTCTTATTTTCTTCAAGTTTCCTGAATATTTGGCAAGTGCATCTGTTTTAAGTGATGGAGGTAGTAATGGTGAAATAGATGGATTCTTAGTTGGGGATGTGGAGGATTCACGAAAGAGGAAATCACATATCAGTTCTGATGGATTCCAGAGAATATTACAGAACAATGATATTCAAGATGCTTTTGTAAAGCCCCCACTAGAAGCTTTGAAAGAGAGGATTAGTCATAGGCTTCTGCCGGTAAAACTGCCCCCGAGAAACTATGGTCAAATAACAACTGGTAACTTACTGAGGCTGATGAATAAAACTCGTAGCTCAGCTGTGCTGGAACGAATGGCAGATGAGGCTTGGGCTTTGGGGTTGAAGGCTTGGGAGGAAGTTGCTGAATATGATGAAAAGGAGATAGATACGAGGGCTATACTTGAAGGGAAGCCCGAGTCATGTCCGTCATGGTTTTCGATGAATGGAGATGAATTAGTCCAGAGAGATTCTATTTTGTTCCTTCCGTGTGGACTTGCTGTGGGCTCTTCCATTACGGTGGTGGGAACTCCACGCATTGCTCACCATGAAAATGTACAGCAGCTAGCAAGATTGAGGCCTGATTCCGCACTGGTTTTGGTGTCGCAATTTATAGTTGAATTGCAAGGATTGAAGGCTGTGAATGGCGAGGATCCGCCGAAAATTTTACATTTGAATCCCCGACTAAGAGGCGACTGGAGTCATCTACAAGTTATTGAGCACAATACTTGTTATAGGATGCAGTGGGGAAAGGCTCAGAGGTGCAATGGCAGACCTTCCAAAAGTGATGACAATGACGATGACGGCGACGATGATGATGATATGCTAGGTAACATCCTTTTGGCATCTTTGACTGCTCAAATTCATTATGGTTCAGAAATCAAATTAGATATGATATGACTTGCATTAACTATATGTAATTAAGTCATTTGTGTATGCGGTTGTTGATTGGTGATGAGTTGCATGTCAATAAATCATTTTACATTTAACTTGATAGGAACATTAGAAATCTTACTAATTTGTGAGGATCATATTGGATGCCTTATAATGTCCGTGTATGTGTGTGTGGTATCCTGATTGATGATATGAAGGATCTGATATTTTCTATCCCGACAGTTGACGGTTACATGCGGTGTGAGAAATGGATGCGTGCTGATATCTTAGATTCAAAAGACTCCAAGAGGTTTTCATGGTTTGAGCGATTCATAGGACGTGCCGAAAAGCCAGAAGTAACCTGGCCATTTCCCTTTCAGGAAGGGCGGATGTTTGTTATGACAATACTTGCTGGAGTCAATGGATTTCATGTAATTGTTGGTGGTCGTCATGTGACATCATTTCCATATCGAACGGTGCGTTACATTACCCTACTTTATATTTCCATCTATTATTGAGGTTATGTTATCTGGTGAAGCATGGATGCAAAAATATTACTATATGCAAATGGAAATTTGAACAAAATTCAGGCCTTCTACTATTCCAGATTACATACTTTATTCAGGCCTGGTTTTTTCTGTTTTTGATTCCACAAGTGAATTTTAGAACTAAATTTCCTTTACCTGTTGATTCTATGTTGTTTCAAATGTCTTTTGATGAGTTTTAGCTAGTGAAAATGGTGTTAATATTATTTAGGGATTTACGCTCGAAGATGCAACAGGGCTAGTAATCAAAGGCGACGTTGATGTTCGTTCAGTATATGCTACTTCTCTCCCAGCCTCCCATCCAAGTTTCTCACCCCAGAGAGTGCTAGAATTCTCTGAGAAGTGGAAATCCTTCTCTGCACAGTTAAGTGATATTCGACTTTTTATTGGGGTTCTATCCGCCACTGATCACTTTGCAGAGCGTATGGCTATAAGAAAGACATGGATGCAATCTGAACCTGTCAAGACATCCAAAGTTGCTGTTCGCTTCTTTGTTGCACTGGTGCGCTGCCAGGCATGGCAATCGTTTCAATATTTTTTGGTTGCATGTTGCCCCTGTTTAACTCATACGAAAAGGTCTAATTCGTAGAATTCAAGGAAAGAGCTGAATGCAATTTTGAAGAAAGAGGCTGCTTATTTTGGGGACATAGAGATTTTGCCGTTTATGGATCGTTACGAGCTGGTAGTTCTTAAAACTATCGCCATTTGTGATTATGGGGTACGTCAATCAACCTTGCACATTTATCAATCGTATTAATGTTCTGTTGCAGTTCTTAAAACTATCGCCATTGTAGGCGGGGAATGTCTCGGCAGCTTACATCATGAAGTGTGATGACGATACTTTTATTAGGGTCGACAAAATTTTAGAAGATATTGAACACTTGCAACCGGGAGGATCATTGTATTTGGGCAATCTAAATCTTTGGCACCGGCCTCTTAGGAACGGGAAATGGGCAGTCTCTTATGAGGTAACCACACGTGACACATCTTCATTTAAAATAAAAAATACATTTGCGTCTACATAAGTTTGCCAGTTTGCGGAAAATTGTTAACTTTCCTGCAGGAGTGGCCTGAGGAGATTTATCCACCTTATGCTAATGGACCCGGTTACATAATATCGAACGATATTGCTTCATACATTGTGGCACACCGTGCAAAGCGTAGTCTACGGGTTTGAGCTACCGGCGCCCTTTTTACATCACCATTTTTGTTCACATTCTTATAGATCAACTCAATTCATGTCTACTTATCTCCCAAATTGCAGCTATTCAAAATGGAGGACGTGAGCATGGGACTGTGGGTCGAGATGTTCAACATCACGAAGCGCGTGAGCTATTCTCACACCTCGAAATACTGTCAATTTGGCTGCATGGAGGACTACCACACGGCGCACTACCAATCGCCCCGACAGATGATCTGCTTGTGGGACAATTTGATCAATGGCCACGCTCATTGCTGTAATATTTGAGGTAAGACATGATATATGGAACCACACTTTGATTGTTAAATGTCGTATGTTATCTTCTCTGCCAAGTTCTTAGTTTTGTCAATCTGTTGCCTGTAACTGTAAGTAAGAATGTTATATAATCTCTGGATTCAATTCGACAGATTTGTATGAAGATTGGATTTGGAGATTCTGGGGAAATTATATTTATAGCCCACCCAGGAATGGACTTAGATCTCGAAGCATTTTAGTAAGTTGTTTACATTGTTCTTGTTGATTTTGATGCTGCTGATTGATAGATGATAGATGATAGACTCTGGCACTTACAAAAAATATCTGGTGAAAGAAGTATGTATGAGATAAGGTCGACATCGGAAAGGATCATTAAAAAAAACTCCACGTGGCTGTCAGAGGTTGCCCCAAAGCCAAGCAATTTTGCAATCACTTGGAGGATGGGATATTTATCTGTCGGCAGGCAGAGTGCTGGAATGATTTTCTGTATTTACACGTTAGTATATGTATTTAAAACATTATTTTGTCGCCGTTTATCAATTCTTATTTTTTAAAATATTATATTAATTTATTCTAATTTTTATTATCTCTGAGTTGATTCAGAAGTCAAAATAGTTCCAAAACATATCAAAATTTGAATCTCTAATTGTTTGTGTATTTTATTTTTATTTTCAAATTATTACTTTACATCTGGCTTTATCGCTTTTGCCAATTTTAGCGGTCGCAGTCACATTTATCCGTACAGTGTAAACTTGCTTGCCGACAATTTTATTATTCAATATTGCTTAATGAACCAACAAAGTGGAGAGTATTATATAAAGTAAACCAGCAATTCATTCAATTTTAACGATTAAAAAAAAAAAAAAAAGCATAAAAATAATCCCACCAACTTCAATTAAATCAAAGTACACACACGCAAAATACACATCTCACCAACGCAATAATCATCAAACTGAAGTGCTCATGATCAGTTGCAAATCTCAACACAACAAACTCAATCCATCATGATCCATGTCACATTAATTAAATTTGCCGACATCATAACACGCATACAGCTCACCTTACTGCTGTCGATTCATTACACATTTAGAGGGACCACGAAAACGTTAGCAGTTATATATATAGCTTCACATTATTTATTAAATATTAATTGAACGTATAGATCGAATTTGCTCATTCCGGTCCGGTTCACATGCCCGCATCAAAAGGCGACACGAAAGCAAGCGCAAGAGGACAAAAGCTCCTTATCCATTGTCACAGTCTGTGTGTTTAAATCTCGTTCAGATCAACAGGACAAATATCCAATTTTTTTATGTTCAAGAAGAAGGGTAGAAGGGTGTGTGTGTGTGTGTGTGTGTGTATGAATGGATGATGAATCTCCCTGTGAATTCCACGTACCAAAGATATTTTTTTGATCCCAACTGTATCTCCATCTCCTGTCCCTTTCAGCTCCCTGTAACGGTCACTTCTCCACCCTCCCGTGTCTAATCGCCCCCTCAAACGGCTACTCTGTTGTTGTTGTTTGTTTGTTTTCTTCTTCCTTCCTCGTCATTCCATACGCTGAAATCTGAAATTTATCGGCATCGGCGGCGGCTATGGATTTCAGCTCGTTCGTGACGTCGTTGGCGACGTCGTTTGTGATTTTCCTCATCTTGATGCTGCTGTTCACGTGGCTGTCTCGCCGACCGGGGAACAACGTTGTTTACTACCCGAATCGGATCCTACGAAAATTGGATCCGCACGAAGGATCTCACTCGAGCCGGAGCCCTTTCGCTTGGATCCGTGAAGCCCTAGCTTCCACTGAGGCTGACGTCATCAGAGCCTCCGGCGTCGATTCTGCTGTCTACTTTGTCTTCCTCACCACTGGTAATTATATTAATTAGATACTATAATAACCTAATCTTTAATTTCTCCGATCCATGTTCTCTGAATCTGATGCCTAGTCTTGCCATAAATTCTTCGAACGAATAAATTGAAATTCCATGTTCAATTATGAAACCTTTCTGTTTTCGAATTTATCGTCCAGTTTTGGGGATTTTTGTCCTGTCTGGTCTTGTTCTTCTCCCTGTCCTGCTGCCCGTGGCAGCGACTGCTCATGGATCTCTACAGGCCAACGCTACCAGTAAAGATAGCTTCAATGACCTCGACAGACTATCCATGGCGCATATCGAAGTCAGTACTACAATCCTTTTCGATTTCTGAATATATAATCCATGCTATATATGATGGTCTGAAATTGATGTTCATTCATGTTCTTACATTTCGGCAGCAAAAAAGCAACCGATTGTGGGCATTTCTTGCAGCTGTCTATTGGGTTTCTATCATTACATGCTACCTCTTATGGAAGGCTTACAACCATGTCTCCCACCTGAGGGCGGCGGCTCTGATGTCGCCCGAGGTGAAAGACGAGCAATTTGCCGTGGTTGTTCGCGACATTCCTTCCACAACCGATGCCCGGTCGAGGAAGGAGCAAGTCGACTCCTACTTCAAGGCCATCTATCCCGACACATTTTATCGATCAATGGTTGTCACTAACAACAAGGAGGCTAATAAAATCCATCAAGAATTGGAAGGCTTCAAGAAGAAGCTTGCGCACGCCGAAGCCGTATATTCAGAGTCCAGAACAACTTCGAATCCTGAAGGAGTAAAGCCGACGACTAAAACTGGCTTTCTCGGCCTCATTGGAAAAAAGGTCGACGCTTTAGATTACTACGACGAGAAGATAAAAGAGTTGACAGTGAAGTTAGAATCAGAGCAGGCACGAACTCTGAAAGACAAGCAGCAATCTGCGGCCGTCATCTTTTTTAACAACAGGGTGACTGCTGCAGCCGCGTCGCAAAGTCTGCACGATGCAATCGTAGATAAGTGGACAGTTATGGCAGCTCCCGAAAGCCGGGAAATATTGTGGAGCAATCTTGCGATGAATTACTATGCGAGGCTGGTTCGCCGATACGCCATCTATTTCTTGGTGTTCTTGACGATCTTCTTTTACATGATCCCGATCGCCTTCATCTCTGCAGTGACAACTCTGCGCAACTTGATCAAATACCTCCCGTTCTTGAAGCCCGTGGTGAAAGTAGCTGCGATCAAGACGATTCTTGAGGCGTACTTGCCGCAGCTTGCGCTGATAATCTTTCTGGCATTGTTGCCCAAGTTCCTGCTGTTCTTATCGAAGGCCGAGGGCATTGTTTCGGAGAGTCACGCGCAGAGAGCTGCCTCCGGGAAGTACTTCTATTTTAACGTCTTGAATGTGTTCATTGGCATCACGTTGGGGTCAGCGCTGTTCGATTCGTTCAAGGAGATTTTGAACGATCCGAAGTCTATACCCGAGCTGTTGGGAAGAAGCCTCCCGAGAAGTGCGACGTTCTTCTTGACTTTCGTCGCGCTGAAGTACGTCTGTTTTCGTTTATTAACGATTGTTGTTTAGTTTCGGTTTCTAATGCATTGTGTTTTCGCGCGACTTCAGGTTCTTCGTTAGCTACGGGCTCGAGCTATCGCGAATAGTTCCTCTAATCATATTTCACCTGAAGAAGAAGTACCTCTGCAAAACCGTAGCTGAGGAGATCGAAGCTTGGGCTCCGGGAGACCTTGGATATGCGACGAGAATCCCGGCAGACATGCTGATTGTCATGATAGTCTTTTGTTATTCTGTCATAGCTCCATTGATTATCCCTTTCGGCGTCGTATACTTTGGTTTGGGATGGCTCGTTCTCCGGAATCAGGTGCGATGATCGTTCTTGTTGAATTGTTGATCGTTGTTGTTGAATTGTTGCGATGATCGGCTGATCCCGTTGTGTTTCGACGTCATCAGGTCCTCAAAGTGTATGTGCCGTCCTACGAGACTTATGGGAGGATGTGGCCGCACATTTTCGTGCGGGTGATGGCATCGTTGGTGGTGTTTCAGCTCACAATGCTGGGCTACTTTGGAACCAAGGAGTTCTCCTACACGCCGATTCTGATCCCTCTCCCGATCCTGTCGGTGATCTTTGCGGTTTTCTGCACGAACAAGTTCTACCGATTCTTCAAGTTCACTGCGCTGGATGTCGCCTGCCGGGAGCTGAAGGAAGCCCCCGCCATGGATGGGGTGTTCAGGTCGTTCATCCCTCCGTGTTTGGTGTCGGACAAGACGACGGCGGCGGCGGTGGCCGATGAAGAGCAGTTTGATGATGCATTGTCGCAGGTGTCGAGGGCGGGCTCCTTTGTTGTCTGATGATGATTTATGGAATTAAGTTTAGGAAATGTGATCTGATCTGTTAATGTACATTGTTGTCAGAAGAAGCAACCATTTTGTTGTTGTTGTTGTCCTGTTTTGTGCATACGATGAAGATGATGATGCAGTTGTTTTGGTTTATGGCTGTCTGTGGATTTTGAATTCTTTGTTTGGGCAAATTTGGGGATCTGATCTTCTTCTGGTGTTTGTAATTCTATTCATCATCGTCACTATTATGTTTGTTTTGTTTGTATGTTTGTTTATTCAGTTCAGTGATAGAAATTTGCTGTGCATTTTTGGCCTTTGTTCTGTTCTATTGTTTTGTAAGAAAATAATAATAATAATAATAATAATAATAATAATAATAGGGAAAGTATAAATTAAATGACAAGTAAATACATTCTATATTTTTATTTTTATTTTTATTTTTTGTCATTTTCCTTTTTACTCTTTTGGAAGGCTGAAATTAATACAAAATATTATATGCGTTTGTTTTTTGACGAAGTTGATAGATAATAATATTAAAATAGTAGCAGGAGCCTTAATTCCATCGTTACAATGAAAGTGTGTAAAGAATCATTATTTCCAATTACTACCAACCAAGAAAGACTGAGTTGACAATGATCTTGTCACCTCACTTTGACCCTAATTGTACCTAGTAATGTGTCTTGGGATTTGACAAATTGTAATTTCAAATCTCAAATGAATGTGTATGTATATGTATGACTTTGTCACTCACTCATCCCCACATGTATTTGATGTGAGGAAGAAGAAGATTGATTGTGAATTAATGTAAATGGATTAGTTGCAATATTTAATGACAAAACAAATCCCACTACATCAATTGCAAGAAAAATAGTTATATAGTCCCAACAACCCATTGCTAGGTTGTGAAATTCTTTCATTTTTTTTATTAATTAAACAAATAAATTGGACATCTTGAATTACTATATACACATTGAAAGACTCGTGTTACTTTTGTAGGAAAGACTTCAAAATTAAAGTAAAGTTGTATTTTTATATATTTTGAAATTTTGATTGACGATTTGCGAATAACATAATAAAATAAGAATAATTTTTTAATATAGTTTAAATAAATATTGAATGTGATACTATAAATAGAGAATAAAATCTTAATATATTATTTTATGTGAAAAGCATATTCTCTAATGCGAAACAACTTTGAGAACATAACTAAATATAGTCTAAAATTGGCACTTTGGACTTTAGATTGGCTGTTGTGAATGGGTCAAAAATCTTGACCGATCCAAATTTCGGATCAATGGTACCAACTACTAGTCTTTTATTTGCAAATTTTGCATGTTAAAGAAGAAAACATTATGTTTATACTTGTATTTATTTTGTAATATGATACTATATTTTATTTTTAAATGTTATGTGACTATCATATGTATATGTAGTTTTTTTTTTTTTTTTTTTTCTTTTCTTTAAAATTTTCAATATAGAACTTAAGGTTTGCACCACAATATGTAAATAAATAAATCAATGATACATATTTCCAACGCCTTAAGTTTTTAAGTGAGATAATTATCCAGATCATCTAACATGATATTAAAACTATAAGTCTTTCGTTGTATATCCACTTTGAGGCTAAAGTAAGAGATTAGTACCTTTACTAAAATAGAAGGTACAATTCTGAAGTTGGTGGATTTGGTTAGATGGCATGAACATATACTTTTATAATAATAAAGTATGGACAAGTTGGTGTGACTCTACGTAAAATGTCGAAACACAGCCGGGTAGTTTGACAAGTAATATACTATAAGATAATATTTAGTATGTTAGATACATAAACCAAAACATTAATCAAGACAATTAGTTCATAAATCAACAATCGAATAAATTAAAAGGCCCTTTAACAATAGTGGATTAGAGTTCTTGAAATCAATATTTTATATCATCATGGTCAATATGCAAATATATAAATGAATATTTTGAAAGTAAATTATTTATTCAGCACTTTCATATTAATTAGCACGGACAATAGTTGATCAAAAATTATATTACTCCTATTGAGCAATTACAGTTAAAATATGCATATAAAAATAGAATTTCATTTTTTTAAGCTTTAAAAATATCCAAATAACAATTTCATTTTTCGGAATAATATTTCAAAATCAATTGTGAAGATATATATATAGAGAGAGAGAGAGAAAGAAAAAACAAAGAAAGAAAAACTATTAGAGAACAAATCTTTTAAAGATTTTCTTTAGTATCATAAATATCTAACCTTCAATATATATATATATATATATGTGGATGGAATGAAGGAAATATAATTTTTTTTTTTCAGTAAAAATATATTATATTGATATATTTTTTTCATAATCATTTTTTAAAATCACTAAAGCAGCCAGGGCATATTTATTTGTATTTTTATTTTGTTTGAATATTTGAAATTTTAGAAATTTGGAAACAAAATAAATAAAATAATAAATATGATATTAAAACAAATGAGTATATATTATAAAAACATGTGAAAATATAAGGTGTTTTAATTGTGATTTTATCGTGTATTTAGAGGTAAGCACACCTATAATAAAAATGCAATTAAAAGACAATGAAGATACGCCGTCGGAGAGATTCGCACTGACACAGAGGAATGTTGCCAATTGTTTTAGTCACTCCCGGGAGCCCGACTCCCTCCGTAAGCTACAAACCCTGCGGTAAATGATTTGCGACTTGTGCTCCGGGACCTTCTCGATTCCAGCTTTTAAGAAGGGAGTAGTCTAGAATTTGGTAAAATTTAGGCTGCTCTGTATATTTTATTTATTTCTAGCCTCTCTTGGTTTGTTTAAGACATGCCTAATAGTAATAGTAAAATAATTTTTATTAGTAATTTGCAATCTCACCACCCCACCTCAATCCGTTTGGTTTAATTAATTATTGGGAGAAAAAATTGAAAGCAATGGCAAAGGCATACCAACAACCCACTCTAGTCTAGTCTGCCCTTAAAGCCCCATCTACCCATTCCATTCAATTCAATTCATACATCACATTTTACAATTACATGCACATATACATATACATACAATCATTTATGTGTGTATATATATATATATGATTTAAATCACTTGCAGTTATTGCAGTCTTGTGATTTATTTAAAACCCACCCCATCGACCATAATCTTCAGACAAACTAATCCATATATCGGTTGGTTTGCTTTGATTCTATTAAGGTAATAATATTGCAGATTTAATGGGGAGCCTACAGAACCAATTGAAAGCCGATCAGGGCTTCGCCGGCGCCACCATAAAGCCCCTCGACGCCGACGAGTTCCGCCGGCAGGGGCATTTGGTCATCGACTTCCTCGCCGATTATTACCGGAGCGTCGAAAAGTACCCTGTCCGGAGCCAAGTCCGGCCGGGATACCTTAAAGAACGCCTGCCGGATTCTGCCCCCTACGATCCTCAGCCCATCGAAGATATTCTCCGGGATGTCCAAAACGACATCGTTCCGGGGATCACTCACTGGCAGAGCCCTAATTATTACGCTTATTTTCCGTCCAGCGGGAGCATTGCCGGATTTCTAGGGGAGATGCTCAGCACCGGCTTTAATGTCGTCGGATTTAATTGGATGTCGTCGCCGGCGGCGACGGAGCTCGAGAGCATCGTAATGGATTGGCTGGGGAAGATGCTGAAGCTGCCGTCGGATTTTCTCTTCTCCGGCGGCGGCGGCGGCGTTCTTCAGGGGACTACCTGCGAGGCCATTTTGTGTACTCTCGTCGCCGCCAGGGATCGGGCGCTGAAAAAAATCGGGAGAGATGAGATCAACAAGCTGGTCGTTTACGGCTCCGATCAGACCCACTCGGCGCTGCAGAAGGCGGCGCAGATCGCCGGCATTAACCCGAGGAATTTCCGGGCCGTCGCCACCAAGAGGGCGGACGCCTTCGGGCTCCAGGCGGCGGCGCTGAGGGCGGCGATTGAGTCGGATGTGGAATCAGGGCTTACGCCGCTCTTCATCTGCGCCACCGTGGGGACGACGTCGTCCACCGCTGTGGACCCTCTGGGCCCGATTTGTGACGTGGCGGCGGAGTACGGAATTTGGGTCCACGTGGACGCGGCGTACGCGGGCAGCGTGTGCATCTGCCCGGAATATCGCCATTTTCTGGACGGCGTGGAGAAAGCCGACTCGTTCAGCTTCAACGCACACAAATGGTTCCTGACGACGCTCGATTGCTGCTGCCTGTGGGTAAAAGATCCCGGAGCCCTGGTCCAGGCCCTCTCCACGTATCCTGAATACCTCCGAAACAAGGCTTCGGAGACAAAGCAGGTCGTCGACTACAAAGACTGGCAGATAACTCTGAGCCGCCGCTTCCGGTCGCTGAAGCTTTGGCTCGTCCTCCGGAGCTACGGCGTCGCCAATCTCCGGAAGTTCCTACGCAGCCATATAAAAATGGCGAAGAATTTCGAGGGGCTAATCGGGATGGACAAGCGGTTCGAGGTGGTGGTTCCCCGGAACTTCGCCACCGTCTGCTTCCGCCTCTCGCCGGTGGAGATCTCCGGCAAGAATCAGCTCCAGACCGCCGTGCCGGCGGAGGAAGCGACGAACAATTTCAACGCGAAGCTTCTAGAAACGATCAACGAATCGGGGAAGATCTACATGACGCATGCGGTGGTCGGCGGCGTGTACATGATGCGGTTCGCCGTCGGCGCCAGCCTGACGGAGAACCGGCACGTGATCTGCGCGTGGAAGGTGGTCCAAGAACACGCCAATGCTCTCCTCTCCACTTCCTCCTCATATCAATCATAAATTATATAATTTCATATCATCAAATTAAAATTAAAATTCCATCTCAATAATCCAAAATTTCATTCGATATTATCCATGCTTTTGTTTCTTTAATTATATTAGTATAATTATTAATTTCCACGTACGTATGTATAGATAGATCGTTTCAATTTTGCAAATCAATTAAGGCTGTCCTTAATTTTGTCACATTTTTAATTACAATTTTGCAACAAATTAAAGCGGGCGAATATAATTATATTGCATTAATAACTTAATCAATCCCAGCTTCCACCATTGCTACTTCAATAATGAAGGCGGAGACTGTTAATTCATATGGATTTTTTTTTTTTTGGATAGTTTGGTATAGGTAGGAACTCCCCAGGTGTCATTCATGAATTTATTGCGGAGATTGCAGCTCAGCTCAACGGCTAAACCCAAACAATACAGAAAATATATATAAGAATAATAATATCGACTAAGGGTATTAATTAATGGTGTTGGGTTGGATGACTTTGCATCCTTATTTTTTATTTTTTTTTTAAATTTATTTTTCATTTTTAAAAATTTTTAAAAAATTGTTTTAAATTATAAAAATAAAAATTTATTTAAAATAATAGAAAAAATTGAATATTTGAAGAACAACAGTGAAAAATAATATTATGGTTGAAGTGTAACAACTGTATATTTAGAGATAAAACCTAATAAATGGAGTTGATGGTTATAGATGACCTAAATATGAGATTTTTTGGAGCTATGAACTTTTAAAAAAATTGATAGTAATAATAAAAATAAAATTTTATTTAATATTTAATGACAAAAAAAATTATATTTAATAGGATATTTAACTTAAACAAATTAAATAACATGGAAGTTCCAAAAATATCGTGTAAAAACAGTCATGCCTCATTACAATATTACATGTTAGTATAATAAAAAGATTAACTCTACATTGTAACAGCCCGCACAAGATATATTTGATTTCAACAAATATCATACGTTAATATAGTGTAATAAATATTAGGGACGAGTAGCAGCACATGTTATTTATTTGCTTATTATTATTGAAATTGAAAGACTATTAATTAGAATGTTGATTTCTGCCCTTTTAATTTTTAAAATTGTACTTTTTCTTCCCCATCCTAAAGTGATTTTGTTTTCTTATTTATTTCTCTAAATAAAATTTTAGAATTAATTCGGTTTGTAAAACCAGCCAATTTCTTATTTATATTAATTACATATCTATCTAATGGATGTTTGGAAATGGTTAACAAAAATTAAAGTATACATTCTTCTTGTAATATATTTACAATGTATTTTGTCATTTTTTCATGATTAAGTTTACTTTTATCCATATTTACAAAATCAGTGGGTTTGTTTTTGAATAGTAGGTAAATATGATGTTTCATGTCAATAAAAATGTTTTTTTATACATAATGAAAATATTTATATATATCTTGACACGATCAAATTTAGTCAAACTTAATTTGACCTAAAATTTGGGGAGCACCATTCACTTTGTCCCAAATTCAAGAAATCCCCCCAACCCATAAAAAAATTTATTTATTTATTATTCTTGGAAAATTTTGTATCAACCCCATAGTCGACTTTAGAAATAACATCCAACACGGTTACTTCACAAATCGGATGTCACATGGTTCCAACTAATTCAGGAAACTTACAAAAATGTGCAATAATATTATTTTAATATCTACAAGATATTCATATTATACATTTTGACCCCAAAATTATATATATGAAAACATCACTTGGGTCAAAATCAGCTGTTAAGGTTGAAATTCTGTCTGTATTTCACACAAGATTAATTTTCACTAGTTAATACAAAGGAGTCTACAGAGAATATTATTCAACTTCACACTTGCTTCTATTATTTGCTTCTTTACTCACAAATTTCACCCCAAAGGAGTAATAAACACAAATTGACTTTTACATTGGATTTCGGCATGTGCTGGGCACGTGATAGATAATCCAACGGTTAGTCTTGCCTTCAGTCCACTGTACGGTCTAAATTGAAAGTTAGATGCATCTGCGCAATGCGCGCTCACGTGCGCCCTCACACCAAAAATCGTGATTCGTTGTAAGGAATTTCCATAAGCGTGCAAATGCCACACAAGTCGCATTTTTTAAAATTTTTATTATTATTATTATTATTATTATTATTATTATTATTATTATATATGGGTGAATGCACAAGAGCTATATGGCTCTATTTACATATATTTTAGACTCAAATTTGGTATTCATTACAATTTATTTTATTTTTTTCTAAAATATATTACAAATCATAATTTTAAATTCTATAGAGTAGCAATACATAGATAAAATTTAAAATTATCTATTAATTACAGAATTCCAAATCAATTACATCAACATATATTAATAATATTTCATGTTACAATCCCTATCGTTAGATCACTATTACAAACCTAATTTGTTTCTGATATATTTGAAAAATAGATATTTTTAGGTATTGTAACTATGATATTAATTTTATTTAGTGATTTGTAGACATCTAGACTTATTTAGATAGTTTGTTTATTTGTATCCTCCTAAAAATAATTAAATATGTATGATTTCTTCTTATGAATTAAATATAAAATTTTAGTTTCATATTCCTAAAAAATGTTTTTGTTTTCTATTTTTTGTAAAAAAAAATATATAAATTTTGTCCCTATAAAAACTAAAAGTTAATACTTTATGTCCCAATTCAAAATACATTTTTACTTTTTTTCTTCTATCTTATTCAAAAGTATTATTTTTCTATTTTAATAAAAATAATCATACACTACAAATATATCGTCGTATATACAATTACACTACAAAAAAATAGTATATTTGTAACGGAATTTCGTTCTAAAGTTCATGTAGCTAATATAATTCCATCACTAATTCCGTCTCTAATATCATTAGTAACGAAAAAAATAGATTTAAGAACAAAAAAAATGTAGTTACAAAATTGATATTTTTTTATAGTGTTATGGTACATTTAAATAGGATAGAGAGTAAAAAGTTAAATACACTCCCGCATTAAAATTCGTGTCGAAGAATTTGAAAGTATTTTTAAGTGACGGAAGGACTATAAATTTTTATATTTTTATTTTTAACTTTCGAAAAAGTACATGGTAATAATGAATATATATATATATATATATATATAGAAATGATGTAGTTAGAATTGTATGGAGTGAATATTTTATAAGCCCAAAGGATGGCTGTAAGGCAGAAAAGGATTGAAATTTTAAGGAAGATATGGGCAGCTTTTCCAAGCTCTTTATATTACTGAACTTGGACATTCATTATATATATTTATTTATTGTACTTCCCCTCATCGATTTCACCCACCCCACCCCACCACCACCGTGGAGTATTATTATATTTCTATTTCTACAGATATAATGGCTTTTTCAGTGCAAGATTGTATGGATATGACAAGTGATTCATGGAAATTTACTGGGAAATTATATTATAGTATTATATTACATGCAGTGGGGTCCATGAAATGGATTCAGCAGGTCTTTTGGAGTTACATATGTCTGTATTTGTGGTGTTATTAATTCATCATTTGGCTCTCACTATATCATTGAATTGACACCTCTTTGAAATCTCAGACATATCGACCTATCTATCTATCTATCTTGTGATTGATTGTCTGTCTCCATTGAGTTGATTGAAGGTATACAGGCCCATCTCCTTCCTTGCCCACAATAATCAATAATGCCTGCACTGCACCACCCTGCCCCCTACCTACCCCACCCCTTAGCTATATATCTTATCATCCACTAATCTTAATCTCTATAACTACTCCTGACTTAAACATATGCTAATATATATACTATTTTCTTACAAGATTGTGCTCTAATTCGTTTGTGTTAAGGAACACAAATTAAACGTCAGCAGCGTTTTGGAATCATGGGATGGAAATAATCAGAGTAGAATTTCTTTTGAAATTTCATTGCAACTATAGTTGTATTAATTCTGCGGTGATGTGGGTGTGTGACGTGGCGTAAGAAAGATAGGCCACGTGGTTGGGCAAGTGGGGGCCCACTTGGCGCGTAGGTGAAGGGACAAGAGGATTAATGAGTGAGGTGGGACCTACGTAGCTAGAGCCTAGAGCAGGTGTTTTGTTTGTTTAGGTCTGTCTATGTCTCTCTGTCTCTGTCTCTGTCTCTCTCTCTCTCTCTCTGTCACATGGACAATTTCACTCTCCTCTCTTCTCTTGTCAATACTTGCAACAAACGATCTCCTCACTTTCTTCTTGTTTAATTGTGTACTACTATTAAAACAATAATTTTGAAAGAAAATTGTACTGTAAATTATATATAAAAGTTAGATTGAGAGCACAACTAACAAACAGCACACATCCTTGTTTGTATTACTCGCGTCTCGAGTCACTTCCTTCATTGAACAAATGCATTGATACAACCCCAAATAATAGTTGCCAATTATCATTCTTGGCATTATAAATACTTTTTGTAAATTATGATGTTTCACCTTTTACTTTTGTCTCTTTGTGAAATCTAAATAAGACACCGTGATGCCTACGTAGTTATAAGCAATATGTATGTATATGTATAGATGAGACGGGACTTTGGTGTCTAATGTTTATTTATTGTCATCAGTGGAAGGTGGCAAGTATTTTAAGAGGTCAACTTAGGAAAGAAAACCTAGTCCGAAACTGAAAGTACTAGTTATTTAATGAAATTAATTATAGATATTTAATTGATGTAAATGTAGTAGAGAAAAGATGAGGAAAGTGGGAGAGTTGACGTCAGGATATGCTGTCGTCCGGTTGTTTTAGAACATCCTCCAGCTTTTCCACATGATGCCCATTCCCATTGTCCCCTTCACATCTTCTTGCCAATAGGCAATTGCATTTGCATAGCAACCCTTATTATTATTATTGCAAAAAAATAATAATTAGTGTGTGGGAATTTTGATGATGAGCAATTATTTATCACTAGGCTAAATTAAATATAATATCCAATGAAACATAAATATATAGATATATATATTATTTTGTGTTACTGATAATTAACCGGCCGGCCACATGATTACATGAACGTAATAATAAGTAACTAATTAAGGTAAGAATCAGAACACTTTAAATGACGCCGTTGAACCTTTCCGCCGGATTCCGGCGACGGCCGGCGGCGCCACGGACCGGATTAGCGCCAAGTTCAGCCCCTTGAAAAACGGGTGGGTCTTAACATCCGCCGCCCCGCGTCTGGACCCGAGCCTCCGGGTCGGATCCTTATTGAGTAACCCGGATATGAGGTCCCGCGCGTGGGCCTCAGTGGTGGAGCAGGGCGCGTCGGCGGGGAATGCCAAAGATTTCCTCGCAATGTTACGCAGCGTAGCCTCGTTGTTAACGCCGGCAAACGGCGTCCGTCCATATATCATCTCGTAGATGAAGATCCCCAGGGCCCACCAATCAACGGCGTTTCCGTGGGACCCACCAGACGCCACCTCAGGCGCCACGTACTCGTGGGTCCCAACGAAGGAACAGGACCGGGCGGACACCGGCTCCGCCACGAACGTCCGGTTTGCGGCGACGGTTTGGACCCTCCTAGACCGGAAGAGACGGTCGGAGATGCAGGAGAATGGGGTGAGCGAGCGGAAGCCGTTGGATGATCTCGGCGAGGATGGTGCGTCATCCGGCGAACAGTCGGGGGATTCCACGGCGGGGACTGCGTCGGAGCAGAGGGAAAGGTCGAAGTCTGTGAGCATAATGTGACCGTCGGATCTAACCAGGACGTTTTCCGGCTTCAAATCTCTGTAGATTATGCCCAGCATGTGGAGATATTCTAGAGCAACCAGTACTTCAGCGGCATAAAACCTAGAAATACGTATTTGCATCGAATCAATGGCGGAAATTGCAGAACTGACAGAGAAGCGACCAGATGCAGGGGAAATTACCTTGCCGAACTGACAGAGAAGCGTTTCTGCGGCTGCTTATGGCGGAGAGTGTGCAAATCGCCGCCGGAGCAATACTCCATGACGACACAGGAAAAATGAGAAGCTACGAATTCTGCGTAAAGAGTGGGCAGAAATGGATGATCCAACATCCGCATGATCTTCCTCTCCGTCTCCGCTCTGTGAGTCTTTTTCTTAAACGCCAGCACCTCCTTGTCCACCACTTTCATGGCGTAAAACCGTCCTTCATCCGCCGTTCCTCGCAGGCGGCATAGATAAACTCGACCTATATCTCCGCTGCCGATCTGCCTCACCAAGCTAAAATCGCGGAAGCTTAGATTTTCTTTCAGGCGAATCGCCTGAAATAAGGAGTCCGATGAGCGGTGAGGCTTCAGTGCAGCCTGCTCCTCCGGAGAGCTCGTCGGAAGCTCGAACGAGAGCCGGCTGAAGCTGGTGCAATGGCTTGTCGTCGTGTCGCTACTCATCGAACTCTTGCTCGAGTACAATCCTTCTGAAATCAACTCCTCCGAATTCCTCCGGGATTCTTCTAACATTTTCCCGGCGATTTCATGCACAAATCCCTGCCTTTTTTCCGATCACAGCCAAATTAAAATGTTTCCACACAAATCAAATCCTTTTGTTGCTCCTGCCTTGTCCCCTGCAGGAGGAATCAGATACGCAGAACTATGGATATCGGATAGAATTTCTGTCGCGATAAATCGACAAACAACCTTGCGAAAAAAGACTAATCGCATCAACACAAAGTCAAAATTCCACAGCAACAAAGCCTGTGCGAACACAGAATTGGTTGAAGAGAAGAAAAATCGCTGGCCTTATCGCTGCAGCAATCAGGAACATTAACAGCGGATTAGGGCTTCCGTACGGCCCGTGAGCAAAGAGACAGTAGCTACAAATGCTAGGGAGCTACAGAACTCCGCTCTGTATGTGTGTGTATATATATTTGTATGTATGTCTACCTCTGTGTGCAGTGCAGTGTATATTCATGAATGGTTTCAGAGGAAAACGAGAGGACAGGGACAGAGATGGAAATTTGGTGGTTGTGAGGCTATTTATCATTTATGCAGCATTGTACGGAATCCTGTAAATATTTTTAGTATAATTACAGAGGTAACAGTAGTCTATATATAAATTTGTGAATTGACCTTTTGAGGTAAATTATCTTTTTTTACTTCATAAGACTAATTAATTGCCAATTTAGAATTTACAGAGGAATGTAGTTACTGCAAATTAGAAGAAATTGCAAAACAGTCCTATAACTATGGACAAATGCCGTTGAGTAACTTGAGTTCGTAATCTATGCAGCGGCGCTTTTTCTTCGCATTGGACCGAATTGCCTACATGGCATGTGCCAGGCACATGTCAACTCTTTAATCTCAACTGTACATACAAATAATTATGATACTATTAATATATTGAATAAATGTTTGTGGGTGAGTCTTACACACTAACTCAAAATAGGTTAATTTATTATAGCGGTTAAATGCATAAAAATTTACTATTGACTTAATTATACAATACAGTTACTTTTACTGTGGCACGTGCGGACACTGTTCAGCGTGCCAGCTCCTCAAATTGTGAGACGCGGCACGTGTTGAAATAACACGCAAAGTTTGAATATTGAGCGAAAACCCAGAAATGCCCCTGCCTAATTGGTCGATCACGTGGTTATTTTTGTAATTTGAGACGAGGCAGAAAAGTACCTCAAAGTAAGGGCCATTCTTTCTCTCTATAGGTCAGTAATTGCAGACGCAATTATATTTACTCACTCCCATTTATTCTTTCTATATTAAAATAACAATAAAACTATTTCCCAAGACATATATGTCACAAATATATTTCCAAATAGCAACGAGGATGCCTGTGAAGTAAATGGTCAAAAACAGAAAGAAAAAGGCATGGCTGGACCTGGAAAAAGAGTGCACTGTAAAAAAAAATGTAATGATTCAAACTGGAGAGAGAGAGAGAGAGAGTGATCAGAGCAGAAATCAATGGCATTGAGAAATGATCATATGACCCATTGTTCAACCGGATAAAGGGTCTGTAAAAAGGGTCCCAAAGAAAGTGAATTCAATTTATTTCTATAAGAAAATTATACAAAAAAAGAAATTGAAGCTCCATGGCTGGGGAGGTCCGGGGCGTACAGATCCGCACATATGACTTGATGAGTTGGCGGTGTCTTGGTGGACCTGAAGTCCCGGGATCTTCCAAGAAAAGTAACCGTAATAAAGATGCTTTTGTCTGGTTGTTTACCAAGTCAATGTGCAAAACAATGTCCTGTTTTCAATACTTCTAGAAAGAAAATGACTTTTTACTACAATTAAGTCTCGTGAATTATCATCATCCCTATGAAAAAGGCTAGGCTACGTTGCAAAAACGATGATGCATATATGATATGATATGTATGTATTATGGAATCTTCATTAGTCTAGGATGATACGAAGCCTTGACCATGTGATATTATTTATGTCACAACAAACCCCAACAACATTTTCACTTAGTCCTAATCAACAAATATTTGATATGATATCTTATAAAATAAATAATTATTTTTTAAAAAAAATAAAATAAAATTACTTCTAATGAACAAGACTAAAACATTGTGATTAAGGTTTTATCAGCTAACCTTCCATTTATATACATATAACAATTGTTATACACAAATAAAAAAAAAACATATGGTTTAATTGTTTATTTTAAGTGCTTTGATTAGGATTGCAATTAATATACAAATGCATTTAGAAAAAAGAAATAGTCAGTCAATAGTCTAGGGAAATATATCTCATAAATAAATTAATGTATAATAATTAATTGTTGGATAATGAACAACCACATATGCTGTCATTTTTATTGGAAGAAACAAAAGTATTGAGTGATAATTCAAGTCGAAGACATGGAACTGATTCAAGATATTAATTAATTGATGTGATGAAAAAAGAGTAAGTATTTATTAATTAATAAGTAGTAATAATTTAAAAATGGTGACAAGTGAGAAACATGGCAGCAATATTCTGGGTGTCTTGACAGGGTAACAAAGGGACAACATATGCTAGCTGCTGATGCTGATGCTGATGCTGTTAGTCACATATTGGACTTAATAACTTAACTGCTTCTCATATATATAAATAATTATTTAAATAAAAATATTGATCACATTCTAACAGTCACAGCTAGCCAGCTATTGACTGTGAAACGTAAATTAATACCTATTTAGTACAATCACCAAATATGGAATAGCCCCAAATTGGGGAAAAGAGGAGAATCAATTAGGGTTATTGTATTGATTCAGTTTCTTGGTAATAACAAAGAAAATTAAATTAATTTTGTTTCCAAACTATTTGGCATTGATTCCTTGTCTCTTTGTTGGCCATCACTAATAAATAACTTGCCCATTTTATTCTCAGGTTTTGGGACAACACTTTCTGCAAATGTTTCATTTTATTCATCTTCTTCTTGCCCTTCCTATATATATATGTTTGTATTTATGTGTGATTATTATTTGTTTTGGAGATATGCCAAACTCTTACCAATATCTAACAACTTCATTATATGTCTCCATTGTGATCATGAAGCATCACTTCTTTTCCAAGAAATTTGAATATACCTGCTTTATTTTTCTTTTCACTGCTATATATTTCTTCATCATTTTATTGAAAATGAATCTTATTCGATCAAATATAAAAATTAATTTGAAAAATATAAGGGTTTGTTTGGTTTTTAAAATTATAAAACCCTATTTTCATTGCGAATGCAATGCTGTTTTTAAATCACCTATCAATATTTATTCTCACAATTGCATGTTGTTAGTTTAATTAATTAACTAATCATATTTAAATTTTGATTATTTTTTAATTATCTTATATAACCTTAAATTGTGTATACTTTTTTTCCATTAAGTCTATCACATTCAAAGTAGAAAATTTGTGATGGACGATTTTTCTTTTAATTATAAATACTCTTACCTACGGGTTACTAAACCTACTTGAAAATTAGAATACACCATCGCTGTTTGATGAGAGCCAGGGTTTGGCAACGTCTTCTTAGGTTCCAGGATCCGGCAATATCTTTACAGAGTTCCAAAGTTTGACAACATCCTCCCATTTCGTTATCGACTTCTGCTAATATTTGATTTAAGAATTATTTTCTTACACATGTATGCAAAAAAATATTCAAACTTCCAAAATTGTCATCACTTGCAATATATTGACAAAAATTCGTAATTGCTATTCCTCTACAATAATATTTTTTCATTATTATCTCGAAACCACTATATTATTGTTATTATAAAATGCTTTCTGCAAAAATCGACTCTCTCCTACTCGAAGACAACTTTGTGGCATTCTTTTTCCTTTTCTTTTCTTTCAAATTGTATCGATTAAGTTCGATTTATAGGTCGTCTTCAACTAATTTGATTATTTGTTCTATTCTTTATATTTACAATTTATTATAATTTGTGAATAAAAACTATATAAAAAAAAATGTAATATTGTTCAGAGGTTTACAAATGGATCCAGTTGGCCTGTAAATTGGGCTTCAATTGGGCCCAATACAGTACTGTGGCCCGTGGACGGCTTCCCGCCAGCTACACGCGCTCTACGTTTTCTGATTTCCGAAATGACGCCGTTTTAAATCATCGACTGCATAACAAACACAAACTAACTGGCGGTTACTTGCGGTTTCAGGCATTTTGTTTCTTCTGCTCACTCTCTTTGCTCCTTCCTCTGCGATCACAGTGTAGATGCAAATGCTCCAAGATGAATTCAGAGTTCTAACCAAAAGCGAGACGAAGATGAGTGTGTGGAATTATGTGGTGACGGCTTGCAAGCCTACCAGCGTTACTCATTCCTGCGTCGGCAATTTCACCGGTCCTCAGGACCTTAATCTCATCGTTGCGTAAGTACGAGCTATTATTCTGTTTCTCTTACTCACGGAGACGGTTTGCAGTCGAGTCTGAAGGAAATGAGTTTTTTTTTTTTTGTTCCTTTCATGTCCTTTTCAGTATTATTGGTAAAAAGATCGCTGCAATTCTGTGGCGGTATCTGTGTGGCAGTCATTATTATATGATTTTCCTGTACTGAGAATGTAGAATCCTTTTTCATTGATTGCAATCCGTATACAGGAAATGCACTCGCCTAGAGATACATTTAGTCACGCCTCAAGGTTTACAGGTACAAGTGTCAGAGTCACGTTAGGAGTTTATGATGAGAATTGTTTAGTTGAGCTGTTCTAATACATTATTTGGATTTTCGCAGTCTCTGTTGGATGTGCCTATCTATGGCAGAATTGCCATGCTTGAGCTTTTTCGCTTTCATGTCTGTATCCCAATTGAATATAAACCACGGTTTATTGGTGCTGTCTATTATTTCGTTCCCATGTATTTCACATATGTACAGACAAGGCAGTAACGTTTAACTCACGAACAGGGGGGCGTCCAAGATCTTCTTTTCATCGCAATGGAAAAATATAAGTTCTGTATTTTGGAGTGGGATGCTGGTACTGGTGAACTCATGACAAGGTGTGAGATCCTGCTGCTAATGATGTGCTTCATTAATAAACTAAGGATTAGCCTTGAGAGGTTCAGGGTTATCCAAATTCATCATGTCTTTTTAACCTGATTTCTGCTGTTTTATGCCACTTCATTCTGTGGATGTTTTCTGCTTGCAAATAGTCAAAAAGTTGTTTGTGTCCATGAAAACGAATTTGACCTGGAATAATTTGTCAAGGCAAATTCCATTTTGGCATTTTCCATGAGTTTTCTATATTTTGTATGTTGTGCATGTTTTTGGTTGATACTAAAAGGTATGCATTTCTTTCTTTCTTTCTTTTTATTGCTTACAAACAGAGAGATAGGAGATGTTTCAGATAAAGTAGGCCGCCCTACAGACAACGGACAGGTCATTTGTAATACCCTTTACATTTTGTTGGTGAGTTTTTGGTCTCAAGATATCCAATTAAGAGATATAATAATCTCCTGGCTGTTTGTATTGTTCTTTGTAGATTGGCATAATTGATCCTGATTGTAGATTGATTGGACTTCATCTACATGATGGGTTGTTCAAGGTATCGGTGTTTCTGCTCTTTTAATATCAGGAATTTATCTTGGAGTGTTATGAATGAGTTCCTCCATCACTTTCTGCAGTAAATCTAACATTTCTGTATTTTAAGGTTCTTCCATTCAACAATAGAGGTCAACTTGAAGCACAATTTAATCTTAGGTGAGTGCTTTCCATTTGAAAACTCAGCTACTATGTCATACTGAAAGTAAAGTAGTGCTGTATTATTCCTTGTCGCCATAGCACCATCAAGGCGATGTCACATCAACTTGTTTAATGAGGCGAGGTGACGAGTCAGCCTGACAGTAGTCGAACCTGGTTCACTACGGTGCTTCCCAGAAAGCACCGGGACACCATGGCGACGCCTTTGACAACACTTTAGTTTTCGTGATCCCTTCATTTATCCCCTGAATGCAATATATTGGTAGATTATGTGGTGTTCTTGCTCACTAAGTTTGGGTTTCACTGTTTGCTGTGGAAGCTGGATATTGTGGCTTGTTGCTTCTTCTTATGGTTTTCAATGTCTGTATACGTTACCATGTTGGGGACTTCTTTTCTGTTCTATGAGCAGTAACTTACAAACCCCTATTACAAATTAATCAGAATATAATTCTCAAACTTGTATGTCACACTCTATAAATTTCATGTGTTAAAAAGTCAGTTTGCCGCTACATCTAGTTTTCTACCTGGCATAGAGTTTATGGAGCAAGTATTATCTGTAATTATGCCTCTAAACAGTTTACGGAGCAAGTGTTTTCTTTAAAAATATCATCATATGTTAATTATCTTCTCATTCTAACGGGCTAGATTCTGAATGCTTCCATCCCCCCGCCCCCTACCTATTTCTGTTCTTTGCTTCGTCAGGCTGCGAGAGCAGCTAGTATTGGACATCAAGTTTCTGTATGGATGTCAAAGGCCAACCATTATCGTACTTTACCAGGTTTTAACTTACTTTCTCACTCATAGTAGGAATGTTAAGTATGTCAACTAGCTTCTTGCTGTTCCTTGAGGATTTAAAGTTTTCTGTTATCAATGGAACCAACGCTGGTTATTGATCTATTTTACACCGAAATCATGCCATTGGCGTTTCATGTCTGAATAACTAAATCCCAAGATTGACTGGCTGTATGATATGCTTCATTTGTGGGTGTTTAACAGGGTCTAGTATGTTGTATACCCAAGAGCAAAACGCATTCCGTGCTCTTGGACCAAGTGACATTTTCTTAATATTAATGTCTTTGATGATAATTGTCACTTAGGTTTATATGTAGCAAACCTTTTTGTACTTTGATCATTTGTACCCTTTGTTAGTTCCATATTTTCACATAAATTGTTGTGGTTTGCAGGATAGCAGGGATGCTCGTCACGTCAAAACATATGAGGTTATTATAACTGATGCAGCACTCGTTGAGGGTCCATGGTATCAGACAAATCTTGATAATGGGGCAGCTTTGTTAATCCCAGTGCCACCTCCATTTTGTGGTGTCCTAATTATTGGTGAAGAAACAGTTATGTATCGCAGTGCCTCTACTGTCAAAGAAAAAGCAGTAAAAACTGTAGGTATCATACTAGCATAATACCATGTTTGTTCATTTTGATCTCTACCCTGATCCTTATATACATTGAATCTCTGCAGTACGTAACAAGAGCTTATGGAAGATTTGATGAGGGTGGTTCACGTTATTTACTAGGCGATCAGAATGGACTTTTGCGTGTACTTGATATCATCCATGAAGACGAGAAGTAAGTTTGTATCTTCATTCTACTTGGGCAGTAAGTTCCATTTTGTCTTTCACACTACCACAGTATACATTACCCTGTAAAAAGTCTGAATGATTTTCCTTTCTCTTAGAGTAACTGGAATCGAAATTGTGGTCTTGGGGAAAACTTCTATTGCATCATCAATCTCATATCTTGGCAATGATACTGTTTTTGTTGGCTCAAATCTTGGAGATTCACAGGTTTGTAAAATTGTCATTATTTATCATATCACCTTTTATCAATCATTTAATAAATATTCCTATAATACTCCATTTTACTTTTTACATACCAGTTTTACATTTAAATATCATTATTTCTTAGTGGGATAAGCATCAAGGATGGAGGGAGTACTTAAGAAGCTAATGTTCTAGAGTTTTTTCAATGTTTTCTAAATTCTAAAGATACATAAATTTTTCAATCTTTTGACAGATCATTGAGTTTTGAATTTCATTTGTGCCACTTCATTTCCGTTATCTTGTCAACTCACCAAGGAGAGTAGAAAATTAGAGTTGTGTTGGCTTCTACTATTCATTGGAGTTCATCTAGTTTATATGAGTAATTTTGTCTAAACAAACTTCATAGATTTTTTTTTTTTATTTTTTACTTGAATAATCTAGTAGCTGTAATATTGTATATTTTATGCATCTCTCTTATTCACTAATTCCTTGGTTATTTTTCATGTATAATTCCAGCTCATAAAACTTGGTAGTCAACCAGAGGCAACATGTTCTTGCATTAAACTACTGGAAAGTTATGTCAATTTGGCACCTATTGTTGATTTTTGTGTGGTTGACTTGGAGAAGCAAGGCCTAGGTCAGGTTATAACATGCTCTGGAGGCTATAAAGATGGATCTCTATGCATTGTACGCAGTGGAATTGGAATAAATGAACAGGTCTAATATTGAAAGTTTCATGTATCCCAAATTTTTATTCTCAGTTTTCTAAGCTTCTGAAATAATTCATCCATAGGCATCCATTGAACTTCAAGGTATCAAAGGGATTTGGTCATTACGATCAGCTACTGATGATCCATATGACACTTTCTTGGTTGTTAGCTTCATTAATGAAACACGTGTTTTGGCAATGAACATCGATGATGAATTGGAGGAAAGTGAGATAGAAGGTTTTAAGTCAGACGTACAGACCTTATATTGCCATGATGCTGTCTATGATCAACTTGTGCAGGTATGCTGGTTCAAGGCGGCCATCCTTTCATGAGCCTTCTAACAAGTTGATAGCTTGACTTTTATGAGATGTTATGTGTGTGATCAGCATCATTTGCATGCATTCTTTTATGTGAGAATACCATCTTATAGGTCGAAGTAGAAGGAATTAACTGATAACTAACATTAATCGATACATACGAACCATATATATTCAAGAGCATGGAATTTCATGAATTTATTTTTTTTCTAATATACTAAATCTTATAACTACAGTTTGTATTTTTATATTGTTTTGGATGCATTAATGCATAGATAAATAATTTCAACTTGTTTGTTCCTTTTGCTGATATGGTAATATTTTGATTAGTTGGCCGATAGTATTGGTCTCCTTTTTCCATGTGTTAGCTTGTATTAGTCTGTTCACTATTGACGGTGTTTTCTGTAGCCAAATTTTCACTTGAGCGTGAAACATGCAGGTTACATCAAATGGAGTTAGACTTGTGAGTTCTATCACCAAACAGCTCCGTACTGAGTGGTCACCTCCTGCAGGGTATTCGGTTAATGTTGCCACAGCCAATAGGACTCAGGTATATTTCCAACATTTCTGATCAAATAGGAAAGGAGCCACTAATGAAAGTTCAAACAAAGTAATTATAATGGTTTTGTCATGGATTTGTTGATATTATTATGATATTAGGATTAGTACAGCAATTTGATAGTAGTTAGCAGGTATATGTCCTGCTTCCTATGTAGTTTCCTTCTTTCTTCTGAGTGTAGGATGCCCATGACAGGTTTTGTTGGCTACTGGCGGTGGTTATTTGGTGTATCTGGAAATTGGTGATAGTATTTTAACAGAAGCCAAACGTGCCCAGTTAGACTATGATATCGCATGCCTGGACATCAATCCAATTGGTGATGATCCAAATAATAGTCAACTAGCAGCCGTAGGATTGTGGACTGATAATAGCGTTCGGATATTTTCACTTCCTGACTTAACTCTTGCTCGGAAGGAGCTTTTGGGAGGGGATATAATTCCTCGTTCTGTACTTTTATGTACTTTTGAAGGAGTAAGTTTCACATATTATGGTGCATTGGTTATCTCTATTTTTTCAACTTTTTTTGTTTTTGGATTAGAAAATCTAGTTGAAAATGTAGAAAAGTCAATACTACACTATATACCCAGTTCTTTTTGTGTTCTAATATCTATAAATTTTTAAAGTAAAATAGTTATTATATATAATAGTTTGTATGTAAATATTTATACCTTTATTGAAAATCTAGAGATAATAGAGTAATGAATTTGGATCCATTAACAATTCTAGGTTGTTTTTATAATGTTGGTTCTGTTTTTGTTTCAAACAATATTTCAGATATCCTACTTGCTATGTGCCCTTGGAGATGGGCATCTCCTCAATTTTGAATTGAATACACGTAACGGAAAGCTGACAAACAGAAAGAAAGTTCCATTGGGAATACAGCCAAGTACACTTGGTATTTTTTCATTAGAGAATGCCACACATGTCTTTACTGCTTCAGATAGACCAGCAATCATTTACACCCGCAAGAATAAAATGATTTACAGCAATGTCCATTTAAAGGGAGTCCGTCATATGTGCCCTTTCCATTCTGCTGCTTTCCCTAACAGGTAATTTACCATTGCAATTCTACAACTTTTTGACGGTGCTAATATCATTTCTGCTATTTGAAATCCTATGTTTAATCGTCAAATTCTGCTAAGAAAAAAAAAAAAGTTTGCTTTGTCAACAGCATTGTATATAGTACAGAGGACGAGCTTACGATTGGTACCATTGATGATATGCAAACGATTCGTGTACGATCTATCCCACTGGGGGAAACTGCCCGGCGCATATGCCATCAGGAGCAGACTCGTACCTTTGCCATTTGTTGTTGGAGGTATAACGAGGAAGACCGTGAAATCCACTCTATCCGCCTGTTAGATGATCAAACTTTTATGTGCAAATCAACCTTTGCCCTGGATGAGTTTGAGTGTGGTTACTCCATTCTTAGCTGCTCATTTTCTAGTGACGATTGCGTGTACTACTGCGTTGGTACAGCATATGTAGTGCCCGAAGAGACTGAGCCTACCAAGGTAGTAGATTGCTGACTCTCCTCTCGTGTTTGTTTTTTCTATGCATGTGGCTGTGAGTATCCATTGTGTTCTTTCTCAATATCCTTTCTCCATCCAGGCAGGCTATAAAGTTATATATGGTGAGAACTGAAAAGTGCTGGTGGTATTACAAAAAGGTGTCTCATGTTTGTAGCTCGTGCAGGGTCGTATCTTAATTTTTGCTGCCGGAGATGGGAGACTCAAGCTAATCGCTGAGAAGGAAACTAAAGGCACTGTCTACTCTCTTAATGCCTTCAATGGGAAACTGCTTGCTGCTATAAACCACAAGATCCAATTGTATAAATGGGAGCTCGGAGTTGATGGTCTCGGTGAGCTGCAACCTGAATGTGGACATCACGGCCACGTCCTTGCCCTCTATCTAAAAAGCAGAGGGGATTTAATTGTTGTTGGTGATGTGGTGAGATCAATGTCCCTCCTGATTTACAAGGTGAGTGATTGAAACGAATGTATGTATGTATGTATATTCTCAACGACTCCACAAGTTGTGTATTGATTATTTCTTTTCTTGCAGAGTGAAAAAGGAGCTATCGAGGAGCTGGGTCGAGACGGCAATGGAAAGTGGATGACTGCTGTTGACTTTTTGGATGAGGACGTTTACCTTGGCACGGACATTAATTACAATCTGTTCAGTTTGCGCAGGAGCAGTGGTGGTAAAACGGAGGAGCGTGGGCAGCTAGAGGTGGTAGGGAAATACCACCTGGGCGAGTTCGTGAACCAAATGAGAGAGGGTTCGCTGGTGGTGCGGCTTCCGGAGTCAGAGTTGGGCGGCGGTGCAAGCGTGCTGTTCGGCACAGTGAGTGGCGTCATAGGCTTGGTGGCATCTCTTCCTGGAGACGAGTACGGCTTCTTTGAACGTCTCCAAACACAGCTAAGGAAAGTGATCAGAGGCGTGGGAGGGTTGACCCACGAGGCGTGGCGATCCTTCTGCAACGAGAGAATAACCTCAGTGCCCGACAGGTACTTCTTGGATGGTGATCTGATCGAGTCGTTCCTGAACCTTGATGGGACTCTGATGGAACAAATTTCTGGTGCCATGGAATTGCCCTTGGAGGAACTGATAATCAAGGTACGACGACTCACCAGGTTACACTAGTAATACAAATAGTCTTCCTCACTCACTCACTTGCTCATAACATGACATGACATGACATGTCTGCTGTGTGTGTTACTTTGATTTTTGGCACTCACTTGTTCCTTTTCTTGCTGGGTTGAATTTGGTTTTGGTGGGTAGGTCAAGGTGGAAGTAGTTGTATTGTTGTTGGACCAAAGTAAAGCCCTGTGAGATATATAGATAGATTGACTGAACAAACAATATTACTACAATCTACATCTACAATACATACATTCATGTCTATGTGTCTGATAGACGAGTAGATTGGGGTAGTCAAACAAATGAATAGTTTGTGAGTTCAATTCATTACAAGTTTTTTAATTCAGTTAAACCATTTGAATATAAAATTTATCTTGTTATGTTTATAAATGAATATTTTTGTTAGACTAATTCAAAAATCAAAATAATATTTTTATATATAATTAAAATAAATAAACAAAATTTCTCTTAGACCCAATTGAGTGGAATGAATAAAAATAAAAAATTACTCTTTTAACTCATATATGAACATGAACTGAACTCAAATACGAAAACTTGATGCCAATACCAATTTTTTCTCTTCTATCTTTAGATTTCTGTATTATTCATTTATTTGCTAGTGCTTGGTTGGTGAGTGGGTGGTGGGTATCAAGAGCTGTGATTATTATTGATTGGTTGCCTATATAATTAACTAATTATTACTGAATCTGAATCTGAACCTGAACCTGAACCTGAACCTGATTCTTATGACCAACAACTTTGCATGTCCAGCCACAGCCACAGCCACAGCCACAGCCGTTCTTTTGGATTCTTATGCCATCTAGCTTTCCTACTCTCTTTTGAACCGATGATTATAATTTTTTTTTAAATCATTATACATATTTTATCGCATACGTGTCTCTGTTTAACTGTATTGGTCCATATTTTTATTGTAAATTATCATAATACTAATATACTTTAAGATATACTAATATTTATTCAATTGTTATTATTTTTCGAATAATTCTAAACGGACCCATATTATTTTCATTTGGGTAGCTAATTTGCCCCGCATACTCTATTCTCTCTCTACATTGACCAATTTTCAAACACAAGTCTTCTTCTCATTATCTTGAAAATAATGTCTTTGTTTAAGTGGTAATTTAGTTTATATATATATATATATTTTTTTATCGAGGAACATATAATAACTACATAGTAAGAATGGAAAATTTTCCAAAATAAATGATTTTTAAATTGAGTATTTAATATAAATAGCTATTACATGAAATAGTTTTATATATTAAAAAACGGATTTAAATATAATAGTTTAATAAAAATAGATTTGATGTAATGGTATTTTTAAAATTACTTTTAATTATTGCTTAGATTCTCGTGCATAGATATAAACAGCACATAAAATTTTGAAATAAAAATAAATGCTTGTTTATTCATATATATATATATATATGTATGTATGTGTGTGTGTGTTTTGTTATCAAAACTTATGTCCGTGTGATTAGATATAATTTTAATAAGAATGGATAAAAAAAAATTATTTTTTATAGTTAAAAGATACAAAAATGATCATTTTTGTTAGTAGAAAAGAATTTGAAATCTTTTTTAACAATTAAAATAAATTGGTCTACTTTTGGTTTCTTTGATCAAAATTTCTTAATTTTTTATTATTTATATAAAAAATTGATAAAATATCAAATCAAATATTTATTTTTTTATTATAATAAAAATTAATTTTATATCCAAAATATCATATCATTCATATCACAATATACGACTTATATTCCAATTCAAATATTTTTATTATTCAAATAAAAAAATAAAATTCAAACTCCAAAATAAACAAAGCCTAAAAAAACAATATTAATACAAAAGTATTACTTTTTATATTAATAAGACATTTTTCATATTTCATATAAAAAATACTTTATATTAAAACAATGAATTAATATTTTTAATAAATACAAGCCATACGAAGGGTAATTATAATAAAAAAAATATTTTACACTAAAATACTAATTTATATTTTCAATAAATCCAAGCTAGTACGAGGGTGAATTTTTTACAATCGTTGCAAATTTTCACATGACAAAATAAATAAATAGTATTTGTTAATTTTTTATATAATATTTTAACTAAAAAGAATATTTTTTATCGAGTCGAAGAAGATGAAAATTGAATAATAATAATAGACAAAAAATAAAAAAAATAAAAAATGACAAGCACGAATGGAAACGTACTTTTTAAATAACGTATTGTATTATATATATTTAGTATTTTACTTATTTTAAAATATATTGAATTCAAGACTTCAATAAATGTAAGCTATGACGTCAAGATGGCCAAAAAAATAATATACCCTACTATTGTTTCAAAATATAAAAAACAATTGGCCTGGTCCCGATTTCCGGGCGCAGACATAATAAATAAAGAAATAATATAATATATGTATATATATATTTTTGATGTTTGATACCTCACTAGTCGAGGTTGGCCCATTCATCATAAAAAGCTGACAAACAAATTCGGATTTTTATATATTTTCAAATTATCACTTTCATTATAAGAAGAAATAATTAAATTTTTATATAAAAAATTAATATATTCATCTTAAAAACAGTTATTACAATTTTCTTACATAAAAGTAATAGAAATAATTATTTACACAGACTATGTCTGTTTTCATAAACATATTCTACTATTATATGATACTGCTATTTTCACCAAGAGTATGAATTGGTAGGATGTGTTTGTTTGGAGTTTAGATTTTGGATTTGAGATTTAAATAATAAAATTTTTAAATTGAAATAGTTGTATAATGAAATATAAATAAATATTGATTTGATATTTTAAATATAAAATTAATTTATAATGATATTTAATTGATATTTTTTGAAAAGAAAAAAATTGTATAAACAACAAAAGTAATGCTAAATCCTTCAAACAAACACACTATTAATTTATACTAAAGTATATTCTGGAATAATATATAATTTTTTTATATAAAATTATGTTGAATTGTATTAAAAGAGTTTCCTTTAATAAAATATTTCCTTTTTAATTATTTTTATTTACTAATAAAATGGTATTATTATTGTTTATTTTATATTTTTTATTTTTTAAAAAGAAGGGTAGACTGAGGGAGTATTTTTACAAAGCGAAAAGATCTCATTGTCGAATGACTTCCACGCGCTCCTGGGAAAGGCAAAAGGCAACTTCGCAGTCGCTCGCAGGAACGAGATTGTCAAACCCCAAGTCGTCCCTGTCACTTTTCTTCCGAATAATTGAATTTTGCGATGATGAAGCCTTTTTGACGGAATTTCTTAACAGATTTTCAAGAAATTAACGAAGGCGAGAAGGTATTCAATAAATTCGATATTCTTGATTGATTGATGCGCGCTGCAGCCCTACACTCACGAGCCATCGTCGCCCGGACACACGTTGATCACAGAATAAATCCCCCTTTTTATCCTATCCCCAAAACAAACATTTGCTATTGGGCGGTCCCTTTTATTTGTTAATATTTCTTTTTTTCGTGTGGAGTGAGAAATTAGAAAAACCCCACTTTTGGTGTTACTCTCTCCATTTCTGCTTCAGGGAACTCCACTTATTTATGGTTCTTGTTTCCTTCCGCTTTAATTGGTTTTGTTATCTTGTTTATGATGTCTACCTGTGATTACTTCGCTGTTTCTTGCTTATCGTGATATCTTGGATTGGTATTCCTTGCACTTATTCATATATCTATTTTCTGCCTTATTTATTTATTTATTTTTCTTGCATCTAAGTTTTGATTTTCTATGTTCATTTACTCTGATACCAGTTCCAAGATTCGCTGTTTTTGGAGCGGCCTTGGAAAGAGAGTAGTGAAAAGCATTAAGTGGGTTTAGCGCTCTTAAAAACATTTCAAGAAAAATTATCTACCTAGAGTTTTTAAGATAATGAGAATATTCATGCAAAAGAACGCTGTTGTTTGTTGGTTTTTCTCTCTATATTGGATTGTTTCTCATGGGAAGACAGATTAAAGGCTTCGCCAGGACTCTCCAGCGTGTAGTTGAAAAAAAAAAAAAAAAAATATTAGTAACTGAGTCTTCCTCACCCTAGTGCTAGAAAAGTAAGGGTTTTTTTCACCCGCATACAGTGTTCATAATATCTGTGTTTGTGAGAGAGGGATGACTGCATGACCTGTTTTGGTGTTGTAAATTTATTTTTTATTAGGACCATTCAATCTCAGTGACTTGAGTTAACTAATTGCAGGAGTAGTAAGTTGTATCATTGAAGATTGACTACAGTGATCAGAGATGTGTTAGTAGATAAGAATATCTTAGCGACAAGAGTGGTTGATAATGGCTTTCAAACCATTGGATTGGTATTGCAAGCCAGTCAAGAATGGGGTTTGGTCAACAGCGGTGGAAAATGGGTTCGGTGTTTATACTCCATGTGCTACTGACACTCTGGTGATCTGCATTTCACATCTGGTTCTTTTGGGACTCTGCTTGAATCGCTTATGGAGGTTAAAGAAAGATTATACAGTTCAGAGATTCTGCTTAAGATCAAACTATTACAATTACTTTCTGGGGTTATTGGCACTGTATTCCACTGGAGAGCCTTTGGTTCGACTGGTCATGGGAATTTCAGCATTTGATGTGGATGGTCAGAGTGGTCCTGCCCCATACGAGGTGCGATTCTTGATCATATTAAAAGGATTGTGGTGCATTTTCTTCTAGCACTGAAAAGCTCATCGGTTTGTATTCATTCCGAGGCTGTTTCACGGGTTTCATGATATTCTAAGTGATTTCTAATTTGTTGCAAATATCTCTCTCATTATGATATTAAAATGCTAAAATAGTGCCGGTATGAGTAACTATCTTGTGAAATAGGCATCGGGTTATGAAAATTGAGGTTTGGAATGTCTAGTTGTCTCATGCCAGTTTCTTGAAAATTAAACGAAATTGGTTAGCCATGCATATAATATCTGCTACCTGTATAATTCTTGATGTCATGTTTTCCTACTTAAATTGTTGCATTTGGCCAGTTAATTCATGTTTGTGCATCTATAAGGATGAATGAGGATATAAAGGTCCACATAGAGCTATGCTAGAAAAATGCTTTTTTGTGCACTGAGGTAGTTTGATATCATTATAATCGATATCCATAACACGTCAGCGATTGACTTATAATTTACATTGAGTTTGCATTGGCTTAAATTTACCACTTAGGTGAATGCATTGAGTTTGCATGTGAATATATTTATGAGTGGTGTGATGTGGCTTGAAATCTATCATTATAAAATGATCTGGTACACGAATGGGAATTTTTGTAAAAATGTGTTGTCCGAGTGCTGTCTCTGTAATTATTTTGGTTGGTATTTATTTTTCTTTAATTTTGTGTATCTGTTAGGTGGTTGCTCTCATCATCAAGGCTGTGACATGGTGTTCCTTGCTTGCAATGATTGTACTGGAAACCAGGGTTTACATCCGTGAAACACGCTGGGCAGTTAGATGTGGGATTCTTTATGCTCTGGTAGGGGATGCTGTTATGCTGAACCTTGCCCTGTCTGTCCGGGAATATTATGAGTGGTTAGTTTGTGAATTTATATTTGGACTTGCATGATTCCGATTATCTTGTACTCATAGGTATTTTGATTTGATTCTACTGTAAATGCAACGTTTACCTTGAAAGCAAGCCTTATACGGCCATATTTCACATTCTCATTTTTCTCTATTATGATTACATGCACAGTGATAGCTAAAATTCTCTGTCTTTGACCCTTTTTAATTTGTATTTTGAATTTCAATCAACTTAAAACAGTGTTAACCCCTGCTCTGCTCTTTTGCATCTTGAATCCTTCTTTAACAATAGTAGGACGAGCTTGTTTTCTGGACAGTTGAAATAGAGCAATCTATTGTTTATGACTTTTTATTTCACAGTTTTCAACTGCATCTCTTGTGATTCTCTGCGCACTATAATTCATATCACTATCATGTTTTTACAGGTCAGTTTTTGTCTTGTATGTCAGTGAAGTGGCTGTCCAGGTTTGTTCACTTCTAATCTGTTCTAGTTGTCACAATTGTATGTATGTGTATCTATATATTGTTTTAAGTATGCGTTCAACTTCGTTGTCAAAGCAATGCACACATTTCAATAAAGCTGGGATTAGTTTATCTGCGTAGAGCTACATTTTCCTTGGTTAAACACATGATTGGAAGGTTATAAAATTGTGCTGTTGTAGACATAAGTTGATAGTGACACAGCAGTATGAGGCAAATCACAACTGATAGCGACTAGTTCCCACCTCAATGCCACGACCTTGCAGGCATATGATACGTAATGGTTCAAAAAATCTGAATCCTCTTGAGAGCATGATTATTAGGTTGTGAATTAGGAAACTATGATCACTGGAAACATCTTGAATTCCCATTATTTATCTCCCAAACCTTTTCATGGTGATAGACTTTGTTCTTTTGTGGATATACAGGTTTTGTTTGGGATTCTCTTGTTTGTATACATCCCTAACTTGGATCCTTACCCTGGCTACACTCCCTTGCGAGTTGAATCGGTGGATGATACCGCCTATGAGGAACTTCCTGGAGAGGAGCAAGTATGTCCTGAGAGGACTGCAAGCATATTCTCCAGTATGTAATCACAAGCATTGCATTAAGCTACTTTTGGCTATTGTCATAACTCATATATGATTTGATGGTGTATTTAGATATTTTTTTTGTCGTTGTTATTTCATCTATACTTGCATATGTGTGTGATTGCTCTTTAGTTATCTCTAAGGTTTTTACTAACGTCATTACTTCTTTGTTTTTAAATGGTATGTATTATCTTATGAAATTAGGTTCTAGGATCTTTTAGGAAGCCTAAGGACAGTAAATTGAAAGACCCATGATTATGGCCATTATGATAGTTTTTGAGGCTTACCTTAAGAGGCAAAACTTATCCTGTATTTTCCTTGGATGATTTGTATCCTGTAAAAAGCTCAATTTTGTTTCCTTTTTATTGTAGTTCTTAGATAACTTGGACTCTCTAAGGTCTTATCTAGACTCTTATGTTCCAGTTTCTAGTTTTCCATTGGCATAGTCAGTCAGTTGTTCAATTTGAATATATTAACAAATTCCTTTGCGCTAATAATTCATCAATTGGTTTTTCCTTAGAAATTACATTTGGTTGGATGAATCCAATCATGCAGCTGGGCTACAGAAGACCTCTCACAGAAAAGGATGTCTGGAAACTTGATACATGGGATAGAACAGAGACTCTTAATGACTGGTAGGTGCCTAGATTTGCAAAAATGATATATTAGTTTGTTTTGTGTGAGGGTTGGGGAGATGTGGTAGGACTGGGATTCATAACTATTACTGTATAGTCATCCCCAAACTTTCTTTGCCCTTTACATGATAACAAATGTTCGGATAAAAACTGATTAATTCTTTGGATGATTGTTCAGGTTCCAGAGTGCTTGGTCTAAGGAGATTCGGCGACCAAAACCTTGGCTCTTAAGAGCCTTAAATCGCAGCCTTGGGGGAAGGTAATATTTTGAGCCCCCCAAATCATTTGGATCTGTTGTGAAGTTTATGATAGTTTTATGTTTTTTCTATTGCTAAAAAAGGACCTGACAATCTCTTTCTATTACTTTATTTTTTCAGATTTTGGTTTGGTGGCTTCTGGAAGGTATAAACACATTTCTCTGTTGTCATTGTCATGATGCTGTCAATCTCCATTTATACCTCAATACATATGCACCTTACATGTATTGTGATACAATCACATCATGGAGAATTTTTTTGAAGAATCTTCTTAAACTGCATGATTTGTTAGACTTTATGCACCTCCCCCTCCCTTTCTACTGCGATTTGATTTTTTAAAGTTAGATGTTAACACTGCCATTTATTGTTTATTGGTGAAGTATGAAGGGTCTCTTGAGCTTTATTCCCTATAGCTCAAGTGTATGACATTCTCACTTCCTACTCCTTACTTAGCATTTTGTGAGCCAATCTTTATTCATCGAGATTGTGTGCACTATGTTATTTGATTTGCAGTTCCTTTTAAATTGGTAACCACCTTTGTACCTGATGTAGATGAAGCAATATTTGTATAGTATTTTGTGTTTTATTGTAATATGCACTAATATTATTCTCAGGCTTATTGTAACATGCCTGCAATTTTTGTTCAACCTGCAGATAGGGAATGATGTCTCACAGTTTACTGGCCCCCTCATATTGAACCAACTTTTACAGGTCAGCTCTCGTTTATATTGGTGCATAGTATCCTCTTAATTGAAGCATGTGAAGGCTCATGCACAAGCGTTAACTGACTTTTATATGTTGTTGACATTCTCAGTCAATGCAACAAGGGGATCCCGCTTGGATTGGCTACATCTATGCATTCTCCATTTTCCTAGGAGTGGTATGTATAGAATATTTTCTTTGCTTGTCAACTTGTTATGATTCTATACATTGTTATTGATGCTTTCAGTCTTTTGTTGTGTGTTATTTATTTGCTGATTTGTTTTGTTTGTTTGTTTGTCTTTCTTTTTATTTATCATTTTATGGTTATATCTTAAAATTTTTACTTTCAAACCTCCCCCGAAGATGTTTTATGATTATTCAACTGTTGCTGCTTTTAAGGGTGTGTGCATATTTTAAGGTCATTTATTTATTGCTGGATGTTCATTGTGATAAAGGCTGTCAACTTCATTTTGGGTTCTTCTGAGGTTTACATGCAGAATGTGTTTGGTTACTAGTACTATTTTTTACATTGTAAATCAGGGATTCTGTTTGCCGTATGAACAGCTATAGTTTAGATGATTTTCTTGTATTGTGACTTGTCAGTGGTTTTTATTTACCCCTCTCTCATTCTTGTCAAACAAACTCTTTAGTTGATGGATTATATAAATATATAATGCTTGTCTGTTCTGTTTCCCTTTGGAATTTGGCATGTTATTTGGCCGGCCCAACAAATCAATGTTGTTTTGTCTGTTGGCTTTAGGTATTTGGCGTGCTCTGTGAAGCTCAGTATTTTCAAAATGTTATGCGTGTTGGCTATCGTCTGAGATCAGCTCTGGTAAGCTAGTTTCCTTCACCATTCTATACTGTCTTGATTCCATTACTGAAACTAGTTGAATTTGGATTTTATTCCAAATACCCCAAATATGTTCTTCTTGTTCTTTTATTTGTGATGAAATATGCATTTTCAGATGTATGAATATGCATGTTCTTAAACATCAATCAACTTGTTTTGTAGGTGGCTGCAGTATTCCGGAAATCTTTAAGGTTGACTCATGAGAGCCGCAAAGGGTTTACCTCTGGTAAAATTACAAACTTAATGACAACAGATGCTGAGGCTCTTCAGGTATTTCTTATTTCTCAAAAATGTATTTATTTTCTAATGATTTCTGACTAAGAAATTTACTGAATAATAACATGCATTAGGAACCATATAATCACTAAATATAATTTGTCGTAATGCTTTATTCCAGTGTACATTCTTATATGTAATCTTTTATCTTTTCTGCAGCAAATATGCCAATCCTTGCACACTGTGTGGTCAGCTCCTTTCCGCATCGTTGTTGCGTTGATTCTTCTTTACATGCAGCTGGGAGTTGCTGCTCTTGTTGGTGCAGTGCTGCTTGTTCTTCTGTTTCCCATACAAGTATGGAGAACTTTATTTTAGATTGACAAAATGAAGTTTATGGTTAGCATTTTTTGTGCATGCTCACCACCTCTATCATGAGAAACATTTGAATTTGATATCTTATCATCTATGCATTTGGATCACGTAGCTCATGTTGTTGAGCATTGCTAAGCCAAACAATGGGCAAATAATTGATTGAACCAAGATCCACTAATTTATGTTGTAAATCATAACTGAACATCATATTTGCTATCTGTGTTGATTCTGGAATCTGATCACTCTTCCGGAATAGTTCATCACTATTCGCTGATTCTTTCTATTTAGGTCAAATGGTCTAATAGAAATGTTTGTAGTTCTGGAACTAATGTTCATTGTTTCACTGATTTGTTGTCATATCTAACATTCCCTTTTGGTTTCCAGCCTTTGTCTTATTATTGAATCTGTCCTAACAAGTTCAAATGCTTGTTTAAAATTTAAAATGGACTTTGACAGACTTGGATAATAAGCAACATGCGAAAACTGACGAAGGAAGGATTGCAACGCACAGACAGGAGAATTGGACTCATGAATGAAATTTTGGCTGCTATGGACACTGTCAAGTAAGGTTCCTAAGTTTAATAGTGTTTGTGGTCTATGTTGCATTAAGCTTATGTCGACAGTCACATTTTGTTGTCAAAATGGATTCAGATGTTATGCATGGGAGTACAGTTTCCAGAAAAAGGTTCAAAATGTCCGAAATGACGAGCTGTCTTGGTACCGAAGAGCTCAGCTTCTGGGAGCTGTACGATATTTCTTTAATAAGCTATTTCCTTTTACTATTAGCCATTTTGAGGCTCTCAATTGTTTTTCACATGGGAATGTCTTTTATGTAGATGCTCAAAGAATATGGCTTGATGTAGATATCATAAAGACCATTTTATCTTGAACTGTTGCTTGTGTGATGTGTCTGCATCTGCTTATTTCTGATGAGTAGTAGTCAAGTTTTCTGTTTACTTATTTCCTTGATGCTTGGTGTCTTCATTTTGTTCTCAACCTAAGTCTATTAGTCAATTGTTTCATTTACTTATTCAATCAATTTAATTTATTTTTTTTTCTTTTTCCCTTTACATGAATCTATATTATATCCTGTTTGCATGTTTGAATATTTGCATCCTGTTGTTGTTGTTGTTTTAATTAATTTATTTTTTATTTTATCTTTATGATCAGCACTTAATTATATATCTGAGTAGCCATATGAATTTGCAGTTGAACACTTTCATACTCAACAGCATTCCTGTTGTGGTCATTGTGATTTCATTTGGGGTCTTCACTTTACTGGGAGGTGATCTGACACCTGCAAGGGCTTTCACATCTCTTTCGTTGTTCGCTGTCTTACGGTTTCCACTGTTTATGCTTCCCAATGTTATAACACAGGTATCCTTTTTTACAAAATTTTCCTCTGAATATGAATAGATGAAGTATTCCTATCAATTTCTGCATTATCACTTGGACCAGAGTACAGAAGACTTTTTGTATTGTGGTTTCACGTATATTTCTTTATTGAGTGGTTTTGTGAAGTTGAATTCTTATATCTTCATTAATTTGGTACAAACTCTGTCAACTATTGATTGCAACTTCTCTTATTATAATTTTAGGAGTGCTTCTCTTTGATTGCAGTTAATTTGTCTTGATTTTCCAGATCGTTAATGCAAATGTTTCATTGAAACGTCTCGAAGAACTCCTCCTAGCTGAAGAGAGAATTCTCTTGCCAAACCCACCCATTGAACCAGGATTACCAGCCATCTCAATCAGGAATGGGCACTTTTCTTGGGAGGCAAAAGTAATTTTGCAATATTTATGCTCACATAATTTTGTTGGCTCATAGAGCTCCAGCATGTTATATGCATATGATTATTTGAACATCATTCTTGAAAATATGGTTTTACCCTACAGTATGTATTGTGCTTCTCTACAAATATATGGGATACCTTCATTTACTGTTTGATTTTTAACATACCTGGGTTCATCAATTATTCATCTCTAATAAATTATTTTGCATCCTACTTGCAACGATTGGGTATGGTACTGTGATCCTTATTATTATTATTATTATTATTATTATTATTATTTTGTACCTTGTGAACTGAAGAGTTATTTTACATGTAAAATTTCTCAAACTGCATGAAATTTACTAGTTATTATCTACAACAGGCAGAAAGGCCAACTTTGTCAAACATCAACTTGGATATACCAATTGGTAGCTTGGTCGCTGTTGTTGGCAGTACCGGGGAAGGAAAAACATCACTTATATCAGCCATGCTAGGGGAGCTTCCTGCAATTTCAGAGGCAACTGCTGTCATCAGAGGAAGGGTTGCATATGTACCACAAGTTTCTTGGATTTTCAATGCAACAGTGAGTTACAATTAGAAAATTAAGTTTTTTAGCTCTTTTCCCCATTGGAATTATGACCTTGTCTGAATATTTGTTTGTAATCCTTCATATCTGGTTTTAACCCAGAATGCCATTTATTGCCGTGTTTGCTTACATGCTGAAGCTTCTTTTCCCTAGGTCTGTGACAACATCCTGTTTGGTTTGCCATTTGAATCTGCAAAATATGAGAAGTCGATAGATGTGACCTGCCTTCGACATGACCTCGATCTATTGCCTGTAAGGCTGCTGAGAAGTATCAGTTTTAGTTAACCCTAGCACTTGTAATTTATAATTTTCCCCCTACTGAAATGATGCATTTCCATCTTTGTTAGGGCGGAGATCTTACTGAAATTGGAGAACGTGGGGTCAACATCAGTGGAGGGCAAAAGCAAAGAGTTTCCATGGCTCGTGCTGTGTATTCTGATTCAGACGTTTACATATTTGATGATCCCTTAAGCGCTCTAGATGCTCACGTGGGGCGCCAGGTAGTTTCTTTATACACAAAGACTGTACCCATCATGATCACAAAAAAAATTACATAAGAATGTGTGGCATAAACTATTATAACTTGAATGTGTTTTTCATATGGTTTATCTTTACATTAGGTTTTTGAAAAATGCATCAAAGGAGAATTAAGAGGAAAAACGAGAGTTCTCGTCACAAATCAGCTGCATTTTCTGTCACAAGTAGATAGAATTCTCCTGGTGAGCGAAGGTACAGTGAAAGAGGAGGGAACATTTGAAGAGCTTTCAAACAATGGCCATCTATTCCAAAAACTGATGGAAAATGCTGGGAAAATGGAAGAGTATGTTGAAGAAGAGGAAGATGTTGATCAAAATGATAGTAAAACTACCAAAGCTGTTGCTAATGGTCTGAATGGTGAGGTTTCTAGTGATGCCAATCAAACAAAGAAAAAGAAAGAAGGCAAATCCATTCTGATTAAGCAGGAAGAACGAGAAACTGGTGTTGTGAGCTGGCATGTATTGATGAGGTATATAGCTTTAGCTTATATCTAATGTGCTGTTGATTTGATGCTTTTTTGTTTCTCACCCTCTGATAACAAATTTTCTTGCTTCTCACAGCTACTGTGTTCCTTGACACTCAGATATTTTAATCCTTACGAAGCTCCTCCTAATGTGAATTGTTATGATGTATTATCATGCCATATAGATTGCCAAATATTATCTGAATTTATAGCACTTATTCTCCTTGTGTTCAACGATCTGTTTTCATGTCCTATATGGTTTGCTTGTTTGTGTGCATCACTTGAATTTGAAAGTGAGCATGTACAAGGAAATCAGATGCATGACATGCAATTCTGTTGATGTGTGATAAAATTTGAAAGTAATGTCATTTACCTATGGCAACTGTGAATTCTAAAATATTTGTGGTTAAATTCAGAATATGTTGTTTACAGTACAACCATTGTTGACCAAACTCTGCAGATACAAAAATGCATTGGGAGGTGCCTGGGTTGTTTTGATTCTCTTTGTATGCTATATTTTGACGGAAACCCTGCGAGTTGCAAGCAGCGCATGGCTAAGTTATTGGACAGGTGAAAGCAGCACATCACCACGTCATGGACCGATATTTTACAACTTAATTTATTCAGCCCTATCCATTAGTCAAGTGAGTTTTATACATGATCTACCTTATTATTTTCTTCTGCATCCTGTTTCAGCAGCAAAATGTATAACTAGACGCATGATGACAATGATTTTTTATGGGTTTATTTTTTTTTTCATTTTATTGATTTTCAATGTTATATCGATATTAATGCATTTTTTTTTGTTGCTGACTAAATGTTTGTACCTTAGGTTTTGGTGACATTCACAAATTCATTTTGGTTGATCGTGTCAAGCCTTTATGCTGCCAGAAGATTGCATGATGCCATGCTTGGTTCTATGCTTCGAGCTCCAATGGTCTTCTTCCACACCAATCCACTTGGACGAATCATCAATAGATTTGCCAAAGATTTAGGAGACATTGATCGAAATCTTGCCCCTTTTGCAAACATGTTTCTGGGTCAAGTGTCACAGCTTATTTCAACATTTGTGCTCATTGGACTAGTGAGCACAATGTCTTTATGGGCTATTATGCCTCTTCTAGTCTTGTTTTATGTTGCCTATCTTTATTACCAGGTATGTATTGTCCCTATTATTCTCTCCTTTTCTCATTTCAGCCAATTCAGAATCAGTATAGGTATTGTTTTGTGTCTCATTTTCGATCTGTATTTTGTTCTTGGCTTAACATAAACAACCAACTAACCTTCTTGCAGAGTACAGCCCGAGAAGTGAAGCGCTTAGATTCGATCACTAGATCTCCAGTATATGCACAGTTTAGCGAAGCACTGAATGGTTTGTCAACCATTCGTGCGTACAAAGCATATGACCGAATGGCCAATATCAATGGGAAGTCAATGGATAACAATATTAGATTTGGACTTGTTAACATGAGTGGCAACCGCTGGCTTGGTATCCGTTTGGAAGCAGTCGGTGGTATAATGATTTGGTTGACTGCAACTTTTGCTGTCTTGCAGAACGGAAGGACCGATAACCCAGAAGCATTTGCCTCGACTATGGGTTTGCTTCTCAGCTATGCCTTAAATATTACTAGCTTACTGACTGCTGTTCTGAGACTTGCTAGTCTGGCTGAAAATAGTTTCAATGCTGTTGAGCGGGTTGGGAACTATATAGATTTGCCCTCGGAAGGTCCAGCCATCATTGAAGACAATCGTCCTCCTCCTGGGTGGCCATCGGCAGGATCTATTCATTTTAAAGATGTTGTATTAAGATACCGTCCGGAGCTTCCTCCTGTTTTGCACGGAATTACTTTCACAATTTCTCCAAGCGACAAGGTTGGAATTGTTGGAAGGACTGGTGCAGGAAAGTCGAGCATGCTTAATGCTTTGTTTCGAATTGTTGAGCTGGAGAGGGGAAAGATATTAATCGACAACTATGACATATCAAAGTTTGGATTAATGGACCTTCGAAAGGTTCTTGGCATCATACCACAGGCTCCTGTTCTTTTCTCAGGTACTCTCTAATTTAAACACACCATCTAAGGGAGGGAGTATATAATATACTATGTGTTAGATGATGCAAATGATCGTCTCATCTAATAGTTTAAGCTATTTGGATACGCATCATTTATTTAGTTATCTACAAATGGGAGTCCACCAACGCTATGCTAACTACAAACGTAAATCGTGTATTGTATTTCTTTTATTTTGAATCTGATGATCCTGTATCATACTTGGATAGGAAGTGTTAGGTTCAATCTCGATCCATTCAATGAACACAGTGATGCCGACTTGTGGGAGGCTTTGGAAAGAGCACATTTAAAAGATGCCATCCAAAGAAATTCTTTAGGCCTTGATGCTGAGGTATATAATATTTTTATCTGTGCATTCGAGTTAAATTAATTTGTTTTAATTCTGCAACTTGGAAACCGGAATTAAACTGACTAGCAATTTTGTGGCGTTTTCTTGCTGTAATAAGGTCTCCGAAGCAGGGGAGAATTTCAGTGTTGGGCAGCGCCAACTATTAAGTCTTTCTCGAGCATTACTTCGCAGATCGAAAATTCTTGTCCTTGACGAAGCAACTGCAGCTGTTGACGTCAGGACGGATGCACTTATCCAAAAGACCATCCGCGAAGAATTTAAATCGTGCACGATGTTAATCATTGCCCACCGTCTGAATACCATCATTGATTGTGACAGAGTTCTTTTGCTCGACGCCGGACAGGTAATGCCCTGATTGCACAAAAGTCTTTCAACTATTATTTGTAATAATTGGATAGTTTCTGATCCCAATGGCATCTGCACCTCTTCACCAGGTCGTAGAATTCGATACTCCCGAAACACTACTCGAAAAAGAAGACAGCGCATTCTCCCGGATGGTGCAGAGCACCGGAGCTGCAAACGCCGAATATCTGCGCAGTTTGGTGCTTAGGAGGGACGATGATGGGAAGGTTGAGCAGAATAAGCAGATGGATGGGCAAAGGAGATGGCTTGCGTCCTCGCGGTGGACGGCGGCAGCGCAATTTGCACTCGCAGTTAGTCTGACTTCGTCGCAGAATGATTTGGTGCAATTAGAATTCAGAGATGAAGACAATATCCTGAAGAAAACAAGGGATGCTGTGATTACGCTGCAAGGAGTGTTGGAGGGGAAGCATAACAAAGAAATCGAAGATAACCTCGAACGGCATCAGGTTTCCAGGGATAGATGGTGGTCGGCTCTTTATAAAATGATCGAAGGTACGTATGTATCTGCGGTACAGTTGGTAATCTTCTGATGGTTTGCTTGTTCGGTTTTTTTCCAATTTAGTGTGTAATGTTGGTTGATTGATGAATTGTGTTGCAGGTCTTGCTGTAATGAGCAGACTTTCTCGTAACAGGCTTCATGAGGCAGATAATTTTGAAGACAGGACGATCGAATGGGATCAGGTTGAGATGTAGTAGTGCTTCTGCTGCTGCTGCGTTTTCTATCTAAGTAAGACTGCTTTCCAATTTAGTGTAATAATTCCATGTTGCTCCATAACTGGTTGAATGTCGGAAAGCGGCTTCAACTCTCTCTCTCTCCGATGCCTGTTTTTTTATGTTTATGAAAAATACTTTGGATTTTGAGTTATTATGGTGATTTTGATTCTATATTTTTGTTTAAAAAGTAGTTTGATGACACGATTTTGAAAAAAAATATATATATATTCTCTCAGTTTCAATACAATAGTCTTGTTTACCGTTTTTATTCGTTTCAAAACAATAGTCTTATTTCTATAAATAATCATATCACTATAAAATTATTTTTACATTTTAATTATTATTACAAAATTGCTACTATTTTTTACACTATTACAAAAAAGTCTTATCTAGTACTTTTTATTCACTGTCAATATAATATCAATATTCGCCGCGACCAGATAAAAAGAAATAAAAATATGTAAGACGTTTAAAACTTTGTTGTAATGACACATATCTAGTTCACTAAAAAAAATCTTTTTGAAATGTTTTGTTGAATTTGGTTATGAATGATATTTGGTTCCATAAATCAAATTTATGAATTTTGATTCTACTCAAAATTTTTGATTAATTTTAGCTCTATTTAAATTAAAATAAATCGGTTTTAGTGTATTCGACAAGTTCGAATGATTTTAGTTATGTTTGTTTGAACACAACCACATAAGATGATTTGGAAAGCTGATTAAACTCGTAGTATATAGCTGTGTTTATGTTCTATTAATGGTTTATTTTTATTTTTGATAAATTTAATAATATTAAAAATACTTAACAAAGTATATTCAATTTAATTAATTTCAAATTTTTTATATATATATTTTTTATAAAATTATTTAATGTTAAGTATAAATAAATAAATATAGGATTGGATATGGGGTTTACCCTTGTTTTGGCACTTTGGTGTTTAAAATATTTAAAAATTTATTTTTCATAAATTTTATAGTTCACGAGCATAAATAAGGAATTCTTTATACTTCCTTTCCTTCGTACACTGCCAATTTATCTATTTTTTCATTTTAGTCAGTCTATCGCAAATGTATCCATTTCGTTCTTAGTAAATGTACTTTTTATTAAAATATAAAATTACCCCACCCTTTATATAATATTACACAAATATCATCAAATAACATCACTTAATACCATAAATGTTAAAAGGAGTATAATAGTCTTTATGTATATCAATTGTACCCTATATCAATATAATACTAATATACTAAAATCTACATACAAAAGTAAACGGATAGATAGACGTGGTGGATGGAGGAAGTATAATTTTTTCATATATATAAATAAATTATTTATTATTTATTATTTTTCGAAATTTTTAGTTTTATAATTAATAAAAGTATAGTATTATTCTTTTTAATTAAATAACACGTCAAAATAGATTTCAATAAAAATCTTTACTTAAATATAATTAAACAAACTTCTATATGTTAATACATATTAAAACTAATTAAAACAGTCTAAACCTAATGAATAAAAAGTAACTAGTAAAAGTTATATAAGGAAATAAAAATATTTACTAATACACACATACACATGTGATGTGACATGGTGCAGATCATTTCGGAGATCCCTTCCAAATTTAGTGTTATTACCGTTAGAAACAGCCGCCTTACTTTAAAAAAACCGCCTTGCTTCCGAAATTAAAATCAAAAGATTCAAGACAAGGGCCAATAACATTACCGTTGGAAACAACCGCCTTACAAAATTAAATACTATAAAGATTCAAGACAAGAGCTAAGTAGATGTAATTAGTTTAGTTGGTTAGTGTATCTTGTAGGAAAAGCAATTTTCTCTCCCAATTTCTTCTCTTCGCCGACTGACGATTTAGGGTTCAGTCAATTTCCCTTCCTTCCTTCGCCGCCGGCATCTCATCTTCTCGGTGCCCGGCCGTCGTCCTCTCAATTGGCTCTCTTAGGGGAGTCTAAGCTGGGTTGGATCGTGATGGGACGATCACATCTCCTCAAGGCCGTCTGTCTTCACCTGCACGCCGAAACCCTACCCTACTCTCCATGGGAGCGCTGATTCTCCGAAATGAAATCCATCGATCGCTTCCCAATCCGACGTCGTCTTCTCCATCCATAGCCGTCGTCCATTTCCAGTTCTCCACAGGGCAATCGAATTGTTATTAGTTTCCAATTATTTTTGTCGATTGCGTCAGTTCTTGAAACATCCGGTACGATTTTGATGATTGGCGATCTGTTGCATGAACTAATTGAACGCCATTCTTGTGCAGGGTTCATTTATGGTTCTTCTTGTTGAAAGGGGGGAGACCGGGAGCCCTAATTTGATTACTCCATGCCACTGTAAGTTATCCCCAAATTTTCAATTATTTTTGTCGATTGCGTCTTTTCTTGAAGCATTCGGTTCGATTTCGTTGATTGGCGGTTGTTTGCATTAATGCCATTCTTGTTCAGGGTTCATTTATGGTTCTTATTATTGGAAGAGAGGAGACCGGGAACTCTAATTTGATTACTCCATGCCGCTGTAAGTTATCGCCAAATTCCCAGTTATTTTGTCGTTTGCATCAAATTTTCAATTATTTTTGTCAGTCTTTTCTTGAAGCATTCGGTTCCCTTTCGTTGATTGGCTGTCATTTGCAGGAACGCAATTCTTGTTCAGGGTTCATTTATGGTTCTTCTATTGAAAGAGAGGAGACCGGGAACTCTAATTTGATTACTCCATGCTGCTGTAAGTTATCCCCAAATTCCCAGTAATTTTGTCGTTTGCATCAGATTTTGAAGCATTCGGTTCGATTTTGTTGATTGGCTGTCTGTTGCAAGAATAAATCGAACGCCATTCTTTTTCATGGTTCATTTATTGTATTGGTTTTAAGCATATAATTTGATATTTTTTTTAAGGGTTCTTGCTGATTGTTTTGTTATGGTCTGATGCTGTTGATGTTCCGGACAAGAGTACAAGGCTGAAATTATAAAATGGTTTGAACATGTGTGACAATTGAAGAAAGAATATGAAGAGACGTTTAATACTGCCAGCATTGATTGTGAGTGTTTTTCACTTTTTTTATAGCACCGGAAATGGCTCTGAATGCGTTTTGTATTCAATGCCTAAAGGGAATGTAATTCCTTAGTGTATCAACTTGCAAACATCAGGGAGGCCCAACCCACAGATATGGAGCCTCTAGCTGCTGGTTATCAAGAACCCTAATCTACAGTATGGAGTGGACGAGAGCTGCAGATATGGAGTCTCCTGCTGCTGTTGAACAAAAGGCTCCACATGCAAATATGGAGATGGCATCTGCTATTGAAGAAAAGGTTCACCGCACTTGTCCTTTATATCAGACAAACTTATTTGCTATTGTTTTGAAAAGGAGAGTCCAGTTATGTATATTTCTAGTAATATGCATATACTGTGTATGCATATTTCTAAATTGCATAAACTGATGGCTCCTGATTTTATCATATATTTGTTGCTTTGTTATTCATTTAACTATCAAGTAACTTTTCATTTTTTATTTATCATTCTGGAACTGGTTTGGACTAGAAGTCATTTAGTTTGATACTGTCAGTTATGTGTCATTACACGCGACTTCTAAGAAATCTGGATAATATCGAGTTTTGTGGATTTTGCTGTTTTCTCACTCGAGAGGCTTTTTGAACTTATTATACGTCGACATTGTTACATTTATCCCATCAGATGCCTCTTTATGATCAGTCAGAATTCAAGAGTGGAGAGGTGGTTTAGACTTGAATTAGCATGTCTTCAATTTTTTATTTGGGTTGTAATTTATAATGTGGTTTTCATAGGCCTCTTTAGTTCTAAATCCCTCAAGACATTTTGATAATGCCTACTTTTTCTTATGGTTGTGTTATGTATGATTGTGCATTAATCATTCACTGCTTGCCTAATGAGTTGCTTGCTGGAAACTACTCTCATTTCATAATCAGCTAATGTTAATTCTCTTGTTGTGAAAGAAGAGACCTCATTCATTTGCACTTCAAGAATTAAGATCCAAAAGGCTATTATATATTCAAGAATTTGATATTTTATATGTTTGGGGGTTATCTATCTTGTGATATTTTATAGCATCCTGGATTTGGTATGCATGATGACCTGACTGACATTAAATATTTCCATCAATTTCTAATTATAGGGCCAATAATTGAGGTGGGGGCGGGTAGCAGTGTTGGCTTGCCTCGTCACCTGCATATGCTACCATTATTTATTTATTATAATATATATTTTTTATAGAGAGATAAAACGGAAACGGAAATGGAAATTTTGACTTTATGAAACTGTCGTTGCCTTGTATGCTTGGCGGGATTTGCTTGTACGTATTTTTAGATTATACTAATGGTGATATATTATTTTTTAATTTTTTGTTGTTTGAAAAAAGTTACCAAAATTTCATAATATTTCAAATTTAAAGTAACAAAAAATTTAGGATTAAGGAAATTGTTTTAGATCTAATATTAAGTTTTGTATAAAAAAAATTGATACTTTGTTCATTGAGGTTAATTTCTTTAAATAGAATAGTATTATTTAAATAGTTTTTAAAGATAATAATTATAAAAAAAAGGTATAATCTAAATTTATAGGAGTATAAAATAAGTTATATCTAAATTTAGGACATCGGATTGAAATATCCGACCCGCCGCCCGCCAAGAACCAAACAACGCTGGGCTGACTCATGGACTCATTGGAATTTGTTAATGGTGTAGGTTAGGTCTTGTCGTGTGTGGCTCAGAAGTGCTGGGGATTATCGAGGGAGTTTGGCTCCATGGAGTCCGAGTCCCTGGCAATGATTGACGTCGCAGGAGTTCCGCACTGATTCTATCAGTAAACTACGACATGTACTCCTAGGAAATCGGTTTCTTTTGTTCTTTATGGAGAAGTTTAGAGCCAACATTGTTTCTTGTTGTTTATGCGGATTCGTAAGCGATGACGCTTGCAACTGGGACCTCCGCTCCAGTAAGAGTCGCTTACTTGATCCCCCTTTCCATTTCATGCTGTTGCTCTTGTCGTGTATAAATTTGTTCCCATCTGCCATCGGTGCGTTGAGCTCGTGCATTGCTTCAGTGCTTTACTTATCACGCAAAGAACTGAATTTGAACTTGGTAGCTCCCGGCAAAGTTTGAGAACTGACATTCGGGTTCACTAAAGGTTCTTGCTGTCTCTCTATGATGATGCCGTTTCTTTATTTTTTTGTGTTGAAAGGGTTCTATTATAATAAATTATTGGACGTTTTAGTTTGCTGCTGTTAATGTGGAATGTTGAGAGTTTTAAGAACCACACTGTTTCATTTCTTGCTGGTTCTACCTTGTTTCCTTATGTGGGTTTGATTGTTGGAATCTTTTCAAGAGTTATTCTTGTTTGGGGAGAAATTTTGGATTGCTTTTCAAGTTTGGACTTTGGAAAGTTTTCTAACTTTGAATTTTGCTCAAATAAGAATCTGAGTTAGAGGTTGATATTGCGTTCAATGAGATGATTTAATTTGCCGGAAATAGTTGCAGATTATATGCTTCCGAGCGAGCAGATGGGTTTTGATCCGTTGGCTTGGTATTGCCGTCCTGTGATAAATGGGATTTGGGCACGAGAGACCAACAGCACTTTTGGAGCATATGCTCCTTGTGCCATTGATTCAGTTGTTGGCAATGTATCACATTTGGTTCTTTTGGCCTTGTTGTTATATAGAATATGGCTAATCACAATGAATCCAAAACTCAAGAGGTTCATCTTGAGATCAAATCTCTACAATTATGCATTGGCCTTGTTGTCCAGTTGTTGTGCTGCTCAACCATTGTTCAGATTGATTATGGGTATATCAATCTTCAATTTGGATGGAGAGATGAGTCTTGCTCCTTTCGAGGTGTGCTTCTTCTTCTCGTCAATATGCTGATTCATGCTTTAAATTTTTTGGCTTTAGTATCTCAGTGTAAGTTTTTGGTGTTTGTAAGTGGTTTATTAAATTCATCTTTCAGTTTCTTCATGTACAGGGGGCATTATTGATAACTACAAGCCTAGAGTAGTACCAAAGATCATATATCAATCTTGATCTTTGGATATTTTTGTTTTGTATGGATTTTGTATTCTGTTATTGATGCAGCTGCATTGCGCCCTATGACAGATTGTTGAAGTGGTCATTGAGTTTCTCACATGGTGTTCCATGGTTGTTATGTTGCTTTTTGAAACTCAAATGTATGCCAAGGAGTTCAGATGGTATATCAGATTTGGCGTAATGTATGTCTTAGTTGGAGATGCAGTGATTTTCAACTTTATCTTTCAACTCAGGGATATGTATGCCAGGTCAGTAATACAAGCTACAAGCTATACTTCTTGTGATGTTAAACATGTGTATTGGAAGCATGCCTATCCCAGCATTCAAACATGCTGAGGCATATGCAAGATTATTCAGTGGTACCTGGTATAGATATACCTCATTAGACGCATTTGATATATAGTTCATTTTCTATAACATTTCTTCTGTGCTTATGTGACCAATTTAATAAAATTCAATGTAAAAAAACAGTGGTTTTGCTGATTAAACATGATCCCAGTTTGAGGACATTTTCTCCTGGACTTGTATTTGGCTAGAAGTATTTGTAAAGATTTAATGAGATTCAAATCAAACTCCTTTAATTGAAGTGTCATGTTGCTACTGATGGAGCACTCCCTTGGGTGTTTCCAAGATGTTGACTTGTGAGTGTGAGATTGAGAGCATTCATAATCATGAACTCTCTGTTATTATTGTGGTTTTCTTTTCTTTTTTGGTGTTTTGGTCATAGTAATAATTTACCATTATTGTTATGGTTATGGCTGTGGCTGTGGCTGTGGCTATGCACAATTGAGTTAGGAACTCGTTTCTTCTTCAATCAGAAAGATGGCAATTAAAATGTGATGGAAACAACTTCTGCATGCAAAATATTTCCGTATGGCCAATGCACTAATTATTTATTACTGACTGCAGGCCTGTCCTGTATTTTTGTGCCACTTCAGTCTTCTTCAAGGTGGGTTATTATCTCTTTGACCACTGTCGAAGTTTCTTAAATTTTTTATTTGATTTATTTTGTATCTTATACTTGTGGCGTATTATTCCTTTACAGCACCTAAGATGACTTACATGATGAAATTTGGAAGATTTCAAAATACAAACTCCAAAATTATGTAATCAAATTGATGTTTGTACATTGCTGGATAGAGCTAAAAATTTGATTGAAGAGTCTTGTGTAGGATGAAATTCTTGTGTCTCAGGTTTGATTGAAATAAATGTTTCATCATATGCTCCACTGCATAACGTGGCTTAAGATGATCCTTTGTTCAGTTGTGTCCTCCCACTCAGAATTATCAATCTGAGCTTGCGGGTTGGGAACTTCATAACTTCAATATTTGATTCGCCTTACTGGTGCAGGTTTTGCTTGGGGTGCTCTTACTTTTATACATCCCAAACTTAGATTTATACCCAGGCTACATACCACTTTCGGATTTGATTGACGACAATAAGAATGAAAAGCCACTTGGAGAGCATGTTTGCCCAGAAAGATATGCCAACATGTTTTCTAGTAAGTTTCAATATAAGTAGCTTTCATGTTGGTAACAATTCCATCAACTATGATGTGGTTTCTTCTGAAAAAATAAGATATAAACTAAAACATCTTGAAGGGTTTTACTTTCATAGGCATATCACAGGTTCTTTTAGTTGTGCTCTTTTTCCCATGAGTGTATCTTGTTGACTTGTTAATAGCTTCGATAAACATGGAATATATGGAAATTAATCTTGTCACACAGAGGAATCTTTCAATAGGTGGTGATAACATCTAATCCACAAAATGCTTTTTCCTGGTAAATTGTTCTAGCTCTAGGGATGATGTTAATGTCATCATTTTAGTGATCACTCTTATTCTGGCATGATTATCTCTTTCGTTAACAATAAAACTCAAACAAGGAAGGAACTGAACATGGCCCTTAAGCCAAATAAACTTAATGCTTTCTGTATTAATGTGCTCCTTGTCCTTGTAGGGATCTACTTCACTTGGATAACTTCCCTTATGGAGCAAGGTTACAGAAAACCTATAACAGAAAAGGATGTCTGGAAATTAGATTCATGGGATCAATCTCAAACACTGAGTAGAAAGTTTGTATCTCCACTTTTGACTATTCTCCATCTTGTGTGTATCTTTTGCCTCTTCCAATTTCATTTTATTCTTGTCATTTAGTTTCCAGAAATCTTGGGAAGAAGAAACTAGAAGATCAAAGCCATGGCTTTTACGTGCATTGAATCGTAGCATGGGAGGCAGGTATAAATTTTCTTGCACTGCCATGTCCTTAATGTTGTCTGAATTTGAACAGATTTAGAGAATCTCTATCTAGTGTTATGTTTAGCTGTTTTTCAATCAATTCTAATGCCTGCTCTGCATGTTTTGTATACAGGTTCTGGTTTGGAGGCCTCTTCAAAGTAATGGCCTTTTCTCATTCTTATGATACCTATATACTTGGAAACATAGTCAGAAATTCACTTGAATTTTCTTTAGTTTAACTATTACAGTATACTATTAATAATACTAACTCTAAGAAATAAAATGTGGTTTATAAATGTGTATTGCCTGCATTTTATTATTGGACTATACAAAATCAAGAAATAATGCTCGAATATATGTGTATATATAAATGTGTATTGCCTGCATTTTATTATTGGACTATACAAAATCAAGAAATAATGCTCGAATATATGTGTATATATATATATATATATATAAAGTAATGGGCATAATTTTTTATTTTAAATTTTTTTGATGGGATACTCGATTGTTGTTCAATTGATGAACTTCTTTTGTGGTGTCAGATTGGCTATGATCTTTCACAGCTTGCGGGACCGGTTTTACTAAACCATCTTTTAAAGGTACTTACACATAAATTGGAGTCATCTAGTATTTATCTCACATTGTCTTCATTTGATTACTTAACACTTTATTGTCCATTTATCATCAAAATGAGAAAACAATCAAAAGTTGATGTTCATTATACAAACAAGGTATATTGATATATACACAATATGCCCAATGGGTTCAGCCCATATGCTATATTATCTAACACTATCTAACAGCAAACAAAGTTTTGAAGGTAGTACTACTTTATAGCTACAATAGCCTTTTCTGTAATAGAGATAATATCCATATCTTTTGTTCTCCACATAGTGAATTGTGATTTTAAAAAATTGATGTGATAATCACCCTTTAAAACAAATGTGTCAGTGGTGTGATTTAACTGGTTCTTCTTATGATTGAATTGTTCATATGCTTGCAGTCTCTGGAGAAAGGTGATCCCTCTTGGATTGGTTATGCTTATGCATTATCAATATTTTTCAGTGTGGTACAATTTCCTGCCCCTCCTGTTCTTTTTCTCACATTCACACTTATAGAAATCTGCTGCAGAACTGGTATTTTTCTTGAAATTAGATTAGGATTCAACGTTCATCAATTATGTCCTTCAAGCTATTAAATTGATACTCTTGCATTGTGGTTTCTTTATTTATTGTTGCAAAATTTCATTTTTCCAGTCACTTGGAGTGCTTTGTGAAGCTCAGTATTTTCAGAATGTCATGCGTGTTGGTTTCAGGCTAAGATCCACTCTGGTAATTTATGATCATACATTGGCATTATGTTTTAGTTATCCCGTTGTCTTTGCTACTGTAGATAATTTCTAGTTATTGTATGAGACTGATCTTATTATTCGTTGTGATACATTGCATACAGTGTGGATGTAACTGTGATGTTACTTTTGTCCACAAGAACATAAGTCATTTCTTTTTATGTTTTCTAAATTGGGTTACTAGAGTCGCTACTTTAATTCCATGAGAACAAAATAATCTTTATTACATATAACATAACAAATTGCATATAAAGATGCTCTTCTAGTTTTACAGAAAAAAATTGTGCTTTCAAATATCAGTTACAAATTCAATGTCTTGTTAGCTTTTGAAAAGTATATAGGTAGCATGAAGGTGTTCTTATCATAGATCCATTTGAACTAAACTGTGATGATAATGTATCCTGAGTGAAAAGAGAGCCATTCACGACTTCATTTTATTCTCGAAATCACTACTTAAATGTTACATCAAGCATTTAAGGTTTTTAAGTCCGCCATGTAAACATTTTTATGTGTTGTTTCGGACATTTGCTTCTTTTCATTTTGGCCATGGTAAATCCCTATTGTTATGCATAGGTGGCTGCTATATTTCGAAAATCCTTACGGCTAACACACGAGGGCCGTAAACAGTTCCCATCTGGAAAAATAACAAATATGATAACAACAGATGCTAATGCACTTCAGGTACTTCCACAATCTAAACTGAGATGAGTTTAGTTTAGTTTTACTCATTTTTGTATTGAAAAATTGCTCTGTTTCATTATAAAATAAATCAATTTGAAATGCTTTCATTATTCCAAGACTTTAAATATTGTTCACTGTTTGATATCAAACAAAGGAACTTCCTTCAATTGTTTTTCACTTATTATTCAGCAAATATGCCAACAACTTCATGGTTTATGGTCGTCCCCTTTCCGCATTACGATGGCCATGGCTCTTCTCTACCAACAGCTAGGTGTAGCTTCACTCATTGGTTCTCTTATGCTCATCCTCATGATTCCACTCCAGGTAATAAACGAATCTTCTGTCTCACCCCGATTCTCCTTTTTTATCTTTTGTTTTTATAGATAATAAATTATTTTGTGAACTGAATAATTCTAAATTCTTGTGGACAACAGGCTTTTATCATTAGCCGAATGAGAAGACTGTCGAAGGAGGGATTGGTGCGTACTGATAAGCGAGTTGGCTTAATGAATGAAATTTTGACTGCGATGGATACCGTAAAGTATGATATAATTTGACTGTTTTGATGTTCTTTTAACCCGGACTCATTGGTTGATGGTAATTTCTCTATTTCTGCTCACTGGATAACAGATTTTATGCATGGGAACAGAGCTTCAAATCAAAAGTTCAAATAATCAGAGATGATGAATTGTCATGGTTTAGGAACGCTCAGTTATTGTCAGCAGTATGTTTTAACTCATTGATTCATCAAATTTACTGTTCTTCTGACTTTTCTTGTCAAAGAGTATGCACAAAGAAGGTGCAGAGCTGTGTTATTGGCTATGTTATTCATCAGATGTCCCTTAATTAGGTCATTGACAACATTTTTCTGCTAGTCGGAGCTGTGGTTCCTTATTGAATATAAGTTTGTATTATTTTCAACTTAGCACATTTTGATTGTGTGCGTGTCTCTGTTTGTGTGCTTTTGCAGTGTAATACTTTTGTACTTAACAGCATACCAGTACTTGTGACGGTGGTCTCATTTGGAATGTTCACATTGTTTGGTGGAGACTTAACACCATCCAGGGCTTTTACATCACTTTCCTTATTTGCTGTTATGCGATTTCCACTGAATATGCTCCCTAATTTGATCACTCAGGTTTGTTCGTACATGACATAGTTATCCATCCAGTTAGTAAATTCATGAATTAGCATCTTGACACTAAACTATATTATAATCTTCAGGTTGTGAATGCTAATGTCTCACTACAGCGGCTGGAAGACCTGTTAGTTGCAGAAGAGAGAATATTATTACCTAATCCACCTCTTGAACCAACATTACCTGCCATCTCAATCAAGGATGGATACTTTTCATGGGATCCTCAGGTCCTTATATTATAACGTCTAACTTGACTTCCAGCACGCACCAGTAACTTCTTCAATTTTATTTCCCAATCAATACATTTGAAAAGAACATATATAATTGCCTCAAGATACTTCAATTCATTGATGTACTGTCTGACTAGGATCATTCTATGTATTATTTACAGGCTGCAAGACCCACATTATCCAATATTAATTTGGATATTCCAGTTGGCAGCTTAGTTGCAATTGTTGGGAGCACTGGAGAAGGAAAAACTTCACTGGTGTCAGCTATGCTTGGTGAACTTCCTCCTCTTGGCAACGCAACTGCCACAATCAGAGGATCTGTTGCTTATGTTCCTCAGATTTCTTGGATTTTCAATGCTACAGTGAGCTTTCAAGAAATTCTATTCTTCTTTTATGTTTTGCTTGGTGCCTATAGCAGTTTGTTGTCATGGTCTGTTTTTCATGATTTTGTGAGATTAAATGGTCACTTTCCTTCTCTTGTACAGGTGCGTGAAAATATATTATTTGGATCTACGTTTGAACCAGAAAAATATTGGAAGACAGTAGATGTTACTGCTTTGCACCATGATCTTGGATTGCTTCCTGTTAAGTGTCCAAGATTATATCTCAACTATTATTGGCACCTGGTTCATCTGTTGTCCTGTATTTCTGACATCAGCTTCTCATTCTATTGTGTCATCAGGGCCGTGATCTTACAGAAATTGGTGAAAGAGGAGTAAACATTAGTGGCGGACAGAAACAAAGAGTTTCAATGGCTAGGGCAGTCTACTCAGATTCAGATGTATATATATTTGATGACCCACTAAGTGCTCTCGATGCACATGTTGCTTGGCAGGTATCTCACTAGTCAAATGTATTTGCTTTACATATATGATGAGCTTTCATTTGTGTAGGTTTTAAGGCCTTAATGTTGCCAACCTAGCGTTTTTGGACAATTTCTGACTAGAGCAACTGCCTTCTATCTAGGTTTTCAATAACTGCATCAAAGAAGCTCTGGGAGGAAAAACAAGAGTGCTTGTCACAAATCAGTTACATTTTCTTCCTCAGGTTGACAGAATAATATTGGTTGCTGAAGGTAAGGTGAAAGAGGAGGGCACCTTTGAGGAGCTCTCAAAGAATGGTAGTCTTTTCAAGAAGCTAATGGAAAATGCAGGCAAAATGGAAGAGCATATGATAGAAAATGAAGATAGTGTAAATAGTTCACATGAACCATCATTCCTTTCTTCTGTTGACATAAATGAAACATCAAAAGATGGAGTTTCAAATAGCAAAATGAAAGAAGGACGAACAGTTCTGATCAAGCAGGAAGAGCGAGAGACGGGGATTGTCAGCTGGAATGTTTTGATGAGGTGAAACTGATACTTCACATTTTGAATATAAGCAGGATGTGTTACTCTTCTATTATAGGGAATGACAATTGGAAGGTGTTTTCTGGCCAAACACATTTGAAACTCTTCCTATTTAAGAATTTGACTTTATTCAACAGAGCTTCTAAACCAATGGATTTATTATTCATTATCGATATTAATATTCTACATAATATGTATGTAGCATTGATGTATCTTTCATTTGCCACTTGTCTCAGGTACAAAAATGCTGTGGGAGGCTTGTGGGTCGTTGTGATATTGTTTACATGTTATATATTAACTGAAACTCTACGAGTGTCAAGTAGCACATGGTTAAGTGTGTGGACAAAGCAGAGCACTTCAGAGGGTTACAGCCCTGGCTTTTATATTCTTGTTTATGCCATATTGTCCTTTGGGCAGGTATTTTCCAATTTGCAATATTGGGAACTACAGTGTGTATTTGATTGTCTTTATCCATTGGAGCTATGTTCTTCCTTATACATTACTCCAAAATAGTGTTCTTGATCTTTTGTATATATTGCATGGGGAAATTGCTTGTCTAATATATATATATATATATTTGTTTATTTTTGTTTTTTCTAAACTCTTTCTATTTATGTGGAATTCTAGGTAAAGGTCAAGGTGACTGCACTATTGATTGTATTTGAGCATTATTAAACTCCTTGGAAAAGTTTTAAGCAATATTTATTGTTCGCAGGTGCTAGTGACATTGACAAATTCATTCTGGTTGATCACATCAAGCCTTAGTGCTGCTAAAAGGCTTCATGATTCAATGCTGTTTTCCATTCTCAGAGCTCCAATGGTATTCTTCCACACTAATCCTGTAGGACGGGTGATCAACAGATTTTCTAAGGATCTGGGTGACGTTGATCGTAATGTTGCCAGTCTTGTCAATATGTTTCTGAGCCAGCTGTGGCAGCTTCTTTCCACTTTTGTTCTCATAGGAATTGTGAGCACAATATCTCTATGGGCCATCATGCCTCTTCTCATCTTATTTTATGCGGCATATCTTTATTATCAGGTAGGTCAATTTCCTCACTCTCACTGTGTGTGTTTGTGTGTGTGCACAAGTGTGGATGGATTATTTATTCTGAGTAGGTGGTATATTTCTTCGTACTTCCTCTTTTGTAGGGAAATGCCTAGAAAAACTAAAGTCTGTGATTCTTTGTTTATATGTTCCGCATAGGTTTGGCTTTTCATACAACTCTTGATGAAAGGAATAGTTCTATACTGATGTTGAAAGAAAGATGTTTCCTTAAACTCAACAGAAATGATTAATGCTAGAGATAGATTTTATATCAACTGACATTAAAAATGTATCTTGTGCAATATAAATTTGCTTCATGCATTACTTTGATTTTGGCAGATCATGAACATCTATTTTGAAGAACAAAATCAACATAATTCTAGATAAATACAATGACATTTTTATATGTCTCAGTAAATTGGTCTAAGAGGTAGCCTTCAATTGCCCTCTTGATATAATATCATCTGTACAAGATTTATTTCCCTTAACTCTCACTCAAATGTGTGAGCTTGAGTGTGGTAGCAGCTTGTTGCTTTTTGCACATGTTTATCTGAACAGGGAATTTGATATATATTGGAGGTAATTTTGAGAATGTTCTCAAAAGGTTTTAATGCGGTTTGTTCTTATCTTTGTATCCAACTGCAGAGCACATCTAGGGAAGTCAAGCGCTTGGATTCAATCACAAGATCCCCTGTCTATGCACAATTTGGAGAAGCATTGAATGGACTATCTACAATTCGAGCATATAAAGCGTATGATAGGATGACTACTATTAATGGAAAATCAATGGACAATAACATCAGATTTACTCTGGTTAACATAAGTTCTAATCGCTGGCTTACCATAAGATTGGAAACTCTGGGCGGTATCATGATTTGGTTAACAGCAACTTTCTCAGTAATGCAGAATAATAGAGTTGAAAATCAGGTTGCATTTGCATCTACTATGGGTCTGCTCCTTAGCTACTCTTTAAACATTACAAACTTGCTAAGTAATGTCCTGAGGCAAGCAAGTAGAGCAGAGAATAGTTTGAATGCAGTTGAACGTGTAGGAACATATATTGATTTACCATCTGAGGCTCCGGATGTGATTGAAGGAAACCGTCCTCCATCTGGATGGCCTGCTGAAGGACATATCAAATTTGAAGATGTTCACCTGCGATACAGGCCTAGACTTCCTCCTGTTCTGAGGGGACTCTCATTCACCATCTATCCATACCAGAAGGTTGGCATTGTTGGAAGAACTGGTGCTGGTAAATCAAGCATGATTAATGCATTGTTCCGGATGGTGGAACTTGAAAAAGGAAGAATCCTTATAGATGAGTTCGACATAGCAAAGTTTGGATTAACTGATCTACGGAGAGTTCTCAGCATTATTCCACAGTGTCCTGTTCTTTTCTCAGGTACTTATCTTCTTCTACTGTTTTTTCCAAGACTTTATTACTCCAGCTTTGTTTTGGTCAATTCTATGCTGGTTTTGTCCATAGAAGTAATATTTCAAGAACTGATATGTTTCTTTGCCATTATATACATCAGCAGTGTAAACACCTTCTTCTATGGCATTATGATTCTGACATTTGGTTTCAATAGGCAGTGTTCGTTTCAATCTTGATCCTTTTTGCGAACACACTGACCCGGACCTCTGGGAGGCTTTGGAGAGGGCACACTTAAAGGATGTCATCAGAAGGAGTTCTGTTGGTCTTGATGCTGAGGTAACAAAATATGCTAGTCGCTGTGTATGTTTATTAGTGGTGTTTCCTATCGACATTCATAATAAGAAAGCACAAGATAATCCGAGAGCCGAAGTGTCTGTACACCTTTACTTTGCATAGGACCTCAGACTTGATGCTTTTCTAGATACCTTAAAATGTTGATATCAAAAGCTACCAGTTTAATGCATGTCTTGATGAAAGAATATTACTCATGGAATGTTCTAGGTGTCTGAAGGGGGTGAGAACTTTAGTGTTGGTCAAAGGCAATTACTAAGTCTTGCCCGGGCATTACTTAGAAGATCAAAGATCCTTGTGCTTGATGAAGCAACAGCCTCTGTTGATGTCCAGACTGATGCTCTAATACAGAAAACCATTAGAGAAGAATTTAAATCTTGCACCATGCTCACCATTGCTCATCGGTTGAATACCATCATCGACAGTGACCAAATTCTTGTTCTTGACTCCGGTCAGGTACAAGAGAAACAGCAGTCTACATATATTTTTGAAAGCTGCTACTCTTGTGCTTCTACACCTTCTCATGTTTTTGTTTTACATTTTCCAGGTGATCGAGTTTGATACTCCGGAAAAACTTCTCAAAAATGAAGCAAGTGCTTTCTCCAAGATGGTTCATAGTACTGGCCCTGCAAACGCAGAGTATTTACACAAGTTAGTTTTCAGAAACAAGGAGAATCACTTGAAAGAAGCTGCGCAAATTGATGGAGAAAACCGATGGCTTTTGTCCGCTCACTCAAATGCTGCTGCAAAGAATGCTCTTGCTTTGAGTCTTGCCTCTTCAGTAACAGACCTTCAGGTATTGAATTCTGAAGATTGCAGCAATGTGATCAGCAAAACAAAGGATGCGTTAATAATACTACAGGAGGTTTTGATGGGGAAATACGACGAGGTCATCACTGATACGCTTGACCAATCTGAGGTTACAAGATACAGTTGGTGGTCTACTTTTTACAGAGTTATTGAAGGTATGTTCCTTAGTGTTAGTCATTTGAATTGAATCTGCTTTCTTGGTTTCTTAAAACATCATATACTTTTACTACTCTGGGTATTGTCTTGACTTTTGATCGTGCTCATGAATGGTGCTTCGAATTCAGGGCTCGCGGAGATGAGCAGATTGGGGAGAAATGAACTTCGTTTTTTGGAAGACGCCTCTGAAGATTGGGATGATAGTAAATTGTAAACTCAGTACAAGGTGTGGTATTGGTAAGAATATACTGCTTGTGCTAGGGAGCAGATTTCACTACATTCTAAATTGTTGAATGTATTAATTGTTAGGATTTTAAATTTTCGAATTTCAATTTGGTTCAAATTGATTTTTTTCAAAAAAATTGAAAAAATTCGAATCCTCACCCTATTTTCCTTAAATAAATAAAGAAGGAAACAAAAGAGAAAGAGGACCGTTAGCGTAGAATGTAGATAGCATATGAGCTTACCAGAAATTATTTCGGGCCCACCGCACGTGAGCTTGTCTGGCTCAGGCAGGCAGCGCGTGGTCGTCGCCTTTGGGAGACAGCCATTGGGCTGTTGGACGGGCCTGTCGTTATACTGAACTGGACCATATGAGCTTGGATAGAAATGAAATTGGGCTGGCACGTAATCGTGTTGGCAGTGGGGAGACAGCCATAGAATCTGTTGGATGGGCTTGTTATGACACTATTGGACGACATGAACTAGGATAAAAATGACGTTGGGCTGGATGGGCCTTGAACAGTACATGTGAGTCTATCTGGCTCAGTAGGCAGCACGTGTTATTATTTGTCGGTTGTTGGGTGACAGTCACTGGACTTGTAAGATGGGCCTTAAGTTACATTTAATTGGGCTGTATGGGCCTTCAAAAAACTGAAATGGGCTGTTTGGGTTTGTTAAAAAATGATATTGGGCCTGTTGGACCTCGACAAGTGCATGCGGCTGTCAAACTCAGGTACACAGCACGTGTTCTTGTCGCTTCTTGGGTGACATTCACTGGGCTTGTCAGATGGGCCTTTAATTACATTGAATTGGGCTGTATGGGCCTTCAAAAACTGAAAATGGGATGCTTGGGTTTGTTAAACAATGATATTGGGCCTGTTGGACCTTGACCACTACACGCGCAGCTGTCAAAACTCATGTAGACAGCACGTGTTCTTGTCGGTTGTTGGGTAACAGTCAACGGGCTTGTCAGATGGGCCTTTAATTACATTAAATTGGGCTGTATGGGCTTTCACAAAACTGAAATGGGCTGTTTGGGTTTGTTAAAAAATGATATTGGGCCTCTTGGACCTTGACCACTACACGCGCGGCTGTCAAAACTCATGTAGACAGCACGTGTTCTTGTCGGTCGTTGGGTGACAGTCAACGGGCTTGTCAGATGGGCCATTAATTACATTAAATTGGGCTGTATGAGCTTTCAGAAAACTGAAATGGGCTGTTTGGGTTTGTTAAAAAATGATATTGGGCCTGTAGGACCTTGACCACTACACGTGCGGCTGTCAAACTCAGGTAGACAGCACGTGTTCTTGTCGGTGGTTGGGTGACAGTCACTGGGCTTTTCAAATGGGCCTTTAACTACATTGAATTGGGCTGCATGGGTTTTATTAAAAATGACGTTGGGCCTGTTGGACCTCGACCACTACACGTGCGGCTGTCAAGCTCAGGTAGGCAGCACGTGTTCTTGTCGGTTGTTGGGTGACATTGGGTTCTGTTGGGCCTTGACCACTACACGTGCGGCTGTCAAGCAAAGATTGCCTTTAAAGATCCCGTTTGGGCCTTTTGGTTTGAATAGAAAAACTATTCGGCCGGATGGATCTTCGAAAAATTAAACTTGCAAAAGTTATGACCCACCGGCCCAATACTATATTTCATATTAGCCCATTAGCTAAATAAATTTTTATCACAGGCACATCTGACCAGCCGAAAAAGCCCAAACCAACATCAAAACCTATCCGACATGCCCAATATTTATCACCCATCGACATAATCACGTGCTGCCTGCCCATTGGTATACAAACCCATATGCAGTTATCAAGATGCATCCGGTTAGCTGCTGTCTGCCCAAAGTTGACAAACATCATGTGCTCGTGTGGTCCTTTAGGTGACAAGGATTGGGCCTATTAGACGGGCCTTTGTAGCAAGTGGCCCTTCTTTGGCTAAACGTAGCTGTCGTGGCCCATTTAGTTGCATGGAGCAGTTCGGTTAACATCTTAGGCTTTTAATGGGCCTTGGTGGACTACACTGTCCTAGATGTTCAAGCAGACAATCAATGGATTGGGCAGGTTACGAATGATCACATTAAACAGCTTTACAATTGCATGCTAACACTGGGAATACTTATTTTTGTCACTTGCTCAAAACGGCTAAAAATGGATAAAAGTTCAAACTGATCGAACCACCCACGTCCATTTCCCCGCAGCAAACAATGATAGATATTAAGTAGATAGCATGCTAAAGTATCACATGGAAAAACAGCCGGGCACGAAAAAATTTCAAAACCCGAAAGTGCGCATAATAATAAAAGGAAAAACAGATAAATAATGGCCGCCAATAGAAGCTTACTTTCTATTGCAGTTTAATATAAGACAAGAAGAGCATCCAAATGAACATCTATCTCGCACTCTGTCCAATAGTTTGCTTTACATCCTGCAAAAAAGGGAAAACTTAGATACAGGCAATGAAAGCACAAAGACTTGTCAGACTTCTGCCATGAAGCATATGCTCAAGTCTCTGTGCATTTGAATTATAAATCTCCAAAAACAGTTTAAACAAATGAAACTAAAACCAAGCAAATCAATTATAATGAATTCCCCCAATTATGATCCCATTCAACTACGCAATGTACTACACCAACAGCCAGTAGGCAAACTCCTGAATCCAGTAATCTTGTCTACAATACAGACTTGAAAAACCAACAAAAAACAGACAATAAGCTACAACATATAGGATCTTGCATTGGCAATATAAGTGTATTGCCAATGGCAGATGACCACAGTTATTTTTACAATCAAAGGAAGCACCTGATAGCTTAATCAATTCAATGCTTCCCGACCAAAAAAAAAAAAAGAGAAAAATCACTTTTAGCTTTGGATTTAGTGGAGGAGACCTATAATTACAGAAAGGCAGAAACGACATAGAAGTCAGCAATTACCACAAGCACTTGCCTCAGTCCATTGGCGTAACCACTAAGAAATCTTTGCCTTGCAGAATGCTGACAATATATTTTCCTGCATTAATAATATATAATTACATAATCTTAATAATTAATAAAAGGTAACACACATTTGGTATCCATGTTTTAGCAGAAATACATAAAATATATGGTGTAAAAGTTGAAAGCATATTATCTAATTGTTCACAAAAGAATATGTACACAATCCCCTTTCTATCAGGATTTGAGGCATGTACGGCTAACATGAAAATAAATTATGCAATAAAATTCACATTGAACTCAAATAAATTGATATAATCTATCAAATGAAAAACACAAGAACTAAGGTCCAGGCATTTCTTTATTTATGTTAACCTTGACTCTAAGAAATAACAATTTTCAATTTTACCAAACTTAGAAACGGAATGCAAGATTGGAGTAGTTTTATCATTATTTTAAGGTTAAAACCTTCGTTGGCAGGCGCTGTATGAATGTACATGATAAACTATTTCACCACAAAAAATCAAATGCAAAACATAATCAAAAGAAATACCATTAGAGTGAACCAGAGAATGCAAGAACTCATATCATAATCCCCAATAATAATAAAAGTAAAAACATCAGTGTCATTTGTGCACCTTGTTCTTAAGGAAAGGAACTCTGTGCAGCCTTTGCAACGCCTGTTCGTCGAAAAATGTGTGTTGTTACTGGAGTTCGAGCATAAGAATCCACACCTCCTTTGTGCTTCATGAACGGCAATGACATTATCAGCATCAACATTCAACACAAGTTACCACACAAGTCATTAAACATGATTTCCACATACATTGGATCTACACAATAGGGATTAACATATATTTGTCGAAATGTACGGAACATGTGGTATAACTGATGGATGCATGCGATGGTTGCCACAAACCCACATCTCTAACATACCAGCAGTTTGGGATAATTAAGAAGCATGGTAAAGTAAATGACGGAACCTAGCTAAGATTATATAGTATCTGGAAGAAATTTTTTCATGTCCCTGCCCAGTGAGATTTCTGCAAAGGTCTAGCATCCATGCCTCAACAAGGGGGCCATGCAGAGATCTTCACAGTTTAACCTTTGTGATATATTGATTGAATGTGCAATTGAACATCAACAAAGATGTTGAATAAAGGGACGATGAATCTAAATTGAAATAGTATTACAGCAAACAAAAAACCCTAGACCAAATGAATAAAAATTGACTTAACAACACGCACTAATCAATTGCCCATGAATTTAAATTGATAAATCACATTAACAATAGGCCATACCCTGATAGGCGTTGATATTGATAACAGAAAACAAATCAGAATTAGTGCAAGGAACTTACAAAACGTCCGACGAAGACAAAGCAAAAAAGGACGACGAAGGTGAGGAATTAGAATAGGGTGAAGCGGCGGATAATCAAAGAGAGTGACGATGGCCGTCGGAGACAAAGACGAAGAAGGTGAGTCGAGCGCGAGGTCGTCGGAAAAAGAGAGGCATGAATGCATCAGGTTCGGAGGGTAGGGTTAAGAAAATTAATCAGGAACTTGGTTGGACCGCGGATGGGATTGCTACACCGATTTTTGAAACAAGGTCGACGGTGCGTTCCTGGCACAACTTTAACCTCTCCTTCGTCAACTCCAAGAGCATGCCATTGCCAAATCTCCAATCCAAGCGTAAACTGCATCAAATACGTACGAAATACGACAAAATTATATACAACTCCAGTGCCAAGCAAGTGGTGAGTGTGAACTCGTCGTCTGGCAATCGTTATACAAAAGATCGATTTCAGCACGTAGTCAAGTTTATAAACACCCAAATATGGAAGCAAAAACAACGATGTCAAATGATCTGATTCAAAACAACTCGAACAAAGAAAAAGAACGAAACACACGAACCTTTGTGCCAATCTCGGTGTAGAGTCCCGACCACATGACTGTAAACTAAAGAACCTTAATTCGCCGGCAGAGAATGCGACCGCAATACGACGGAAGTTGTGCGCAGGAATGAGCATCGGATGCCCTAACCACGGCCAAACTGACAAAACAAATAGTTATATGGACTTTATATTGGGCCTAATATTATTCTGTAAGCCCCAACCAAATGAGCCCAACACACTTTGTCGGTGCAAATCCGACTTTGTCCAAACCTCAAAAACGTGTTTCTGCTTGTAATATATTGCAGTGAAACACTTAAGTAATTAATTATCTTCGAATTCAGGGCTCGCGGAGATGAGCAGATTGGGGAGAAATGGACTTCGCCTTTTGGCAGACACCTCTGAAGATTGGGAATGGGATGATAATAAATTGTAAACTGGCAGTATAAGGTGTGGTCTTGGTAAGAATATACTGCTTGTCCTAGGGAGTACATTTCAATACATTCAAAAATATTGAATGTATTAACTGGACCTGTAATGTACAAAAGTAGGAGCAAGATATCCTCACAGCTCTTGAGAAGAATCTGCAAGAAGAAAAAAGAAATACTAGGATGGTGATAATGCCCCATATTGTGAGATCATTTGGCTTGACTTGCATATTCTATTCTTGGCATATTTGACTTTTCATGTATTTTCAATATTGACTTTACATTGAGAAGATGGAAGGAACCCAAAAAAGTATCATTGGTCAATTCTTCAGTTTCCATCATCAATTGGAAAATCTTCTGCATGGTTTGAGTTTTCCTTTCCCTTTCCCACAGAATAAAATAAAGAAGGAAACAAAAAGAGAAATTAGGGTAGAATGTAGATAGCAATTGCTTTCAACCATCATCATCATTAATATGAATTCAAGAAGTTGGACGCGGCGGACCTACTTCAATCATTATGAATAAATAAATAAAGCATCATCACATCACTGAATTTAACAAATGGGGTTTGAAGAAATTTGGTGTCTCTATGCAATGCAAGGTGGGTGTTTGAAGTTTCAATGGAAATGGCCCACAACATCGAGGAGGTGTTTGGTGTTTGTTTTTCTTCACATCTCCCACTAATAATTATTAATTAATTAATTGCCAAACCTTTTTAGTGTTATTTTACTTTCCCAATAATAACCACAGGAACGCGAAATTTGTTCAACGGAAAGCACCTTCATTCCTTAATTTGTACTCAAAAAATGCTTCTTTTACAGGGGTCACTGGTTTTGTCTCGTGTTCACTGAAGAAGGCTGAGTTTTGGAATCTTCTGTCTGGTGGCTCGGCTCCAGAAAATTATTTTAGTATTGTTGTGTCAGGACAACTGGGGATGGTGACCTAATGTTTTTGTCTGATTCGGAAGTTTATTCAGCAATTCCACTGAGGCGTCCTGCTGGGGTGGTTCGGGGATAAACATATGAGATGAGATGAGATGAGATGAGATGAGATGAGAGAGGAGTAGTTCTTTTGTGGTTTTGTTGAGCATTATTTGTGGCATTTGTTCCAATTGGGTTTCTGCAATTAGGGTTTTGGATCCATTCGCTTGCTTGCTTTTCTCCTTTTAATCGGATTCATTTCTGCAATTTCACAAACCCGCATTTGAGCCTAATCGGCGAATGTACACTGAACGTTAGGGTTTTGCGACATTGCGGAAGCTTCTTCTTCATCTGGCTTGGTAATTGAAGACATGGCCTGTATGAAATTGGGATCGAAATCCGATGCATTCCAGAGACGAGGACAAGCCTGGTTCGTTTCTCGATTTAATCAATCATAATCTTACCTCCATTTTCTGCTCTGCTCTGCTAGTAACAAAAATCCTCATGTATTGTTGATTGAGTTAGTTCCCTCATGGTTGCTTAGCTTCTCCTATGCATTTTTGTTGCGAAATCCAACTTTTAACTGCTGTTGCTCTTAGAAATGCCACCATTTGTTATGCGACTTTGATTTGGCATGATCTTGAGGAGGCTTGAACAGCTACGCTGTGGTCTTTATGGCACTCTGGGTATTGTGGAATTCATGGAATTACATTCCAACAAAAGTATTGTGTCTCCGAGTTTGCCATGAATGACATTAGAGAGTGCAAAAACATTAGATATGGAGTGATTGAAATAATGCTCAGTCTCTTGATGTGTTCAAGTTTCTTGACTGTAGGTTCTGCACAACGGGTCTTCCGAGCGATGTAGTTGTTGAAGTTGAGGATATGTCCTTCCATCTTCACAAGGTATTATTGTTGTAAAATGTATATTTCATCTGTTGGTTTTTCTCTTGCACCTTTATGTTGGATGTGATTGAAACATTTTCTTCTGCAGTTTCCATTGCTTTCGAGAAGTGGCTTAATGGAAAGACTCATTGCCGATGCTTCAAAGGGAGAAGACAGCTGTGTCATTGGCCTTCCGAAGATTCCTGGTGGAGCAAAAATGTTCGAGCTTGTTGCTAAATTTTGCTATGGGGTGAAACTGGAACTTACTGCCTCAAATGTGGTGTGCCTTCGCTGTGCTGCGGAGCATCTTGAAATGACTGAAGAATATGGCGAGGGCAATCTCATTTCTCAAACTGAAGTCTTTCTCAATCAAGTTGTTCTGCAAAATTGGAACGACTCGCTGAGAGCACTCCAGACCTGCAGTGATGTCCTCTCTTGCGCCGAAGATCTCGACATTCCAAAAAGATGTATCGACTCTTTGGCAGCCAATGCATGTACTAATCCGACTTTATTTGGGTGGCCTGTGAGGGATCATCGTGCTCCTCTGCAGAGTCCCGGCGGCAGTGTGCTATGGAATGGAATCAGCACTGGCGCTCGATCGAAAAATTTGAGTTCTGACTGGTGGTTTGAGGATGCATCCACTTTAAGTTTATCTCTTTACAAAAGGTTAATTTCTGCAATGGAAACCCGGGGCATGAAACCGGAGACAATAGCCGGTTCGCTTAGCTTCTATGCAAAAAAGTATTTACCTGGTCTAAACCGGCGCCATGGTGCCAGTGAGGGGAGTGGCCATCTTGCGCCGGGTTCGGGAGCTCTACTATCGGTAGAGGAACAGAAAATTCTTCTCGAAGAGATCGATCACTTGCTCCCAGTGCAAAAAGGTTTTGTTTCAACGAAGTTTCTAGCTGGACTACTAAGAACAGCCAAGATTCTTCGGGTAAATCCTTCTTGCATATCAAACTTGGAGATGAGGATCGGAATGCAGCTCGATCAAGCTACTCTTGAGGATCTCCTGATGCCGTGTTTTTCCTATTCTATGGAGACTCTGTATGATGTTGATTGTGTGCAGCGAATTCTAGAGCATTTCTTGGCCATGGATCAGGTTGACGGCGGCGAAACCCCAGGCTCTGTTGACGGCGGGCAATTAATGGGATCGCCATCTCTGGTACCAATCACGATGGTAGCAAAGCTGATCGACGGATACCTCGCAGAGGTTGCCCCTGATGTTAATCTGAAGCTCCCAAAGTTTCAGTCACTTGCTGGTGGTGTTCCCGAGTATGCGCGCCCTTTGGATGATGGGCTTTATCGCGCCATTGACATTTACCTTCAGGTACATTTACATTGCCCAAAACTCACTTGGGAGTTTTCCAACAACAAAGTATTTCGAAATGGTTGTGAATCTTAATTGCTTTTCTCGGCAATGCAGGCTCACCCATGGTTTGCAGAATCCGACAGAGAACAACTATGCCGGCTGATGGACTGCCAGAAGCTCTCTCTGGAAGCATGCACGCACGCAGCTCAGAACGAACGGCTGCCATTAAGGATAATCATCCAAGTCCTCTTCTTTGAGCAACTGCAATTAAGAACCTCCATAGCCGGATGCTTTCTAGTCTCCGACAACCTTGATGGGTCGAGACAGTTAAGAAGTGGGCTGTTGGGGGCAAATGATGGAGGATGGGCGACGAGCACGGCCAGGGAAAACCAGGTTTTGAAAGTCGGCATGGATAACATGAAGATGAGGGTGTCTGAGCTCGAGAAAGAGTGTTCTAACATGAGGCAGGAGATCCAGAAGCTGGGTAAGGCTAAAGAGTCGAGCCTTGCCAAGAAGTTAGGCCTTCGATTGAAGTCTCAGATGTGCAGCACACATGAGGACTCAGCTAGCAAGCCGAGCAGCGTCCACAGCCACAGCCACAGCCATGTCAAATTCGAAAAGACCAAAGACAGACATGGCAGGGAGAAGAAAACTTAGGCTTGCTATGAATAGAATTTGTTGCTCTTTTTAACCTTTATTTTCTCCATTTTTAGCCCTGGTGTGCAATGATGATTAACTGTCTTCAATTCCATTTCAACTTGGGTTCTTGTATTGTATGTATGGTTTATCCAAGTATGCAACAGAAATGCAAATGGATACACCATATCTATTGCCATTAAATCATTCTGGAAAAAACCCATCCATGTTTAATGAATTCAAGACATAATGGCCAACAGGCATATTTCTGTACACTCCAATCCTGGGATTGATCTAAGTACACTTTTCGATCACCGATTGTATAGTTCAAACCAGAACACACCCCTTGCAAGAAATGATTTCGAACAGTACAAACAGACCCTTCTACTCTATTAAAAATTAGGGAGATGAGAAAGGCTAAGACTAAAACAGATGAATAAAGCCAGCCAGCCATCCATCACCTCAATATATTGAGTTTGTTGGCGATATCTACGCTTCTATTTTGAGAAGAGTGTTCAAAGATGTGCTGTTGAATCGCTGCGCCAGGCCGCGGATCATGAGCACAATCAAGTCGCGCTGATGTCGGGTCTGCACCATCAGATCCACTTCATTCTCACTGTCCACGACAATTCTCAGGCGATGCTGATCATTTCGGAATAGCTCCACCTACAAAAGATACACATAGGAGGACATTAAAAAGGGAACCGTCACAGTCACACGGCTGCAAATATTGTCCAACTGGAAGAGCAAGGACGCGTACATGGAAAGGAGGAGTGTATGCGCCGCGAATTTCTGTTGTAGGAAATGAAGTTCTGGAACCTGGCTTTACAACCTTAACTCTTTTTCTATTTACTTCTAGTATTCTTCTCTCAAGACTTCCCATCCCTGGAACCTGCAGCACAAAAAATGTCATTCAGTACAGAAAAGTCACCTATTATATATATTTTTTGGCAAGATAATGTTTGGTACAAATCACAAGTACCCTTTTAGGAGCTCGATCCTTGTCGCACAGGACCTGTACCAAAATTTCTAGATGCATCAGTTCGGTTCTTATGCATAGATGACATAAAGATTTAATAGATTAAAGATCTTTACAAAAGAATCATTCCAAGAGTAAGAAAAGAAATACCTCAAACTTGACCGACCCGAGTTCTAGTTTCTGCTTGACCTCTTTATGAACATCGGGTTCTGTAAATTACGATAATAGTTGAAAGCAACATCAGAGAAATATGCTTTGTGCAATTATTTCAATGGTAACAAATGGTAGGAGAATAGCTTTGGACAACAGAATGAATTACCAACTGCAATGGGGTCAGTTGATGCTGAAACAGGCTGTCCCTCGACTCCATCATCTCTCACCGGTGTGTATATAGCAACTAGCCGGTAGCCTACATCGTCAACATTAGCTTCATACATTCTTCCAGTCTCCCCTGCAGCCGCAAATCAACATGATCAAAAGATTACATCAAGATGGAAGTCAATAGATTACATTGCTTGATGTATGATGTTGATGTAAACACAGTGACTAAAGATGAAACATACCGGGGATAGAGATGAGGTCTGGACTTCCAACCATTGATCTGAGCCATTGGATCCTGCTTTTCCCCTCCTTTCCGCCGCTGTAAATGCCACGTACAGAATATAGATTTGTATGAAAACCTCGGCCCTCGATTTCCAGCTTGTCCATTTTAGGAACTCCTGTTTTCAACAGAAGCCAAAAATTTCAGGATGTGATATTATGAGAGCACACTAACCTTCACAAGTAATCTATTTTACAGGCTAACTAGCAACATTGCACACAATAATGATATTGTAGTTTGGTGGTACCTGGTAAAACCGGAGAGGTTTCAGCAAATGATGGCTCACTTGATCTTCCAAACACATCGGTAACTATGCATTCACACCTCAGGGAGCGACCGATATCCTCAAACCGTACCCTGTAGGAGCAAGATCGATGTGCTGGAAGTGGCTCGAATACCCTTGTTTCAGAAGAGAAAAACCTACAAATTTGGCATCACAGCAAAGACATCTAAATTAGGCCATGGTCTGGAAAGAAATTTTGGTATGAACACACTGAAGATATCATATCTCTATGGCTTTCTTCCAACAAAGCTTGCATCATCTCAGCAAAAATCATTACCATGTCTTACAAATACCAAGAAATTAGGGGGTAGAGATGTACCATTGATATTTCACTTCTTTCTTGTACTTTCCCCAAATGATCTCTTGAGTTTCAGTCTTTGGGATAACTTCTAAAGCCGTAAGTACTTCTCCTTCAACAGCTTTACCAGTAAGAGCTATCATCTCAATTCTTGGCAACTCTGGCATATCAATGTAATAATCAGATAAAGGTAACTAGGACTTAAATAGCTCGGTGGATGGGATGTAAATCAATAATCTACTTTCATCTTCTGTGACTGGTGAACTTAGGGTACAACATGAGAACATTCTTTGCAAACTCTACTGCTGCAATAAATCTTCTAAAGAGCGGCGACAAGCTTATAATAATACCTGGCAAAACAATATCGCTTGGCTCAGATAATTGAAGTTCTCCAACCATTGAATCGGAGCGAACAGGTGTGTATCTGCAGTACGCATGAAATGTTAAATAAAATTCAACTATTAATAACATTGAATATCAAACAATGGAAGTCACAGAAAAATCACAGCTTTACTTAGTAACATTCAGATGGGGAGACCAACAAAATAGCAAAACATTGTGCATCAATCATGTAGTCTATACTGTGCAACAATAAAGAATGATTGATAAACAAATTGTGAAGTGCATAGATTCAATTGAAATTGTATAGAATGGCATAAAGGAACACAAGTATTGGCAAAGAGGCAATTTGCCTATGTATGTCTAGTTGTCTATGTAGAGAACCTATCAAATGGTCAATTCAAGTTACAGTAATCATATGTTGCAGCTGAACTTAAGTGATTCACAACAAAATAATAGAGGATTTGATTGCTTACCCAAACAACAATCTATGGTTATAATCTTCATCTGAGACTTCATAATTTTTAGAATTAGCACCACTAATAAGAACAGATGTCCCATCTTCATATTTTCTAAACCAGCTGAACAGGCTCTCTCCTTCATATCCACCAAAATATTCTCCTTCTCCACAATAGGTACTTGAGGACAACTTCGTAATGTGAACATTAGAAACTACTGGAAGAGCTGCCGTGCAAGATAATATCTAGGTGTTAGGACACAAGAATTGGAAAATTAAAATGATTGAGCTAAAATAATTCCTAAGCTGTGAGCGAAGAAATAAAAGGCTAAATTTCTGGTGATACCTAAAGCAAGTTAACAATATAGTACAATATGCTATAAAAGATTAATACCCTCAAGGAAACACTAGGAAAATAAGATGCTACCTGGAGTAACTGGAGATTGACAAATAGAAACCAGAGGCTTGCCGCATTTTCCGTCTGATCGAGTTGGCAGCCAATATAATGCTAGATATGATCCCACATCTTCAAGACAAGGAGTATAGGTTCTGACAAGGGTAATGATTCAATAAGATGTCATCGTCCTTGATTTCCATAAGTTCTATCATATAACTCAAAAAACACTTACAATATTTCTCCACATATATTAACATTTTCAATATTATTTGACAGCTCCACCGGGGCAGATTCAGGAAGCTTATCCTTTGTTCTGAACCAAATATATTTCCCAGATCCTTCTTCACCTCCAAAATATTTTGTTTCAGGGACAGATTCCTGGCCTTCACTGCAATCAGGAATCACTAATTCAACACCCTGAGGCTCCCCTGCACATAAATTACCACTTTAAACTTAGGACCATAATCTTCTGAATATTTGAGCTGTGTAAACTATGATTAGTTGTTTAAAATTCAAAACATCAACAGAAGCAACGATAAAGTATGACTGGGGTGAATACAAACAATTGATATAGAACTGTCTACACTCACCAGGAGCAATGGCAGAAGAAACCAGTGTCTTGGGGCTCCCCCTCAAGCCATCAGCACGAACTGGTGTATAAACGAATTCCAGGCAGCGTCCTACTTCATCAATAGTTAAGTCCAAAGCTTCTGCATGACTTTGAAACAATTTATCAGAACACAGAAACCAAAGCGTATTGAGACTATCAACAAACAAACGCATAACAATATTTGCCTCCAACATGAAGTTTCTCTTTTTGTCCACTGCCTTTCACTCTGTACCACTCGCACAAGCAATCTCCCTTCACCCTGAAAAAATGAGCATTACATGTGATCCTGTGAAAATAAAGCTTTTGAAAGGTGGTAGGGAAATATAATTTAAGCTTATTAAGGGGCCTTACCCGCCACTGTAATTAGCGACGAAGCTCAAATGCTCGCCTTCAACCAGTGATCCATGAAATTTAAGTGATCGGCAAGTCGGCAATCCTGGAATGAGAATATTTCACTTTCAATTTCAAGTAGTGGATTGTAATTGTACATTTTTGTAGGCAAGAGTGTTGGTGTGAATTTTCTTAGGCTACCTGGAACAATAGGTCCAACTTGTTCAGAAAGAACAATAGGGCCACGTGCCCCATCACATCGAATAGGCTCACAGGAAACTGATATGAAAAAGCCAATGTCATCAACTGATATCATGTATGATGAAGAAGTTGCACCGCTTATTTCATTGTGTGCGCCATTTGAACTAGTCTGTAAAGAAATATCACTAATAAAGTTTGCAGGAGGTTTTAATTATAGTAAAAACTCAAAGGAAAGAATGGGGGCACCAGCGTTACCACAAATTGATATGTGGAACTATAATAACTTCACGGGATTAGTAACTACAAAAACAAATAGGGCAACATCACTTCATGCAATAATATATACCCGGAACCAGCAGTAAACAGACTCTCCCTCTTCACCACCCCAGTATATTTTTTCAACGCTGAGTGTTGTGCCTTCAACAGAAGTCCCATTGATTTGTAAAGAAAGCAATCTTGGGCTTCCTGATAATAAGAATTGATGAAGATTAATTATTTATAGAATTAATTCCATTCTACAAAAATATAGATTTTTCTCGCCATTGAAAGTTAGACCAAAGTCAAACTAGGCACTTGATGTCACTGCAAAACACAAAATAGTAGAATGACAATAAAATTAACCACAGGAAGTGCTGCAGTTACCTGGACGAACACGCTCTTGTCCTATGCAGGTTCTTGGTTCACCAGAAACGTCATCATTGCGCACTGGGATGCAAGTGAAAGATACAATTTTCCCAATGGCATCTTTTGTAATTTGATATTGAAGATGACCTGAAAGCTCAGGTATAAGTGTGCCAGAGTCATTTTCCACCTGCAACAGGTATTATAGAACTTCACAACCAAACATAATAAAGAAAATCTGATACCTGTGAGTTCCAAATTGATGTTATTGGTTTAAAGTCATCCTTTAATCAATGCGTGTATGTATGTTTTCTTAAAAATTCTATACAGTGAAAGAACCGTTTCAGTGATAATAAATCAAAAGAGATTCATGGTAGATAGGCCAAATGATGAAGAACAGCATGCAATCACAACAAGAGGCTGGAAAAATTGAGGTGAAATTAAATGTTGTCAGGGAACTTCTCATTCAACGCTTTAAAGGGGCTTCATCACATGGGCAAGGACATAAAAGATACATCCTACGTGGCATAGTAGTTTGGTTTATGCACAACTTTCAATGTATTCACACTTCACACTTAAGTCCTAAGTTGCACAGCTGATTATGTTAGCTAAGTGATGTTATCCTTCAAGTTCTAGCACTGGTATTTACCAAAAGCCCATATATTCTCTTTAATGCCATAAACAGATGCTATAATATAAGATTCATGCATTATATTGAACAATAATAATATACCTCATGGAGAAACCAGTTATGCACACTCTTCCCCTCATGACCACCAATATAACCATATGATGCTGTCAACACACCACCTTCAGAGTAATCGCCGGTAATAGACATAAAATTAAGACTGGGCGGAAGAGCTGCAAAAGGATAACTACATGTTATCAATCATTTAACAATGGTCAACATGGATAGTTCTTCACTTCCTGAATTTAAAAAAGTCTAGGAGTTAAGGGCATGAACAGAAACTAAATATAATAATAAGTTATCCAATGTAATTTAGATAGGTCATTGAGAAAGAAATTCAAGACATTACGAATAGAAAGTACCATCCTATGGATTCGGATAACTTATTTTGCTTATCAAAATGTTTCTCTCGAAATAAAGTGAACTATTTCCTCCAATATCTTGCTCTCGTAAAAGTAACTCACTCTATTGTCAGGATACATAAAGCAGCCTTTGGAACTGTAACTCTAAAAAAGCTTAAATTCTAACAACAGTAGATGAAAATCCAATAACTAATACTTGTGCAACTTCTACCCACTCCTGAATCCTTTGGAACTAAATGCAGAAATTAGGATTATACTCACTCTCAACAGCTGTTTCAGAAATTACAAAAGCTGGTTCACCAGCTTCACCATCTGGAGTCATTGGAGTAAATTTTGCAACAATGTATTTTCCAACAGCACCCAGGGGTATGCGAAATGCCTGCATAAAGGAAATTGCTAAGCAGAAACCAGTATATCCACATTATGAATCAAGATAGTTGCCAATATCTGCAAGTTACCTTAGCAATTTTAGAGGTACTCATTGCTTCAAGGTCATTTTCATCCTCAAGTGTGGAACTACTAGTTTTGAACCACTGAACTCTACTAGAAGCTTCAGTTCCTCCTGTGACAATGCCAGTAACTGTAACCTTGCTCCCCTCCTTCAGTTCGCCAATTATCTTTACATTTGTTACTTTTGGTGGGGCTGTGTGTTGAAGACAGAGACGGAAGGAAAATTAGAGGATCTCAGAAAAGGAATAGAAAACTAAGTGACAAGGTTGCATGTTTTCTCTTCAAAGATAAGAACTTAAAACAAAATTGATCGCGGAATGTTACCACAAGTTAGTATACATCCAACAGCAAATGTTAAAATTTTATTGCATCATGTTAACCAATTAACCTATGACAGGTGTAACCTATCAATGCACAATGGCTATAAGTAAGCCATTGCAAAAAGAATAACAATCAAATTCAATTACCATATACCTTTAAAAACAATGACCAACCTCAACGAGTTATGAGATGTTAACAAATACAGGGAAAACACAAAAGCATACCACTGGAACATATCAACCAACTCCATGCACAGGATTTATACAAATAAGACACAAAAACAAGCATGCATAAATACAAACTTTCTAAGTGTAAAATATAACAAATAATACACTAGTCGGTGCAATCAACTGCAAAATTTTTGAAGTAAAAATTAATGAAAAGTAGTCTAATAGATAATTTTATTCAGACAAAACTTCTAATGCCAGAAATGCTGCAGTTCAATATTTTGATTAATGGTTGCCGTGTTAAGATAATAAGTTATGCACCTCGTTTAACAATCTGGGACATTGCTGACATAGATTTCCCTTCCTGTCCTGAAAGTAGTCCGAAAAGTAAAGAAGATTATACATTGCTTGAAACACCTTCTTGCACAAGCTAAGGTAGAAGAACTGTAAGAATTCCCACATTTTAATGAACTTACCCTCAAAGTTTACAGGTACATAAACAAATGCTATTCGTTGACCAATATCTTCTTTTTTAAGAATATATTCATTTGTACCCATCAACACTGATGTGAATTCTCTGCAAGGCAGGAGAAAGAAAGCATTTAAGTTGAACTAAATCCAGCGATTAAAATAAATGTAAGACATATAATATCACATAAAGGACCAAATGAACAGAAAATATCAACGAAACAGAAGTGAGAATTTCTAAGTGGGAGAAAGATAAATAAGAAACAAAACATTTGAGGTTAACCGGTGGGATATATCACAAAAGGAACAAACACCAACCCAGTATCCTTATCCTCACGCAACCACTTAAAGGTACTGGGGCCTTCTTTTCCTCCAAAATACTCCCCTACCCCTTTGATAGTATTTCCTTCAACAGCATCTCCAGTAATCTGTACATTACTCACAGATGGAAAAGCTGCCAAAACAGAATGAGTTATTTAAAAAAATTAAACGGATACACCAAGAAGAATAACAAAACTAATTATTTAGTGATAAACTAATTTAGCTTGGAAGTTCTGTATTTGGCATGCCAACAGTTGTATACAAGGAAAGTTCATGTCACACATCTGATAGCTTTTTCGAAAATTTAAGGCTCTTTCTATGAACTCACAATAAATTTTATAAGTACTTATCTTGGACGTTGGCACACTTCTTAAACACAAGCTACAAAGGTATACAAGCAAACATTCAACATAGCAATTGCTTCATTATCACTATTTGAAAGAGCAGTAGGCATCTCCGGACCAAAGCAGATCCCAAATATTACAAGAAAACAATGCCCCCCATGTCAACTTAAGATATATATAATATCTGAAACCATGGTTAGCAGGTAAAATGAAAGAACTAAGGCAAGTATGTCTATTGAATATGCATGAAATCCTTCTCATTATATATATATAGTCAGAGTTGATATTAGGTCTGCTTTCAATGTTTCTATCGACCTATAGTTCTGTATAACATCTCTCAAGAACAATATGCTAAAAAAGTGCAAATTCCAGAACAATAAGTGCATACCTGCTTTTACATAATCAGTGATTGCATACTGAGGTTCCCCTTTCGCACCTTCTTCAGTTACAGGCGTGTACATATAAACTAAACAAGAATCAACATCATCTAGGGTCAGTTGATATTCTTCTTCTTCTGCACCATCAATTACTACAGGGCTGCTATTCCATCGTCTCCGAAGCCAACTGCAGAAAGAAAAAGTAAGTTTCTCCCACCTGATGTGGACAAGCACTTCTCTTATATTACAAGAAAAAAACAGATAAGTCAAATCATTCAAAAGGCATTGCTCAATGATATCACCTGGCAACACCTTTCCCTGGAGTCCCTCCACACCAAGCAACCTCAGCATACCCTTTGAGTGCATTACCCTCTACCAGTTCCCCACGGACATCAATTTTTATGACCTTAGGGATTCCAGTGCCTTTGAGAAAACAGGCAAAAATAGTTCATTGGCAAGATAAAAATCCATACCAACTGGTAATTTTTATTTTATTTTTTTATCTTACACCATATAAGATGTTTGAAGAACTACCAAAATAAGAATATGTTAAGATGGTGGCAAGAACACTATCATGTTTGTCAGAAAGAACGCATGTACGACATAACAAATGCAAGATGGACAAAATGAGAAAGGGCTACATGCAGTCAAGTCCCTTCGATTAGTTTAATAATAAAAAAAAAAATGCCTGTGAAAGCTCCACTGCCAATTAAAGCAAGGACCTTGTGTCATGGATTGCAAGGAAGGTGATGCACACAAACTCTATGATTCACACATATTTTGCAAAGGTGCATCATAGTGCAATAATGGGCCAACCAACAACCACATGGATTAAAAATCAGCAATTTCAGCAGTAGTCTGGATAAATATACCTGGAGAAACTGGCAAGGATATTGCAAAAATACTGGGATATTCAGTATCTCCTAGTACTGGAGTACACTCCACTTTCAAGATTCTGCCAACCTCATCACGCTTGGGGAAATAGATCTGACAAGAAATTAATTAATACACTAATCTTTAGACCAGAGATGGTATTTAAATGCTTGATAACTATAGGCACACCTCTCTGCAAGCACCAGAAATTGCTGTAAAATTTGATGGAGTTCGTTCTCCAATATACCAATGGTATTTCAAATCCAAAACTGAATCAGTCTCTTCAGTGGTGTCCCTCACAAACTCAAAGTGAGAACAGCAAGCATCTTCCACAAAAGGTCTGTCGACAGAAGCTCTTTTAAGAGTGTATCCAGGAGGAAGCTGCTCTTTCCATTGTTCCAGAAGAAACTTAAATGTAGAATCTAGTAACAGGAAGCAGATTTATAAGAAATCATAACAAGGAAATACAAGATCATGACAGTGCTGCATGCCGAAATTTATTAATCATGCAAGTTATAGCCGCATACAAGAGGGCAACCGCAGGCACTTTTCTTTAGTAGAACTGGCAATAGTTAAATCCAAACTTAAAACCTCATTTGCTCTACTGCTTATATTAAAAAAAAAAAAAAAGAAAATTGTGTACAAATTTAAAACCTCCACTTACCACCAGCTTGCTCGGGACGGCAGAGATCCCAACCACCTCGAATACACAAGGCTGTATGCGATGGATAACGTTTGGCAACAGCTATCTCCTCACGAGTAAGATCTGAAAGAATTGTTCAACAGATGAATAGGAGAATAAGATGTGGTCTGTGCAAGAAAATTAATATTATGTTCAATGGATGCTAGATCAGGGGTGTTGTGTGCCACAAACATTCCAACTATTGTAGCTGTGAATGTGAAAGGAGATGAATTAAATATCTCATACTAAATCTTTACACCAATAGTGTTTTATGTTATGAGATGAACTCACTACGCTCCTTCCTAGTCGGATCGATGGAAAGACTTGCACAGAAAGAAATCCCAGAAGAAAATATTACAAGTGAATAAAATAAATTACATAAAACACTGAATAGATGTCTCACCCCTATCATTAAATTTCTTCAAGGTTGGGCCTACAAGCAAAATGGATGCTGCTTCCAGATGAGGCATCTTAAGTATGGGATTCTCTTCAACACGCAAATGCTGCATATCCCAACGCATATAGCAGACACAAACAAGATTAGCATGGTAAGATAAATTTATGATTCCAACTCATTTAAGGTGCAACTTAAAGTTACAGTCAATATCGATCAGTGTCGACACAATGTTCATAATATGTAAGAGGTTTTACTGTGATCTTCTGCACCAGCTTTATAACTTAACATTAAAGAGCATTCAGTAGAGTTATTTATTAATGGTGTAAAAAGAAAACTGGGCATGTGTTCACTCAACTAACCTCAAGTGCTGGCAAGTATGGGAACCCTTTCAAAGTTGATATTTTGTTCTTGCTTGCCGCTAGCACCTACAAAGCAAAATGTTAATGATTACAAATTGAAAGGTATATGACGAATAAGATTTAGAACAATTTACTAACCTGTAAGCGAGGCTGGCTAGCCATTGAAAGAGACTTCAATTTATTCTGAGCAACAGATAAAAACTGAAAGGGAACAAAGGAAATAATGTTGTATCAGAATGTGAACCACCCTAACAGTGGTGCCGTCAAATGAATGAGCTGAAAGCCTAGGCTTCACCTCCAAGTTAGGGAGCTCAGGAAGGCTCTTCAATGATGTGATTTGATTTCCAGCAAGATAAAGTTGCTGCAGGAAAAATAAAATGAAATAGGATGTTATTGAACTAGAATTTTATTCCGCAGATAATACATTATCATGAAAACAAGACCACCTGTAGTGCTTTGCAATTCTCAAGTGGCTCAAAACCAGGTCCTTTGAAATCATTGAAACTCAAATCAAGAACCTGAATGTATAACAGCTATTGTAACTAAGATTGACACAAGATGTAGACCGGTGGAATAAGTGACATACAAGCTCTAATGTACAAAAATAAGTTTAGAGACTTGGAAATTAGCAAGCTATATGCACCTTCACACGTTTCAGGATTTCTATACCATCCAATGCAGATAGAAGATTGTCTCTGAGATAAACAAACTGCACGGGAAGTTCATGTTAGGATAATAAAATTAAAAAAAAAATTAAAAAGAAAAAGGAGAAATAGAAGTAAACTTTGATGCAACAAATCGTTGTGCTTTCCATTGTGTGCATATAATGAAGCCCCTCGAAAAACTTGGGTCTGTTTACTAAAAGTACAGGAAATAATAGTGGGGAGACCAAAAGTAAAAAAATAATATGCAATTTACTTTAGGAACTGATGCAACTAGCCAACTCCAAGATCAAAGTTCCATTCATAAAAGAACTGCCATGGGCCCTAAATTTGTTAACGATGCCATAATGCAGAAGAAGCTGAAATTTGCGAAATTAAATCACAATAATAATGAAACAGTGAGTAGTTAAAGGACTATGTGTATGTAAATTTACTCACACTAGTGCCACATGTAACCCTCAGAGACAGTGGGTAGAAAGACAAACTGTGACACACATACCTCTAAATTTGGTGACAGATTCAGTCCACCACTTTTGAGAGTGCGTATCTTGTGGCCACGGAGATCCAACCGCTTCATCAAAAACATTGGATTCACATAAACCTTTAATTAACTGAGAACTGATCAAAGTAACAAGGGATGGAAAGTGTTCAAAGTTCGACAACTGCTCTAAACTCTGAATAAAAATGAACATTTTCAGCCCAATGCAAAATCGTTAACCATATCTCATCCATTCAACCACAGTGCAGGCATATGAAATCAATTGTGTACCCTGTAGACCAATCTTTGACGAAGTAACCAACCCATAAACAACTATTAGCCTAAATATAATTCTCAATACCAATTATGTTGAACACCTCAAAATAACCTAAAGACAATATTATATATGCAATGCAAAAAGCGGTATACATTTTTCGCTAATACATCAGAAGTTAAGCATCTTAATATCAGCAAGCTTTTCATAGGTTTATTAGCATGTCTTACCACATCATCACCAGCTTTCACCTCCACCTGAGGAAGCATAATTAGACGTGAGTCTCGACTGTCAGGAGTTCCTAGTTTCTTCCGACCCAATAAACTAGAACTTCTGTCGTGATATGTCGAGCCAGATTTAGATCCGCTGGATAGTAAGGGTGACCGAGAAGCAATGGTAGTAACCTTTCCAATTGACTTTCTAATGGAGCTGCTACTTCCAGTGCTATCCAATGATGGGGAAGAAATACTTTTAGCTGAAGAACCAGACAACTGTGATGATCGCAAAGATGACTTTGCACTAGAATACTGCTTGCTTAAATCGGAACTTGTTGGTGTCCGCGGACTTTTGGCCACAGGCGAAACAGGAGCTGAGCTTCGAAGTTCCGGAATGCTCCGTCTGACAGCAGACTTAGCACCAAAAGATGCGACGGAGCCCCTAATAGTTCCTGGAAGAGATTTCCTTAGAGGTTCTGAGGCTAGAGAACTGGTTTGTTTACCTGCATCTAAACCGACATCTTTGCTCTTCCGTTTTGTAATCGACATTGGCTGCTTCTCAGGTAAACCACCAGTGCTGCTCCTTCTAGTCACTGGAACTGATCCCGACGTTCGCGAAGCACTACTCACAGTTGGTCTAGTCAATGTCGACCTTGACTCATTTGAACCCGAGTCTTTACCACTCTTCACCTCAATTTTCCTTTTCGGCGCTGCAACTGTAGTAGTGCTCTTAGGTACGGCATTTGCGTTCGTGGACTCAGAGACTTTCTTCACACTCTCAGAGCATTGTGAATCCTCGTTCCCCAAGGACTTCGCCTCAGCAATGCTGCTTGCTTCCACGGAATCCTCCACTGTTTCAGCCATCGAAACCTCCATCCAGCAGAATTGCCCAAGCTTCAATGAACCAAAGAGGAGACAATATTACTACAAGTCGCCATATTACAAACACCCCACTTGGTTTTGAACATCAGCAAAAAGAAACACGAGTTTAAAACTCATTCCAGTGTAATCGATAAGAAACCATTAAAAATAAAAAGGGATAACAGTCGCATCCAGTTCTTGAGCCTACATCAAAAGGAAAAGGACCACCAAATACCCCTTGAGCCTAACCTCCAAATCCACACTACAACTCACCCGAGTAAGACAAATGAAACCAAAAAAGTTATATATATAGTAAAAAAGATAAAATCTTTGGGAAAAAGAAAAGGAGTAGTGGTGGACACACCTTGTTCAGCCTAATCCCACACAACCACTCAATTCAAGAACACCAGGAAAAAAAAGAGACAAGGAAGAAGAAGGAGAATGCTTGCACTCCAGATGTTGCTAACAACTCACTCACTCAAGACAGCTTAGATCTGGAGAGTATAAAGTAAAGGCAGCAAGAAAAGCAAGTTAAATCCATTCGGTTGAACCACGCTGGGAAAGTTTTCCCCACGCTAGGGTTGGGTTCTAACCAACGCACATTTTGTTATTTGTTGCTGAAAGAATAATTTGAACACTGTGCACAAATATCAATAATGCACAAAATACCTGGCACTTTTATACCACCACCAGCATCTCTTCCGTTTCCTGCTGCTCTTCTTTTTCAAAGGGGTGTCAAAGAAAAAACTGAGAGAACATTTATTTATTTATACGTACATAAAACAATGCTGCAGGGAATAATGAAAAACAAATAGTGGGAGCATTCAGAACGTAGAGCTACAGTCACTTGGTTTTATTTTTTACCATAAAAAATAAATGCTATAATTGTTTATTCGGGTGGGCCCAATTGGCAATGTGGATTACAGTTGTCCGAAACCTCCTCCTCCGCCTGTATTTTGGGGAGTTTCCTTTCCTCACCAATGCGTATTTCTCTGTCTATTTATAACAACTAAAATCATGTCCGGAAAATGACAGAACAGAACAGGACGCAGCAGCTTATTTCAGCGCCTCAAATCAATTTCAAATTTTGGAATTTTTGAAAAAAAAAAGTTTTACCAAGATAAAGGTTTTTTTAAAAAAAAAAAGACTCACGTGGAACTGCAACTGTGAGTTTAAAATCTAGTAAAATCACAATTATATATTTATAAAATATTCAATCATTTTATTTTATTAAATAATTCAACTGAATTTAATTCACATATAATGGTCAGTATAATTTATTTTCAACTAAAATCTATGAATATCTGGTAATTTGAATGATAGTGGGGCAGGGAAGTTGCACACCCACCAGAAATCGTTGACAACAATGCCAGGAATGGTCCCATGTTTACGTAGTAATAGTGCTGTTTGTGTTAATAATAGATTAGTGACACCATTATAATTGGAAAGCAACGGCTTGATTGAAAAGCCTATTACACTACAGACAACACTCATACAGTCTTCATTATTGTGTTATATTTATATATCAAAACACACTGTTAAAATATCAGTGTCTTGTATACCCTACAAAGATACAAGAAAGTAACAAACTGCAAGATAAATATAAACATGATACTTAGAGAAATACAATAAAATTTCAACATCAAATCAAGTTTTACGTGTATATCTAGCCAGCCATAAGAATACTTAAAGAGAAATGTAGCATAATAGAAGAAATCTACAAATTCAATAGCTGGCTTCAAATCAGTCGACTGCACAAAGGGCAAGAGAAAAGACATAAATCATCGAGCCTGGTCTCTCTTCCCATCTTCTTACAATGAATAAACCAGATTGCAGGCAGGCTCCTGTGGTGCATTGGCAGCGCCATTATTCCAAGATTTAGACTTCCAACTCCTCTCCTCATCATAGCATGCTCTGTGTTTGTCTTTCCACATCGTTCGGGATATTATTTCTGCTTTTTTGCAGCATGCAAGTGCAGAAAGTCCTCATGCTCCAACATGAGAATGTACCTTCTAATTGCTTTACTTCTCTTCTTCCACTTCTTTGGAGCGTGAAGGATTCACCGCGGCATCCTCATATTCTGAACCAGGTAAGTCATTGTCAATCTCATGGTACTCTCCCGGCTCATCAGCAGAATCTGTAGAAGCAGCAGCAACAGCCTTAGCTGGTAGCATATCATCAGGTTGATGCACTAATTCTGCTTGCAGTTCCCCATTGGGTAAGGAAGGGTGTTGAGTTGCATTGGACATGTAATTTGGTGGAGAATGTTCTATGGAATCAGATTCGCATGGTTTGTTGGCGTCACTGGTTTCAGCTTCTCTGAAGTCCACAGGCAATACGCCAGGCGCATTATCATCAGATGTTGGTGGTGTTTCGGGCAGTTCAGATGTGGCAGTGTCTGTCAAATCATTGTCATCAACCTTTCCAATATCCTCTTGTGCATCGGTGAAGGGAGATGAGGAAGCAAGGGAATCGGATGGTGGCTTATCAGCTATTCTCTCATCCTCAAATGCAAACCAATTTGAGTTCGTGAAAACAGATCCAGATCCACTGTAAACATGAGACATCACGTTAAGCATGCACAATTACCAATCAAAGAGAAAAATGCAATGACTCTACAAGGCTCATATTATCATCATGACATAATTTGGAAACCTAAACTTCAGAAATGGAGCATTTCAATGGTATAAAACAAATAAAACAAGGTCAGGCCACAAACCTTGTCTGGTTCTCATCTAAACGCAAGGATGAAATGACAACTTCAGCAGATTCATCATCGAAGTACACATCCTGACAAAGTTGCATGATCTTAGTGAGCGAAGAATGTAAATATGATAACATTCCAGATACTTGAAAAAAGTGACAGACTCAGATTTCCATATAAAATTGTTACACATGCATGCAACACAAGATACACTAGATTCACATGCAAATGAGACTACTACGCAAAAGAACAAAAGTCTCCTATTTCGTATTAAAAGCCAATCGGCCATTAACAAGAGAACAATAACAGAAAATTAGGTTACTAAGGGAATAGTGCTACATCACCTTTATTGTCTCTCTATGCACAAATAAAAAACCTCTACTGACAGTTGTCTTTCATATTTTCAAAGTTTCTGCCTATTATCCCTTTCAGTATCTTTCCCTTGAAACCTAGAGTACAATATACATTCCACCTAATCCATAAAGGTTAATGAGAATGCTCTATTAATTTCACAAACATTGATGAAGAGCATGAACTTATTCTACGATCTACCTTGTACCAATAAATTGTAGTATGCAAACCCCAATTAGCTGGTAGTAAGTCATCAACCCCATTAAACTATATGCATGAAAATAGCTATTACTCCAGGCACACAAGTTTTCAACTGTATACCTCGTCATCACGATCAAGAGAGCTTCGAGTCTGCACAAATAGAACGGAGAAATTTAAAAATTCACCAAGAAAGATTGTCATGAATACAGTTTAAATGATACACATTGGTAATTGCATCTGAATTCTAATCTGCTCATGGCAGTCCATGACAAGGGAAATTACATATATTTAAAAAAAAAAATAACCTTGTCAAAGCTGTCATTACTGTAGATTCCAGCACGGTAAGCCCGACTCAAGTTATTTGCCAAAGCTACAACATCAAAGTCTTTATCCTGGTAATCATCATCGCTATCTTGTGTCCTATCATGCAGTGAAGTGGGCCTCCTGAAAACATAAAAAATACAGAAAATGGCCATTTTGAGTTTGCAGGCAAATGCAGAAAACCTAAATCATGCTGAAAGAAACACGTCGATTTAAAGTAGTAGAGAAAAAAAATGTACTTCCACAAACTAATAAACAATGGCGTTAATTTCCAACAAACATAAAGAAAACAGTTTATGCAGCCCTTGTCACTTTTAATGTGATGTATAAATAAATTCAAAGCAAGAATTTGCATGCTCCATAGATCAAATGTTCGATTGATTCTACATCTTTCAGTAATAACTAGTAATAAGGTGATTATATGCAAGTTAATTGCACTCTGCTGAAAGGTAGAATGAACTCTAATATACAGCTTGATGAGTTTATTCAAATAAGGGCAAAAAAAAAATCTAAGAATCTAGTGAAGTTGATGAGGTTTGATGCTCAGCAAAATAGCATGGCTTAACTTTCATCTTATTGAAGAGATCAGTTGGAGAATAATTAAATTGGATTAGAATTTTATTCACATTATATGAGAATTATGCCACGTTACTTGTGTCCTGTCTTATAGATAGCAATTAAGATATACTTCTGCCATTGTAGCTGTAGATTAAAATCATTCAGAATGGTTGGGTTCTTTCCTTTCTAGATATCAAAGTTAAGAATTTTTGTCAAATCTAATGGACACTTGGAAAATGAAATTTGACTTCCTTAAGATATCATTATTTTGGCTGGTGGCATGCAGGACCTTAGTTTTCTATTCTCCCACATAACATGGCATCTGATGCAGCCATAAAAACTGCCTAAACAGGACCTTAAGTTGAAAATTAGTATCAACCAAATAGAAATATAACCCAATTCAATTGAATAAATTCTACGCATGCAGAATATTCATTGAGAATACTCACCCACATGACCAGTGGAAGACATTTTCTAACCCATTGCGCTTAAGCAGCACATTCGCCTGCCACTCAACCCAGTCATTATTCTCCTACAAATGGAAAAGATAAGCAAAATCCATCTTAGAAGATACATCAGAAGATAGTAGCACATAAACCTCACAAAGCCAAAAAGACTGTCCAATTAGAAAAACCGTATATCATATACATATAAGCAAATAATGTGCACTAGGATAAAATGAAAACAAATAGAATCAACTGCTGTAACCACATAATGAAGGACTATAAGAGTAAGAGTGTACAGTATGAAAAAGCTCTAACAAAACTAACATCAGCATCAGCCACGTGTGCTACTAAGGCTATCTGATATGTTTCAACTAGGCAATAAGAATATTGATGAAATTCAATTGAAAATCAGAAAAACCTGGAGAAATGTGTGTATCATGTTATTGCTATTCCCCAATTGCATAAGTTTATTAGCAACACGGGTTAGGTGACCCATATTTCCAATCCTCGGAGCTGACCTTCCCTCAGCAGGTATAGTAGGCTGCAGGAAACATAAAAGAAAATTGATACTAGATTTATGCATGATAGTGAGAGAGGACAAGAAAAATCAAAGGCAAACTGAGTAGGGATACAAGACGAGACAAAAATTCAACTTCTAGAAACATGTACAACCCAGTAAATACATATTACCTTGTTTGGATTGACAGCCAAAATGAAGTCCTTATCTACTTCAAGAATCCTCTCAATGAGGTTACAATCACGCAGAAGATGATCAACAAATTGAGGATTCTTGCTCTCAAGACAGGATGTTATAATGTCCTCCGCATGATGGTGCAAGAAATTATTGTATGGGTAACTTAAAAGTTAAAAGAAAAACAAGGATTCAAGTTAAGAATCTATATGTAATAATATAATAATAATGATAGCATTCGATGTCAAAGGGGAAAAAGACATACTCAAAAAACAATTCCAAGATATGCTTTACAGCACCAAGGCGAATCAATTCTTTTTCAGCAATTTCACTACTAACACCCACCAAAACAGAGATGAACTCTATAACCTGAAAATTTATTTTTGTTAAATCTACGGTTTTGTCCATTTATCATTATGAATGAGACACTAATTGCAGGAGCAATAAAAATGGACAAGAGCATACAATCAAGACTGCCAAGCAATTAAGAATCCGATCAGAAGCACTAAAACATAATGAACATGGACTTACTTTTGAAAACAATTTCATTTCCACAAAGCAAGTTTGCTAAAGGAAATCAAATATACATTTCATTGATGATACAAAAAATATACCTTCAATCGATGCTTTCCTAAAGGAGGCTGTAATTTTCCGTATGTGGTAAGCAAGACATGGTTGTCAGGTGAAATATCCAAAAGTTTGAGAAGATCACCTGCCATATGAAACCATTACATTTTTGTTTTCTAGCTACTCCACGATAAAGTCCCGAAATTTAGCCTCTTAATGTTACCAGACATTCAAAATTAATCATCTCCACTTCAACAGGAATGCATGACTGTTGGGCATAGAATAATGTGGTTGCACTGATTTCATGACTAGCAAAACCAACACTCAAACTATATTCATATCATTTGCTTTTGTCCATCTAATATGGTGCAAATTAATAATATTGGGAAAAGCACGACCATTCTTCATCTCAGCAGGCCTTCCTCTGGTCAAGAGTTTAAGCATCACATCCCCAAGGGAGTACAGGGACATGCAGTTTTTTCCAGGCTTATATAATCTATACATATAGTTATATACAACTTAATACAGAAAGCAAACCTTATTTTCAGAATACCCCATATATGAATAAACCAGGAGTGTCTCCAGTTATAGTGAGACTACATAATTCACGCAAAGAAGTGACTCTTTCATGATGATAAAGATATTATAACAAATTTCCTAGTTTCATAAATTCTCTTGCACTGGCGATGCACAGTTATAAGAAATGAATCCACACTTACCTAGGCTCTCCAGCATGCCTTGAACAATCTCAGGGTTAGCAGTGCTTTCTGACCCATGAGCCATTTGGCGGGTACAAATGTAATATGTTCCAGATGTTAACCTCTTGGGATCTAACAAGGATATACACACAGATAACAAATGGACCAACACAGATTTTGGCCTTGAATCCTCCAGAGCATGGGTAAGCAATCTCTTAATAAAACTGTGATTGTCAGCAAACACCAATCAAAATAAGAACAAGATAGTGACAGAGTTGATAGGGACAATTTTTAATTTCATAAATGCAACCTTGGGCTAGAGATCTTTGAAGCTAGCCCTGGAGGAGCAGATCGAGTAATTGCGCAAAGAGTCTCTGCAGCATTGGCATGCACTTCGGGGGAGTCCTACACAAATAAAAGTTACTAGAGAAATAATGAAATATATAAAATAGAAACACAATAATAGACCTGCTGTGCAGATAACATTGCTCTAGGCACTTAGTTATAGAAAATAACAAGTTAATAAAAGAATAGAACACACAATCTCTGATGAATAATAGTTTGCCCCAAATACAGATTAATTGGAAAAAAACAAAAGCTGCAAAAGAATTCATGCCCTCAAGCATCAAAACAAGAAGGCCTGCCTTCAGCCATTCCATTAAGGATATATGGGGCATACCTAAAGAAACATCCAAAGACATGGAGATTAAAATTTATAACTTTTGATGAGTATGTAAGCATGCTTACTGCAACTTACTGATGAACTGAATTTGTCAACAATCATCTCCAGCACATTTGTATCTTCCAACCATTCCACAGAGTCCAAAGAAGTGGCATAAATGTGTTCATCAGAACCAACCAGGCGTATTAAAACCTGTCAATAAGAAAAGATTACAATTCTAAGCAAGGACAACCTACTAGCAATGTTGTAACTTAGGAGCTAGGTTGGGTGCGAATGATGCACCTCCATGATAGAAGTGATTCCAATAAGGTCAACAAGCCTGTTCATGATACCCTGATGAGCCTGTTACAAATGTAAAGAAACCTTCAGGCTTTTTAAAACTAAATCCATAATGGATATGGAATAAGATCGCTATAAGACAAGAAGTTACATTAATGTCAGACAACTAAGAGTAAAGATTAGCCACATAGAAGCATAAGTTCTAAATAACAGATTGTGGAACAAAATACCAGTGGCTGAAGTGCTGAACCTGTATGGCTCATATTATCCTTACACAGAAATAACATAATAATAAGAGCTCATTTTTTAGAAAACATAAATGCCAATAAACTTATAGAACCCTACAGTATTCATAAAGATCATGCAAGAGACATTCATAGTTCGTTCAGAAGCCTATACATATCCTTGTGACACTAATGAAACTTATTACATGTGATACACCTTATAGCTTCTCTTATTGTATACCCATAAGAATTAGCACCCAATTGGTCGTTCTGAAAACAGCATCAGTAGGAATACTGTTACATGTAAAACAATACTCATTAACATAAGTCATAAGTCTAACATGATACCTAGATCTTCAATGTGAGAGTTTTCATGCAGCTCCTCATAATAGAAACAATATACTTGATGATAGATAGTAATATACTTACTCTAAAGTAATTCATCAGAGGAACTGTCTTCCGCAGGAGGAGACATACTACAACCTAGCAAATTGATGAAATTTAATAAATAACAACATTCACAAATTTGTAATTCAAATAGGAAAATTGTTGGCACTTACACACTTAGTATGCTTGCAAATGGGCAAGCTGCATATTTGTAAAATCAGCATACTACTGCCTATCACAGAAGTAGATGCAGTGGGAGAAATATAGTTGTGGGTGTCAGGTGCCAAATACAAGAGGTCCAGGTTATTGATATACCTCATACATAGGGAGAGGCTGAAGGTGTATAATTCTTAAGAAATCAGAAATGAATATAATGAGCCAGTTATGAATGGTCTTGTCAATGAGACATCAAACAGGAAGATAAGAAAAACATCAAATGGCAATGGAACCTTTATAATATTCAGCTGGGGTAGGAGAAATTATTAAATGGTACAAGGTTTCTTGAGAGAAGAACCAAATAATTCAAGATCCTAAACTAAGGTATATTCAAAATTATAGAGCCATTATCTTAAATGTCCTGGCAAAAAGTAAAATTTTAAATGAAGACGTATTAATGTAACGAAATAGCTGGCTGTCAAATATGAAGGTCATTCATAAAATGCTTAAGCTGTCTTTCCTTTGACCACTCGTTAAAAATGATATTCTTTAAACAGCCTTGCTGTAATGGGGGTGTGTGAGTGAGACTGCATTTAAAACCCACCAATCAAAGCATCAGGACTTATACCTTGCTAAAATAACCAGCCAACAGAGAGCTGTGAGGCCGTTCGGGTTCCAGAAATGAAAACAGCAGGTCCATCAACTGTAAGCCAAAGGTAGGAAATAACCAATCATTTACAAAATTTAAGAGCAATAAATGGAATAAAAGTCTCAAGACCATACCTCCTCATCCTCCACCAAAGTTTTCAATATAACATCAACTTCGCAAATGAATATCTCACAAGCAATGAAAGGAAACCTGTGGCCAAAAAAGAATAGCAATACAACATAGCCATAGAAAGACTTTGGTAAACACACCTAGATGTATCTACTACACATGCTTACTTGAATGACCGTTGTTTCTCAGCATGTTCTGGAGCTTCTTCCACTATGTAATGAATCAGCTGTTTTACATTAGCCCGTTCTCGTAAACTGCAATAAACAACAGTATAAAAAATTTGCATTAGGTCTTGAATATTCTGACAAGAACTAATTAGCCAAAGAGAAGATGGTGGCTTTCAGTTCCTAGTACTGAAAAAGAAAAAACTATCTCACATTTTGAGCAAGAAAACAACATTTTGCACTATTGTAAAAGAATAAAAACATACAAATGTTGTGATGGTTAAATTCCACAAGAAACAGTTGAACTCGTCTTCATTATTCCGTAGATCAACCTCTCAGAGTTCACTATTCTTTGCATTTTTTTCTGTTCTTTTTCTACCCTCTGTGGCAGCAGTATGTAACAGGACACCATATATGATATATTTCCAATTACTGCATAATACATTAATATACAATAGAAGATATCTTTTTATGTACTTATGACATGAAAATAAATTGGTTTGTTCAACTACAAATAACCCAAAGTATTCACCTTCAAGTTTCAGTAGCAAATAATTGTTAGATGCCCCCGAATAATGCCAAGCAGAGTAGCAACAACTAGATTAAAGATGGAATACTTAAGAAAAAGGCAACTGCACTTACAAGTTAACAAGCCTGCCATTAAGACCTTTGCATTCTTGAATAATCTCATCCTCATCTAATAGCTCCTCCAATGTGAAATTATCTTTGTCTAAAATGCTCTCCACCTGAGATTTAAATATTAATAAAGAGAGTAACATGATATGCTTAATAAACTAATATAAGTAATTGATCTCTCATTGGAAGGAATTGGCAGAAACCAGAATCTAGTAGACCTCATGCAGTCATCAAGGAGTTTGTCGAGGCAGCATTTGTCTGGTTACTTGTAAAATTGGAACTCCAAACTATATTGAAATCATTTCCAAGGATCTTATTTCCTTTTCTCCCCAAAATATTGAAATTCCTTCATACTATATATAATCTTAATTCAAATTTTAAAATCACTGCACTCCAAGAACAAGAATGATTGTTTGGTTGTGTTTTCACAACCCAATTTTCACTATACCTCTACATTACTTATTTTCCTCCCTATAACCATCACAGCTTCCATTTATTTATTTTTTTAATATATTAAAAACAAAATTTATTTTTTCACTCGTAAAATCACATCAAATAACTTCTAATTTAAAATTCTTATTATTCCAAAAATAAAGGAATACCCGCCAAAAGCACAATCAAACAAACCCAATTCCATCAAGAAAAAGCAAGCGATCATAGTAGGCATCCTACATGACTGGCTCAGTAACACAACATCCAGTACGGTTGCACCAATATCCCTTAGTGATGTGATGGTGCCACGTGTCAATACGCTAATTGGCTAAAGAATACTACATTGAGTCTATCTACCAGAATCAAGCACGAGTGCCCCCACATACTGCGGACTCAAATTTCAATGTAACAACTTCTCCAAATCAAATAGGGGACCGACACGCACTCAGACAAAACACCACTGCCAACAATCAAGTAGCTTACTTCAACACATCAAATCACAACACTTCCAGAGAAACGCAAATAATTCAGTGGAAATAAATCTAATCCCACGACTAGCAAACGAGATTCCTAGTAACTGGATCCAATAGGCAAAATACGTCAATAAGTCTTCCCATAAATTGACAGAATCACAGGCACTCACTGGAGATGCAGTAGGCAGGCCAGTCATATGCCAAAACATGTTGAATAATGTGTAGCACCGATCGAATTGTAGGCTCGTATTCAGATCTGGCCACTCAAAACCCTAGCTTATATCCCAACCTCCGGCCGTAACTCCGTGCGACCAGAATCTTGAATCGAAAAAAAAAAAAAAGAAATCCGAAAGATTCAACTCGATTCTTGGTAATTGCTATAGAAATTCGAGGTACGAATAGAAGCCATGCTCCTGATTCGATTCAATCTCAAGACCAGTTTCGTTGATGCAGGGAATAAATGGTGAGGATACAGGAGGAAACAAACAAAGAATTTGACTGCAATCGCGAGAGCACAGTTGTGTGTGTATATTTCAGAGGAAAATAAAATTGTATTATACTGTGACCAATGCATATAACGTACAGTACATTGTTTGATAGTGCCATTTACAGTATTTATTATTAATTAATTAGGGAATTAGTCTTGAAATGACTTTTTAATAAAACAAACAAATTTTAAATACTTTTTGTCATAATGGTGCTTGCACTCTAACAATGATAATAATTAATTTGATAATGATAATCGTTCCGTTTTTTTTTTTATTTTTAGGATAATGATAATAATTTTAAAAAGTAATAATTCAATACAAAGTATTTTTTTTAATTGTCATCCATATAATTTTTCATATCTTAACATTAAAAAGAATTCTATAAACAAACCTATAATTTCATAGATATTTCAATTAGCGATATAAATAGTAAATTTTGAAAATAAATAATAAAAAACCACTTTGATTATGTTTGGTTTTTTATTTTAAAATAAAAAATATCAAGAAAAAAACCAATTACATTTGGATCGTCGATTAACCGGAAATAAAACTAATTACGTAAATCACTTGGATTTTATTTATTTTTTTAGATTAAGATAGCATGGACTATTAACTATAATATGTGATTAGTTACTGATGTTAAGATTATAAAATCATATAGTTAATGACGTTAAAATTAGTAGGTTTTCTTCAGCATACGATCGAAGACTGGTAGAAAACTATATATAGGGGTAGTAAATTTCATCACAGAAGATGAGGAAGGAGGAGTCCAGGAATCAAGGTGATCCAGCTGGCGTGTTCTGATTGGACGCACTGTTCTGATGCACCAGGTACAGCTGCTGTCCTCCGCCGTACACGCCGCCGCCGCCGCCCCGGGGATTTTGTTGAACAGCCCCGCACATGTATATCGCCAGCAGTGCATCGTTTGTAGCCATAACGCCAGACGGCGAAAGCGACGGTACGCCGCTGACCGAGGGGTGGTTATTCGCCGCGGAGTCGCTACGGTGGGGAGAAGCCGTCGTCGAGCAGTCTCCTCCGCCGCCTCCGGCAAAGTAGCTTCCGGTTGGCGTCGGCGGACCAGTACTCTTTCTTCCTCCTCCGCAAAGAGGACACGCATGATTCCGTCCCTACACATAAAACCACAACCAAAGTATTCATTCACCATACAGAAAAAACACAATCACCAACACAAACAAAATCGTACATCGGCGGCGGCGGAGGAGCGGTAGGTTGTACCGTCCGGCTCGATGATCCAGCCAGCCTCGCTGGCGAGGTGGCGGAGGACTTCGTTGATGTCGGCGCGGGGGGAGAGGCGGTAACCGCCGTGCTTGCGGAGGCCGTGGAAGATGTTGGTGGTGATGGATCGCCTCTGCCGCTCGCGCATCTTCGTCCGCTCTTTCTCCACCGCACTTCGGCCGTTTCCACCATTCCCGCCGCCTCTCTCGCGCACAGCCTCCTTCATTGCTTGTCGTCTTCAATTCGCTAAACCTTGAGGGAGAGGAAACACAGTACAGAGCAAATGTATTTTCACAATGGAGGGGACTAGGGAGTGAGTGAGTTATATCAGTCAAACTGCATGTACACTACTTACTGCATTGCCAGAATTGGAGGTTGTTTCACGCGCCATGTGCATTTCAAAACTGAAAATAACAAAATGGCCCCAAAAATATCTGCATATTCTGAAAACCCCCATATCATAACATCAAATTTATTAACAGACAGGCACTGATCAGTACAATCTTAAGCTAGTTAGAAAGAATTGCAAATGCCAATCGACCATATGATAAACAACAAAACGGACAAGCAATGGCCATTTACGTAGACGATCCAACGATGCCGGCATCATCATAGATTAATAATGCAGAAACTTCACGAAGAACGAATTAGTCCTCACTATAGAACACAGAGGACCAACGTCACCTAGGCAACTCCAGGTTTGGTCTTTGATCAAGTGCTTCGATTGTTGAATCATCAGGAAAAGCATCTGGATGGATTTGCATAATCTTTGCCTTCATGCCCCTACAAGTTGAATCAGCCACCCCAAAGTAATGAGAGCACACACGATGATGCAAGAATATTAGATCAAACTATACAAAGAGGTAAATTAACAGTGGATATGAAGGCAAGCACATCAAACTTTCGACCAGGAAACAACTTGCTCCGATGAAAATTAAGCCTCGAGATGTTCTGCATTTGTTTTCAGTGCGACTAGATATATACGTCAAACTGTTTGTTCAATTTATGCATCATTATTGATCTGCTTCGATGTAGCTATAGAGATTTTCGCCTCATGTTTTTCTTATAGTTGAATAGCTAGCTAGTATAGACTAGCGTCAAGCGAAGAACAAGACATTGAGTTCAACTACATGTGATGAAGCGTGTTCTACATAATTTCGAAAGCGATTCGTGTTTATCCAGCAACGCTTGATCTAAAAATAGAGAAGAAATTCCGATGTCTAGAGAGGTTTGTAAATATGCTTAGGTTTTCCATGAGATCCACCAAATTATCATAACACTTCTTTTCATAGCTCAATCGAGTATCAGCTGGTCGCACTGAATTTTGATTCCATACCACAAACATTGGATTTGAATTTTGAACCACAGAAATGCTAATAAATCACTAGTGCTTATTCTGATTGAAATCCGCAGGCGGAGACAAGCAAACAAACTGTATCATGAGAAATTAAAAACACCGGGCACACCTGAGCTTCTGATAGACGTAATCAAGGTCCGATTTCATGGATCGCAAGAGGCGCGTGTTCTTCGAAAATTCATCGGACACCTCAACAAAGCGATTCTCCGAAAACACGTTAAATTGAGATAACATTGCATTGCTGTCCTGAAGTCTCCCCAATCTGCTCCAAAAAAATCACCTCGCCGTTAAACAACAAGTGGAATAATAGCGAACTGAGGCAAAACGAAACGTATCACTATGCGAAGAGAAGAACAAGAGCGAATTGACAAACACATTATTAACAAAACATACGTGAGGTTTTGCAATTGCCTGATTGAATCCAAATCCCTGCAAGCAACCAAAGCCTTAAAATCCTTGGAAATCTCTCCAGACGCCAATCGAATCAACTCGGCTGGCTCCTCCGGATCCGCCATCTTTACAAACCTCCTCCCTTCATCTCCGGGCGATTTTAATTTGAAGATCATACAATGGGCCTTCTTACTGGACATTCAATTGAAAAGATTCCAACTCATTTTTGGGCCAAGGTCCAAAAAGAATCAAATTAATTAGGGCAACTGGCAACACAACACAAGAGAAAATAACAAAAAGGTCAAATCTGAGAAATAATTAGTTGTAGTTGCAGGTGCAGGCAGGCATACATTTATGTTTTCGTTGCATGATTCAAGAGAGAGGTAGTATTAGGTAAGAAAGGTCAATCAAGAAGAGAATAGTACCACAACACAGAACAGAACTGCCCTATTTTCAGAACCCTAACAGTGCATTGGAGGGAGGGAGGGAAAAAAGAGGAAACAATGAAAGAAACAAGGAGGGAGGGAGTTGGTAACGAAGAATCATTGTATCTTCTCAGTAAATTTATGACTAGAAAAAGTGAAAACTAGCATAGCAACATCTATATATATATATCTATCCATCCTCCCTTGCCTACATTCAATTCGATGCCTCCTTCAACAAGCAACCCCATCCATACATAAATAACTGCAGCCAAATTGGCCATTTGGTCAAAATAGGTTCTTCTTCTTCTTCCTCTCATTATTATTATCATCATCATCATCATTAATGTTATTGCTTGTTTATGTATGCAGGCACAGTACCTGTGCAGAGAGAGGGAGGCCTTTCTGAAGCAAGCTTTAAATTTTAATCCTATTGTATTTAATTTTAATGTTTTTGGAGTCAGAGCATCTCAAAGAGAGAAGGGGAGGGAGTGGCAGAGCTCTAAAAAATAGGATGGGATGGGGATGGGAAAAAATGTGTTGTTTTGGGGGAAAAGATAATAATGGAATATGCAAAAATGTGATGTGCAGTGCAGAAGAGAGTAGCATTTAAGAGAGTGAAAAGACGTATGAAGGACGTTGGAGGGACAGGGTTTGTTAACTGTGTTTATGTCTGATTAACGGAAGAGACAAAACTGAATACTCTCTCTCTATATATACTTTTTTTTTGATCGGACTCTATATATACTTTATATTTACTTGATGTTGCAGTCGATAATGATGATGATGAATCTGATCATGAGCAGAAAAGCAGCTTACCAGATTGTCCCTCCCTCTCTCTCTCTCTCTCTCTCTCTTCGGTGAGGTGATTGACTGCTTTTGACAGCAAAACTCGCCTTTCACCGCCGAATTAAATTTTCTAATAATAATAATAATTCTGTGGGGTCGTGTCGTCTTCCACCTGCCGTTGGCTCACTGTCCCATCTTTTGTTTTACTTTTCCTACAATTAATTAAATATATAATTATATTTATATTAACCTCACAAGCGAAAAGCCAAAAAAGCCAGGCGACTTCACGGGACCTTGTAGCAACTCTGTTCAGTGCCACTGTAGAGATCAGGGCCTCGCAGACCTCTTTGACTTTGACTCAGCGTAGACTGTAGAGACAGTCTTATCGTGTGTTCGGAAACTTTAATGATGCGAAGCTTGATCATCAATGAGGATCGGAAGAACAAGTGGCAATTGACAAAAGTAGCAACTAGATAGATAGATGTCTTGATAACATAAGAGTTCATCATAATCTGACTCCCGGCCGAGTTCAAAATCCTTACCAAGGTAACTTAGTAGAGCCATATATATAATGTCTTAACGGCTGGCTACTTAGTAGAGGAGAGGAGAACAAATAACTTAGTAAAGGTAGCAGTAGTAGGCTTATAACAATAATAGTAATACTCCATAGCTAATAAGTTCTTTACACAAAAGACCAGTTCATGAACATGAATGCTAGGCAGTGGTTGGCATCTTCGTCGTTCACAACTTTCCACACAATGCCTTGCTCGTACGACACCGGCCGACCCATGCTCGACACGCACACGCCCGCCGGCAAATACGTGAAACCCTATACATACATACACACATATATAAGCAACACAAAATGAGCTCAGCTGAAATAAATCAGGCATCCAAAAGTTTAAGAATCGAGTCATGTCTTGCCTGCTGCATGATCTTGGAGAATTCCGAAAGGAGTATTTTCCGGCCAGCTTCATCCAGCACTTTCTCGAGCATTATGTCCTGAAGGGCAACAAGGGTCGTCTCCAGCATATCGAGCCCAGCCTGGTTTGCAAACGTGAACACTGCCGACGCCTGAAGAAATCACGGCTCGATCAGTCAGTCAGTTGCAAGTGTCAAAGAAGACTATAGAAATGCAAATTGCGAATCTAATGGCTTACATTCATTTTGACAGAGCAGCACATAATAGCGTCGGTATGGTGCCAAAGTTGCTTCAGAACAGCATCGTCGCCCACAGATGAATCGGTCTGAAAGAGTTCTCCGCCCGTGTGGCCCCTAAACACTTAAATATTAACACAAGCACCAAAAAAGCCGAAACAAGACATAGAAAAGGCATAAATAATACCTATAGCTCCTGCAAATCCATCGTGCCAACGTGATGGCCTCCGGCGAACCAGGATGAGCCTTTGGAGCCAAGTGAGAGCCAAGATTCGACGGTGATATAGCCATGGCAACACGTTGAACCGAGCCGACAATGCTTCGCACGTACTGACGTGCCATAGCAGCAACACTGTCCCGATAGTGATTTTCAAAAGTGAACTGGAACGCGATAGTCAGAATAGACCGGACATTTTGATTACTGGCGTCAGCTTCTCCAGCCTCGCGAGCTCCGCCCGATCCCACCTCCAAGGCAGAAGCTAAGTCCAACGTTCGAGTCGCAGCAGGCCCATCCTGAATCACGCAGTTACCAAATAATGAATTTGAAATTTCAAAATCAAGCAATGATGGAATATGAAATGCAAGTCACCGAACTGATTTAGGTTCCAATGGAATGACGCGGAAGCCAGACGGCAGAACAGGTGCATCATCGCCAAATGATTCATCAATAGGCGCAAATACGAGCTGCGCACAGGCACCGGAAGTTGCCTCATCAATCCCACTGCATAACTGCATATCGAACCAGAAAATCAGTACCCGACACTTCACCATATAGGTATCTACGGATCAATTTCGTAATACAGCCAATTACCTGTAATAAGTACATGTCTCTCGACAAAGCAATATCATCAGGGGAGAATGCATGTCCCTCTAAACGAACCACCTCGAGGAACTATTCGATTAAAAATTTTTAGAAACTCTTCAGAATGGAGCAACTAAAATGGCACACGAAAGATGCGATAGATATGCAACGGCAGGTGTTAAAATAAGGCATCTTACCTCCTCGTGTTCAACAGTCTGCGCCAGAGGTAAAATGACTTGACTACTAGGAAACCCACCGGGTTTCGCACACGGAACAGCATAAGGACTAGCCTTAAGAGAAGCAGCCGAGTACACGTCAACGCCATAATCAGCCCACTCCGAACGGTGCTCTCTCAGGAATCGAACGAGCAAAGCAGGAGGCACATTCTGAGCACAAACGTGACTTATCAATATTAGCAAATTTATGAAAACAGTGCATAAACCAAACCAGATAATTAACAGAAGTAACCTGGAGAAGCATTGATGCCCGTGCACAGAGGACTCCCCCAAATGTAGGAAGCATCGACAAACTATTATATTGGGAACCAAGACATTTACTGGGAGATGAGTTAATGGCGATCGTCACATCTTCCATCCCATCGCTGCTCAGTATCGACCAACCATCATCAGCAAATCCATTGACGGCATCATTGAAACCCCTACCAAGAAGACAAAACGGATCAGTCGAGCCCAATACATTTATGTGTTCGAAGTATATATACAATTTATCCATTCAACTAATGTTACCCACCGGCACAATCTTTGACTTAATGCTCTAAGAACAACTGGCTGCCGGCCGCCACTATACTGAATCTCTCCATTGGTTTCTTGAGCAATTTGTCTCACATGACGCAGAGCCTAAAAACTTGCAAAATATCATATTGCTCGAGACAAGTGCAACATACGAGCATACTACATTAACAAAATACTTACGGCCATAGTCATCTTCTGTGCAAGTATCTTGGATGACTCGTAAAGCGGCCTCAAGACTTCTGGAACACTGCAAGCCTGAGATGTAATGAAGCATGTTAGCAGCAGGGAGACAAAACACGAAAAAAAAAAATGCATAAAATGACTATCTCACATCATAGTCAATGTGATCGACTATGTGAATGATGGATCCACCGCCCTCACATGGCCGTATAAGATACCCACTAGGCAGCATTTCAGCTCTAACAAAACATGTTGCAGGTGGTCCAGTCAGGCCACCCGTTGAAGAAGTTAATGACCTCTCACAAATCTGCAATAGTTTGAAAACTTTTGAGATTTCACATGAAACTGCTAGTATCAAATGAAATCACAATATAGAAGTATTGGTTACCACTAAACTGCCATCTTCCAAAGTAGAAATATATCTCAACATCCAAAAGTCGCGAGCAGATGCCAATGTTGTCGGTGCATATATCTAAATAAAAGAAACACACTTACAACAAGTTGCATCCCAAAATGTAACGAAATTTAGGTTTTAATGTACGAACCTGCATGTATACAAGCTCAATAGTCCCTCCATTTCCAGTGGGGATTGCACTTACTACATCAAGGCAGCGGCAGTCGCGAAACCAAGAGAGACGATCTTTGAGAATTTCAGCAACCTGTAGAGGATTTTGGCATATCGTGAAAAGAGAGAAACTCTGATAGGAAATGAATATTAAGATGGTTGAAAATCACCTTCGTGGGTTCAAGACTCACGAGGCCACAGGCTCGTGCTGCTATGCCCCTACAGTTGCGGGAAACAGCGACGATGCCTATAGAATCCGGACCAGGCTAAACACAAGATAAAAGGGCATTAGAACATGGATAGAACAAGAGAATAGTAACGGAATAAGAAAACCAATATGCACCTTCATCCCAATCATCTGGACCCAGTTGACAGCAGTTCCAGTAGCCTTTCGAAGGAACTCTGCCAGGGTCTCCTCGGCAATTGCAAGAAGACTAAGAAACAAAAAGAAAAATGGATAAAAAGAATGAGACTTAATCACTCTTAGATTTCAGAGCAATAGCTAAAATTTGTCGGGAAGTGGTTTTTCTTCGATTACCCGGCTGGGCTGTTAGCATCCCTATGTGGATGCTGAGGTGTTGGGTTTTGCTGTTGTTGCTGACCACTCATAACCACAGAATCACTGCTGGTATCAGTGGTCGTCGTGTTACCCTGTCGTTGGGAAGTAAAAATAATTGATTATTTCAAGCAAGTGTCTACATCAAAACAAGAATGTACTTCGAATCAATCAAGACATAAACTTACGGTGTGAATTTGCTGCTTCATATAACCATTTTCATTAACCAGATGCGAGAGCTGCTTTTGCAGGCGGTCATTCTCTTCCATTAGCAGCTTATTCATGGCAGTCAGCTTCCTATTAACCGACTGTAGCCTTGAGGCTTCTTTCCTCTGTTTCTCACGGCACCTGCAAAACAGAAACAAAGTATGTCACTCTACTGATCAATGGAAGGCAACAAAGTTACAGATGAACAATGCATTGGGTGAAACTACAACAAAGCATTTATGATGTGGCTTGAACTTAGTAAGATATACTCAACACCATTATTACCACAATAGTTGTTACAACATAATCAAACAAACAAGAGAGTAGAAACTTGTCGCCATTGCCCAAGAATTCAATCTAGATCTGCAACTTAATAACTTGTCAAAATTAGTGATATGCACCAAAATGGACAAAGAAAATGGTTTCATTATTTCAAACTGATGAAGCTACTGAACTGTAGTGATCAAAGAAACAATGATTCAAAAGCACTCCAAGAATACATTTAATGAAGATTCCAGGGAATATCCTAAAACTCGTGTATTCCATGTACATTAAACTAGTGTATATGGCACATACACATTGCATCATTTCATGGATTTACAGCACGAGGAGACACATAAAAGCAAAATGCAGAACTCATAAGTTTGTTTCTAAATATGAAAGCTAACAATTTAACAAATCAGGTAACTTAATAAATAACCATCCTTTTCCTCCCACTTGACATTAAATTAAGAGGCAGAGTTCTAAAGACAGAAGAGCAATGTAGAAACAATAATTTGTTGTAAACCCAGAATTTTATAATCCTCTTAGATCAACATTCAAAAATTGATTTTCCACCTTCAAAGCTTTGTAACTTTTTTATCTTCTTTTTTCTATAGAAAACCAAAGGGCCTCCTGAAAAAGCAATATGAACATTTATTACCACATTCATCAGCTCATTAACAAGACCACACCTGATCAAATCTAGAACGAACCGAAAAAAAAAAAAAAAAGCAGCAGCCTAAACATTAAACAAGAGCTGCAGAAACCCTTTAAAAAACTTCATCAGCCATTTTTTAAGTCAGAAGGAAAGAAACAAAAAAGTTCATACAACCTCAAAAAAAAAAAAAAAAAAAAAAAAGGAAAAAGGGAATCCATTATCCCTTTTGAAAAGTGGATAGAAGACATACCTGCGGTTCTGAAACCAGACTTTGATTTGCTTAGGCTCAATGTTGGAGAGAATAGGATACTCCCGAATGAGCTGCTGCCTCCTCAAAGAACTGGGCTTTGGACACTCAGCATATACCCTCTCAAGAGCCTCCACTTGCTCCGGCGTGTACCGGACATACTTGCTCGTGTCCAGTTCCTGCTGCTTGCTGTTGAAGGACGACATCATCTGTGTATGTGTGTTTGTTCAAGAAAGGATGTATAAGTTTGGCAGATTGAGGGAGAGAGAGACAGGGCTGGCTATGAAGAAAATTTGTGGGTTTGGCAGGCGATGTGGTTGCATTAACAGGCAGGCTCTCTTCTCACAGAGAGCCTCCTCTCTCACTCATCAAGGTAGAGGGTTTGTTGGGCCTTGGGGGTGCCTTGTTTTTATTCCTCCCTCTCTCAAGATTGGAATTTTAGGGTGAGGTGAGAAGGAGAAGCAAGAAGAAGGAGAAGATGAGAGGAGGTGCAAGAAAGAGAGAAAAATTGATTTTGTAACAGGGGTCCCTGGTTTTTATCTTATTGTACACCAATCTCGAGATTTTGAGACAAAGTAAAATGGGCGAGAGAGAGAGAGAGAGAGAGAGAGGGAAAATAAGTGTTTTTTTGTAACCAAAAACCCACAGAGAGAAACAAGAAAAAAAGCAAAGAGGAAAGTGAGCGCAAAGGAAACGAAAAGGGCAATCAACAGTCGAAAAATCAACTCAATTCATTAATTTTCCAATCAGAAGAATTCAATTCAAACACAAAACACCTGCTTCAAGACAAGAATCCCTCCCAACTACTGTTCTGTAATTCAAGAACACCAACAGTTTCCTCCGGCGAACCATTCAAGAAATCCAACCACACTTTTGAGTTCTAACCAACACACATTAATTAAACAAAAACAATGCAGACTTCATTAAAATAAAAAAATCAAAATGAAAAAGAAATAATTTATATATTTATAATATTTAATAGACAGATTTTCAAATCAACACACAGAGTGGCCTTTACTGGAAACAGATTTTCAGTCCCATTTCTGGGCAAATTAGGGGCTGTAGCTTTCTCTACTGAGCGCAAATATAATACATATATATTATAATTAAATAATTTCTCGAATTAATACCAGCCAGGCCTGTTGGTCTCTCTCTCTCTCTCTCTCTCTCTCTCTCTCTCTCTCTCTCTCTCTCTCTCTCTCTCCTCCAATCTCTGTCAAGGCATGCTGCTGTGCCATGTTTTAATTTTCTAGTTTTATCTATCCATCTACCTATCTCTCTTACCTTTTCATATTTTCAGTGGTTATGGACAAACGGGTTGGGTTGGGTTGGGTTGGGTTGGGTTGGATTGGCATTATTACATAGGAAATCAGTACAGTCTGTTGTATTATTATTGGATACAAATACTGTACTGCACAGAACCGTATCGTATTTCTTCATTCTCCACAGATTTCAAACACCTCTCCGTATCCAAACTATCATCTTATTGGTCGAATCTTCTGTGGAACTTCAATAATAATAATAATTATTATTATAATAAATAAATTATAGTGGACGAAAATACTACCAGTTAAATTCATATTGGACAGTTTTAAGTATTTGGGGCGACTGAATGGCCCATTTGGGCCCATCAAATGTATCTTATGATATAATAATAGTACTATTGGAAATACTATTTTTAAAAATAATAATAATAATACTAACTAATAACAATCGTTAATGTCAAGACATGCTTTTATAGACATGAGATCATTATTACGTTAAATGCACTAATTTTGTGGCTGGAATTAGGTCCCACGTACCACTAAAAATGACTTAACTACATTTGATTAATATAAATTTTCACATTTTGCTGTCAAGATTTTATTTTAATTTCATAAATCATCACATGTATGTAAAAATTTAGATGATATATTTGTGTGAGGGGGTCCTAAAGCTTTTTACCCAAAAAGGTTAAATTTTGAGCAAAAAATCAGGGGATGGGCCCAAAAGTGGAATAAATTGGGAAAAGAGGGTCACAAAATTTTGCAAATTAGAATATAAAAATAAAATAAAAATGATTGAGGAAAGTGTGGGATGGAATGTTTAATTGGAAATCAAAATTCCAACTTAAAGGGAATTGGGAATATTGAATTAGGAGAGGAGAGCAGTGATGGCTGGGAACATCACGTTGCTGGAAATAGTTGGTAATGATTATGTTTGGTTATTAATTTTGGATTGCAGATTTATATAAACATACATACACACAAAAATGTATTGGAAACTTTACTAGTAAAAACTGAGAATGGCTTTAGCTGTGCAGAAGGTGTTTCAATTTAATTTTTAATTTACCCCCAACCACCCTACACTAATTTTTAACAATCAAAAGTGTTTGCCACTACAACACACAAATTTATACATACATACATACATATATATATATATATATAGAGAGAGAGAGAGAGAGAGAGAGAGAGAGAGGATATGTGATATGTACGTATGCAATGTGCCTTAACAGAAAAGAATCCAAGAGGGTAGAAAAGCTTTTGACTTGGGTGGTGTTTTTTCAACTGGATTTGACATTTGGACAACAAAAGGCCTTTACATTTTTGAGGGCATCCAAAGCATCATTCACTCACATTCTTATTCTTGATTCTTCATTTCTTGAAATATGGAGAATATTTAAATGTTGGATGAAATTACAAGTATCTTACAAAAATTAAACCAAGTTAAAGTTACCTAGTTGATTAATTACTACCATTTTGGTGCATGTGTAGTAATAATAATAATAAATCAGAGGCATCACATATAATACAGAAGCTTATATTCTGTATATAAAATAAGTTTGTGGGTATAGAAAAGAAATGATTAGTATGTGTGTGCATATTTATAATGTTGTTATGAAAATGAAGAAGATTAAGGTAAGTGAGGTCAGAATATATTTGCAAAAACTGTAAGAATATACATAACATAAAATGGTGCAGGTCCCTTTCTCTCACTCTGCCCCTGCAGGCTTAATTTAAAAAGGTCTTTTGGAGCACTCTTTTTTGTCATGCAACAAAAGTAACCAAAGTGTGTGTTGTGTACATAACATACACACACACACACACACTCTCTCTCTCTCTCTCTCTCTCTCTCTCTCTCTCTCTCTCTCTATAAATATATATAGATAAGATATGTGACTTTAGTTTAAACTTGAGCCTCCCTCAAGGCTCGAGCCCCCCAAACATTTGCACCTTTCCTTTTCTTTCCCTTTCATTCTTTCATTTCCCACCTCCCTTTGCTTCAATTTTACACCTCTCTCTCTCTCTCTCTCTCTCTAGATATATGTTTGTGTATGGGGGGAAGAGAGAGAGAGAGTGCATAAAACATGTGAGAGAAGAGTGTCCCTAAAATAAAATAAAAATAAAAATAAAAAAAAAAAAAAAAGAGAAGAGAAAAAAGAAATAAAAGGGGTGGTTTCTTTATTTCGTTGTTTATTTTGTTTCTTTGTTTCTCTTTGTGGCACTAATGATCACACCACAAAATGATGGTTTTTAATATTCTGTCATGATGATGAGTGATGACAAAGACAAAGACTCTGATTTGTCAAACACTTTCATCAATGGAATATAAATGAAGCAACTATGGATTCAAAAAGTTGAGAGAGACCCTTCACTTCAATTCTATTCAACTCGTTTGTTGTCACAATATTCTTAATTCTTATTAATTATTGTTACTTATTCAACTCCTTCCCTTCTTCCTCTTTCCCTTTCTGAGTTGACATCACCAACATTCATTACATACAAATAATACACCACCAATATTATACACACACATTTAATAACCTCAATTCCATCATGCAACCAGGATATTCAACACACAACCGGGAATATGATTGTAGGAAAGAAACAAAAAACAAGCTTCGGATTTGAATTATGATAATATGAATAAATAAAAATAGAAAGAATGCTATAAGTGAACAAGTAACAGTGATTTGTTGAAATTCTGGGGAGGGCAGCCAATTATTTTTTGCTTGATGATGGAGATGTGATTGATCATTGGGATATCAATTATCATCAATTCATGCACCTCTACGATTAAATATCATACTCATCCTAGTAGTACAACTCTCAATTATTATTATTATCAATGTGTGTGTATCTAATAAATATTGGTCCCTGGATTATGAAATGTATGTCACCCTGTTATCTCAATCTCAAACTACTAGCTAGTATTGGTTATATCTTTTATTTTATTTGAGGAATTGATATGGAGGCCCATTGGGCCGAATAAGCCTGTTGAATTCGGGCCTAAATGAAAGCCCATAAACTCCTGGAGGAAATTGCAAAACCTGTCCTAAAGATAAGAGCTTAAGTTGCATCATGAAATTTTTCTGCAGCTTCCTACAAAAACCTATGGCTGAATAATATACATTCATAATAGATACACACACACACACACACACGTATATGGGCAACTAAATCTTAAATCCTGGCAACCTTAAACCCACGATCAAGGTGTATATCAGAATGATACCAAATAGAGTGAGACCACTGTCTGATTTATGATCAAATTGGCATTCATTCAAATAGAGGGAGCACTTTCTTGGTAGTTGCTATCATCCTTTTCATAGTCCTGGTTGATGCTGTTCTGTGATTTCTCACTTGAGTCCACTTCGGTCTTCTGGCGGTCGCCGTTCTTTTTCTGGAAACGGCCTCCCACTCCTCGAGCTCTTCTCAGGGCATGCAAATGCCGGGATTCATGCAAGTATGGCTGTGAATTTCGATCAAACAAGCTTTCAAGTTAAGGTTTGTCTAAGGCACATGTTATAGGTCAGGATCGACATGTGAACCGTGATTAGATTCATCACCGGATGTAACGATGCAGCAAAAGTAGCATCATTATTTGTTTGTAAAGGTGGCAGTTAGCATAAAAAATTACAAAGAAAGATGCATGAATACCTTCCGTGACTTCGCCATTTTATTCTCCGACTCTGCTTTTGCACGGGACTGCCTGCGTCGCAAGATTCCATGATATTGTTTTGCATTCACAAAGACTGGCTCCTCAACTGCTTCGGATGGCAAAGGAACGCCGGCTTGCTGGATTCCCATAAACTGAAGATGAACCTGAATCAAGGTGGTTTGCTGATATAAACTGTCTAATCTCTTGGAAAATGGCAAAATAGGATAGATTATAGAAGGAGCTTGTTCAATAAAAAGTACCATAGGCTGGGGAGGATAAGCTTGTGCTGGATAAGACTGTACGTCATAAGGAGCAAATATACTACGGTAGTAAGGATCTGGATAGGGGTAGGCTGTTTGTGCCTGCAACATTCAAGCTTTCAGGTAAAATGTATCATAATCTCCTTGAAATGTAGATTATAATTCATTATTCTCCCACATAACATGCTTGCCCTGGAAAACACAGATTATGCATTCTATACACGTAGAGAAAGTTTCTATAAGTTTTCAGGAGTCTTATCTAAGAGGCTTATCCAGGAAAGGAGAAACAAAAAGGAGAAATTCGATATTAGACACTAAGGTCGGTAAGATATGCTGACGGGCAAAACTAATAACAAAAAAACTTGCAGTAAATAATTAATACCATCACATTTCCAACTCCAGGTTGAGCGGGTGCTCCATAATGCATTGTTGATGATGGAAAACCAGCATGAGACATCCCACTGGCTGTAGGTGAATGTTGTGTGCAAGATTCTGCATGCTTTTGCTGCTCATCAGCCTCACTATTATCTGAAAACCATCACAATTGCACACCATTAAAAGGTTGGATGGCAAGAAGGCTAGAAAGAGAACACCAATGTTGGCAACACAAGGATGCAGTGGTACCGACACGTCCAATTACCCATCAAATGACTTTGAGTTTCTCAGGAGTGGAGATAACAACCCTTGAGTTCAGAGAAAATGAATATCATATCTATGTGATAAAAAAAGAAAAAGAAAAAAGGATTACATAATCCTGATTAGTTGTGTGAAATACTTAAAAGTATATGCTAGATTTGGACTTAATAGAAGAAGCCCAAGAACACATCCAATCTATAGTGATAACAAGACTTTTAGATGCAGGGGCAACAATTGTATGAAGCCGTGCTTCATGATCACTATTCACTAGGAAATTAGCTCCACTACTTTTGAAGCCAAAACAACCATTCAACACATTTTCTCCCCATTTTATCAAGGTTCAACATCATCATTGGATTCTGTTTTGTAACTTGAATGCTGCTAGCTATTTCTCTGGTGACACCCGAAGTTAATTACATAGTGGTAGACTTCGCTACTTGTATTTCCTTATTCGGGAACAACAGTGTGTTAATTACATAGTCGTAGACTTCGCTACTTGTATTTCCTTATTCGGGAACAACAGTGATCTATCTTCAATATTGCTGTCCTAAAAATATCAGCAGCTATTTAACAAAATAACCATTTACACACACACACACACACACGTAGTAACAAATTGTTTAAACAGCCATTACCAGAGAAACTGTGAATCGACGATGTCATATTGCGGCTTGGCGTCGATAACCAAGAAATCTGAAAGCCATTAATGACCACAACCGTTAAAGACCACGAAATCAAAACTTACGAGCTCAGCAGCATACGAACACCGACAAAACTCAAGCAACATAGAGCTCATGTCATCTTCATATCTCCAACAAGCAACCACAGATCGGATGGAATTCCAATTACGATAAATCCGATTAATCGAGCTCATTAACATTCCTCTAAATCTAAGCGAAAAGCGAATTCAACTCAAAACTAGCACTAAAATTCCACCCAACGTAATCCTCCGACAAAATTTACCGGCATCCACACGGCATATCAACAACAGATGCTTTTCCACATTAGCACAATTAACGAAGCAAGACGATTGGATGAACTCACAACATAATTCAAATTTGGGAAATTCAAATTCAAACATAGGGTTTGACAACCAAAATTTACCTGATTGAGAGGGAATCCAATTCAATTGGCCAAGTGTCGACAGTCCGTCCTCTGCTCTCTCCCCTTGCTTTCTCACTCTACCTGGCTCTATGTGTGTATGTGATGTATAATATGGAACAGTAGCGTCGCTGGAGATTCTATTCTCTACGATTGAATGCATAATAAAACCAGTCGTCTGCGTCTGGGAAACACACGGTAACTGAAAAACAATAATGGTCACAAAAATTTACCTTTTTTAACCACGCTCAGTTAATCATATCTCCTTTGCCATTTTTAGCTGTGGGTAACTTCTAGAAACATAATTTTTGGTACCCACAATCAAACATGAGTTATTAGTATTATTATCCTACAATTATGTACAAGATTATTTTTCTGGTTAATTGAAGATTAAATCAGTGGTAATTAAACTGTGTGCGCCGGAGGAATATCCAATTAGAATTTACCAAGGGACGCGTGTCGGTGCTTCACTGGCTGGTATAAATTGTGCCTGGTGTATGTAGGCCAGGAGTGCCGTACACGAAAACCTGGAGATGATAGCACGTGTCCAGCTTGTGACTGGAGCAAAAGTTGAATATGTGGCTAAGAGGAGCGTGGTCCAGTGGTCCTTCTTTGACAGAACTGATCTCAGCCATTCATTTTGTGGGTCCCCCTCCCTTTACAGATGGCGTCAGCAGATCTTACGGGCCTTTTTATTGGGCCTTTTAATAATTGAGAGGTGTGATGGGCTACGTATAACTAAACCTTTAGATAACACTTCTGAAATTAAAATAATAATAATTGAAAAGAGTACTAACTTATAGGCTATAGCACAATAAATATCCGGGGGCAAAATAGTAAATGCATAAATAGAACCGCAAGTCCAATAATTTTACGACATCAATTAAGGGATTAATAATTCTCCGACACTAACCACTACCCTTAACTGGCTCCGTCGCCGGTGCTGACGTGGACGGCGGTATCTCAGCTTTCCCCCGGCGTATCAGGAAAGCGACGCCGGATACAGCTAGCAAAAGGACGCCGGTTAATCCGCAAACCGCACTGGCCACCACCAACCCTAGCCTCACGTGATCTCCCCCCGCGTCACGTGCTCCCCCTCTCTCGGCGCCAGCGCTCCGCAGTGCATCGGCGATATTCTTCGCCTCAGGCAGCTGCACCGTCGCCGCCGCGCCGAAGAACGACCGCATTTTCTGCGAGTCGTCGTCTCCGTTTTGTGTCGGCGGGAAAGATTCCTCTTGGTAGGCCAAACCGTGGTCCGAAGGACGGAGATCCCGACCGGCGGAGTGTCCGAGGATTAAAACGAAGACAACGACGAAGGCCTGTTGCAGTTGGTCCATCCTGCGGAATGTCGGATTGAAATGCATGCTCTCACTGCGGATTATTCTGGTCTGGTCTGCACTTTTAGAAGTGAAATTGATGAGTGAGCTAGCTAGGGGTAGTGTAGTACTGTGACTCTGTGCCTCTTGCTTTCTTCTAATGTCAAAAATCAAACAGTTAGCTCGTGAATTCCTGTCGGAAAAGAACAAAAGACCTTTTTGTTGGAAATGGGGATGATGAAGACAGCAGTGCTGATATGAGGAAGCAAGTGTTGTACTCTACGCTGTGGCCGCTTGTACGGGAATTTTGGCCACGCGACGCGACGCTATCATCCACCGATGATTTATTTGTCGCATTGCATATCAATGCGACGATTGAGACTCGTTTGTTTCGCGTAAAAGTTGCGTTTTTGTGAAATGCGACATCTGCTGCGCAAAACACGTTTCTTGGCCGGTTGGAAAACAGCTCCATGAACCATCCATTTGCAATAATAAAATTGATATGATGGTTTTAACCAGCATAATAATTATGTGATATGATGGTTAAAATTGTCCCAATTTGGAAAAAGTACTTGTTCTTACATCTTACAAGATAATAATGTACCTGATCTCGTCCATTCTGCTGGCATTTTCTTGTCTGTTTGGTAATTGGGGCAGGTGCAGAGAGAGGACATTAATGCTTTCATTCAAAATTAGATAGATTAGAATATGAATACATATTTCACATGATGATGGGTCGAAACAGTTGGAATTAATTAAATGGGCAACTATTTGATGAAGAAGATTGTATTAATGTATGTAGTAATGCCCCCACAGCTAAGCCAGCACACGAGTCCTTATTTGCTTATCGATCCCACCTTACCTTTGTCGTGTTCTTGAATGTCACCCGACTCAGGTTAGAATTTGTCTATATGTATTTTGAAAATTTAGGTCCTTCACTAAGTATTCTATTTTTAATTAAAATAAGTATTAGATGTGATTTTGTAATTAAATTATTAACGGATAATATGAAAATAAAATTAAGTCACTAGCAAGATATATTTAGTAAGTAATCTTTAAGTCCATTTTTACTTGGTACAAGTAGTATGTTGATATTATTACATGGTCAGTGATAAAACAAAGCAAGCCCAACCCAAATAGTCCAATATTGGGAGTGATAGATATATGGGCTTCATGAATCATTGGAAGGTAGCTATCTCTTTTCAGTTATTATATATTTATATTGTGCTTTGGTCATGGAGATTTTATTACTGTAGACCGGTTCCTAACATATCATATCAATCACTTGATCAAATAAGATTAAGAGGCATACATTTTAAAGTTTTTTTAGTTATCAAAATCAATTTTAAATAATATACTATGTATTATAGAAACCTCATGCAAAAGGCAAAAATGATAATATATATATATATTTTTTTTATGATGTAGGAACCCGCAATCACTACCTGAAGTGTCGGGGGTTGATCACAAATTCAACCCCTACACCAGCAGGCCGTCCCGAAACTATATATTTAATATCTTTTTAGAAAATAAATGATATACTATTATTTTTTCTTTTTTTTATAAGGACAAAAAGAAAATAACAAATAATACACAAGTAGTATTAATTATATTAAAATTTGTGTGAAATTTTTTTTGAGTTTACTTTTATTTGTTTATTTATTTATTGTTACGTGTTAATCACCATGCTACCACAAGCTACAATGAATTTGGACAACTTATCACAAAAATAATGTTGAAAATGCATCACAATTATATGGAGTATTTTTCTTGAATTGATTTGATGTCCACAGTTATTCAAAGAAGTTTTTTTAGATATACACTCTTAGTACTTTTGCTATTATTTATTAAAAATGATTTTCTTTTAGAAACATATTCCCTCTATTCCATATAAGAAACAATATTTTGATTTTGGTATAAAAATTTAAGTGGGTAAAATAAAATGAAAATTAGGTGATATGATGAGAGATGAAAATGTATAATTATTTTTATTAATTGAGTGATTTAATGAGATAAAATATATTAATTATTTTATATTTTAAAATTATTATAGGGTAGATAAAATTGACAAAAATAGAAAATATTGTAAGAGCTATTGGAGCCCAAGAGTGTTCAACCCTTCTAATTACTTGAAATTTTGTATTTTTATTATATAGTATTTGTATAATTTTTAAAATTTAAATAATTGACCATCTCTATAAATTTAATAAAAAATTTATTATTACATATATTTAATCCAAACATTTAAAAAGTTCAGTTTAAACACTCCAAATATTTAGAGAGATCAGAAAAAACTGAATAAAATAAACTAAAAAATTGTTTGTATTTTTTTTTAATTATATTATATAATTTTAAAATTATTGTCTCCGCATTATTGGAGAATATATAGCATTATATAAAATATATTTATTTCTCACCATATATTATTTCAAATACTCAAATTTTTGTATTCATTTTTATCTCAATATTGATAAAAAAAGGTTTTAAAATAATTTAATAGTCAAGGCTCAGGTGTTGGGAGTTGACTACTCCCACCAGCCTTTGCAAGAAAAAGACAATGTACACTTCCGGCAAGAACATATAAAATCATGGAAATTCCACTCTATGCAAATAGTAATTACAAAATTAATTAGTATAGGCAATACTTTAATGGTCAGAAATATAAAATCATGGAAATTCCACTCCATGCCAATAGTAATTACAAAATTAATTAGCATGGGCAGTAATTTAATGGTCAGAAATGGCAGGAGATTAAATAAATAATAATATTATTCAACCTACCAAAATATATTATTGTGCTATTAATACCACTTCTATATATGTATATGTAATCTGGGGTCTTCCTACCCACAATATAGTGTCACCCTTTTGGACCGCAACGATTTTAATTTGTCTATAAATTAATTTATTTTTATAAGTTTATTTTTTGTTGTTATTTGAATTTACTTTTATTTACTTTTTTGTTTTTTTTCCTAAATAAAAAGTACTATTTTTTTACCTTTTTTTTTAAATCTTAATTTCTTTTTCTAATTCTACCATTTTTAAAAAATAAAAAATAAAATTGTGTGCACAATTTTATATATACATACTTTTTTTTTTTTTTTTTTATGCCGGAAAGAGTATTAGTTTAAAAAACAGATTACTTGTCTATAGCTGCATGGAATTTGCCTTATGTAATTGCAATATGATGATGATCTGTGGTTGTCCCATGTATGTATTTTTATTCAACCAATGTTATCAATTTTATACTATATGATTATATCAATATATATTATTATATTGTTGATTCAGATATGCTACACTTGAATTGGAGGTATTCGTGAACTGACATAGTCTAATGAGTCAAAAGTTCCAAGTGTCGATGAGTTACCTTTTGCTGACATGAATTTAGACATATTTATGTGTCGATGATCATATTCATACCCTCTATTTTACTTTTTTATGTTTAATTATAAAATGAGACTATATTGAATAATATTCGTCGTTTAATTTTCTAGTAACATATATGTATGTACATTTACCTTGAATTGTGATTGTGTAATACCAAGAATACCCTCCACATTTCTTATGTACCCTGCGATCTTGAAATATGCTCGAACCTTCCTATTTTTGTATTCATAAATTTTATTTGCATCAGTACCAAACATGCAGCTTGACCTGCCTGCCTGCTTCTGACAACTTCATTTTAAAACACTATTATTATTATTATTATTATTATCATTATTATTGTTATTACTATTTTATTATCAGTTTCCATTGGCACAAGAGTCGATTGAATTTAATTTTAATACTAATTATTTATTGGTGTCCTGAATGGTAATTTTAAAAAGGTACGGTCATTTGACAAGTAGGCTATATATTGCGTCGAGTGGGTAACGAAATGCGACTATAAATGGATAAGAGGTTAACAAAGCTCTGCCGTACTGCCTTGCTTCCATAAACTCTGTGCTACCTCTCCACGCTGAGTTCGCCATGGAAATTTATTCCCAAGCTCACGTTTGCCAGTGCCTGAGCCGCCTGGCAAACGGCCGCCGCGATTGCGTCGTCACCGTTTACGGAGACAGGAGGAAAACCGGAATGCAGTTCGTGGAGGAGGTTATTTGCCTGGCGCGCGGGTTGCTAGAGCTCGGCATCAAGCCTGGTGATGTCGTCTCCATATCTGCTCTCAACAGGTTATTACCGTAGAGGTTTCGGATTTTGGATCGTGTGTTAATGCATGATGATTATTATTATTATTTCTTAAAGTGCGTGCTGGGAGATGATATTCAAGTATGCAAGGCAATTTCCTTTCTTTTTTTTTTTTTTTATTTTGATCGGAAGCAAGTTCCTTTCTTTCTTTTTTCCTGATCGGAGAAGCGATTTCTTTTCTTTTGATGTACAGTAGGAGGTTATCTTTCTTAATCATATTTTTGGTTTTTGGGAAACTTTATGCCGTTGTGAATTGGTTTGCGGTTATCTGTGATTGTTCAGTTTCTTTGAATGATGAGCTAATTGATCAGGAGACAGGAACCACAATTGAATATATATTTTAACGCAAGGATACCTTGAGTTAATGAAACCATGATTGTGTTGCAGTGATTTATATTTGCAATGGATGCTTGCTATAACCTATGTTGGAGGAATTGCTGCTCCGCTCAACTATAGATGGGTTAGTTATATTTCTTTTGTCATTTCAATCATATTAGAATAGACGTAAAGTTAAAGAATTCATATGTTTGATAAGCTATAGTTCGGTTGATTCCAAGTTTGAAGATACTACAAAAGACACTGCCTTAGTAATTTGATAAGTATGTTAATCCGTCACACTCACTCTGCAGAGCTTGGAAGAAGCCAAATCAGCAATGGAGGTTGCACAACCTGTGTTGCTTGTAACAGATTCAAGCCCTGGATTCTGGCATTCTACTTTCAGCATAGATTCTGTTCCATCTCTACGGTGGCATGTTGTGATAGACATCCCTGCTGAAGCTAATAATGCTGGAACAAGTATGTAACTTTTGTGCAGACATTATAGTGATTATTGGGCTGCGTTTCATAAATATTTGACCAAATAGGATCGTCCAGTTCCTATAGCTCTGCACTCTAAAATAGTTCCTGCCTTTGAATTTCAGTTCTTGCTACTGAACTTCTTAAAAAGCCTACTGGAAGAGCTGTCGATCTGGACTTTCATTGGGCACCTGAGGGAGCTGCAGTTATATGCTTTACATCAGGTATGCCAATCAATTTTTTTCTTTTTATTTATTTTTCCCTTAAGAGTAAATGTTTGCTTTCATCACTTTGTGCTTCTTGCTGAAGTCGTGAGCTTAGGCAAATTAAATATGATAGCACCATCTGTGCTATAACAAACTCAAAATTCAACTCACTAAATGCAAGAGTAGAAAATGTACATGTTCTAGCCGGGGCTAAAAGGAAAATCTTTAAGATGAATTGAGTCCTAAGTTAGTTGTCCGATCCATATCATTCAATTAAAAACTTCTTATTGTCTATTCTTTATGTTACAATCACATGGTTTTCTTGATGCCAATAGGTACTACTGGAAAGCCAAAAGGAGCTGCCATAAGCCACTCGGCTATAATTGTGCAATCCCTAGCAAAAATTGCTATTGTCCGCTATGATGAGGACGATGTAAGTTATTCTTTTGAAGCTTAGTTTTACTTTCCCATAGCCATCACCAGTAGTTTTCTTTTCATAGAACAACACAGTATACCTCCTCAACAAATCCAAAAGTGAAATATGTTCATGATAGAGGTGTTTGCCAAAATTGTTTTGTTTTTGCGTACTTGCAGGTCTATCTGCATACAGCTCCACTTTGTCACATTGGAGGAATATCTTCAGCCATGGCCATGTTAATGGCTGGGGGTTGCCATGTTATATTACCCAAGTTTGAGGCCAAACTAGCTTGTGAAGCTATCAGAGAACATCTTGTAACTTCAATTATCACAGTACCCACTATGATGGCTGATTTAATCTCCTTTAATAGGTAATCAACTTTGCGTTTTGAACTTTGTCAAGATAAGAGAGAATTTTTACTGCAAAACTATTTGAGAAACTTGAAAAAAAGGTTTTGAAGTTTTTCCACTGCCCGTGTCAAGTAATGCATTCATACGATTATCTAGTCTGCAAGATTTTTTATTTTTTTTGAAAAATTAATTCACTTTATTTCATTGTTCACAATCTGCTAGATGTTGTGATGGACATATGATATCCCTTTTGGATTGAGATTTTTAAGCATGAAAAAGTTTATTTGTTTTTCATGCGGTTGTCCTTTTGTTCTTGCATAACATAGATGTTGAACATGGTAAATACTTCTCAGGATGAACTTCACATCAGAAAATTTAGACTCTGTGAGGAAGATTCTAAATGGAGGCGGTGGTCTGTCAGTTGAGCTCATCAAAGATGCTATAAAACTTTTTCCTAGAGCCACACTTCTCTCAGCTTATGGTGAGTATGCATGCCTTGGAACATCATATCTGGCGCTAGACAAAGATAATGAGTACTAACTTATAATGGCATCTCACGACCTATATACATTGATTACTTTTTCCTTTTTCTCTTAATTCATTGTATTTTTATATACAAGGAGAGCCTAATTTACCTGTGTCTGATTTACCAGGAATGACCGAGGCAGCCTCTTCTTTAACCTTCATGACTCTCTATGATCCAACAAAAGAGAACCCCTGGCAGCATGAACAAGATATTAAAAGGTCTGATATAAGCAGTCAAGGGGGTGTTTGTGTGGGGAAACCAGCACCACATATTGAAATAAGGGTTAGATCCGAGGAGTCTGCTGATACCGGGAGAATATTAATGAGAGGTCCTCATGCAATGCTCCATTACTGGGGTCAAAGCCCATCCAGTAACTTGAATCCTGCAAGTGAAGGTTGGCTTGACACTGGAGATATAGGCCAGATAGACTGCCATGGTAATCTCTGGCTCAATGGGCGTGCAAAGGATAGAATCAAGACTGGAGGGGAAAATGTTTACCCAGAAGAGGTAAGAATGCCATGTCAGCCTTTATGGCTATTAGTATGCGGAATTAGGAACAAGTTTATACCATGGTTACAGTTGTTTGTGGTTCCTCAATCTGTTCTTCACTGCAATACTGATAATCGACCTTGTTGGTGACACAGGTAGAGGGTGTCATATCCCAGCATCCAGGAATTTCCAGAATTGTTGTTGTTGGAGTTCCTAATTCACGGTTGTCAGAGATGGTGGTTGGCTGTATTCAACTCAAAGACGGTTGGAAATGGACTGAATTGAGTTCTAAGCACTCAACACAAGACAAAGGTCATTATTTATCCAGTGATATCATCAGGCAATTTTGTAAGGAACAGAATCTAACAGGGTATGTATTCACTTCAGACAATATGATACCTTTTAGTCTCTCATGCACAGCCAACATATTCCTAATACCATCTTATCACAATGCAGTTTTAAAATTCCCAGAAGTTTTATATTATGGAAGAATGACTTTCCAGTGACAACTACTGGGAAATTAAGAAGAGACCACATCCGAGCAGAAGTTGTGTCTCAGATGGAGTTTCTGCCCAGCAAACTATGATTTGACGAAAAACATGGTTACTAAAATGTAGCCAAATAAACAATGTACTGCATCACTGATGTCCTGTATGTTTTGCAAGCTATATATCAATGCCAAAGTTCATTACCAACAGCTTTTATTAGGCTGTCAAAGTTGCATATAAATATATTTCATCTTTGAGTAATTCATAGCCACTCACCTACAGCATGAGCACATTCAGTTTAGTGCTGGACAGCGTGAAGAATGCATATTGGTTGTGGAAACATATTTCATTCAGCTGATGTTACTTCAGCTCTGACTTCAATCCATGATAGTATGGTGTTAACTACTTCTTCTACCGTTTCATTTGGTTCTCCAATGAATTGGTGCCACATGCCTTCGTAGATCTTCAATGTCTTGTCTTTGCTGGCTACTGAATTATAGAGGCGTTTAGCTCCTGTCACTTCGCATACCATGTCATCTCCACCATGTAGAATCAAAATTGGCACTGTTAACCCATGGCAGTTTCTTTCTATGTATTCGGTGAACTTCTGGAACTGCAATCCCACGGCTGCAGTCAGCTTACCACAGGTATGCCGGTTTGGGCTTCTCTCTTCCAACTTTCTCTTCCAATCCTCCTTGTATGATATACTTGCAGGTGATCTGAAGAATGGCACCCTCCAAGATGGTGCAAAAAAAACAACAGCTTCAATTAGTTTATTCAGCAGCCAAACAGGTATGAACTTTTTTTTCCAGGATCCGCGTGCAACTCCAGATACTATCAAACCATTCCATGCTGTTTTCTGCTGCAGGCACACAAGCAATGCCATTGAAGAGCCCAGTGACTCCCCGTAAAGAAAATGTGGCAGCTCCGGATGACTGGTGCGGGCTGAGTCAAAGTACTGCAGGCAATCATTCACCAGGTCATTGAAATTAGTGAAGTGATAACGAGGGCCTTCTGAGAAGCCATGTCCTTGCAGGTCTAATGCACATACGAAGAATCCGGATTTTGCTATAGCCACCGCATTTAGTTCAAAGAGCCAACTACTCTCCGAGGAATAGCCATGAATCATTCCCACAAGCCCTTTCAATTTGACACTCAAATCTGACGGCTGCCATGATTGTGTGTATATCTTCATCTTTTGTCTGTTGATCATGAAGCCCTTTTGGTGCAATATGTGATGTTTCAGGTAGAACTCCTGCCTCGTCAGATTCCCGTAAGGACTAAACTCATTAGCCTCATGAATTGGGTGAGCCATTTTCTCCTCCAGCTTCTCAACTATCACTGCCTAATAAAAGTGACCTTGATTATACACACACACATATACATATAATAATATATTATGTCATTATTAATCTTCCTTCAATAACAGAATCAACTGCTGGTGCTGGTGTGGATTGCGCACAACAAAATCAGGCTGATAGGCTATGAATGCCACGCCACCATATGCCGTTTCTGGCAAGGCTGCATGGGCTACACTGGTTAGTGATTTATTTATGTTTTTTTGATTTTGCTATAGCCACCGCATTTAGTTCAAAGAGCCAACTACTCTTCGAGGAATAGCCATGAATCATTCCCACAAGCCCTTTCAATTTGACACTCAAATCTGACGGCTGCCATGATTGTGTGTATATCTTCATCTTCTGTCTGTTGATCATGAAGCCCTTTTGGTGCAATATGTGATGTTTCAGGTAGAACTCCTGCCTCGTCAGATTCCCGTAAGGACTAAACTCATTAGCCTCATGAATTGGGTGAGCCATTTTCTCCTCCAGCTTCTCAACTATCACTGCCTAATAAAAGTGACCTTGATTATACACACACACATATACATATAATAATATATTATGTCATTATTAATCTTCCTTCAATAACAGAATCAACTGCTGGTGCTGGTGTGGATTGCGCACCACAAAATCAGGCTGATAGGCTATGAATGCCACGCCACCATATGCCGTTTCTGGCAAGGCTGCATGGGCTACACTGGTTAGTGATTTATTTATGTTTTTTTGATTTTGCTATAGCCACCGCATTTAGTTCAAAGAGCCAACTACTCTCCGAGGAATAGCCATGAATCATTCCCACAAGCCCTTTCAATTTGACACTCAAATCTGACGGCTGCCATGATTGTGTGTATATCTTCATCTTCTGTCTGTTGATCATGAAGCCCTTTTGGTGCAATATGTGATGTTTCAGGTAGAACTCCTGCCTCGTCAGATTCCCGTAAGGACTAAACTCATTAGCCTCATGAATTGGGTGAGCCATTTTCTCCTCCAGCTTCTCAACTATCACTGCCTAATAAAAGTGACCTTGATTATACACACACACACATATACATATAATAATATATTATGTCATTATAAATCTTCCTTCAATAACAGAATCAACTGCTGGTGCTGGTGTGGATTGCGCACCACAAAATCAGGCTGATAGGCTATGAATGCCACGCCACCATATGCCGTTTCTGGCAAGGCTGCATGGGCTACACTGGTTAGTGATTTATTTATGTTTTTTTGATTTTGATGTGTACATATGTTGTTGTTATTGTTACCATTAGTATAGACCTGCCAAGCTCCTTATAGAGTACCATAGATTAGATTATATTAGACGGCTTAAGAGTTTAGAGATGTTAATTGCCTTGGTTTGGGGGTTTGGAAGAGTGAAGATTCTCTAGATATCATCTTAATTAATTAGCCCAAAGCCTATTTCCTCTGCTCATTATAATAGTTCACTAAGACCAGTCTACAGAGTAGTTTAATTTATTATCATAGGCATTAAACTAAACTTAAGGTACCAATAAAAATTAGTCAACATTGAGCCCCATATATAATAATCTCATCCCAAGAACTGATCCAATCCGGACAAGAATATATGTTTCCTGCCGAATGAACAGAGCTAAGATTATTATAAAAGGATTCATCAATTAATTGAGTGGACTGATTGGGGATGGCGGTGGACTTTCCTCCTCAGCAAAAAGTCCTCAATTAATACGATTACAATAGTCAGTCACATGGATTGTTTCACACACATTTTCTTCACTACTAAACTCCATATATTCATATTATTTCCTCTTGTGAAAAAGATTACAGCACAGCCACCAGCCTGTCTCAAAGTCCATACCGAATTACGCCCTGACTGAATACTAATTACTGTGAGAGAAACTGCCCACACTCTAGTTACTTGTTGGAGAGTAAGGAGAAAGGTAAATTTTCAGTTACAAACGATAGCTCAATAATTTTTCATTTTCGAATAAATTCAATAACAAAAAAATACCTGACACTACTCTCAGTTGGTATAAACACCCATTTTTACTACATTGTTGTTTTATTCATTCGTCGTATAACTTGTGTTTTGTTAGGCCAGTTTTCATAATCATTAGAAAGAAAAAAAAAAGGTATTGCTTATATATATGTTTTAAAAACCCTTTTCCGCGTTGTCTTGCCCCACCAGGTACAGAAGGGTACTTCTGGTACGGACAGACAAGAAGACAAGATCCTTTTTATTTAATTACTGTGTGCGGAAGGGGTAATATTGAGAATCAAGAATAAATTTTTATGTGGACTGTTGATCGTCTTCCAGACAAATGCATGCCAGCCCGGCGCAAATAATGAAGGCCCCTGTTTTGGTTCCATATTAATATATCAGTAGCAATTCTATTTTAAATTCATGCTGTTGTAATTTGTGATGGAGTGACCAGTAAATACTGCTAGAGTTGTTACAACAATTCACCAGACATAGGTATATAATTAATAAAGTAATCTTGTACAGATGTACGAGTGCCTGCAGGATTCCTGAGTCTTGACACTTTACAAAAGAAGACAAAGGCTTCAGAATTTGGTGTATTATTAATTTCCAGGCTGTTTTTTGAAACTTCATTTCCAGCCAGACCATCTCCATTTCCATTCTGTTCAGGAACCCTTATTTCTGTAATTTCAGAGCTCGCTGCCCTTGTTTGTTGATATTGGGGATTTTCTGAGGAATCAAGATTGCACCTTTACATATCTTCTTGCAGTATTCTGTTCATATATATTTTTTTAATTTTTTTTTTTCAAATATATATATTTTTAATCTTTCCTATTGTTGTGATTTTTACCTTTGGCCTCTTTAGATCTGATCGTCGATTGGAGTTTCACTTTCTCCGTTTATTTTTTTTCTGGAGGTACGTGCTCGAATTTCTTTTGATTGAGGGTTTGATTGGGGGAGTTTGTGTTTGACTGGAAATCTGTGTTGTGATTGGAATTAGGGTTTGAACTGCTCACCATCTGCGGCAAATTGGGGCTAATTTTTGAAGGGGGTAAAAGCCCTAAGGTGTGAATAATGGCCCTGACCGTACTGCTCCTGGTGATTATTCTTAAAACTGCCCACTTTGCAGAGGCTGCAACGACGTCGTTTCTGGTTAATTGTGGGTCGAGCTCCAGAAGTGTTAATGTCGACGGAAGGGCATGGGTCGGCGACGGAGCTCCCGGGACCAATTTCACCCTCAGTGATCCCGGAATTCCGGCCAACACCACCGTCTTCAATGGCGATTCAATCTATCGACCTCTGTACAGCACTGCGAGGATTTTCACTGCCAATTCAAACTACACCTTTCGAGTTCCCAACGGCGATTACTTCCTGAGGCTCCATTTTTACCCCCTGGAATTCGACGGCTATGATGTCAACAAATCCTCCTTCTCCATCGAGGCAAATGGATTGAAACTGGTTTCCAATTTCAACGTCCCGACGGAGATTCAGGACAGGAGTTCCAACCTACAATCCGGAGCTGCTAATTCGACGTATTTCTACCTGTTGAAGGAATACTTCTTCTCCGTCCACAGCAGTTCAATCATCGTCAATTTTGTTCCCTTGGAAGGTTCGTTCAGCTTCATCAGTGCCATAGAAGTCGTCACGGATGACAGCAAGCTGTTCACTGATAATCCGGTACGAAGAGTCAACAATGGCGGCAACGGCAATGCTTCGTTGAACTTGATAGGACGAGGGGTTGAAACAATGCATAGATTGAAAGTCGGGGGATTGCCTGTAAAACCTTCACAGGATTCCTTCTGGTGGAGGACATGGGAAGCCGACGAAGGCTACATGATCAATGCCGCTGCAGGAGTCGAAATCAGGAACAGGTCGAATATTTCCTACGCAGATCCGAACAGCACGGTGATGGCTCCTCTTGCAGTGTACGAAACCGCGAGATCTTTGACGAACAATGCTGGAGTTTCGGAGAAGAGATTCAACATGTCGTGGAAACTGGATATCGATCCGGATTTTGATTATCTTGTCCGGCTGCATTTCTGTGAGCTGTTGTACGATAAGCCAAACCAGAGAGTTTTCAGAGTGTTCATCAACAACAGAACTGCTTCAGATAATTTCGATATCTATGTTCGAGCTGGAGGGATGAACCGGGCGTACCACGAGGATTACCTCGACTTTATCTCCTCCGAAAGCAATACTCTTTGGATACAGCTCGGCCCTGACACGATCACGGGCTCTGCTGGGACGGATGCTCTCTTGAATGGTTTGGAGGTTTTCAAGCTTAGTCGGAATGGCAATCTGGCGTACGAACGAAAGCAGGACAGTGTTAAAGGGGGGAGTGGATCGCGTAGTTTAGTTCTTTGGATTGGAATTGGAGCAGGTATAGCTTCGATCACCATTATTGCAGGCGTATTCGTGTTGATCGTGTGTTGCTGTAAGAAGAAAGACAGGAAAACCGAGGATGGCAAGAAGAATGCTCATGGCTGGCGCCCTTTGTTTCTTCACGGATCTGTTTTCAACAGCACTGCGAATGCAAAAGGGCCGAATGAAGTTGGTAATAATGCCAGATCCGGGCGACGATTTGCCTTAACTGAGATTAGATCAGCCACGAATAACTTCGACGAAAGTTTAGTGATTGGGGTGGGTGGATTTGGGAAGGTGTACAAAGGGGAGATTGATGAGACCACTCTCGTGGCGATCAAGCGAGCCAATCCACAGTCTCAGCAAGGTTTGACAGAATTCGAGACGGAGATAGAAATGCTGTCTAAGTTAAGACACAGGCATTTAGTGTCGTTGATTGGATTCTGCGACGAACAGAATGAGATGATCTTGGTGTACGAGTACATGGCGAATGGAACTCTTCGGAGTCACCTGTTTGGGAGCGATTTGCCGCCATTGAGTTGGAAGCAACGGTTAGAGATATGCATCGGTTCTGCTCGGGGGCTTCATTACCTTCATACGGGTTCGGACAGGGGGATCATCCACAGGGATGTTAAGACAACCAACATACTATTGGACGAAAATTTTGTAGCCAAAATGTCTGATTTTGGGCTGTCGAAAACAGGTCCTTCTCTGGAGCACACACATGTCAGCACGGCTGTGAAGGGGAGCTTCGGTTATCTTGATCCTGAGTACTTCCGAAGGCAGCAGCTGACTGAGAAGTCGGACGTGTACTCGTTCGGTGTGGTCTTGTTTGAGGTTGCCTGCGCGCGAGCAGTTATTAATCCGACGTTGCCGAAAGATGAGATCAATCTTGCAGAGTGGGCGTTGCGGTGGCAACGGGAGGGGTCGCTGGATAGCATTCTGGATGCAAAGCTGAGAGGCGATTATTGCCCAGAGTCGTTGGTGAGATTCGGGGAGGTGGCGGAGAAGTGTCTGGCGGACGAGGGGAAGAGCAGGCCGACCATGGGAGAAGTTCTGTGGCACCTCGAGTATGTGCTGCAGCTTCACGACTCGTGGCTGCAGCTGCAGCAGAATGACGAGCCGGGGGCTGTCGTGGTGGACATGAGTTTGATTGCGGAATCGGAATCGGAATCTTTGAATGAGAAGTGAAGAAGACGAAGATGATGATGATGATGAATCAATCAATGTCCGTTCCATTTTCAAGAAGAGATTACTACAGATGATGCTTGATGCTGGAATCGTTCATAATCATTGCCTTTATACAAGATTGATTATATATATATATATGTGTATATTGTTCATTGATTCTTGGAAGAGGTTTTCGATGAGATCCGGTGATTCTTTTGTTCATAATTGTTTGGTTTAGCGTGAGGTTTTTATATCATTTGGTTCGACTCTCGTATTTAAATTTGTGTTTGTTCATCGTCACTGTCTGGAAAGGAATCTTTGATCTCTTTCTTCTCCATTTCTTATTAGAGTGTTGGGCAGGATGTTATGCCATTAGTTCACACACCCATTCAGTTAAAAATAAAAATATATTAATACAAAATATAAAGTTGCAACAATTGAACAACTGTATATATAATTTCTGACCTTGATTAATTTAGACGTTCTCGTACATACTGTGATGCGATTAATTTTTTCTATTTGCAGTGTTGCAATAATTGAAGCCGTAAGAAAGATGCCTGCAAATGGATAGAGTAAAAACATGTTCTCTAAATAATATAAATTGTCTTTTTAATGGCCATACCCATACCCATACCCATTCCCACTGCCACTGCTTTCTCCTCGTCTCCAGAATGGCTGCTGCGACTACCTGCAATAGACTAAGGTTGTTCTTCCGTAAACCTAACTCGAGAATCACTTCTGCCGTGTTATGTCGGGAATGGGATCGCAAGTTCTGCTCATCGTCTGCAGCGTCTCAATTTAAAGTAAGTTTAATTTTCTGTTCTCTATGTTTTAAAGTTATCTTCCCAATTTGAAATCAATTGCTTTTCTCGGAAATCTCGAACCAAGCCAAATGCAATTTCAAATCTTCTGGAAAAGCTCGATTAGGTTATGCTCGAATTGGCTTGTGTTTGTGAGTCCGGAGGATATCTGGATTCCTGTCTGGTTTTCTTACAAGTTGGAAGTAGAGTTCGACTGTGGTTCTTCGAAATGCTCTTAGGTGTTGTGTACTGTTGAAGCTTCTATCAATAATTGTAATGATCTCATCTCTCCTGTTATCACAGAGAGTTGGATTTATCGGATTGGGAAACATGGGATCCCGAATGGCGAATAACTTGATCAAAGCAGGCTGCAGCCTTGTTGTCCACGACGTGTAACTTTGTTCGATACCATTTCTTTCATTACAACATTGTGCAATAGAATTTGATTGAAATATTGATACTTCGGTGCAGAAACCGTGATGCTATGAAAAAATTCTCGGACCAAGGAATCCCGACCGCCGGATCACCGCTTGAAGTTGCTGAGTCAAGCGACGCTGTAATAACAATGCTACCGTCTTCAGTCCATGTATGTAACTTATATAAGGTTCAGACAATTGCAATTTCTTGTATGCAACATTGTTGTCTCCTAAATTCGATCAACTTTTGTTTCTAGGTGATGGATGTTTACATGGGATCCAAAGGTTTGCTCGGTGGTGGGAAGCTGATCTGGTCGAGGTTGTTCATAGATTGCTCTACCGTTGATCCTCAAACATCCAGAAAACTTTCTGTGGCTGTTTCTCATTATAGGTTGAAGAGCCCGATAGGTACTCATAAATGGCTTATGTCTAAAAGCTAGGTTGCTGTTTTATAACCATTTATAACAACATAGGTGGCATCTATGCTCCTACCATGTTGGACGCTCCGGTGTCTGGAGGTGTTCTATCGGCCGAGGCCGGTTCACTCACCTTCATGGTATTATATCATTAATCTAGAAGTCCTTCGAAGTCGCGACTAGTTTGTAATAAAACACTCTCAAATAACGTATGTCCTAATCTTAGGTTGGAGGTTCTGAGGAAGCGTGCCGAACTGCGAAGCCTTTGCTTCTGTCGATGGGCAAGAATATCATATACTGTGGTGGTTCGGGGAATGGTTCGGTATGCACATTCTTGTAGTCATTTTTCTCCTGTTTAATGCCAGAGTTTCAAAAGTTTCATAGTTTGTATCTGTAACAGTCGGCGAAGATTTGTAATAACTTGGCGATGGGGGTGAGCATGCTTGGTGTTTCGGAGGCCTTTGCGCTCGGACAATCGTTGGGCATTTCAGCGGCGACGTTGACAACGGTGTTTAACTCTTCGAGCGCTCGATGTTGGAGCAGGTACTTAGCCATTTCCTGTCCTGTATTTGATCTCTTTTCTATATATACACGAAAGCGATCCATATATCCCTTTCGATGGTTTCCTTTCTTTTACAGTGATACTTACAACCCGGTGCCTGGTGTAATGGATGGGGTGCCGTCTTCTAGAAATTATGACGGTGGCTTCGCCACGAAACTGATGGTACAGCCGCGGTTTGATCTCTGTTTGTATTTGCTTGAATGGCTCTTTAAGTCTGTCTGGCCTGCTGTTGGGATCCTGTAGGCTAAAGATCTGAAGCTTGCAGCCACATCGGGGGGAGAAGTAAGCGCGAAGAGCCCGATGACATCTCTTGCCAATGAAATGTAAGTTCGGGCTCGTTAGGACATCCAGTGTCTGAGACATTGACGCCAATCTATTTGCTTGTTGGTGTGCAGATATACGCAACTGTGTGACCAAGGTCACGGGGTGAAGGATTTTTCGTGCGTGTTTCGACATTATTTCTCGGGCAAGGATGAGATGTAGTTTCAGAACTCTCCATGTCCTGTCTTCTTCTTCGAATCACTATTATAATAATTTAACTTCATGTTGGGGCAACCTATGCAGTAACTTGTTGTACTAAGTAGGCCAGTTTTGCATGAATCTTGGGGCACCATGTGCGTGATGAAAGCAACACATCAAATGGAGGGAAACCTTTATGATAAGGCAAACAGGCAGCCATTACTATCCAAAGAACATGTAATAAAAGTAGCTGTCTTTCTTGGAAAATAGCAGTGTAAAAAAAGATAAAAGAGCATGTACGAAAGATAAAAGACAAGCACAAACATATCATGATTCCACCATAGAACGAAAGCAAAGCATATCATCACAATCATTTTCAAACATGATGATCAGATCAGTTCCAACAAGCTGAATATCACACACACACACACATGGATATCTGACTTGAGAGTCTTTAAGAAAAGCAATAAAAACAATCATCCATCCCACTAATTAAAAATCAACAGACCGAGAAGAAACCATGGGATTGATTTCTCAAGCAGGGACCTCGTCTTCTTCCTCCTCTTCCTCGTACTCCTCATCTGCAGTAGCATCCTGGTACTGCTGGTACTCGGCCACCAGATCGTTCATGTTGCTTTCGGCCTCGGTGAACTCCATCTCGTCCATTCCCTCGCCCGTGTACCAGTGCAAGAAAGCCTTGCGCCTGAACATGGCGGTGAATTGCTCGCTCACACGCCTGAACATCTCCTGGATGGAAGTCGAGTTCCCGATGAATGTGGACGCCATTTTCAGACCCTTGGGAGGGATGTCACAAACGCTGGACTTGACGTTGTTGGGGATCCACTCCACAAAGTAGGAGGAGTTCTTGTTTTGCACATTGATCATTTGCTCGTCAACCTCTTTAGTGCTCATCTTGCCACGGAACATGGCTGAGGCCGTCAAGTAACGGCCGTGGCGCGGATCTGCAGCACACATCATGTTCTTGGCATCCCACATTTGCTGAGTCAGCTCAGGCACTGTAAGAGCTCGGTACTGCTGGGATCCTCGGGAGGTCAAGGGGGCGAACCCAACCATGAAGAAATGCAGGCGAGGGAATGGGATCAGATTAACTGCAAGCTTCCTGAGATCGGAGTTGAGCTGTCCGGGGAACCGAAGGCAGCATGTGACACCACTCATTGTGGCGGAGATGAGGTGGTTGAGATCACCAACTGATGCATAAACAGCCAAAAGTTAATCCATTAGTGACAGCAGCATTAACATCCAAAATGGTTATTAAAATGGTTGGACTTACAAGTAGGAGTGGCGAGCTTGAGGGTTCGGAAGCAGATGTCGTAGAGGGCCTCGTTATCCAAGACCATACATTCGTCCGCATTTTCAACGAGCTGATGAACTGATAGGGTGGCATTGTATGGCTCTACAACAGTGTCCGATACCTTCGGGGAAGGGAATACAGAGAATGTCAACATCATCCGGTCGGGATATTCTTCCCTGATCTTGGAGATGAGGAGAGTACCCATTCCAGATCCAGTGCCTCCACCCAAAGAATGACAAACTTGGAATCCTGTTGATAGAAAATTACCAAACTGTTATAAACTCTAAAGTCTCATACAATGAAGGTTTGTGTTTGCGGAGAAGAAAACACCATAGATAGACCTAAGAACATAGCAATTGTGTAGTTTGTTAAATCTGCAGTATACATTAGTTACAGCACTGTTGTGAATCAGATCCAGGCGAAGAACAGACATCTAAGCACTGGAGAGTTGAAGTGTAAGCATCCAATTACCAATGTGAAGGTAAATCGAAATCATTGTAAAAGAGAAAAAGGGGGGGAAATACGTGCAACGTAAAAATAAGTAAAATATAGTCTCTACACGAACAGCAGTTTACACAAAGAATAGTATATGTTTATAGATCTGACGAAAAATCGATGAAAATGGATGGAAATGAAGATAACCTTGCAAGCAGTCACAATTTTCGGCCTCCTTGCGTACAACATCGAGGACTGCGTCGATCAGTTCAGCTCCTTCGGTGTAATGCCCCTTCGCCCAGTTGTTTCCGGCGCCAGACTGGCCAAACACAAAATTATCCGGCCTGAAGATCTGGCCGTAGGGACCAGATCTGACGGAATCCATGGTGCCAGGCTCAAGGTCCATGAGGACGGCGCGTGGGACGTACCTGCCACCGCTGGCCTCATTATAGTAAACGTTGACGCGCTCGAGCTGGAGATCTGAGTCGCCGCTGTACTTGCCAGTGTGATCGATTCCGTGCTCGTCGCAAATGACCTCCCAAAACTTGGCACCGATCTGGTTGCCGCATTGCCCACCCTGGATGTGCAGGATTTCCCTCATTTTCCCCTCTGTTTGAATGATTTGCTCTCTAGCCGGTGGAAAATCGAGGGCGATTGGGTCTGTCTCCGCCTGCGCTTTCGATGGAGAGAGCAGAAATTGAATCAACGTTGCCGCTTTGTATAGTGGCGTTAGGGCAGTGGTGCAGAGTAAATGGAGCTGGATCGGAGATTTCTCTAGCAATTCGCCCTCTGATGTCAAACTATTCTCCAAAATGCCATCCCCATTTTTTCACATTAAATTAAATTAAATTAATTTATAAATGACTCGAAGCATCATTCATTGATTGTGTCAGCAGTTTATAGCATTAAATGCAGCAGCTACAAAAGCCTCCATTTTATTGGGCGAAAAAGCCTATCCATAATGGGCCACTGTTTCCTCCTGAAAGCCCAATAAAACAAATCAATGTTATGGACAGGTTCATAGCCCAAGTGTTCAAAATCCAAAATAGGCTCATTAAAAGAAATTCGCTGAAAATGACTGAAATAATAAAAAAAATTCAGAACGCCGTAAAAACACATGTTTTAAACAACATTACGTGTGATTATTTTCTTGATTATTTTTTGAGTGGAATAAATAACAATTAAATAATCAATCAAAAGTAGCTTTTGTCTGTAGCACGCGTTAATGTGTTTTCTCCATTCTACTCCTGACCAATTACTACAGTACAGATACATTCTTGGGTAAATTGTATGTGCAAAAATGTGACCATTCATCTAATATATAAAATATGTAAGGATGTGCTAAAGATTTGTTTTTGGTAAAATGTTCCAAAGGTCCTTGCCGATTACCTGAATTGATACCTTAATTAGAAACACCAAACAAGTGTAGCTGGTTGAAAATTAATGTAAATTCTTTGATGGAGTTATAATTAAATGAACAAGCGTGCGTTCTTGATTGCTCCGCTCCGTCTCCACAGGTAGCCGACAACTGTATCATTGCAGCAACAATTTCCATTGATTTCTCCGATCTGACCACAAGTTCTCATGGCGCCAACGCCGGCCTACGGCCCACCTAACAACGCCCTTTTCTTCTTTCATAAATAGGGTCTTTAGGGTTCGGCTTTTCTGCTCTTTAGTCAAAGGCCAGCAGGGCTCGATTGAATTGAATTGAATTGAATTGTGAATACATTTTTGTAAGCCTCGCCTCTCTCTCTCTCTCTCAAGCTTTCTTTGTTCTGCAAAAAGAAAAGGGATCATGAGTTCTCTGTGAAAGTTATCGTCTTTATTATCTTAGCCTGGAAGTGCTTGCTCTTTCTTGTGATTGCAATTGAAGAATTGGATCAATGAGAAAAAGGGCTGCCCTTTATGCTGTGAATTTCGAAACTTCTGATGCCGATTTATCAGAAGTTTTCCCGTTTAAAGATGCTGTTGCTTGTGTAATCTGATCGAGCTTCTTCGCCTCTTCTTGCGGCGTCGGAGTCGGATCGAGCGTTTTTGTTTGTCCGTACGATGCCTTTCCTGTGGAAGAGGGTGAAGAGCGCCAAGATTTCTCGATTGGTGAACGATCACCTGCACATCTCGCAGAAACGGCGCGATGGTTCTTCGCTCGTGGTGGAGACAGGGTTTCCCACCTCGCTCGTTGATCTGTTCATCAAGAATCGCGACAAATTGAAAAAATCTTCCAGGAAGAAGTGTCGTAGCCCCCATCCTCCATCGCCGCCGCATAAGGATGCTAATGATCAGGTGATTGCGGAATCACCGCCGCCGGCGCTGATTGCAGGGTTGTCTGATCCTCCTTTAGACGCTCCACATTCCTCAAATTTGGCGCCTTCGATTTCTGGGGATTCTTGCGAAACTCATGTTGCAGGATCCGGTGGCGGCGATGCTTCTGCAGGTGCGAAAACTGTGTTTCTAAAGATGCTTCTGGTGGTGTTTATCGCTTTGGTAATGAAGAGATTGACGGTGGGGATAACCCTCTCGGCGTTCTTGCTGTTTTTTCTGGAATTTCTTGGCAAGCGTGGGCGTCGATGGTTGTGGACATGTTCAGATTCAAAAGGGTTCTTGAATTGGACGATGGCTAAGGTAGATGATTCTCCGACGAGCCTCTTAAATCAAGAAGTTCAAATTGGCGAAGCCAAGGATTATTTGTCGACCCGTGTGGAGGAAATTCAATCGGAGAGTGAGATCACGACGGAAGGGGTATCAGAAATTGAATCGAATGAGACAGTAATGGAGGCAGGGGATTCGAGGGGTGAAGTCTTGGAACTGAAGAAGATCAAATCTCGGAGAGCAAGTATCAAGATAAAGATGAAGAAACTTTTCCCAAAGAAATTAAGTTCAAGAAAAGAACATGAGCCTCAAATGATTGTTATTGTTGATCGGTGCCGGGAAGACAACAAATCAGATAAAGATTCCCAATTGTCATCCATTTTAATTGCAAGAAACAAGAACAAAGATGAAGTGCCCCTCTCTGATGTAGCAGGATTATCTGAGGTTATTGATGAAACAGCTACAAAGAGCCAAGAAAAGGGCAAAGAAATCAATCCAGAATCAACCAGGAGATACTTGGTTCTTTGTCTAATTGCTCTCATAGGACTGATTGCAGGTCGAACTTTTGCACTTCTACTGACGTTATCATGGTGTCTGTTGTTGAAATTATGCGAAAAACTGCCAAGATTCTTGTCCTCAAATGATAAATCTGGTTAGCTTATAAGCCCTGAATTAACCATTTTGGCTTCTGCTGAGGTGCCTCTATACCCCTTTCACCTCTCAGATATTTTGTGAAGATTTTAGATATACAGAAAGTTCTCTCGTGTTGTCCAGTGAACTGAAATTATGTTCTCTTGACCTGTAAATTTATAGATAAGCAATGGTAATAAAATTTTCCAGTTCTTAATCTTTGCATGTGTTCAGCAACCAGTTTCTGATCAGTCACTCATGATCCGTAGTTACATGGAAATAGTAGCTGCGCATTATCCTTGGTTTTCTCTACCACCTGTCTTGTCTGTCTGAGTCACCATAGAGCATGCTGTCAGCCATTCGTAATTTGTGAAACATTCTTTGAATCTTTCGATTATTTCTTAGTACTTATCTGCTCTTTGTTTTCTGTTTTTAATTTTTTTTTGTTTTCTTACCTCAAATTCCTATAATCTTTTTGGGTGTATTTGCACCTGATGCTTTGGGATCAGGATTCGTCCTGCCGCAAGAAAAGTAACTCTGATTGGGTACAGACCAGAAAAGTAACTCTAATGGATAAGCTCAAAGCTTTCATTGAATCAAGAGTGAATCCCTCGTAGAATCAATGCTTGCAGATTTGTTAATTTATTACAAGTCAAGCGCACGATGGATGTAATGTAATTAAAGGAATTAATGAACGAATTCATGCATCTAAAATCGGAAAGAGCTACTGGAACTGTGCTTGCAGCTTGTGGACGATCGACTCATCAGCCTGGAAAGCCTTCTTCAGTACCTCCGCGTTTATCGGCGGATTGGAACCAAACACTGCATTGGCAATGGCGATCACCCCTGGATTCTGGCTGCTCAAGAATGCAACGGTGACGGCATTCCCATGTCCTATGTTCTGCTGGAAATGAATAAGCCCGAAGGGGAAGACGAACACGTCCCCCTTCTGGAGTACCTTGGAAACCAGCCTGTTTTCGGGGTCTGACGTCACGAACCCCGCCAGGACAGTCCCCTTGAGCACTGTCAGAATTTCAGAAGCACGGGGATGGCGGTGGGGGGGGACCAGGCCTTTTGGGGCGTAGTCGACTCGGACGGTGGAGATCCCCAGGGTGTTGAGGCCCGGAATTTCCAGGACGGTGGGGCGGTTCACGAAGGAGCCGAGGGGGTTCGAGGTGTTTCCGACCACATTCAGTCCCCTCAAGTGGAAGTGATCTGGCGTTACTCGATCAGGGTGCAGACAGGCAAACCCGTTCACTCTCACTGCAATATATCAACCATCCGATGAACAAAAAATCAAATTCGAAATTCATGATTCTTCATGAAACAACTGTTATATATATGTCTGTCTGTAATTATAATTGCACTGGAACTGAGTCTGACCTGGATTATGGAAGTCGGCGACGCAGAAATCTTGAAGAGGGCTGGGTTCATGAGCGAGCGAGAGGGTGATGAAAGTGCTTGTTAATGTTAGTGTAAGAAGACTCAGTGCCACCATTCTTAAATCTGCCATTTTTATTTGTCTCAATATAGCTATTTGGGCTTTAATTGTGTGCAGAGAGAGCAATTCCAAAGCCAGTGTATTTATACTGCTACTGTACTGGCTTATGAACAATTATTAAATGAAGACCGAGTATGATGCCAAGAAACGGCTGTTTGGTCTGGACGACAATATATATATATTTATATTGTATTGGATGATACCTATGTCGTGTCTATCCTGAAAACATTCTTACTACCAGGTCCTTCACTCATTTGCATTTTCTACTATCATAGGACGAAGTCCTCATCAAATCCTGATTTTTGTAAGCTGGTTCAACTTTGTTATCTATCCCAACTGCATATAGGTTTCCCAGATACTATCAAACAAAACCTTATTGGCCATGGCCAATTCAACGAGCTAGTAAAATAATATATACATGCATGCACATATATTTATATATACATGTCCATTATATTAATTAGTAAATTTCTGACCTTTTCATCGATCGTCTATCATCATCATCATCATCGTCGTCGTCATCTCGTACATCTCTTGTTTTTTATTTGTTGGACTTTCATTTTGGAGCTGATCGATCCAAGTTCAGTTCCTTCCATCCTTGACTTGTTCAATCTCGTCAATGACTTGGTAATTTGGTATGCGAGTGCTTGTTCAACACTTTATTGTAGTATAAGGTAGTATGTAATGTAATGTAATGTAATTATCCAGGATTTAAGAACTATTCGTTAATCGAATAGGAAGTTAATTAATCTAAGTTATGTGGCGTGCTGCTTAGTATCTGTATCTGTATCTGTATCTGATGTCCAAATGACTTGGCCCAGAATAAATTTGAAAGAATGGGCTTACATATGTGAGCCTTATTTGTTAGAGTCAGAGGTATGACCGATCAAGATTGTGATATGTTTTTTAGTGGAAATAAAGATGTAGCACCATCACTTGAAGGGATTTGGGATCCCTGTGTCTGTATCGAGAAGCTTTACATTTGAGTTTTATAGGTAAATAAAAAAATTTGATTTGTATTTTGTAAAATATATATTTATTGCAAAGAAAAAGTCAAAGAAACACTTTCATAGCTCTTGGCATGGTTTATGTTTTGAATTATTTTAAAATAATAATAACTACTTATTTACTAAAAATAAACATTTGTAAATATGAAAATAATTTTTTGAAACAGGAAGATAAACATCCATGACGTTAATACCTATGAGGTTTTGGAGAAAATTTTTGAATAATAAATAAATAATTAATTATCTTCTAAATCACGAGGGCTCCGCCAGCCTGGCAACTGTTAGTATCCAACGGGATAATCCGCTGGCGGATTCCAGCAAATCGACGGCCACTATCCAATCAAGAATATAAATAAATATTCGACTCACAACTTACTCAAAAGATGTTGAGATATTTGCCCTACTGTTTGGTTTTTTGAATTCCCACCTAAATACCACTCTTATAATTGGAACACCTATCTACCTTGTTTCAATTTCATAGCGTCTGCGTTGCTTGCGGCTTCTCACTCAACTCAACTTTTGTCTTCGACTATTAGATTTTTGTTGCCATTGTCCAAGGTATAGTCTTTTTTCATATATATGGCGACTGTTGGATTTTTTTTTTTGTCGACTTGTGATGGATCTGTGGTTTCTTTCGGAATAGTGTGCAGTTTCTTGCAGAATTCGTATGCATTTTTTTTTTTTTTTTATTTTTAAAAAGAACAATTTATTTTGTATTGTGTGTTGGAAACGGCGGGCGAATGAACATTTTTCTGTGACGTAGATCAGATTTTGAGGCCCGCATTCGTTCCGTTTCTTTTTCTTTTTTGCCCTCTGGAATGTGTTTGTTCGTGTATTGATTTCAAGAAGCTCTTAAAATTTTGACGACGTTTTGGACTGTCTAGTCAAAGACAATTTTGGGTACCTGTTTTGTTGAATTCCGCTCTTGATCTGTGATTTTCTTGAATTGATTTGCTTCACGGAATGTGGGGAAATAGCCATCAAAGGTGTGAGACTACATTATTCTTCCGAGTAAAATGACGTTTTCATATATAATTTGGATAAGGTTTTGGCAGAAAGTGAGTTCTTAATCATGTATGTGGTAATGCTCTGATGCAAGTTACATAATTCTGTGAACTAATCAGATACTATTTGGAGATGATATATTTGTATATAGCTGTAACCTGTAGCTTTTTCACCATCTGTTGCTAGTTTCTTTGGTCTATTTAGGAGTTGTGAGTCTCATATTTTAATAAACGATTTTCCGAAAGCTGTACAAAAGTGGTGACCAGATTTTCTGTTTGTACTGTTGAAATAATATTTTTGGCGTCTTTCCAAGATTTTAAGTAGTTAAAAATTTTCTTTGTCCATTTAACTTGCTTTGAGTGTCATTGTCTCTCTTTAAGTTGAGCTTTTTCATGGCTCAATACTTCAGCTGCCTGATTCTTTTGTTTGTGGTTTATTTTACAACTTTTTTAGCAGTGAGATTGTGTTACCCAGATGGTGGCAAAGGGCTTCATTGTGGACTTAAACAAACCCCTTGTCTTCCAGGTACCCATTGTGCATTTACATAATTTGGTCTAATATATCTCTTTCAAGAAAGTTCTGCAAAGACGCTATTCATTGTTTCTTGATATGAAATCTTTTGCTTGCTAGTATCTAATGGGCATTTTCATGTATCATTCCAATATGTGAATGCAAAATGCATAATAATTTACTTTTGAGGTTAATGCTTTGGTGCCACTGCTGATAAGCGCGACAGCATTTCGATTGTTTCTGCCCTGTCTGTTTGAATACTTGTTGACATGTATGTTATTGAATTTGTCTTGTTTCTTTGATTGTAACAAATGCAATTCTTGGACCTTTAATAGGTTGGTCATCTTGGTGAAGATTACCAAGAATGGATTCACCAGCCTATTGTAAGCAAGGAAAGCCCTCGATATTTTGAAAGTGATTTTTGGGAGGTATTATTCTTTTCTTAGTTGCTGGAACAACGGAATACATGTTTAGTTCTTCATCATGGAAACAATACTTCTACTGAATGACAAATTACCAAGGGGTTTCGTCTAACTGAGTTCTATATCACAGCGTCTGTGTTAATCACTGCTACATGTTTTACTTTGAACAGTTTTTGACCCGGACACATTGGTGGCTCATTCCTCTAATCTGGCTGCCAGTTGTCGGCTGGTTCCTCTCCAGGGCTATTTCTATGGGCCAAACAATTCCCCAGGTGGCATTAATGGCAGCACTTGGCATTTTTCTCTGGACATTGGTTGAATATTCCCTACACCGATTCCTTTTTCATATCAAGACAAAGAGTTACTGGTTAGCTTGCCTATAGCTTCCTTAATTGTTACTGTCAATTAATTGTGTATGCAATGCATTATGAGGGCGGATGAATTTCACTTCTACTGATTTCAGGGGTAACACACTGCATTATCTACTTCACGGTTGCCATCATAAGCACCCGATGGATGGTTTGCGCCTTGTTTTCCCTCCCGCTGCAACAGCCGTTCTTATATTTCCAGTACGTTGATGTTTTTGAGTATTCCTGCACTACATTTTTGCATGCTCTATACCTACAGGAGCTAAGTTAGGTTATTATGAGCATTCAATGCTTTCACAAAACCACTTTTTTGATTCATTTCACCCAAAACTGGTTGCAGTTCTTGAATTTGATCAAATTATTTTCGACTCCTTCGGCTACTCCTGCTCTGTTTGGCGGTGGTCTACTTGGTTATGTGATGTACGACGTAACTCATTACTACGTGCACCATGGGCAACCGGTCAGCGAAACAGTCAAGAGCCTAAAGGTAGAGTAACATCTGATGCCAACACTTTCACCGTTGTTGATATTAATTTTCTGATAAAAACTTTTGTTTCTGTTTTGGCTGGTGTGCAGAAGTATCATCTGAATCACCATTTCAGAGTCCACGATAAAGGATTCGGCATCACTTCGTCGCTGTGGGACAAGGTGTTTGGAACTCTTCCTCCAAAAATGGCTGAGAAGAAGAGCAGGTAAATAGATACATAGATCTAGCTGAATTGATGGTGATCATGTCATCGCCACAACAACTTTCTGCTGCAGCGAATTTTAAACTGGCGTTTTCAATTGGTTGGGTGGGAGGAGGGACTGCAATTTGCCATTCTAGGTTAATTTGTATGCCTATTGATTTTATTCATTTATATAAATAGTATATCATAAATAGCAAACTAATACAGGCAGAAAGCAGTGTATACGTATCCCTTTATCATTACAACAGTAAAATAATACTACAAATCAATCGTTACAAACATCGAACATATACTTAATCAAATGCGAATACAACGTAATGAAAGATTAAACAATAAGAATCTTCACCTTTAATTTAATTTAATTTATTCATATGTGTAAGTATAGAGACGACTTAATTAGTTGAGTGATGGAATGCTCTGCTCATTCCTGAAGAAGTTCCCTGGATCAACCCTGGTCTTCACTCGAACCAACCGATTGAAATTGTTCTTGAAATACTTCAAACCCCAAACACTCGCCTGCGAATAGCTCGTCTTTCCCACGTTGTTATTGACTCCGATGTCGAGATCTCTGTAATTAATGTAGGCAGACCTGGGAGAGCTCGAAACGTAAGGAGTGAGATAGCTGTACAGCCTCCTCATCCAATTTATATACCTGCCCTCCTGTGGAGCATCCTCTTGATTCCAATACACCAAATGCTGAATCTTGTACAGATTCCCAGCCCTATGTGGGAACGGAATCGAAGACTCTGGAATCTCGTTCATTATCCCACCGTAGGGGCTGAGGATGAGCTGAGCATCCTCAGCTTCCGGTTCGTCCAACAGTCTCCAAACCCCTTCCCAACCCGACACCGGAATTGGTGTCTCCACAAAATCGGATTTGGCTTTGAAGTATGGAACTTGGGGCTGGGTCCTGTTCAGCAAGATTTCACGTGAATCGATTGGAAAGCCTGCGAAATACAATGTGGATTGGATCCAGGTCATCTCGTTGCAATCTTCTCTTCTTAACCCTAATTCCGGGAAGCTTTCTTGCATCAGTGGAATCAGCCTGTCGACCCCGCCGAGGAAGATCGCGTTGAAGGAAGCCTGGATTGTGTAGTTCCTCCCATTCCCATTCTGGGTCAAGTTCGCACGTTCTATGATGATCCTGATGAACAGATCCCTGTCGAATCTATGGGCAATGTCCTGCCACCGGTGGATAAGCTGTGTAGCATTTTCCTCCAAAGTTCTTGCGACTGTGAAAACGGTGACTGTCTGAGGAACATCGACCAGCTGCACCTTCCATGAAAGAATGATGCCGAAGCTCGCGCCACCACCGCCTCTTATGGCCCAAAACAGGTCCTCCCCCATCGATCGCCGGTCGAGTATTCTTCCGTTGACGTCAATTATTCGTGCATCGATTACGTGGTCGGCAGCCAGGCCGAATTTCCTCAGCAATGTGCCGTAGCCGCCTCCGCTGATGTGGCCGCCAGCTCCGACAGTCGGGCATACCCCGGCGGGGAAGGCTAGTGTTAGGCTTTGCTCTGCGATTCGATAATACAATGTTCCGAGCCTTGCGCCGGAGGAAACCCATGCGGTCTTCTCTGTTGCATTGACGGTGACTTCAGCGAAGTTGATTAGGTCGAGGATGACGAAGGGGACCTTAGCGATGTAAGATAGTCCCTCGTAGTCATGGCCTCCGCTTCGGGTTCTGATCTCCATATCGTTGTCTTTTGCGCAATAAATGACGGCTGGGATTTGGGACTCGTGCTGGGGTGTCACAATCACGGAAGGCTTGGGCGTGGACGGGGACGTGAACCTTAGGTTCTGAATCGATACGTTTAGGATCGAGGAGTAGGACAAGTTTCTTGGGGTGTAGACAACGCCGGAGAGCGCGAATTTTTCGGACAAGCATTCGAGGAAGTCTTCGTGGTCATCGTGATCATGATCGTCGTGGTCGTCGTGATCATGATCGTTGCGATCGTCATGATCGTCGTGGTCGTCGTGATGGTCTGCCGACGAGCTCGAAAGAAGCAAGAGAAGGATGAATGCGAGAGTGTAAATAGAAGAGATCTTCATGATGAACTTAATTAGGTATGGATATGAATAACGAATTTGTGATGAAGCTATTTATAAACGGGGGAGGAGGTTATTGCCAAGTGATTTCAATGTGAACAACGTTAGAGGTTTGAATAATCTTAGGTAATTAATTCTCGAGACGAGTTTTGTTATGTAATGACCAAATGGACAGGCCAAGTTGAGATTGCAATAGCAAGTTTAGCAGCAGCAGCAGCATAATTTTGATAATTGGACCACATTATAATTTTGAATAACACCAGTATTCTTTGTTCTCATCTGATTTTTATTCCATGCAATGCATGCCAAAACATCAAAAACGAGTCTTTGGAGAAAATTATAACAAAGGGACAAGTTGACATTTTCCACCAATGGTTGTTTTCTTGTTTCGATTAATTATTATACAAAATCACAATTACGTACAAGTTTCTCATCAGCCGATCGGTCCAATAGTGATTACTGATTAATAATCATTTGAAATGACATAAATATATATATCTTACTGTAAAATCATCGATACAAGTAGAATAAATAAATTATTAATTCAAAATAAATGTTAAAAAGACACATTACTACGTGATTCACGATGAATTCTCATCAACAGATTTCCAAATGTTCAAATAAATTGACACCAACAATTTTAAAATATCGTATCTTTCAACATGTCATAAATTGAGTATATTTGTAATGCCTAAAATGTTAATTTCAAGCATAAAAACATTGTTTTGAAAATATAAATTCAACGCTTGAGTTGGATATAATTAACACACAAATATATCAAAGTTAGGCGAGTTAAAAACGAAACAAAAAGTTATCTACATAATTCATATGATTCATTATTTTAAGTGATCGCTGCATAATTAATATTAATTAATTGGATTAGAATTGGATTAGAATTGGACACGTGTCAATATTATCCTTTGTATTAATCCTGACTGCTTATTTTCTCCTGTACAAGTCATAAACAATAAACGTACTCTATCTATGTTAGGTTATTGATTTTTCAAAGTCATATAGTTGACAAGTTCTTCAATATATTTATATATAGGAAACCATCTATTATTATTTTCTTTATGAGCTATGAATTTATTTTAAATATGGTCAAAAATATCTCTCAGAATAAAGACTTTTATTATATATCAATTACATACTAACCTTTATTTCAATTTTATTCATGCCGCGTTCAATAATTATTTATATTTTTTCTTTCTCAGATTAATTTTCTAGTGCAAATGCAATTTGTATTTATTTATTTATTTATTTCACACAAACTTACATATAATGATATTAAATATACTATATCTGAAAAAAATAAAAATACAAAATTGATCGAGCAGAACTGTTATAGATTCTAGAATAGCTCAAATATAAATATACACATTATTGACTGATAATGACTTGAATAATCTCAATAATTGCATGTACAATTATACCCATCTTTTAATAAGAATTTCCCTTAATATTTCAAACAATCTAGGCAGACGTCAGTGCACGTGTCATTGAACAATATATATTACAATTATATTCTTCAAAATAGAACATATATTAGGGCTGCTTATTCTAAATTTATTATTGAAGTTTCACACTCCAAAATCGAAAACAATATTATATATATGTGATGAAAATTGTGATATATTTGACGTACACACTATCATGAAAGCAGCTTGCTTAATCGACATGATTTATCCATAAGCTAATTAACTCTGAATTTACCGAGTCAAAATTTACCAAATATGAGAATTTCCAACTATATATAGTTCGTTAATGAAAATAGATTTCTTTTTACTTTTTCTTTTTAATATTCTAATATTCATATCTTTCGCGAACAAACATGAAATATGATACCGACATTATCTATTGAATATTTAGGCTTTTGATTTAAAAGATAATATTTTTTAAAAAGAAAAATTATTATTATTATTATTATTATTTTAAAAAAATAAATAATAAAGTATAAATAGTAAAAAATAAGATAAAAACTAAAAAAAATGAACTCTCTGCAAAATTATAAAAGATGACAACATCATTCAAGAAAAAAACATTATGAAATGTTGATCTATATTCTAATTTTATTTTAGCATTTTGAGTTTTAAAAATTGAAAATCAAAATAAGTAATAAACGTAATATTGAAAAATGAAAACAAAAATATCAAAAGAGTCCGTGAATATTGGGCTAGGTGTAGGGCCCAAGTTTAGTTGTTAATGGGCTAATAAATATCCAGGCAGGGGGAAACGTTGATATGAGCCCAACCGCTAATTGAGTGGTCAGGCTTATGACAGACAAGATTCCTTTGACAATTAGGTAATAATAACAATATACTATTATACCCACTCGTAAAAATGCCTTTGATAATGGCGCCAACTAAAAATATAGTACATTCATTATTGTTGGGAGTTGGGCAGCCGTAGCGAGCATATTCGCTCATCAAAATTCTTCACGCTACATTGTGCAAAGAAATGGCTGACAAGAAAATCTGGTAATAAAAAATTAGGGGATTAATGATTAATCACAGTTCAAATCTATGGGGCAGTGGGGCCCAGGTGATTATGACAAACAAGATATGGCTGGACGACAGGCTAGCAAATAAAGAAACTGAGGAAGGAATCTTAACGGCTCTAACATGGCAATGACACCAATAAATGACCGTTGTGGGCCCTTTCCCTTCTTCACGCCTTTGGGAAATTTAAATATATATACGTCCCCCCTTGCTCTCCACACAGACAGACGCACAAATTTCTTGTCGAGCTCAGAAAGGGAGAGGAATTTCATCACAAAGAAAGTGAGATTTCCTTTTAGATTGATTATCGAATTTGTGTTGGTTTTTAAATGGGTGTATGTGTGTATGTATGTATCATGTATGTCTTCTTCTTGGAGGTGTGGTGTAATAAAGGTTTGGTTTTTTCGATGCAGGCAGGGGTTAGCGAACTAATAATGACTGTTGAAGTTAAAGCTGAGGCGGCGGCGGCGGCGGCGGGGGTGGAGAAGGAAGAACCGAAGGCGAGGATGGTGGAGAAGAGCTCTTCTTACAGGGAGGAAAGCAATTGCTTGTCTGATCTCAGGGAATACGAAAGGAAGGCTTTGAATGACCTGAAAGCCAAGCTCGAAGAGGCCATTCTCGGAAACACGCTTTTCAGGAAGGAGGACGAGAAGAAGCCAAACGAGGAAGAAAAAGAAAAGGAAAAGGAAAAGGAGAAAGACTGTGTAAAAGAAGGTGAAGACGAGAAGAAAGCAGAATGTGGAGACGACAAGAAACCTGAAGAAGAGAACCAAAACAAGGGCAGTGAGGAGGAGCCGGAAACTGCCAAGGAGGAGGAATCGGAGCAGCCAAAGGCAAAGCCCGAGCCCGAAATTGACAGGGATGTTTCGATTTGGGGAGTGCCACTCTTGCCTACCAAAGGAAACGAAAGTACTAACATTGTTCTTCTGAAGTTCTTGAGGGCTAGGGAATTCAAGGTAAACGAAGCTCTGGAGATGCTCAAGAAGACCCTTGAATGGAGGAAAGAGTTCAAGATTGATACAATCTTGGAAGAAGAATTCGAGACCGATCTCTCCTCGGCTGCATACATGTGCGGCGTGGATCGACAGAGCCACACAGTTTGTTACAACATATTTGGGGTATTAGACAATGAGGAGATCTATGACAAGACACTGGGTACAGAGGAGAAGAGGGAACAGTTCTTGAGGTGGAGGGTTCAGCTCATGGAGAGAGGAGTTGAGAAGCTCGATTTCAAGCCTGATGGCGTGAACTCATTAGTTCAGGTAAATGATCTCAAGAACTCTCCAGGGCCAGCCAGGAAAGAGGTCAGGACTGCTGTCAACAAAGCTGTTGCCCTTCTCCAAGACAACTACCCTGAGTTTGTCGCCAAAAATGTAAGGATATCAGATATCTATCTTTACTTGCATAAGCTTGCTTTTATATATATGAATTTGGTACTGAATCTGAGCTTGTTGCTGCAGATATTCATTAATGTTCCATTCTGGTATTTTGCTTATCATTCCCTGGTATCTCCATTCTTGACTCAAAGGACCAGAAGCAAGTTAGTTTTCGCCCGCCCCTCTAAGGTTACGGACACCTTGCTCAAGTAAGGGTTGCTCTTTCCCCTCTACTGAGTTTCTCTTCTTGATCACACATGTAGCAGAGATTCGAATTAGCTCGCTACTCTTTTGATTCGGTGGTAGGTACATTCCCATTCAAGAAATCCCAATCCAGTATGGTGGAATGAAGAGGGAGAACGACTCTGAGTTCTTTCCTATCAGTGATGGTGAACCTACAGAAGTCATGATCAAGGCTGGGTCGACGCACACCATTGAGATTCCCACACCAGAGGTAAACCTGTAATGATTTTGATTTCTTTAAAGAAGGCTTGGAAGCCTGGAAAAATGAACTGATAGGGGTTTGCTATTGTCATTACAGGCTGGAACAACATTTATCTGGGATGTAATAGTTCTTGGGTGGGAAGTGAACTACACCGAAGAGTTTGTCCCTACAGATGAGAGTTCATACACTATGATGATTCAGAAAGGAAAAAGGATCTGTTCAGACGAGCTGCCAGTTCGGAAGACATTCAAGAACCATGAACCGGGAAAGATAGTCATCACTGTCCAAAACACCTCCGGGAAGAAGAAGAAAATGTTCTACCGTCACAAGGTCAAAAAAGCTTGCTTCTGAAGGCATCATGATATGATACAAGGATTATTGAGACATTTTCATATTTGATTGATTGATTGATTATTCTTTATTGGACATTCTTGTCATAGTTCCTCCTTTTCCTGCTTCAATTGTGTTATTTTGCCCATCCCATTGAAGATTCACATTGTTTATTTTCTTTTCCAACAATTTTGCCTTGTATTTCTCCACTTTGCGGCACCAATATTTATTGAATTCTTGATATTTTAATCGAGACACACGATTAAAATTTCACACCATCTTCGAATAACTACAGAAATATAGAAACATAGCCCCCTGTCACATCGAACTAAGACTATTCAAAACAGCTCTAATGAACATAAATATTTGCAAATCCAACTATTTTATAAACACAAAATCGGCTATCGTCTGCACTCAAAGCAATAAGAGCGGTACAATAGATATAAACCTCGAAAAATTTCATTACCTCATGGTGGTTTGCTCAGCGTGTTGATTCAGCCGTGGTTTATTATTATACTTGGAAGGTGCATAATCAATATCCTTGTACTCACCGGTGACCCTGACAAAACATTTTATCAGCACCAATCCAGAATAGATAGTAATTTTCTCTTCATTTACTAAAAGAAGCCAAGGCAAACAAAAAAAGGATGAAGAACTGTACCTGTTGTATGACAAAAAGGCTTCCCCTATTGTTCCTGCCACTTTGTTACGTACTTTCCGCACACAAACCTGGACACGTGCAAACCAGCAATTGAATTGGCAAGCCATGTTCAAAATTATTAACATTATATATTAGACTCAAACCTGAACCAAATCGAGAGGTCCAATTTCAGGGTCCCTGTTGCGGTGGATAACGATCCCATTATCACATTTGTTTATGAAGTGAGCACTCCCACTGATGTCGTACAGATTTGGAGCATCTCCAACCCAATTATGCAACTGGATAAACAAAAGGCTTAGGATTTACAGACCTAAGGAAAGATGAAAGGAATGTTTGCATTTCTTACCTGCCTTGGATGAGCTACAAACCAAACATGGCATGAATGATGCTGAGCAAATCGTTTAATTTTTGTCAGCATTTGACTCACATATTCTGTTTCAGTCCTGTTTAACATCATATCGCATTATTAGAAACAGCCATCTATGCAACACTGGAGTTATAATTAAGAACAAGCACATATCTCAACAAGATCAAAATAAGAAGACTTACTGGCCAGGAGGACGTTGATGATCAAGTTCATTGTATGGATCAATTACAAGCCCACGAACCCCATGGCGCAGTACTGCTATCCTTGCAAGACCAAGAACCCAATTTATACTTGGAAGGCAGTCATTCTCACACCTGTCCAATCACCAACACAGATCAATGGGGAGAGTGAACAAACTCTAGCATGAGTCATGCAATATCACAAAAAATGTCTTGATGATGAGAACTTGCATATTCTATATGGCTTTTGACTGTCTGTAGTGGCAAATACATGCCATATACATCTGTCTAAGCAGTGTGGTCACCTTATTAGAGAAAATGAATCACTGAGCCACATCTTTCCTTGCTCCAACTCCTCAACGCTCATTCGCTCAGTAGAATCCCCATACCTGCTTAGAAAAAAATACAGATTTTGGGAAAAAATAAGCAGTCAATAGAAATCTACAACAGATGGCATGGAAATGCACATTATATCACTGTCCCCCTAGAGTTCTATCTCATTCTGCAAAGTCAAGAAAACATGTGCAAACTCGCCTCAATACTGCAATCACTTGCACATAAAAGGCACTTCCAAATCCTACCAATGTGTGCAACTCATGTTGAGCAGAACAATTTTTACCTGACATCAAAGAAAGGCTTCCTAATATGTTTCTCCAATAGTTTCCTTGCATGCTCTCGGACCTGCAGACCATCAAATCATGTAGTGAGAGTAGATATGAATAATACATACATTTATGTGTTAAACAAAAGGGCATGGTCATATAAAGGGCTTCACATGTACATTCTAAATATCACAACTGGACACCTAGAAAGCTCTCATTTTCTGCAATCTTTTAAAGCAACAAAAGAAATTTGGTGATAACGGCAACAACAATAATATGGGTTCATGCAAGTATGATTCAATTTCTAGAAAAATTTCTAGCAAAGTAATATGGTAGCAACAAAAAATTAGTTTAACACTTCAAATATTCTAATAGAATTAATTGAATTATTTCACAAACTAATTTTTTACTAGTACCTAGACTTTGGATAATCTTAATCCTGTTTAAAAATATCCATACGAAGATAGAAAGCACATTTCCAGTTGGGATCTACAAGTTTCATTCTTTTATAATATCAAACAAATCAATCACATTCTTTCTCAATATCACTTTTTCCAGAGCATACATAGAGATTGGAGAAATTGAACTACCTTATTTTCCATAGAGCAAAGTGCAAACTTCCAATCAACACTATGGTTGAGATTGCATAAAAGAGCATCAATCCACTCACTCTTGCCAGAATTTGGAACTCCAGTGACCACTGTTAATTCACCTGGCACAATCTGTCTCAAAGTAGACAGTTTATATAGTAAACACGCAAAAACCAGTGCTTCCATCTTCACACAGATATGTGCATAACTCAAATCATCTTTACATATTTAGTTCACATAGTTGCTTGCTTTTGGAGCAAAATGTAAATGAGAGATGAATTTACAAAACTAGCACAGTTTGGTGTGCGGATTGATGGTTACTAATAAGTAGCTGGAGTTAAACCAGTTATACTTCTCTAAAAAATAAAAAAAAATCATTCTCTGATATGCACAATAAATAAAGCACCGCAAGTGAAAGATAAAAACATTTCCACCTAGTAAGAAAAGAATGCAGTAACTCAAGTGCAGCAGCAAGCAGGGTAAATGTGAGGGAATGCTGCAAATTTACCAACTAATAGATCATAAACTTACATTATACAGTTCATCGAGACCCTTCCATCCAGTTGAAACACCAAGCTCAATACCAAGCGATTGATGATAGTAGGCATCAATCTCATCGAAGTAATCACTGAAGTTGAACAAACCTCTAATCGGATAAAGCTCAGCTTTCTCAATGGCTTCTTTTAGTGCATCAGCACCCATAAACTTAAGCACCTATATTTACAAGAGTACAATACAATCAAAGGGGCAAGTCATTAGGAAAACATCAATGGATAAATAATTGAAATGCTTGGGCTAAAAAATAAGTGAATATTCAGTATCTGAAACCATAAAGCTTAGCATCCAAGGATCTGAATTCAAAAGGATCATATAAAGACAGCAGTTCATAAAGTAGCAATAAATTGGTCCAGTTTCCAATTTCCAATCAACAGAGCTAGAAAGTTTCATCATAAACTCATAACACAAAATTCTACATTGTTGAAAACTGGACCAGACAGACAGCAAGTTCATAAAGTTGCAATAGATGGTAGAGCTTCCAAGCAACTGAGCTTCAAATTATCATCACAAACTTACAAAACAAAGTTCTACATTGCTAAAAACTGGATACCACACCTCATTTGCATCATTGAAATTTTCATTGCTGTTCTTTTTTGGCCATTTGACTCTCCAGCACCTGATTATCAAATTCAAAGTTCAGATGCAATGATAACTTCATGCAGATTTATGCATTGTAATGCACAATGATAAGTACTACACAACCTTTCTCTTCCCAGGCGCCGGGCAAGTTCTTCAGCCAAAGCTTGACCACGCTGATCACCATTAGTGGCAAGAATGATGCGAGATGCCTTAAAAATAGCACAAAACTCAAGCATCATGCCACCCATTTGCACGTGCAAATTAAGATGTGAAAGTAAATAAAACTTGATTAACCTTTGCGGTATAATCTTTGCAGTTCCATAGATATTTATAATTTGTATCCTGGCTTCAAAAAATACATAAAGAGTGTATTAGGGATGAAAAAAGGTAAGTTAATCCTGGCTTCAACGCCACAATGATAATATTCTACTTCCTCCAGTATTCCTTGCATTTTAAACCTTGTAAAGGATAGGCTATTGTAAAACATTGCTCTTCCATATACAAGATGCAGCTTCACCATTCACTTGGGTAGTTATTTACAGAAGGGGAAAAACACAGAGTTGGATATGTCAAACAAGCAATAGAGAAACAATGATCCTTGAATTTTTTTTTTTGAAACTGCGGCAAAGTGGATCTGTAGGGAATGGTTCAAAAGACAGCTACACAAATACCTCTGCTTCAGAGGGCAACTTCTCATTTGTGACCTTTTGAGGAGCCAGATCAGGTACAGCAACACAGTTTCTGAAGCCAGCTTCTTCCACTGAAAACTTGTGGATTTCATCCTCAACCTAAGCAGTATTCAAAAGACATTAATCGAAAGACAAATTATTGTAGCTGAATGTATCTGAGAAAAGGGTTATTACAATGATAATATCACTTGCATCCTTTATGTCATCCAATCCATAAAATATACTTTCAGTATTGACCTGTATTTCCATCACACGTGAGATCAACAATGCAGTAGCTTCCCAGATCACAGTAAGAAAAAGCATCATTGGGCAAGACATATTATGTCTGCATGTTCCAATAGGACAGAGTTGAATGACTAAGAATTAGTGACAGACTAAGAACAGAACCATAAGTCACATCACACGTACCTCCCTAAAAGTTCTGTTGAGATCACGATACTTGCAGCTTACAAGAATTCCATCCCTCCAATAAGTGAATGCAATAGCTAACTGCCAGAGATCAATCATCATGTTTTACTTCACAAAAATCAGTAAAACTTTAAGCAACTCATGCAACAGTCTTGCTGGAGGAAGTTTTTTAAAGGCGCAAAAATGATGTTACATTTGTGGGACAGAACTTCAAAACCTGACAAATGGATTCTACAGTAATATTAACATTAGCAGGGGAAGAAAAGTTCAAATAAATATACAATGCTTAAGCATCTTTTAGCGAAAAAAGAAAAAAGAAAAATAAAACAATTTGTTCACCTGATCCCCAAATCTTTTCTGCTTTACATTATTTCTCCGTAGTGTTTCCCTTGATATCATGTGCTTATTCCCAAAATAAGAAATCACCTAGAAAAGTTGAAAGGGAATAAATAGTTGCACACTATACAAATATTTCAATACATAGGTTTCACATTAAGCATCCTAGGATTGTAGAATGAATAGAAAAGCACCCTAGATTCTCGTATTAAACACTAATGCTGCTTGACCTGCAAACCTTGTCTTTTTTAAAAAGCAAAAATACCTTAGATGTACGAACTGTGATCAGTCATTAATTGCTGCAAACCAGATTTATACATAGTTATGGCATCGCAAGGCTTCTAATGTGGAGCTTGTCATTATTTCTATAGAAATAGCAATAACATGGCAGATTATTCAAAGCATAGCACACCTAACAATAAGAATGATAAGAAACTACAAATGCAAAATTAGAAGTAGTTAAATTGATTCTTATAAAACATCATTGGAGACTCATCAATTTTTTCCAATATTGAGATATCCTGTAACTCCTACAAACGGTTTCTAAAATCCATCACACAAATAAAAACAATAATAGGTTATCTCTAAAGTAGATCTCTAAAAGGAAGATGTTTATAGAAGAAGGCACATATAGGATGAATGGTATCAGTAATTACCGGATCACTCAACGATTCAAGTTCTAGACTATCCTCTGTGATTTCACGAGGTGGTTTGTTCACTTTCGGCAGTTTATCCATCCTCGGATAACTTGATTTTCCATTTCCAAAGGTCTGAAATCATGAGAAATACAAAAAATGAGAGTAACAATAAAAGAAGTGTTTAACTAGCTCCGTAGCCAAAGCTTACATCAGTACCACCCTTCCAGCCACATGTAGCCCGATGACATAACCACACAGCTGACGACCTTAAAAATTAAAAGGAGAAATCATCAGTAGACATCCAACTAAACCATAGAAAGAACATTGACCACAAAGTATGAGTGCATAATAGAGAAATTTTACCTATCCTCTGAAATATGAAGAGCTAAGGACTTTTCGCTCGTAGATCCACCTTCACACTATAAGAAAAATGAAGACAGAAACACAATCAAACAGGAAAACAACAAACACAATTACTTAATGTATGCTTTTGAATCAACTCGTCATCATCTTCCGTAATTCAATCTGAATTAAATCAATTGTCATTTGTTATATAAAACCCTTAAATGTCCACATGGATTTCGCACATCCAAATCAACTAAAATCAAATCTATTAGAGAAAAGTTTCCTCAGAATGCCACCACTAAAATGACAAAATAGTATTAGAGCAGTTTTCAATGAAAGTTTCTTTTTTTTTAAAAAAATAAAATAATATTACCCAATTCTCACCGCAGATCAGCCAAAAGATTCTTCATCAGATATTGTACTTTTCCAAGTAGCCCCTAACAGGTTTGGATCTCTAGTAAATTAACAATTCTATTTGTACCCACTTAAGGAAGTTATACATGTAAGTTTTCTAATCTTTGAAACTTTACGCAAAGGATAGTGTGTGTGTATATATATGTAGACATATTATAGAGAGAGACAGTATATAGCATCTAGTGTAAAATATATGCATGCAAGTTAGACAATATATGAAATAGAGTCGGGAAAGGGTGAAATTTTTGGCCAAAAGATACCTGTCACATGAGAAAATTAAGAAGTTCAATTCATTCAAGATTTAAAATGACAAGTCAATAATAGAGTTGGAGGGTCTTCAAATTAAATTGATTGTGGCCAATACCAACTATATCAGAAAAGAAAAAGTTACACCACGTGCCTTCGGACAAATCAGTTTGTGCTGGCCAGGTATACAGACATCAAGTCCAAGGAGCTGCAGCTCATGCTTCAGCTTCATTTGCTTTTCATCCACAACTTTCGATTCCAGTGTCTTAGAATCAATATCAGGAACTACACAATCAGATAACACCATTAAAAAGAGGGGTGGTGGAATTGCAATTGAAATTGTTATAACTAATTAAATAATTTACAATATCGCATACAAATTCTTGCATGTATTGAATGGACTGCAGCCACACTTTAAAATACTCTGTTTTTTTAGTCCATCGTCGCACAAGGGCATAAATGTCAAGAATCAAGAAAGAAGAAAAGCCAATCGATCTCACCACTAAAACTTATTGGGACAAAGCATGTATAAATTTATATACCTAAAAGTAGAATCTTGATCCCGCAATAATTGAAAATGAAGACATCGAAAGGGAATGTATGAAAAAAAAAAAAAATGCTCATCAGCTCCCAAACCGAAAATTGAGAAATGGTAGGCAATGGCATGGACGAAAGGAAAGAATGAAGATTAAAGAAACACACGTTTTAAGAATAAGAGCACTCTAACGTTGTCTATCAACAACTAATGAAAAGATGGGAACTTTGTGAAACAAGAACAAGAAGGAACAGCAAAATTGTCAAGAAAATGCTCAAGACATACAAGGAAACACTTACTCGGTCTAGGAATGGGCATCGCCGCATGAGGTATGTAACAATAGCCAGAAGCATTTCGGCAAACTGAAGAAAAGAGGTGTGGAGTAGTAACACGGACGGAATTCTTCTTACCATGAAAACGAAAAAAATAAAGCTGCGAAGAAGACCCAGAACAAGAATGGAGCGCATGAACGTGCGAGTTCCCAGCGGGAGTGACCAAACTCTTGGCCAGAAGAAAACTCATGGAGCCCGTGAAAATAGTTGCTCTCGAGTTAACCCTCAAGAATCTACACTGAGGTAAAAACACCATACTCTTCCACCCTCAAAACTTCTTCTTGCTAATGAAAACTATACCATGGAGAACCATTTTGAGTTTCCATGGAAGGAGATGGACAAGAGAGAAGGGTTTTTGAACTTTCTTAAATAAACCTCTTGTGCCGTTTTATCCTCAAAATTTATTTGTTGGGACATGGCTAAACAAATGGGTCTATCAGCTTAAAAGGGCTTAATGGGCCTACAATAAGCCCAATCTTTTCTTAAATAATACTAATCTAAAGGCCCAATCGACGGTAATGTCCTTTAATTACAATTAGTAACTGCAATAGTAACCGTCTGCTTCAGGTATGAAAATCATTACTACAATGATCTTTTCAAAGTTTGTCAATGGCGGGATCGATGTCCGCACGCTTTCTCCATTTCTTCATTGCAGCAAAACTGGCAGCGGCGGCGTCGGTGGTCGATGATCTGAACAACCTGAAGCCCCCGCCGGAGTTCAACTCCACGGTGGCCAACAACTGCCGGAGAAACCCTTCTCTGAGATACTGCGGCGCCACGCCTAATTTCGATGTCCAAGAAATATTCAAATTCTCGATAGTGGCCAGCCATTTGTGCAACGTTTCCAGAAACCCTAATTGCGTGGAAGATTTCCCCAAAATAGATCTCCAAAGCGAGCCCAAATTAGCGCCACTGTACCTGTCGTTCGCCTTCTTCTGGAAATACTGTCCCTTAACTGTATTATCAATCGATCTCTCTAACTGTTCGCTGGCCGGAGAATTCCCGACGGAAATCTTTTACTGTTCGCAAATCAAGGATCTTGATTTGAGCTTCAATCGTCTTTCCGGCGACGTGCCTGTCAGGAATTTTTCTTCCCTGAAAAACCTGACGTTTCTGAACCTGTCTTACAATGGATTCTCCGAATGTAAAATCTCGGAAGTTCGATTCTTGGAGCGGTTCAATTCTTCGAGTTTTATTAATTCTGGTATTATTCCTGATCGTGGGAAGTTCAGGATCAAGGCTTTGGCCGTGGGGTTTGGGGTTGCGGTTTTGGTTGTCGCAATTGTGGGGATCTTGTGTTGTTCTGGACGAGGTTGTTCTACCAGCGAGTATGAATTTAGGCCGTCGGTTTTGGATGCAGCGACGGAGGGATTTTCGAGGAGAAATCTGGTGGGGAAAACAGGGAGGAGGAGTGTGTACAAAGGAGTGATGAGAGATGGAAAGCAGGTGAGGATCGAGGTTTGTTTGGGGGACGAAATGACGAAAAGCAAGCGTGAGAGATTGGTGGAAGAGGCGAAGATTCTTGTCCAGTTAAAGCACAGGAACATCGTACCTGTAATAGGATGGTGCGACAGCAGCAGATTGATGGCGATTGTGAGCGAATGGAGGGGGAAACTCGACGTCGAGACATGGCTTGGAACCAGAGATCCTCCATGGAGACAAAGATTGCGAATTATCTCCGGCGTCGGCTCCGGCGTCTGTTACCTGCATCGGGAGTGGCCGCAGTTGGGGTTTGACCTGAGAACGAGACACGTGGTCTTGTCTGAAGAGGAGGAGGGGGGAGTGAGAGAGCCTCTTATTACATGGCTGAGATTGAATCTGAATCTGAATCAGAATCAGAATCAGAATCATCATCGTCATCGTCGTCGTCATGGGTGCAGCTGGAAAAGTGATAAGCACAAACTGGGGGTGTTTCTGCTGGAGATGGTGACGAACAGGAGGCCGACGGAAGAGTTGGAGAATAATAAAGATGGTGGGTCGGTGGGGTTTGTGGAGTGGGTGAGATCGCATTGCCCTGGAAAGCTGGAGCTGGTGATCGACCGGAGAATGGGATTGAAGAAGATGGATGATGTTTGTGACGCTGTGGGGGTTATCCAATTGGGGCTCATGTGTATGGAGCCGTCCACCAGGCGACAACCGACCTGGGATCAAATTCATCATATGTTGTCGGAGATGGATTGCCGCCGCTAAATATAAATATTCCTGTGATTATCACGTACGGTGAAGTAATTTGAATTAATTAATTAATTAGTATGTACTACTGTACGGAGTGACTGGTGGCTGGCTGGATTTATACTTTATGTGTGCGGATTTTAATTTAAACATAAAACTTGTGATTAATGTGACCATGTGACAATGTAATTTTTTTTGGTATCCTAGCTAGTTAGATGTAATTAAGTAAGCAGAATAAGTGGGATTAAGAAACGAAAACCTTGCATATATTTTCTGTCGTAGGGGTCGTAGTCCATGCAAGTACTTCAGTTGTTAGTCAGTTAGTAATTATTATTATTATTATTGGAGGGAACAAATAAATAATAAGTGGTCTCATACATGTATAAATTCCATTTGTCCTCCCTTTAAAAAATATAATAATAATAATAATAATAATAATGTGCATGCCGCCGGATTTAGCGCAACTGCCGCCGCCATTTCCGAAAACGAACATATTGTATTTAATTAATGAAAAACAAAAACACAATTTTTTTAATAATAATACAAATACAATCTTGCTTTTTCAGTATATAAGTACAAATACAATCTTGTATTTTCAACGACAGTAAGTAATTGAGACTTGGTCAATCCACTTTTCACTCCTCCCCTGGAATTTCTGCGACCTGACTAACCAACCGTCAAGTCCATATTAGTATGCACTTTTGAACATAATTAATTAAAAAAAGATAGATAAAAATGCGCTAAAAACCAAGTTAATTAATAATAATAACAAAACATGAAGAAATAAAAATAGGAAAAACTTGATGGAGAAGTAACGGGCCAAATATAATAAATTAATAATAATAACAAAACATGAAGAAATAAAAATAGGAAAAACTTGATGGAGAAGTAACGGGCCAAATATAATAAAAGCCCAAATTAATGGCACCATAATAATAGGAGTTCGTTACCCGTTACTACGACCATAATATATTATATTATATTATATTTATTAGAACATCCTCCCTCCCTCCCTTGCCGAACTATAACCTCCACTCCCACGTCTTAATTTTATTAACTCTCTCTCGAAATTTCCTCAGGTATTGTCTCAACTGGTTCTTGTGCTTAATTCCCTTTCCCTACCTAATTTTCCCTCCTTTTGATCAATTAAGTTGCCGCCGATGGAAGTTCCGGCGGATCCCCACCAATTTGGCTGGAATCTCGAGTCCATGTTCGATCCCAACGACCTGTTTTACTCCGAAAGCTCCTCCACCAGCTCTATCAACTACGATTGCCTCCTCGGATCAGTTACTGCTCCCTACGACAATTTCACTTCCGACAACTTTCTCCTCGGCCAGGACGATCTCGTCGACCCTCTTCTTCGCTGCTCCAAACGCCGCCGCCCATCCGACTACCAGGAACCAGAACAAGAATTCTACCCAGAATTCAACTTGGGTTACTTCAACGGGATTGCTCCATACCCTAATTTCCCAAACTACATTCCGACACCAACAGCCCCTGAAATGGCGTTGCCTCCATTGCCTGATTTCCCGACGGGCCCCCCAGCTTACAGTTACGGAAGTTTCTGTGAGAGTTCTATGAAGAAGGAACCGACGTCGACCTCGCCGCCGGCCAAATTGTCGGCGCAAAGCATTGCGGCCAGACAGCGGCGGAGGAAGATTACGGAGAGGACACAGGAGCTGGGAAAACTCGTCCCCGGCGGCCATAAGATGAACACTGCTGAAATGCTGCAAGCTGCGTATAAGTACATTGGTTATTTGCAGGCACAGGTTGGGTTGCTTGAATCCATGTCTTCTTACAATCAGGTAATAATTAATCGACCTAATCTGTGTGTTAACTCTTGTCCAGAATGATATCGATTAATATTTTTCTGACATATCTTCGTGTTTGTTTGTTTTCAGGAGCGAGGGGAGCAGTTGGAGATCGATGAAGAGCTGCATGATCTTCTAGAATCTCCATTGATTCAAGAGAAGCTCTACTCCACAGAGAACTGCATAGTCCCGCAGAAATTTGTGCAGGAATTGAGCAGTGACCATCAGATGGTCAAATCGAATCCAGCATTGCTTCCATTGGTAGAGAAACAAGTACATTCATGCAGCGATTGATTTAAGACGATGCAGTTTCATTTTATTTATTTTTTCAATTATGTTGTTTCTCAGTTAGGGTTTTTTGCTGCCCCATATTGTTTTTTCATCAATTGGGAGCAGTTAAGATCAAATTAGTTTAGGTTTTTATTTTTAATCATTATTATTAAAATAAAAGGGTGTAGATTCCTCATTTGCAAGAGCCCGGAGAATGTATTTGCTTGTTTTAATTTATGCTACATTGTAATTTAATTTGGATTATGTCATGTTTATTGCGCTGATTTACTATTAAATTTGCTTATTGAAACTGATAACATGCACATTAAAACTACTGTTTCTAATGTTCAAATTAATACATTAGTTAATCAATTAAGCCGTTTTATTCCCTCTACTGATTGTATATAAATTCTAAGAAGTATGTACCAAGATATAAAGAAAAAACAATACATATAGATATAGATATATATATATATATATAATCCCCAGTCCAGCAATATTAGATTAACATTATTATTTTTATTATTATTATTATAATATGGGTTCGGTTATATCCATATGGTTATTGGGAATCAGTTATGGAGTGTAGAAATAGCGGTTTGATAACTTCCCTAATGACTTGACTTTCGTTAGGAGACTCAGTCAAGGAAGTTTTCCTTATTTTCTCCGATTTGGCAGGCTGAGTTGGCATAGGCAACTATTTTCAAGGGCAACAAATAAAAATCTACCAACATTGAATTTTCATCAACCCCAAAAAACAATTAATTCTGCAGAAATGTTATCCATAAGATCAGGCAAAGTATTGAAAAGCTCAATTCTACATAACCCAATGCTGCTCTGCCTGCATTGGAGCCCCTGGTCCTTTGTCTATATAATAAACCAAATGCTCACCTCTCTTACTCATTCATCACCACTCTTGTCTTCTCGTATTGCATTACCAATATACTTTTCTTACACTCACACAATAATTTTCATACCTTGATTACTTAAAATGAGGAGCATTTTCTTCTCCTTGATTGTCGTCGTCGGTTTCCTTTACTGCTTTGCTCAGCTGAGCAATGCAGCCATACCATGTAGCACAGTGGACATGAAGGCTGCGTCATGCATCAATTACGCGACCGGGAAGGAAGCAACTCCTTCGAAACCGTGCTGCCTCGGGCTGCAACAGCTTGCTCAGAGCGTGAAGGCGGTAGACGACAAGAAAGCCATCTGCAGGTGCCTTAAACAAGGAGTCAAGAACTTCGCCGGAGTGCAGGACAGGTACCTGAGCAAGATTCCTACTGCTTGCAACATCAAAGTTGGCTTCCCTGTTTCCCTCAACACAGACTGTGAGAAGTAAGTTCATTATCATCTGTCTATTTTCATCTGATCCCAGCTGGAGTTTATAGCCCACTGAATCGATGTTTGATTGCTTTGCAGGCTGCACTGAGATTCCTTGGAAATGATCAAAGGGTTGGTAGGAAGCTAGAAGAAGCTGTATTGAATAAAACTGCACTGTACTCTGTAGGGAATATTGCTAGAATGCTCCTCTATGGAGTCAATAATTATTATACATCCTTGTGAGGTCTCACAAACTTCTCCTAGTAAAAGTATTGCAAGAATAAAAGAATTTTGAGTACTCTAGTCCAAATAATAGTTGAACCTAAGTGTAACTGTAAGGAAAGTAAATGATCATGCGGCATAATCAGCTCATCCAACAATATAAAATAGAATATTTCATCCATATATTAATCACCATGGAATCTCTTGGCCATCCCAGGCAAAAAACTTGCCATTATAAGACCTCTTGGCATTGTTGATGATGCTTAGTAGCTTCTGGACTGAAAACTCTTTGGTGAAGAGTTTTTCTTGCGGAACATTTCTCTGGAACGGTCTAGATAGGTCGGTATCTACTGTGCCGGGATGCAACAGAATACATATTATTGGATCTTTCTTGCTAGCAAACTCCAGGGATGCAGTCTTTGTCACTGCATGATTTACCAGAAGAATTTTGTTTCATGGAGTTAGCACTGATTTCATTGTAAAAGTTCAAACTAAAACGGAAGCAACTTTTCATACACTGATTAAGACTGGACTTGGATGCTCTATATGAGTGCCATCCACCTAGACGATTATCTCCAATTGATCCCACTCTAGCACTGATATTGGCAACTATTGCAAATTCTCTTTCGGTTCCAGTACCCCCTCCCACCTTTAGCAGAGGCCACATATGCTTATCAAGCACATAAAAAAACAGAATTTAAGTGTGGGGTTCCTTAATATACTCTGTAAATGAAGGTTGTCTGACCATATACCTTAATAACCAATATAGGACCAACAGCATTCACCTCATATGTAAGAAGTAAAGAAGCTCTCTGAACTTTGTTCAATGTAGTTTCTGCACCAAACAACATTTAGACTATTCATTTTAGAGATTATCGCTAGTCATTTACCAAAAGCAAAAACTAACACCTCGTTTATAGTGAACAAATAAATTTTCACCTGGTTGCAGAACATTGGGTATGGAGAGAATGCCTGATGCATTTACAAGGAGGTTTAGATATCCGTACCTATCTTTCACATACTTTGCAGCTTCCTGATCATAATGAAATTTTGTCATGACATCAATAGTATAAGGTAGAAAAGCATACTAAAGTAAGATGCTGATAACTGCATTGTAGCAATGATATATCAAACCACTGTAACATTTATGTGAATGTAAAGGATGATATGAATTAACTATACTATTTACCAAATTCCCGCCCCCCATCCCCAACATCAAATCTAACATTATTTTTTATTTTTTATATTATACCAAAAATCAATTTTAGGTTAAAAGCTTCACAGCACCAGCTATAAATATCACCTCATACAAATATTTCAATTCAAAATTTTTGTTATTCAAAACACAAACCAAAAATCCAAACAAACACATATGAATACCTCCATCGTGCTATCAATTGTGAGATCTAGCTGATGAATATCTAGGCGATCAGAAAACTTCTTCTTCAACTCCAGAAGTCCAGTTGCCCCATCGGGATCACGGCATGTCGCCACAACTTGCCCTCTGTCGCTTTTCTCTAACAATTGCCTAACCTTCAAATATCCATGAAAATAAAGGAAGAACTAACACTATTGATATGTGGATAATCCGTGAAATAGTTGGCTGTGTTGCTCATCTTTATGATACACTATTACACAATCATGGAAGAATTCAGACCAGCAAGGGAATTACAACAAACAATGCCAAACATATTGCAACATAAATTCTGGGAAAAGGTAAGACAATGTCCAGAGCGAAAGCAAGAAAAGCGAATTTATGAATCCAATCGGAAAGAATATTCGATCAAGTGAACAAATTCAGTCAAAGAAACAGAACCTCACAAATTCAAGGCCAATGCCCCTAGAAGCACCTTGAACCATTGAAACGCCGCCTTCCCAATCTTTGATTGCAGAAGAGAACACGCGAGCTCTTGAAATTGGCTCCATAGATCGCCTCACCATCGACACCCATTTCCCAGCAAAATTCGGCTTCATCACTGTAATCTAATATCTCAAAACAATAAAAAGTTCACACCTTGCGTGTATGCAAAATCACAATCAAAAGGTAACGAATACGAAAAATCGATAACCCACATTCTGCAAACGTATACAATTCGAAGATGATTTCGGTAGAACCCAAAGCTCGGTTGCCCACATAGAAGCGCAATCTACGTTGTAACTGGAGATCAGCGTATGGATTCGCAATGGAGAGACTAGTGCAACCAGCTAGACGACGCCGTTTGGGTTACTACAGTAGAGCAAACTGCAAAGCGTATATGGCACCAAAACCTCCACGTCCAAAAACGCATTAAACATCATAATGACAACTTCCTGATAGTGAAATGCGCTTTTACCTATGACCTCTCTGTGTGACACAACACAACTCACCATTGAAGTGAAATGATACACATAGATATTATGTAGTACCATTATTTAATTAAATAAATTAATAATGTGCTCGATTAAGGTTGTGGACGTTACCACCACCATATCCTCTTGATGGGATATTGGCAATGGCAGCACCTATTTGTCATTTACTTATAATATACTACTAATTATCATCCATCAAATATTTTGTCTAAGAATACTTATATGTGTATTATAAATATATGTATGTATGTGTGTGTGTACGGGTCAAATTGTTCCACCTAATTCTCCTGTTGCTGATCACCTTATCCTCCTCCTCATTATTAATCTTTGCTGTTTTAACCCATTAACAATAATAAGTAATTGTCTACTTTAATAATTAATCAATAATATTTACAATTCACCATTGCGCCTTACAATTTTCTTTTATTTTACTTGTTTTAATATATGTACGTAATCATAGCCACCACGTGTCCCCAATAACAATAGTTTATTTTCCGATCAAAAAATATAACAATAGTTTGTTTCATATCTATTTTGGCCTCTTCTTATAATATGAGGCACATGAAATGAACATTTTTAATGATACTGAACTGAGGTCGAAAGGACGTTATATAAGCACGATTTTAAAGGGTAAGTAAAGCGTAATAATTGGATGGTCATTAAAAGCACGACTTTGGGTAAAAAGTGGTGTGTATAAAAATATAATTGCAACGGTCATTGCACTGTTTACAGTGCGGTTTCTTTCTCATCGTCACTGCCAACAGTCACTCCAACAAAACACAGACGACGACGACAGACCCCCCACCCCAATCAATGCACCAACCTTTGCACATCGTCTTTGTTTTTAAGTGTCATTGTGAAATTACTGCAGTTTTTTCTTTATATGTGGAGTGTGATTATTTGAGTTGAAATCTTTCTTTCAATCAAGTTTGATGGATTTGACTGAACCTGATCTTACTGCTTGCCATAGAACGAAACAGGAAACAAAATAGGATCGGGGAGAAAAGTAAAACAGAAAAGTGAGGAGCACGAAGCCAATAATATCTTATGATTTTTACAGATACTGATGATCACATGAAATGCCAAACTTGAGCAACTTTTTTTTATACAAAGCAGATTTAAATCATATCGTAGGAACTGTAAGTAATTTCTTTGGATTAATCTGACTAAGTAAGGTGGACGTAAGCTATGTATGCATATGTTTGAGTCTCTCACTAGCCTGCAGCTCCAAGTTAAAAAATGGTGTCCAATCGAACAAGAGAATCCCTAATTGAGCTTTTCCAGTCATGTCTGATTCACACACTTTTCTAACTGCTGAAACTTTCTGTTCCTGATCAGCTTTCTGTCCCATCCACAAATATTCCTAAACCAACGGTATGGATCATCCGGGAGTTGAGAGGCCATGATCGTCCGCCGGAGTTGGTAATTTCGAGCATAATTGATCATCCTCCTTCTTTCTCTGTAGGTAAAGACACCGTAAAACCGTAGCTGGGTCAAGTCGAGAAAGAGCTAGGGTATTATATGGTGGGCCAAAAAAATATGAGGAAGATGAAGAAGGGAAACAATTTATCAATGGAGATAGCTTTTTTCTTTAATTCCCAAGTGAAAACTCACACACTTGCAGTTATGCATGGTTTTGACCTAATTAATCGAATTATGAAACTGCACCAGAAAGGAATGAAGGCACTGGTGGAATTGTATCGGGTTCTGTACTGTTCTCCGTCGGACTTGGTGCTTCTTTCTGTTGGGTTTGGAATATTAATTAAAATATTTGTGTCACGAATCTGGCATTGTCTCTTCCGGCGATGCGCTGGCGGCGGCGGCGGAAGTAGTGGTGTTATTTCCAGGCGGCGCCCAGTCATCGTAAAAGCTGAATGGATCCAAGTCGGCTTTGTCCTTATCCCGGCCGTTGGAAAACCCCTGCGCGAACAGCAAATCCAAGGTGGAATCAGCCTCGATTTCCCCGAGATCGGCGAAGAAGGTGTCATCGGAGTGGGTGGTGGAATCGGGAAGTGTCGGCCTGTAACTCGGCTCAAACCCTCGATGACAGTCAAATTCAGCGCCGTCCGTTTCTAATCCATCAAATTCCTCTTTGACATCGCCGGAAGTTCCGTCGGTGGTTATCCCCGGTTGGTGGTCGTCTTCCTGGTCAGTGCATTTCCGGGCCGGAGAATTTTTGGAGGCAGCAGTGGCAGTGGCAGTGGCAGTGGCAGCAGCAGTAGTGTTGCTCTTGGAGGGATGAGATCTGGTGGAGCCAGCAAGAGCATTTCTTTGGGTCGGCCATGGGTGGTTGTGCTCGGAGGTGTAGGTTATCACCAGCATGTTGGGGTCGGTCCGGCTCCGCTCCACCTGTTTCCTGGCGGAGCATCCCTTCGAACTGCTGCATCTGTAATAACCCCTGGATACATGTATATATGTATGTAATTAACAAATTAAGCACTGGCACTGCTGCCATTGAAGAACTACATATATGATCTAATGATGATAATTTAATTAGATTAGATGATACTTGTACCTTGGATAAGGGGAACCTTTGATTGGCTTCTGACCGTACTTTCTCCATGCCCAGAGATCAGAGGGGACAACTTCGCCACTGGGCCTGCTGTTGGCAGGTGCTGGAGCAGGTATACACACCACTTTCTTTGCCTGGCTCTTCCTGATATTACATCAAAGTTACACTCAGACGATCCATCAACAGCTACAGCTACAGCTAACAGCTTCAGCTTGGGGACAAAGACAACTAGTTTATCACTTGTTCCTTTTTTTAAAAAATCTTGAAATGGGCGAAAGTGGGGAAATTTTTCAAGGCTAAACAGATGAAACCAGAGAATTCAGTTCTGGTGGGATACAGAAAATAGTGACATGAAAGGAAAGTCTGGTGCTGTCATGGGACACACACTGCCAGAAATTCATTAACCTTTTTCAGGCTGAATTATTTGATGGCTTGATGCCTGCCTGCCTGGGTAGGACTGCAGTTACATAGATGAAGTTCATCGATTCAAGATTTAACTAAACCATGCTTGCTTTGCCCTCGGGGATGATGGAGAAAAAATAAAATCTACATATATAGAGAATCATCATCTTGTTTGAGGGCATAGAAAAGATAAACAACTTTTGATTAATATTTATTGAAGCAAAAACCCTAATTTTGATTGATATCCTGGATCGGCATGTGGAATGAATTACTATACCCCCTAAAAAACTTGAGAAGCAATTAATGATAATATCTATCTCTGCGATTGCATTAAATACCTAAACCCTAAATTAAAAAGTTTTAATTCAGATTTCAGATCTCAATCATTATTTGAAGACACGAAATCCCCACCTTCTCTTGATGCCCGTGATTCGCGGAGACGAGATCTGCAGACCTGCAGGACTCTCCACCAAGCAACCTCTGGGGTTATTTGGAGACGACAACAAAGCATGATCATTCGATGATGATACTAACATAGAAGGAGGGCCATTCGGACAAGCCGCCGCCGGAGAGTCGCACGGCGTCGCTGGCAGCTTCAAACCTGGAGAGATCGGCAAAGGCGTCCTCGAAAAAATATTCGACGACGACGACGGTCTTTTCATCTCATTGCTCAAATTTTCGTGACCCGATGATGAAATATTCAAAGCGCTAACACTTCCTGCTGCTGCAGCAAAACATCCAATACCATCCTTGATAAAATCGGAGCCGTTGAAAAATCCAGAAACTGGATCATCGATGTCATGGAGGAGTGGATCTCCAAGATGGGTAATAAAAGGATCGCCGAAATCCTCCTTCTGCTCATAATTAATCGGATTAGTCGCAAACTGCCACAGATCAGGCACCTCGGCGGCGGAAGAACCACCGGAAATTCTTCCTCCGCCGCCTCCGCTGGCTCTTATTATGTCAGTTAAATCGCCGCCCTGATAATTCTCCATCCTCTTCAAGAAATGACTGCACATACTTGATGAAATCACTGTCCCATCATTTGACTTAATTTGCTTCACTTTGTCATGCTAACTCTCCCACCAAACAAACGATCAATTCATGCAGGAGACTTAAATCATTACAGCAGCTACCTAGCTCTTCTTCAAGACATCATCTCTCTCCCACTCTCTCTCTCTCTTTCTCTCTCTCTCTATATATATATATATATAAATATGTACACATACAACACAAGAATAGTAGTTCTATTCTATTTCTAGGGTTTGATTCTTCCAGGGCCAAAAGCAACCTCAATCCAGAGTGAAATGGAATCTAGAGAGCGAAAGAGAGAGAGAGGGAAAGGGGGTGGGGGTCGGGAAGTCGCTGACTTTTTCATTCATATACAAACACAGCTCGACTTCATACGCAACAAAGAAGGAGAAGAAAGAAAGGGGTTGCAACCAAGTTAAATAACTAATTAATTATACCATATAAATTAATAAATCCACACTGTTTCAAGACTTAACCACTCGCCAGTCCCGGGACTACCTACTCCACCACAATCCACACCATGAATAGCGCCATCAACTGTGCGGATGGTCTCGAGCTCCCAGGTCCCTGCCCCAAGACTCAAAAACTTGTTACAGAATTATTTTTAAATAATGACATAGACATCATGGAAGGGTCAAATCGGGCAACTGTTTATATTTTAAGTTTAATTTTAATTTTTATATTATTTAACCATACATTTGTTCTTCAATTCATCATATATGTATATATGCATATCTCTATCCATCTAATCTCCTTTTGTTGTTTAGCTAACAATAAAATAATTAAATTAACTTAAAATACGCACACAGCAGTGCAAAAAGTCATTTTTTTGAAATCAAATAATTGAAAATTACATAAATAAATAAAGAGGCGGCAAGCAGCCGCAATACTCGGAGAAGTATTCAATACGTTTCGACTGGGTCCGCTGCCCTCACATAATTACATTATGCCCTCCCAACTTTTTTTTTTCTTTCAATTTCGCCCCGCACTACGTTTCATTTTGCCCTCTTTTTTTATTTTAATTTGCCAAAAATGGGACGTTGATAATTTCTCTTTCCCAATTTATAATCAAATTTATATACGGCTGGTCTTAATGAATCATTATTATTATTAAATTAATATATAACATTATAGTCTAAGATTAATTACTTACTAAGGATAAAAAAATTAATTAACTTATTATATATTTAATCAGAGATGAAATTAAAATATATCAAAAATTCTCTCCTTCCCTCTCTTTGTATGAAAAATAATTTAATATGTATGGGAATGGGAGTGGGCCAAGATTTGTGTGATGAAATGTTACAAGTGATTAATCACCCCCGAGTATGCCACCGACCTCTCTGTATTTTGATGGGACGTTATAAAAATCTACTTTATTGAAATAGTTATACTACTCACTGTTTTTTATTTTATTGTTTTAACAATAGTTACTATTATAGTATTAATTAAATAAATGGTTGAATATGGAATCGTGAGTGTATGCATAATTTGGTAGAGACAACAGATAAGCCATGTTATGTTGGTGTAGATGGATGAAACAAAATATGGGTCACAAGAAAACAAATTTGCCTTTGAGTATTTTTATTAATACTAAAATTATTATTACTATTATTATTATTAACAAACTGGGATTCTCTGACACACACAGAATTTGTCCTCTCAATTGCTTATTATAATTATTGTTATATATAAAATAAAAAAATAATAATATAGAAGCATCCTTGCATGTGAATGTGATCCACTCCAAATTTCTGATCCCATTCCAATTTCATCACTTGGATTATTTAATTCAAGCCCTAATAATGAATCATCACTTTCATTACAACTAATGCCTTTTGCTATGTCTTTTTTTAATATACTAAAGTCGTGGTTTTATAAAATGACTACATATATAAGATTCTTTTATGATTTAAATTGGCAACTGTAGCTGCACGTATTGCAGCCTGAGCGGCAGCTGGTGACGTCGCCGGGGGGGACGATCGATCTCAGCCGTGGATGTGGACGGCCAGGATTAATCCCTGTTTTTTTAGCAATACTGTCGTTTTAGTAGTAGTTTGATTAATCAAATCAAAGATTAAATTAATTATATGTATATGCATGTTTGTCGAGCAGGGCCGATTTAATTATATACTAGATAATTAATGAATTTGGAATTGTGATAATTGTAATTTAATTAATGGATGAGTGAGATGATGGCCTTTTGTTCGAGAAGATAAGGGCTGGTGAAAGCAGAGGCAAAAAAATTAAAAAAAAAAAAATAATATAGTGATGAATATACAGCTGCAGAATATGGTTTCGTAATGAATAAATTAATAATAATATGGGCCAAGTCTACATGTGAGTCACTCTGGCTCTGACTCTGACTGTGGGGGAGATAAAATTGTAGGAAGCCATTGGTATCTGTGGTGTGGAAGAAATATATATATATATATATGTATGTATAGAGAGAGAGAGAGAGAGAGAGAGAGGGAGACAGAGAGGAGTATAGTATTTTGTTTTGGGATTGATTTCGAGATCCCAATTAATCTCCCTCCACTCCACTCCACTTTATGTGCATTTCTATCAAGTGTCGGAGAACCAAGGTCTTCATTTATTATTGCATTATTAATTCAGTTGTGCATTGGCCACCCAAACCATATGCTCCTTTTTAGAGGTGTATGGACGAATGAACACATTAGGAAATTAATTAATTCTTTGTACTACACATATATATTGCTGATGAAATGAACTTGGATGTCGTAAGTTTGATGTAATAAAACTCTATATAGTGGGATAATTAAGGTGCACAACTCATCACGGTAGAAAAATCAAAGGAATCTAGTGTGTCAAGGAGAAAACTAATTAAGTGTGCATCGGACCAAGTTGCCTCACTACAATGTTAAAAATAGTGTAGGGATATTTTGGACCAAATATGGTATATATATATATATATATATAGAGAGAGAGAGAGAGAGAGAGAGAGGAATAATCTGCATGAATGAATGAATGGTGCTGGGGCTTGTGCGTACATACATATATATATATATATATGTGTGTGTTTGGCATATAGTAATTAGTTAGAGGATGTCCCTTACCTACCTGAGTCACATATGAGCGGTGAAACATGAAAACATACTGCCCACCCCGGAAGGAGGTCGTACTCCAAGTGGACCTTTTTCGTATTACATCAACTCAATCCAGACATGAACAAAACAAAACCTGTCTGGATTTGGCTTCTTCCCTTTTAAACCTGACCAAATCAATAGTTTTAAAGGAGAACGTAACGGACGTTTAATTTGCTGCTGCACCCTCATGCTTTTTCTATAATTTCATCACACATTATTTTTAATCTTTCTTCCAGAATATATATCCTGAATGATTAATATATACAGTTTGGGCCTCCAAAGCTGATCAATTTGTCCATGAATTGCCATTTTAATTTGTTAACTAAGCCCAAATATGCGCCGTCGTGACCGCCGTCTCCAAACAAATGCTACCTCGGACCGGTTGTTAATTGATTATATATGGGTGATGTAACGTTTTACTATATTGAATATATCTCATTATATTATATAATTTTCATGCAGCTGATTTAGTCCGTGAATATTTCTTAGCTTAAATTAGCTTGCAGTCCGTCCGTTGTCGGAGTTGACAATGCGGTCTTCGTTTCTTCTACTGTTTGTTTCTTTCCCTTAAATCCTCCGCCCGCCTCAAACTTTCACACCAATGCCCAGATACAGCTTGTTCCATTTCTGAATATTAACTGTGTGATTTCTTCCCGAGTCTTCTGGTTGCTGCACCCAACATGAAGCCCATCTCGAATCAACAGGTAGGTGTAGGTGATCTTATCAGTAGTTCCTGCCTTGTCATATTATTACAATTAAACTTTTTCTCCTGAATTGTAGGAAATTATTAGATATGCTCGTGCTCGCGACAACCCGTATTTCGACGGAATGCGAAGAGGCGAAGCGGCGGCCATGAACAGGGGCGGAAGTACCTACGACACCACATCTGCAAGAAAAAACGTCTACAGATCCGCCGCCGACCGAGGGCCCCGACACACGAACCATAATATCTTTGCAAATGAAGAGGCGACCGCCGACACTACTCCAAAAACCTCGTTCCCGGACATCGTTCTTGAACCCATCGGCCGCTCATCTTCGGGGAGGTGGTCCAAGACTTCCTCACCAATAAGAGTTCTTGAAGAATCAGACGTGAATAGTACTGTTAACTACACTGATTTGAATGAGCCATCGCCATCGATCGTTTCTAGCACGGAGGACGATGCAAAACAAGACGTGATCAGCAGCAGCACGCAGAGTGTCCGAATATCATCGTACAGCGTGAGCAAGAGGCAAACAGACATTTCCAATGTCCCTCTTCCACCTTCGGCGGCGCTGTTCTATTGCGGCGCTTCCCCAAAAATGGAAGTTGTCGAAACATGTGAAAGTGTTCTCAAGCTCAATACGTATCTTAAATCCAGAAAGGATGATGTCAATGCCGGCGTCCCCGGGAAGCTCCTGCATGCTGTGATCGGACCAGATGTATCCGGTGAGAAAGATCAATATATCAATTACGCTGTTGTCGAAACTTCTGTTTAGTTTTTCGTGTCATGACATGACAAAGCTTTTTCAGACGTGGGATCCGTTGCTTCGACCATAGCTTTTGCATTTTATCTCGATTGGACTAACAGCAGCAGCCAATTCTGTTGTGTGCCGGTTATCAACATGAAAAGGGCTGATCTTGATTCGCAATCTGATCTCAATTGGCTGCTTCATTCGTGCCGCATTGATTTGTCGTCATTAATATTTATAGACGAGGTTGGCTAATTATCTGATCGATGTATTTGTGTTCTTATTGGTTAACTCTCTTGTCTCGTGACATTGAAACAGATTGATTTGTCCTACTACGACTTGTTTGGTAGCCTTAACCTCGTCTTGCTCAATTGCGACAAGATTCCTTCGCAACAAGAGGTTGTTTATGTATTTCATTTTATGTAAGTTCGCCCGGCTCGTTTTGTTTTCAATATTTACGACAAGCATTTGCAAATTATTCACGGCAGGCACTGAAAGAAGCGATTGTTGAAGTCTTGCATTGCACAAAGGTTTATTTTTAGCTCTGCGATTGCTCAATGCTTGCATAAATAACATCTCTATGGAAGAGGGTACATTTTAAATCGCATTTGTTCTTACATTTCTCTGTTTTCGACAGTCTGATGCTACATATGCTTGGGTTGATTCTGTCACGGCGCGACAGGTAAGAATATGAATATATTAACATATACATATGCTCTTATAATACTAAGATGAGGAAATGAGCATGTTGTCTGATTTCTTACAGGATGGTTCGTGCTGCACTGTCATTGCCGAAAAATTCATCAATACTTCACCTGAGATTCTGGCTGGGAAAGGATTCAGTCGACTTCTGGTACAAACTCAACTCCTATACAAGTTCTAATCTAAACGGGAGAAGATCATGTTCTTTTCGATCTTGCACTATTTATATATCCCTTAGTTGTTTCTTCATTCATTCGTCGCCAGTTAGCCGGCATCCTACTTGACACTGCAAATTTAACAAATCCAAACTGCACCTCTAAAGATAAATACATGGCCACATTGTTGATCAATGGAGCTGGCCGGTTCGGATGCAATGGGCTATATCAAATTCGTAAGATGGATTAGCTAGGCTTATTATTATTGTTCGTATTGGCATGTCTCTGAAACTCAATTCATCATTTTGGTATGTTCTTTTTTTGGTTTTCTTTGTTCTGCAGTGAAGTTCAAAAGCTATGATGCATCTGATAACCTCAAAGTGGATGGAATTCTGCGGAAGGAGTTCCGGAAATGGACGAGATCAGGTTTGTCCATGTTCTGTATCTAGAAAATCTGTCAGTTGCTGAATCGAGTTGTGGACTTTGTTTGGCGCAGGTAGAACAGTTAGCAACAGTTTAAGGTTGTCTGCACCATGTGTTGGGATGAGTTCGATCGGTATGTCTGTTGTGCAGCTGTTAGCAGCTCATGACTCCACCTCGGTTCAAGAAATCACTCATTTCCAGAGTAATGGATTTAACTTCACCATTTCCTCACAAGTCACAACCATGGATTTTCAAATGCATCTTAATGTTTGTTGATACAAATGCAGAATCTGAAAAACTTGGCCTGTTGATGGTTGTTTCTGGGTATTATGATTCCCAGAAGAAGTTCAAGGTTGGATTTTTTTATTTTTTACTATTATTTTTTATATGAATCCTGACTTTTGATCTGATTATATAAAGTTGATTGTTCTGATAGAGGGAAATTATGGTTTCTGCTGAATCTGGCGAGCTTCTGAAGAGTCTGCAACAGTTCCTGGATTCCAATTCTTCTCATCTGCTGCTGAAGCCTGTTCATCAATCTGGACTGAAAGAGGAGACGATGAGGGTGTTCGAAACTGATAAAGTCACTTCGCGAAGGACCATCGAACGGCTCCTCGAGCAATTCCTTGGGCCATTAACCTGATTAAGATCACTTTGGTGCTTATTGATTATAAATATATATATATATATTTGTAATAAAGATCGCGTCTTTATTGACAATCATCGATTGTTCGAACCAAATCCTGCAATAAGTTGGATTTAATTTAGGGCGTCGTTTATTTATAGTGAATTGTTAATTCAAATCCAATAATGGGCAAGTGTGAGTCACTAATACCCAACGGTTTGTTAAAACTCCACGACTTAATATCTGAACACCGCCATACCCACCGATTGCGTTTCCAAATTCAGAACAAGTAATCTCCACCAATTTCTCGATTTTGAGTTCCGAAATCCCTGAATTCCATTCGATTCGATTCTTCCTCTGATACGATTGATTCATGTTTTCTCGTGAGAAATCGAACAAGGAGCCTCGCCTTCCCGATGAGGCCATTAAAATTCTCAAGTCGTTGGCGGCGAAATGGGACGACATACCCGATCCGGATGCGTTGCAGGTCTTTCGTCTCAAGGGGGCAATGACGAACGAGGTCTATCAGATCAAATGGCTAACCAAACCTAACCTTGATGACGCTTCTCTGCAGAGATCGAGAAAAGTTCTGGTGAGAATCTACGGCTCTGGCGTGGATGTGTTCTTCAATCGCGAAGATGAGATCCGTACGTTTGAATTCATGTCGAAGAAAGGCCAGGGCCCTCGATTGCTCGGCCGTTTTTCTAATGGCCGTGTCGAAGAGTTTATTCGCGCTAGGGTACAATTCCTATCGTTTCTTACGGCAGCTTTTCTGTTCTGTTCCTCTTTTTATGACGTTGCTTGCCCTTTTAACTTTTTCTTCGAAGATTTAATGTTCAATTAGCAATAAAACTGGATCATAATTTGGAGTTGCAGCGCAGTGAATAGGGTTATCTTTCCTTTTCCTTTACTTTGCCAAGCGAGTGCATTTGGTTGCTGTTTAACGAGGCTTCTTAGCTCCTTTTCCATTGGCATGCAGATATATGCCTTCGATTATTGTGGATGAAAATCCCTATGCAGATATTGATTGTGTTTACCATGGCAGACCCTTACGGCTGCCGATTTACGCGATCCCGAGATATCTGCTCTTATAGCAACTAAAATGAGGGAATTCCACCAGCTAGATATGCCCGGCTCCAAGACTGTTACGTTATGGAAGAGGCTATGGTGTGTTTCTTTTTCAATCCTCGGGTGTTTTCTTGTATAATTATATGTGTTTTTCCATTAAGATTTTGTGCCTAAATGCTTCAGCCATTGGCTTAAGGAAGCCACACGACTATCTTCGGAAAAGGAAGCTGAAGAATTCCGTTTCAATGATCTGGACAATGAAATATCGATGCTGCAAAAGAATCTGTCTACTGGTAATCAGCTAGTAGGATTCTGCCACAATGATCTGCAATATGGGAACATTATGATGGACGAAATAACCAAACTTATTACAATAATTGTGAGTAACAGAGACCTTTGTTTTTGGTATTGATGTGGTGATGTAGGGATCATTTTATTTTTGCTGCTTTCTGTTCTATTGATCCTTACTTACATCATGAATATATATATATATATATATATGCTAGAACGATTCTCTGAAATGAAGGAAGCAGTTCTTTATCTTTTCAAATATATCTAATCAATCTCATGTTCATTGTGGTTCCCTTTGATTAAGCTACCTTCACTTTTTGATAGGACTATGAATATGCAAGCTACAACCATGTAGCCTTTGATATCGCAAATCATTTTTGTGAGATGGCTGCGGATTATCATACTGAAAACCCCCATGTTATGGACTACAAAAAATATCCAGGTAGGGGATGGATGCATTCGATGCTTCAATCACTCGATGTTCACCTTGCCAAGCATGCTAAGTTTATCAGATATTTGAGATCAGTAGTACTTGTTTGTTAACCAGGTTTGGAGGAGCGAAGAAGATTCATCTGCATCTATTTGAATGGCTCAGGTTGTACTTGTATATAATTCACTCAATTCTAATGGCACGTGGTCCTTCAATTTTATAAGACTAAGGCTGTCAAGGATTTGAATATGTAATGTCATTTATGCATGCTTCCTCCCCAATATCTTTAATTTGGTTCAGGGAAACAACCCAGTGACTCGGAGGTGAATCAGTTACTTGAGATTGTGGAGAAGTTTACTCTTGCAAGCCACCTTGCTTGGGGCTTATGGGGAATAATCTCGGTATGCTTACCTAAACTTCTTCGATGTGTAGAGAAACAAACACTTGTATTTTCTTCCATGGTTTTGGCTTATCAGTTGCAATTACAGGAGCATGTCAACAAGATCGATTTCGACTACATGGAGTATGCGAGGCAGAGGTTTCGACAATATTGGGCAAGAAAGCCACAACTGCTGGAAGTTTCTAGTTCCAGAAAATCCTAATCCTAGCCTGACAACTAAGTTCAAGAGGACAGTTTTGAGTCTCTGTGTATATATACATTTTCGTGTCGCGCATTTCTTTTGTATGCTTAGGATTACAAATGCATGATTGAACAGAACCAACAATCCAATGTTTAAGCCCTTTACTAGTAACTTGTATTATAAAGCGTAGTTCCTATCTACATTATATACAAGTTCAACATTCTACCCCCGACCTATTCCTATTCCTCCTGGCCATTTCTTCACTAATAATTTTCTCGAGTAAGATCACACTCGATTATGCAAGTCTTTTTCTTTTTACAGCCTGTAATGTCAATGCAATGCCACGGATTGTTCCCAATTTTCCTCGGACCAAAACCACCACAACAAAGAAAGAACACAGCTCCATAATTAATCATATAGACAGTAACCGCCAATTCAATTCAATTCAACTCAAGTCAATTCAATTTCTTCTTATAAATAACCATCAAGAACGGGGTTTGAAGGGCCACCATCCATTTCCCGTTAAAACTCCATTGCTAACTTCCATGGGTTTTCCCACCATTCTTTGGCTCTGGACTCTCCTCGCCGCCGCCGCCGCAGAAACCGCCTCGCCGCCGACGCTATCGATCGATCAAGAACACAAGCTGAACAACATCATCGACGCTCTGATCGGCACCGGCGACTTCGCCGGTTGGGTGAACCTCCTGTCTACCACCGATCCTTCTACCATCCCGGTCAGTGCGACCCTTTTTGTCCCCAGCAACGACGCCATTTCCAGCTTCCCGGCGTCCCACGGCGTCGGAATCGTGCCCTTCGATCCACTTCTGGTGCCGTACCACATCGTCCCCCAGCGGCTCACATTCTCCGAGCTCCGGCACATGGGCACCCACACGCGCCTCCCCACGCTCCTCCAAGACAGGTACATCGTCGTCACCAACAACTCCCCCTCCAACTTCACCGTCGACAACTCGCGAATCACTCAGCCCGACATCTTCGTCAATGCCGATTTCTCTGTGCACGGCATCGAGAAAGTTCTCGATTACTCCGTCTATGGTGGCGGCCCCATTACGGCGACCAGCCAGCCGTCCCCGAAACCGCGGAATGGCACCGATAACGGCAGTCATCCGAATCCCTCAGGGAAGACTCTACCCGACACCAAATCCAGGTCTGCCTCGTGCTTGCACAGTAGATTTCCGGCGATCTTTTCCGGCGCTACTGTTTTCGTATTGATCAAGATCTTCGTCCCAGCTCTCTAACGTGTGTATCTCTTTGTTTATTTACGATTAAACATCATGAGTTACTAATTATTCTTGATTTCTTTATACGTTCTTTTTCTTGAATTACATATATGCAGTGTTCTTGTTTTGACAATGAGTATCTTTCTGGTCTTTCTGTTCACAGAAAATCAAGGAACAATCCGTGGAAATGCAGTGACATGTTTACAACGAACCTACAGAATTATGCACACCAATCCAATGTGACTGAAATCAGGGTTCAATTCGATCAGTCTTTGTTCCAGTGAGATTTATATTCATTCTTTAGATAGGGGATGATGTGCTTGAATCAGATGATCTTGCGTTTAAATTCTGTTGTATTCCTTCGATACTGTTTCTTTGAGCATCAATGGCAAATTGAAGGAAATTGGAGAATTCTTTCGTAGATAAACTTGAATATGATCATCAAAATTATGGAGTGTTCCTTCTTGAATCGTACCTTCACACAAATCTTGGAAGGTGCAGAGCTCTTAAAAAAAAATACTTCTCTAGCATCTGGTTCTTTAGATGATGGCCTCTATATATAGTAGGCCGAGTTAATGTAAAATTACACAAGTTGTCCTCCTCTATATGATATACTACAAAGTCGCATTTTCGCTGTAAAGCGTGTTGGGCTCATTTAGTTGGGGATTGGGGAATAGTAGGCCCAATATAAAAAAGTCCATATAAGTATTTGTTTTATCCGTATGGCCGTGGTTAGGGCATTCGATGCTCATTCCCGCGCACAACTTCCGTCGTATTGCAGTCGCATTCTCTGCCGGCGAATTAGGGTTCTTTAGTTTACAAAGTCATGTGGCCGGGCCTCTACACCTAGATTGGCACGCAGGTGCGTGTTTGTGTGTTTGTTCGAGTTCTTGTTTTGAATCGGATCATTTGATATCGTTGTTTTCGCTTCCATATTGGGGTGTTTATAAACTTGTCTGCGTGCTGAACTCGATCTTTTGTATAACGATTGCCAGACGAAGAGTTCACATACTCACCACTTTCTTTGGCACTGGAGTTGTATTTAATTTTTTCGTATTTCGTATTTCGTACGTCTATGATGCAGTTTACGCTTGGATTGGAGATTTGGCAATGGCATGCTCTTGGAATCAACGAAGGAAAGGTTAAAATTGTGCCAGGAACGTACGGGCGACCTTGATTCAGAAAGCGGTGTAGCAATCCCACCCGCCGGCCAGCCAAGTTCCTAGTTAATTTTCTTAACCCTAGCCCCCAAACCTGATGCATTCCACGCCTCTCTTTTTTCCCACGACCTCGCACTCGACTCACCTTCTTCTTCTTCTGTCTCCCACCGCCATGTCACGGTCATCGTCTTTTTATTATCCGGCTTCACTCTATTCTAGTTCCTCGCCTTCGTCGTCCTTTTTGTCTTTGTCTTCTTCGGACGTTTTGTAAGTACCTTGCACTAATTTTGATTCATTTTCTGTTACCAATAGCAACGCTGGTTAATCCTTGTTGATGTTCAATTGCACATTCAATCAATATATCATAAAGGTTAAACTGTGAAGATCTCTTACAATGTCGACCCCTTGTTAAGGCATCGATGCATTATCTTTGGAGAAATCTCACTAGGTAGTGATATGAAAAAAATTCTTCTGGATACAAAATAATCTTAGCTAGGTTCCTTCATTTACTTTGCCATGCTTCTTAATTATCGCAAACTGCTGGTATGTTTGCGATGTGGGTTTGTGACCACCATCGTATGCATCCATCAGTTATACCACATGTTCCATACATTTCGAAAAACATTTGTTAATCCCTATTGTTTAGATCCAATGTATTTGGAAATCAATTTTGGGTGTGTTTGTTTGGGAGTTTGGATTTTGGATTGGGATTTGAATAGTAAAATTTATGAATTTGAATAGTTGTATGATGTGATATAAATAGGTGTTGATGTGATGTTTTGAATGTAAAATTGATTTTTAGTATAATATAAAAAATAAAAAATAGGTGTTTAATTTGATGTTTTTGGGGGGAAAAAATTGGATGAATAGTTAAATTTAAATCCAATCCTCCAAACAAACACACCCTTTGAAGACTTGTGTGGTAACTTGTGATGATGCTGATAATGTCATCGATGCAATATCTTTGGAGAAATCTCACTAGGTAGTGATATGAAAAAAATTCTTCTGGATACAAAATAATCTTAGCTAGGTTCTTTCATTTACTTTGCCATGCTTCTTAATTATCATGAACTGATGGTATGTGATGTGGGTTTGTGGCCAACATCGTATGCATCCATCAGTTATACCACATGCTCCATACATTTTGAAAAATATTTGTTAATCCCTATTGTTTAGATCCAATGTATTTGGAAAACAATTATGAAGACTTATGTGGTAACTTGTGATGATGATGATAATGTCATTGCATTTCATGAAGCACTAAGGTCATGCGGATTCTTCTGCTTTTAAGGCCAAGTCGAAGCTCCAGAAACAATACACCTTTTTTGATGAACAGTCACTGTAGGGGCTGCGCAAAGCTTCTTTCCCCAAGGACAAGGTGCACTAATGATACTGATGGTTTTACTTTTATTATTATTGGGAATTATGATATGAGTTCTTGCATTCTTTGCTTCATTCTTGGGCTAGTGTTTTATAAGCACACCATGTTTGTGCCTCATTTTTAGCTTGATCGCTCTACTGCACTATTGGTATAATCCATAAGGGTGTGTTCTAATGGTCTTTCTTTTGCATTTTGATTTTCTGAGGTGAAATAGTTGATCATATACATTCATACAGTGCCCGCCAACGAATTTTCTAACCTTAAAAGGATGATAAAATCACATCAAACTTGCATTCCGATTCCAAGGTTTGGTAAAATTAATGACTTTTTTAGGGTCAAGGTTACATAAATAAAGAAATGCCAAGATCTTAGTTCTTGTGCTTTTCATTTGATAGATGTTATCATTTTACCTTTGAGTTCAATGTGAATTTTATTGCATAATTTATTATCATGTTAGCCATACATATGCCTCATAGCCTGATAGAAAAGGGATTTTGTAGTTTGTGCATATTCTTTTGCTAGCACTAGATAAACTATACTTTCAATTTTGACACCATATATTGTATGTATTTCCGCCAAAATGTGGATACAAATGTGTGTTACCTTTTATTTATTAAAAAGATTATGTAATTATATGTTATTAATTGTAGGAAAATATTGGCAGCATAAAGGCAAAGATTTTAAGATTGGTGGTTATGGCAATGGACTGGCAAGTGCTTGTGGTAACTGCTGACTTCTCTGTCGTTTCTGCCTTCCGGTAGTTGTAGGTCTCCACTAAATCCATAGCTAAAAGTGATTCTTATTTGTTTCGGGAAGCATTGAATTGATAAAGCTATGCTGTCATTGATTGTGAAAATAATTTGCTGCGGTCATTTGCCCACTTATGTTGCCAATGTGTTGTAGCTTATTGTCTGTTTCTTGTTGGTTTGTCAAGTCTGTATAGTAATTGTTGCAATTTGTTTTGTTGTATTTACTTGAAAGGTAATGGCTTTGAAGCAGAGAGGAAGACGAGCTGACGATTTCTCTGGGGTTCAGACATTCCCAAATGTGCAAATTAAAGCTTGAGCGCCAGTCAGAGTGATATCCTGTAAATAACGCCAGAGAGCCTGCCCGCTTGCTGCCAGGTATATCTCATAATTGGGGGGAACTCTTGATAATTTATTTGCTTGGTTTTAGTTAAATTATTTATGGAGGAGCGTGTAGGATGGTTCAATCTTTTTATCGTTTTTAACTCAAATGCGCAGTGTATCATTTGCAGGAAAACTCATTCCCATCTGACCCGATGGGTAATCAGATCGATCATTCGTCGTAACCTGCCCAATGCATCGATTGTCTGCTTGTAACAATTAGGACAGTGTAGTCCACGAAGGCCCGTTAAAAGCCCAAGATGTTAACCGATAAGCTACACAGGCTACAACGTATGCCCGCTGAGGACAACTAAATGGGCCACCATCGCTAGGTCCCGACAAAGCAGGGCCACGTGCTGTCGGAAAGGCCCAGTCCTTGTCACCCAGAAGACAATATGAGCACGTGTTGCCATTTCGGACCAATACTGTTCCATGCAAGCCTACGCAGCTTAATACAATATAATCATAGGCCCGTGAAACAAGCCCAGTGAATCTAGCCCAACGGCTGACAGACCCAAGTGACACCCAGTGGGCCGACAGAAACAATTCGTCTTCCAGGAGCTTAACAGTTACATGTGCGGTGGTCGATGCCCAATGACCGACAGTCACGTGCTGTCTCCAATAGCCAGACAAATTATGTACGTCTGTAATTGTCCATCCGGCCCGATATCTTTTTTATTCAAACGCAAACGGTTAGATACAATGTCATTGAAGTCCCATCGGACGGGCCCTATAGTTGTTACCCAACGGACGACAGAAGCACGTGCCGTCTACAACCAGCATGACCGTCACAAGTGTAGTGGTCACACTGTCACGTGCTGCTTGCCCATAGCCGGCCAAAGCCATGTGCATTTGCTAAGGCTTATTATGCCCAATATTGTTTTCATTCATATCCAAAGGCCCAATACAAAGTCATCGAAGGCCCATCGGGCCCACGTTTTCATTCAGATCCAGACGGCCCAATAAAATGCCATCGAAGGGCTATCCGACAGGCCCTGTAGCTGTCACCCAACGGGCCGACAGAAGAACGTGCCGTCTACAACCAGCTAGACAGTCGCACGTATAGTAGTCGGACAGTCACGTGCTGCTTGCCCATAGCCGGACAAACCCATGTGCGTTTGTTAAGGCCTATCCGGCCCAATATTGATTTCATTAATATCCAAAAGGCCCAATACAAAGTCTTCAAAAGCCCAGAAAGCCCACTTTATTTTCATTCAGATCCAAACGGTCCAATACAATATCATCGAAGGCCCATCCGTCATGCCCTATAGCTGTCACCCAACGGCCGACAAAAGCACGTGCCGTCTACAACCAGCTAGACAGTCACACGTGTAGTAGTCAGACAGTCACATGCTGCTTGCCCATAGCCGGACAAACCCATGTGCGTTTCTTAAGGCCTATTCGGCCCAATATTGTTTTCATTCATAAACGAAAGGCCCAATACAAAGTCTTAAAAAGCCCAGCAGGCCCAAATTATTGTCATTCAGATCCAAACGGCCCAGTACAATGTCTTCGAAGGCCCATCCGTCAGGCCCTATAGCTGTCACCCAACGGGCCGACGGAAGCACGTGCCGTCTACCAGCAGCCTGACAGTCGCACATGTAGTGGTCAAACAGGCCTATTCGGCCCAATATTGTTTTCATTCATATCCTACAGGCCCAATATAAAGTCATCAAAGGCCCATTTGGCCCACATTGTTTTCATTAAAATCCAAACGGCCCAATAAAAATCCATCAAGGGCCCATCCGACAGGCCCAGTAGCTGTCACTCAACAGGCCGACAAAAGCACGTGCCGTATACCAAAGCTTGACAGTCACACGTGTAGTGGTCAAACAGTGCCCATAGCCGGACAAACCCATGTGCATACGTTAAGGCCTAATATTGTTTTCATTCATATCCAAAAGGCCCTATACAAAGTAATATAAGGCCCATCTGGCCCACTGTTTTCATTCAATTCCAAACGGCCCAATACAATGTCATCAAAGGCCCATCCGACAGGCCCAGTAGCCGTCATTCAACAGGCCGACAGAAGCACGTGCCGTCTACCACCTGCTTGACAGTCACACGTGTAGTGGTCAAGGCCCATCCGGCCCAACATCATTTTTGGCCAAGCCCGTATGGCCAATCGAGTGTTTCTTACAGGCCCAATGGTTGTCTGCAGCGGCCCACACCACCACGTGAGGCCTGTTAGACCAATTGGCCGGGCCTTTTCTTGTCGGCTGTCAGCCCAGAACCAAGGAATCTTTTCTCCAGGCTGCCTTGGTAGCTCATCTTTTTCCATGCTCTGCTTGGGCCAAGCTTTTTATAGGCTAACGTAAAGGCTTATGGATTAACTTCAATTGTAAATGCGAGAACATTCAGTTTTGAGATTGTAAAATTCATACAATTTATTAGGTTATCATTTATGTGTTAACTTCGAGATAAGCAAACCTCCATAAAATTTATAAATGCCCAGCTATGAAGAAATCAACTCAGAGAACAGTAACCAATCTGGCTGCCAATCGAAGTGAGCTCCCTCTGTAATGTAGAGACACTGAATCTGTCCAATACACTTCCACTGATACTAAACCGGGGAAGCAACATACCACACGCCTTTAGGAGATGGATAGACAAAGTCTACTTCCCACCATGTCAAAGACATTTCCACTGTCCTTGGATTAGCAAGGACTGACCATACACGCTCCGGATAGAATTAGAAAATCAATCCCCCATTGTCCTGAAACCTAGTGCCAGATCTTTTCGGTTCAATAGATGAAATTTAAGAGAGATGTCAAATGAATGCAAAGAAAAGACAACACCAGTTGGCTTAGTAAAAGGATCTTTCAATTATATGATACCACCCCTTTTCTACCAGATATGGATACATTTCTTGTCAGTCATACTAAATGCAGGGACTCAACTTCTCACTACTCATGTGGCCCCAATGAAACACTGAAATGATTATTTAAAGAACCACAAACCTCATATCTATTGCCATCTGATCGTTTTTCAAACCTGCAAATATCTCCAAATCTAGAGATGCCATAATAAGAAATTTCAGGCTTGGCCCTCCATTGTTTACTCTTAGCATATTTGCATGTTACCAACATTTTACAATTGCATGTAAGCACATTTCCACTGCAAATAAGAACATATTAAAATTTTCTATTGGCAAAACAAAAAACATAATAAACAAAATATCAATAACCAATGGGGAGGGAGAAGTTTGACTTGATGCCCCAAATAAACAAATCTCACAATCAGAAAGAATGCTATAGATTACATCATGACAAATTCTCATTAAACCTAGTATGGAATCTCTCCTTAAGTCCACATCTTCGCCAAACATCAAAAATTAAATTTAATGGGGATTAAATGGATATAATTGAATACACACCTGGGTGGTATATTTTTCATATTAAAAATATATATACATCTGCAATATGTATAATACTTGGATATTAAATAATATATTTCTTAATAACATAATGTAACCGGAAATTTAAAAAAGTAAAATATGATAAAAAAAAATATTTAAAGATTAGGAAAACAAATTTCTTTGAATAATCCTTCTTGTAAATTACAAAGATTATGTGACACAAATTCCTATATTATCCTATAGATGGAGTTAGATTATATAAAATTATATTTACATAGTATAACAAAACCATCTATTTAATTGAAATATATTTTAAAATTGAAGTCAACACTAACATATTAAGGTTGCTTTTCAATATATTTATAAATTTAATCATCTAATTTCATTAAAACCAAGAGGATATATGATATATTAAGTGAATGCAATAAAATCATGAAAATAAATGACATAAATCAGGCAGAAGAAAGAGATAAAATCATACTAGCAACTAAAAAATTTATCATTCAGTGTGAAGATACCAGATGTTTTTCTGCTCTACAAGATGTTCACAGACACCATAACTGATTAATGAACAAACCAAGTGGACCTGTTAAATTTCACAAATAGCTTCAAATTAGACATTCAGTGTACACAAATACTTAACTGAAGCTAAATTTCATTTATTGTAATAGGAACAGCATATAAAATTTCAAGTCTTTTGGCACATCAGTCATATTAAACCGATATTTATATCTCCTGCATACATATCTAGCTATTTTGCTAACTCCTCCAATTAGCACAATCATAAATCCACAAGAAATTCAGCAAAAGGAACTATAGCAAACACAGAGTTAACCAAAATATATATATTACTGTGCCAGAATATGCTGTCATTGAAATAGGAATTCCTCCAATGAGAAGCACAAGTAAATGATCAATTCGCAGGCTATAATATAAATAAATAGCATCTCAACAGCCATTCTCACGGAAATAGTGAGTACATGCACAATTCCCAATCGCAGTGAAAAAACAATAATAGAATTGAAATGATCAAGAAAGAAACATAAAAAGATGTAATTCAGAAAACAAATATATCTATTTATTACATTGAGTCTAACCTTTTGAAAATTTCACTTGATTAGGATAGTCAACTAAGCGGGCAGCCTTGCCAAATAAGGCATGAACATCAGTTGCAATGACTAATGATTCAACCTCCCCTTGTTTGATGGCCGAGCCTGAGCACACTCCATTGCAGGGTCTTTAGTAAAGCAAAGGGATTCCCCTGTCAGTGCGGACTGCAAATGACAACAAGCAACGGTTAAAAAATAACCTAAATGGAGTTAGATTATATTAAATTATATTTAAATAGATAGATAAAATTATCCATATAAATGAAATATATTTTAAAATTAGAGTGTATACTAACATACTATTAAGCTCCCTTTCAATATATATATATATATATAGTTAGTAATCCAATTTCATTAAAACCAAGAGGATATATCCCTATAATATATTAAGTGAATGCAACAAAATCATGAAAATATATGACATGAATTAGGCGGAAGAAAGAGATAAAACCAAGAGGACCTGTTAAACTGCAGAAATAGACATTCCAACTACTTAACCGAAGCTATAGCAAACACAAAGTTATACTGTGCCAGAATATGTTGCCATTGCAATAGGAATTCCCGAATGAGAAGCACAGGTAAATGCAAATTCTCACAGCAATAGAGTGTATGCAAATTTCCCAATCACAGTCAAGACCTTTGATGTAAAATTGAGTCAAAATTCACAATTGCAGTTAAAAAAAAAAAAAAAAAAAAAAAAAAAAAAAAAAAAAACAATAATAGAATTGAAATGTGATCAAGAAAGAACATAACAAGATGTAATTCAGAAAACAAATATATATATATATATGTATATGTATTACATTGAGTCTAACCTTCTGAAAATTTCACTTGATTATAGTCAACTAAGTGGGCAGCCTTGCCAAATAACGCATGAACACCGGTTGCAATGACTAAGGCTTCAATCTCCCCTTGTTTGATGGTCGAGCCTAAGCACACTCCATTGCAGGTTCTTTAGTAACGCGAAGGGATTCCCCTGTCAGTGCGGACTGCAAATAACAACAAGCAACGGTTAAAAGATAACCTAAATGGTAAAACGAAAGACAAGCGAACCAACGCCGAATGACCCCGCCATTTCCATCTCTTCATCATCCAACAGGACACGACCTACCTAGCCCTCATCAGCATTCCTCCCCACCCCCCGTCCCCTCGGATTAGGGTTTCAGAGACACGGCGAAGACGAAGAGAGTCCAAGAAAAGTGGATGAAATTAGGCTATCAACACAATTGGATTGAAACTAGGGAAATAATTTATCGGAAAAATATTAGGTTAGGCTCGAGCTTGGGCTAGGGTTTGGGATTCGGTCACCGCTGCATTTCCATATCTTCGTCGTCAAAATTCTTAACAACGAGACCGAAGATGGACTCGGAACGCCGACGCCGCCTCTAACCCAGCAGCGGCCGCATCTGAATCGAATCGGCGTTCTCTCCCGCCCGCTCTTGATGAAGGAACAGCGACCGACATCGATATTAAAGTAGTTCAAGGATGTAATTCATATGAAAGCTATAGTATACAATAATATCAAAAAAATTATTTACTATTCAAAATATTTTTATATAGTGTAAACATACATATATTAGTATTATAGAAGTTGAGGATGTTTAGTTTAAATAAAAAATTATTAACTTAATTCGTTCTCCAAAAATATATATTTTAATAAAATATCAAGTCAAGATATTTAAAATAATAATAATCATATCTAATTCCTTTCTCAATATTTGTATTAATAGTCAAATAAGTATTTCTTTTGCACCAAATCTCCATTAAATTATTTGGATGATGTGTTTTTAAAAAATATATATTTTATTATTAAACTAAACTAAACCAAAAAAATTTGCAAATCAAATAAAAAAAACACACACAATAATGCCCAACAATTCAAATTATGTTATCTTATAAAATATATTCGTAAAACTAAAAATGAGTTTAAACTGATATATATACAAGTGAAAGTTAGCTCCTTTTGCAAGTTGATAATTATTGGTTTCCACCAAAAATTATTTATTTAGCCAATCATGTTAAATGTACTATAATTTGTACAAACTAAAACCTTCAAAACATCAACAGCCACCATGTTCTATCCCCTCTCTTCCAAATTTGAACACATGACAAATCCACCCCCTACAAAATACTCATTACTCTTGAAAGAATGGTTTGGAATGGATTGGAAGTTCTCTCTATCTCTCCCTATGTTTTGGTATTTGCTATTCTCTGTCTCTGTCAGTAGCTAAATCAATTTTCTTTGCTTCTCCTCCTCCTCCTCCTCCTCCTCCTCCTCCTCCTCCTCCTCCTCCTCCTCCTTTGCCAATTATTCATCCTACTGTGCATTATTCCAATTCTAGTTTCCTTCAACTGTCTTTTGCATTGATAAAGTATTACCCCTGCCTACCATTAACTTATGGCCCTCCTGCACGCCCAAACCCGTCCCAAAACTACTAGCAGCAGTTTCACCTCCATCGGATATCACCTCCAAGCAACTCTTTTCCCCACGCACACTGTTGTGGGAGCTTGATGTTTTCTTCACAAGGAGTTTATGGTCCCAATATACTGAGCATTTGTGATGTGGATCAAGAGCTTCGATTGCCTGAAAAAAGAAACATGTAGGGAGCTTTTGAGGAATTGGATTGAGTTAAAATGAGTCACATTTGTGGGTGTGGTTATTAAACAGGAACTACTTGGAAATGAAACAGTTGCCATTTTACCTGGCTAATTGTCGAAGAAAGAAATCCAAACATTTCAAGGCCGTTGATGGAACTTGAAGATTGCAACGGAGGCAGGCCTTGCTTTCCAACAGATGCCAGTGCAGTAATCTCCTGATTAAGTCTCTTCAACACCATTTCCCAGCATTCCACTGCGGAGAGATGCACAAAGCTCTCTTGCTGATGCCCCTCAAGACTAACCTGAGGAAGTATAACTTTATGTCAGAGGAGGTTTTCTGACAAACAGCTTCATTATGTATGTGACACTTACCTTGAATAAGGGACCAAGGAGCCCACCATCCATGATTTCTGAAGTATAGCTACTCTGTATCAATGGGTTGCAAATGTTGAAGAACTTTACGCGGCTTTTGTAACCTGCAGAAGTGATTAATGTGTTAAACTCTTAATGCTTACAGCAGACAAACAGTTTGAGATTTAACTTTGCACACCTTTGGGAAATATAGCATCCTTGTTGCACCATAGCCTTCCATGAATAACAGATCCCAAACTTACAATTTCAACAAGAAATCTGGCTCCGACTTTAGAATCTGAATCAGCCTTGGGAGTGTCGCCAAGTAGATAGTCTAAGTTTTCTCTTTTCAATGAAGGCTTGAGTTGGATACTTGGAGTAGACAGATCGACCCCAAACAACTTGTGTTGGCCAGAAATGATTTTTTTGGAATTTAAAGGATGGTCAAAATCCTTGTATACCCATGCTTCTAAAGCATCCGACTGCCCTTCCAATGCCTTGATCAATGTGTTCAACTCATCAATGGTGTAGCGAAGAAGAACATGCCTGCTGTCTGGGTCACAGCCGCAGGTGAGATTTGCATGTTTGAGACATGCAAACTTATCCGAGGAACAGTCGCAATAAGCGGCGAATAAATGTAAATCATAAAAGCAAGAGAAGCATTCTCTCTCTGCATTAAGATCAACATGCTTATCAATCTTCTGAAATTCTGTGTTTCCAGGGAGATGCTGAATTCTTTTCTCCTCCAAATGAACCCTTGTCTGAAAATTAAACCAGAAAAATGAATCAATGACTGATCTACAAGAATATGCTATTGTAGATGCAGACAAAACAAACTATAAATATTATCATTCACAAACATGCATTTAAAACTTCCTAAGGGCACAGAGACATCCATCACAGACCTTGACTGCCTGAGTAAGCATCCCATTCTTTCCACAGAAACTTTTCCATCTTAAATTTTCTAAACTCTCTTTCTTGAGAACAGAGATCTGGCAAAGAGCATGGACAGCTTTTCTCGCTGCAGTCAAAAGCAACTTATCATGCGACAATGATGTCTTGCGACACTGTGCACTGTAGAGTTCAACTGCACTCTGTCCATGTCGTAGCCAATCAATAGGGGCCACATTTACTGCCTCGGCACAATTGAAGCCACTGTTGAATCCAGCATGATAGGCTCTTGGAAAGGTAAGAATAAACTCCCCAGAATTCTGTACTGCTCGATACACTGGTACACCTTCAGACTTCAAAACTGAAGGAGACAACTGAGTGACCTGTCACAAATGAGTCGATGGTCATGTTTGTATGTTACATGCCGATTAAGGGGGGAGTTGGATAAGAAATACAGTTGAGGCTACTAAGCAAAGTGACTCCGCATATAATCTTATACAAAATCTAAACTAAAGTCTATCATTCATAAAAAAATAGCTTATGGATAAACAACCTACTCATGGAACAAATCACAAGCAACTCATTAGAGAAGCCTAATTTAAGATTTTGCATCGGATCACCAATAACAAGCAAGTTCACTGATATATCACATGCATCTTACCAACTCATTTAGTAAATCAGGTTGTTCTTCAAATAGATCAGGCAAGTGTTTCCTCATTGCATTCTCCAACGCACAGGCATGACTACCAGGAACTCCATACCAAACTTTTGGATCTCCCCAATGTAGATAGTTCAGTGAATAGAGATGATGGTCTTCGACATGCTTTACAATACACATCAAAGGTATCATAATTCATATCCAAGCATTATGTAAATTTATATATTTATATTATGTATACAAAATATTGAGGAAACTTAGCATAACAGTTGATAAGGTCTGTATGTTCAGAAATAACTTACCCAACAAAAGGATGAAAAACACATTCCAATATAAAGCCATGGCACAACTACCCCAGAGATGTCACACTCTTCAAAGTTCAAAACAGAACCAGATAGGCGTGCAAAGTTATTCAAATTCCAGCCTGATGCAGCGTATTGATCACTCTTAGAATCTGGCAATGATGTTGACTTCTTTGGGAACCCACTTCCTAGCATTCCAGTTTCCAAATCAGCTCCATAGTATACCTGTTCATATAAGTCACTTTCATACTTGCATACAAATCGAAAAACAGAGGGCAATAAATGATCAAAACAAGTGTTCTCAAGTCTCACCTCAACTTCATCAGTAGGCTGCTCTATAATCCGCCAATACTCTCCCTCAATCTGTTCAATTGAGGGCAGCATCCTCATATCTTGTCCAACCCCAACAGAATATTCTTGTGTTTTGTCCTTTAATCCAAAGTATTGTTCTTTAAACTCATCAGCAAACCTTTGAAATTCCTGCAGGGTAAAGTCAGATCCTGTCTGAAAACCAAATTTTTCTTCACTGTCACCAGTATTAGATTCAGTGCTTTCAGGGCGAGATCGCTTCCTCCTCCTAGAATTAAAGTGCCTTCGTCGTTTTCTCTTTCGATATTTTTTCCTCATTGGCTCCCTGTTCTGAAGGAGGTCTACTTGTTGAATTCGTGTAGAAAATTTAGTAGTCTCCCAAACATGCTTATCTTTTAGCAAACACGGTGGAGTCCATGATGGAGGAGGTACAATTTTGCAAATTCCATATGACTCAGCTTTGCACCTTATGCTTGCTATATATTGAATGGTGTCTTCAAACTCCTGCAGCAAAATATTCCATTAGCTCAACAACCTGGAAAAGAAACTTCTCTATTTTAACAACATACAGACCTTTGCAGTTGGATAGAAGACTGGAGCATCTTCAACAAGTGGCTTACAAGCTTCATCAGGAACCCATCTCGCTGATACCTTTTCCAACAGCAAGTAACAAAGCAGAGAAGTAAGTTGAAATATAAATAAATAGATATGAAATCACGGTTTTGATAATGAAAAAGAACCTGCTAAGGCATTACAAATAAGTACAGAAACTAAAGACTGAATACTAGATATCGTGTCAAGTAAATGAACTAAACAGTACAAGGAAAATTTAAATGCGAATAAAACAAACATTTATCAATAACATTCTAAACATCAATTTCTACAGGTAAAGCTGCAACAAATTACATACGCTCAACCAACACAACTCAAAAATATTGTGGTAATAGCAACACATGATGCACCTGTCGGTGTCGAGGACTGCCTGGATTTTCATGGCTGTCATCATTTTTTGGTATATCCCTGGAAGGATGATCCTGCAACAAAGTAGCATTAGTACTTTACCACTGTAGCAGAAATCAAGGCTATGTAAAATATACACGTGATCCAACATACAAAACCAAAAGGTTGCCACAACTTTAGAAGCCTGACATTATGGTTCAGGATCTAACTACTAATTGATGGCTCATGGTACATTAATATCCACTAAAGTCACTTGACAGAATCTCCTTACAAAAATATAGCACCAATAAAGCAAGCTCCAAGAGTAGATTATTATGGAGATACCAGATGGTTTTCTGGTTTCACAGCATACTGACATGCCCTAGAATCGTGTCTCTTGAATTATTATAAGAGTCCTCATACTAGAGGGTATTATCGAATAAATTACAGAGCTGAGGATCAAACGAAACAAAAGAAATTCAGTACATAAAGGATTAGGATACAAACCTTCATTTTCATGACTGCTCAGTCATATGTTGAAGTGTATATCTAAGGTTGATAATTACTGATAGGTGGTTTAACCTTCAATATAGGAGGAATACTTAATGTAGGATCTTTCCACAGAAGTCTCAATTGCACAGGTCCTGATGAGACAATCAATATAATATGAGATTAAAATCTGAACAACTTCCATGATGATACAGTGTTTATGACAATTTGGTTGATACATAAGTGAAGAGCAAAGAAAAGAAAGAATAGTTGGTGTGGAGGCCGCAAACTAAAATGAGTATGCCATAATATTCCTAGAAGCAAAATAGTGAAGAATATAATGCGTATCGGAGGATGACAAATCATTATTGATTAATATTTTGTGAGATAATGAATACAGTTGTAAAAGATTTTCAAGTCTGGACAGCCTGAACTTGAAGAAGGAAAAAAAAACATAATAAAATTTATGTTTTACTTCATTTAAGTCCCACGAGAATTGTGTGAGTAGTGATGACCGAATACATAAACAAGACAAACAATCAGTGCTAAGTGGTGAACCCTTGTCAAATGGCACGATGAAAAGTATGAAACAAGGGTTCTGGAACATCAGGACAAAATGAAGATATGCCATTTGAGATCATAACATACCACAAGTAACACGTTACCAAAATCAATCTATGGCATTCGATATTGTAAACTTTCTTTATATGTTTAGCCATCGTACATGGCAGAGATATATGCTTTATAAGCCACGTGGAAATTAAAGACAGCAAAGAAAGTTGGAAACTAACAAGAACGAACTAATCATCTCCTTTTTTGTCAATTACACGTGCCAAAAAAAAAGACGAAGAGGATTATTAGCAATAAACAGGCTACAGCTTATTGAATTAAGCTTAAAACAGGGAAGCTCATGCAGCAGAAGAGCAAATAATAGTAGACTATTTTTATTCCTGAAATCTCACAGAATTGCTTACAAAAAATTATACACATGTCATCATTCAATCCAAAGATTACAGAGCAATTAACAATGGATAAAAGTGCTGTTAATGAGGTAACAAAAGGATGAGATGAGAATTAATAAGTAAAGACAAACAGGAAGTAGAGTTATCAGATCTGATCTGCACATGCAATGGAAGCAGTTTATCAATAAGATGGATAAACACAATGATATAATATGAAGGAATGGAAATTAACTCTAGGAATAACCTGCGCAGCTAATTAGAGAAGGGAGATAATCGCCAAACCTACTCTACTCTGTTGAAAGCCTGCAAACAAAAGAGAACTCTTCAATAATCTAATCAACAAAGTAAACTCAAGCCCTAGAAAATTCCCAAAACTTAGCAACACAATTTCCCGGAGATAGAAGACAACTGAAATTGTCAATGCAAAAATCATCTGGTTTTCTTAATGGAACACCGCATGAAAACTCCCACAAAACCGTCACAAATCACATCCCACCGCCTCATAAATAGCAATTGCGACAATCCATCCAAACCCTAAAAGCTAAAAGACAATTTCCCAAAAAATAAAAATAAAAATATATTGGAGACAATCCCAACAAATCTTAACATGAGAGTACCTGCAGCACAATTAGGGCAAAGAAATCAAAATGTGGCGCAACGCTAAACGACGTTGACAGAGTAAAAAAGGAAAACCTCATAAACACCACACAAGAAATTGGCAGGCGAATTTATTCATGAAAGGCAAAGAAAAGGAGGACTTGTTTTTATGCAGAAGGGAATGGAAGGGGGAAGGCAGGAATATTATAATTAATACTAATAACTATTATATATATATATATATTATTCACTTCTTTGATGCTGACAAACACACAATACGGTTGCCCCAATGACAGCCAAAGAATTTCCAAATCCGCCCATGAATCTGTAGCTTTAATGCATAATTGCGGTAAAAGATAAAAAAAAAAAAAAAAGGAGACGAACCCTTCTTGGGAATTAAGGAAACAATATATAATAATTAGATAATAGTAGTAAATTGTATTTGGTTGAATAAGAAGGAAAGAAGAAGACGACTTGTAGAGCAACTAGGAAAGAAGTTAGAAACAACCCAACCCAGAACGTAAAATAAGAACAAGATAGAGATTTAAGGTGAGACTCAGTCCCCTCACCACATCCATCAATGATCAGATCCATCCCCAACCGATATCATCAGTAAACATAAGGAGTAATGAGAATCTGAGTGAAAGGGATGCTATATATATATATATATATATATATAATTAAAAGAGGTTTCGGGATGCAAATCCGGGGGCAATGTCAGTGGTTGTCCCAAAGCTGTGTACTGTTTTTGTTTGCTTCTTTGCCCAACAAAGTCCCTTATTTATAGCTTCTCTGCAGAGAGAGAGAGAGAGAGAGAGAGGGAGGGAGAGATTCAACAAGTCAGTTACATGTCCAGGACACGCCTCTTGTTTTAAATGATTAAAAAGAAAGGCCCAAAAGTTTCACCTTTGCGATGTGGTTGTATTTTTAGGGAGAAGAGAAGACAAGTTGTGGCGATCTCTGCCTTGCCTTGGTTACTTCTTCAAATTATGTGCTCAAAAGAATAATGTATGTATTCTGCTGTTAATCTCTTTTTGGATTCAGAGCCGCACAAAAAGGGGTCCCTTTTTATCACAACATTAGATGATCGAATATCATGTGATCATACATGTTTTGATAATCGTCAAATTATCATCGATACGATCTAATTCGATCATATATTGTTATCTATTCATAAGATTCCAAACTGATCTCAAGATTTGAATCCAAATCTATTCACATATTTAAGATGTACTTGATTGGTGATTGGGATTATGGATAAAAACAAACAACAGATCAAAATATATACTAACATTTAAATAGCTTACTATTTAAATAAAATATGTTTGACATGGATTACACTCACAATAATTTTTTTTTTTTTATTTATTTGTTATAATAATATTTGATTTTTTATATTTTATATTATTTAAAGTATTATTTTATTAAAATTCTTTTATTTCTATCTCTTCAATAAATAAATATTTATATATATTTAAAATCTCTCATTTTTTACAAAAATTAATTTAAGTTAATTATAAATAAATAATTATATTTTTTTATTTATATTATTAATTTTTATTGTTTAAAACACCAACAGTATTACTTAGATAAAAATTAATAAAATAATATTATAATTTATTAATAATAACTCAGGTAAAATATTGTATTTATGAATTAAAGGGTCCTCGTTATCCTTGTGGAATGGAGGAGTATTTTTTACATGCATAATGATATAAATATTAAAATATTTTTATTTATATTTAATTTTAAAAATAAATAAATTTCTATATATATATAATATTTTGTTGAGGCAGACGAAAAAGAATACGAAGGAAGTATGATGCGGTGGTGATTGTTTAATTATTTCCAAGTTAGACCAAATCTCTTGGCGTAGTTTGATTCTTAACTAAAATTTGACATTTCATTGCGAGGTTGTTTTGACTTAGTATATCAAGAACTAACACAGAAGCCATAGGCTTGTTTAACGTCGAAAGCCAGAAAAGAAGTCATCACCATGACTAAGAGAAGAAGAAGAAGAAGAAATAAATAATAAAAAAAAAAGGAGGAGTGGACAAGAAGATTGCAGCAGCTACGCGTGATTGCGAAGCTTGGCAATGGAGATGGAGCAAATGATGATCATCAGCGTTAGGCCGGCGAAGGAAGCAATGATGGCGCCACCGCTGCGATCACAGAAGGTTTCGAATTTGTCACAGATTTTGTTCCACTTGGCGTGCGAATTCCCGTCCCTACCTAATTGCCCCATGAATCCGGCTGCGCTGGCTCCGCCGGAGACTATAGCCACATTTGCCTGCCGGCCGCCATTTTCAGGTCAAAACATCAATACATACAATGCTCTTACTTATAAAAACATTCATTACATCTAAGTATATCAATCTGTAAATCTCTCTACCATGTCCAATAGTGGAATTGCCAATGGAGCAAATCCTTTGAATTTGTACTTTGGTCGTCCCACGAAGGTCACTGCCAGCATCAGCAGGTTGTGCAGACTAGCATTGGCATTCGCTATTACAAAAAACCTGCAACATCCAAAGCACCATTACTGTCTAAAATATCTGCAATGTTTTTCAGTACAGAAGTGAGCCAAAGGAACATACACAAATGCAGGAGTGTGTTGAAAGTTGGCTGTAAGAGTAGCATTTACTGGCACAGTTCCAATCGTAGCCACAGTTACGGTCTTCGTTTGCTTGTTAAGCGCCATCACAAGCGTAGCTGAGAGTGTTGCAAGAAAAGCAAGCAATCTCAGGAGTGCGGTGATCAGATTCATCTTTGAATGAGTAGCCGGTCCTAGGTTGTTTTCGACCTCCGGTTTTTCTCGCGACATTCTTGCTGGCGACTGAGGGGTGGTGGTGTTTTTATGTGAAATAATTGCGTAGATTCATTCATACATGCATATATATATATAGTGTGAAATGTCTTTTGGTAAATTTAGCTCAGTTTGCCTAACTACTGCATCAGTTGTTGGGAAAAAACTGAAGATGAAGTGTTGAACACTTTCAGACAGGCAGGAGTTGGTGTGTCTGATTGGAAAATAACATTGAATGACACTATAGCATATGAAATTTTGCATGTCTTGAGTAATATAAAAGAAGTTATATTGAATGCATGTACTGTACGTGCACAACAAACTCAGCCATATCTTGTCACTTAATTAGAATTACTATACAAAGATGCTGTGTACACACATACACATACCCTCTCTAGAAACAAACAATTGCTCCAAAGAGCCGTACATAACAGGATTCCTTGTCCGAATTCAGGTGCACGTCTCATTTCTGTTTCCTCTTTCCTATGTTGTAGCGCCAACGACCACATTTCTCACCTGTAATAATAAGATATTGTATGAATGCATTGTCTTGCTATGTTTTTGGACAAAAAAACAAAAAAAAAAAAACGGTCGAAGAAAAAGAACTCACCAATTTCCCACTTTCATCAACGGTCATGGGGTTCTCCACAATAACAGTTTCATTCCGAGGGCGGTTAGTTCCCTGCAATGAATCAAGAAGTTCAGATTTAAGAATAATCATAATTAGTGTACAGCCTGCTGTTATTACTAACCGCAGTATTAGATGGCGATGATGCAGATGCAGAAACTCCATCAGGTCTGTGAGGAACAGGGAATCTCCTGTCACCAGTCTGCATTTGAGGGAAAGGGTAAGAACAAAATGAAATTGATCCAAAGACACCATTCAGATTATTTGTAGACATGACTCAGCTCCAAAAAGGCATTTCACGACTACCAGTTTTTCGATGTCCGACTTACATAAATGACAGTAAGGATTACATCAGTACTAAACAGCATCACGTAATGACAAAGAGATCACAGCAACTGTGGATTTAACCAATGCAAACCCCTGCGCTTATCTATTCTCAGGCTCAAAGATAAGGTCGACTGTAATATTTTCAGAGTCAGAGGACTGGAGTACATAATAATACTCAGTAACAATTTTTGGAATGTAATATGCGATGGAGATAAAGATGAGACTTGAAAGAGTGTCAGATAAATATTACTAACATTAACATTTGTGATGAAGTGACAGATTGCACATTTAACTGATGGAGCTCCAGCCGGATACATCAGCACAGTATTGCAGTTCCCACAGTTGACATGAGCAACATTGTCAGGTGCTGCCGCAGGTGCTGCTTCAAATGCATCATGGATCTTAATCAGATATAGATCCAACATAATGAACAAACTAACACAAATAGAGCCATTGCTCCTTATAAGACTAGAACTTAAACAAGCCCAAAGGTGGGAGATGATGATAAAAGACCGCCTGTTTGGTAATGGAGAGTACATGGATCATATCATCGCAATCAAAATAGGTTTTATACCTGGCACAAAGTTCATCGTGTGGCAGCAAGAGCATCTGACACTGGTTGCCCCCTGGGAATGCATTAGCAATGTATGGCAGCCACGACATACCAACTGCGCCATTCCCGTGCCTGCACTTAGCAATACGATTCTTTGATATGCACCAAATAAAAAAGGTACAGAAGAAGGCACTAACCAGGGAATTAGTATAAAGCACGTGAATGTATAAGCTACAATTGACCAATAATAGAAAGAATCAATGATTCCCTGACTGTAATCTCTCAGAGCCGTCAACGGAGCCTATTTTTCTAGCAACTTTCTTAACTCTACCGGAGGAAATCTCGCATCATTTTGGAGGCAAAAACTAAAGCAACTCAATACACCCTTCACTAAGCAATATATTTTTAAATAACCTTGTTACCGATCAACTGACAATATTAAATAAAATGCATTCACATGTTATTCAGTTTTATTGAACTCAACCAAACATAAACATATCATACATACAAAACACACCAAACTTATCCCTAAACAAAGACATGATCACTGGTGAATTTCTTTCCTAATAAATGCTGCTGGAATCGCAACTCGTATACATCATAAAACAACTGCTTATTGAAGCATTACCAGATGGTGGTACAGGAGTAACCACATTGCAAACTGCACAGCAAACATTAGAAGCTCCTCTGGGATACAGGAGGACAGTCCTACACCCCCCACAAACAATCTGGTTCTGCATTATCTGAATGATCCATAATTTGAAGAGACACATTAATACTCAGCACTCTATGCTTTGAAGTTCATAACCATTTCCAGGATAGAATATGTAGAAAATTTAATCTTTATAATTGTAACATGGATAGCACAGTAGGATCATAACACACATGATAAAAAAACAAATCTTTTTTCCGTTCTCAGGTGATCAACAAGATCAGCATGGTAACGATTGATTCCAAAACCTAATTGATTCAAAAGTAATATACACAACCAAAATAACCAAGAGCAAAAAGAGTGAACGAGGAAAAAACAAACAGGAGAGAAGAGAAAAAGAGATGGGACATGATCTCTCATACATCGCGATACGCCCCAGACATGTGAATTTTAAGGATGAAGCAATTCGAAAGATATAAACACAAAATCCATACATCGAGAGAATACTCCACTAAGGAGAAAAAGGACTTACAGATTTTCAGCTCTATCAGAGAGAAAATTCCGTCGAGATCACGTAATTCGAAATCATTTCTCTGTAAACAGATGAAAATACAACAATTTTCCGGTATGGATTGTTTAAGATAATATAGATGGAATTCCGTTCTCCTCCGTAGGGACGAAGAAACCGCGTTTGAATTCAGAGCATACAATTCTATCAACCATTATTTCCTTCCTATTCGTCCTTTTTATTAATAAAGGGATTGGTTAAATAGTTAATCATGATTATGTTTACTTATATATTACTTTGTCAACGTTGTACGTTTGACTTTATGAGCCAGTTTAGAAACTGAAATTAGCAAGAGCAGAGCACCTTCGTGAATGTGTTTTAATCAAGAGAAGCTGAAATTCTACATTGGTTTATTCTTGTACAAGTATTTGTTGATTTGTGTCCTCCATCAACTTGTCCAGGAGTTGGACATGGTGTCGTTTTTATACATAAATGCCCCTCCCTTTAACAAGAATTCTTGCCGAAATGGATTATACTGAATTATCAACTGCAACGTGCGACCTTCTTGCTTGCCTATTAAAAAGAAACCATCTTTTTATGATTGACAAGGTTTGCTTTGGTTTCAATAAACATTTTCTAATTGTCAGCAAATTGATAGCCAATTTTCATAAATTTTGTGAGTTTGATCACCAATGGAGTTGAGAAAAGTGTGTGTATGGAATAAGGATGGGTGTTGGATTCTTTAATTCGAACAGGACAAAGACAGGACTACACTAAGAAAAGTAATGGATTTCTGATAAAGATCACAGATGGAGAAGAGAATTGGTATCCAACTTTAATTTGCTTTTTCTCTACGCCTACTTTCACCTTATGCCTTTTTTTTTTGCACTTGCATATCTTCTTTATCTGTAGATTATAATATCATATTGATTATGATTTCAACACTCACAAATGAAGGTATGAAGTATGATTAAATGCAAACAGAATTAAGTACATCATCTATGTTTGAGGTTTATCATACAAAGTATATTAAACTGGATAGTGATACTGCAAACTCTTCCTCTTTTGTATTTGTTTGCAAACTTGGGGAGCATATGCACATATGTAGTTTCATTCCTGTAATTGCACTGAAAAAGTTGTGCAGATATATGTGTGTGAAGATGAAGATGAAGGAAGCCTACTTACTTGGATCGATGGATCAAAGCAGCTCTCTGATAATTGCAGTAGCAACCAGAGCAAGCTCACGGAGATCTTGGTTCACTTGGCTCAGCGGCGATTCCATCCATTTCTCGAAGTTACCTTGGCAAATCTCCGCCTCCCACGCCGCGTCGGACATTCCGAATTCGGCGAATTTCGGAACGCCTTTTCGCAAACCGACAACCGCCTCCGGCACATCCGCCTTCAGCACCGCCTCATACGCAGCGGTGCAGTGTTCCAGCGCCTGCCTCTGCTCCGGATGGAGTAACCACTGCTCGCTGATCGCGGATAGCGCTGTCTCCGCCTTGGCTCTGACAGCATCCACCATGATGAGGCCGAGTCCCGGCACGTCGGCGGTGGCGCTGCATGGATCGGCGCGCAGCGTAGAGACGCAGAGGCGATAATTCGACGTCTTCCTGCACGTGGTTTCAATCAGATCGTCATCCTTGACTCTGAGTCTGAGCTGCGTGATGATTGCTTGCGCGTGAAGAATCGCGAGCAGAATATCTGAGAACTTCATTCCGGTCCGGTCGGCGTTCGTTACTTTCAATTGAGGAGTTGAGCTAAGCTCCGGCGAGAATTGATCCGTATATAAGGCATAAACACTTACATAATCATTTCATTATTTACTGAATAATAATTTTGATTAATTATTTTTCTTCCTTTGTCACAATAGATATTCTAATGATAATATATTTAATTCCTAGTAGCAGTGAGTGAGTGCTTGATTACAGTAAAACCATTTCTGTGACTGTTAATAATATTATTAGCACTATTATAAAATAAAAGATTGAATGAAAATATATTACTATACTATATTATAGTATATACATTTTATGCCTTATAATCTTATATATTTCGAAGTTTTATTTTTTTAATCCTTTTATTTATTGATTGAAAAATATGTAGAACTTACAAATTAATTTAATTTCATTTATACTATTATGATAGTTATATTAAAAAAATCAACTTTTATATATTGAATTATTGAATTTTTTTTTTTAAAAAAAATAAGTATACTATATTATACTTAGTATATATCTTGATTTTTTTATTTAGTTCTCAATATTAGTCTGGATGTATATATGATTATTTAGGTTGAGTGAACAATACTGAACATTCGTAGAGTTTACATTAAATAAAATATTGCATATATTACATATGTACACGGTTTTTGTGAAAAATACAAATGGTATACATATAAATACTTATTAAGAAATATAAATATAAAAGTTATTTTTATAAATCTTTCAATACAAATCATAACTATTTAAAAATAATTTAATGAATAATACAGCAATATAAATTACAATTATATTTTTAATTAATTTATTTCGTGTAATAGGCTAATGACTGACGGAGTGTAGTGCACCACGTGGACGGCCGAGATTCTTTCTGCGTCGAGTGGATTGATGTTAAAGTAAAAAAGTAGTTGTTCCTTGTATGCTAGCAGATTAGCAATCATTAACATGTTTACTTTAATCAAGTTTTGATTTTAATTTATTTAATTTACCTTAGCCAATAAACTATTTTATGATTAGTATTATTGGCTTAGTATTAAAGTGAAAAGCGATTTTAGTTGAAACTGTGGGCCATTGGAGAGGAAAGAACCGTACCGAAAGCGCTAGTAGGAAAGAAACCATCTTGAAACTACAGAGCTGTGACCGAACCGAAAGGCGACATCTGACTCGGAATTTTGATTGGCGATGGCAACTTCCGATCCCGACAGTTTGATCGCTAAAGCAGATAAGCTGTGAGATTTTGGGTCTTGTTGTTAGTATTTCGTGATTTAATATTTTGCTATGATGTCTCGGACCCATTTATATTTGGGAGATGTGCTTGATTCCACAGGACAACGCTCAGTTTGACAAGATGGAACGCTGATTGGAGGAATGCTACAGCTTTGTACGAGCAAGCAGGTATAATTAGAATTGTGTTTCCGTAGACCTCTTCATTTATAAGATCACGAAGGTGATGGGAGGGCAGTTGTGTTTTCAAGTGATTAAACTGTAAATTTGTTTTAATCCTGATGAATTTGGTTTCTTTCTGGCAGCAAATGCATATAGGCTTGCGAAGAAACATGATAAAGCAAAAGATGCTTTCGAGAAGGCTTCCAAAGGACAAGAAATGCTCTCTTCGTATCCGTTTCATCTGAATTTGCCGATGATGATCACAAGATATAATTATATATATGCATGATCTTACTGTGTTTAGCGAAATATAGTTTGATGATGTCCTTGACAAGTGAACCAGGCCTTGGGATGCTGCAAAACACATGGAATCAGCAGCAGCGCTGGCAAAGGAACTTGGCAACTGGAGTCAAGTGTCTGACTTCTCCAAGCATGCATCTGAGTTGTACATTGAGTGTGGAAGGTCACAGGCAGCATCGGATGCCCTGGCAAAGGGTGCTCGGTATTAACTAATCCCATTTTCAAGGTGTCAAAATATTGTTTAAGTGTCGATCATTGCGTTAGGTACTCTTACAATTAGTTAAGCCTTTTATGGCTGTTCGATCAAATATGAAATTTACGCATGAGTGTGACATATGTCTCTACTCAACCTGCTTAATTAAAATTTGCATATCCAAATTTGATGTTTATGCACACTGTCAAAGAATATATTTTAACACACACTTTTCTGAACGTATATTTTACTTGTTTGCCTCTAAGCGACAGAAGTGGAAACAAATGCCCATTCAAGAATTTTCTTCTGTCTACTAATCTTTATTTAAATTGTAATTAATTATCTTTCATTCAATGCTGATAGCTACTGAGAATTGATCCAAGTTGTATTGTTCCTTTAAAGTGCTTTAGAAGAGGCTTCGCCTGATGAAGCTATTAAGCTTTACACAGATGCTTGTGCTGTTCTTGAAGAGGATGGGAAGGAACAGATGGCCTTTGATCTATATCGTGCTGCTACAAGTATTTACATAAGGCTTGAGAAGTAAGCTTATGATGCCCATCCTTGAATACATATTTATTTGATATTATTCCAGTATCCCATGGATTTGTTAGAATTGTGTAATTTAGTTGCATGCTAAATTCCTTTTAGTACGAATTGTCAGGCCATGTATCAAAATGCAAAATGAGTCAGATGGTCTTCTAATTTCTGGTACTTGCTGCTATAATTGAGCATTGTTGAACCTCAGGATGCTAGAAGAATGAGCTTCATGCATGTGGGATGTTCTTGATGCAAGTTGTTGATTTCTAATTCTGGCCTCTATTAGTCTGTGTGAAAAATGCTGTGAATGCACCAACTTTTCTCACACATAATCTACTGTGTGTAATGCGTTTTCCTAGCTGCCTTGTAAGAATCTAGCATATGCTAAGAATCTGAGTTTGAAGATTTGTCATTAATATCCAATAGTAGTAGTTACTTGAAGTCGCCATCAGCTGTGAATAACAATGACATGCTAGATTTTTATGTAGTGCATGTGTTATGCTAGCAGGAAAACTGAAACATTTAAATACATTTTTTTATCAAGAATTCATTTCTTATAGAATAAAGGGATTTAATTATGATTTCCGCACCTACAGATATGCAGATGCAGCAACGTTTCTTTCAAAATTGGCTCTGGCGGCTGACAAGTGTGCTGCTACACATACCCAGTGCAAGGTATGGAAGCTTTTTGCACTTATTAGTTTTTCCTTTGGCGAACTTTAAAAATAGAAACTAATTTAGCAAGGTGCAAAACTTATTAATTTAACAACATGAAACATAATTTAATTCTTAAGTCAACCTGTGCGCTGGCATGCATAATGGTTGCGTATCCATAGTGAATATGGTCTCTATTTAGGGTTATCACCTTAATGTTGCTTCTGTGAGTGGCTAACTGTACACTCTTAATACTTCATCCAATGTAAAATACTTGGAACTTATGAAGGAAGTTGTTAAGAGATTCTCACATTTGATATTCAGGAATGTATTCTATTGCTGAAAGGGGACTTTGATATTTGAGTTTCTTACTTTGATTTGGATAGAATCAGCTTTGTAGTTGTCGATTGTCCTTTTAAATGCATATTTACTAGCATTAATCTTAAGCCCTACTATAATATATTAATGCAGTTGTTTTGGATGTAGGCTTATCTTGGCGCAATTATTGTATATCTTTATGCACATGACTTTCATCTAGCAGAGAGATTTCACAATGATTGCTGCCAGTAAGTTGTTTTCCTTGTTTCCCACACTTTTTGGCTCCTTTGCTTTGTTCTTTTAATGCGAAAAAATACCACAGCTGAAATATTGAGCAGAGTCATCCATGTTTTTGGTTTTAAGGAATTTATTTAGGGTAAATCACATCTTACTTTCTTCTTTGGCAGAGTCGAAACTTACTTGAATAGTGATCAAAGCCATGCTGCTAATAAACTTCTTTCTGCCTATGCTGATGGTGATGTTGAGGAAATCAAACGAGTAGCTCAATCGGGTATCATCAATAATCTTGAGCACATGGTAAATCGTTGTTAAAACATCAAGTTGCTAGCTCTTCTGTTTCCTTCTCTAATGCAACTATCTTAAAAAACACAAACCAACTGCAAAAACTTATATAGATCATCAAGCTTGCAAGGAAATTGCCTACCGGCGATGTCACGGCATTCGAGAGGGGCGCATCGTCAGCCCAGGAAGAACAGTTCGATGAGGATAATCTTACCTGATCTCCAATCAAGCAGAAGACCTTTTAGTGAGTTAAGTTTGCTCCAATCATGGCATCTTTTCAATTTTCAATATCTTTTGAGTTTGTATTGTTCTCACTGTATGATGATGATATCTTGCACATATATTTAGTTCCACTGATTAAGACTCAAGGGGATACACGTTGTGATAAAAATACCATTGTGTCATATCTCAAATTTATTCCACACCTGTGGTGGTACGCTAGTGCAAGTATTTTTCTTGTAGATTTAATGTTTACAGGGCTGTTTTCAAACAACAACTCTTATCTACATCTCAAGAACATTTACACAGCAAACAATCAAAAAATCACGCCAGAAAGTGCATCCATCATCAAACGGCAGAGTTGTTGTAAGTAACCTTGACGATGACAGACACCGGGATGTTCACAGTGTGCCCTTGAGTACTGAACAGTCCAATTCTTCCAAAGCTGGCAACCGAACTGTTCATTGTTGAGTTCAAGAATACACTCAAGACCTGTTTCTCCCCACTCGCAACATAAAAGTGAGTTGGTGTCACCTTCAGTGAAGCTCCGTACGGTGCGCTCCAGCCAACGCGGTAGGTCTCGTTGCTGCCAACATTAGTCACTGTTCTGTAAACAATGGCTGATTGATTCAGCTTGGACAGTGTGATCGAAGGTAGGTTGAGGTCAGTGGCGTTCATGGTGGGGATCCCACAAGTCTCACCGGTGTAGTTCAGAACAACGGGAGATGATCCATTTAAGCCACACAAGAACGACATATAATCTTCATAACCTGCCAACAGAAACGTACATTATAACAAATGGTATTGCCAGGCAAACCACAACTGTTTTGATGTTATACAATTTGAGCAAGGAAGCAGAGAGTGACTCACTTGAATCGAAAATAAGACCCGGATCCAATGCACTGGTGGCATTGACAAATCCGCTGCCCATGTCGAATGGGGTGGCCGGCGATTGGTTCAGATCCGGGTTGGCGTAAGCACGCTGAGCCATGATGGGGCCGCCATCTCTATCATAGAGAGAAGCTGTTGTCGAAAGGGCGGATCCGATGGCTGAAGGACTAAAAGAAGGAAACCTCTGCTTGATCAAAGCTCCAAGCCCAGCAATATGAGGAGCTGCCATGCTTGTACCAGACATCAGTGCAAAGTTCTCACCTGTGAATTGCCAAATCTCTCAGCCACACACGTATGTTCTGTTTGAATATCAAGAACGGAACAGAAGCACTGTTATGTGTACAGTAGTAGTACAGTGCTAATTACCTTGAAATTCAACTGAATCGGTTCCACCAGAACTCCAGGCAGACCATATGTAATTCCCAGGTGCAACAATGTTTGGTTTTAGTATGTCTGCATCATCCAGGGAACTGTCCTCTGGATCAGGCCCTCTAGCAGAGTAATACATGATCTTGGGAGCCATATGGCTGAAATTTGCTTTTATCCCTCCAGAGATAAGAGCTACGGCGCCAAACTTGACGACTTTTTTTGTGGCATCATCTCTTTGCAATGAAGAATTGTAATACTGAAGTAGAACCTGCCAAATCACACAAGTTTGCAAAACACCTTAAACTCCATGCCATAGTATTATGCTGGACTCACACAACTAGCTCGCGAGTACTTACTTTAGAATCTTCGGGTGATGGAATTATGATGCCTGGGATTCTCATTGGAACAGGATTAAGCTGGAAACCAATGACGTAAGGGTCCATGTGGAACACTAGGCCAGCTGCACTGAGGTTTTTCCCGGTTTCTAAAGCCTGCGCAATGGTGGAGAGTCCGAGTACGAATCTGATGGAGTAGCTGCATATCAAGAGATTCCCTTGTACGATGTTCTGATCGAAATTAGTGGCATCTTGGCATTCACTGACATACATATCACTCGGACCGGCTGATTCATTCAATGCATGGATGGCGGAGATCAGTGTGTACATTTTATCGGTTCCAGCTGGATAAAGAACTTGAAGAGTAAGCTGATCGCACATAGCCAGTATCCAAGAGTCAATAAACAACAAAATATTCAGGACTTACGAGCAAGACCAACTCCCGTGATTGTGACATTGTTGCCCAGGACTATGGAATTGCTGTAGGTCCTGTCATGGGTTGCAGCACCAACGGTAAAGATCCATGGACTGAAAGAGGAGATGCTCTTTGGGGAGGGTCCGGTGTTTCCAGCAGCCTGCACTACAAATATGCCGGCCTTGACAGCTGACAGTAGCGCCATGTCTATGGGGTTGAAGAAAGTGGCGACACCAGGAGGACGCCTGTTTGGGGTAATTGACAAGCTTATTACAGTCACTCCATCCTGTGCAGCCTATAGACACAAAATTACCGACAATGATTGCATCAATTCTGCATTACTATTTTCTACTACTTACATTGATTGAAAAATCACTTGTAAATGATGAAAAGTGTCTGATTGAAATATTGATTTCAGTTCAGGTGTACCTGATCTATGGCAGCAACCACATCCGCGGCAAAGCCTCCAAAACTCTTGTACAATGCCTTGTAAACAGCAATGCTGCAAATTGGATTAAGCTATTAGTGCTGAAAAGTTAATTAAAATAAAATATGCAACTCAAGAACGAAGACCTGAAGTAGAAGAAAGCCAATTTAAATCCTTACTATGAGCGTGGAGCCATTCCGCTTGCATTGCCAAAGTGATGTCCGGATACTACAACTGCAGTTCCATGGTTACCTGCTGCTATTGCTGCCGTATGCCTGCCAGCGTTAAATAATCATTGCCTTAATGTCGACGAATATAATCTTGATAAATTTTTCTATTAGCCTTTAGTCAGTTCATATAATGGCTGAGGTAGCAACACTTACGTCCCATGGCCATCACCATCATACGGCGAAGCATAGTCTTCTGAGGCATTAAATATTCCCCTGGTAATGGCGGATGCTGCAAAATGGCGAGCTCCGATGAGCTTCCTATTGCAGGATCCAGATGGAAACTCTGGTGTGACTTCACAAACTCCTGAAAAATGCTCTGCAACTGGATATGGCTTCTCCGGTTCATCGTCAGAGAAGCTCGGGTGCGTGGGATCAATGCCAGTGTCAATGAATCCAATCACAACTCCCTCTCCTGCAGTCTCAAATCCGCCTTCTTGTAACCACGCTCCTTGAGGGAGACCAAGAAACTGTGGCGTGTGAGTCGTTGCAGTCCTGACTGAGAAATCCATAACCACATTCGACACTTCTTTTCTCATTGAAAGCTTGTCAGCCTTCAAATACACACAAATTAACAATGGAATAGAATCAATGAGTAATTGGCAGCAATAAGTGGACTAGTTTAAGGATGATGATGACGATGATGAACAACCTGCTGTTGAGTGACGAGCACTGCAAATCCATTTATGAGATAGCCATAGCTGTATAGCTTCAGATACTTTTCACCCCTCAAAACTTTCCTTAACAAAGAATCGTGTACGCGGCCTATGCGCGAACCGTGATGCTTCCCTGTCCTCGAGACATTGCTGATTCAACAATAAAATTGTACAAACGTTAACTGGTCTGGTCCGTAAATCAGACGAGAGAAAGAGAAAGAAGTAGTAGGCAAAAATTGAACCTTGGTTTATCCAATATGTTCATTCCTTTAGACGCACTGCCATTGTTATGGCGATTCTGCTTAACTCTGAGCTCACCATAGTAATGAGATGCCGGGGCCTGTTTCAGAGTCACGATGTACACGGCAGCGTTTGAATCTTCATCGTCCTGAGCAGAGATGCAGCCAATGAGAATACCTAAGCACAGGACCATTGTTGTCAATCCCATTGCCAAACGCCCTTCCATCATCACTGGTTAATTCTGCCAACAAAAAAAGATGGAAAAAATTCTTTCTCGAATAAGGTAGAAATCTTTTTTCAAGTACAGCCAGCCATATCATCACGAATGGCCTTTTCAGTTCAAGAGTCTTCAGCTACAACCAAATCCGTCAAGTGGTTTTCCAGCACAAAGCTTTCTACTTTTCAGGTTCCCAGAAGAAAAAAAACAAAATAAAAAAGTGCAGCAGAGGTGAAGGTAGTCCACCCAGGAAGGAACCCTTTGCCACGAACTCAACAAAATTTAATAATGTAAAGAAACCCTACAGGAATACAACCTCAGAGGAGGACCAACAGGAATGCAAAATGCAAACAAACTAGATCAGATGGTGCAACTTTCTAGGGAGGTGTGAAAATGGAGGTTTAATTTATACCAGGGAGGGAAAAAAGATAACATTGATTCTCTCAACGGGTATGTTGACACTTCTTGACAAGGGAGGGAACCGGGAAAAGGGAGAGATTGGTTTGGAACGTTTGTTTGTCTTGGGGCTAGTCTTTCATCTCTGGATTCTTATACCGTTGGGATTACTAGTTCCTATTACTAACATTTATTTGTCTTTTTTCAGAGAGCACAAATGATATGAGCTGTAAAAGGACTAGTAATCACTAAAAGAACAATGAGAAAGGTGGCTCGTCTTCGTGGTGCAAGAATTCACCATCAAATTGAAATCAGTGGAGAAGTAAATGATGGGTTTTGGCCCTTTTTTTATTGTGAATAAAATTTTAGGCCAGCAGGAAAGGAGGGAGCAGCACCTCCCAACGTTCGAATTCCTTTTTGTTTTTGTATGTGTTGGATGGATGGGTTGTGTGAAAGTGCTTCATCTCCTCGCGACTCGTGAGTGCCCGTGACCATTAAATGAAGTAAGTACTAAGTAGTATTCACATTTGTATCTATGTGTCTGTCCATCTATATACGTAAAGATGAACGAAATACGAACGAATGAATAGCAATGGAGTTTTGCAGGGAAGAGAAAGTAGTGGGATGGCAACCTGTAAAGATTCATGAGATGAAACAGATCGTAGATAGGTATGTGGGTCAGCACTCACAATGGTCACCTAAAAGCCTCATTTAGTGGCACTCAAATGGGTGGGTGTATTATGCAATTATTATAAATATACTGAATGTATAATGTAATACAGAGTACCATTTCAATTAACATGTGCTATTTTGTCCGTGTACCAATAAATAATTTCTATGACTAGTTTATTATTGATGGATTAAGAAAGTGGGGGGAAGAGAGATTTCATGGAATTTGTTTTGGATTTAGTGCAGTGTAGGAGGTGCAAATAAATAATAAATAAAGATTCTTGCGGGGTTATGAATTATTTATCTATTACATGATTGTTTCCATAGTGGTTGTAATCATTTCTAGTTCCATGCTTCTTTTTATTTTTTTAATTGGCCCAATTTTGTTGTATGCCATATTGAAATGGGCCCATTAAGGTCCGTTCTCTTTAATGGTCTTTGAAAGAAAGCATAATACTATAGGCCTTATGTTTTAAATTCAATCTGCCCACAAAGGCCCAAATATTTAAATGGGCTTGCATTGAAAGCCCACTGCTTGCGCTGATGGACAACCGTCTTATCCGATGAATTCGAAAGAGTGGCCGGTGCTGCTGCAGAGTGCAGAGCAGTGGGGAAGACGAGAGACAATGCGGGGAATGGTTTTATCATCGTCCATTCTTCCTTTCCCAAAGCTTAGGTGGAGATCTCATTCAACCAGAGAAGTTATAAGTGCAAATGCACCTCCATTGGTGGTTTGTTCCAGCGCCTCCGATGGTTCTAGCATTCTGCTTCAAGCTGCAAGGCAGACAGTAATTCCTATTACTCCTACTTTTAATCTAAATTATGAAGGATTAAGAATCGAGATTCAAGACAAGGGTTTAGCTTAACGATTCTTGGAAGAGTCGAGATACTGGATAGCTTAGGGTTTAGTTTTATACACTCCTGAGTTATGACAGATTCCTACTTCTGCCTCATCTTTTCACCCGACAAGAATCAAGATTCGAAAATAATGGAGTTATTTTTTCGTTTCTGTTAACATTTTAATAAAGTCGAGCCTAACTCTAAAGATGGAAGAGGTTATAGGGGCCAACCATTACCTTTCTTTCCATGCTACACCATTTCAATACCTCCCACACTATATATGCATAGAATTCGATTTAAAATAGCAAATTTATTTTATTTACATGGATTATGTAACTCCCCTCATTTACATGCTTAAAGGTGGATTCTTTTGTGGAAAATGGAATGGTGATAGGGTTAGGGTCCGGTCTGGCCTCTGGCTTTGCTATTCAATATCTGGGGCGGAAACTTCGATCAGGAGCCCTTAAAGACGTTGTTGGTGTTCCCATGTAAGTATAATTACTGAATTGTCTTCACTGTGTGTATTTAACTATGTAAGAACTGAGTATGGAATTGAAGGACTTGACTCTATATACTTTGAGCCTTAAAAATGTTACCTATCAATGGTGAGTGGTAAGGAGGACTGAGTATATGCATATTAAATATCCGATTAAAACTTCCTAGGCCAGAATTTGGGCATGTACCAAACACAAACAAATTAAACATTTTACTTGATGTTATCATCTATCACAAAACTTGTAAATTCATATGCACGAGAAGCTTTATTTGTACCTTTGTATGTGCATTTTTATTTACCACCTCAGACCCATAGATGAATATTATTGGAGATCAAATTAATTGCAGTTATATATTTTATTCATTAATAACCAGTAAATGTATGATTTAGGTCTGTTGACAGTGCAAGTGAAGCAGCGAAGGCAGGTGTCCCCATGGATCAATATGCTGATGGGTCTAAAGTGAGCAAGTTCTTGTAACTTTCTGTATTCTATCTCTTTTTTTTTTTCATGGATTTTGTGACAGCATAGGGTGGGGAAGTTGGTTCACAAAATAATCTTACATTAGGTAATAATGTGTATAAAATCAGTTATGTGTATGTAATGTGCTTGATTGAGAAATCAGATTGCAGCCAATGCAACTCTCTGTTATTTGTCTCAAAGTTTGTTTGTTTTTCATCAAGTAAATGGGGGTTTGTTTCCTGAATGAGGTTGGGTTGGACATAACACCAGATGTATTCTGCAAATCTCTAGATTGACTTAGCATTTGATGATGCTGATGTTATGGAAGAAGATACACTTTCTGCTGTCATTGGACGTCAAAAACTGCAGGCTGTTGAGTCGATTATTCAAGAGAAGGTTAGTCACAAATTATATATATTTTAATAGATCAAATCTCATCGTACAATAGCCAGGAGGAAATTATATTCTTGGTATTCAATGCTCTGGTTAAACAACCTTCTCCTTATGCCATCCTTTTTGTAAAATTTCTAAATAGATTTTATTTTCATCTCTCATCGTGAAATGATTTAATTAGCATTGTTGTTCTGTCATTCCATCTTTGGTCATACTCAGATTTAGGGATTCCTTTTCACATTGACATTTCTTGTTCAGATACTGGTTACTATGCTTTTCAGACCATTCTGAGAGCAGCTAGGAAACTAGTCTTCATCATTGCAGCCAAACACTATCAAGGGGCTGTGGAGGGATCAATTCCAGTTCTAATTGAATCTGTAAGGCCAAAATGAAGCTACTAGACTTTGATATGGTGAATATTTTACCCGGATCTTACACTACATAAAATTTTACCTTTCAGATCAACTGGTTGGACACTGCTGAAGAAATAGATGACATGTTTCTTGGCGACGCAGAGGTACTAGGAGAGATGAAACTGTTGTAATACTGTTACTGTGAAAAAGACCATGAGAAGCTAGAAAGGCCATTGAATTGGGAACTTTTAATAATACAAGTAAATTAAGAAGCTTCTGCTTTTGTAGTTGAATTTCATAATCCAATATTCTGATCCATTTCCAAAATATAGAACATCAACTGAAAAGTTTACCGGGACTTGTAGATAGGTTTAATAATTGCTATGAACTTATTGTTGAGAATAGTTATTTGAAATGCACACGACCCCCATGTGTTTAACATCAAATGCCATATCATTTTACATATTTTATTTATTTCTACGAAGGTTTGGAGAAGACCATCTGTGGGATATGCAGGTCCGTTGGGAGGTGATTTTCCACTCATCACTAAAGAAGGGCATAATGTCCTTGATGTTATTTTTACGTCGCCAATTCAAAACCTAGGTATGTTGCTCTACCCTTTTTCATTTTATTTTGCTGAACATGCATCCTTATGTAGAATCCATTTGCTCCCGTGCAGCTGAGGTGGCTGATCGTCTTGATGAAGTGGTTGGTGTAGTTGACCATGGTGTCATTTCCAGAATACCGCAAGAACTTCACACCCTCTTGTTACCCTTTATTTCGAATACTTGATCAGATTAATGTATATAATATTTTTTTGGTGCAAATGATAGGTGCACGGCAGTCATAGCCACAGAAAGTGGCCCGCGCATTGTTGACAATGCCCATGCCCTTGAAAGAGCTTTTAAATCCTGACGAGGTAAAAGCATTAAACATATATATAGTAATTATAATTATTATTAATGGACACATACATGCACCGTTTTGGTGTGTTGCAGTGGTTCACCCTTCTCCAAAATGACATACAGGTTGTTGGCCTATCCCACAATGAATGCTGCTGGTTTACATCGTTAGTCAACAGAATGTTGGCCAGTAAATTTATTTATTGGTGCTACAGTGTGCAGAAATACCAGACAAATTTTGGCGAAGTTTCTGTATGTAAAAGGGTTGGTATATCATCACCAGTAAGGTGATTTTAGCTGCTGACGGCAAATGGATTTAAACTTTGTGTATTAATTTGAAAGTGTTGTTTGTCAAAATTGGGGTCAAGTCCCGCATAGCATTGACGTAAATGTTTGGTTATGAGTTGAGGCAGATATTGTTAAATGTAAACTTCACTTTGTCTGACTTATTCTAAGGTTGTTCCCTTCCCAAGTCTTGTTAAATGTACAGACTACCTGCGATGCCAACACCTCTTTTAACTAACTAACTAATTATATAAATAGTTTGTGCTTTCACGTCTTCTTCCACTTTCACATCTTTCTTTCCGGTAACATTCTGATCTTGATTCCACTTTGGATTATCGACTATTATTATAATTATATATATATAATATATTATTCTGAAAGAAATGTTACTGGCCTACCTATATATGTTGGGGTGGGTGGGTTAAAAAGAAATGCAGAATGAAATTAAGAGAGCATTAAAGAGAGAGAAGAATTGGAGGGGTGAGGGTGAGGGTGAGGGTGTACTTTATGAAGCCAGCCTATTTATTCTATTTACAGCCAAATTGACTCAACAAACAATAGTATAATAATAGTCGCCCTTCCCTTCCCTTCCCTTCCCATAACTAACTAAAGGGAGGATGTCTGTGTCTGTGGAGATTCAATCTTGATGGACCGCCACACAGTACGTTGACTAATTAATGACTACAATAATAATAATAATAATAATAATAATAATAATAACAACAACAACAACAATAGGAGATTATTTATTATAATATTGATAACAGTTGAGCCTGACCTGACCTGACCTGAGTTTCTTCTATATATAGAATATGTATGTATATATAACCAGACCATTTGATTCGGTTTCTTAATTATTTTCAACCTGTGGCAGCCATGGAAGGAGTTTTGTTGGCTGTTGCCGCTTCCCTAGCTGTCTTCGCCCTAACCATTGCGTACTACATCTCCTTCCGTCGCTCCTCCTGCAGGGCTAATCTGCCTCCGGGAAGCTTCGGCTGGCCCATCATCGGCGAGTCCATCGAATTCTTGTTTGGGAAGCCCGAAAAGTTTGTGGGCGACAGGATGAGGAAATACTCGCCGGAAATCTTCAAGACGAAAATCTTCGGGGAGAAAACCGCCGTTCTCTGTGGCCCTAAAGGCAATAAATTCATCTTCACCAATGAGCAAAAGTACTTCACCTCATTCCGCCCCCACTCCATGCAGCACCTCTTCCGATCCTACAAGACCAAGGCCGCGGCGCAGGCGCAGGCGGAGGCGGAGGCCCAGGCCCAGCGGCAAAGCTCCGACGAGAGCAAGATGATCCGTCAGCCCGGGTTCCTAAAGCCCGAGGCCCTCATGCGGTACCTGCGAAAGATGGACTCCATCTCGCGGCAGCAGCTGGCAATCCATTGGTCGGGGAAAGAAATCGTGCAAGTTTATCCCATGGCCAAGACCCTAACGCTGACCCTGGCCAGCCATTTTTTCCTGGGAGTTAACAACCCGGAGAGAATAGCCCGATTGGTGAAGTACTTCGATGATATCACGGTGGGCATGCATTCCATCATGCTCAACATTCCTGGAACAGTATTCTACCGGGCCAACAAGGCGGCTGCGTTCATCAGAAAGGAGCTTGTGGATGTGATCCAGGAGAAGAAGCAGGCCATGGCCGATCATGGATCCCCGCCAATGCGCGATATCTTATCTCACCTCATTGCAATGGCTATGACTACGACAACGACAGGCCCCGCTGCTGCTGCTGCTGATTACGAAACAGCTGACAAGATCATGGGTTTGCTCACTGCTGGCTACAGCACCGTGGCGACCACCATTACATTCTTGATGAAATACGTGGGCTTGCACCCAGAAATATACGAAAAGGTGCGAGCAGAACAGATGGAGGTGGCACTGGCGGCGTCGAAGAAAGGTGAAGGTGAAGTGCTGCTGGAATGGGAGGACATGAACAGAATGAAGTACTCGTGGAATGTGGTCTGCGAAACGATGAGAATGGTCCCTCCTCTCCAGGGAATGATGAGAGAAGTTTCGACGGAGTTCAGCTTCGGGGGGCACACGGTTCCCAAAGGGTGGAAGGTCTACTGGACTGTGAGCACCACCAACAAGAACCCCGACTACTTCAAGGACCCCGAAAGGTTCAACCCATCCAGGTACGATGAGGATGGTGAGGCGCCGCCGCCGTACACCAACGTCCCCTTCGGAGGGGGCCCCAGGATGTGCCCCGGAAAAGAGTATGCCCGCCTCGCCATTCTCGCGTTTCTCCACAATGCTGTCAGGAGATATAAATGGCAAGTCCTCGATCCCCACGAGAAGGTTGATGGCGACATGATGCCCGCGCCTCAAAACGGATTGCCCATCCGCTTAATTAATTACTAATTAATTATGTGATGCATCATCATCATCATATCCATCCGTCAACATAGAATATATAATAAATTCAGTTTCTGTAGTTTGTTCATGTGGCCAGATTACATAGTTGATTAATTAATGCCCAGCCCAGCCCGACAATATTGGAGGGGTGTACTAGTTTCGTGGCTGAATAAAAATTGCTGCTTTTATTGTTCGATCGTGCTGTAGTTGTACGTACAATCATGCACACACACACATGTTATTAACTCTTGTGCAGTGAAGACGGGCAGAAATTGATTGGATTGGGCCGTTGGGTGGCCCAAGTTTTTAGGGCCCAAGTGACGTTGAATTTTTTGTTAATATGCGCTTTTAGGAGGAATCGTGGTTTGAAGTAAAGCGTTTCTCTTAAAAACACACTTTGCTTGGCTTGGTTGGGTCTGCTGCTTGCATTTCTTCTCTTCGCTGATCTTGGCGAAGGAATTCAAGAACCGAAGATTTGAAAGATGGCGGCTGCCGGAGGCCCCGATCCGTTGTTTGGATTGAGGAACAACTTCTACTTGGGTGCGTATCAGGCCGCGATTAACAACAGTGATATAGCTAATCTTTCCTCCGAAGCAGAAATCGAGAGGGACACCCTCGTTTACCGCTCTTATATTGCTCTCGGTAGTTTCCAGGTGCGGTGGCTTTGTGTTTGAGCTTTAAGATCTGAATTTTTGGCTTGATGTGATTTAAAATGTATTGATTACTACGCTTTACAAGATTTTGCCCTTTATTTACCCCGTAAAGTTTCTTGATTTACGTTCTGTGTTTGACTCCTGGGTTTTATATATGGCGTAGCTTGTGATAAATGAGGTCGATTCATCTGCGGCAACCCCACTTCAGGCCGTGAAATTGCTGGCGGAATATCTTTCCGGCCCTGAAAACAAGGTGATCATTGCTGTTTTTTGTTCCTAAGGTTTTATTTATCTGATCTACAACTCTTTTAAAACTTATTACATATATACACATCTATCTTCTTCTTCTTCTTCCTTTTAAAAAAAATATAGTTTGGAGGTTTGGTTTTTGTTTTTCTTAGTGCGTGGATCTGCATACGCCAAACCCTATTTTTGCAAAATAGTCATATCTACAACTGAATTATGTGCAGCCAGATTGCTTGAATTTTAATGGAAAAGCTACAAACTTCATTTATTCACACTTTGGCACATCGGGGGCCTTAATTGCATTTGGGTTAGATGTTCATTTGAATCCCATTATTCCTATATTGGTGAACAAATGAGCAATACTGAACTGGAAGAATGCCGACTAGATTATTACATATTTGGTTAGCACTTTATCTAAAGGAAATGTGTGAACTAAAACTTGCGCCAAGGCATGATTTAACAATAAGAACAAAGAAACTTATCTTGTTATCTCAAGCAGGTCCATGTCTTTACTAAATCTCTTGTCACAATTGTAGGAAAATGTTATCTCAAGTCTAAATGAGTGGCTGGCAGATCCAGCTGTCGGAAACAATGTCATCTTGCGCCTTATTGCAGGGATTGTATTCATGCATGAACAAGATTACAATGAAGCTTTGAAGCATACAAATACTGGAGGAACATTGGATCTGTGAGTCTTCTTTCCTTTGAGTCTTGGCTCATTAATTGCTTTGAACCATTTGATGATGTACTTTTGTACATATTTACTTAGAATCTCACTTCACATTCTGTCGTTGTATGGTCTCACTTTAACTTACTACTGACACAGCAATCTTGCTTGGATTGCCTGGTATCACTTCCGCCGGGCTAAACATTCTTCTGAAAGCCAACCTCTTAGCCTCAAATGCCAAGTTAACTGCAAGCTTTTGATGTTCTAAACTGTATGAAATTGCATGTTTTTCTTTCAGGATGTATTTATTCTGTTTAAAAACTACGTTACTGATATCCAATTTTAGAAATTATTTATTGTTTTGTATGTTTGTTATTGCTAATGTTTTGTGTGTAAGTATATAGATTATAACTATGGGCTCGTATCAGCTATATTCTAAGCGTGATTGTATACTTGTGCCTCTGTAGGCATGCTTTGAATGTCCAAATTTTTCTTAAGATGCATCGGTCTGACTATGCTGAGAAGCAGTTGAGAATTATGCAAGGTATAGATGAAGATCATACTCTGACTCAACTGGCAACTGCGTGGCTGAACTTGGCTGTGGTTAGTCTTGTTCCATTTAATGCATGTCCTCCATCAACACAAAGATCTTTCAACTTATCTTCTTTTTATTTGTGCTAGGGCGGTGCAAAAATCCAAGAAGCATATCTTATTTTCCAGGACTTCTCTGAGAAGTACCCAATGACTAGCTTGATCCTCAACGGAAAGGCTGTCTGCTGCATGCACAAAGGGGAATTCGATGAAGCAGAAACACTTCTACTAGAAGCACTAAACAAGGTTGGGAGTGATCTCCTATGTATTCTATTCTCTCAATGATATACTCTAATATTTTATTTTATCTTATCTCCTTTCATTTACACCATATATTTCATGAATCCTACAGGATGCAAAGGATCCAGAAACCCTTGCAAATCTGGTTGTTTGTAGTCTTCACCTTGGAAAAGCATCATCACGCTATCTTAGGTAGGATTTATCATGCACCCTATGTTATTTAGCGGTTGAGCACGCCAATTTATGGGATTGTGATCATTGGACAATTGTTTTGTTGCAGCCAATTGAAATTGTCTCACCCAGATCACATACTTGTTAAACGTGCATCTTCTGCCGAAGAGAACTTTGACAGAGCACTTCAAACAGTTGCATAAAGACTGCATCTTGCTAGTATTGAGTTTTGAGTTTAATATTGGAAAAATTCTAGACACCGGAGAGATCTTATAAATGTTGAATCTACAAGCAAGTCATATAGTATGGTTTATATCTTATCTGCGGTTAGAAATATTTGTGTGATGTACTGCCACTCTGAGATTTCCTATCTTTTGTGGTATAAATATTACTTTCTTAAGGACTGATTGTTACAGAAATGAGGGATTTAACATGAATGAATTTTGGTGGTTTAATCAAACAAAAAGACTGATTATGCCATGAATGATGGCTTTCTCAAAATACGTATGGTGTCATGCTTAAAGACTGAAGATGAATTAATAAATATGCATGTAACATATAAATAATCAATTTGGGGACCTCCCATTATTATTTATTTCCTACTACTCTCTGTGGATTTCATATGATACAAGATGAGCTCCCTACCTATCAGAATCTCTATTATTCAGCTATTATATTTGTCTTTCAAACAAGGAGCTTCCTGCTATTTCTTCTCTATAGAAATGTGTGGATGGATAGATAGATTCCAAAGAACGCACCAGACATGCCCACCCCTCAGCTTGCTCTCCTCAGCACTACCAAAACTTGGCCAATGGGGTCAATGTTAGTCCCTCAGCTGTTTCCAGCTTATGCCGATGTCACAAGAAGATCACCATAGCCAGTCGGGTGCACCTTCTGCCATCTCCATGCAATCTTTAAACTTTCCTCGAGGTCAGTGTGTTGAGCTGTCCAGTTCAGCTCATTCTTGATCTTGGTCGGATCGCTGTAAACTTCTGCATAATCTCCAGCCCGGCGGGGTAAGAATTCTACTTTGAGAGGCACACCAGTGGCCTTCTTGCACGCCTCAACAAACTCCTTCACTGATCTACCTGTTGATCGAGAGAGCAAACCTCTGCTTCAGAAGCATATTCGGGTAATAGGTTGATGTTATAAGCTGCCATTACCTTTTCCAGTACCAACATTATAGATGCCAACATGCCCAGGTTTTGCCTCTTCCAGAGCTTTGACATGAGCATCGACCAGATCAGTAACATCGATGTAGTCACGTATGCATGTGCCATCAGAAGTTTTGTAATCTGTTCCGCGAACCTGAGACACATATACAAAATTATATATGTTAACAAATATGTATCAATCAATTGCATAATTAACAGGGTTGTGCTCAAGTGACTGTAGGCTATTCTAAGGTCAAGAAAAAGAAGTAACGACCTTGAGGCCCGGAATGATTCCACGAGCAGCATCAAAACAAGCACCAGATATCCGTCCATGCTCCCGTAGTTCAGGTCGAGGAGCTTCTCCAAGTCTTCCCTCAGGATCAGAGCCAATCACATTGAAGTATCTTACAAATTAAAGAGAATTAGAGACTGTCAATGTAGGATGCTGTATGGCATGATTCACACTGTAGTAAAATTATCACATTGCATTGCACTTGCTAGTATGGTACCTCAAAATCATGATGGCCATATCTGAGGTCTTATGAAAATCCAGAATCATATCTTCAGCCATTTTCTTGGCTTTTCCATACGGATTTATTGGAAGCTGCAGAATGTAACAGAAAACATCTGTATAGGTTAAAAAATAAAAGACCATATACAGAGCAAGCCCATCTCTACTTCCATATATTCGCAATTACAACGTTATAAGAGAGTTCGGAAATTCTTACTTGTGGGGTTTCTTCAGTAATGGGCATCTTTTCGGGTTCCCCATAAGTTGCACATGTACTAGAATAAATCAAAGTCTTCACTCCATGAGCCTTCATAGCTTCTAACACAACAAGTGTATTTGATGTGATATTGTGATAATACCTGTTCGGTGAAGAAAGTTCGTTAGAATATTGTTCAAACTACAAAGAAAAAAGTCAAACATTATAATTGTCAACGTTTCCCAGAATACAAAACATAAAGACCACAAAAGTTTGAAATAGCATGAACCTCATGTTAAACTTTAATGTCATAGGTGGTCAGTACAAGCACAAAATCATATAAAAAGTCCTCACACCAGCAATAGAAAAGAAAAAACTACATAAAGTGGCCAAATGAGAATTAGTAAATATTATATACTTAGAAATTGATTAATGAAGGCGGCTAGCCTGAATGCTTGGGACAATGTGACTACAACTAGTTAGCTTATCGAAAAATTGTGGCTACAACTAGATTTGATATTAGAAATCAAGTACTCTGAGATACTAATATTAGAAGATTTAAAATTACTAAATGATACTTACTTAAGTGGATCGAGAGTGCTCTCTCCAACATAGGCTACAGCAGCAAAGTGCATCACTGCATTAAATGAATTCTGTGAAAAAATCCTGTGCACCTGAATATAAACAAACAGAACAATATGGGGTGAACAACCTGTTGCCATCGCACAGAAAAGAAATTGCAAGAGAATGAATAACAGTAATTATACCGATTGGGAATCACCAAGATCAGCATATATAAACTGAAGTCGTCCTGGTTCTGGAAATAGCTGTTGTAGGACATTAATGGCACCAAGATTTCCCCGTGAGAGATTGTCCTGTCAAATGGCATTATACAATCCTTCATGCTGCCAGCAGAAACAATTATTCTGCAGAGTTGCCAGAATTACAAACATACCACTATAGTCACTCGATAAAAATCCTGAAGAAGCCGTAAAGCAGCATGCGAGCCAATGTAGCCAGCACCTCCAGTTACTAAGACATGAGTAACACCATCTTCATTAATGGCGAACTGTATAAAGACATTAGTGTGCAAATATCAGTATTAAAAGAGTAACACTTCAAAATATTAACTACAATTGGACAATCACAAAGATGAAACATTGATGAAGAAAAATAAATTACTTGGCTAGGGGTGTTGAAACTTGGGGAATGCTTCAGCATAAGAATGCATAATGCTGTAAGGGTGGAAACCATTATAATTTTTCCACAAACCCCATTCTTCTTCTTCTGGTCTGCAAATTCCATGCCTGAAAAACAGAGAAAAAAACAACAATTTACTGATAAATCAATATGAAACCTTAAAGTGATGAAAATAAACTAAACCAATATGTCCACCTCCCAAAGCCATGGATCGATTGTGTCTTTGCTGAGTTCTTGTCCTGGTAAAACTCAGCATTGAGAAATTACTTTCTTAATGCAATGAAATAGATAATATTAGAAAATGCCCTGCACTGTCGTTTCTAAATCCTCATATGTGCTGCAAATGTCAATTAAAAAAAATCAGAGCATGATCACTAAATTATAAAGGATTATTAGTCAACTAACCGTAGAGAGAGGCAACATTAATAAAGCATTGTCGGATGTGCAATACGGGATCACAAATTTACAAGACTGGACCCAAGATTATTTTAGTTTTGCACCAAACGATTAAGAAGAGAGAACAGAGCACAAGAATTCGGAGCGATCTTAAGAACATCGACAACAAAAAAGTTAAACAAGTTTTACAAAAAAGACAGCAACTTTGAATTTAAATCCCTAAAAGAACAGAAAACCCTCAAGATCCAGCAAATACCAAGCAAAATCGCAACGTCATCAAAAGTTGGGTGGTAATCAAAACCAAGAACAACACAGCTAAAAAAGAAGAGCAAATAATCTTGATTTGAATAAACAAGAAGGGCACAAATCTAACCAGGAAAAAGAATGTGTACGGAAGCGAACAATAAGACACCAACAATAGAATATTGTAAAACTTGGGACGAAACTCAAAAGCCCCTCTGAATTCCACTCGTTAAACTTCAGCAGTGATCAAAGAAAGAATTTCACCCCCTCGAATTCTAAGTTCATAAGTGCATGCATTGGAGTGATCCAGAGATCTGAAGAAGTAAAAAGAATCATGAGAGTGAAGAGTCCCGTCATCTAAAACGCAAACGAAGAAACCACAAAGAACCCAATGTATCCCAGAAACTCATTCGATCAAAAACACAACACATGAAACAAAGAGTCCAACTTTGAACAGGAATTGACGGCATTGACAAAATTGATTGAAAACATAAACCCAAAGGGCAGAGAGAACATACTGGAAAAAGGGGCGAGAGCGCAGGGGGCGGTGCAGCCTCTGCGGGGACGTACGCTTATGAGAATTTGGTGCCAATTGAAAGACTAGTCCAGATTAATAAAATAAAAGAAAAGAGCCTATTATATATAATGACGACAAGAATACCGTATAATTTCTTCGATTGCGCATTCAACCCCCAATCAGATTAGTAGGTTATTAATATATTATTATAACTTCAAAAAGTAAACGGGGACGGAATTGGTCGAAGAAGCCCAATTTTAGCGATGTGATGGGGATGAGATAAGAACTGAAGAAGCCCTAAATTCCCAAACAACAGACGACCCAATTCAACCAGCCTCATAAATATTTTCTACTTTTACTCCCTCTATTATATCCGTAAGTTTCTTGCATCTCTAGCTAATATCATATACTTTTACTCCCTCTATTATATCCGCAAGTTTCTTGCATCTTTAGCTAATATCATATTTATGCCCAATTCTTTTTTCGACCGGTAAATTAACTTCGGATAGGTTCAGAAGGATTGACGATGGGACAAGTGTCCCAATACAAAGCTATCATCGTTTTTATGTCCATTAATTTTTTCTGACTGCCAGCCAACCAGCCAGTTCAAGAAAATAAAAGGCCTCCCTCCCTACCTGCACAAACCAATGCATGTGTGGACACAGAATCAATCATATAATGACACGTCCGATCAAATTATGCCCAACTTTTTCATCAATTTAGGTGCTTCAGGACAGGAAAACACGGGTCCCCCCATTTAGTCCCCACCCACCCACTCACTCACTCGTACTAGTATTAATTTTCTAGCCTGTATGTAGTGTAGTGTAATGTATACGTACTGTTTCTAAAGCATAATTTGTCATGTACGTGCTCTTCTCTTCTGGGATTAGGAGGATCTTACAAAAATCTAGGCCCTGTTTCCTAATTGTCCATGGGGATGGATAGATCTGAATCTGCTTGGTGGGTAGATGGAGTGGGAGGGTTCATACTTCATATGCAGCATGTGAAAAGGGAGAGGAGGGCAGAGGCGTAAATGTCTCGATCCATCTCCAATGTAAGGCAATAAATGCAAAATTGTGGGCAGTTCTTGTGATCTACACATGAGAAACTCAAAACGATGTCGTCAAGTGGAACAGTAACAGTAACACTTGACATTAACAGAGGTGATGACAGTGAGAATATGACACCTCATGATGGTATAGGTTTGCAAGTAATCGAAACCACCAACCAAGATGTCAAAATTTGGCCGCTGGGGGGGATTCAATCATGGATCACCGTTGCTCGGTGGTCAACGCTACTGTGTGTAGATGTAGCAGCAGCAAATTAGTCATGGGTTTGTTCAACTATCACCTCAAAGAAACAAAAGATATAAACAATGTCATGAGGCGTGACTGACAGCCATTTACTAAATGGAGATGAGATGGGATGACCTGCATCTGCATGTTCAATGATTACTGCCAGTGCTAATAATTAACTGTCATTAAAGAAAACACACAATTCGTTAGGTTTTTCAGCAGACCACCATTTTAGTAATCTCGCAAACATTACAAGTGGCTCTAACAAAACACTATCATTTATAGTATAATAATATATTACTTACCTGGCAGAGAATGTGGGCATATATAATATATATAATTATAGTAGTATTTTATAATAGACGTATAAATCATAGTATGAAAGATGCATCGAATACCTATTGGGCTTGTGCTTTTGGGCCACAGAATGGCGTGTGCATCAGATTCTTGAAGGATGTACGTCACAATCAGGTGATTCTACTAAGTACTTTTGGCTCAAAAGTGAAGTGCATGTGCCCACAACAACAGAAATGCACCCCAAAATAATGTTTCCCAACTTATATTTGGCCCCAAGGATCTTTGTTATATGTATTGATGGGAAGAACAGTTTACCTCTCTCTGTATCTATTAAGGCCGGAGAGGGACAAAACCAGTGTAGCAGCCACTTACTTCCAGCAGATCTGCATCCCAAATATGTGTCCTTGTCTTGATTTGTTTTGCTTCGAGCATAACTGGATAGTCTCTTGGTTCCTGCAACCAAACGGATCATAGTTTGAAATTGTTGTATAAGAACAAGAATGCTTGTACAGTAACAGTACTTTGGGGAAACATTGTGGAATATATCAAGAGGGCTCCCTTACACAATTGGGACAAACAATATCTCTTCCTCCATATTGGGTCTGATGCAGACATATCTTAGCAATCAAAAGGATTACACAGATGACACTGAAGGAACCTGCGGCTGAATCGGTGGGTGCATTTGGGGAGCATACCCTGCTTCCTGGAGGTCAAGGAGAAGACAATTCAACAGCAAGTATATCTGAGAAGACTCTGGATGACGTTTATCTGCGGCGCCAAAAACATGTGAGGAGTTATTGACTTCAATCCAACTGTAACCCGGTATCTTTTGCACTCCTCTTTCTTTCATGATGCTACGAATCTCATCTACTCTTGACCATGTTCCGGAATTAGCATGCAAATTGGATAGTATCACATAGTAACCAGAATTTTGTGGGTCTAAGTGGAATAGATGCTTGGAAGCCACTTCTGCAAGCTCAACATTCCCATGGATCCGACAAGCACCCAATATGGTCCCCCAGATGCCAGCATCTGGATGGAATGGCATCTCGTTTATCACTTGGAAGGCCCCTTGTAAACAGCCGGCTCGACCATACAAATCGATCAAGCATGCATAGTGCTCCATCCTAGCAGCAATCCCGTAATCTTGGATCATAAGATTGAAGTAGTGCTTCCCTTCTTCGACTCTACCAGCATGGCCGCAAGCAGATAAAATGGCAAGAAAAGTGACATGATCCGGCTGAAATCCATTGTCTTCCATTCTGTGAAACAGTTCCAGGCACTGCTCCAGCTGTCCATGGTTTCCATGTGCAGCAATAATGCTGTTCCATGAAACTTCGTTGATGCACTCCATTGAATCAAATACACATTGAGCCAAATCCAAATGACCACATTTAGCATATGTGTCCATCAGTGCACTATTAGCAAAGAGATCGAAGTTGAAGCCTCTTCTTATCATGAACCCGTGTATCTCTTTCCCATGATGAAGGGCGGACGAATCTGCACAAGCACAAAGAGCAGCGGATAAGGTGACACCATCATACTTGACTCCTTCCAACTGCATCTTACTGAAAAGATCCATGGCTTGTTCTGGTTTGCCATTCTGGCTATAGCTCGTGATCATCGAATTCCAGCATACAGAATCTCGTTCAGGCATTCTTGAGAAAACTTCATGACCAAGATCTAACCTTCCACATTTAGCATACATGTCTGTTAATGCACTTCCAACATGAAGTCTTCCTTCTAGCCCTTTGCGAATTATGTGACCGTGCAACTCCTTACCTAATTTCAGGGCAGTCAAACCCGCACAAGCTGGTAGAATGCTAGCAATTGTCACTGGGTTGGGTTTCATTTTCTTGTGAAGCAATAACTGGAAAATCTTCAAGGCATCAGCATTCATGCCATTAAGCACAAATCCTGAAATCATGGCAGTGCAAATCACAATGTCCAGTGCAGAACTTTCATGAAAAACTCTGCAAGCCATTTCGACATCCTTGCACTTGAAGTACATATCAATAAGGGCATTCTTCAAGAACAAATCCAAGATTAGGCCATGTCGAACAATGTAGCCATGGATTTCTTTTCCCTGATCAGGGCCGCCCACATCAGGAATTGCTGTGAGCAAACTTGCAAAAGTTACTGAGTCTGGTTTAACACCCGAAGATACCATCATCTGCAACGTATTCAAAGCATCGTTCATGAATCCATTCTGAACATACCCTCCAATCATCACATTCCATGTAACCAGATCAGCTTGTGTAACAAAATCGAAAAACTTCCGAGCATCAAACAGGCACTGACATTTTGCATACATAGCAATCAATGTATTCGCCACAGGAGAATCCATCTCCAAGCCAGACCTGACGACCAAACCATGAACCTGGCGGCCAAACCCCACCATTGATTTCAACCCACACATGGAAAGAATACACGAGTAGGTTACAGAATTGGGCTCAACTTCACCTCTTCTCAGTTCCTGAAACAATCCGATCACGTCCCGCTCTGTACCTTCAGATTTTAAGCAACAATTAAGCATCACATTCCACAAAACAATATCCCTCTGAGGCAATTTATCGAACAACTCAACGGCATTGCCAAGACAACCATTCTCAGCGTAGAATTTGACTAAAGCACTACCGATATACACATCCAGCTCAAATCCCAGATCTTTGATTAGTCTATGAAGATGCTTAACTAAATCAACAGCCCGCAAACCACCGCAAGCCTTAATTACACAAGGGAAAGTGTACTTATCGGGCCGAGTACCAAAAATGAGCATCTTGAAGTAAAACATAATCGCACAGTCGTAGGATCCCATCGCTGTAGAGCCTCTAATCATCCAATTCCATGGGGCGGCATAGCCAAGATGCAGCTGATAAAATAACTTCCTGGCATCAAGATAACAGCTGCCCAGGAGATACGCACCCAAAACCCTAGAACCCAGAATACCAAAGTTGTGAATTCCATTCACAGTAACCTGGGCGTGTATTTGCTGTGTTTTCTGAAGAACGGAAGGGAACAAAGATGGATCCTTTTGCCGCAGGAGTGGCGCGAGATGGGATGCCAAAGCCTCTTCAGTGTATGGAAAATAATGCGAATGTTTGGGTATGGAATGAAAAAATTTGTTATTAGAACAGAAGTCTTGCGACAAAATTGTTGATATCCTTGTATACATTTACGGATTGATTGAAACGCTCTAATTATGCTGTCATCCTGGCAAATTCTTTCTCCGGAAAGAATCTAACATCTGAAACGCGACTTTGAGAGCTGTTGTTTTGTAAATGTTGTTGTCGTTATTATTATTATTATTATAGTGAATCAAGTAGGAATCTTGTTGAATTTTAACCCATGATAGCAGGGTCATTGGACTAGAGCTCAATCCAATTCGTGGAAGAAGCACAGCAGAGCAGAGGAAATTGGCCTGACCCGAGAATGAAAAACCAGAGTCCACAGGTAGATGATGATGCTCTAAGACAAAGACAAAAACATGTCCGCTTGTGACCATGAAAATTTTGGGGAACAAACCAAACAGTTGGGTTGTGAGGTAGCATAAATTGTAGAGATGGGTCAATCAGGAAAGTGCATAACTTCATCCGCATAAATTTTCCTTCATTTTTAATCCTAAAACCTTCAGATTGAAATGCTTCAATAAACCGCAACCAAGAAGAATATTCTTTATTAAGTAAATCCAAGGCTGTTTGTGTTTTATTTACAATTAAATTAAAAATTACTTTTTGTATTATGGTCTTTTATTTATTATTATATCAACTCAAATGCTTCAAACGTTGGTGTATAAAGATTTGATTGTTGTCTCCTGCCTCAGAATAAATAATTCAATAGCAACAAATATCAAACATAACTTTAAAATCTCCAAATAAGCACGCCTAAATTTGTAAAGCTTTAATATTAAAGTTATATTCTATTTAAAAAATTGGAGATGTCTATTTTTATTCTTTATACCAATTATTATCGGAAGTAATATAAAATTTATTTTTTTATCATTTCAAATCAAAATTATTTTATGTATTATTGTTTACTTATATACTATTGTATTTTAGGATAGAGAATAATTTAAATTATTTATAATAAAATTAAAATTAAAATGGATTTTTTTTTTTTTATTATTTCGGTTTCAACAAGACTATTTTATTTTTTTTCCTAATAATAATAATGATAATAATAGAAGAGTAGGGTTGGTAGCCGACCCTCACTCATCTAAACACACTCTAAAAAATAATGTATACGTAGAGTAGTGTTGCCAACCCAAAATCGCTGCGGGTCGTGCCTAGCCTGCCCTGCCCTGCCCTGCCCCCTTTTGAGAGAGGCAGCGTGCGGTGCACCCAAATTATTGCCTAGATCCCTTTCCTTTGCGACATCACATACTACATCGAAATTAATTTATCTTCGTCCCCGTCACCGTCCCGACATACACCATTGAAGGACCTAAGCTTCACATTATATATATATAATAATAATATAATGTGGTGTGGATGGATGGATACATGTCGAAACGTAACTAATAAATAAATAAACTGTGTTGTTTCTTCCTTTCACAATATATGGCTACAGGAATCATCTCATCAGAGTCTTGAAGGACCGACGTCACGGGTGCAAGTAATGACTCACATCTTCATCTTCATCTGAACACACACACGATCGATAGATAGAGTGCCGAGTGATCGATATATGGACAGCACATCAACTATATATATGCATGTGTTTTTATCTTACCGGCCAGTGAATGGTTCTCCCGTTTAACGTTACATATACATCAATTATAATAATGCATCGACCTGCAGGTGTCTGTAGTTTCAGAATGCAGCCGGATCTGGAGGCCCCCCTCCGCCCCAAGAGGAAAACGGTTTGGCTGGACTACTTGGTCCAGTTTCGATGGATACTCGTTGTGTTTGTTGTCCTCCCCATATCTTCCACAATGTACCTCCTCAGATATCTTGGGGATGTCTGGTCCGAGAGCAAGTCATTCAAGCAGCGCCAGAAGGAGCACCGCCAGAATGTTGAGGAAGTCATCAGACGGCTTAAGGCCAGGGATCCACGCAAGGATGGTTTAGCATGCACGGCCAGGAAGCCCTGGATTGCAGTGGGAATGCGAAATGTGGACTACAAGCGTGCTCGCCACTTCCAGGTTGACCTGTCTGCGTTTAGGAACATTCTGAGCATCGACAGGGAGAGAATGGTTGCCAGAGTGGAGCCCTTGGTCGATATGGGTCAGATATCCAGAGTCACTGTTCCAATGAATCTTTCCCCTGCTGTCCTTCCCGAGCTCGATGACCTCACTGTTGGGGGCCTTATCAATGGCTATGGGATTGAAGGAAGCTCCCATATCTACGGCCTCTTCTCGGACACCATTGTGTCATGTGAAATTGTGTTGGCTGATGGGCGGTTGGTTAAGGCCACAAGAGACAATGAGTACTCAGACCTTTTCTATGCCATCCCGTGGTCTCAGGGGACGTTGGGCCTCCTTGTTGCTGCCGAGATTAAGCTTATTACAGTTAAGGAATACATGAGGGTGACATATAAGCCTGTAGTTGGGAATCTTAAGGAGCTTGCACAAGCATACATGGATTCTTTTGCACCAAGGGATGGAGATCAGGACAACCCTGATAAGGTTCCTGATTTTGTTGAGACATTGATTTATAGTCCCACAGAAGCTGTCTGCATGACGGGAAGATACGCCTCAAAAGAAGAAGCCAAAGGGAGAATCAACAGTTTGGGCTGGTGGTTCAAGCCCTGGTTTTACCAACACGCACAGGCTGCACTGAACAAGGGTGAGTTTGTAGAGTATATTCCCACCAGGGAATATTACCATAAGCACACCAGGAGCTTATACTGGGAGGGAAAGCTCATCCTTCCTTTTGCGGATCAATGGTGGTTCAGATTTCTTCTCGGGTGGATGATGCCTCCAAAGATTTCTCTTCTCAAGGCTACTCAAGGTGAAGCAATCAGGAAATATTACCATGACATGCATGTCATCCAGGACTTGCTTATTCCCCTCTACAAACTTGGTGATGCTCTGGAATGGATCCACAGGGAAATGGAGGTAGTTAATTTATCTATCTGATCTGATTACTAATCACTTTCTAGAATTATGGATTGGATTGGATTGGATTGGTTTTCTTGATTGTTGTTTCCAATCCAGGTCTATCCCATTTGGCTCTGTCCTCACAGACTATTCAAACTTCCAGTGAAAACTATGGTGTATCCGGAGCCTGGATTTGAACTGCAGCTCAGACAGGGAGATACGCTGGAAGCACAGATGTTCACAGATGTTGGAATTTACTATGCTCCCGGGCCTGTTTTAAGAGGTGAGGAGTTTGATGGAGCTGAGGCAGTTCATAGAATGGAGAATTGGTTGATTGAGAACCATGGTTTTGAAGCACAGTATGCTGTGTCCGAGCTGACGGAGCAAAACTTCTGGAGAATGTTCGACTGTGAACTTTACGAGCACTGCAGGCGCAAGTATGGAGCCGTAGGTACCTTCATGAGTGTGTATTACAAGTCCAAAAAGGGTAGGAAGACCGAAAAGGAGGTTCAGGAAGCCGAGCAGGCCATTCTTGAAACGCCACACATGGAAAAAGCTTAGTGATGAAAAATGTATCGGGTTGCGCTTGTATTGTAGCATTCTCAAAAACTGGTTGAACCACACTAGTCAGTATATTTTCAAATCTGTTTCAGGGTCTCTTGAAAGAAAGGGGATTTTTTTTTGAAGTTTGAAAAGGAGAATTCCTTCAACTGGACTGGAGACAGCTTTCCAAACCCTATTGGCGGTTGGTTGGAAATGTTACCGTTAGAGACTTTTAATTGAACGTTCGTCTTTCTACTTGCCGTTATATATACATATATATATATATGTATGTATGTATTGTTCACAGGGAAGGGACGCCATTGAAGAAAGAGGGTTGATCGATCGTTGGTTGTTGATTTGTGGGAGATGGGGGCTGTAATAGTGTTATCTCTGCCGTTGATTCTGTTTGCTTTACTGCTGGGGGTGGGGTGCTACCTATGCGGACGAGCCAAGGGCAGGCGAGAAGCATATGCGAATGCCCAGGTATTCGGAGCCCCAGCTCCACCTCCGGGCAGCGTCGCAACCACCACCACCATTTCTTCTTATTCCGACAAAGCTTCTTCGCGTGTTTGATTTGCGATCTGATCTGCAATGGCTTTTGAAACTTTTTGAATGTGTCTGTGGGTGAGAGCTTGTAATTACATTACATACACATGTCGGATTGGATTTGAATTGTCCCTAGTAAATTATCCTAAATTTTAACCCTATCTAAATGCAGCCTGTCTGTCTGTCTGTGTTGATACTTGGTAGTGTGTGTATGGTACATACATAACATGATGGAAACACGAATCTTCCAACTCACTTTTCTTGGTTGGTTGGGTTGCGTCGTCTGAAAATGATGATATGATGATGATCCGATGCCCAAACCCCATCAAACCAATCGCAACCATCCAGCTCAGCCCAGAATAATACTCAATCCAACCTTATCCGCCTTCACAGCCACTAATCCCTTCTTTCCCCATATCCAACAAATCTCACCATCATCCCCCCCCCCCCGCCTCCTCCTCCTCCTCCATACTACCACTACCTGTGTTTTTGCAACTCTCATAATCAATCTCATCTCATCCCTCTGAACAACAACCACTGCAGCAGCAGCAGCAGCCGGTAATAATAACAATAGTCATAATAATGTCGCTCACCATCCCCACAAATCTCTCCAAATCCATCACAACCCCCAAATTGGCTTCTCAGTTTGCCACAAAACCCAGGGCCGCCACCGTTGTTTGCCAGGCTACTTCTCCCAACCAGTCTGCCGAGCAGTCTTCCACGAGTTCCCAGCTCAAGGCGCTTTCGGCGGCGCTTGCTTTGTCCTCCATCATCTTATCCGCTCCAGTCTTGCCTGCTTCCGCAGACATTGCAGGCCTGACCCCTTGCAAAGAATCCAAGCAGTTCCAGAAGCGGGAGAAGCAGGAGATCAAGAAGCTTCAGTCTTCCCTCAAGCTCTATGAGCCTGACAGTGCACCCGCTCTCGCCATTAACGCCACCATCGAGAAAACTAAGCGCAGGTAATTCCGACAACTCAACCAGCCTTAAATTGAGGTTGCGTTGGCTAATGGCTTGAATCTTGGGTGCTTGATTGATTGCTGCACAGGTTCGATAACTATGGGAAGCAGGGGCTGCTGTGTGGATCCGATGGGCTCCCTCACTTGATAGTGAGCGGTGATCAGAGGCACTGGGGTGAGTTCATCACCCCGGGTATCTTGTTCTTGTACATTGCTGGATGGATTGGGTGGGTTGGAAGAAGCTACCTGATTGCAATCAGGGGTGAGAAGAAGCCCGCGATGAAGGAGATCATCATCGATGTTCCACTGGCCAACAGTCTCGTCTGGAGAGGTTTCATCTGGCCTGTTGCTGCCTACAGAGAGTTGGTCACTGGAAACCTCATCGATCCCAACGTCTAATATTTCAATTCTTGTATCTGTCAATACCCCAAAGCTTTATCCTTCTCTGCATCTGTTATGCTTGCTTTTGCTTGATTCTGAATATCAAATGTATCGGAGAATTGCAACGACTCGACTTGGAGAAGAGAAACTGGCAATCAAAGCCAACACCTGAATTCTCATACAAAAAAATTGAAACACGTATAATATAATATACTAACTACATACAAGAAAATGAGTGCTGCTGAAGGAGCAGAAAAACTGAAAGAATTTAACATATTAGAATATTGTGGGCTGTCCCGTATACACCAAATTTCACTACATTCTACTGTCTTTGAGGCCAACCAGACTTGAGCAAGGTTCCACCAAATTCCAAGATTGCAGGCATTACCATTGGCACCTAGTCTTTTTATATCTTTACAGATGAAAATCATTCCATAAGTTGAGGCGTCGCAACCATGCCCTTGCCCCTGCCCCTGCCCCGGTGCTTATTGGAGAAATTAACAGGAGGCATCAAGTGTTTCGCGAGGCTAGAAAAGTGTATGTACGGTGCAATACAGGTCTACACTACACATTTGTCAAGCATACATACATACAGGAGGAACCAATCTCCACCTCATCGCAATATTCTGCAAACTTCTTGACTGACTGAGCCCCGATTACAACAAGAGAATTTGGGAGGGATCTCTCAATTTCACCTGCTCCAACAAGCACCGTGGAGGCTTGTGCATCACTCGATCAATCTTCAACAGTCATTGCATTGTCCTGGTTAGTTTGCACTTGGAAATGAAGATTGTATCAGAATAATTCAAGCTGCAGAGCTTCAGCAGCTCAGCTGCACGCTGTTTCAGCATGGGTCTGTAACCACTTTGGAGGACAAGGAGGAGCTTTGCTGCGAGGCCAGCGTCCACAGCTATCAACGAGCACTCCTCCGGGGAAACTTTGCACACAGACCATAAGATCGAAAGAGCATATTCAGTGCAGCTTTCAGAGATCCTCATTAACAGTTTGACTGCATTTGGGATTGCGTTGGGACAATCCTTTAAAGCTTGTCTTCCTTCGGGTTCAGAGGACAGCATATCCAGTATGAAAAGGGCTAACTCCACACATTCAGGATTCAATATGGGGATCAACTCTACCAACTGAGGCACTGCTCCAATGCTCACAATTAAACTCCGAACTTGCTTGTGCATGCTAATTAGCTTGAGAAGACCGAGACCTGGTAAATGTCCGTTAGGATGTCTCCTATCCCTCACCAACCTTAACAAAGCAACCAACAAGATATGGCTCGAGACAATTTCTGTGCGGAAATCTTTCCCTTCCATCAATGTCTGAATCAGCCTAATGCAATTCACCTTGGTTTCCAATGACCCTTCATTCAAAATATCGACGATGGAGGATACTTTGGCAGGTTGCATCAAATTTGTCCTTGATTCTGAACTTAGGATCAAATTCACAAGAATTGCTATTACTTCAGAGCCCACAGCATACGAAGTAAATGGACCGAGTAAAGATGAAAGAAGAGCCACCCCACCTTCATCAACAACAGCCTTCCTAGCTGTTGAATGATTTGTAACAAGTTGCTTCAGCTCCTTGAGTGTTTGGATTCTAGCCTGGCCCTTAACCTTTTTAAGGGTACCGAGAAGCTCCATTGCCACTCCTTGTGCATCCTCAGATCTCTTCTTCATTTGAACATACTTCTGCGAAAACCAAGTGTATATCAACTGGTACAGCGTGGTGTTTGGCGTAGTGGTGTCATCCCAAAGTTCTTGCATAGTGGTGGGACAAGTGTAGTGCCCCAGGCTAAACCATTTGAGAATATTGAACTTCTCATAGGTTTGGCCAGTGCAAAGGGTAACAGGATCCTGCATAGGTTCGAGAGAAATAGGACAAATGAACACCGAGGGAACTTCATGCAAATTTAGCTCTTCGATCATCTTCTTCAGATCCAACTTATCCCCAAATCCACCACCGTAGCCCCCATTCGACACCCCACCCAAGACTCCATCTTTGACTGCAGTATCTAGATCTAATATACGCCCATCTCCACCCCCTTCAAACCCGAGAATCCCCTCCTTCTTAGAAGGTCGAAACATAGGCATCTTGGCAACTCTCTCTCCTTGGTTAGATAGCAATCTGCTCGATTACCGAACAGCACCAACGCCAACACCCTGCACTGCAAATGTCTGTCTCTTCAGAATCTCCACACGCTTAGCCTTTCAAGAAAGCACATTGCATCCACACTCCCTCCACATGTGTGAAAAAGAAGGATAAAGGGAGAATGAAAACTTCCTCAAAGTATCTCGCTTTCATTGACATTAACAGCCAACATGCATTCTTTCAAAGGGTATAGTATATCTTTTAATTGTCCCCTCCTCCCCCTCTATTTCTCTCTCGCTTTTTTCACTTTATCCTATTTTTCTCTTTTTTATTTTTTTTCTGCGGTCAAAAGACTAATCAGCACCATCATTCAACACATCATAGAACATTCATAATCGACAATCTTTCCCAAAAACTAACCCTGCCTTTCTTCCCATTCAAGCCTCAAAAAGACTTGAATCATAAAATAGATGGGACAAGATGATTAACAAAAATCCCCACCAGACCGAGATCCGGAATGCAAAAAGAAAAAGACCCAAATTTGTGCAACACGAAACGGAATCAAAAATGAAAGAAATAACTGAGGCCCAGATCAGAAGAACCTGCCCAGAAGATAGATATTAGAGAAGCAGTGCAGTGCAGTGGGAGCAGAGATAGTTGGATGGAGAGCAGAGAGAGAGAAAGAGCATCTCATCTATCTCCTCACTTCACCAGACCTCTTCTGTTCTTTTCATTGCTTTGCTTTCGGGGCCAGACCACCAGACCCACCCACTTGCTGTCTCTGCTGCTAATGTAGCCTTGACTCCATCTCCATCTCCATCTCCATCTCCATAACCATAGGATTAATAAATGCTAATCTGGAGACAAAACAAATAAAAATTCCATATCTTGTCTCGATGTAGCCAAATTTTCGAATTTCAATATCTTTTACTCTACTATTAAGTATTGGTTGGAAATATCACAATTATTATAAATTAATAAATAAGTCATAAACAGTGGTGGGCTGGGCAGTAGGCAGGCAGGCAGCGAGCGCCGTGACAGCGGCCGCTCGGACTTTTCCCGTGTGCCTTTGACTGCTTTTTTTTTGTTTTTTTTTCTCCTTTTGTCTCCAATCACCTCTTGACACGTCTCTACTTGTTTATTTTTTAAATTGTAATTTATTAAAGCACCTAACTTCATTAATAAGGTTATATAAATATATGAGAGAGAGAGAGAGAGAGAGAGATTATTGATTTGTAAAGCACTATAAATAATTATGTTTACACAGTAATCGATTTATTCCTGTGGAAATGAATAGTATGCATATATAACTAGGACGATGAGATCATTTTCTTTGTTATTTTTATTTTGCGGTGGGCCCAAAGTGAGCCAGCGAGGCGTTTGACCGCGACAGTTGGTTGGACCGGCTTTTGCTTTGACTGACCCTGAACCCAATTACCTACTGCCAACTCAGCACCATGGGTATTTGTGAGGTGTACGTAATGCTGGTTTGTTTCATTATTAACTAATGCTTTTAGGATCTGTGCATTTATTGTCATTATTATTTGTTTAGATGAAATCATTATTATTAACTAGTGTGCACCATTAATTAATTGCGTATTTGGTGAATTATTACTTCATATTAAGGCTATTTATGCCTAAGAATCTGTGCTGATACCAGGCCAATCCCGACAAAAATAAAATGAAGGGGTATTCAAGTTTTCAAAATTTAAATTCTTAAAAATCGGAAGAGATTATTAATGGATGGAGAAGAGAAGAGAGGGCAGGCCCACTTTCATTCCCTTCTCTGAAATTAAATGCAAAATAATTAATATTGTTTGAATGGCCTCAAGGGTAGGGTATTGTGAATGTTGTAATGTGAAGGATTTGAATGCAAAAAAGCGTGTTTGAACGTGGTTGTCGTTGATTAATTAACAAGGTCAGGTCAGGTCAGGTCTCTCTTTGTACAACAGAAGAGAAGAGAAGCTAAGCTGCATGAGTAATTTATTTATGTGAAGAAAAAAACAGAGAGAGCAGTGGTTAGCGAGCTATGGGTACAAGCTGAGGGAGGATCTTAAGAAAGTGTAGCAGTATTTGTTGAGTTGAGTTGAGAGTTGAGAGTTGGGAGTTGAGCTGAGCTGATGATGACGACGACAATGACAATATGACAATGATGATCCGAAATCCAATCCAATCCAATCCCATGAGAGTCAGCAAAGACTCGACTCCACCAAACTAGTTTGACCATTAATAAGTAAATAAATACTAATACTAATACTAATATTCTTTTGGCAATACCACCAACCATTTCATTATTAACTTCATTCATACCTCATCATCTCTGGTTTCTCTGGCCAACCCATATCTGCTATCATTTCCATTTCCATTTTCACTCCATGATCACAACAATAATACTACCACACCACACTCAAAAGCCCACTCCTCCTCCCTCCCTGTCCTTTCCAAATTAAAATCTACTCTTATCATCATTATTGTTGCACAAGAGCTCACTGCTCCTTTGTTCCATTGCTTTCATTCTTCGTTGAACTGTCACCTTACCTTATTAAGTAATACTAGTAATAATAATAATACAATCAACTGATACTAATTTCGAATATCCACCACATTCCCTCTCCCTCCATATCTACATCCACATCTACGGACCTTAACTTGTATTTGTAGATTCCGAATCCGAATCAGCCGGATCACATACCCAACTTGACACTGAATCTGATGCTTGACTCTGGTGTCTGAAGCCCTGAGAAGTAGCATGTTGATGGGGAGGCGTGGGGCGGTCCTGCCCTTCACTGGCAAGCCGACCCAACATGTTCATAAGTGTAGGGGGGAATCTCCTTGATAAGGCAAAAAGCCCTGGCACCTGAAACAAGGTTGTAATTGAATTCCATCACCCGAAACATTTTAAGGTTGGCTACGCACAAGGGAAGGGATATCTAATTGTAGGCCTTACAATGCCGTTACCAAAGATTCCTGGAATGTCTGTCTGCACCCATATGGCTTTTCCGAGCAAGTATGTCACAAATAATACTACAAGGTAAAACGGATTCCTGCGCCGACCCCAAAAGTTTTACAGCATAGAAAACTATCTCATGTCCAGAAAAATCGACACAAGTTATGATATGTAGGCACACCTCAGAAGCAGCATGAACTCATTGAACCCAAGTACTGCCATTGCCACAATTGCCCAAGGTGGGGGCAGCCAATTGTTACCTCGCTTGTGCGCCTCCTGTACAATGACCAAAACAGTACATTGTAAGACAATAAAATGGTAAGAAATATAAACCAGTCCAAAAACAAATACTTGGGAACTTCTAGGTTGTCAAACCTGTGCAGAAACTGCTTGAGTGACATTATATTCGGTTTCTGCCATGAACTGTCTCCACAATGCTCTGCACTGAATCGGTGTGATCAATGTCTTTTCTGGAGGAACCTGTATAAGTTTCGATGATGAGGGACAAATAGGTATTAGTTAGGATAAAGCTTAACCAGGTTTGTTGATCAAGACCTCTCTCCATGTGCTTGAAGCAAGAGGATCTCCCGACACTCTAAAATCCCTGTCCCGAGAATGAACAGAGCCTGTGCCATCCATGAAGGCAGAAAAAAGCACACGTTCTACATTATCCTTTGTATCATCCAAACGTATGACAGCCAGCGTGGCCAAAAGCTTCATAGACTACAAACAAACAATTTGTAAGTAAGAAAGTCACTCTGGACATAGGTTGTCATTGCATCTACCCGTCAGAGTTACCTCAAGCCGTGCCTCCCTTGTAATTGCTCTAATGTCTTCCTTTCCTGTCCAAACCCTTGGCATGGAATCCTTGTCATGATTGAAGACAGAAGCAAATCTGACAGTTTTTGCTACATAAACAACAACCAGGATGGATTTAAACAAAAAAAGAACTCGAAGACAGATGTCAAGCCAACCTATCCTTCATGCGAATCAGAACCTTTCCAGCCTCGTCTCTTGACTTTTTCTCCACCAACTTTCTAGCATATTCCTTCAAATTCTGCACCAAATCGTCAATGGTTGCCTGGTCCAATTCAAAACCAGTCAGGGCAGAAAAGAAGGCTGATGCTGCCGCATCACTCTCGCGTTTAAGGAGACTTCTTATAGAAGCCCATGTGTCTGTCCCAGGAGCTTCAGAAAGGGACTCCAATGGTTCATTGAGCGCTGCAGAAACTTGCCTCTGCATAAAGAACCATTTCCAGTTGAGCACTATGTCCAAATCTTAATAAAACAACATAAGTGATAAAACCAAGACAAGAAAACCATGTCTGAGCAAGGGAAGAGAAATATTTACAACCAAGGGCACAAACCTCATACTCTGCTAGCAGCTGTGACAACCTCTCACTACGAACATGAGATGTATGAGCTTTAAGATTCCGAGAAAGTTTCTCCCGCACTTTAGAAACATCCCAATTAGCCTGCTGTATGGCAGCATCTGAAACAGGGGAAAACATGGAATGATGGGAGTATATAATATAATATATACAGGACAAAGTATTAAGCATGATAGGCAACATTCCAATCAGCATTCATGCAAGATGCAAGCCCTGAAATTAGTTGCAATTTCTACAGCATATAAAAGGAAATTATGTGATTCCAAAGGTGTGAAAAAATATACAGATGATGCATGCTCATATAACTTGTGTAGTTTCAATGTGCCACCTGCAAATTCATTGTCGAATTCAAGCATTGCATAATGCTGGCATGTGCGTGCTGAAGCAGCAAACTTTTCTCCTCTATCCAAACATCCTTCTAGTCGAGTCTTGAAATTGTTAAATGCATTTGAATGAAGATGCCCCAACATAGTTATGTAAGCTGGATAGACCATCTGAAGAATTTATACAGAGGACTCTAATTATTAAAGTCAATCCTCAACGAAGCAATGAAGGCACTAGTTTTCTTCATATGTTAGGGTTTATCATTATACTCATATGCACTATCAAGCAACAATCTTGAGAATGAACCAAAGCAATGTAAATAACATTTCCCTTGCCTGCAACGCCTTGGACTCCAAATACCGGCGCTTGGCATTTCTCACATTTTCTTCAAAATATTCAGATTCTGCATCATATCTGTGAAGTGTTGTAATCTATCCATCAATAAATGTTACTAAAATTTCTTAACAATGGTTATAAATTAGATTGCAGCGAAAAACGAGTATCTACACCAAACATTTTACTTTGACAATGATCAGTAGGTCCATCCGTATTAGAGCTAATACTAACATAATATCAATGATATCCATAACAAACCAGTCAAACAGAAAACTTGTGAGAGACTAACATACCCAAAATTAAGTAAATAGTCCTTTGGAATCATAAAAATGATAGTAACTGTAAATAGGTCTTCTGCAATATATCCATAGTGGAGCAACTAATCAATAGAAGACTCATTCCTTTTGGTATATGTTAGTATGTGGAATCGTGGATGGTAAGCATTCATAGTAAATCTGTCAATCGTTACGTAAGTATGCGAACATTGAGGCATAGATGAGCTCATGTACAAGAATGAACAGAAATAGTTAAATACACTTTGGCATACACATCAAATACATCGGGATCACAACTCAGAAATATAAAAACTAAAGAAAAAGCCTCTGAAAAGCTAAAAGCAATAGCATAGCCAGCTTACTCTGATAGATATGCCTTCAAGATGGAACTTATACTTTTTCCAAAACCGGAAACTGCCCCTGTTTGTATAGCTCGCTCCAGGGCTAACCAATTCTGTGTAATATTAGGATCTAATCACTAATGTTCAATGGCATAGTTTCACAACTGTAAAGTTCAAAGGAATCAAAAGACCTCATCAGATGCCAATCCATCAAACTTCTCATTGGCAATCTCTTCACATCGCACAGTAGCAACCATAACCTACATATACAATAGTGACATTATCTAAAATTTCAGACGATAACATCCACCTTCAAACTGGTTATGCATGTGTACCTTATGAGCAGGAAGGTCAAGATCCTTATTTTCTTTGATAACTTTCCATATTTGCTCTGCACTGAAAGAAAATCCTGAAGCAGGAACAACACCTTGTCGATCACCAGCAAGTCCCCCTGGAGATATAGAATTGAAAAATCGCTGCCTAAGCTGGGCCACCTGTAAGGTATACACTATTGAACCGCCCTTTGAGAACAGCTGAGGTTATTGCAGCTTAATAGAGTTACCTGTTCTTTAAATTGTTCTTCTTTCTCCTCATAACTGGACAAGGCAGTAACTTCCACCTATTTGTCCAAATGTGGAAAGCAAATAAGAATGAAACAAAAGAGAACTAGAATTATCTAAGAGAAACTGAGTTAGATATATTTCTTGCATTGAAAAATTCACTCAAAGGAGTGTCCTCGTGCTCCTGTGGCTTAGAGACTTTTTCCCATATCTGAAAAGGCAGTGAGAAACCCAGTTACACCTTGAGAACAGATAAAGCTTGAAGTAAAAGAATGTTTTGCCCCGTTCACCTTCTGAATATCCTCTCTCAAGATAGGTTCCAAGTATTCAAAAGGGGTCTACAGAAAAAATAAAGATTGATCACCTTTAACAATAAGATGAAAACATGCCATGAGTATGCAAGCACTTGCCTATCCCAGCATACCTTTGTTTTGTCACGTATAACAAAGAGAAGGGTTGTCTTACGCGGACTAAATAAGCGCATCATAACCTATCAAAGCATCAAACAGTGTCACAGAGAACAATAGATGTCATTCCCATCTTAAGTACAACGATACGCACCTGAAACACAACTTTCAGAAGAGGTCTGTTTGCAGCTTGCTCACGACCTATGTCATGGCACCATCTGCAACAGGATAAACAATTGATATTCAACAAACTACACAATACAATTGTTTGCAATTTCTGGTTTGTAAAATCAGTACAAGCTTTTGAGGGTTTAGAAGACTCTGCCTGCTGCCTAGAACAAAACTCTTTACACGTTCAAGATTGTTTTCAATTTAATAACTGGAAAACAGATGATTTATGCACATAACATTAACTTTTACAGCTTGTGTGTGTGTACATTCGTGTGTGTGAATGTAACACACACACACACACACATATATATATATGAATCAGTTTACTTGTGTGCGTATTTGGGTTTAAAACTTACATAACTATTATAATTCAAAGATGAATCAATTTGAAATATGGAAGCAGTAAAAAAAATTGAGGGGTAAAATACTTACAAACAAAGCTAACAAACATGGAGCTACAAGATGAAAAACTTACATGTTTATGAGGACAACATCAGCGACAGCTAAAGCAAATAGTGCACTTTGTTTTTCAAATGCCGTATCATCCTGAAGGCCACATTTTTAATTAACGAAAATGAGGAATCGTCTAGTACATGCCCTTACAGATGTAAAAGATAAACCTGAGTTAGCATAATCTATGTACTTTTAACTCTGCAAGCATCTTATCCACATACTCAGTATCATATTAACCAAGAAAGATGATGCAGATTTGCATTTACAAATGATAAATGTGATATCGGATGCAAGAAACATAAATGGATAAGTGTCACCCCTAGTAGGGCACAATCAAAACAGTGACAAATGTTTGTAGCCTACACATTTAGATAAATAAGTATATCAAAATTGCATTAGACATTGAGTGAAATTTTGTTAGACTGCCTCAGCAAGGAACAGAATAGTTACAACACTGAACTATCATAGGCTAAAGAAACTAAAGAAAAGAAATATACCTCACCCCTTTCTCGGCCATCGGTGCCCTCCAAGTCCATGACAATTGTAAAAGGCTCAATACCAACAGCCTTGGCTATCCATACACCTTTAGTGGTTTGATTCCTAGGAATCGAAAGGTAATATTTTTTAACAAAAAATTGATAGTCTCCAATTTATAATACTTAGCTTGAGACATTGATGTCTCCAAGACATATTTAACCAAAAAAAATAAAAGTAAAAACTGTAAGAGGCAGCTGATCCAACCTTCCGCTGTACGCATCCATCTCCCTGAAGTTCGTATAAAACAGATGATTTAACAAAGTACTTTTCCCTGAGAATTATTTCCATGAATTACTTTATAAAGAAGAGATTAAAATCGTAATCTGGGAAGCTAATAATAAATATCGAATGAAGGAGAATACTACACCAAGGTGAAACACTTTCGAAACAGTTCCAACTAATCAAGATTTCAATCTGAATACAAAAGAGTTACATTCAAAGCGGTATAATCCATTGAGAGCCAATATCCAGCTGAACATAAAAATGAATTCAGCACTACATTATAAAGATTCAACTAGATGACGGCATCCTCACCAGCCAATCAAGGTTACATAGTAAACAAGGGAAAAACCAATTCCCAACTCTCCAAAGTTACAATAGTTCAATAGACAGCAAACAACCAAAGCAAATGGCAAAAATACCGCTACTCTGAGGGCCCATGATGGCAACGACCGCGTAGGAGAGGCCACACTCATGAAGCTTTACGGAGTTGATGAAGTTTCGCAAGTCAGCCGCATTGAAATCCCCATCGCCGGAAATCAACTGCGTGGGGAAAGATTTGTCAGCCATCTCAGCCACCAGCACCACCCGAAAATATTGGTGAAATTTTTTAAATTCTACAGCAGTATTTTATTTCCCAAGCTGCAAGAACCGAACATATCCGGAAGAAGAGAAGAATATGGGCGTCCTAGATTCGCGCGATTGTCAAGTCTTGATTTTTTCAAATGACAATCTCAGTAAATTGTAATTACCAAGAAACCCTATACTAGAGCAGTTTCGGAGACAGACAGGGTTAGGAAATGGAAATTTAGAACCCATCGCCCACCACGCCGCTGTCTTAACCCAGTGATCGGTGACACCGACTATGATCGCCCACCTTTGCTAACAGGCGACACAGGACACAACTATGTTTTCAAGAAAATGATGACTCGCATTACGTCATCCATTGCTGGTGCAGATAATCTGAACCAAAAAAGGAAAAAGGGAAAGGAGAACAAGTAGCAATTATATTAAATTTGGGCTTTGGAGGTGTGGGCCGATCTGGAGGATACGTGAAACAGCAGGGAGAGGCTACAGTGTACAGACCTTCGTTCTAGACAAAACCCTGCATTTGGTTTCTGCTTGGGTCGCTCTTTATTATGTTATGTTGACACAGTGATCATTACAGTGGTCATTCGTATTCGTATAATGTTACAAATTACTACAATAATATGGGGGAGGAAATCAAGAATGCCACCAAGAATCCTGAGGGAAGGCAGATTAGCACATGTCATAAATGTGGTATTATTGATCTATATCAGATTAAATAAAATACACTGATACGACCGTAAAAACATGAATGAACAGAGAAGGGTCAAGGGTGCTGATAAAAAGATCACATAAATTTCAATTTGGGGGCATTGAGGACGTACTTAGGAAGTTGGCAGGCTAGAGTCCAAGAAGTAAGAACGATGGTGACGTGTCAAGGTCTGAGTGGGGCCCAAGGGTGGGTGTCCTTGATCGGTCAAAGTGCCAGAGACAGTCAAAGAAGGGTGTCCTACCTGGCAGAGCAGAGCATAAAGTGGAAAAAGTTGGATGACGTGGAATCCCTCGGCTTTAATTGCTCCTGATGAGAGTCCTGACTCACACACACACTCTCTCTCTATTAGCTGTGGCCACCCCACCCCACCCCGCCCCATTGGAGGATGGATGGTCTCTGATCAGATCTGACTACCATTTTCCAGTTTCCACACCCACACCCCCCTCTAAACTTGGTTTACTATGAGCTGCAGCCATGGGATTAGAGGAAGAAGCCAATGATTAGTGCACCATCGCCGGCTGCTGATCGAATCTATTGTGATCGGCCTCTTGGGAAAAGTGCAGTAGCAGTAGTAGGTGTGGTATAAACAACATGCAGAGAGAGATAGAGAGGAGAGAGAGAGAGCATGGGGGAACCATCAATTCACCTCGATCAACTGGTGTTGTCGTCCAATTTTTTGATTTTGATTGGAATGGATCTGTGAGTTGAATTTTTATAATTTTGTTGGACTGGACATGCGTCAGTGCAGTGCAGGCAGCATCTGCTGCTGCACAAAGCTTCTACAGCTTTCACGTGGTTTACTTTTGCATACAAGAGAGTTAATTTTTCTTTCAGGGTCAGCCACCTCGCTCCCTTAATTCACTTTCTCGCTATAATAATAATCATTCTCGTAAATTTTCAATGAGTTCAACACATTAGTGTATGTACAGACAGATATGCTTTAAGTAAAATAGAGTATTATGAAGAAAGTATAGAGAGGTTAGGTTATAGGGAGGGAGGGAGGGTGAGATGGACAGGAGAGTGAGACGTAGTATTCACCATCTGAACTTGCAAACCAAATCTACACAGCAACTTGAAAGGAACCCTTCATAAGAATGAATTTTACACAATTCGGGAGGCCCACCGGATGAAAGCAGAAGGGTTCTATTTTAGAATGATGTAAATCAAAATAGGCAGGAATGGAATGGAATGGATTTGATTTGATTATATCATTATCACTCATATTAACAGTGATCTTCATCTTAGCTTCATCAGTTGATCCCTCCCACCACGTAAGATTAGATTCGAATTTCCATACATACATACATGTATTTGCACTAGTCGGATTATTATTTAGTATTTACAGTACCGATGGACGAAATATAAAAAGATCCCTTTTTTCTCCTTCTCATCTTCCTCCTTCCTCCTAGGAAGTTCCTCCGACCCCTCTCTCTCTCTCTCTCTCTCTCTCTCGTTACTTTTCCACTTTTCAGTGATGACTCCACTGCTTCCAGCTGCTTTGTAGATTGCTCCTAGCTAAATAATCAGTCACCCAAGCTTCTCGCTGTCTCTGTCCCTGTCCCCGTCCCTGATCGAGGCTGCAGCATTGCATTGACTGCCATTATTTATTCATTTATTAATTAATTAATTTATCATATTCTTTCTTAATTCATTAATTGCAGCGCTGCATGGACCGGAGGAGTGAAGGGCCGAGGGAGAGGGAGAGGGATTACAGGAAGGGAAACTGGACCCTTCAAGAGACCATGGTTCTTATCGAAGCGAAGAAGATGGACGACCAGAGAAGGATGAAGAGGTTTGGGGACAGCAGCGAGAGGGGCAAGCCGGCCGAGCTGCGATGGAAATGGGTGGAGGACTACTGCTGGAGCAAGGGCTGTTTGAGAAGCCAAAATCAGTGCAACGACAAGTGGGATAATCTCATGAGGGATTTCAAGAAGGTGAGGGAGTACGAGAGGCGAGTAGCGGCCGAGACAGCAGCAGCAGGAGGAGACCCATCTCAATTAGCTCAAGACAAGTCCTACTGGAGGATTGACAAGACTGAGCGGAAAGACAACAGCCTGCCTTCCAATTTGCTGCCCCAGATATATGAAGCCCTGGTCGATGTAGTCGACCGGAAAGGCCACCTCGGCGCCGGCGCCGGGAGTTCCACTGCCAATGTGCCCGCCACTCTTGGTCTTGTTGATAACCCCATTCTTCTTCAGGGTTTAGGTCAGCAGCAACGTCCCATCGTTCAGCATTCTGCAACTCTGGCCTTGCCATTGCCATTGCCATTTCCACTGCCACCGCCCGCTCATCAGCTTCCTTCTTCGCAACCCTTACCTACAGTAGGCTCTCTCTCTCTCTCTCCCTCTATATGTAAATTCATTCTGTACGTATATTATTATTATTTATATACATACCTAATTATCAATCTTGAAAACCCTGATCAGTAAGTAGGAGTAGGAGGAGGTTCATGGTCGTGGGTCGTGTGAGGTGGATTATTGATTGGAACTTGTGAAGAAAAAATGGATGCTTGAGCTGATGAAATATAGAATGAATTAACGAGGAGGCATCATTAATTAATTAATTTAATTAATTAAGAAAGACACACTACCTGAATCTAACATGTGATGTATTCTAATTCAGGATAAAATAAATTAAGGTTAATCTGTTGTTACATAATAAATCAACAACTTTCACCCTGCTATTTTATTTTCTTAATTAATCCCTCTCTGGCTATTGTAATTACCAATCAATCTGTATCTATCTGTTGTTTAAATTCAATTCCTTCCCTTCAAATGCTGTCACGGTACCCACCCCACCCCACTGACGATGATATGTTTATATTTGTGATAGTCAGATTCGGAAACGAGAGAGCAAACGGACTCACCATCGAAGAGGAGAAAGAGAAGAGGAGGAGGCGGCGGAGTAAGCAGCAGCGGTGGCGACAGGGAGACGACGAGCGGGGGAGGGGGAGGGGGAGAGGCATTGGGAATAGGGTCTGCAATATCAAGAAGCGCATCAGTGATAGCGGAAGCGATCCAGTCAGGCGAGGAGCGACAAGAGAGAAGGCACAGAGAGCTGTTGAGGGTGCAGGAGAGAAGACTGCAGATCGAGGAGTCCAAGGCAGAGATCCATCGACAAGGCGTGAATGGGCTCGTGGACGCCATTAACAAACTGGCCAATTCCATCCTCGCCTTCGCCGGCAACAGAACCACGCATCAGTCGCCTCCAAAATAGTACCCGCCTCTCTGTCTGGTTTCCCTCTCAATTCATTGATCAATTAATTAATTAGTTTACTTACATATTAATTCAATCGCGTACGTATGTATGTCTGTATGTATATACACAACACACATCGAGGAATGACGATGGTGATGATCATCATTCATTCATATTCATGAGTAGTAGATAGATGGTGTGGGTGTAGGTGGGTGGTCAAGGGTCAACATTGAAACTGTGATAGGTGATGACGGTGATGATGATGATCAAGTATTGCAGATGAGTTCAGTTGGCATTTATACACGTTGATGTTATTATTGGTGTCAGTCAGTCGGTCAGTCAGTCGGTTTTGTTGTTTATCCATGGCATGGCCCCTTCTTTCTTCTTTCTTTCTTTCTTTCTTTCTTTCTCATTATATATCGACAAACCTTGCCCTGCCCTTCTTTCCTTTCCTCACACTCACACTCAAAGGAAGGAAGGAAGGAAGGAAGGTCGGTCGGTCAGTCAGTCCGTCGTCGGTCCTCACTGCTACCTGCTGCTGCTTCATTTACTCAGACTCAGACTCAGACTCAGTCACTCACCCCTCATCGCTTAATTCATTCTTGTGCTACACTTGAGCTGTGCCGAGTCGTCATCTTAGTATAACAACAAGTGGTGATCATAATGACGAATTGATAATAGTACTAATAAATATGGATCGGATCGGGTCGGGTCGGAGGGGAGGAGAGGAGAGTCATTTCATTTGATGTACTACTTCCTCTACCCTATCGTGATCATCATTTAGATATAATATAACATTATTATAGCAACGATTGACCGAATCGTAATTTCTTCTGCCCATGCGACGAGCTGTGATAGCTACTACAGTCACTTGTACAAGCATCCAAACTAGACTAGTTATAGTCAGGTCTGTCCAGTTGAAAAATATTATATTATATTATATTATTTTATAAAAGGTGATCAATCTCAAAATTATTTCATTCAAACTTTTTATCATATAAAATATTTAATTTTTTTTCAGAAAACTCCAAAATCTCCGGACATTTCGAGAATAGGCCTCAAAATTGATTGGGTGTAGTTTCTCATCAAGTATATATTTTTTTATATTATTTAAATAAAATCAAAATCAAAATTGGGTATCAATTGGTCGGTCGATGGTTTACAGCCACAAACCTTTTTCTTTATATTTACATTACCTTATTATTATTATTATACATTCTTCTCTCTTTTCTTTTCGTCGACTCAAACTCAATTAAAACTCCTCTCATCTATTTTCCTTTTTTTTTATTATCGTACCTACCAAAAGATTGCAACTTTTTGTTGCACCACCAAGTTCCTTGCTTGGTTTTTTCTTTAATGGCATCAAGCGGAAACAAGAACATCAACGCCAAGCTGGTTTGTACTTTCTGTGATGATTCCCATATAATTTTGATTGATTTGTTTTGTGTACTATAATGAGGTTTTTATGTTTTGTTCTTGCGATTGACTTGAGAATTTTTGTGTTGATTTTGGATTACATGTCGTCGCTGTTAGTTCTTAACAACTGGTTTCCCCCCTTCCCCCACCCCTTGATTTTAACAAGTGCGAGTTTAGATTTTTACAAATTTCTAGTGTTTGCATCGATAGTTGTAAGCTACTTCCATCTAGCGTTATTCTCAATGTCACGCCATGGCGTCTCCCTTCAGTGAGGCGCCAGTCGCCCACTCTCTATGACTATCGTCATAGCAAATAGGTTCTTCACAACTTATTAAACATATGTTTGATTCCCATTATAACAATTGATTCCTGTCTTTGTTATTGTTCCACTTTTGATATGTAAATCTCTATACTACATATATATATGTACTGTATATATTAATGTTTACGCTTTAGCATCATGCTTTGGTTATCTTTTGGCAGGTTCTCCTCGGAGATGTTGGGGCAGGAAAGTCTAGTTTAGTCTTGCGTTTTGTGAAGGGTCAATTTGTTGAATTTCAGGTGATCTTAATGCCATTTTTTGTTTACTAATGGTCACATCATATTAAAAAAATTTTATGGTCTGTGGTCAGTAAATAAAGCTTTATGTTATAGGAATCAACAATTGGGGCGGCCTTTTTTGCACAAACAGTTGCTGTGAATGATGCAACTGTAAAATTTGAGATATGGGATACAGCAGGACAGGAGAGATACCACAGCTTGGCTCCAATGTATTACAGAGGAGCAGCAGCAGCCATTGTTGTTTATGATATCACTAATCAAGTAAGTGCCAACTTCTTAGCAAATCATGTGAGCCAGCATCAATGTCTATGTTTCCAGTCCAATGGCTCATGTTGCTAACACCAGACCACAGCTGAGCATTGTTTTTGTAGAAGCTGGTTCTAGTTGCATAACATGTTATTTAATTGTGCATCTTAGCTCCATCTGCATTAGCTCATGAGTTATATAACTAGCTTTAAATAAGCTAGCTGCCTGGTCTATATTTACAGTATCAGTTTGTGCCACATCACTGTCTTCACCTTCATGGTGCAAATGGATGAGCTAGTAATTACATGTATTGATCGTGGGGGACATTCAGTTGATGCTTTTTATATTTAATTGCAATTTAATGATAGTTGTTTCTACTCTGTAGACTTCATTTGATCGTGCAAAAAAATGGGTTCAAGAGCTCCATTCACAAGGTAATTTGTTATTCTCTTCAATTTAGCCATTTTGTCTTCTTGGCATCATTTCAGATTTTGCATTGGTAGTTAAAGAGTGCATATTCCGTTTACTTGTGCTGATATAACTTCCTAATGAGTGTGATATTGAAATTCTTGATGCTATATTATTTGACATCATTAGCAGGGCCAATAATCTATTCTTGTCATACATGCATACCACACAAATACTTTCAGGAAAAAATTCACACTATGTTAGCAAATTCCTTCAAAGGATAATCAAAAATAAAAAATAAATAAAATCACTATGGGTGGTCAAAAGGCTTGGATTTGAACTTATAGTTACTATGAATTCTGAAATCTTTGTTGTTGTTTTTTCCATCAGGCAACACAAATATGATTGTGGCACTAGCTGGAAATAAATCTGATTTGTTGGATAGAAGAATGGTAACAACCGAGGCAAGTGATTCTCCTTTATTTTTTATTTTTTAGTCTTTCTTTTTCGGGCTTGAGCCTTTTGCAGCCCTTACCTTTGAGTTCGTAATAAGGTTTTAGATATTACTGCAGTGTTACCTATTAATGCAATTATTTTGGGCTTGTATCTGAATGCATGAATGTACAATCTGATGTTATAAAGCTGAATGTGGAGTTTAAAAACAAAAGTGTACATGTGTGTTTGTTTGAGGGTTTGGATTTTGAGTTTGGGATGTGAATAGTAAAAATTTGAATTGGAATAGTTATATGATATGATATAAATAGGTGTGATGTAATGTTTTAAATGTAAAATTGAAATAAAAAATAGGTGTTTTGATTTGATATTTTTTAGGAAAAATAATTAAATGAATAGTTGAAATATGGAGAAATCTCCTAAAAGAACACGCATCTTTAAATTAGCATATAAGGGTTTTTCGAGTTGATGGTATGCTATGTAGAATGAACTTATCATATGGCTTTGGATCTGCTGCATTCGTTTCTCTTCTGGTTGCCTCTGGATTTCTACCTTACCAAGTTTGTTACACGATTTTGAGTTGAATTTACTGCAGGAAGCACAAACTTATGCTCAGGACAATGGTCTTTTCTTTATGGAAACTTCTGCAAAAGCCTCAACAAATGTCAATGACTTATTTTATGAAATAGGTAAAGAGTATTTGCTCACAAATTATCTTTGATTGTTTCGGTTGTGCCTGGGAACTCAAATTTAGCATTAAGGTATAAGTTTTTCGCCTTTTTTTGGTTCTGCCTCTGCAGCAAAGAGATTGCCCCGCCTCCAACAGGCACCGAACCTATCAGGCATGGTCCTTGTGGATCGTGCTCAACCTGCAGCAGAGAGGGCAGCCACTACTTCTTGTTGCTCTTAAAGTTTATTGCGAAGTTGGTGAGAACATAGCAAGGCTAGGCAAAATCAATGTCCTTGCTGTCCATATCTTTGACGAATTTGCGCCTCTTTGTACAGGAGTTGGGATTAGCTTTTCATATGGGTAGGATAGTCGCTCTCAATGCTTTGATATGCTGGATTTTATTGATTGAATTGCGGTTGATGATGATTTTATACATTGAATCTTACACATATGGTGTGAAAGTCAGTGACACATAATTATATATCGAAGAGAATTTGTTATGAGAAAGTAGTTCCTTTTTTCAGAGAGAATACAAGTTACTCAAGACAATCGGATAAAGTTTAGCAGCACAGCCAAGGATGCTATCCGGTCTCATTTATATTTGTTTCTCAGTTCCCACCCTTTGATTCTGTTCTCCCTTCCTTGTACAAGTATTCCTCCATGAAAACCTCCCCTATGCACCAAAAAATCCTCGTGCATAAAATAGCATGGGCAGACACAACTTGATTGGAATGTGTCACATTAGCAACAAATGGTGACTTGTGGATGAAGCGGCCAGTAAGTATCATTTCGTTTTTGCCAAAGTCTTCATCAAGCCCTTGACAATCTTCCCAAACCACATCAAGTTCATGATGCCAAGAGCCACCGGAACAAAAAACACCAACAGAATACCAGCAGTGTGCATTTGCATCACCTGCAAGTTATTTGAACAGACTCTTATGAATCACTCTGATACCAATTAACTTCCATGGTGTTATGACACTTGTCGATTATATGGCTATGGAACCTACCTGAGCATGATGGAGATAGACATGGTAAAATGTGTAAAGAAACAAAATAATTCTCGCCACCTGCATTTTAGCAACAATGTTAACATGATCAAGATGGAAAATGGATATGGAGTCTAATGTAGGAATATTCCGGAAGCAGAAATACTTACCAACCAACTTGAAAATATCAAAACACCGTTGATTAGGTAGGCAGTGGATTTCTTCAATCCAGCTATATCGAGGAACCTGGATAGGTTGCAGTCAAGATGCATCAGATATGCTGTCTTCCCAGAGAAGCATTTTCTTGAACATGCTTACCATCTCATATTGACTGTTGGAGTTGTGACCTCAGATATTAAGACCATGAATGTGTAAAGCTGTCCCTCCCCGGTAAACATGGAATATGCTACAGCAGTTCCGGAAAGAGAGTGGTGAACAACCTGGTGTCCATAAGCAACATGATTGTCACCATCTGTGAAGTGATTTTGGATTGGAATAAGGGGATTCCATAAAGATTGCATTTTGAAGGTATGAAACCAATTAATTCTGTTTCTTCACACAAGCAATTTACTTACATATTCTAATCCGCCCAAAGAAGGATAATACCAGCAAATCATAGCGAGGTCTGAAATGAAGTATCCAACAGACATCTGCCAAAATTTGGATGGTCAAGTGGAAAAAGTTACTACACACAACTATATGTAGTTAAAAGGAAACTTTTAATAAACTTGCCCAACATTGAAAAGATAACTAGTGAATACTTGCCCCCATTACAAATGTCGACAAAGGAGAACTTCTGAGTGTAACTAGCCCGACAGAGTTGTCATCAGAGAAAAGTTCAGAGAAGAACACAAAGTACAGGGACAAGATAGAAATAAAAATGGCATGAAGAGTGGACATCCCACTGCAGAAGTTCATTAACAGAGATGTCAGCACATCTAAAATGTGGATGAAAAATGATTAATTACATAAAAAAAAAATTAAACATATGTAAAATGGCACAAGAAAGTGGTTCACCGATTATTCCACTCAATTCTTTGAATCTTTGTGAGGCCATTGTAAGACCTGAAGTAAAAGGTACTGATGAGCTGTGTCAAGTCGTAGGCCTGCAGAGGACAAAAGAGAGATTCACATTCGGTGGTGTCCATTAGGAAAACAGAGATGGTATATACAAAGTACTGATTTTGGAATCTTATCTAGATGCACTTTTGCTATTGTTTCAATGTCACTAAAGAAACCTTACATCTGATACTAAAAAAGAAATCTCAATGCCGTGTTGGTACTCAAGATAAAATATAAGTTTGGAGCTCTCAAACACCAATCAGGCAATCATCGACAAATTCAGGTCTTCTGAGGCAGCTAATGATGCCATTAACTTACCATTTTGCATGTCACTACGCCACCAACTACAGAAGCATATGGAATATAAGGATCTGATAGGACATAGTTTCTGACAAGCACCTCTGCCTTGTTCTGATAAGATTTTAGTGCGAGCTTTCTTATAGAATGTGCCATTGCTCCCATTCACAGGATCATATATCTAGAGCATACTATTCTCAGCCTTCACCTGTTAACGAATTCACGCACTCAGTAATAGACATGGTTTTGCTTTAAATATAAAAAAAAAAAAAAAAAAAAAAAAAAAAAAAAAAAAAATGTGGTTGTTTCCATTGCAGCAATAACAAAAAAAAAAAAAGAAAAATTAAGATGCACAATGATGGAGTCCCTATAACTTTTGGTATGTTAATCTTTCACTGTAATGCCTTTTCCATACTACACAGAATCATTCTGGAGAAATATAACATTCAGCCTACACTAGGTGGACCACAAAATTTAATCGGACTGATCAGGCAATGTATTGAAGCTGAGGAAAGAAAGTACAATTAAATCTGAACACATTTAATGCATTTTTGCCTGAGATCATCAGGAACAGGGGCGACAAAATTGTTCCCATGGCATAATGAACTAAAATAACCAGTATTTGAGCAGTAAAGAAACTTGTTAATGCCACGATACAGTAAACGCAATACTCGACTCCACATAGGTAAGACTGCATTTAAGTTAGTTAAAAATTAGGAACAAAATCTAAAGTGGAGATCATCGCAACAATGCAACTGGTGAAGAAAATAAGCAAGGAACAGCTGCGCACAATCAGCACCTATAAATCACTTGTCAACCCAACAAAGAAATCATGCAAATCTCGGAAATTACACCAGGAGATCATCGCAGCGCTCAACCCAAAACCCACTAGTTGGAGAAGAGCTGCAGACTCGTAACTAACCCGCAAGATCAAAACCGCCAAGAATCCCAGAAATAAATGTGATTCTTCATTTCTATTTCTAGCAGTAGATGATGAATCAGAAAAACCACCCAGGACAACTCATTTAAATCAAACAATACGACTAAGAATCACATTCTCGGCGTGACAGCGCGAAAGACGGGACCTTGTTTAATGTTTATCTCCCCAGGTGGATTTGGGAGATTAGTAAAAACGCAAGAAAAAGGTGAGCTCAATGAATATCAGCGGGGGAGAGTCCAAAGACCCGTGGAGCAACAGCGAGAAACAAGAGCTGAATCGGGAAAAGGAAATCAAGAAATCAAGAAAATGAGGTGCGAAGATAATTTGTTTCTGGTCATTAATCCAGCTCGAGAGGTGGCCTCCGGTCGGTGTGGATGGATTGTTCAACGCGTTGGAATCTAATTGGCTGTTATGACATATGACAACCTCACCTCTCCCTGTAAACATGTTCCCATATTTGATACTCATATATGAAATTATTTCCATGTTGGCCCACTATGGACTTAGGTTATTATTATTACATATCTATCGAACGAACAACGAGCCCACTTGGATTTGAATTTGATCTAAAAGATGAAGAAAATCCTAAGCTCGAGGCTGGTTCGTGCTTCTGTACAATGCCCACTTTGCTTGGGCGTGAAGTGGAAGCAAGATTCATTGGAGAATTGGTTGAAGTATCCTCATCAAACACACACACACCATCTCACAACCAACTATACCTTTCCATTTCCATAAAGATCAAACAAGAAACTTCAAAGCTGTGATTTTTATTTAACCACAACATAGCGCCCACTTATTACATCAGTTCAGTAGATTGAAGCTTTACTCAAGATCTATGACAGTGTCTATCAGGAGATGGGTGATGAAGCTCCGCCTTTTCAGGCCTAAATGTGTGTACCGTACCAACATGACTTCGATCACTAGGAGATGTCGAGAATGCGCGCGATGAAGCAGATTGATGGGAACTTGAGAGTTGGTCTTAGGGGTCCCTGATTTACCTCCTTCCCATGCAGCCATGCTGCCTCCACTCTATTATTTAGCTCATCTCTCCGAATGTTGGGTTCTACTGCGTAGCATTTGACTGATGAAGGTATATATATGTGCTCCCTTTGTCTCTCAAACTGCCACAAAATGGAAACACACATTTATATGGATTGCAAAATTGCTGTTCTTATTGTAGACATGGAAGGCCAATGATCGATGATGCTCGGACAATACTTGGCTCAGAAAGCCCCCATCTGAAGGCTTCCTCGTTGCTATGCCTTCGCGCATGTACTCCTCTTCTGGAGGTGTGTACTTCATTTTCTTCCCGCTTTTTAGCCTCCATAAAATAATGCTACTGATCTAAACTATGTATCTGCTCAAGTTGTCATGTTCTTATTCTATTGGGTATTTGGATTTTGAAGTCTCAAGTCTTGTTGGAATGGTTAGACTGCATTAAAGGGTTGAGAAAATGTACATACTGTTTAATTCCAATGCTGACCCAAAACGATCTCCCTTGCTTCTCCAGTCCCTTCAAGAAGTTGCAACAGCGCCTCTTCATATTGTCTTGAAGTCTGTCCACCTGCAAATTCATTACATGCATTGTATCATGAACACATGCATCAGCGCAGAGATAATGAAGGTTACTGTCTTACTTTTGCTGACACTTCAATTTGAAGTTCAGCAGTATGCATCATCGACACCAGTCATATTGGAGGGGTGGCCCACTAATATCTAAAATTAGGGACAAAATTCCCTTGCAGATGTTCGTCTATACACAAGAAATTATTATAACTTGCATAAGCTAAAAATCAGAAGTTATTGACGAAGCAAGCTAGGCTTGTTCCTTCGATGCACTACAATATATATCAAAGCAGTGCTTTGCTGTGCTGTGCTATCCAAGACTTCCAAGAAAAACATACATAGCTCTACGTACAATTTCTTTGGTAGGAGGATGATAACCCCATTTTAGTTCTAAATCTTTCGAGCCCTGCTGTTCATATTCATTCGATCTTTGAAGGATCGTGGAGGCGACGAAGAAAAGCCAGACAGGTGCAGCTCAGCTTTGTCCTTGGTGAATGCTTTCTGAACTTCATCCTTGAGTTCCATAAAGCGTAATCGTTTCATCCTCTGCTCTTCATCAGTGCCCTTCTCAAGGTAGATTGCGTCCGGCAAGTCATCCTCCATGAACTTATCCAGTACCTGGGAGCAATTTGGGAAATACCGGTGCCCCAACTCAACTGATACCAATTTCAATAACAAAGTAAACATATATGTGTTGTAAGTTTGGGTAATTAATGTTGTTATGAAACTGCTAGATACTATCTATCAGTAGTTAGTGTCATCATTCTAACTTTAACTGTAACTCAAGACTTTACCCATTGTCATTATACCTGTTCTGGAGAGAGTCTCAATCCTTGCAAGAAGTCTTTTCTTTTGACTATGCGGTGATTCGTTTAAATCAACCTCCAAGTTCCCACTCGAACCTCTTGATGACAAGAGACCAGCAAGCCCTGATGTTGTCTCGGCATGTGCAATTTCCATAGCCAGCTTAGCTTCGGTTGGGAAAAACATCCGTGCAAACGACACTGTAGGACAGAGAAACAAATAAGAAAGTGATATTGCCACATTCCGATCCTATCAAAATATGATCTTGGGAAGGAAATAATTCAGGCACCTCGGTCTTCCAGGTAGAGAGATCTCACATACAAATCATCAGCCACGGCAAGGGACAGCATAGTATCCTCGGCAAATGGATTCCTGCTCATCTCCCTCTCCAACACATCAATGCATATCCGGTCATTGTTTGCTTCACACCCTTCCTGCCTTTTCATCTCATAATCCTTCGGCTTCGTCAACCTCCTACATATGCTAAGTGCATTTTGCCCCTCTGGTGTTAGATCTGAGGCAGATGCTCCCTTGGTCAGAAGTGAGACTATAATAGATGGTTCCTTACGCCTAGCAGCAATGTGAAGTACTGTATGTCCCCTTGTATTGCGTAAGTTGACATCCGCCAGACCTAGACTAAGCACCTCCTTCACTATCTTGGGATCACAGTAAGTAATAGCATAGTGCAGAGCAAAGGCCTCGTCTAAGGTCACCTCGGAATCAGTCAGAAGGAGTCTCACCAGTTCGACATCATCAGAGTCCAGTGCTTTGTGCATTCGCTTCACTTGCTTCTCACGCAAGTGATCGACTTGCGCTGCTGCATGTCTTTCATCTTCTGCCTGAGAATTCAGGCGGATCAATTTAATATCTGCAACTTCAGGGGGGATCTCTTTCTCAATAGCGATGTTCTCAAGGTCAGACTGAGCGACTCTATTAATGCACTGACAGCGAAGATGGCTTAAGCGGCAGTCAAAGGCAACAATAAGGATAGGGATAATGTCTTCCACAATTGCCTTGCCAGCCAAATTAAGAAGTCGGCGCTGCATTTTAGAGTAACATATTAAATTTTCATAAGTTCCATATGAAAGTGGTGGAGAAAAGCAAGATCTTTCTCAGCTAGAATCACATTTAACCATACCATTTTATCGAAAATAAAGATCTGCCTGGGCTTAATGCCTTATTCGTCGTAAGAAAATGTAGTAAGTCGGACATACATCAATAGAGTTACCTGAAAAAGTGACATGAGTTCGGCGACCTGAAAAACTGCGGATGCATACATTAACTCAACAGCAAAGTCAATAGCAGGTCTGCATCCATCATGTATGCACGTGCTATCGACGCAGGTTGACACCTCAGGTGGAGAGGGCTTAAGCCTTCCTGTGTACAAATAGCTCAAGACAATAACCAAAGCCTCATATCCAATCCTACCTTTAGGGGACAAATCTTCTATGGAATACTTTGGCTTTCCTTCCTTCCCAGCAGAGCCCTTATGATTTCTGAACAGATCATCAAAAAACTTGCTCCTCGCCGCTAAAATGCATCGGTGAATCCCAATGCTTTTGCCTTCTACCACAATATCAGCATCACTGAAATCACTGCCAGGTTCACAAAGGAGTTGCTCCAAACTATAACTCAGCTTCTTTAAGCTTATGACTTCAAGATTGTCGGATCCACCAGAAGCATAGACCTTATTATTGATTGATCCATTGGATAAATGAGAAGGCGAGGTGAAACTGATGGATGACGATGGTTCTGCAGAATTTTCCATTTCGAACCAACACTTTCCAAGAATTCTAAACTTTATGTCTGATCATCACCAAAAAAAAAAAAAAAAAAATCAAATCCACTAAACCCATGGAAGACGTTCTTCAAGAATTTTCAAGGCCGCATGATTCAGAATTCCTTCCCTTCCCATCAGACTCCACCAAGTAAAATTCCGACACACTTCAGCTTACCAATTGTAGATTAAAGTGATGTTTTTTTCGACATAATTAGACAACAATAGCAGCAGTACACACAAACTGGCTGTCATGCTCACGGCGCCCATTGAACCAAAAAAACTCACCCATCTGTAAAATTAAACCGACTGTTCAACACTCAGTAGAAGTTACAATCAATCAGCATAGAAGAAGAAAAGAACTGAATTGAAAGTTGAGAGAGAGAAGGAAATTAGAGCGAAAATATAACAAGAAAATGATTCCTTTTGTCGAGTTTCGGCATCTACACGACGAAAGAAAAACTTACCAAATTGAACAAGCAAACTGAATCCACAGAAGGTTGCAGCTTCAGAGCAGAGCAAGAAAAGAAAAGCATCAGAATAGAGATCCAGCACGAGCCATATTCAAGAAAACAAATTAAAAGTGTCGCTGGAAGATGGTCCCATCCACAGTATTGAGTTAGAGTCGAGTCTCTCAAATCAATTACTTGGAAGGTTCGCGATGGGAATCAATAAAGAAGGACAGTGGAGCACAAAAGTCATCTACTTTACGGTCACGATGCGATTCAACGGTGGCTGGGGGCGAGGTGCGATTCCAAGCCCAAATCCTCCCTCACCTAACTCACGTAGAGATAGATGTCTGTCAAGCTTGGAAATGGAAATTAAACACGGTCAATCGCCTCAGAGTGATCAAGCTTGCGTTTTTTTGAGTCTTTTTCTATGACATGTTAATTAATACACGTTGATGGGGACAATACAAAGAAAAAGTACAAGTGGAATACCCAAGCCCAAGTGGTTGGCGGGTTGCTGCTGCTGCTGCTTATCTTTGAAGCTTGAAGGAGTGCACTGTGAATGGATTCGGTGGAGAAAGCTGGCCAGTACGTCGGCAAGTTGCAGATGCTGAAGTGGGTTCGTGTGACGCTCACAATGAGATCACGTTTCCCATGTCGGCTTTGCTCACCATCCTCACTACGTCGTCATTGCCTGCGTCATCTTCTCTGTACACGCATCTGTATTTATTTATTATTATTTAGCATGTGTGTTGGGAATGGGAACTATGAAGGAAGGTCGGCGATGGACCCCACATGAGACCGACTACTATTAATTTAATTTTACTAGCAAGTACTATTTTAATACTAGCAAAGGAGTGGTGGTGACTGTATTCTAGTATTTTTCTTTTTTGACCAAAACCCAATTTAATCTTCATTTCATATGTATGTATATTTTTATAAATGTGTTAAAACAGAATATGGTTTTTAAATTAATTACTTGTAAATATATATATATGTAAATTTCAGTGTATTAAAAGTATAGATAAACACACGTGTGAAGTTTAAGTATATACTTGTGGTATGAGAGAAAGTGTTGTGAGCATTTGATTGGTGCGCTGTTACTTTACTTACTAGTGACAAAGTGATTATGATTATTATTATTATTGTTATTGTGATCTTCCCAAGGAATCTATTTGATTGTGTATGATGTATGTATTGTCATTGCAAATTATTCAAGTCAATGGCCTCCTTCCCATTCGAATAAGCCCAGCCCAGCCCAGCCCCTTCCTTTGAATGAATAAATGAACAATAAACAATACTTCACTCATCCATCCAATACAATGTACAGAAATCCTTTTAATAATCAAGTAGCAGCACAGCACAGGACTGCACGTGAGAATCGTGTAGAGATTATGTGTGTGTATGTATGTTGATTGTGATTAACCAAGGGGGAAAGTGGAAGAAGATGTAAGGAAGAGAATCAAGAAACCGAACGTGAGGATGAGGAGATGGATGGATGAATGCTTATCCGATCATCTTCTCTATCCCATCTCATCTCCCCTGTTTTGTTTTACTATATTGTTTGTTTGGTGTCATCTATCTCACTCATGGTGATGGTGTGTGTAGCTTATGTATGTGTACGAAATAAAATCTGCGTCACTTTCTCCTCTTTTCCTACAGCTACAGTGGTGCCCAATAAAACAAACCGCATTATTATTATTATTATTATTATTATTATTATTCATGCATGCATCCCATTACTTACTTGCCCTTTTTTTGTTTCTCTCTTTTTCATTATCATTACTATTATTGCTAATTGCTATAGACATAGACATGTCAGGGCTGGAAAGTAAGCAAGCGAGCACACAAAGGCAAAGCCATGTATACACTTATTTAGTACTATTACCCTTACCAGGAGGGATAAGGCAACCTTTCTAGCTTTTCCTTTCCAACTAAGCTAATCATTGCCTCATCATTATTTATTTATTCATTCATTCTGCAAATTCTCAATTCCCCAAAATTAGATTTGATCTGATCTGATGGAATCTTTTGGAAATTGCAGATGGGACTGATGAATGAATGAATTAGGGTAGGCAGCCAGCCAGCCATTCTTGGGAGCTCCTGGACCCCGGGTCACCCCTCCCCCTCAATTCTTGTAGTGGTCTGGTCTGGTCTTGTAAATGTAATGTGGGGCAGGGGGCTTCTCTTCACTTGAACAGCAGCAGCTAGGCTACGAAGCATCCCATCTTTTTCTTTTCCTCTCTCTCTCTCTCTGTCTCTGTCTGGGTTAGGAGTGTAGTGGATGCACATGTAGATGTAGTCCAGGACAGACAAAGCTCCCTCCATATGTCGTCCACATCGGTCTTACTCTTACTTGTGACAGACATGCAATATAATATATATATATATATATAGTTATCTCCTGCAGCTGCTGCAGCCTGCCTGCCAAGTGCCACCGGTGCAGCGCACTCACACTCCACTGTATTGCCTTTCTTTCTGAATTTGAGTTCGACATATATTCCTTTTTATCGCCCGCTGCTACCGTGCCCACTACTTCCCTCCCTTGTCCAAATTACATTGCTCTACTTTCACTGGTTGGATTCTGCGGTGAAATATCTTCTAGCAGTTTGTGAGTGACTGATTGAGTGAGTGCGGTAAATTATTGATGTGTATTTTGGATTTAGAGGAGGAGGGGCGAGGGGGATCAACAACCCTAACCCTAACCCTAAGCCGAAGCCATTCTTGTCTTTATTTCCCGATACTTGTTGGCTGGCTTCTTTTGTTTGTTGTCTTTCGCGCTTCCAAGACCATGTCAGTGAAGAAGAACCTTCACACTATCAATCCTTCTCTGCTCCATATCCATTCTTCCTATGGCTTCCCTCCATAAACTGCTGTCCGATGATGGCTTTGAGTCCACGACCCAACCCCAACCCCTACCCGCCCAGAATAAGAAGAAGAACAACAACAACAAGGAGAACAAGGACCTGCACCACATCAACTTCAACTTCAAAGATAGGGGCAGTGCCCGTGAACTGGACACCGTTGCGCTGCCTATTTACATCTGCCATGACCGCCGGAGCTTTGACTCTTCCTGGAAAACCGCTGAGAAAAAAGCGCTTTCCATTAAGAGCTCTTCCCTGTTTTGGTCGAGGAGACGACAAGGCACCAGCTCTGACAAGTCCAAGTCCAATTCCAAGCTTTCTGCTGCTGTGGGAAACCCCAGGAGAGACGAACCGGCCATCGATGATGCTGCCATCAAAGCTGTCATCTCTATTCTCAGCGGCTATATCGGCCAGTATTCCAGAGACAAGGGATTTCGGAGAAGCATCCGGGACAAGTGTCGAGCCTGCATCGACAAGACTAGTAGGAGAAAGCATTCGGAATCGGGAGAAATTTTCACTCACTTGGAAGTAGGGATTCAAGGAGTGGATAGAATGGTTGAAAATCGAGGCGCCGCCAAATCAGAGATGGATTTAGAGTCCCTCCAGCAATCAATCAAAATTCTCAAAATCGTAGTGGATTCAGCCGGAGTATCCAGCGATTCAACAGTCTGCAGGAAACCCGATTCGTTTCTCGCGGCCTGTGCGCACCTCTACTTATCGATCGTCTACAAAATCGCCAGAAATGATAAAATCTCTGCCGGCCACCTTCTGCAAGTATTCAACGAGGCTCCAAATCTCGCTCGGAAGCATCTGCTGCCAGAGCTTTGGGAGCACTTCTTCCTTCCCCATCTTCTTCATCTCAAGATTTGGTGCAATAAAGAGCACGTTTTTCTTGCAAATTCTGGGTACGAAGATAAGGCCAGAAGGATCAAAGCCTTGAAGGCGCAATACAGCGACAGCATGGATATCGGTACGGCACAGTTCGCTTCATACTACATGGAGTGGCTTAAAGTTGGGGCTCAAGCACCTTCTGTTCCTACAGTGCCTGTGCCATCCAAGCCACGCTCAAGAAGACACTCTGCAGACTATTCTGCTCCCTATCGTGACTCCAGCAACAAATCGCTGTGAGTTTTTTGATCCAGCTTTGAAGATTGTAGTCTCCTATGACTATCGCCGATCAATTTTTCAATAATTTCTTGCTATTTACAGGTATCAGGCCGTTTTTGGCCCGAGTCTCAGAGGTCGGTCCATGGAATTGGGCAACGGGAATGGATCCCCGGAGTTTACATGGGATGCAGAGGTGGAGGAAAGAGCACGCCATGGCAGTGCAGAAGATGATGTGATCAAAGTGAGTAAAGTTTATAATTAATTACCATACATTTCCAGGTTAAGTAGCAATATTTCCCTTTCAATTTGACAGAAGAAATCTGTGGCTCAACGTCGGAGAATGTCATCTAGTCAATCTGACGGAATACTACAGAAAGCTGAGTTATGGCCGCCGGATGGCCGAAAATCTGATTATTTCAGATTTTTAGGTTGTCGGACGGAGCCTGTAGAGTGCTTGGTGCAGGAAACCTATCTATCCAACGAAGATAAAATCCAGCATGACGAAAGTGATCGCCATTACCAATTGGGCAATGCATCTAGCGCCATTGCGACCATATGCTCCTCGGAAAGCCTAAGTGAATGTGAACTGGCGATCCGTGCACTGAGTGAAGCTTGGTTGGAATCTCATGGAGATTGTAGAATTGAATCTGCATTATCGCAGGCCAAGGTAATACAGGGTATAATGGAGGTCCTATATGTGTCTCACGATGATGAAATTTTGGAACTGGCAGTTTCGATCTTGGCAGAACTTGCAAACAAGAGTAAGAAGAATAAAAAATGCATATTGAATTCAGACCCAAAGCTTGATGTTTTGTTAAGATTACTGAAGAGTAGCAGCCTATTCCTGAAAGCTGCAATTCTACTTTACCTGGTGAAACCAAGGGGGAAGCAGATGGTCTCAATGGACTGGATTCCACTAGTTCTTCGAGTGTTGGAATTTGGTGATCAGTTGCAGACTTTATTCAGTGTGAGGTGCAGCCCGCATGATGCAGCGTATTACTTCCTACACCAGCTTCTAACCGGTTTTGATGAGGACAGAAACACAGCAAATGCTAGACAGATCATTTCACTTGGTGGATTGAGCTTGCTGGTGAGAAGAATGGATTATGGGGATGCATCAGAGAAAGGCAAGGCTGCTTCTGTCCTTAATTATTGCATTCGAGCGGATGGAAGCTGTCGCCATTACTTGGTGAAAAACTTGAAGAAAGATGCTATTCTATCACTGCTGGTGCTGGGAAAGCAGTCCAACTCTCATGGGGATGCTCTGCTACTATTGACAGAGTTGCTGTGCCTTAACAAGTAACTTCCCTGAAACTACATTTCCTTGCCTTCGTGCAATGCTATTATTTTTAAGTACTTTTGTAATGGATTGACTTGACTGGCATTGTGGCAGGAGAAACCAGAGAATGGAATTCTTAGCGGGGCTGAGAAAGGGGTGGGACTGCTTAAACACCATGCACATTTTCTTGCTTCTCCTACAAAAGGCGTCGCCAGAAGACCGGCCCATCGTTGCTGTTATACTACTTCTGTTAGAACTTGTGGTTTGTTTTCACAGCCTTGACGTGTCGTTGTTATATGGGATCCACATTGACAGCCAAGGAACATAATATTATTTTCTTTGATGCTATCAGGGCGATCCTCCAAAACATAGTAGTGTATTCATAGAAGAGGCAATGGATGCAATAGTAAAAGCCCTGGCTTGTTGCGTGCTGGATGAAAAGGTTCAGGAGCAGTCAGCAAGAGCTCTCTTGATTCTTGGAGGGCAGTTCTCGTACACTGGAGAACCTGAGGTGGAGAAATGGTTGCTGAGGAAAGCACACTCAGATGAATACCTGGAAACTTGGTCGGGCAAAAAGGATACTTGCAACAGCAGCAGCCAAGACCTGAGCTTGCCGCAGGTAAAATAACAAACTCATTCCATATATATATATATAACAATTAAAAAACATGTGCTGATCATATCAGAACGAGGAAGACAAGTGGCAATTAAAAGCAGCAAGGCTGTTGCTTAACCATGGAAACAAGAGGCTACTAACCGCTCTTTCGGATTCAATAGAGAATAGCATACCACGACTGGCGCAGGCAAGCTTGGTGACCATTAGTTGGATGAGCTGTGGTCTCAATTCCCTTGGGAATAAAGAGATTCACGATGCTGCGTGGTCTATCCTTGCACCGAAACTGATAGCAAGCTTGGATGAGAAGGCCACTTTGGAGGAGAAGAGTCTAGCTACATTCGCTTTGCATAATCTTACAAAGGGCACAGGTATTCCGAATTTGCTTCTCTTGCACAACTACTTCAATTCCTTGAACAAAATCAAGATAGTTAGTTAGTCAGGCAAATAAATGTTTGGTGTGGCGGTGCAACAGATCGCAATTGGGGACTATCCTGAGTTGCCGATACCCTTCACAAGCTCTCCACCGTGACATGGGCTGGGCAGCTAGGGAACTAGCTCTGGAAGTTGCAGCCTGCAGTTCATTGGATTATACCACCAACACTCCTTAATCAGGGAATACGCTCTTCATTTGCATATATACATAGAGAGAGAGATATATTGTTCAACTATTAGTTACAGAGTCTATTTTTAGAGAGTGAGTGCATTAGCATTGTACAGAAACTGGTGCTGATCAGCAGATTTTGGTGGGCACGGATGAATGTAATGGCGTGAGCATTTATTGCTTTCTTTCTTGGGTGAGCCAAGCAGACATTGTTGGGCCCTTGGTGGAGTTTTAAGTAGAAAGAGCAGCCTTTGTCGGGTGATTCAAGTCTGACAGAAGTACTAGGCCCATCCATGTATATCTGATTAGATTATTAGATAGATGGATTGATAGGGCCATTGGAATGAATTTTGCAAGATCATCTATTTATCTGTCTATCTATCTATCTATCAGAGCAGCAGGTGAGATCGGTTCATAGGATAGAGTAGACAGTTTCTGACAGCGATGATGAGATGACCACACCCTTGAGCAAAGGCGGGGATGAAGTCCTCATTCAGCAACATGGTCATCATCTATCTAGCTAGCTGATGCTCTTTTTTATCTGTCAGGAATCTGTCCACTGTCCACAGTTTGTTTGTTTGTTTGTTCCCACCTGATGATCTGATATGACCCGACCCGACCCGACCCTATGACACTCTGACAGTATTTCTTCACTTGGCGTTTGTCTTGTCTTTTTTAATGTGTGGGGGTGGGGTATATGAATACTTTATTTTTTGCAGTAGTACGTGACTGCAGTTGCTTTTTTTCTCATTTATCGACGTCTTCTTTTAAGTCAAGACTCCACATTTTCCCTTCTCCGGATACTTAACGCTTCTAATTACTCGCCAGCCTGGCCTCATGCTTGACCTGGAACAACTGGAAGTGAAAACACGGATGAGATTGAGATTGAGATTGAGATTGAGATTGAGATGCAGCAGATACCTCATAATAATCAATCTTATTAGATTATTCTGTATTCCAATTGCCCCTCTTAATTATAGTATTTAATCATCAATTTCAGAAATATTAATTAATTTAGAAAAAGATGCGGAGAGAGAGAGAGAGAGAGAGAGAGAGAGAAGAGAGTGGTTAGCAGCAGATTGTAGTATTTTATTTTACCATTACTGTTTCTTCCATCAATAAAGAGGCGGCGCCATTCATCGGAGCTTGCTTTCAATGAAGCCTTAAATATGCCCTCTCCCTCCCTCTGCCGCCCGGATATGCTGTTTCTTTCCTGGCCCAAGGTTTCCGTGAGTTGTCGTGCTTGAATTTCGGGCGTTTCATTTTCGCTTTCCCATTTCGAGAGTATCACTCTTTTTCTGGCTTGCTTTCGGCGCAAGATAATTTGGGGGCTTTCTTCATATTTCCGATTGCCCTCTGCGCAGCTCAGTTAGTAAATCGCTTGTCGAAAAGATCTGATTTTTTCCACTCTTGACGGTTTTGTGAGGCACTGCATTGACATTGACCCTTCCCTCACACACTGACGCATATCTTTGGATTGCATGCATCAACGGGTGTTTCTGGGCAAGAGGATGATGGGATTGGTGTTGAAGATTTGTTGAGCTACAACGGATGGAGGGTGGAAGACAGAAGAAATCTGCTTGTAGGTACCCTGCCGCTCAATTGTTTTGGATCTTGATTGCAAACATCGATGTGATGTGGATCTATGAGTGTTTATCTGTTGACCTATAAATGGTCGTTCGTTTCTTCTACTGGTTTTCGATTATCTATATTAGTTTTGAAATTGATCGCCTGCTTTGTCTTTCTTTGCGTTGCCAGTTGAGGGTAATGCAGTCCTGGATTTTCAATGATCAATTGGCTGAAATCGGTTTGTGAGAATGAAGTTGTTGGGCACAAGGTTGAATTGGATTGGTTTGTTCAGCTTCTTAATGATCTGATTTAGTAACCAGCGGAGGATCTCAAATGGACTCGAGGAATTCTACTCCTTCAAGATTCTTTGGACGGTATTGGGATTCTCTGGCATGCAAATGTGTTATCTTTGTTATGATCGTTTTGGTTTTTAGAGCATTTTGCCTTCCTAGTTATTCTGGATATGGTGGCACCGGACAGACCAAATTATTTACTTTCATCAATCAATCTCCTGCTTCTATTACAAAGCAGGTTCAGGGTGAAAAAGTAAAGTTTTTGGAGGTTCCTCAAATTGTGTGGGGATTGAATAATCAAAAGATTGCATTTGCAAGAGCTTGTTTAACTGCAAGAATGCTGAACCGAACTCTTTTGATGCCCAATTTGAGTGCCTCCCTATTCTACAAAGAAGTTGAACTGCTGAAGCCCATTTCATTCGAGAAGGTGTTCCAGTTTGATAGGTTTAATTCGCATTGCAAGGGATTTGTCCAATTGGGTCGTTATGGGGAAGTTTCAAATGGTACTGACATCATGGAGCTGCAAAAGGGAAGCGGGAGAAGATGGACGATTGAAAAAGATTTGGATCAGTTGAGAATGTTCAACAAACATCCATTGGATCAATATGAAATCATTAGAATAGTTGGCAAGAATCCTTTTTTATGGCGTGATCACTGGCCAGTTAAAGATTATGCCAAGGTCTTTCAGTGCTTGCTCTTGGTGGAAGAAATATCCCGGGAAGCTGATAAAGTTGTTACACGGATTAAAGAAATTGGTCTTGAAGAAAGACGAAAAGCGCATTCACCCCAAAACGATCTCAATTTATCTTTAGAACAAGGGCCGTATGTAGCAGTTCACATGAGAATTGAGAAGGACTGGATGATTCACTGCAAGAAACTGGAGCAGAGATTAAGCACAAAGCAAATTTGTAGCAGCAAGGAACAGATCATGCAAAGAGTGGGAAACATCCTTCGCCTGAAAGCCAAAATTCCAATTGTTGTTTATCTTGCAGTTGCTGATGACCTTCTTGAAGATAATTCTGTAGTCAGTGGTTGGAATGAAGGATTGCTTCCTTATGAGAAGAAAAGGCTGGGGGTCTTGGACATATATAAGAAACACCCCTATTTGATTCAATCAGCTATTGATTATGAAGTGTGCTTGAGAGCTGATATGTTTGTGGGGAACAGCTTCTCAACTTTCTCGAGCCTCATTGTTCTTGATAGAACTCAGAAAATGATAGCCATGGGCATTACCGAACTCTGCGGAATGGATGTTAGATGGCCTTCCTATGCCTACAACATAGGAGATGAATCTGGTGGTCCGCATCCATGGGCAACCAATATGTCTGATTTGAGCCTCCAAGCAATTAGTTATGGTACAAATAATATCTCTTGCAGTTAATTATTTAGTACAATTTTGACATTATAGTCTCAGGTCGTTTGCACAAATGTAGCGCGTGATTGGGTGTTGGGGGATTCATAGGTTTTATTTTCTATACCTGTTGGATTTTCTCCGCATTTTTGGATACTTTGTGTGTGAAGTACTGACTGATGACAGTTTGTTGATCATTTGGGTTCCAGATGATATCACTGATTATAGTCATTGGTAATGTGTAGTGTGATGATGATTTATTTCTGTTCATGATCATCAATGGGTAAAAGGGATGTTGATAGAGAGAGAGAGAGAGGTGAAATCAAAATCTTGGATATGCTCTGCTTTTTTCAATGTCAGCTGCAACAAGTAACAGTTGTGTTCTTTCATTACTCAGAAAAAAAAAAAAAAAAAAATTAAAATTGCTTAGCAGCAAAGAAGTATGAGAGTGAGATGGTAGCTCCATTGCATATTTCTTCTCAATCAAAGAATTTGAGAATTCCATGCATGCATCATTAGGAGTGAGTTAAGGCTAGGCCCAGAGAGCCACGAGGGCCATAAAGCCCGCCCCGAGGAGCACATCCAGTAGAGCCAGGGCGTGGAGGCGCAGGCTCCTGTGCATCCGGTTGCTCAGGAAGTTGGCGGCCAGCAGGTCCACCAGCGCGGTGTACTCCAGCAGCCCCGCGGAGCAGGTGTCCAGCAGCCCCACCATGATGAGCGCCGTGGGGCTGCTCTCGCTGTACACCTTGGACAGCGCCATCCCCAGGGCGATCCCGGACGGCGTGGTGATGGAGAAGAAGGCAACCATGATGGACGTCACCCAGGCTCCGTAGTCGGCCTGCAAGATGCTGCCGCCCAGGCCCATCCCCTCGAAGAATTGACGGAAGCAGAGGGCGATCAGCAGCGGCCTCAGAGTGCACACGCTCTCCGAGGTCCTGTAGGACACCCCTATCACCACGGAATGCACCACGATCCCCACCTCCAGTACCTGTATATACAATATATATATATATATATGTATCCGAGTGAGTGATGAATTCCGAATTGCTTGCGATGCAGTAATAATTAACTTACCTGTGCAACTATGCGATAGCGGATCAATTGATGATCGGACGAAGCACCGCCGCCATCCAGGGTACCAAAGCCGACTACACGGCCGTGGCCGTGGCCGTGCCCGCGGTGTCCGACAACATCTAGACCCGCCCCGCCCCTGCCGTGATCGCCTTTCCGGGCCAGCACTCGACGCTTGTAGAAGCTCATGGCGAAAGAGTCGATGGCCAGAGTGAAGAGCGCGGAGAGCATGAAGACTAAGGCCGAGAAGGGGAACTTCTTCCAGGGCTTCTCGGGCAGGCAATCGGAGCCGAGGCTGTCCATGGAATCCGGCAGGACGTGCATGCATCCCGTGGCCAGGATCACCCCCGACGCGAAGCACTTGATGACCAGGAAGACGTCGCGGTCGGGGTGCAGGCTCGGCACAGACCGGGCGAGGATGGGGAGCGACACACCCACCATACTGGTTACCAGAATTGCAGGAATCGCAATGAGTTTGAGCTTGAATGCCTCCGACTGGTTGCGGCATCCATCGGCGACGGTCTCTGACCCGCAGTCCACCACGGCGGAGGCCTGCAGGATGATCATGGAGAAGAGAGGCACTAGGAACATCAATGGACGACCGCCATTCATCGTTGCCGATGATCAGGAATTGCGACGGTCAGTTAGCAGCATTACAGACCTGCATAGCGGAAATGGTAGGTATGTATTTTCAGAAATTGAAATGTTCAGCAATAATGTAATTCTTTTTCAAGAGAATCTTCATATACATAGTGAGGGATTAATTTTGATAATAATTATTAAGCCTTTGTTTGGCTTTGTCCGGTTGTGAGTTTTTTTTTTTTTTTCTAAAATATTTTTCCACCAAAAAGATAAACTCAAATACTTATATATTTTTATTTGTTATATTATACTATTAGTATCATTACATATTTATATTATATAATATAAAATAAATGTTTTATTGTTCGAAAAGGAAAAAATCTATTATTATTATTTTTTTTTTTTAAAAAATACAAAATTCATAATAAAATTTGGCAAAAGGTTGTTGTTATACGGAGGATCCAGCCTGACAGAGCAAAAACAAAAAAAACTCAATTGGCATATCACGTATGTCTGCTTCAGTATTCATCGTCATCGTTATTACTATTGGTATTATTTATTTAGTTTATAATCTTGAAAGTTAAATAAATAAAAATACGTTAAAAGTGGAAATGAATGTGGGTGTGGTTGGGCTGGGCACGTTAAAAAAGTCTTAATAATATTGTTATGGTTTTTTATATAACAACATTGTGAGCTGAGAAGGCCCGGCCCATTCGTCTAAGTCGAGCCCATGGGCACGAATGAAGAGGATAGATAGATATGTGTGTGAGTGTACGGAATTAATTACTTATTTAGTTGGGCCTGAGGAGAGGAGTGGTGGGTCACTTGTTGGGCCGCCCCAATGGGAATGGGTATGGGTATTATTAATGAAGACTCATCAGTTTTAGTTTTGCAGCTCCGACACCAATTCCAACTCCAACTCCATCTCCATCTATCTATTTGTTTGTCAGCACAGCACAGCTCAACTGATGCTCATCAGATTCAAACCGGAATCACCTCCTCTGTGTCCCCCTCCCTCCCTCCCTCCCGTACCTTGAAAACAAAGCCCCACTCCACTCCACTCTCCCGTGCTCTTTCCTCCTAATTCTCGCATTGCGCTTCCACTTTATACTTCTCTCTTACCTTTGCAAATAATTAATATGAAAATGGTGGACAGCAGCGAAGAAGAAGATGACTTCCCTTCCATGGAAAATGTCACTCCGCAATCCAAGATCGACACTCTCTATCAGTCCAAAACCGAAAAGGTCTCGCTCAAACTTTGACGCCTTTTTAACCTGCTCTTGCTCTTGCTCTTGCTCAACTAAGGGATGCCCAATATTAGGGCTACAGAAATTCTGTGTTTATTACTTCTATTGCTCAATTTTCTTTTCCGAGTGTGGATTCCTTTTGCCTTTCGTATATTAATTACACTTCGCTTACGAACCTGTCTCTTGAGTTTAGCTGATAGCTTCACTTCAATTCACTGCGCTACTTAGCAAGCATCGCTGTTGTTCTGTTATGGATCTCTTCTTTTCATCTCCTGTCATGACATGCTTTTCAAGTTTGCATTATTATGTAGGGAATCAGAAAGATCTGTTTTGAGCTTCTGGATTTGAAGGATGCCGTTGAGAACTTGTGCAGCAACACACGCACAAAGTATTTGGCTTTTTTGAGGTAAGAGAGAAAGCTTGTCACAGTTTGCTTGATGAGTTGTAATCACGAAGAAAGGGTGTAGAGCATGCATTTGTCGATTACTTGGGTTACCATAATCTCTTATGTATGTGAATGGAATAACAGAGAATACACATGCCTGCGCTAAGATCTGTATGAAAGGATTCTGAGTTAACTCAAAAAGTAAATGCGGCCAGTGCATTTTCAGCTATGAAATGGCACTGTATTCTCTAATTAACATTGGTTGATTCAATTTAAAACTCTGTTGCGTTCATCTTTCCCTTGAGAACCTGCAAGCCCATTACCATAGTGATCTCAGTTTTCTGAGATTCATTTTGGACACTAAGTATACTGTACTTCTGTTAAAAGCCCTTTCTGCATTAAAGTTTGCTAATTCTTTGCAACTCAAGGCATTCGGAAAATTGCAAATTGTAAGCTGATGTGTTTACCATACCGATATAAGTGCATTAACTATCATCATATATATCTTGACATTATTGTCACTTGTCAGAAACTTATCTTCATGCAGTGGTCATACATTTATTTTATCCCTTCAACTACTATTTGTGGAATACATTTGCTTATAATTTTACAAATTTATTTGGTGGTTGGTTATTAAAGGCTATCAGATGAAGTAGTTGAAATGAAGCATGAGTTAAATGAGCTTGACAATCTTATTTCCAATCATAAGAATCTTGTGCGGGATCTGATGAGTGGCGTATTTCAAGAATTGGAAGAATGGAAGCAGGCTGGTGGTGTTGCCCTGGAAGCTGGTGGTGATTCTGATGCTTACGCACTTGAAAATATTTTCTCATCTGAAGTAGAGGATCAAAGAGTGCAATTTTTGGAGCATGTTGATGTTCTTCTGGCAGAACATAAAATTGAAGAAGCTATAGATGCAATTGATGCTGAAGAGCGAAATCATCCAGAGCTGAAAGGATCAGGGGACAAAGCAGCTGATGAAGGCTCCTCCTTTAAGGCTGCTTTATTGAAGAGAAAATCAATGCTTGAGAACCAGCTCCTTGAAATCAGTCAGCAGCCCTTAGTTGGTATTTTGGAGCTGAAGAAGGTGTTATCTGGTTTGCTGAAGCTTGGGAAAGGTCCTTCTGCACACCATATATTTCTGAAATCTTATGGATCACGCCTGCAGAGGAGCATAGAAGATTTTCTTACTTTATGTCCTTGCTATCCTGAAACATATCCAGCTACATTATCTAACCTTGTCTTCTCAATGATTTCATTGGCAACTAAAGAATCTGGCCTGATGTTTGGTGACAATCCTATTTATAGTAGTAAAGTCGTGCAGTGGGCGGAGTGGGAAATAGAATCACTGGTCAGGTTGGTTAAGGAAAATGCACTGCCTTCTGAGACGTCTTCTGCCTTACGTGCAGCAAGCGTATGCGTTCAGGCCAGTCTAAACCATTGCTCCGCCTTGGAAGTGCAGGATTTGAAACTAACGAAGTTGCTTCTGGTGCTTTTGCAACCTTATGTGGAGGAAGTTCTGGAATTAAATTTCCAAAGGGCCAGAAGAGTGGTTCTTGATTTGAATGGAGGTGATGAGAAGATTCCTTTATCTCCTCGCTTTGCATCTCCTCTTTCTACTTTTGCAGCTTCATCTGATCGCGTACTTGTTGATTGTGGAATGAGATTTATCTTTGTTGTCAAGGTGAGTTCAATGACTATTAGTTCTACTATGGAGCTGCTGCATTAAGTTGCTTGAGGTTGTGTCTCTTATATTGTAAAATTACTTCATTTTAATGAACATTGAAAACGAATTCAGTATTATGAATTAATAAAACAATTTAGCGAATTGTTTTCGTGTCTCATTTGGTCAAGTGCTTGTATGAGCGCAGAAGCTGTATACCCTCCGATATAATTAAATGTGTGGCATTAAGTAATCGATACAATTGAAGATTACCTGAATAGTATGTTGGAGTTGTTTTGAACTATGCAGACAAAATATGCTGTTCGACACTTACAAATCAGCAACTTAATCATCATGTCTGCTGTTGATAAGTGTTTAGTTTGCTGCACGACTATCTATGCAATTTAGTATCTAAGTGAAAATAAAAATAAAAAATAAAAAATCAGAGTTGTAGTGTTAGATTGGATTACTTGATGATTGTTTTCAAAGAAAATAATATTTTCTGGTATGTTGGCATTTCATATGATATGTTGTGTCGTTGTATTTCTTCAGGAAATAGTGGAGCAGCTAACTCGCCTGGTTATCGTGCATTTTGGAGGGAATATATTGACAAGAATTTCACAGCTTTTTGATAAGTATGTTGAAGTCTTGATAAAGGCCTTACCTGGCCCCACTGAAGATGACAATTTGACAGAACTAAAGGACTCTATACCTTTCAAAGCTGAGTCAGATTCCCAGCAGCTTGCATTATTGGGATCTGCCTTTACTATTGCTGAAGAATTGTTGCCTATGTTGGTGTCACGGATTTGGAATGTTTTGAATGAAAGCAAAGAGGCAGGAAGTGGACTTGCTGATAGTGTCTTGCCTCCTATAAATAGTTCTATTGACCTTAAAGATTGGAGACGGCAAATTCAGCATTCTCTTGACAAACTCAGAGATCATTTCTGTCGGCAATATGTTCTGAGTTATATTTATTCAAGAGATGGAGAGAGCCGATTAGACGCTCACATATATTTAGGTGGAAAAGGAAAAGATTTGATCCACAACCCTGATCCTCTCCCTTCATTGCCATTCCAGGTGTTTATCTTCTACTCCAATTTGCAGTCCCTCACGCCTGAATGACTGATTCCTTTTATTTTGTTTTCCGTTTTTTTGTATGTTTTTACTGTTGCCTTTGTCTTGGTGCATTCAACATGGATAGTCGTTAAATATGACAATACAATAATCAATCTTTCTATAATTTGTGGTTTGATCTGCTCTATATTTCTGAGCCTTCCTGTCTGTAGAACTGTTGAATGACTACTTAATATGCACCTTCTTTTGTTGTCTTTAGTATCTGCAGTGTGTAAAATTCAATTTCTCAGGAAAGATAAAATGATTTTCCACGTCGTATGTGATGCATAAATGATGTATAGTTTATTGAGCTGAGTAGTCAATTGCTCTCTGCAGGCACTATTTGGGAAGCTGCAGCAACTGGCAGTTGTTGCTGGAGACCTTTTGCTAGGAAGAGATAAAATACAGAAGGTTTTGCTAGCTAGGCTGACAGAGACAGTAGTGATATGGCTGTCAGATGAGGAGGAATTTTGGGGTGTTCTGGAGCACAATTCAGCTCCTCTTTGGCCAGTTGGATTGCAGCAGGTTTTTATATTATAAATCACACTCTCTTCTCTGTATGGGATTTTGTGACTCGTCTTACACAGTTGTGGGATTTGACAGCTGGTACTCGACATGCACTTCACTGTTGAAATTGCCCGGTTTGCTGGCTATCCATCTAGGAACATGCACAAGATATCCTCTGAAATAATTGCTCGAGCAGTCAAAGCGTTCTCGGCTAGGGGAGTAGACCCACAAAGGTAGTTCAACCAATTGCTGCTTTAGTTACTAGATTTGTTTATGTGTTGTTTAATCTATCAATTAACTTGTATTTTTGGCAGTGCACTTCCTGAGGATGAATGGTTTGTGGAGACTGCAAAAGGGGCAATTAATAAGCTTCTGATGGGGGGTTCCGGGTCGGATCCATCAGAGGTTGATGATGAGGAAGATGATGATGAGCACATAATCATGGATGATGAAGTTATCTCAGATTCTGATGATTCTCCTTCATCCCTCTCTTCAGTTGAAAGTGAGGAGTCATTTGCTTCTGCCAGAATGGAAGAACTGGATAGCCCCGTTTTAACTGATTCTGAGAATTGAGGCTGGCATTCAATTAGTTAAATTGGTATTACAGGAAAATATTGTAGCTTGATGCCCATGCCCTGAATGCAAAATTAATGAATACTGAAGTTAACTATGTGCAGCAGCAATGATTAGAAGTTATATTAAAAGGAAATACCATGCACAATTTATTATATTTCAATCATTTTCATTAACTTATCTCTCAATCATTTTTGTTTTTCAAAGGATGTTTAGGATTTCAAAATGTGGAAGGAACGAGTGGAACTAAGGAAAAGGTAGAGGATTCTCATGGGGGCGTCCTGGTAACTGTCTTCCTTACTTTTGTATCTTCAATTTTCTGTCTTGCGACTTATGAATACTTATACTTTAACATTCCAGGAGGCCATGACAGATTTGTACTTTTAAGTTTGTGTCGGCTGTGGACTAATTCAGATGGTTGATACTCTTGGCCATGCGCATTTAACCATCATGAGCCAATTTGACACTCTGGATGCAGCAATTATTCTTATTCCAAATTAGTTCTTTACTTGCTTGGTCTTCTTAAATATGCTACTCGTTTTTGTCATTTTTAACACAACTACTTTACTTGATTCTTTTCCTCCGCGTGAAAGTGCAAACCTGTATTCTCTGCGTGTCTTGTCCGTTTGCATCGTGACTATATATATTTAGGGGCAAAGAAGAAACGAGCACCATCCTCAAATTTACAAAGCCTTTTTCTCCACAACCTGCCTGCAATTGAAAATGGCAAAATCGAACCCACACTACCAAGGGAAAACTTTAATACCATTCACACCAGAGGTATTATTTAACTTAATTAACTACACTTTGTGTTTTTGATTTCTTGCATGGGTGATTTTATTTACTGTTGTCCTCTCTGGTCCTGGTGTAGGAAGGGGGAGCACGACAGTTGATCATTTATCCGAGAGACCTCAACATTGTTTGGGGTAGAGATTGTCGCTACTGGAATGCCCCCAAGTTGTGAGTTGATACTAACCTAACCTGTCTAGCTAAAAAACAAACTGTGTCTGTGCCGGAAGCAAGAATATTGGTAACACATAATATGTGCATGCTACTGGCTGACTACAGGAAGGAGGCGGCAGAATTGCTTCAAGTGTCTTGGTTAGAAGTCACTGGATCCGTGGACAACATCGATCCAGACAAGGCTTACGAGGTGGGGTTTGAGTTGGCGTTTACTGCAGATGCATTTGGATGGGGCAGCTCTCCTATTTTCATGATGGTCAAGCGAGGGAAGCAGGGGAAGTTTGCTTGGAAAAGGGAAATCCTAGACTCCAACCAAACGGAGCCATGTAGGTTTTGGAGCACATTGAAGGAGGCTGATGAGAAGACAAACCAGGATCCAGATTCAAGGAAGCTGTACTTTGGTCTGTATGAAGTGTGGAGTGGCAAGTGGAAGGGAGGTCTCCGGATCAACAAGGCGTACGTCAAAGAATTACCCAGAAAGATGGACAGGAACCAGCACACAGCTGACTCTCGAGCACAATAAAAATTCTTTATATTCAATGCATGCTCTCATTCATTTGACCCATACATACCAGAGATACTATACTGCTGTGATTGAAGCTGTCTAGTTGTAATGGGAGAAAATTCTCTCTTGTTTCCCTGCACCATAACATAATATATAGTCAATTGGTTTAAACACTTTGTTCATATCATATTCGGTGGGAAAACCAAAGCCAGAACACAAGTGCGCCCATGGATGGCTGACTGACCGACCATTAATAACAGGACAGTTAATCCAGTGATCAAACGGGGAGCTTCCCCGGAGCATTCTCTAATAGTAGTAATAATAATAATAATAATAAGCTAGTTATACATACATACGAAAAGAAAACTAGAGAAGAATATGGGTCTGAGTCTGATGCCATTCATTATTCTTAGTATTTAATTTTGTGGTGGGGGAATGGAATGTTCTTGGGCAGGGCATTTTGTGGAAGTGGGAAAAGATGTAAAAAGCACCAGGACACGCCCATACATACGAGAATCTGACTAGTGAAGAAAGATCGGTATCAGATGCTAAGTTAACATTTTGGGGCATCTGATTCCAGAAGGGTAAAAGGCAAAGACGATAACTACTTAGCACCAGATACTATGCTAAGTTCTCTTCTTTTTTTAGCTTATTTCACCTCACCTCACAACATTGTATTGTTTTGTAGCACAATCTCTGGTAAAGCACATATAGCATCTCCAAAGCCCTCTGTTTTAACAGCTGCAGAGGATGTGCATATGCTCTCTCTATAGGACTTCCCCTGTGAAAAGCATACAGCAGGTGGGCATAATACGACCACATACTTTCAGAAAAGAAAAGATGCGCTGCAGTAGAGTAGAATACTACGTGTTCAAGAATAGAATAAGTGGGCAGGGCATCAATGTAATGTGTGTGTGTGTGTGTGCATGCACGCCCCTCTCTCTCTCTCTCTCTCTCTCTCTCTCTATATATATATATATATATATCAGCAGAGAAGAAGTCAGGAACACTGGCTTTTACTCATACAACATGGGAGCTGAGGTATCCCAAGACAAGGGTGCAGATCCTAATGTAAAAGATCCGAGCAGCAATTCATCAGAGAGTAATGGCACCGAGGCCAAAACACATCAAAATACCACCCAAGTTATATTACCTCACAACTGTGAAGAAATTTTGAAACATGCTGATTCTTCTGTTGACAGATCCTCTAAAAATAAGCTGCTGGAACAAGTCTATGCCGGTGTTTTCTTGAACCAGAACAAGAAGGTATGTGAGCTATGTTTCTGTAATCATGTATTCTACAAACCTCGAATGCAATTATTAAATTAGTGCAAAATGATAACAATTATCAGAGTACATGTGCTGGATTGCCAAGTTGCTCCCAAATATCATTTACGGACAAACAGAAATATAATTTATCAGCAGTTGTACTGACCTCTTTATTGTAATGCTCTTAAAAAGAACTTCAATTGTGCAGAAGTATTGGGCTGAGAGAGAGTCAAACTACAACTGCTTCTTCTTGTTTGCACAAGATCTTTCAATAACTTGGGCAGAAGACAGTCGTTTCTGGCATTGGCCACTGTTAGAAGAGTCAAGGTAATGATAACAAATGAAACTGAAGACAAGGGGACCCCAACAATCCTTAAAAAAGATGCCAGCACATGCAAAGAAACGTTTAATCAAAAGCAATAGAAAATGTTGATAATGCTCCCAGTGTCAATCAGTAACATCACAGATAGGCTATTGGTGAATGATAGACATTTTAGTTAACAAGAATTGAGGCATAAGTTACAATAAGCATTCCCATGAGGCAAAACCCTTTCAGGTTAGAGGAAAAGGGGATTCTGGGATCCTGCAGTAAGGTGTACTTAAAAAGGAACACTAATTTGGAGCTAACATTTGCACCTGTTTTTTTTTTTTTTTTTGCAGTGATGGACGTGTCCCAATTGCTGAGCTGCTTGATGTCTGCTGGCTAGAGGTGCATGGGAGATTTGACATATCTAACCTTTCACGGGGACCAACATATGAAGTTGTATTTGTTGTGAAACTTAATGATCCTGCTTATGGCTGGGAAGTTCCAGTGAATCTGAGACTCACTTTACCAGATGGAAGCAAACAAGAACATAAAGAAAAACTGATGGAGAAACCACGGGGAAAATGGATAGAAATTGCAGCAGGGGAATTCAAGACAACAGTTGAGGAAGCAGGAGAGATGGAATTTTCTCTTTATGAATATGAGGGAGGTAAATGGAAGAGAGGGCTACTAATAAAAGGTGTTAGCATTAGGCCCAAAGCCTCAGTCAAGTAGCAAAAATAATACCCCTTGATCATGGGAACTGTAGTTCCATGTATGCATAATGATCATAAGCTCCTGACTTACATTCCTAAGCTGGTTTCTAAAAGATTAAACTACTTTGGGCCCATATCATAACTGATTAAGGAAGAAAAGTTGAAATTTATTGAATAGGTGTAATACATGCTAAAAAAAATATATCTTAACCAGCAATGCATAAAACAATAGGATGTTCCTAAATTGCTAATAGTAATCATAACATTAAACCTGATACACATGGCCAATCTTGCGCAAAGCCACTGAAAATACTTAAAGTTCAGCGTGATAATTCTTGGGTTTATACCATGGCGAGAAATCAATTCCTTTGCTCTTCAATTTTTCGGTTGCCGGACCAATTCTCTCAAGAAGCTACATTCAATAAAATAAAGGTTTCAATATCCTCAATGTGGTTGGTTACCAAGAAGTATGTACACAAAATAAATTGGCTTGACAAAATAACAGTTTCTAAATTGTTTCATAAGCTGAGCATATAACATAAAAGTACTGCCAGAAGAAATGTTAACTTTGTAAGAAATAGCCTATTAAGACCACCCCTTTTATTAATCCAGTAAAAGAAATCACACATAAACTATAGTTTCAGAAGAGAGACTCAGACTCAAATGATTAAAACCACAACAATGCATGTTGTACCTTAAGCTCAATACCTAGATTATGTGCAGAGACGAATGCAAAAGAAACAGTTCCTAAATAACATTAAATTAACTCACCTTGGAATGAATTGGTCCGTTGGATACCAAGACGGATCTATCAAACACGCAAAAAATTTTTCCATCCATGCAAGTAACTGCTCCCCCTGCCTCTTCAACTATCTACTTGAAAACATGAATGAACATAAACATATGCATGATGTAACATAAATAGCAACCAGATATACAAAATCACATAAAACAAGTGAAAAGCGGGAAATAGTATAGAGCATCATGGAATATGTTAGGTAATAAGACAAGGAAAAAACATAAGTAAACAAATCAGTAAATACAAATTTAGAAGTATGTTATTAACAGAATATCACATAAAACACACTGTAAATCAAATTCATAAATTCATCAAAATCATGAAAACAATAAAATAATCCAATCATGCTAGAAGGGAAAAACAAAAACAGATATACTACCAATGAAGAGAGAAAGTACCAAAACACCAGCAGCCATATCCCATGGTTTAAGTCGATATTCCCAGTAGGCTTCTACAATTCCCAGAGCTACATGGCACATGTCAACTGCTGCAGCACCAAGCCTCCTCACACCCTGCATATTGTAGCCAGAGGGTAAAAGAAGCATCTCACTAATTTCAGTTCAAAAGTCTTTTGTATGGCAGGTAGTACATGCATAAAGAAAAGATATTGTAAATATTATACTAATTAAAGAAAGATTTATATACCCTGCTGATGTCAGTGAATTCCTTGAATAACTCCATATTGGTTGCCCATGCATCATCGTGGTCATACCCGAACCCCGTTACCAAAAGTGATCGTTCAACCTATTGTTGTTTTAAGCATTATTCTTTCAAAACCACAAAAAAAAAAAAAAAAAAAAAAAGAAAAAGAAAAAGGAATGGCTGTTGCAACCACCATGAACAAAGCAAATATGCCTGAAGGCCCTAAAATGGTCATCACTTATAGGCATATTCAAAATGCTCAAAGCTTCATGTAAGTCTATACATGCATACATACACATTATACCAGTCAATCCCTGTTCATAAGAATATCATTTTTTTTACATGAAAAAAATCTAAACTTTTGAAATGAATATGACCCATCCCCTCTCAAAACTGGCTGATCCAACAACCAATGAGAAACATCTATAGTTTCTGCAGAACCAGTCAACTTTGATCTGCCCATAATTTGGATTTTAATTTGTCAAAATATCAAGAGAGAAACAGCAGCACAAGAGATCAATCAATATTATTATCATATAAGTCAGGTTGAACAGCATCCACTTTGATTGGATCGTTCTTCACTTTATTGAATTACACTTCACCTTATCAGTTTGACTAGCATGAATTTTCTCCCCATTGCAGAATGCGCCCTTACCTGGAATTTCAAGATGTAGTTAGCGAAAATAGAACATGGTTGAACACACTACATAGGAAATGTAAAGACAATCAAATTATACCAACAGCTGCAGTAAAAGTTCGAGTATTCCAACATTTAGGTCCACCAAGAAACTCGACCTATAAACGACAACAGTGTCAAGTTTCTTGTTTTCAGTAGGAATTTCTGTGCAAGGAACTAGATTTTGAAAAAAAATTACAGTAAGACATCACCAAATTGAGAATGTACGCATAATTCAAGTCATTTGGAGTGCTTGAGATGAATTATAGAAGGGTATTCTTAGGTCAACACGACAAATAGCGGTATTAATATGTGACAGAATAGGCATAAGAGATAACTTGCTTCTGCTCCAAGAATTGAGAGTAAGCACATAGATATGAGTTGAAGAATATTCTTCTGTTCACATAGCAGAAAGTAGCTCATCAATAAATAGATGCCTGATTATAAATAGCCAGTAACTATTCAAATTAGATATGAACAGCTTACATTTTATGATTTTATACAAGAATAAAATACATATAAAGGCCAGGCCACTCATCCATATATAGGCTTCCAAACTTTCAAAACTCAATAAAGGGCCACGGTTCAATCAAGAGAATCAGAGATCAGTCCCCTTGCTGCGGGTAAGAGATGCAGATGTTGTTTCCTTCCGATTGTGTACATAGAAATCTTTACTCCTACTTAAAAATGTGCAGTAATTTATTTAAAATTTTTCCCTTAGTCTAAAGTTTGTAATATTTGCATGTTTAAGGAACTATCTTAATGATGTTTGATACCACAGTCGCAGCAGCTGGCTTTCCTTTGTAGAGGACACCAACAGATACAGCAAAGCTGGGATAGCAATGAGCAAAATTTGTAGTACCATCTGCATATCGAAATTTCAAAAAAGTCATAAGTCTAAATGGCATGAAACTGCACCAATATCAAATTACATGACTATTAATCAATATCCAGTTATAGAATGATCGATTTACTTGATACTTTAATGAATAAGAAAGTAGCAGATATTTGAGAAAGAAAATGACAATCTACAACTGTATTTGCAGTCTATACAGTTTTACATGCAACAATCAAGTCACCGTATTTTTATACTATTTGGAGATACCATCCAGTACAAAGTTCATTAAAGTTAACTGGAGGGTATACACATATCTCAGAGAGAAATTAATGAGAAATACCTAGGGGATCAATGCACCAAAGATAATCAGAAGATGAATCCCCAATGACCCCTCCTTCCTCTCCAAGAATTAAATGGTCTTGAAAATTCTTTTTCACTACATCTAGAATAGCAGCCTCACTCATTTTGTCTGTGCTGCAGAACATAATGACATTGAAAGAAAAAACATCAAGCGTATGAAAAGATGCTGATCAAGGAAATCAGCTTGCATTCAAAGTGAAGCATTTCCTGTCTGGGGTTATATTCAAATAGTAATATCAAAGAAATTGGAGATTTTCAGTTCCATTAACCACTGAAAAACTGAACTAAGATCAATTGAATGAAGCACATATTGCAAATGTCCAATAATCCTGAAATAGCAGCTCTCAACCACCCTATCTCAACATATTTTTACCGATATATCCATGAATAAATAATAAATACATAAAATTAACCTAATGTGGGCCTCAGGATAAGTTAGTACAGGGGCAGCGATTAGATATCTAAACCATAGTGAAAGAAACTGAAAAATGCTCAGCAGTCCAAGAGGGAAGGGCTTACTCAGTGACCAGATCAGTTAGCCCCTTGTAGGTAACATTTCTAGGCTTATTCACTGCATCCATTACAACCTAATACAAGTAGAGAATTCACATTTAACAAAAGCATAAACGACAAGACATAACATGGTTAAAAAAATAAGAATTGAATAGATATATCGGCCAATAAAGCAAGTAAGTTCCTCCAGACGGTTGCCCTTAAAAATCATTTTTCCATTGCAAATCCGGAAAAAAAATCACAGGAGCAATTAAAATGAAATTTTAGACCCTGGCCATAGTAGGCAATCAAAAGAGAACTCTTGAATTTCCCCTCTGTTATTAATTGGCCATTGTTAACTTCAAATGAGTCTGTGTTGGGGGAAGCTAGACGAGGGGACAAAACAGAAGGGCAGGAACTCTGGAATTTGTTTAGTCCAAAAAATTCTAGCTAGCTAGCAAGCAAGCCAATATGTAATCAGGATGAAAAAGGAAAAACCTGAGCACCAGTGTTGGCGGCAGATTCAATGATACGAAGAAGATGGTCAGAAGGAATGGGTCCTGTTGATTCAGCGCCAACTCTGACATGGGTGGCGTTATGGTGATGTTGGGATAGAATAGCCTTGGTGGAGGTGGAGAAGGGCTTATTGAAGGTCAAAGCAGGGAATACTACCTCCTCCTTGCAGAATCCTCCACAAGTGCGAGGCTTTGCAACATCTCGGGAGAATCCGGGGGGAAGTTGTTGAAAGGGAAGCAATAACGCAGGTGGTTTCCCACAAAGCCGCGAGGGAATGAGTGCGGATAATGAGGAAGCAATTACCCACCCTCCCATCTTCTCCTACGAGGGTTTCGGTCCGCCGATTCTTGAGGGTCAGTTCAGTTCAGCTCAGCTCAGTCAGCAAGTAAGAAATAGGCCTCGCTTGTGCTTGCGCCTATAGAAAAAACGAAAGGCCACTGAGAATGTGTGATCCTTCCTTCCTTCCTGATGGTTATTGGTTATTAAAAAATTAATTAATTAATTAATTAATAATACTAATACAAACCAGCAGCATCCTATCCTATCCCATCCCATCTAAGCTAATCTAATGCAAAATCTAATCTTCCAATAACCCAACATTATTCTCCCCATCTTCGGATCAACCAACCATCACCATCACCATCACCACCACCACCACCACCTCCCATCTTCCTCCTTTTCCTGGATTTCCGTACGCCACTCCTTAACAATCAAAGGAAGATGTGCTAATTCGATTCGGATCTTGCCTGCAGGGTGATCTCGAAATATGAGACTGACAGTATTATCAACAAGCCAAATACAGAAGCCTGTAAATTAAGCAGCAGTCTGTCTGGTTAGGAAAGATCATGGAAAGAGTCGGGTACAAACAAACAAACATACAAGAGCAGAGGAGAGAAGATAGATTCCTCGTATTATCGGACAGACAGACAGACAGAGTGAGTGCTTCGGATATTTCCAACATTACATATACTATTATATGTTTTTTGATTCATTGTAGAACGAGATACAGACGAAGAGAGACGTAGTACAGTTGAATTATTAAATTGTTCGGGAAGGGGAGGGAGGAGGCAGTAGAGTGGAGCAGAGTAGAAGATGGAAGGAAGGAAGCAAGGGCGGATGATATCATCATCATCATCATATTCATATACAGAAAATTCATACCATTGTCCAGAGGTGTCATGTCAGTATCATCAATCATATTGATCATTCATGGATATGGGTGGATAGATGGGGCAACTTGTCGTTGCCAGTCCAGTCAGTCTGTCAGTACGGCAGAGCAGAGCACAGAACAGAACGTAACTCCAGATCCAGATCCAATGCAATGAAATGAAATGATTCGCCTCGCTGGCCTGCTATGGTATGTACATTGTTGTCTTATTGTGGCCCAAATCCGGTGAGAAACCTGTTGGGCCTAGCTAGCTGCACTGCGATTAATTAATTAGGCGTGTCGCGACTATCTTCCCCCTTAGACAGAAAAGCGTGCATACTTTTGCACTGCACCTTCGGTTAAATTCGAGACAAGACGCACGCCACACAACAACACAAGGAAAGGAAAGGAATAGAAAAAGAAAAGGAAAGAAAGCAAGGGTAGAAACGTAATTCCACCACCACGGCACTGCCACTCCAGTCCTCCTTCCTAAAATCTATAATCTGATTCTGATCTGATCTGGACTTCGCTTCCGCTTTGCTTTTGCTATGACTGCTGCTTCCCTTCCCTTCCGCGATCTTCTTCACTGCCACCCTTCAAAGTTTATCCGTTCCACCATCAATAGGTTCTTCCTTTTTCTTTCTATCTCCTCTATTTAGGCGTAATCCAAACGGAATTGTTTCGATTGAAAATTATATGGCTATGTTGTTGGAAGATACTGTCAAGTCCCTGGATCTTCTTTTGAGGCTCATCCGAAAACAGAGTCAGGAACAGTCATATGTCGACCCCACTCTCGACCCAGTTCTCCTTGTGCCTGGCATCGCCGGTTCCATTCTCAACGCTGTCGACGACAAGACTGGGAAAAAGGAAAGAGTTTGGGTGCGGATTCTTGGGGCCGATCACGAGTTCCGGGACAAACTTTGGTGTCGTTTTGATCCTGCATCAGGTTAATATTCGCCGCCAACCTTTCTAGATTTCCTGAAGTTGACGTTTTTCTATCTTACTTTAATCGTTTAAGTTACAAAATTGTGTTCTTGATGCTAAGAATTGCGCCTAAGTTTAAAGAACAAAGTCAGTCACAGGTTACTCCATGTCGCAGTTGTCTTGGCTTGTCTTTGTAGGTGTTCCTAGCATTTCATGGATAGCTAATGGTGACTTCTTTTCTGGAATTTGCAAAGATGTGAACTTAAGGAGGGATTTTCGTATACTTGGCTTAATGATAATTTTTCAAGATGTAAGTATAGATTAGAGGTTCGATGGGGATATCAAGTTAAAAAATTTCTTAAATATTCCATAGTTCTTTTTCCTTTTTGTGGCTAGAAGAAATTAATACTAATAGATTTTTTTATTTGCAAAGGAATGTGCTTAAATGCATTGTAAGAAAGATGCTATTATGTTAAGAGTTAAACTCATGATTTGAGTCTACGTGCACATAAAGCTTTATGGCTCTTTCTGATCAATAATAATATGATTCACCGTGCTATTGCTTTCTATTTTATGACTCTTGTTTGTGTGTGCCTTTTTTTTTTTTTTTCAAAGTGACTTAACAAAGTCTGAAACAGGCACGACAGTGTCCTTAGACACTGACACACATATTGAGGTTCCCCAAGACAAATATGGCTTACATGCTATTGATGTGTTGGACCCTGACATGGTAAGTCCTGCCTCCTAACTTTGATTATCGTAGATGTAGGCGGTGTATACTTCATGCTTCTTCTTTGGATCCTGATTAATTGTTTTTACACTCTCATACTTTGTTACATATTAGCAAATGAACCTAATATCAACACCTGCAAAAGGGCACTAATTTGTGGTTGGTTGTTTTTATTTCTTGTACTTTTTGCATATTTACTAGTGAACCTTATAGACACCTGTGTGTTTTGCAGGTTCTTGGTGGTGATTGTGTGTATTACTTTCATGACATGATAGTTGAATTGCTGAAATGGGGCTACCAAGAGGGAAGGACACTCTTTGGGTTTGGATATGATTTTCGTCAAAGCAATCGGTAAACGCTAATCTCAACAATAGTAGTTTAGATTCATACCATGATGCATTGTTTTATAACATGTATTACATATCTAAGATGATCTATTGTAATCTGTATTTGTTGTTCAGAAACTGTATAAAACTGTGGGTTTTATGTTTTTTTAGGTCCACAATCTGGATGTCATGCATTGTAATAATTTTATAGAGATGTCCTATTTTTTAATGTTGGATGGGCAAGAATTAATCATACTTGTTTTACTACCAAAACAAACTCAGGGAACCATGAATTTAATATCCTATGATTGGAACTTTTGGACTTACACACAATTGTAATGTTACACAGTTCATGTTGTTTCTCATTCGTATCTAACCTAACTGATCTTAAATATCCAGAACATTTCATTATGCTTGGATTGTCCTATACTTGTAGCCAATTATACTTTCACATGTTTTCCAAATGTATGTGTTTGGTGTGTTAGGTTTGATTCTTAGGACTCATTGTTCCACTGTAATTTCCAGACTTAAGGGTACAATGGAGTGCCTGGCATCAAAGCTTGAGGCTGTGTATACGGCATCTGGGGGAAGACAATTAAACATAATAAGTCATTCAATGGGTGGTCTTCTCATAAAATGTTTTATGAGCTTGCATGCTGATGTAATAGTCTCATCTCATTGTTCTTGAAGTTCTTGCTACTTCTCTGTTTCAATATTTGGAAACTAATAGTGATATCATGGTTTTGTAGATCTTTGAGAAGTATGTGAAAAATTGGATTGCAATAGCTGCACCATTTCGAGGTATGTTGCTCTTCAAATTACTGCTTCAGTGTTGCATTGGAACTATGCGAGTAGTAAAACTTTGGAACCCTGCACATATTATAACATATGTGATTAACAATCTATTATCTGTGTCTAATCATTGCCAATGTCTCAATTCAGAATATACTAAAGTTCCAAATGTGATTGTTAAGCTGAATTTTCTAAATAGAAGTGATTTGATGGACAGTTGGTTACACTTAGTTCATTCCAATTGCACTTGCTGTAATTAACTTCTTATCCCTTTTCTATTTTTGTTCCAAGTTCACTCCGAAGCAAGTCTACCCATGTTCATATCCTTTTGAACCCTCCGAAACATCTGAATTTTCCATTCAGGATTATTGTTTGTCGATGAATTTCAACAGGTGCACCTGGATACATAACATCCACATTATTGAATGGAACATCGTTTGTTGAGGGATGGGAAGGGAATTTTTTCATTTCAAAGTGGAGCATGCACCAACTGGTATGGAGTTCATTACCTTGTCTTCCACTTGCTTGCTACTTCCTTTCTCTTTTCCTACTTCCTTTCCTTTTTGGCTGCCCCTTCATTGGTTATTAACCTTGATGTTGTTCTGACTTTCCTGTTATTGCTATGAAAAATATGTATCTTTGTTTATATAAATACATGTGTGTGTGTATAAATCTTATAGAATCTGTCTCTGGACTCAGTTTCAATTATAGTAATCTAGAAATACTGTAATTTTTGTGTGGATTTGTTTACTATGTAACCTCATTTGCTTGCCTTTCTATCCTGGAGCACAGAAATTGTATTTGGTGTTGCAGTTCTTAAGCATTCCCATTCAAAATTATAGCTTGTGCATTTTGTGTTTCAGCTTATTGAGTGCCCTTCAATATATGAATTGATGGCTTGCTTAGACTTTCAATGGGAACACATTCCACGCCTTGAAATCTGGAGACAGAACTCTGATAGTGATGGAAATTCCACAGTAATGCTAGAGTCTTATCCTCCAGCTAAAGCAGTACCTGTTTTCATGGAAGCTCTTTCTGTCAATAAGGTGAGCTATGTCTTTTTATTATTTATTTATATATTTTTGAGTAAAACAAATAAGTGAATGTGAGCTCATTCAATTAGTGAGTTGTTACTTTCTGATGATTTATATAGCTTAACTATAAAGATTTTTTAAGCTGTCATTCCAATGAAAAGTATCCATTATTTGTGGCATTTCTATTGCTTGAAAATTATCTTCCGATTTGTCAATATCATTTGACATTTTTTGCAGGTTACTTACAGTGGTGTTGATATTTCTTTACCATTCAATACAGATATTCTACAATGGGCTAATGAGACCCGCAAAGTGTTGAGCAATGCTGCAGTCCCCAGTCAAATTAAATTCTATAATATATACGGCACAGATTATAGAACACCTCACAGTGTTTGGTAAGAAATTCTGTCAGATCTGAAACATAATTCACGTCCCAGGCATGGTGCATGTGTTCATGACTTGCTTTTTTGCAGTTATGGAAGTGAAGATGCACCTGTCTCTGATTTGAAACAATTGCCTAAGCTCGAGGTAAACCTTTTTGACAAATCTTAAGGTTGATATACAATTGGCATATAATTATATAATCTATTCCTAAATATTTATGAAAACTTGCTTGGTTTTGACCCTTTTGAAGGCCAAGTACATCTATGTGGATGGTGATGGCACCGTGCCAACTGAATCTTCTAAGGTTAGATGTTTTGAGATGCCATATTTGGTTTTAAGTTCCAACCCTGATGGATTGAAATTTAGGTTTTGTTCTCATGTAAAATCTGAAGTCTCAATCAATGACTTGTCATTGCTGGTAGGCTGATGGGCTTCGTGCAGAAGCAAGAGTTGGAGTGCCTGGTGACCATCGGGGAATTCTGTGCGATCGTCATGTATTCAGGATTCTAAAGCATTGGTTGAGGGCAGATCATGATCCTTTCTACAATCCCATGAATGATTACGTGATTCTGCCCACGGCCTTTGACCTTGGAATAGTTGAGACAAAGGAACCGGAAGTAACTTCTCTGAGAGAAGAGTGGCAAATTATTGGGGACGACCAAGATCTGAGTGGAGGAGTAGATATGGCAGAGGCAGAGGGAATAGTTGCCACCAGTGACTGGTACATGGGGTGATAAATCTTCGCAGGAAGGAGTCGTTGCCACTGTTGGTGTTAAGCCTCAGAATGATGGTAAAAAACATGTCAAGCTCATCACTCGGCCAGTTTCTGCAAGTGCATAGGAGGGGATGGATGGATGATCCTGATCCTGTTCAAATGGGCGTCTGCAAATCATTCAGGAAAGGAGTCATGCTTGATAATGCCAACCTCTATCCGGTATACACATAGCAGTGATCTACATAAAACAATCAAACATTCAACTTTCTTGTATATATTAGTATTTCTACTATCCATCCAACCCAATCCAACGCTGTAAATGCTACACCACTGTTGGATGGAGTCATGTATTAATTAATTGTTAATAAAATCTACATATCCTCTGTACGCAGCTGCTTATGATGTATGAAAAAACAGGTTGGTATGTATGTGGCTCTTCTTTTTCGCAATGCATGGTGCATCACACTTTCATTACATTACATTACATTACACCTAGCCAGCCATCGGTGCTATACATGTACAAGTGCAAATACAATAATCAGTATTATTATTGTTATTATGTACTACTACTACTACTACTTACAATGCTTGCCACTAATCTATAAAAGTAAAAGAGATCCTCCATAGCCCGTCCCCCATCATAAAAATGACATAATTGGGATTAAAAGAATAGTGTGGGGATTCTCCAATCTTCTCTGCAAATATCAATCACTGGAGCTTCTTGTATGCGTGATTGCATAGTAGTTCCTCACTTGATGAAAGAACTGAGAACAGAGAGAGCTTCATAATGATTAGAAATCAGATTGCCTGCGCACCTCTCTTTAGTTTTCTTGGTATGCTTGCTTGCTTGCTGGGCATGGCATTGACAGGGACCACTCCAACTGCTGGTGCAATTCCCTCTACTGTTTGATCAAAAAACACAGAGGAGTGAGGAGGAGGGCAACTGCACACAGCCAGGCAGGTCGTAAACGAAATTGCTTAGGTATAGAAATAGAATGAAACCGTGCTACATATATCCCATCTCTCAATCATCGTACGCTCCTGCCACCACCCTACTAACTGGTTAAGGCTGGCTATTCATGCATCTTAAAAAAACCTAAAATATCTATGTAAGGAGTTCAGGCACAAAGTATAAAAGCATGTTTCTTGGCTATAACAATAAATAATAATAGCAGCATAAAAAAGACTAAGCTTCGTTGGTGTAGCAAAGCTCAATCTCATGCACTTAATCAGAATCAGATATTTGTTCATCTATCCAATTCCCATCCCTGATTCTTAAGCATCCTCATCTCAAGCACCGACTGTAAAGTTCCAAACTAGAAGGTTAAATGGTTTGTGAAGACATTACAAATATAGCCATGAGATTATCACCAATATTTCTATTTAAGAAATCATATTGCTGCAGGAAGCAGAAGTTAGAAACACAAACCGTGAAGATCTTTTCTAGTGGATGTGACGAGATCAAGTTCTAGGATGTCGAGAAGACGCCCCAAATCCACACCACTGGTCCAATTTTTTGGAGGTTGGCTGGCTTTCAATTTCAACCGACCTCGGTTGGAAATCCCACCCCAAATAGTCCCAACTGGCCGGGGTTTCTCACCATTTTGATTTGTCAGTAGGATCAGGCTACCACTGTCACCTTCAAGATCAAATGTCTCAGGATTCTCTCCAACAACAAGAAAATCAGTGAAGAAACAGAACCCCTTTTCATCATTGTACTCCAATGAATAGGCCATTATGGTCCCAGTTGTCAAGCCAGAGCTCCTTCCAACTTTTATGACTTCCCGTCCAACTATACTACCAACATGTGACTGCAACTCTATTGCATTGACTTCACCAATCTCACCAATGCCTTTCACTGTTGTTGTCACATTGTCCATGTTCAAATCTTCCGCAAAAGGAATGAAGGCACCATCAGCACGAACAAACGTTTCTGTGTGAAATAGGGGCACGGGCATCCATGTTCAGACATGATAACTCAATAAGTATGTACTAACTTGGTGTCTAATTCAAAGGTATGAGAAGAGCCTAGAAATTGGAGCATGAGAGACCAAACGCATAATTGCCTTAGTTTTTAAATAGAACTTCACTTTAATGAGAGGCCATGACCATTGATATCAAGGTCCCATCTCATCTAGATGAACCAATTCTCAGTCCTGCTGGAGAATTATTATAAATGCAGAAACTGAGGCTACGCTTTGGTATCATATCACAGATGATGAAATGGTGGTAATTTACAGACAACGTGGGATACATAGTACCTGGGTTACTTCCAGCAAAAATTCTGTACCACAGATAGTCAGCCACAAATGTTGTTGCCCTTTCCACAGCACCTAAATATACACCTGGTCCAAGACTTGGAGGGAATGGATGGAACATTTTCTGACTTGGGTATTCAAGATCAATGGCTACATGGCGATTGGTAAGGAAACCAACCTGCCGATTTCCTGTCCTGCTTCTAACAATAGCACCCAAGGTTCCATAAGTTTCTTGGCTCGCAACCTAATAATGCTAGTAGTTAGACTACTGAATAGTTGAAGGGGAAATAAAATACAGAAACCCTGGAATTGCATAGACAAAGGAAATGTCAGCCCAATGTAAGGATTTTAATAGATAACTTGGCTGTGTGTTTTGTATTTCTTCTGTAATGCTATTCGATAACTAGAAAGGGCACATTGCATTAGAACAAAATAGAAGAAATTATTGTCACCATCACATAGCACAACATAAATAAATTTATCACCTGTGAACCTGATCCAATGCATGGATCGCAACTACCAAAGCCATTTACAAGCTCTTTATACAGTTTTTCTTTTGGAGTGGCTGCAGAAACTCCATAATAAGAAAACTCTACAACATCAACGTCACACCAAACCCCTCCAGGACCCTGCAAAAGATTACAGACTGGCTGATGAAAACTTCAAACTAACTACCATTATTAAATAGACAAAAAATGTTTTATTAACTAGATCTCCATTCTCTGAGACCTCAATACTTTGGGTGCAATACCATTTCTCTGCTTTATGGTGAACATACTTTGACAAATGACCAATGGCCACCGCAAAGGTGAATTTGTGTTATGTTAATTCTCCAATAAAGTGCAGCTCTTTTAAAGGTTAATATTTGGTAATGAAACAAAAGAAAGACATAGTCCTATTTTAATACCTCAAGTGTAGCAGGTAAACACTGAGCAGGGCTGAGCCAATGCCTTCGAACTTTTTGAGCAACAAAGACGAGTATAGCTGGTGTATCAGTCAACAAACCCTTCCTGATCCGAAAACCAATTGCAGTGCCAAGACTAAACTGCCTTAAATATTTGCTATGAAATGCTCTGATGGTCATCAGTTGAAGCAATGTTGTTGCCTGCAACTCTGCTGCCTGTTGGTCAAGAGTTTCAGGTAAAACTTCATTTTGAATATTATCAAAGTAACTAGCCCTATCTTCTGCACCATCAGTTAATCGGCAAGCCGGCCAGGAAAAGTAAGTGGCATTGATGTCAGGGAGCTGACCGCCTGATGCAAGGGCTTGTATGGACTGTGGCCTTGGCTGCGACAGATTGAAATTATTACAGTAGTTCCTTTCCAATTTCAGTGCTGATTTTTCAGATTGAGAGGAAAGAGAGTTATGAGTGTTTATCTCTAATCTAGCCATATTGATATCCATGTAGCAGCTTCCCTACAACAATACGAACCCTGGTGTTTAGGCTGTGTGAATGACAGAATCAGAAGACCAGTAAGCAATGTGAACCAAGTGTTGGAATTTGGAAAGAAGATTTAACAAGTTCCATATTTCTATGCAACAAAAATAAAAATCAGAATGCGTATCAATTCAAGCAACCAAAGGGAGCATCTAGAAATATATCCAATCATCAGCAACAATTGCAGCAAAGAAGTTATTAATGCCTTGATCGAAAGCAACAAAGATCACCGACTGAAATATCACGCGAAAAGAATCTGAAGAGGAATGAAGCAACAGCAGTAGCCATTTCTTAGCCGAATAGGCAATGGTTCCCGGTCCATTCTTCCCTAATTTCAAATAAACATAAAAGTAACAGCAATGGCACAGAAACTATCAATGAGGCAAGTTCAACTATTTTGCATAAAGCCAGGGAGCCAATATCCAGACAATGCATATCTGACGATCATTGGGGAATCCTTGGGACAATCCTAAAAAAACTCATAAAACTCCAAAAGCAGAGCAATAAATGATTAAATCAATACGAATTACAAAGCAAAGAAAAGAAAAAGGGGGGGGGGGGGGGGGGGGGGGGGGGGGGAATGAAACTTTTTTATCCAAATTCAGCAAAAGCTAGCTAACCTTTAAGCAGTAGATAACCTGTTTTTTAATACCCTAAAGCATACTTTCCACCCAACAGGAAACTCCCAGGGTAATAATCAATTGATTATATAGAACTCAACCTCCCAAATCAGATATAGATATGGCCACCACCATAAAGGGGTGGGTGGTGCTCAATGTGATGGGTGTGCCTGAGCGGAAGTTTTGAGGAGATTAAGGAGGCTTGAAGAGCGTAGCTAGCAGCTAAAGCGTTGTACTATTGTATTGTATTGTATACGAATGAATGCTGTTTTACAAAGAGAGGAACAAAACAAAAGCAGTAGTAGGCTTTAAACACTAGCCGCCTGTGATACTCCCTTAATATTGGGACTTGGTGGGGGTGGGGGTGGGGGGTTATCCTCTAGTGAGTGAGTAGCGGCTGACACTGACACTCTGGTGACACTGTGGCGGTGGTACTTGCTACTGGTACTCAACGATGAAATGAAAAGGAGCATGTTGCTTGCTACAGAAAGCAACCTTTTACACCGTCCTTGTCCTCATCATATATTATCATTGTACAGGCACACGTTCATACAGATTGATTAGCAAGAAGTTTGTGAGAATTTCAATTTTTTGGATTGAAAGAGAAGGAAAGCCGCCACTTTTGTGCAGGGATTCGTTGACTTGGACCATTGATGATGATAAGTCAATTATGGGGCTCTCCCCTCTCCTGCCCTGTGCTGCCTGCCTCTCAAGCGCCACGCATTACATGTTTGCTCCACAGAATCTGAACGCTACACTGTTCTGTTGTCAGCAGTGCATACAAAATAACCACACCGAATCTGTAAAATTTCTTCAATGGGCCCCCTTTCCATTATTGCCAAGTTCACTGATATCTTCCCATCAGATACTCGCTCAAAATTATATATATGTTATTATAACAGTAAGTGTGGAGACGCATGATAAGCAAACAGTAATTGAAGTTGTAGTTGTAGTTGACGAAGACTGAAGAGAAGACAAACAAGTAAAAATGATGGCGGAGGGGGGAGGTAGTGTGTAAAGTAGCAACCTTTTTCCTTATTGGTTTATTCTGTAGGATGATTGATTATTTATGAGGTGAGGTGGGCCCATTCTGGAAGTAGTGCTGCCTGCCTGCCTGCCTACCATCGGAGGAAATATCCATATCCTCCTCGTCGCAACTCATCTAATACTATCAGAGTAGCAGCGTGTGCGTGTGCGTGTGCCTGCCTCACACCAATGGCCGATCAATTAATCATTGAATTGAGGGAGATAACATAACATAAGTCAGTCGCTGCTTGGGGCCTAGATTTGATTTGAATTGTATTGCAAGTGTGTGCTGTTAATTAGACTCTCCCGGGCCCAAAGGCCATTGGGCTGCAATTGGGTCGTGGTGTGATGGGATTGTTTTATCCTATTTATTTCCCTCTAATCAAAATAACTGAATCTCCAACAATAGCAATAGGAGGAGGAGCCCAGCCCAGCCCATATGACAGATGTGTGTGTGTGTGTCTCTCTCTCTCTCTCTCGGGCTGCTATTGTGTCTATGTTTGTTGTTTATTTATTTATTTATTGCTCTCTGAACTGCACGCCTAACAGCTGTTTTGCTCCCGTCGTCCCAAATTCCAATTGATTCCACAGTACCAACCCAGCCAGCCCAAGCAATGGCAGCCGACGAGCACTCGCCGGCGGTCGGCGAGGATGTTCAGGCCTGCCAACGACTGTACCGCGCATTAGGCGACTGCCACAGACGCATCCCCGCAGGAAGATCTCGCGATGTGGCCTGCCGACACCTGAATCGTTCCCTCGCCGCCTGCCTCGTGGCAATAGCCTGTCCCCAGGAGGCCGATGCCGTCCGCTCCCTCTGCTCCAGCGCCGGCACCGCTCTTAAACGCCGCCAGTGCCAGGAAGCGCAGCTCTCTCTGTCGGCCTGCCTATCCAGACACCAATCGGAGGAACTCTAAAACATAAAACATTGATTGATTGATATTTCTGTCATACATAACACACATACAGACAGACATACTTGTAAGTTAGATCGCTCGCCCGTTTGATTCTATCTCATCTCATATTAACAAGCCAAATTTCTGAATATTTGATTGATCATCATCACGTATAGATTTCAAAGAGGATGCACAATGAGTTGAGTTGGTGCACAAGATGTATGTATAGCTTAAATTCTACTAGAAATCACCCAGGAATATATAGAGGACGTGAACAAGACTCAGAGTCAGACTGAGAGAGATGCAGGTTATTACCACAACGCAAAGCAAGGTGATCATCCTCAAGCAGGCTGTAGTTAGTTGCTTGGTATGGAAGTGGAAGGAAACCTTACCTGATTACCTATCATCAAGTAGTGGGAGCCGCGGAGGTTGCCCGCCAATCAATTCAATTCAGTTCAGAGTAAGTCTGTCATTGTTGATGCTGGTAGCTGGCCTGGCTGGGCTTCTGGGTGTACTGTTCCCACAGCTTTGTGTAACCATTCGGTTACTGTTACGGTTACGTTACAGCCTCAGCCTGCAAAGTAGGAAAGAACAAAAACAACAGCAACTGCTTTGATTAATTGACTGGAAAGAAAGGTATCATCAAGACCAGCCCTTAGTTGCAGTTTCAGTTGAGACTTGAGAGAGATGGTGAAACTCTAGACAGGAATGTTGACCTCATTCATTGTCATGCATCCAATCCACTCTTTTGCTCCTCTTTGTCGGGCATCGCTCACACAATTAAGCATTTTATACGAGGAGGAGGAGGAGGAGGTATATTGCTTTTCAAATGAGCAGAGGCTGAGTTTCATGGCTGGCTCATATGCTCTCAAGGAGTAGTCGTGGTTTTCAACAACGCTACTTGAATACCAAGAGGAGAGGAGCCGAATCTAACCTTTGTATTTACTTATTCTCTCAGACATATCAGACACGAGTGCAAAGTTGTTGCTCTCATAACATGCCGTTGTAAATGCTGCTAGTGTCACGCCATCCAGATTCTGGTTTACTTGTATCAATTTATCAAAGAACTGGGTAGCCATCCCTACTTTATGTTCACTGCAAAGCTTCCTGACCAACGAAGTCACCGTGCGCATCCGTTGTTTCTTTTCTAGCCTGTCCAACAGGAGCATTGCGGTACAAGCCTCGCCCTTCTTGCAAAACTCATAAGCTATTGTCATCCGCGTGACTTCGCATGGTGACAAACCTTTGTCCACCATTTCTTCGAAAAGTGATCTAGCCTCGTCCAACATGGATTCCTTACACAGGCCACCTATCAAAGCGCCAAAGGTAACGCTGTCGGGTGCACAAGCATTGGTGCGCATCTCATGGAAAACTTTCATAGCCGTGTCAATCTTCCCACCTCTGCAGTATCCAGAAATCATAGAGGTGTAAGTCTGAGTGGTCGGAGCAAGACCCATCTTCGCAGCATCAAGAAATATTCTTTCGCAATCTCTCATCTTCTTTTGCCGGGAAAACGATGCAATCAACGTTGTGTAAGTATGAATATCAAGTGCGATCCCATTTCCAATCATCTTACCAACAAGAGCTAAAGCTTGTTTGATGTCCTTCTGTTTGCAGCTCTCCGATATAAGAATGGTATATGTAACTTTATCAGCACAAAGCCCATCCCAATAGCTTCTTTTCAGCAAACTATATGCCTCCCCAATCCGTCCCTTCTTGCAGAGACTGTCTATAACAGAATTGTAGGTACACATGTTAGGATATATGCCGTGTTTGGCCATTGTGTCGAACAATTCATACACTCTACCAAAGTCTCCAACCTTGGCGTGGCCGTCCATCAGGGTCGTATAGGTGTTCAAATTAGGAACCAGACCTTGTTCCTGCATTTTCTCCAGCAGCATCTCTGCCCTGCTCAACTTCTCCTCCCTGCAATATCCGGCTATCATGGCGGTGTAAGTGTGCACGTTGGGCTTGTAGTTGTCGCTCCGAACAAGTTTCAAGAAAAGCCTAAACGCCTTATCGGTCCAACCTTTCTTGCAGAGGCCGTCAATCAGCGTCGTGTGAGTGTACACATTGGGCTTCAAGCCACTCCTATCCAACTTCTCCAACAGTTCAAATGCCTGCTTAATGCTCCCCCTTTTACTCAGGCCATCGATCAAACAGGTATAGTTGATTATGTTTGGCTCCAGCCCCATCTCTACCATCCTGTTGAAGATCCACACAGCCCTATTCACGCAACCATTCACACAGAACACCTTAATTATCAGGCTAAAAGTTGCGTTGTCCACCAAAAAGCCCCTACTCAACAATTCACCCAACCATCTGCCAGCATCTGAAGTTCTCCCGAGCCTACAATACGCCACGACCATGGACGTGAAGCTGTAGGGATTGGGAATCACCCCTCTCTTACACATCTCGTCAAACACATTCTCAGCCATCTCAACGCACCCCGTTCCATTCACCACGCCCAGCACACAATTCAATGTTTGGATGCTCAAAACCAAACCTTGGGTCTGCATCTCAAGCACCATGTCCACAGCCTCCTTCAACATCCCAACCTCGGCAAAATTCGACAGCATACAGCGCAGTACTTGATGGGTTCTTTCCAAGTTGCCTTTTCTGATAAAGCATGAGGCGGAAACAATGTAAAACCTCATGCAGTGCCTGAATCTGGGGATCTCTACGGCCCAATAAAAGAAACTCAAGGCCACCATAGCACCTGCGTCGTCAGCCAATGCAGCCACCACGGTAATAGCCTGTTCCGCGGTCAAGAAATCAGATTCCAGTGGCAAGTCCAGGGGGAGATGCTTTGAGTTGAACGAGTTGGGGGGCTTCCTCTGTTGATTGTAGTACGATTCGCAAACCCGAAAGCAGATTCTTTGGATGATCGTGGAGGAGGCTGGGTGATCGATAGTTGGGATGCGGGTAAAGGCTCGAACTTTAGAGACATGGACGCCATTGAGAGGAAGTTGGGATGCTGGATTCCGAAGGTAGATTCTTCCCAGATTGAGGTTAAGGGACACCATGAAAATGGTGAATATTGGAACCTCGGCTCGGAACGAAATTGGGTCTCCGCTGCGGCACGGGCACGGCAGCGGAGAAGAAGAATAGAGAAAACCGGAGGTGGAATTCAAAGGCATTCATACACTCATTCGGTTGGGTGAATGACTCGCTGGCCCACTCACTCACTCACCTGAAATTGAAATTGGGCCTTAGATTTCTGCTCTGCTGGCTCAATTCAATATTATGTTAATATTGGGCCAACAATTGATTCGATGGACATTGCCCGTTGGACCTCGGGCTTGCCCAGAATGACTATGAGAATGAGAATCCTAGAGATGGATCGGTGACTTGTGCCGGCCTTTAGTTCGCAGATATTAGCTTTCGGGGAATATGCACATCAGTCAAAAGGATCTTTTCAAAACAAGAAAAACAATGATGATGGGTGATTGGATAACTCCGCGACGTGAGTGGCGGTAAAGTTGGTTGGTTGAAATTCGATTCGAGAGAGAGAATTATGTATGTATCTGCGTATGTATATTAAAGATCAGTAAGAATTAGGAAGAAGATAAAAAAACAAAAAAAAAAAAGGCAATTCGGCCGTCGCTGTGAGAAAGACAGACAAAGGGAAGAAAAGAAAAGAGCCCTTCAATTCATATCTGTATGTCTTGTAGTGTCCTGATATTTTAAGGTACGCTCGCATTATCTCCTACGGTTGCATACAGACATACATACATATAGAAATTGAATACATAATACATTTGTGGCATGAGATTGCTTTCCATCTTTGCCATTGGATATAGGAGTTCCAGTTCCAGAGAATAGAATAGAATAGAATAGAATTGAATTGAATTGAATTGAAGTGGCAACACGGTCTCTAATTAAGCAATATCCAGTCCACAACACAAGCCTAACTAACAAACGTTTGGGCTCATTCATGTAAGCACCACGGTCTTGTTTCTTGCTTCTCCTCAATTCAATTCTTCTAGGCTGCTGCAATTGCTTCACTTCATTCTTCCAAAATCAAATAAATACTGAACCGCGCCGCTGCTGCTTCTTTTAAGGTTTATATATATATATATATATATACCATTAGCTGCTCTTGCTGTTTGCTTGAGCTTCTGTTGATTTCAATCTTCTTGCATTTGGCCTTTCCGTGTCATATCGATCTACTCTGCTGTTTCATTTCTGGTCTAGGGGGCCTCAGCCTCTGTAATTGCTTTCAATAAAAATGTTTCGAGTGTTTCAGTGTCAATATGCAAGGCCCTTCGTTCTTTTTTCAAAAACAGTTCAGTTAGTCTAATTGATTTGTATTGAACGCAGATGAATTTTCTCTACACGGCCTTCTTTTTATTTTTTATCAGGGGACCAATTAAAGATGAAATCTTCATTAACCACGTGCAACCACATTCTTTTGTAGGCTCTCTGTCAAATGCATTGCAAACTATATAATTATAACTGAACAAAAACATAATAGCCACTGTGGATTCAAGTGCAAAGCAAGAGATCCCAATGCTGAATCTACTGAAAAGTGGAAACGGGACACCCTTTTCATCAACAAACGGGGAAAATTCAGAAACTTCAATCATAAAAAGGTCTCCAGGAAAAAAGGTGTGTGGTGATGATACCCATGTTTGTGTGATTCAAACTATGTACCTAATTTTCTTGATCTTTACATCTTTGTTGTGGTAAAGGCGGTTCCCTGAGGGGTCATGGATGGAAATATGGATCTGGATTTGTTGATGGCATCTTCCCTGTGTTGAGCCCCATTGCGCAAGAGATTCTCGATTTTGTACAAAGGGAGCTGGATGTTCACAAACTATGGTCTTCCTTGGACAATTTGCCTCCCACAAACACAATTTGGGACGATCTAATCAGCATAGCAGTTCGATTGCGTCTCAATAAAAAATGGGATCCAATTATCATGGTATGCATCTCATGTTAACATCTCTAATCTTCTTTGATAGATTTTAATTTACTGAGGCATGATATGAAAGCAAGACGCCATTTAATTTATTTGCTGAAGAATTTTAGCGGATGTAATGAAAAAGTAAACCCTACAGCAATTTTACATAAATTTCATGACGGCGTACATGATAGCATATACATACATATGTGGTTGTGTCTGATGCAACACTATTAGCATCTTTTCAGATGTGTGAATGGATATTGAAAAGGAGCTCCTTCAAGCCTGATGTCATTTGCTATAATCTGCTTATAGAGGCTTATGGACATAAAGTGCAGTTTCAGAAGGCAGAATCTACTTATTTCCAACTTCAGGAAGCTCGATGCATCCCTACTGAGCATACTTATGCACTCCTTCTAAAAGCATACTGTAAGTGTGATTTGCTTGAGCATGCAGAAGCTGTCTTTGCTGAGATGCGAAAAAACGGCTTTCCCCCAAGTATGTCTTCTTGCTTTTATTCCTGTCAAGTATGTTTCATCGGCTCGACAGATGAACAATAGATGCTTGCTTGAGTTACCATACCGATGCATATCCTCATGCATTCAACATATTTTCTATTTTATAGGCACTCTTGTATATAATGCTTATATAGATGGATTATTGAAAAGAAGAAATTCCCAGCAAGCTCTCGCTGTTTTCCAAAAGATGAAGGCAGAGAATTGTCAGCCAACTGCTGAGACTTACACGCTGATGATCAACTTGTACGGGAAGGTGATCCTTTATGCATTTCTACTTTTCAGGTGTTTGAACTTGTTTCTGAGCATCTCATCGGTAGCCTGTTTTTATTTGACAGGAAAATAAATCTTTTATGGCCTTAGAGCTGTTTCGCGAGATGAAGAGGAGAAAATGCAGACCTAACATTTGCACTTACACTGCGCTGGTGAATGCATGTGCACGGGATGGATTGTGTGAAAAGGCGGAAGAGATTTTCGAACAATTGCAGGAGGCAGGGCACGAGCCTGATGTTTATGCTTACAATGCTCTCATGGAAGCGTACAGGTACTTACATAGCAGGGGCGCCACTCTTGTCTTTAATTAGTTGCCTGTTTGAGCGAGCAGCAAGCATTATCAATCAATCTTTTGTCTTGCCTGCACAGTCGGGCAGGTATCCCTTATGGTGCCGCAGAAATCTTTTCCCTCATGCAGCAAATGGGATGTGAGCCAGACACTGCATCATATAATATAATGCTGGATGCTTACGGGAGGGCAGGCCTTCATCAAGGTGTGGTTATCTATTCTTCTGGTCTGGACAGTCTTAGTCCCCATAAAACATGCCTAAGACACCAACCAATTCCTTCCATGTTAAGACACCAGAGTTTTTGATTTGCTGCATCATTGGGGATAGGATCAGCTTTTGAATCTTCATTCTCAAGTTTGCTCATCAATCATTGTACAGTTGCTGCTGCTGCTTTGTCTGAGTCTGAGTCTGAGTCTGAGTCTGAGGCAATTTATGTATGTATTGGCTTTAGGTGCGCAAGCGGTCTTTGATGAAATGAAGCGGATAGGAATAAAGGCGACGATGAAATCCCACATGCTGCTCATATCGGCCTACTCGAGGCTGGGCGATGCGGCGAGGTGCGAGGCAATTGTGAGGCAGATGAAGGAATCCGGGATGGCCCCGGACACGTACATCCTCAACGCGATGCTCAACCTGTACGGTCGGGCAGGCAACTTTGAGAAAATGGAACGGGTTTTGACCGCAATGGAGGGCGGGGGGGCATGCAGGCCCGACACCAGCACTTACAACATCCTGATCCACGCCTACGGGCGGGCCGGGTTCATAGAGAGGATGGAAGAGGTGTTCGCGTCGCTTCCCTCCAAGGGCGTGCGAGCCGATGTCAGGACTTGGACATCCAGGCTGGGGGCCTACTCCAGGAAGAAGCTGTACGGCAGGTGCCTGGAGATATTTGAAGAGATGATCGACAGCGGGTGCTATCCGGATGGGGCCACCGCCAGAGTGCTTTTGTCCGCATGCTCTTGCCGAGATCAGATCGAGCAAGTCACAGCAGTGATCAGAACATCGCATGCACGCACCATTCTGCAGCCCTGATTGATTCGATAGGATAGGATAGGATAGGATAGGATTTGATTTGATTTGATTGGTGCTTGTTGTTAACTTATGTTGGGTTACGGGCTTCCGCGCACCCTTTTTCCTCTCTCATCAAATCATTTGATAAGCATCCATCCATCCATCTATCTAGTCATTACACATTCACACTCCTCTTTGCTCCGCTCTCTGTTTTCTCTGCAAAATACTACCGACAAACCAACATCATCCTAGGATTATGATTATTAATTAATTAATAGGGGGTGCAAATACAAAAAATAGGGGCGCTTGAGAGATATTCAATAGTACAGGGGGCGTCAGGTTGATTTCCTTAACTTTTCTTGATCCGATCGCTATCAGGCTGATTTACTCTTCTTGTTTTTTTATTGATTATTGATCATGGCTAGGGAAGAGAAAAGAGCCCAGCATGGTGTATGTATATGTGTATGTGTATGTGTATGTGTATGTGTGGACCCCTTCCCCCACTCCCTTCCTTCCTTGTAGGGTATTTGCCCATCTCCACTTTGCACGTATAAACTGACTGCGTCCCTGTTCCCCGCCCGCATACGACGGAAGCACGCGGAGGTCGGTACTGCCTCTTCTGCCACCAAGCACTGAGAAGCGGAGCGCGCAGGGTTTATTTTCTTGCGTTTAAACATGGCGTCGAGGTTGTGGGCGACGAAGGCTGCTTCTTTCCTTAGGATCTCTGTCCCTTACAGAGGTTTTGCCGCCGGTGCGTTCTGTTCTCCACAATCACCGCCTCCTTTCTTTTCTTGATTTACGTTTAATGCTATGCTATTTCTTTTTTTTCTTTTTCTTTCTAAAAATAAATAAGATAGAAAGCTTGGTGATCTGTTATTGTTGGTGAGCAAGATCGGATCTTTAAAGAGATTTGTGATACATCAGCGGGAAGAGATCATTGATGATTTGTTTCTTTGCCTTATATGCATACTTTGAACAAAGTAAGTGACATTTGCGGCCCTCTGTCAGGAAAAAATATCGTGCTTCTTTTCTCCCCCGACCTGTCTGGGAGAATGTGTAAACCCTTCTTTTCCTACGCATTTCGGCCTATTGTTGCCCCTGCCCTTTTGTGTTTAACTGTGAAAATGCTGGCCTCTTCTTAATTAATGTGTAGAAACGACGACACTTTCTAACTTGTGAGAACCATTCTAAGTGACTGCCGGCAGAATAACTAGTTTGTTCTTCTACTCCCTGCAAGTTTTTGTCATTATGAAGTAGTTTTTTTTTATCTATCTTCAAGATTTCAGTGTGCCTCCTTTGCAACCAATGCAGCTATCAAGGATCTAAAGTATGCTGACTCTCATGAATGGGTGAAAGTGGAAGGCAACTCAGCCAAAATAGGCATTACTGATCATGCTCAAGATCACTTGGGTGACATTGTATACGTCGAACTACCTGACGAGGGGGCTGAAGTAAGGCAAGGTGAAAGTTTTGGTGCTGTTGAGAGTGTGAAGGCAACTAGTGACATCAACTCTCCTGTTTCTGGGAAAGTGGTTGAGGTCAACACAAAGCTTAATGATTCCCCTGGCCTGGTGAGTCTTTTGACCAGATTCTTATTTTCTTAGAGAGTTTTAGAGCATGTTGCTGATGCCAATGAATCAAATCATGAGTCTATACCCTATGGCTTAGGATTTTGAAGAATTTTAGAGGAAAATAATAAAAAGACAAAAGGAATACAATTTACAAAAGTATATTTCCAGGACTTCCAAGTGTTTTGTTCCGACTTGACGACAGTGTTATAATTATTTTCAGATTGCTGTTTTCCGGGAGTTCCATGCCTTGGACATATATCCTCATTTCATACTTAGAAATTTTATATTGCATAGTTGATCCCTGTGTAATTGCACTTATTTTCTATGATAGAACAAGCCCCAATCCTCCATTAACATTTCTGATGACATTATTGTGTTGGGATGTGGCAGTGGTTGGAGGTGCATCTTATATGTTTGTTTTATGTAACGGTTTTTTGTACAACGTTTGACCATAATTATTTGATCTTTGGGTTTGTGATGAAGTCAAACGTTAAAACTGTTTTTGTTTCTGGTTTAGGTGAATGCAAGCCCTTATGAAGATGGATGGATCATAAAGGTGGAGGTGAAAAGTGCTGATGAGCTGAACAACTTAATGGACTGCAATCAGTACTCCAAGTTCTGTGAAGAGGAAGATGCTAAGCACTGAGTGAGCGCAGGACTCTACTGGATGATGGATCATTTTCTTAGTGAAAGATCTTTAATGAAAATTCTTTTTCAGTTTCCTTTGTTTTGGATATGTTTGTTCTAGGATATGATTCCGAAAGATATTTGTAGTAGTTTTTAATAAATGTAAGTGTTTTTCCTTTTGCATTGAGGGAATTGTGGTTAAATGCAAACAAACATGTTTTTGTTCTTAGAAAACATTGGATGGAACATGGATAGAGGGTGAGTTGGCAGTGAATTCATTTGAGATGATCAGAGTCAATAGACAATGAGCAGAGGAATGAAGGAAGAAATGCTGGGTTTGGGTTTACAGAAGAGTCGGTGATTCACAGGTAGGTAGATAGATAGATACAATTGTGGTTGAATTTCATTTTGATTGAGAAAGGAACAAACAAATAGGGGATGGAGGGATGAATGCATGGAGGAAGCTGTTGCTGCTGCTGCATTCACTATGCATATCCATCCATCCTCACGAAAATCACAATATGATATGATGATGAGATGGAGTTATAGGCTTGGTTGGCGGCCTCTCTCTCTCTCTCTCTCTCGCTCATGTTCAAAGCATGAATGAATGAATGACAATAGCTCCTCCCTCCATTGTTATGTATGTAAATGGAGACTTTTTTGGTTGGGTGTTGGGGGAAAAAGAAAAAAGCTAGAATGGTGGTGCGGCATCACTACTATATCTATATCCACCTGTCTAGTCTCACTTTTAATAGTAGAGTAGTATTTTCATATTCATATGGCATCGCAGCATAGACCAGGCAGTAAGATAAATAATACTAGCAATAATGTTTGTTGATGATGATGCAGCAGGCTTGATGTAAAAGCTAAGTATGCTGATGGGGGCCACCTCTTCCATTCCAGCTCCCACTTCCCACTCCTCCTCTCCTCACGCATTATAATATCATCATTGTAGAGTAGTTTTATATATGATGACATCATCTTTTATGTCATTCACTTCTGCCTCAGTTGTCTTCCTCAGACCAGATTGACACAGGTTCAGGTTCATGTTAGCAATATATATATATAGTAACATTAGAAAGATGAAGCAGTAGCAGTAGTAGTAGCAGGAGTTGGCAAAGTGTCCCTGTCATTGTGAATTTGATCGCCAAATATAATAATAAGGAGACAATGAAAGCCAACTTTAAACATGATTTATCCGATGATCAATTGTACAGTTGTGGATCATTGGTATCCATTTCCATTTCCATCTCCATCTCCATCTCCATCTCAGCTTTGCTTTTAGTAGAGTCTAATTATCTCATTTGAGATGATTATGAGGAAGCAAAGGGTGGATTGCTGCAACCCTTGGAAACCAATCTCCATCAAACGGCAGCACACAAACCCGCACGACCCCCTCTCATAAACACACAAACAAACAACGAGATATTCCTTCATTTCTACTTTATTTTTTTTTTTTATATTTTAAATAATTATATAATTTAATGATATTTTGAAATTTATAATTTTAATTATTTACGAATATTTTTAATTTTCTTGTCTTTATACTGATAATAATTTTACTAAGATTTAGAGAGAGAGAGTCGGAAGGAAAGCTTATCTATACTTGCAGATAGTGTCCGATGGCCTAGTGCGTAGTGGGTAGTGGGTGGTGTGGGGTGAACCTCTGTTGTTTTGTTTGGGTTTGGGTTTGGTTTGAGGTTTTAGGAAAGGAAAATACATCTCTCTCTCTCTCTCTACATTTATATTTGTTTCCATTTCTTACCGAGGAAGAGAGAACGGGTAAATAAAATGCCATCTGATCCGAACCTATCGTCAACCCCCACAGTCCACTGCCCCGCTGCGTGGTCTTGCGCAGTAAAACTACTCCGCTTCGCTCCTTCAAATGATTTACCCCTTCTCGCTTACTTATAGGGCTTTTTTTACTTTAGACCCTACAATTTGCGGGGGCACTCCATAGATTTGAAGTTGGAGAAGCTTTAGCCTTCTCTCTAATCCCCTCCCGATGGTTCCTCTTTCCTGAATGAAACCAGAGAGATTTTTCATAGGTCAGTTGTCTCTTTCCCTTGGATTATGCGTTTTGTAATTCAGGTACTATGTGTAAGTCTTTGCATATAAAAGACAATCCAAGTCTGTAATTGTGGCGAAAGCCCGGATCTTTTTATCATTTACTCGCTTCCTTTCATCACCCCCTCCTGAAATGTGATAATTGTTCCGGCTTCCGGGTCTGAGCACTAATCTTTCCAAGGAACGCATGGATTTGAATGTGAACTATCCTATAAATCAAAATTGTGCCAGTATTGATAGCCCTGGAATGCAGGTAAGACAGTGATCTTAGGAAATGGCCAAGTCAAGGCCACATTTTCCTGCACAAGATGTGTTGGCGTCTGCCCCGGCAGCAGTGAGGTCCAGAGAATGGGAGGGTCCATCAAGGTGGACGGAATACTTGGGCCCAGACGTAGAATCCAGGAATAATGGCAGAGGAGCTGAGGTAGCAGCAATCCAAAATTCCAGTGCTTCATTGCACAAGGGTTTGAACATGCAATGGGTGTACCAGCTTACACATGTCGCTGAAGGGCTAATGGCGAAGATGTACAGGTTGAATCAGATTCTTGATTACCCTGATCTAGTTAATCATAGCTACCCCGAAACATTTTGGAAAGCAGGCGTGTTCCCAAACCACCCCAGAATTTGTATCTTACTTGAAAAAAAGTTCCCTGAACACCACAGCAAATTGCAGCTTGAACGGGTAGCACTCGAAGATCCTTTCTTCATTGTTTGTAAAATTTGTACTTTTTCTGTGACTTGGATTCGAAGCATCACTGATTCATGGAAGTGTGTATTAGGTTGATAAGTTTGCCTTGGATGCCATGAATGATAGTGCTGAAGTTCATTTGCAGAGCTTGGAGCAATGGATTCAGGTTAGGAATCGCTAACATGGAGCTCTGCATTCCATGATTGATTATTGCTATTAACACAAATGTCATTTTCAGGTGGTATTAGTGTTTTCTTTTTTGGTTTGTATTATTTATTTCTTTTATATTTTCCTAGTATTCTTCTTGGAACGGATACATTTGCACCTGTTCTGGCAACTAGCATATAAAAGAAATGCCAATTTCCTACAGAAGCTATTTCCTTTTGTTTGTTGCATAAGCATGTTGTTAAATTCGTACTAATCTTTACTTTTAAGGTTATGATACATATTTTGCAAATTGTTTCATCTTTTTCAATCAGCTTCTTCTTGATCTGATGGCATTCCGAGAACAAGCTCTGCGCCTCATATTGGATCTGAGCAGTACTGTTATTACCTTGCTGGTGAGCAGTGAAGAATGATACCTATGAGTTAAATTTCTTAAAGCAATATCGTTAATTACCTACAATTAGCTATGGTTTGATCAATTGCACGCCATTTTGTGAATCATGAAAGTATCATGTACCCATTCTCTCTCCCCCCTCCCACAAAAAATAAATGAATATTGAATACATTATATAAGAATGAACATATAAATTTCGATGTTTTTATATTGATGGATTGACACTTACCTTGCAGCCCCACCAAAACGCTCTAATACTACACGCCTTTATGGATCTCTTTTGCTCATTTGTTCGCGTGAATCTTTTATCTGAAAAGGCAAGTATATGCTGACTAGCCTTTATCTCTTATTAATATTTATGTCTTCTCTCTGTAGATTGTTGAGTGTCTTTAGCCTTACATACATGTTAACTTCTTGCACCTCAGATACCCAGAAAAATGATGCTGCAAACTTATAATCTTTTGCATGCTATGGCACGGGATGATCGAGACACTGATTTTTATCACAGGTGAAGCTGTACCTACTGTTTAGATTTATGATTTCTTTGTGTTGATCATCAGTTTTGAATTTGTGGCTTCAAATCCATCACATAATGTTTATTATGTTTGACAAGAACAATAATTTCCATGTGAAGTTTGAGTTTTAGATGAAACAGGCTTACTGCATCCTTTCATCTTGTCATAGAATTTGTGAGCATACTACATGCCACTTCTACTTGCATATACTTTCTAGTTTATAGTTGTTTTTTGTATGGGAGGTGAATGCACTTGCTGAGATATTTTAAAGTATCACAGTGGTATCACATCTGCTGCAAAGTGAGAATATCTGGAAATACCATCTTGATAATGACATTTGATTTCCTTGCTCAATATTCTAGTGTGTGTTCTTTTAAACTGTGTAAGAATGATATATGATAATGCACTATGTTTGCTTCAAATGAGAATATCTTGGAATACATGTCTCAACCTTACACTATGCTTTTGGATATCCTCAAAAATCAAGAAATGTTAGGAAGTCTGTGCTCGACTTTGGGTTTGTAAGTTAGCTGGTCTTCTCTGTCAAGAAGTTTAATGTAAATCTTTTTCTGTATTGTGCTATTTGTTGTATCAGCTTGCTGTTGAATTTGTCAATTTGGGCTTCCTTTTGAGTACTTTGGATATTGTACCGGGTGTTACTTAACAAACCCTTATTTCACTTTCCTGCTTTTTCATACTGTTTATAGGTGTTATTTCTTTTTCCCTTTATTATTTATTTCTTTCTTTATTTATTTTTGGGGTTGGTGGGGTGGGGTGGGGGCGTTCTTATAATATTTTTGGTTTGAGATGAGGGATCTCATTGATTATGGTGAAAAATCATTCTGCTCTTTTTCACTTGTTAGCCTTTCTTATTAAGTCTATGACTTGGAGCATCCAATGGATATGAAAATATATGTTTCGAGTGAAGCTCATATATTTTTCTATCTTGAATGTCAGATTAATTCAATTTGTAGACTCCTATGATCCACCATTGAAAGGGTTACATGAAGATCTTAATTTTGTCAGTCCTCGGATTGGAGAGGTAATGAACATTCTGTTTCTGGGCTGGCATGTTTAAATTAATCTCCAGCCTTTTTTCTTGGTAAGCCAAAAGGTAGAAGTGAATCTCCCTAACATCCATGATTTGTTTTTTTACTAGGTTTTAGAGGCTGTAGGCCCAATTATCTTTTTGTCGACAGATACAAGGAAGCTGCGGAATGAGGGATTTCTAAGTCCATTTCATCCTAGATATCCCGACATACTCACAAACTCTGCACATCCAATGGTAATTGAGTTTTGAGGCTCTCTTGTGTTATTCCCACCCATATGTTATTGCATGTACCAGTGAGTTGTATGGATGACCAAACATGAAATTTCACTGGGAAAAAAGACTAGCATTCCCTATTGATTATGTCTTCAAACTACTTCAGACTGACTTTGAATGATTTAAATTATACAGAGAGCTCAAGACCTGGCTAATGTTACTTCATATCGGGAATGGGTGTTATTTGGGTATCTGGTTTGTCCAGATGAGCTTTTGAGAGTCACAAGCATTGACATCAGCTTGGTATGCTACAAACATCCATGTTTTTCTCTTTACCTGTGATTATCTCATTTAGTATGTTTCTCATTTTCATTAAGATTTTGCTAGTTTAGAAATGAGCATGTCAAGATCAGGATGCTCTATTTTTCTTGTGCTTGTTTATTGATATAACTATTAACTTCTCATGCTTTCAGGTTGTGCTAAAGGAAAACCTTGTTTTGACATTGTTTCGCGATGAAGTAAGTTTTTATTTTTATTGTTTGTTGTTATGGCAATAATAAAGAAAATCTATTTTAGTTTCATGAAAACATTTCTTGTGATTTCATGAAAGCGTTTCTGGTCTTCACAAAAGCATTGTATAAGTTTGAGAAATCTGACCAAGTTTTATAGACAGATGACAGGTGGTGCTTAAACATGAAAGGATTGAAATAAAACAAATTAGCATATCAAGACACACCCAGCGATATATTTTGCAGCTTTTGATACAATACAATTCCCTGCTGCGCTGCTGATTATACATTACCTTATGTAATCCTAACTTGAGAAAACTTCCAAAATGCTTTGTCCCAAACCAATTGGCTAAATTTGAAGGAACAAGTTGTTTGATACTCCATCGATTCTTAATCTCAACGTTTTTGCTGTGATGCACACTAGTGTGTGGCTGAGATGGAATTTCCTATATATTGTAAAAAATTAGGATTTTTTTCTCTTTTTTGGGATTCATGGGATTAAAACTAATCAATTCACTCTTGGGAAATGGATTAGAGTGTGGGAAAATCTACCAACTGATATTCAACTTATAAATGACTGGAAACTTATAATTTTACTTCTACCACGACAACAGATTTCTAATTGTTGGCATTTTTGTTTTAATTCTATTGACAATCTTAAATAAAGTATACAGCTAGAAAATATGAGAGTTCTTGCTCCAACTTACTATTTCTGAAATACTGTTTGATTTCGCAATGATTATAATATACATTTGCAGTATATATTATTGCACGAGGACTATCATTTGTATGTTTTGCCACGTATATTGGAATCAAAGAAGATAGCAAAATCTGGACGAACAAAACAAAAGGAAGCAGATCTAGAGTATAGTGTTGCAAAGCAGGTAGAGAAAATGATAAGGTATTGACTATTGACATATAAGCAAGGATTTCCTATTTGTTTTTATGTTGTTTAGTGAATTTTCTGACAAGTAAAGACTAACATTAATACGATGCTATCAATACAATGGGTAGAGAAACTAGTGAGATAATGCCAAAGATGCTTGTCCATATTATCATTGCATCACAATGTCCTAGGTCCACATGAATTATCAGATTAACATCTGACATTTACATTTTTAGCAGAATCAAGTATGATGATTGCTTTTATTTTATCAATTTTTGTCTATTTGGTAAGTAGAAGGTATGGTTGGTAAATATATGCCCAATTTACTTGTTAATGTGGGCTTTTGATGATAACAGTGAAGTGCATGAGCAAGCAATGTACTCTTGTGATGCAATACACCATGAAAGGAGAATATTGTTGAAGCAGGAGATTGGAAGAATGGTTATGTTCTTTACAGATCAGCCAAGTTTATTGGCTCCTAATATTCAGGTATAATGTGTATAGAATTTTGAGTATCCTACTTTCACGCAATTCACAGGGGTTTAGGGGGACAACCCAGCAAATAGATATCTACACTTGGTTCCCATTTTGGTTGTAAGCGCAACCAACATGCTATTAAGGATATTTGTTTTCCAACCTATATCATGTGAATATGAATTTTGTGCTACAAGCAAAATACTAGATAACACTTTTATAGGTTTGAAGTTTGACTAAATAATGAAGAGAAATGATGATTCTCTTCTGCACAGATGTCTTTTGGACATCCCTTTTTGCCATTTTCTAATAAGACTATTTGGTGAACAGATGGTATTTTCTGCTTTGGCCTTTGCGCAAAGTGAGGTGTTATGGTATTTCCAGCATGTTGGCATAGGATCTTCTAGATCAAAAACAGCTCGTATTGTGCCTGTTGAAATTGTAAGAATGTCTGTTCAATAAAATATTTTGTTATGTGATTGTAAGAATGTCAGCTTGACTTTGATTTGAGTACTTCGCAACAACTCACATGGTTTTCGTATCTTCTTGTACACTTGAGTGTAGGATCCAAATGATCCAACGATTGGATTTTTGTTGGATGGAATGGACCACCTCTGCTGTCTAGTCCGTAAATATATCGCAGGTTAGGTTTCTGGAAATCAAGTAGTGGTATATACATATATATATATATTTTGCTATGCAAATTATTCAGGCTTGCCTGGAATAGATACTGTAGATTCGTTTTTGTCATGCCAATTACTTGATGTTGAAAAATTAATATTAAAATATGGAATACATGAATGTGCAGAACCCAATACTCTTGTAAAAGTTTTCCTGCATCTACACTTGTGTTACACCATTATAATTGTTTTGTTTTAACACTGGACCAATACGTATAATATATATAATTTTCCTTCAGCCATTCGAGGCTATGCCTTGTCATACCTATCATCCTGTGCTGGTAGAATTCGGTTTCTTCTGGGTACTCCTGGAATGGTGGCTCTTGACCTCGATGCTACTTTGAAGGGACTTTTTCAAAGGATTGTTCAGCATCTAGAAAATATACCCAAACCTCAGGGTGATAATATTTCCGCCATCACATGTGATCTATCGGTAAGCTGTTCTTCAGGCTTTTGTTATTTTCCATCTTAGAACTTAATATGTTATGAAACTTGATTAAAGCTTGTCCTTAACAAAAATATGTGAAGTTATTAGCACCAAGTTTATGTTTTTCATGCTTGATCAACCACCTGAGCAGGAATAATTACAGGTGTACAAAGAGATTTTATTGCAATTCATAGCTCTCACCACTTTTTATGCAGCTATTCTTTATTCTCACTTCCCCTCTTACTGCTTATTCTTGAGTTTCTAGTAATTAATTGTATCCACGTTTAGGAGTTACGGAAGGATTGGCTATCTGTGTTGATGATTGTCACCTCTGCTCGGTCATCAATTAACATTAGACATTTGGAGAAAGCTACAGTGTCTACTGGAAAAGAGGGCTTATTATCTGAAGGAAATGCTGCATACAATTGGTCCAGGTACTTTTGCTCACATCTATCAAGTTCTGCCTCAATAATTTTTTTATCATTTTCCTTAGACACAGTGTTTATCCTTTAAGAACTTGATGGACATGTGTCTCTTTAAAATGTATTGTATATTGTGTATTCTTCACCAACCATGAGTTTGCAAATGCATCTCAAGTATCATTTATGTACAAGAGATGTTAATGCATTTTGTGTGTGTGCAGATGTGTTGATGAGCTTGAAATCCAACTATCAAAGCATGGAAATCTGAAGAAAATTTACTTCTATCACCAACATCTGACATCTGTAAGCTGTATAATTTACATACTATCTGAGTACAATTGCATAACTTCATCTAACTTGGAGATTACTTTAGGTTTTCCGTAACACCATGTTTGGCCCTGAAGGTCGGCCACAGCATTGCTGTGCCTGGCTAGGTGTTGCTAGCAGTTTCCCAGAATGTGCTTCACCTATTGTTCCAGAAGAGGTATTGACAGATGAACAATTATGAGCATTTAAGAGCTCAGCCTGGCTAGATGCCCTAGTTAGACCATGTGTTGTGTTTTCTGATTCGTGGGTGCAAGAATCATCATCCACAATTTTGTATTGAATATAGGTGACTAAGATTGGACGAGATGCAGTTTTATATGTTGAATCCCTAATCGAATCTATCATGGGAGGACTGGAAGGTTTGATAAATATTCTTGATTCAGAAGGAGGGTTTGGATCTCTGGAGATGCAGGTTGTAAATGATTTGGATTTTAGTTGAGATGTAAAATGATATATATATTTTTTTAATAAGAGATGTAATGAATTTGCGTTCTTGTTCTTATTGTACATACTTTTCATTATTTCAGCTTCTTCCAGACCAAGCAGCAAATCTTATGAATTTGACATCTAGATTATCTATACCTTCCGCAAAATCTCCGAAAGCTTCATATGGCTTTCACTTGCCTGGCTATGAGAGCTATCCAGAAAATAATAATTCTATCAAAATGTGAGCTTCTTTGGGTGATCATTTCAGTTATTTCTCTGATCTGTTTTTCTTTGTAATATGGGTTTCCATAATTTTCAGGTTAGAAGCTGCAATGCAGAGGTTGACAAATCTGTGTTCAGTCCTGAATGACATGGAGCCTATATGTGTGCTAAACCATGTTTTTGTTCTAAGGGAGGTAAGATCAAGGCTCCATGTAAATTGTTAATTCTATAATTTGAATATGACCCTGTCGGAAGGTTCCAAGATAACAAACACAAGGGAATAGATGCGTGAGATTACATTATTTTTTATGTGAGCCTTTTCAACCTAGGAAAGTTCTGAATCTAACCTCTGTTGTGCTGATTAACCCAGATATTCACCTGATCCTTGTGAAGTTGTCATCACCTGTTAGAACACATCATATTGATATTCTGAATTTCTCTATCATGTGATGCAGTATATGAGAGAATGCATTCTGGGGAATTTCAAAAGGAGGCTGCTTGCAGTGTTGAAAACAGATTCTGATCTTCAGAGACCTTCTGTTCTTGAATCACTTATCCGTAGGCATACCACTATAGTTCACCTAGCAGAACAACATGTCAGCATGGACCTTACACAGGGAATTCGTGAAATTCTGCTTGCGGAGACCTACTCAGGTCCAGTTTCTTCTTTACAGTTGTTTGAGAAACCAACAGATCAGCAGACTGGGACAGCTACAGAAGCTGTGTGCAATTGGTATGTTGAAAATATTGTTAAGGATGCATCTGGTGCTGGTATAATCTTTGCACCTCTTCATAGATGCTTTAAGAGTACAAGGCCTGTTGGTGGGTATTTTGCTGAGTCAGTGACGGATCTCAAGGAATTGAAAGCGTTTGTTCGCACTTTTGGAAGTTATGGAGTAGACAGGTTAGACAGGATGCTGAAAGAGCATACAGCAGCTCTTCTAAATTGCATTGACACTACATTGAGAGCCAACCGTGAGATTTTGGATGCAGTTGCTGGAAGTATGCATGCTGGTGACAGGATGGAAACAGAATCGAATATAAAGCAGATAATTGATATGGACACTATGGTTAGGTTCTGCATTCAGGCAGGACAGGCCATTGCTTTTGATTCACTTTTAGTAGAAGCTTCTGGTGTGGTGCTTGAAGAGGGTGCTCCACTCATTCATTCATTGCTCTCTGGTGTTGCTAAACACTTGCCTGATGAAATACCTGAGAAGAAAGAGATCAGGAGGATGAGAAAAGTAGCAGACACTGTCAATGTAGGTGGTGATCATGACTTTGAGTGGATTAGATCAATACTCGAAGAGGTTAGGGGTGCAACTGATAGCTCATGGAGCTTGTTGCCCTATCTGTTTGCAACATTTATGACATCTTCTATCTGGAACACCACTGCCTTTAATGTTGACACTGGAGGCTTCAGTAACAACATTCATTGCCTGGCCAGGTGCACTTGATTTTTTGTTTAAAGAGATCATATAATTAGATATGGAGCTAAACAATTGTAAATTTCTAGTCTGTCTGTGGTGTAAAGTCGACAGCAAGATGGTTTTGTTTATGAGATTTACTGAAACCCCTTATATCAGGTGCATATCTGCTGTGATTGCTGGAAGTGAAATTCTGAGGCTTGAAAGAGAATATCGCCAGAAGCAAACTCTTTCAAATGGCCATGCCACTGAATCTTTGGATCCCGAGGCACAAAACTATTTGTCGGTGGAGACAAGCATAAAGTCCACAATGCAGCTTTTTGTCAAGTTCTCTGCAGGAATTATTCTGGATTCATGGAGTGAAAGCATTCGGTAAGTGAAACGAAAAAAAAAAAAAAAACTTCAATTCTACTTGTCTTCTGGAATGGAACATGAACCTTAATCTGAGAATTCCACATGGCAGGCACATGCATAGAATTTTTCAGTGGTATATATTTATTGGTTGCATTTCTTCATGGATCTCTTTCTGTTGTGGTATATATTTATTGGTTGCATTTCTTCATGGATCTCTTTCTGTTGGTTTATGGATTGTTCAGATCCCACCTTGTGGCAAAGCTGATGTTTCTTGATCAAGTCTGTGAGATCTCACCCTTCTTACCAAGGAGCTCATTGGAATCGCATGTTCCTTACTGCATTCTGCGCTCCGTGTATAGCCAATACTATTCGAATTCTTCCACAGCCATGGCATCGCTGGGTGCTTCTCCACGCCATTCTCCTGCTGCTGCTGCTGCCATGTCCCTGGCGCATTCTTCTCCATCAATGAGGCAGCCCCATGGTGATTCAACTCCACAGTCGCACGATGCTGCAAGTTATAATGTCAAGGCGGCGGCTTCATCTGCTCATGGCCAAGATCATTATGAGATGGAAAATGCAGGCGGCAAAAACCGGAATGTTCGTCGGTCAGGCCCGTTAGAATACAGCTTGAGTCGCAAGGCTAAATTTGCAGAAGGGTCAACATCTGGAAGCACGGGTCCGAGTCCCCTGCCAAGGTTTGCAGTATCAAGGTCGGGTCCGGTGTCATACAAATGAAAGACAGGAGAGGGGAGGGGAGTGGAGTGGAAACCAAAATAATTATGGTAAAAGAATGAATGGATTTTGTTGTCATGTGCGGAGGTAAGGCAAGCAGGGCAGGAGTGAGTTGAAGATATATATATATAAATGGTGGTGGTTGTGAACTGTAACAATATCAATCAATATTTGATGATGATGATGATGATGGAAGATAGATAGATATCTTGATATGTTTGTTAGATTTAACTCTTCTAATGCGACGGTTTTCTAATAGCAGGCAGGCAGCGGCAACTGGCAAATGCAAGTGCTCCTGCTCTTGGTCTGGTTCTCTACCCGCTACACCTCTGACTGACAGCCTGGCCGACGACTCACTCTGCCTCTGCCTCTGCCCACTGATTCTTTCAATTTCAAGGAGTTGCCTGCCTCCCTGCCTCCTATTCCTATTCCTTTTCCCTTCCCCTTCCCCTTCCCCTTCCTGTCCGTACAAAATGGCCCTCCCTTCCCTTCCCTTCCCTTCACACGCTCTCTCTCTCTCTCTCCACCTCTACATAAAGCCCGGCCAGGCCAGAGACCACTGCTCTGAAGAAGAGAAGGAAAAGAGACATGCCACCCACCATTTGGTCTTTCTCACTTCTTTATAAGTGATCCCATCCCATCCCTACATCCATCCATCCATCCATCCCGTCCTGCGCTTTCTCCTCCTTCTTCCTCGTTGGATTGGTATTGGTTTTGGCATTCGTATTCATTCCTCGGATCGATTGATTTGATTACCTTAGCCCTAATTTTCTCTCTCCGCCTCGACTCTCGGCGCCATGGCCGTGCGCCTCAGGAGGAGTTGGTTCGTTGGTTAGTTAGTTCTCACTATGATCGTCGATCTGCCCTCCCTCGTAGCCACCTCACGATGAATCCCCGCCCCAAATTTAGATCGCCGCCTCCCTTCGCCGCCTCTCCTTCCTCGCCCACTAAGACTGCCAGTCCCAAAATGCCCCGGAAATCTTACCTCCGCCCCACGCTCATCCTCGGATGTCTCTTCTTCTTCTATGCCCTCTACACCTTCCTCTTCTACGCCCCTCCTTCCCCGACAGCCAGAGTTAACCTTGACAAGGAGTTTGCCACCAGCAGCTCAACTGACACTAATGCCAATTCAAATGCAAATGCAAATGCCCAGGTGAAGATATACATGTATGATTTGCCCCGACGATTTACGTACGGAGTCGTGGAGAGCTACGCAGCCGCGCGAGGCGGGCATGCCCTAGGGAAAGATGGTTTGTTCAAGTATCCCGGACACCAGCACTCCGCCGAGTGGCACCTCTTCTCCGATTTAAATCGTCCGGCTCACCAGCGAATCGACGCTGCCGTAATTCGGGTGATGGACCCCGAAGAGGCTGACCTTTTCTACGTACCCTTTTTCTCCTCGTTGAGCCTCGTTGCTAACCCAATTCGACCCGCTACTACTGTCAACGGATCCTTGCCTACTCCTGCATATAGCGATGATGAAACCCAGGTACAATTTTTATTTTTTTTTTACCATTTTCCGATTTTGAATTATCTCCGGCGAAAGCCACGGAACTATAGTCGATTTCGGGATCTATGTTATTCACTTGAATGAATGGCTGGCTGATCATTCTGTCCCTTGCCAAGTATTTTGCTGCTTTTTTCAAACTTTATCATGACAAAAGGAGCATTGGGTTCTCATAATTTTGTTTTTAGGAATCTTTGATGGAGTGGTTGGAAGAACAAGTATATTGGAAGAGAAATAACGGATGGGATCATGTATTCATATGCCAAGATCCCAATGCTCTGTACAAAGTTATCGATAGGGTGAAGAATGGGGTGTTACTGGTGTCCGATTTTGGGAGGCTGGCTAGAAATCAGGCATCCCTTGTGAAGGATGTGATCCTGCCTTATTCACACCGGATTAATACATACAAGGGGGATATTGGTGTTGAAAATCGCAAGACATTGATGTTCTTTATGGGGAATCGCTACCGGAAAGAGGTAATAATAATTGGCTTTTGCTCTTTCAGCATATATTTGTGGTGCACTTGGCAAAATGCGTCCCTTGGATCTTGTTTATATGTTTGGGAATTAAAGTTATCTGTTTGAAGAAGATTGTTGACAACAGAACGTGATCCTACACAGATATGTTTCGTTTGTATGAACTGCTTGTAACATTAATTTTAGTGCTTTGACTCGAGGAGTTGTGTGGCAATACTTGTGTCACCACACTTTTAAGGAGTTTGTAATGATGATTGGCAGTGGGAGTACATACTAAGTTGGTTTTTAGCAAGAGTGGCTGACAGTTAAAATTGGGTCCTCTGCTTCTTAATAAACGTAATGTGTTACTAGTTACAACTCATGGTCCTCCTACGCATAAGCTGATATCGTTGTGGAATGCAGGGTGGCAAGATTCGGGACTTGCTTTTCCAAGTGCTCGAGAATGAAGAGGATGTTATAATCAAACATGGGGCACAGTCTAGGGAGAGTCGTCGTGAGGCGTCACGTGGCATGCACACTTCAAGGTTTTGTTTGCATCCAGCTGGTGATACTCCATCAGCTTGCCGACTTTTTGATGCTATTGTAAGCTTGTGCATCCCTGTGGTTGTCAGCGACCACATAGAGTTGCCGTTTGAAGATGTCATAGACTACAGCAAAATAGCTGTCTTTGTTGATTCCAACACTGCGGTAACACCTGGGAACTTGGTGAAATTGTTAAGGGGAGTTAGTGCAGAGAAGATAGTGGAGTTCCAGAAGGAACTAGAAAAGGTAATCAGTCACTACTCGTGTCCTTCCCATGTGTGTGTGTGTGTGTGTAATAAAGCTAGCAGGTTGATTTGGTTTGTGGTGTGTGTACTGGCACTGGTGTTAGTTGGTTCCCCCATGAAACAACAACTGTTTGTTCTTATATGCGTGCAACCAATGGCAGTTTTAGTTTGAGCAGGGTTTGTTGGTTATTGGAGGGCGATGCACTGATTTGAGTGTGGTCTGTGGATGGGTGCAGGTAAGGAGGTATTTTGAATATGAGGATCCAAATGGGAATGGGGATGGGGATGGGGGGGCGGTGAAACAAATATGGAGGCAAGTTTCTATGAAGGTGGGACTTATAAGAGTGATGATCAACCGTGAGAAGCGAATGGTGGCGCGCCAGAGGGAGAGGGGACTCGACGACTGTGCGTGCATCTGCTCCAACTACTCTGGTCTCTCTGTGGTAGGCCTGTGACTGTGACTGACAGAGGTATTGATGCTCTCTTTCTCTCTCTCAAACTCACACAATCACACACACAAGAGCAATCAATAATGTGGTAATGGTCTGCATTTATTTCACATGACATATATGTATATATATATATAGAGAGAGAGAGAGAGGGATGTGGTTTTGGGTGTGGTCGTGGTTTTTGGTGTGGTGTTTGCAGGGTTGGGGGATGGCGGGATTCAGTTCTTTTCTGTGCGTGTGTGTGTGTGTGTGTCTCTCTCTCTCTCTCTCACCGAGGGATCTCCTCCTCCTCCTGTCCATTCTGTTGTGCTGTGTTGTGTTGCTTGCATTGCATGGGAAGATTAATACTAGGTAGGTAGAGGTAGGTAGGTAACTGAAAAGGCACAACTGGTTTTACTATGTAGTGTTGCTCCGGACACGCCCCCCTCCCCTCCCTGGAATAAAAATAAGTACTTTCTTCAAGCGACATTAATCACTTACTTACACTCAGCAATTAAATCATCCTTCTTTGTTGGCCGTTTTCTTCTAACTTATTTTATACTGCTATGTCTGAACGGATCACATCCTATTGATTTTTTTGTTTGTTTATTCTCTTGTTCCTTCTGGTATCCTCTATCTATAGTATAAGTATTGCGCTGCACTCTGCCTATGATAGACTAGAATGGAATAGAATGATATTTGTGGCTCTGGCTCTTGCTCTTAGGTAGCGAAATGATGATGATGATGATGATGATTTGAGGTGGGAGATAGAGAGCAATAAGTCTCCTCACGTATGCAATGTATGATTGATAAACTATAGTGCAGGCCGGTAGTGACTGAGGGAGTGTTGAACTCATATGTTTCAAGGGAACAATCGGTGGTTGGAGGCAAACAAGTTTCGAGAGGTGTAGGTAGAGTGCAGTATCCCCGCGAGAAGCTGATATTTTAATGCCACGAACATGAGAGGCACGCTCCCGAACACCACCACCACCGCCACCGCCCCTCCCACCGAGTGCTGGTACAGTACAATGGACAGGCACAGCGCCGCCACCATGGCGGCCATGGACACGAAGAGCCCCATCACCCCGGCCGCCAGCCAGCAGGGCAGCTGGCACAGGAAGTCGCCCTCTGCGTACCGGGATGTGAGTATGCTGAGGAACATGAGCATGGATGCCAGGGACCCCACTGTGGCCACCCCTTCTGATACCGGGAACACCACGAACAGCTTCCTCTTCCCCAGGGTGGGGTCCCCGGTGCGGTTGTCGTACCCGCCGGGCACGGTGAAGGCAGCGGCGAACACCACGGTGGTGATGAGCATGGTGACCAGCATGAAGGATTTGGCTGTGTGTTTCATCTCCTTCTCCCCCTCCCTCATCAGTGCTCCATGTTGCTCCAGGAAGAGCTCGTGCGGTGTCATCCCCTGCGCGTTCCTCATGTCCCTGTACGAAGGCTGTACAATCTTCTCAACTTCCTGCAAGGCGGGCGTGTGCATATACCATCAGTCAGTCACTCACCGATACTGCGGGTAGACGAACGATAGACAAGACAAGGGTGTGATTAAACAAACAGATGAGGAGATCCAGTTGGAGACGGACCTTGTACCAAAGCACTTGGCGCTGCATCCTCAGAGCTGCGCCGGGGATGTGGGCGAGCTGGTGCGGGGGTGCCATCATGGCGGCCAGATGCAGCATGTTGTTTCCGTCGGCGGGGCCCGCATAGGTGGCCATCATTCGCTTCATCCCATCCATCTCGTAGATGAGGTTGAATACGTCGATGTGGCGCTGGACGATGGCGATGTGGAAAATGCTGTGGCCCGAGGTGGAGTCCACCTTGTACAGGAACATTGGATCCTTCCGGATCAACTCTACCAGGAACTCTGTGTTCCCTGATTCGGCGGCCATGAACCCCAGGCTGGCAGTGCTGCTCTCCTCGTACATCCCCCCTGCGCCCGCGGTTTCCACATCTCCTTGACGGACCATGCTCTCCCACAGGCACTCGAACAGTGCATATGCATCATCATCATCATCATCATCATCATCTCCCGACCCTGACAATTTATGGTCCCTCCTCCTCCTCCTCCGCAGCAGCAGGTTAAACTTATTCGTTAAAGATGATGCCACTGTAGGAACCATGGATAGTGAGGGAGTCGCAACAGATTGATAAATTAGTTCGTTCATTAATTAAATAGTAGTAGTATATGGGAGGTGCGTACTGCTGCTGAGAATGCTTTGATGGCGGGTGCGGGTGCGGGTGCAAAATGCAGAAGGGCTCCGTGCAAGAACCGCCAATGCGGTCTCCCCATTTTCTTCGTCCGCGAGGGAAGCCAGCTCCCTGTACTCGTGCACCATGCTGATTGCAAGACCTGACCCATGAGTAGAGTTGGAGTGGAGTGGAGTAATCAACCTATTTTAACTTAAAAAATGATAGGTAGGTGGTGTGGTGCAGCGTATGCAGCACCAGTACCAGTACCGTATAGGCCCGATCGGATGAAGGTTGTGAGAAGCCTGAGGTGACTCTGGTGGGTGGAGAGGTGATCAAAGCTGCTGCGGAGGGCCTGCGGATAGGGAAAGAGGGCGCGAGCGACGCGGGAGTGGCCCATCAGTGCGGCCATGAAGAGCGGCGTGACCCCTTGAGGGCCCCTGACGGCGGCCAGCCGGGGGTTCTTCTCAAGCATCATGGCGACAATGCGCGCGTGGCCGGCGGCCGCAGCAAAAGTGAGGGCGGTGCAGCCCCTCTTGTTGAGGGCCTCGAGGTCGGCGGGGTCCCCCATCCGCTGGAGGAGGCCGGCCACAAAGCGGCGGTGCCCCTCCACCGCGGCGATGTGGAGCGCGGTCTCGCCCCCTCCCGTGATGGGAGCGGTGAGGAGCGTGGGATCCCTGCTCACAAACTCGGCACCCCGACCCCAGTCGCCCTTCAACGCAGCCTTGTGCAGCGGTACGCACAGCCTCACGTACCGCTCTCCTGCATGCATGCATCAATCCATTTTATCCAATTCACGTCGCCCATCCCACTTGATTGCTTTCAATATTTAATCAAATTGAAATCATTTTATATGAATGAATGCATGCATGCGAGCGAGCGAAAGTATGTATATATTGATATATATGCTGCAGGTATAAATTAACTAAATAAAAAGGCCAAGGAGACTTTTATATATAGTCGTTGTCGTGTAGTGATATACTATTGATTACTGCTACCTCTATATCAGGATCCCACACCATCATTCAAAAAACAAAAATGTGGTGTGACACCCCTTCACCCGGCCCCGAATATAGGGGTAATACAATTCAAATCAATTAATAAATTAAACAAAATAATCTGGTGGTGGTTGTAACACAATAAATTATATTTAAACACAGAAAAAAAAAAAAAAAAAAAAACATATGACAATTTGGACCAAGAATAAGCCAAAATTCCAGACGATTGGGGTGTGATTGAATCATAAGTTAGCCGGTGATGATGAAGAAAAGTGGCGATGCAGTGCAGTAGGAAATGAATTAGCTTACGAGAAACTGAAGAGAAAGGTGCAGCGCCATCTTCCAGTGCTAATACTTGGTTCTCCATCTCCATCTGCCGCCTCAGCTCTGTGTTCATGTCTTCCTCCTGTTCTACTTTATGACTGAGACGCACTAGGACTACAACTACTCTCGACAGGATCATTCCCATATTTCTGACTGCCTCCTCCTCCTCCTGCATGATATATTATTGTGTAAGCAATTAATCATCAAAATACATCCCCACGTACTCATCATCTATGACCTATCTATCTATATTATATTATATTATATATATATATATGTGGATCGAGCTGATGATCGATCAGGTAAGGTCAACGGCAGCTGCCTCTACTGCTTTATAGATAAACTGATTGCTTTCTCGACCTGCCTCCTCCTCTTTCTAATAAATGATACAAACACCCTCCCTGGCTAATCTATGCATAAATGAAATGTGTTATGCCTGCCTGCGTTCCTTCCTCTGTAAAGTTTTAATTAAAAAGTAGTAGTAGTAGTAAAAGTAAACAGTAAGTGAAGTATAATGAAAACTTTTGAATTGAAGAGGAGGAGTAGTAATAGGGGATAGAAGGAAGGGAATTACTGTCCTGTCCTGTCCTGTCGGATGCTGCAATGAATGAATGCACCATGAAGAATACCAACATATAAAAGTAGTAGTAGTAGCAGCAGCAGTAGCAGTATATAATAAGATGAGTGTGCGTGGATGACTAATTTTATGTTGACGATGATCAAGCAGGAATAGGATCGATCTGCCTGCCTGCCTGCCTGCCTATACAAGTTGTTGATCGATGGGAAAGAGACAGAGAGATGGTGGTGGTGATAGCAGCAGCAGCAGCAGCAGCAGCGGTCAATGCAGAATTTATAATACTAATAAGAAAGCTCGTGGCAGTTTCGTCGAGGGATGTATCTTTATTAGTAGTAGTTTGATTTTGGCCATCTCCTCCCTCCCGTCCTTGTCGGCTGTCGCGTGGCCGGTCGTGTCGTGTGGATCCCTACCTACAGCTACCACTACCACTCCTCTCTCTCGGTCATGCCATCTTGGCGTGCTCACCAACCTCTCTCTCTCTCTCCCTCTCCCTCTCCTTCTCTCTCATTGGGTGTGTTCATCTTTAGGTCCAGATTGGTCTTCTTCAAGTTTGAGTTTTTAATTTATACAATGTTCTCCCAATATACATGATACATATATGTTTTCTTTTTTATCGGAATATATATGTTAGTAGAGCAGAGCAGAGAGCATGGACGAAGAAGAAGACCCTTCAACAACCGCTCGCCACCCTACTCCTACTGTTACACACAAAAAATAATAATAATAATAAAAATAATGATAACAAGATTTTAAAGGAAGTTAGACACGAAGTCGGTTGGAAAAGGAGAAAAAATTTGCGCTCAGGTCGGTTGATCTTCAGTCGGTTGGTCTGGTCGGTTGGTCTTCGGTCGGATCGGTTGGTCGGAAGGTCTGCGGTCGGATAGGCAGGTCGGTTGGTCATCGGTCGGTTGGTCCGATCGATTGGTTTGCAGGTCGGAAGGTCCGCAGGTCGGATAGTCTGCGGGTCGGACGGTCCGCAGGTCGGAAGGTCAGCGAGTCGGACGGTCTATAGATCGGACGGTCCGCAGGTCAGATCAATAAGTCGGATGGTTTGCAGTCGGATGGTCTGTAGTCGGTTGGTCCGTGGTCGGACCAATTAAAGTCGGGCGAAGAAAAATGAGACTGACGATTCAAGGTCGCTTGATGGGGCGGCCAAGGAGTGGTTTGGTCTGGCGATCATCAGTTAGTCTCTGGATCGGCTTGGTATGCGGTTGGCGAAACAGTTGCTGTAACTGACCAGACGACGTTTCAAAACGTTTCTTTTGGACGGTTAACAGCAGTTGTTGTAATCAATCGCGTTTTCTTCAAAGAATATTTAAGGATTTGGATTTTTCTGGAGAAGACATCTTCAATCAACTTCAATAAAGTAAAGTCAATTCGAGATCATTACTTTAAATTTTCAGCATTTTAATTTTTATTTAAAGATTTTTAATCTCAAACACTAATTAATTGAATTTTATTTTTTGTACGTTGAAAAAATACTTCGACACCTACCTTACCCCTTAGAGTCCATTCATCCACCCACGTTACATTCCTCCTTTGGAAACTTCTTTCTGTCCTAATAGTAACCTCGATCATATATATATATATATATATTTCATCTTCATCTCCAAATTCAATTCTAGCTGAGCCTAATCTATCCCCCACTAGTCCACTGCTACTTGTTTAGTGAATTGTTTTGGAAATTAATAGCAGAAATTTGTGTTTTAACATCATCAAGGCTGCAGTACAGTACCGTGTGCAGTGGACAGGCTCTACTGTAGACACACTCTCTCTATATAAAGAACGATTCAATACCACGTATGATTTCTGTTTTAACTTTCTATCACTAGCTACTACTGGTAGTATTATTTACTGATCTCTCTCTCTCTCTCTATATATAATATATATAATCGCTGGTCGTCGTCGACGCGTGAAAGCAAACCTGAACTTGAAATCTGAATTAATGGTGGTGGGCGGCAACTAGCCGCAGCGCGATGGATCTCGCCACGGAAGAGGAAGAGCTGCAGTTCCTCAGCATCCCCGACATACTCAAGGAATCTATTTCCATCCCCAGGCAGTCCCCCAGGACCTTCTATCTCATTACCCTAACCCTAATCTTCCCCCTCTCCTTCGCTATCCTCGCCCACTCGCTCTTCACGCACCCCATCCTATCTCAGCTCCTGTCCGATCCCGCCGCCCAACCCTCCAACTGGTCCAAGCTATTCATTTTCCAGTTTTTTTACTTTTTCTTCCTCTTCGCCTTCTCCCTGCTCTCCACCGCTGCCGCTGTCTTCACCGTCGCCTCCCTTTACGCCTCCAAGCCCGTTTCTTTCTCCTCCACCATCGCGGCCATCTCCGGCGTTTTCAAGCGCCTCTTCATCACGTTTTTATGGGTTTCTCTGCTGATGGTTCTCTACAACATTGTGTTCCTGGGTTTTCTTGTGCTCCTCGTTATCGCCGTGGACACGCAAAACGCCGTCTTGCTCGTGTTTTCTATGTTTGTTATCTTCTTCTTGTATTCAGGCGTGCATGTTTATATAAGCGCATTGTGGCATCTTGCCAGTGTTGTGTCTGTTCTTGAGCCCGTCTATGGCTTGGCTGCTATGAGGAAGAGCCTTGCATTACTCAAGGGGCGGACCAGGATGGGATTCGCTATGGTTTTCGGGTACCTGGCCATCTGTGGAGTGATCAACGGATTATTTGGGTCGATTGTGGTGCGCGGAGGAGATAATAATTATGCGGTTTTGCCTAGGATTATTGTAGGCGGGTTTCTTGTAGGCGTGCTGGTTATCGTGAACTTGGTCGGATTGTTGGTCCAGAGCATCTTTTACTATGTTTGCAAGAGCTATCATCATCAGGGTATTGATAAGAGTGCTCTGTGTGATCATCTCGGTGGATACCTTGGAGAGTATGTACCTCTTAAGGGCAGCATTCAGATGGAAAACCTAGATGATGCCTGATTCTGTGTTGGGTTGCAAATGCGGATCAGGTCAGGGATACCTGTTAGTACAAAGAAATGTAATAGTTGAAAGCGTCTGGAAAAGTAAAGTAATACTATGTGCTATTGAAAATTGGTTCTATGAGAAACTATAGCTGTTCTTGATTTGTCCATGTTGTTGCTGATTCCCCTGTTTTGAGCCTAGGTCTCTTTTACTGCATGGGTTTTATCTTATTTAGTGGATTATACTAATTTATGTAGAGTATCAAGTAATACTAATAGCTTGCTGTTTTTGAGTATGAGTAGCTGCGGAGAGAACGTCCTGATATCAAAATTGCGTGACATCAGACGAACTTGAAGCTTAAGTGAAAGAAAACAAGTGGCTGGGATGGTTATGGATGGTTTGCCAATTTATTTCTGGGGCCTGACTTGTTTGGAGACCATAGTTGAATGAGAGGAAGGGAGGGAGGGGGGTAGGGGTTCAGCCACTAAGAGAAGAGAAGAGAAGAGAAGAGAAGAGATGTTTTCTTGAGCCATTAATTGTCTTGTTCATATTCATATTTGTGTGATGATGGGTAGCCAGCCAGCCAGCCCTGTTGAATTGGTGAGATGCTGTTGCAGCATTAGATGGAACATAATATTATACTAATAGTTATAGATCCAATGAATGGAAAACTTGCTGTGGAGTGGAGTGGAGGATGGGGAGCGGTGGTGTTGTGTGGTGCTACAGAATCCAGAAAGAAAGAAAGAAAGAAAGAAAGAAAGAAACGAGGTTTGCATTTGCATTTGCATTTGGCATTTGGATGCTTTTGTTTCTTATTTATTTATCTATGGGGTAATGTATTTGTTGGCTGATTGTTGCCCGCCACTATTTTCTAACTAAACCACTCTAGTCTGGATTATGTATGTTTGTGTGGAGGAGCAACTTCTTCTTCTTCTTCTTCTGCTGTTGGTTGGTTGGTTGGTTGGTTAGTTATTGTTGCTGTATTAGCTGTTTATTGCTTATAGTATAGTAAATTAATTATTTCCAACCCTTTCTTTCAATAAGCATAAGCATACTGATTTTAGTAGAAATAGTTCGTAACACCACCTAACCTTACACCGGGGGGGTTGATGGACAGGGGAGGGGCGTCTGCCTCAAGTAGTCCTCTAATAAACAAAGCCTTGATGTGTGTGTTTATTTGTAATTTGGATGCTGATGTTTTTAACGACATAATATATACTACGTGTATATACATATAAACACGAGTCTACTTGTATTTAGATATTTGTTGGTATTATTTTATACAATTGATTGCTAGATAGTGATATTTTAAATAAAATATATAATATGTACTAATTTTTTAAACAAAATTAAAGTACTAAATATAGTATTTTTATAGATTAATTGTGGAAAAAGAGATTAAAAAAATACTATATATTAACCAACAATTTAAGTGTAACATAACATTAGTATGTTGATGAGGTGGGTAGATTGGCCAAAAATGGGGGATTATTTTATCTACACTCTATTTTTGGAGTAGAATTTGTATATTTTTGTTATGTTTTTTTTTATTATGTATTGTATAATTTTATAAAATAGTATATAATTTTATATTTTAAAAGGTGATATGTAATTTTATTAATTTTAAAAATAATGTATAATTTTTTTAAAGTGCTATTTATTTAAAATTATTTTATTTGTAATAGTTATTAATAATAAATTCTAATTTCATATATACAAAATTGAAATAATATATATATATATATATTTGGATGATAATGTAAAAGATAAATTAAAAATTGAAATGCAGTCTATAAATGTAAAGAATTATATAAAAAATATTTTAATGTGAAAATAAAAATAAAATTATTAAAAAAATAAAATAATAGGGTGAGGACATGCGTTAGTCAAAATGTTAAAAGCAGCTGTAGCTTTTATCCGCAGCCGTCGTCTCTCTGTCACAGCTCAGCGGTTTCCCAACCCAAGCTAAGAGTAGTTTCCTTGTCTGTGTTTTTGTTTCCACAGATTAGGAAAAGGCGTGCGTGTGTGTGTGGTCGGACTCGGAGACGCCCCCATCTCTTAATTTAAGTTTACTGGGAATACAATCCAGGCAAGGATTGAGCATTGCAGGCACTCTTGTTCGATTGCGGATTAATTTGACTCCTCCTTTTCATCTTGGCAGTGGTAGGTGGTTGTGCTGCCGCTGTACTGTGCGGATGACGCCACCCCCAATTCACTACCAATTGTTCCACTCATAATTAATTAATTAACAGGAGTAGGAGTAGTACTACTCCTTTCTTATTATCATTATTATTATTATTATTATTATTATATCCTATTCTGTCTTTTTCTGTCCTATTCCTATACCACTCTTGTCTGATGAGTTATCGTGGGTTCCCTTCTTTCTGGTTTTGTTCGGGAGTGGTTTGAAATTTTCTCTCCCGTCCCGAGAGTTGGATTCTTGATATTCAGACACCAACATGATGGATTCTTAAGATATCAGCGATTCAGCTTCTATTGAATTAATTCGTGGCTTGAACCGCCTGCCCTGCCCTGCGCTGTCAATTTACACTACACACAGAGATGGCGTCTGGGGAGGAATCTGTTCAAGGCAGTGAAACTAAGGGAAGTATGTGGGTCTTGGAGCAGAAGATTGATCAGCCTATGGAGGAAGAGGCTGGAAGGCTTAAAAACATGTATAGGGAAAAGGTAAAAGCTCACTGACTTCAGTTCAGACTCCCTCTTTCTTTCAATTCTATCTATCTTTTCTCAAGTACCCCAGCCATCAAAGTCCACATCCCGAGCCCGAGGAAGGAAGGGCCTGCTTTCTTGCTTACAAGTAATTAAGTAGTTTTATGTACTACTCCATGGCATACATGTGTATGTGTATCTGGTTCTGATTCTGATTTTCAGAGCCCTCTACGCTTCCTTCAACTCACCTTTATTGGCTGGCCACTTCCCCTCTCTCTTCTCTTCTCTTCTCTTCATCTTTCACAGTTTCTTCTCTCCTACTTACACTTTTTTGTGTGTAGCCAACAACATTTTCCTGCCTTGGTCAACTGCATCTGTGATTTGTTCTTGCTCTCTGTAATCATTTGTTTCTGGCACTATATTTACATAAATATCTGGGGCAATATATATCGACCTATATACAACTCTACTCAGGGTCGCGGGGTGGGGCGGCTGTGGTGGGTATACTAAACATATTTTAATACGCTCCCTTGCTTTTCTCCCCGTACTTTCGTCCTCATCAGCACAAACGTCCCAGTGCCATTTTTTTTTTTTATTAGCTAATAACTGATCGTAAGAATTCTTTACTCTCTTTTCAATTGCAACACCGATGAATTCTGAATGGTCTTTCATGTAGTTCAAAGAATTGGGAATGGAATTGTGGAATGTCCATGCTTGTGATGGGATTTTGATTTTCTAGCTATTTCACCTCCGAAAGGAGATCCCTACGCGCTAGTGGATTACTATGTGGTTGACAATTTTACTCTTGGTCTTAACCATTAGTTGATGTACTCTTGGTTATACAGAAATTCTCAACAATTTTACTCTTGAGGCTGGCATTCCAGAGCCTAGGAATCGTATATGGAGATTTGGGAACATCCCCCTTATATGTGTTCTACAATACTTTTCCTGATGGAATAGAGGATCCGGAGGATGTTATTGGTGCCCTTTCATTGATCATATACTCCCTTACGCTGGTGCCCCTCCTCAAATATGTTTTTATTGTGTGCAGAGCAAATGACAATGGGCAAGGTAAAGTTCCTTTTGTCTCAGGTAGATGCCTTCTCATGAATGTTGTTTCAACATGTGTGCAGCAATTTGCATCATGTTGGGAGATATACTTAAACAATGCTTGGAAATCAGACTGAGACTTTATTCACTGATGAAATGCTTAATGATTGGCCTAGACATATAACAATGTATTTGTTATGGGATAACCTCAGAACTGATGAGTGGCCTAGGTGTTCAACTTGGATAAAGAATGTGTTGCAGCATTATTCATAACTAGGTCCACGATCTTACTTTTGTATTTGGCAATCCCATGCCATACGTTTATGCCATCATCTAGATTTACTGTTTTCCTTATATCAGCAGAAACTAACTTGTATATTTTTTCTGTTGATATTTTCTGTATGTATAACAGTATAAGTGTTATGTTTCTCGGATCAGTACTTAGGTGTGCATACTTCTGAAGGGCAAAGCTAGTATGAAATGCCCTTTCCACCAAATGTACAAATGATAATGATGGATTTATTGTGAACTAATAATAGATCCTTTCTTTTTTCTTTTAGGAGGAACCTTTGCTCTGTATTCGCTACTTTGCAGGCATGCTAAAGTCAAGATAATTCCCAACCAACACCGTACTGACGAGGAGCTGACCACATACAGCCGTAGCACATTCCATGAGCATTCATTTGCTGCTAAAACCAAGAGATGGCTGGAGGCAGATGCATTCAGAAGGAATGCTCTTCTTATACTTGTACTTGTGGGAACATGCATGGTAATTGGTGATGGCATTCTCACTCCAGCTATATCCGGTACCTACCTTGGCTGATCTTCAATTTTCATCTGTTTAATAAAGTAAATAGACTATCTAGGTATACACATATGTGTGTATATATATATATATTAAGGCTGTCATTAGCCCATAATCAAGCATATTCCAAGCTAATTGGATATAAACTTGATCTTGCTAACCAAGAAAAAATGCAACAGTTCTTTCTGCCTCTGGAGGGATAAAGGTGAAGCAACCTCATATGGGCAATGGTATAATTCTCAACAAACTAAAGTGTCACATTTAATTATTAGCACTCTTCTGTTCCTGCTAATTTTTATTTTTTTAATTTTAATTTTTAATTTTTGTCTGCATTGTCCTTGTGTATCATACCAATTTGGGCAATGTGCACTTTGATGCAGATATCGTTGTGCTTGTTGCTGTAGTCATATTAGTTGGTTTGTTCAGCATGCAACACTATGGTACAGATAAAGTTGGTTGGCTTTTTGCTCCAATCGTATTGTTGTGGTTTCTTATGATTGGTGGCATTGGTATATTCAACATATATAGATACGATAGTTCAGTTTTGAAGGCCTTCTCACCTGTATACATATATCGGTTTTTCAAAGGAGGAAAGAAGAAAGGTTGGAAGTCCCTTGGAGGGATAATGCTCAGCATCACAGGTTTCTACTACTTCTCCATTTCTTTATCTCCATGTTATTATTGCTAATTTTATGTCATAGTTATTAGTTTCTGAAAATGGCTGACTTTTGCAGGAACAGAAGCACTTTTTGCTGATCTTGCTCATTTTCCTGTTTCTGCCATACAACTTGCGTTTACCATTGTTGTCTTTCCTTGTCTGCTTCTAGCATACTCTGGGCAGGCAGCATACCTTATGCAAAATCAACTTCATGTACATGACGCATTTTATCTATCTATTCCTGGTATGCTTCAACCTTGAGTAATTGCTTTACTGTTGTCTTTTGGTTCTGGAAACAAATATTGCAAGTTTGATAATAGATGAAAAGGGAGATATTCTTATGGCGTTTTTATAGTCGTTATAGTCTTGATATCGATAGAATAAAACACCGAGTTAGTTTTCATGCCATCAATTAACTTTGATAATATTTGTCTGTTGCAGAAAAAATATACTGGCCAGTTTTTATTATTGCTACTTTGGCCGCTGTTGTTGCTAGTCAGGCCACAATATCTGCTACCTTTTCAATAATCAAGCAAGCCCATGCCCTTGGCTGTTTTCCAAGAGTAAAAGTTGTGCACACATCAAAGAAGTTTCTTGGGCAGATATATGTGCCTGATATGAATTGGATTCTTATGGTTCTTTGCATTGCAGTAACTGCAGGATTTAAAAACAAAATTCAAATCGGAAATGCTTATGGTAAGTAAAGTTGAGTTGTTCATGGTTGGGACATGATGTGGTCCTTTATAACATCATTGATGGAATGTTATCTACCACCATGCGGCAAACAGGTACAGCAGTTGTGATAGTGATGCTTGTGACGACGCTTCTCATGACCCTGATAATGTTACTGGTCTGGCACTGCCATTGGATGCTTGTCCTCTTGTTCACGGTCTTATCGCTGGTGGTGGAATGCATGTACTTCTCAGCAGTGCTTCTCAAGGTCGATCAAGGGGGCTGGGTGCCGCTTGTGATTGCTGCCGCCTTCCTGATCATCATGTACGTGTGGCACTATGGAACACTCAAGCGCTACGAGTTTGAGATGCATAGCAAGGTTTCTATGGCTTGGATCTTGGGGCTTGGTCCGAGTCTGGGGCTGGTGCGCGTGCCAGGAATCGGGCTCGTGTACACGGAGCTAGCCAGTGGAGTACCCCACATATTCTCGCACTTCATCACCAATTTGCCGGCCATACACTCTGTGCTGGTGTTTGTTTGCGTGAAGTACCTGCCGGTGTACACGGTTCCGGAGGAGGAGCGGTTCCTGGTGAAGCGCATTGGGCCGAAGAGCTTTCACATGTTCCGGTGTGTTGCGAGGTACGGGTACAAGGACCTCCACAGGAAGGATGATGATTTTGAGAAAAAGCTGTTCGACAATCTCTTTGTGTTTGTGCGGCTGGAGAGCATGATGGAAGGGTGCTCGGATTCGGATGACTACAGTAGCATCTGTGGGGCGGGAGAGGAGCCATTGCCCAGGGGGGGGATGATGGGGTATGGTCAGACGTCATCGCTGCTGTGTGTTGAAGGGGCGGCGAGGCCGTCATCGTCGGTGGTGGTGGTGGACTCAATTGTGCCGGCGGCCGGATCAGCAGCTGTGGTGCGGCGGGTGCATGGGAACAGCAGCAGCATGTCGTTGTCGTCGTCGTCGTGGTCGGGCAGCAGCAACAAGAACAACAACAACAAGAAGGTGGTGCAGGCAGCGGAGATGGAGATGGAGATGGAGGCGGAGGAGGGTGAGGACGAGTTGGAGTTTGTGGGGCGGTGCAGGGAGGCCGGGGTGGTGCACATAATGGGGAACACCATCGTGAGGGCGAGGCGGGAGTCCCGGTGCTACAAGAAGGTGGCGATCGACTACGTGTACGCATTTCTGAGGAAGATGTGCCGGGAGAACAGCGTTATCTTCAATGTACCCCACGAGAGCCTCCTCAACGTCGGCCAGATATTCAGCGTATGATCGCCATCGCCGCCGTCTGACGCTCCTGTATCATTGCAGACATTACATACATACATCCATACTGTATGGATAATGGATAATATTCTGTTTCTATATTCTATGTTCTAATTCTATTTCTATTTCTATTTGGGGATCGATCGATCGATCTACATACATACGTACGTACGTACGTACCTTTTAAGCCCAGCCTAGTACCAGTAGCATAGTGTGGTTAATACTCCTAATTAATTATTCTTTTATATATTTATCATAGTCAATTTTGCTAATACTCTAATATAATTTAATTATCTCCGTCCATTGTTTGCCAGGCCTTGGCTACCATTAATACAAAAATCCAAATTAAATTTCTTCTCAAATTAATCAAAAGAAACACACCCTTAGTCATTTACTTCTTTGTTATTTAAATTTTCATTTAAACTTATTTTTATTTTTAGTGAAAAAATATCATTTTTTTTTTACTTTATAAATGGATAAATTTTTTATTTTTATCCTATTTTCCTAAAATTTGTGTCCGATCAAATACATATATTTTTTCACGACAGAGGGAGTATTATTAACCGGTCAACTTGTATAAAAACTTATTGGAGAAAAATGCTTCTCCCATTTAATACAATATAAGGATATTATATTGAATGCAAGAGAGAAAAAAAAAAAAATCGCTTACAAATTATCATAAGTATCCATGATAAAATCGCACTATTGTATATAATCTTTAACATAGGATCTTTTTAAAGAAGTACATCACTAAATATAAAAAATATCGTAATAAGATATAAAGTAGTATATTCAAAGAAGTAAAATGACCGACCATTAAATCTACCTTTGATCCATTTACATTGGATGAAAATTTTTGATCGATGACATGTATTCGTGTGCAGCTTCATTTCTATGTGAAGGAACAAATATCTACATTGAGGAGTGTATCATATTAACAATTGATTGGGTTTGTTTAGATTAGACTGGTGTTAACGGACGGCCAAAGAAGATGAAGATTCCGTCATCCTTTCCGATTTCCTTGCATCCATTCATCCATGTCAGTCCATCACATGTGAATGAATGAGTGGAGGAAAAAAAACATACGCAGCAGCCAACCAGTTGCAGGCTTTGGTTCGTCTGTGTCTTGTCTTGCCTTTTCTCCTCCGTTGCCGCATTGCATTGTACAGCAGCAGGGAAAGAGGAGATTAATGGGTACGTGTGCATAATTTTCTTTTTTTTGCATACTCACTCACACTCTCTCTCGGTCAGTCACATATATGTTTGCAAGAACCCATCAAGAACCACACCATCAATGCGTTCATCCATCTATCATCACCAACACTCACCTCCTCCTCCATGGCGGAGGCAGAGGATATATATATATATTTCAAAAGATGTGTTTGTATGACACAATCTATATACATCTTTCACAGTATTATTTATCTATCTAATAGTAGTATATAGTAGTACAACATTTCTATCTGGGTCGGGGTAGAGAGAGAGACAGAGAGAGCCCTCTCAAAGAAAGCAGAGAGAATAGGAGGCATGGTATTGGTATCGCACCCACCCGCTCACCCTACGAGAAACAAACATCATACGCACGCAGGCAGGTATAAAAATCAAAACAGGAGTCCTGCCACCTCGACCCGTCACCGTCATCAAGATCAAGATCAAGATCAAGATCGAGATCAAGAAAAGACGACCGACGGGTGGTGAAGATTGGACTGAAATGAAGAAGAAGAAGAAGAAGGAGGAGGAGGAAGAAGAAGGAAGAAGGAAGAGAGAAGAGAGATGGCGACAGGCGTGCCACTTGGCAGGAGGGCAGTGGTGAGGGAGGCTGGGGCTCGCCTCCCACGACAATACTACTTTGTCAGTCAGTCAGTCAGTGTGTGTGCGCGAAACCCCCAAAGTCCCCTCACCCCCTCCCGATGACCCCGGCGAATCCGCATTTGCTATCTATCTGTCGATGCCAATGTAGTGTTGTCTCTCTCTCTCTCACCCAACGCAAATACAAGCCCCCCACCCCCTTTCTCTCTCTCTACATCTCACTCCTTCTCTTTCTATATATAATTATATCTCTATTTATTTCAATTCTCTATTTCTCTCTCTCTCTCCTCCTCTCCTGTTCTCGTTCCTCCCGTACCCGCATACCCTAATTCCCCCTTTTGCTTTGCTCCACCGCTCCCTGTATTTCTTCAGTTTATATGCGCGTTGAAGCCGGCAAGATTGGAATTTTATTACATGTTTTGTGGGTTTTTTGATCCATAAGCGCGTCGGGTCAGTGATATGATTTTTATGCTGTGGCACCGTTTATTTCTAATTTCTGTAGCGCCGTGGCCGACCTCAGCTGAATCTGGTCTCCATTGTGCTCTATTTTCATGTGGTCGCTTCTTTGTTTCTTTGCATGTTGTGGGTTTTACTTTTACTTGCTTTCAAGCTATGATCTTTAATGATTTGTAATCCTTATTTAGTCCAATAGGGGCCTTTTTAGATTGGGAGGCCGTGCTTGATGAAGTTGGTTTGATTTCTCAAGAATCAAATACTGTTTGCGTAATGACGTTTGTGTAGGCATCCTTTTCTGTTGCCCTTGAAAAAAAAGATAGCGTGTATATTTGTTTTTCTTATTCTGCTAGTAAGTGATTCGCAGATTTTACTTTGCATGGTCTGTTTTAAAATTACATGTTGGCAGGGTTTTAGAGGTTAGGAATTCATTTGAAATGCTGAAGATCAAACTATTAGATGTTTGCTGGCAGTTAATCTGGACTATGTTAAAGTGATGGAAGAACAAATGCAGTTAAATGAGAATTGTTCTAAACACCATGCAAGCTATGTGGTCACGATGTTTACAAAGTCTTTTTCGAGAAAAAGGAAAAACGTAACAAGACTCAGTTAGAGCGCATGTACATAGGACACGTGTTCATTCGATCGCAAATTTATAATACTTTCCAATTTGTTTTTTCTGCTCATTAATTTCTAGGTATGTGCTGCCATTTTTTTCTTGTATAATCATTTATTGCGTACTAAGATGTGTAATTATATAGTTCGTAAAAAAGCGACAAACAAAGATGTTTTCTATTCAATATGGTGATATGTCATTAGTCCATCAGTTTTCTAGAGCATACTATACTTAAAATTTCACTTTCAGGCGTTGGATTGCTCTGTATAATGTTTCTCAAGACCCTTTTAGCGGAATAAATGCAAATCACTTAAGTATTTCAACATTTTCCTCAATTTGACTACAAGCCTACATGTTTCAGTTCCTACAGCATAAAGGGGATGAAGGAAAAGAGCTCAGAGAATAGTACGCTGCTTAGCAAAAACTGGCTGTCAAAGCGTAAGCGACGGAAGCTTCCATCTGGCACTGACAAATCAGGTGACAGAGATAGAAAATACAAACACATAAAGTTTCCATCAACAACTTCATCGAATGGTGTTAGTTCGGAAATAGCTTCAAGTAAGAGAAAAGGGAATGATGGGGTAAGCAATCCTCTATGTAATAATTTTTTTGTTTTTAATGGCTATTTGTTGCAGAGTTAACAGTCTTTGCAACGGACTAAACATCGATTGTTTTCATGGGTAATAAATGTCTCACAGAAAATCTGTTAGCATGATTTTGTTTCTAAGTTGTTCATATTTAGTTTTTGTAGTTATTTTTACAGCCCATTCATCTCATGGTCATTTAACGTTGTTTGGCACATGTAAGCTGTTTGTAAGTTGTGGTTGGTTCACTGTTTTGTGTTGCAGTATTATTATGAGTGTGAGATCTGTGAACTTGGTGGAAAGTTACTCTGCTGTGATTATTGCCCACGCACGTATCATCTTGAGTGTTTGGATCCTGCATTGCAGGTATGCTTTAGTTTGTTGGTGATACTAAATGATCTGTTTCCTACCTCTTTATTTTCTGTTGTTACATTCAATAACACCTATTTAATAACACCTATTTATTGGTTCACCTCTTCAAGAGCATTCCAAAGGGGAAGTGGGAATGCCCAATATGCTGTCAGCCACGGTGTGCTGTATGTGACCTCAGTGGACAGTTGCTAGGGTTGGATTCCTGTTCCCATTTTTATCATCTGGAGTGTTTAGATCCTCCTTTGCAGGTATGTTTCATTTGTGATTTTAATCAGATACATTGTTCCTAACTTTCCCATTCTTTGTGTGCGCACAACTAACATATTTATTATCTTATTCTCAGAAGTGTATTCCAAAAGGAGAGTTGGAATGCCCAATTTGCTTCCAGAAAAGTACATCTGTGGAGACGTTTAACCATTTGGATTCCATTTCAAGATGCGCACAAGCAAAAGTTATCATTAGAAGATCAAAGAATGAAGAAGAATCATCTGTGACTAAATATGCAAACAAGGCATGTGAAAGTTCTACTGCCCGGAGGCAATCTTTAGGAAAAGAGCAGTTGTCCTTGAATCGGCATGGAAAAAGAGTTGAGAGGTTGGATTCTCTCGGCAATGATAAATGTACAGTTGAACAAAATTTCATGGAGGGTAGTCCATCAGATAATGATCTTGATATGAGAAGTAATGTCAAAATTCTCCATATACAAGCAGGCAAGGCAATAATTCAACATGTAAATTTGAATGAAGAATCTTCCGAGCAATTATCCCAAGGATCTCCTGAAAAATTTTCACCTGGAAATGAGCCTGTCCTAGCTCTGGAAGCTGCTACTCATGCAGGCAGGAAAAGAAAGCGTAAGGTTCACTTCCATGAGAATGCAAAGAAGCAGAAGACTGAGAAAGGAAAGTCTGGTTCTGATAATTCTAGAAAGATTCGGTCCAAAGGAAATGATACTCGTCTTAGGACTTCTAAATCACATGGAAAACATAAAAAACTTGATCACAAGGATTGTTCAACTCCAATTAAGGAGGATGTGAAGACAGATGTTCACAAACCACCAAATGATGAGGTCTGTACCTTTTGCTTTACATTGTTTCTGAGTGTTATTCTCCTTTAAGCTAAACTATCTTATTTTCATAGATTCTATGTTTATAGTGATTCTGCAGTCAAATGACTCTTGCTGGTTTTAGAGTTAGTGTCTTCCATAGGTGCTAACCTTTTTATGTCATAGCATTCCTTTTACTTTTTACTAGGGGCACTTGCTGCTTGTGCTTTCAGTGTGTTTTCTTGCTGCTGTGGCACCCCTTTTATCCTATACTGCAGTTTGTTTTTTTTTTCCTTTAATAGGAAACAGAAGGCAAAAGTAATTGCCTTTTGTGTTTTTTATATCTTGTTCATTTTAAATATTTGTAACTTTCCGTCCTTTCCTTTTACTCTATTAAGCTTTATTTATTTTCTATTATTCTTGGTAATATTTTTTATTCAACTAAGCTTCGTATTGTGTATTATACTCAACATGCTAAAGTTTTGGACTGTATGTGTTTTGGAAACTTATAACTTTCTGGCTTTTAGTGACTTCTTAGAACATAAATGTGATTACGGCTCTATTCTTTTAGCAATTTTTTCCTATATATTTTGTTTACTACGTTCCCCAAGAAAAATACACTATTCTCTTTTACAAAACATCATATCAAATCATTATACATACGCAAACATAAACCAAATGCACCTTACAAGTTTACTGTTCTATCTGGGAAAACTGTTCCATGTTCTATATTCCAGAAAATATTACCTGAATTATTATTATTATTATTATTATTATTCCTACTCCTAATTGTGTTGAAATTTTATATTGGGTAGCAAAATTGTTGCTTGTGTAATCTTCAAAATTATAAGTTGATTTTTTTAATATTTGTATTTTATTTTAGTGAAAATCACTGAATTTGAAGATATATTTAGTGAAAATCACTGAATTTGAAGATATATACTCTTTAAGTTCCGTTGCATAAGTCATTTTAGGCTTAAATTTCTGTCCCTAATTATAATTTGTTCACCCCTTCCTAACGAAAATCCCCTTCATTGATTTGTTTTTACCCTCCCTAAATAGATCATTAGCTGAATTCATTAAATAAAAATTGTACTAGTTGCTTTTTAAAAAGGGGTAATGTTGTCGTATTGCAATTTTTTTAAAATATACATACGATTTTCTGAAACAATCTATGTAATGGGATGGAGGAAGTTAATTTACAGTATAATTTGGTTCTTTGCTTCAATAAGATGTGAGCAATGAGATCGAGTAGTCCTTGCATCATGATGCAGTGGGCACCATTAATATCCCAATTGTATGTAGTTTTGATCACAAAAATATTCTCTTCGCTTTAATCTGATGTCTGTATTTTACCCTACGAATATGACCTCCAAAGTGCAAAATTGTTGGTACTCTCTGTTTTCCTTCCCTTCAAACTTTGTGTGATGAAATGTTACCTAGTATAAATCTTTGAACTAACTATACAATTACGCGATGATTAGCATCAGTATCTCATTAATGGTTGGCAAAAAGGATGCTGCATGTGAGAAACATCAGCTAACTTTATGTTTAGGTTTGTCAATCAATTGTGTTGATTATTTATATTTCTCCAAGTGTGCAGCATTAAGGATTCAGAAACTTGAAGCTTCACGATATTTTCTTGTTGCTCCAAAAAAGTGAAATAGATGAATTAGTCATTACCTTTTCCCCTCATTTCATATTTCATGAGCTGTTATTACGCTATCTTCTTCTGCACTGTCATGTCTATGCTTGACATTGCAACCACCTTTACTTATTGACTATCTATAAAAGATGCATAATGCATATTTATCTTGCCCTATTTGTTTTTTATATATTTCCATACACACCCTATCTAGTTTTGTAGATTTTTCCTCGGCAATAATTCCCTGTAAACAGGTTGGTACTGAGGAAACTGATAATGATTCTCTTGATTGTCCACCAATGGGAAAGGTTGCTTTTGATCCATTGATACATGCCAGAGATGCATATGATATCCAGCAGGTATGAAGTGTATTTGCATTACTGATACTGGACATCATTGCTTTGTATGCATTTATTTTGTACAATTGAAAACATCTACTCTCTCTCTCTCTCTCTCTCTCTCACACACACACACACACACTATACTGTACCAATATTTGTATCTACAGAAGATATCAATTCTCAATGTCATTATAAATTTTCAAATAATTGTACAAGATGACACACAGTAAATCAAATTAAATGTTACACTCGCAAGGTTTTATGCTTCAAATAAACTTTTTGACTCCTCAGTAGCACACTACTTGACACCTAAAATGTTAACCAAACACAATTAATCTTAGTCAGTACTTATTGCCTTAATGAATTTTTTGTTGTCCAATAAGATGATAAAAACTGCTGTTCATATCATTTTGTAATTAAACACAGGTTGATCGAGTTATTGGCTGTCGAGTTCAAAGTGATACAAGTTCAGATTGTAATACCGTTGCAACCAATGCCTGTGTTCTACCTTTGGTGGATTCATTTGCAGCGGAAGATCCAAATAAACTATCTGGGAATGATCCCATCTGTGAGATACCTCTGGATGGGGTTTGTGGGGGAAATTTGGTGAGGACACACGAGGATATGGCTATCTGTCCTGATAGAAGGAATGCAAGTAATCGTTTAGATAAAGATGTACTACAAGTGTACAGAAGATCACTTACAAAAGATTGCAAAGAAAGAAATCTTGTAGATTCTTTGAGTGATAATGATGGTTGTGGTTCTGTTGCAATGAATAACAATAATCAAGAAGAAAATATCTCAGGCGCCAGTGGAGCCAAAACTGAGGAGGTTGGGACTGACAGTAGTGGTATGGTCCTAAGGACTTGTGACAGTAATGATGGCTCAAAGAACTGTCAAATTTCTGGAAAACCGATGAATGGTCAAACTCATATCTCTGATGAGAATACCAGCAGAAAAGAAATCTTAAATGAGACAGTTGTTAATGGTGGCCTCAAAATGAAATTGAATCATTCTTATCTCGTTGAATCTGGATCACCCACCATATCATATGAGTTCTTGGTCAAGTGGGTTGGGAAGTCTCATCTTCACAACAGCTGGATTCCAGAATCAGAATTGAAAGTTCTGGCTAAAAGGAAACTTGAGAACTACAAGGCGAAGTATGGAACAGCTATAATGAATCTGTGTGAGGAACAGTGGAAGAGGCCTCAAAGGGTAATTGCTACTCGCATCTCTGCAAATGGTTCAACTGAAGTATATGTAAAATGGACAGGACTTCCTTATGATGAGTGCACTTGGGAAAGAATGGATGTACCTGCTATTGCAAATTCCTCCCACTTGGTTGATCTATTCTTCAGGTTTGAGCGTCAAGCATTGGACAATGATACTGCTGAGCCTGCTTCTATACGAAGGAATGCTATTGAAAAAAGTGATATAGTTGCTCTCACTGAACAGCCTAAAGAGCTAGTTGGAGGTTCTTTGTTTCCACATCAGTTGGAAGCATTGAATTGGTTGCGCAAGAGTTGGAAAAAATCAAGAAATGTTATACTTGCTGATGAAATGGGGCTTGGGAAAACAGTATCAGCTTGTGCTTTTATATCATCTTTATATTTTGAATTCAAAGCAATCCTTCCTTGCCTAGTTTTAGTTCCTTTATCCACTATGCCCAACTGGATGTCTGAGTTTGCACTATGGGCTCCAGATCTCAATGTTGTGGAATATCATGGTAACACCAGAGCTCGTGCTGCCATTCGTCAATATGAATGGCATGCCTCTGATCCTCATGGTTTGAACAAGAAAACATCTGCATACAAATTCAATGTTCTATTGACTACTTATGAAATGGTTTTGTGTGATTCTTCTCATCTACGCGGAGTTCCTTGGGAAGTTCTTGTGGTTGATGAGGGTCATCGCCTGAAAAATTCTGGTAGTAAGTTGTTTGGTTTGCTAAATACATTCTCATTCCAGCATCGAGTGCTGTTGACTGGTACTCCTCTTCAAAACAACATAGGGGAAATGTATAATCTCCTAAATTTCTTACAGCCAACTTCATTTCCATCTCTCACTTCATTTGAGGAGAAGTTTAATGATTTGACAACTGCAGAAAAGGTGGATGAACTGAAAAAGCTTGTCGCTCCCCACATGCTTCGTAGGCTTAAAAAGGATGCCATGCAGAATATTCCCCCCAAGACCGAAAGGGTGGTTCCTGTTGAATTATCATCTATTCAGGCAGAATATTATCGTGCCATGCTCACCAAGAACTATCAGATACTACGCAACATAGGAAAGGGGGTTCCTCAGCAATCGATGCTGAATATTGTGATGCAGTTGAGGAAGGTTTGCAATCATCCGTATCTTATACCTGGGACTGAGCCTGAATCGGGCTCAGTGGAATTCCTACATGAAATGAGAATTAAGGCTTCTGCTAAGCTAACATTATTGCACTCTATGCTGAATATGTTGCACAAGGAAGGTCACAGAGTCCTTATATTCTCACAGATGACCAAGTTACTTGACATCCTTGAAGATTACTTGACTATTGAGTTTGGGCCAAAGACATATGAGAGAGTGGATGGCTCTGTTTCTGTGGCTGAACGACAATCGGCAATTGCCCGTTTTAACCAAGACAAGAGTCGATTTGTTTTTCTGCTATCAACTCGTTCCTGTGGTCTAGGCATCAATTTGGCAACAGCTGATACTGTTATTATTTATGATTCAGATTTCAATCCACATGCAGATATCCAAGCAATGAATCGTGCCCATCGGATTGGTCAGTCAAACAGACTTCTAGTATACAGGCTTGTTGTTCGTGCTAGTGTGGAAGAACGCATCTTGCAGCTTGCAAAGAAGAAATTAATGCTTGATCAACTTTTTGTGAACAAATCTGGATCACAAAAGGAAGTGGAAGACATCTTAAAGTGGGGAACCGAAGAACTTTTTAATGATTCAACTTCTGTTAGTGGAAAAGATGTTGAAATCCTGAACAATAAAGACGAAGCAGTTGCAGAAGTAGAGCCTAATAGTCGGAGAAGGACTGGTGGACTTGGTGATGTATATAAAGACAAATGTGCAGAAGGTAGTAACAAGATAGTATGGGATGAAAACGCAATTCTAAAGTTGCTGGACCGCTCAAACCTGCAATCAGGATCACCTGAAAATACTGAATCAGAATTGGATAATGACATGCTTGGTTCGGTGAAGGTATTACTGCATTACTAAAGTTGCTTTGTTGTTGAAAAGACCTGTTAAAATAAGAAGGTACTGGTTTTCTATTGAAAAAAGCCTTCCCCTAAACAAAAATGGACAATCCAGCATATGTGTTTCTTAAAGTTTGTATTGCTAATGAATGTTCTGAATCAAATAATATCAATAAAATAATTATTTCTCTAGGTCCTGTGTCCCTTATACTTTAGGACTATCTTTTGGTTCACTTTTTCTCTGTTTCGAATATACCCTATTAATTTTTCTCTGTTTAGCATTAATACATCTGCATTGTTATGTTGTGTAAGATTAAAAGAAATTAATGACCATTTGCATTCTCTTATGTTATTTTATATTTGGCGAACAATATTTTATTTTAGCTTGTAATTTCACCACTTCACATTTTCTTTTCATTTGGGTTCTTCATACATTGTTAAACTTGAGCATCATTTTTTATTTTCTCACTAACTTTTATCTTCTTATTTGTTTGGATAGTCACTTGAATGGAATGATGAGTGCACTGAAGAACAAGCTGGAATAGCTTCAGTTTCTACAGGAGCTACTGCTGCAAGTGCACAAAATTGTGAAAAGAAAGAAAAGGCTTCGGTATGTGCTAATGAAGAGAATGAGTGGGATAGGCTTCTGCGAGTAAGGTTAGCAATTCAATCATGTACATTTGAACTTCTACTTTTGCTTTTTAGACATTTCTCCTTATAATGCAACATTATCTCTCGTCTAGTAAGTAGAATATGATGTTTCTGCTGTGGTATATGTATTCAAGTGAAGAGATACCTCCTTTTTTTTATTATTAATTTTGGGGTTCAGTATGGGATGTCTTGTAAAAGGAAAAAGCCTTGTGGAACTTTTATCACAGAAATACATATCCTAGTACAGTGATTACAAACCTAGCCTTAAAAGAACAGTAAATGAATGTCCCTGTTCTTTCGGCCTTGTATTCTCTTATTTCTTTACTTGCAAATTACAATATAAGTTTTAGTTCTGAGAATACTGCAGAAGAGAGATTATTCTATATGCCCTCGTATTTCAACCTCACTTATTTTCCTTGGGTTCTGTAGATGGGAGAAATATCAAAATGAGGAGGAAGCAGCTCTTGGGCGTGGGAAAAGGCAAAGGAAAGCTGTTTCTTACCGGGAGGCATATGTTGCTCATCCCACTGAAGCACTGAGTGAGGTAAATATTCTCAAATTTGTTTTCTTTCCATAATTTATGCTTTCTTTAAACATTTAATGTTTTCATGCTAGTGACATAATTATGTATTTCCTACACGTGGGTCACGTGCTTATTAACTGCTCCATGCACACAAAGACCCTTCTTCCCTTTTTAACCCCTTTAGTGGATACCCTAAATTTAGAAGCAGCATCTGCTTAAAAAGTAACAGAATGTTGTCATTTCCAATTTTATCTAAATCAGACTACGTATCAACCACAGTTGCCAACGGTGCATGGTGCCCCATATCAAAAAGGTCATCCTGATGCCATGTGGCAAGGCACACGGTGTTGTGCACCACATTGAAGTTGGTGCAATATTATACATTAACTACTGTTGATTCTTTAAAAATTAAAGCATTTTGTTATTATTGATTTATTTATGGATATATCATTAGTAAGGAATTAAATATTCTACTTGTCTTTGCTTAAGTAAGGATAATGAACTGTCAAACTAGCTTCAACACGCATATTGTAGTTAAGAATAACAAAGTTTAAGAATGATGGTAACTTACTGTTTTATGCTACTAGACTAGTTCTGATATTTCATCCATTGGAGTTGACTTGCATGAGGATTTTTTGATGTTTTTCACTAAATTATGTGAAACTGTTATCTTGGTTCTTGTGGATGGGATATTAATCCCTGTTTCATATTTAATTGCTTTTCTTTTAAGGTCTAGAGCATATTTTGATTCATCGTATTAGAGATCTTGGTGAACATTCCTCGACCTCAAATTTGTATAGAAAACATTCAGTGAATGGTACGGTACACCAATAAGTGATCCTTGTAAAATGTAAATAATCTGATTGGTTCAATCCATGGTGCTGGTATATCAGAGGTATTGATTTATTCGGAATTCATTTTTACTCAATCATCTCTTGTCCACCCAGCATTTATCATAAGGTGATGTGCTAGAATCTGAAAATCAGGCTTAGCATAGTTCATATGGCATAAATGCAACCTGGACAGTCTGTTATTTCCATTAGGCATTAAGTATTTTGTGCCATTCTGATCATATTTTTGTCCTCATATTTTGAGGGCTGGGAAAATGTATGTTGATGCTCGAGTGTGTGGGGGTAATTCTTGTCACATGTTTGTAACAGAGTGGTGCTGAAGAGGAGCAGGAGCGTGAACCTGAGCCTAAATTTGAATACACACCAGCTGGACGAGCTTTAAAAGAAAAATAGTGAGTGCACTCTCTGAAGTCAAACTTCAATGTTATTTCATTTATGTTTTCTATAATGCTTGGATCTTCAGTGTGTTTTTCATAGAAAGAAAAGGATATAATGTCATATTCAAAATATACAAGAATTACAATCTATGACACACCTGGCCAAATACATGCCAAATATGCTCAGATCTTTAGTGTGTTTTTTCATAGAAAGGTAAGGATATAATGTCATATTCAAAATATACAAGAATTAAAATCACATACACACCTGGCCACTGTGGTGACGCCAGGGTGATACAGTGACATTGTTCATAAACTGAACAATTAAGGAAAGGATATAATGTCATATTCTGCACTCTCTTTTTAATTGTTAATCCAGTTTCTTTTTGTTTGATATTAATATTTGAAATTGAGAAAGGTGATCAGAATCATTAAGTAGGAGACTAAGGGTGTGTTTGTTTGGGGGTTTGGATTTCGAGTTGGGATTTGAATAGTAAAAATTTTGAATTTAAATAGTTGTATGATGTGATATAAATAGGGGTTGATGTGATGTTTTGAATGTAAAAATGATTTTTAATATAATATAAAAAATAAAAAATAGGTGTTTGATTTGATGTTTTTGGGGGGAAAATTTTGGATGAATAGTAGGATTTTAACAAAATCCATCAGACGAACACACCCTAAGAGTATCTTATAGTATTGAAAAAATGAACTGTTTTCCATGTACTGCTAAGGAGATTATCATTAGGAAATCTCACATACCAGTGATGAAACACCTTAACTGTAACACATTATTTATTATTTGCTATGTGATATCTGTATATCAGAAATTTGTTTCCTTAAATTATGAAAACATTGTGTTTTTTATTCTTAAGATGGTTATTTGCTGTAACAAATCTAAAGAATGTTAGTTTCGTAGCTGTTGCTTTGATTATAATATTAATGATGCAAATATTATTTGTCTCCAATCAACATAATATCTGCCCGTGCACCACACGAGAATTGCACACCTTGTTTCTTGGTAATTAGCGGATTTGCATGATTTGCAAATATCCATTTTGTTGATTCAGGTTGATATTCTGATATTTCTGGAGTGTATTGATGATGAATGTGACATGTTCATTGTTTAACAGTGCTAAGCTTCGAGCCAGGCAGAAGGAAAGGTTGGCTAAGAGGAAAGTAACAGAAATATGCCCTCCATCTGAAATTCAAGAAAATGAGGCTGCTATATCAAGTCAAGCTAATGAAGAAAAATATTTAGCTGTGCGTGTGGAAGATAATAGTCATGATAACATAGGATCAAGTAGTGTGACTGACTCCACCTTGAATCTGAGAAGGATACTGAAGAAGAAAAGTCCTCTCCACCTGGATCTTCCTGGTACATCTGACCAGCATATTCCTGAATTTCCTGCAGTTGGTCATCTGTTGCAGGATATGAGCTCCATTGATGCTATGCGCAATAGCTTGCTGCCAGTTATTGGTTTATGTGCGCCGAATGCCCCTAAGAAAATGGAGCAACTGCAGCGGAAAATTTCTAGACCTCACCAAAGGCAATTGAAACAAGGGCTTGGGTTTGAGTTCCCATTGCCAGCCAGTTCTACATCTGCCTTGTTAAGTGAGATGAGTACAAAACAGCATGAGGCAAATTTGGCACGACATAAGTTGCCTGATTTTGTACCTGGAACTTCTCAATTGCACCCAGTCAGTGGCGTTTCTGATAGAAATCTGCCATTTCCACCTGTAAGTCATGCCCTTAATTGTTCCATAGCTTTGATTATAAGTGCAGGTTATTTGATGACTAGTATTTTATTTGCAGCACTCGTTGAATATCTTGAAAGGTAAAGGAACGGCTGGGCATCCTGGGAACGGTGGTTCTACATTTTCTGATTTCCAAGAAAAAATGTTGTTGCCAAAACTGCCTTTCGATGAGAAACTGCTTCCAAGATATTCTTTTCCATGTGGGAGCTTTCCAAATACTTCTGACTTCCATGAAAACCTATCCTGCGGATCTGGAGTCAAAGAACCCAAGGAAACCATACATGATCTTCCTGTGCTGCCATTGTTCCCAAATCTAAAATTTCCACCAGATCTGCCCAAGTATAATCAACCAGGGCAGGAGATACTCCCAGCATTGGGCTCTAGTCAAATTCCCTCTTCAATGCCCTCCTTTCCTGAAAATCACAGGAAGGCTTTGGAGAGTATCAATCTGAAAACTGGATTGGGATCTGACAAGCTGCTGAGAAATAAGTCAAAGAATGAAATTTGGTCTGAGGATGAACTTGATTACCTGTGGATAGGTGTTCGCAGGCATGGGAGAGGAAATTGGGATACAATGCTACAGGATCACAGGTTGAAGTTTTCAAAGTTTAAAACTGCAAGGGACTTGGCAGTAAGATGGGAGGAAGAGCAACTCAAGATCCTGGATGGGCCAGGATTTCATCCTACAAACACTTTCAAGCCCCTAAGGTCTTCAAACTCTCCCCTTTTTCCAACTTCTGATGGAATGATGGCACGAGCACTGCACGGTGCAACTTATGGAGTTAAAAATGGGCCACTGAAATTTCAGGCGCACTTGACAGATATGAGATTGGGTCTTGGTGGTCTACCATCCCTAGCACCACCTTCAGAACTATGCGATCCATCTTTCCCAGCTTTGAGTATGGACAAATTTCAGGCCATATTCTCTAAAGACTTTTATGCAGGACCTATCGATAGATTTGGAGCCTCCTCCAGTACTCCCGCTGAGTCACCTTTTCTGCTGAACTCTCTGGGATCTAGTTGCTTAGATTCTCTGGCTTTGATGCAGAGGGAGAAACTAAGGGATTCAATTAGGTTGGGGATGTCAAGTGGCCATAATAGTATGGGTAATAGTAGCGAGCCTACTTGTGCTGCTCTGGATGCCAACTGTAACAAGGTCAAAAACTTCTCTGCGTCCAAGGGAAAGGAAGAAGTCTCCAGTTACACGTCTCCCAAGGGTCTTCTACCTCATTGGCTTCGAGAAGTGGTCAACGTCCCTGGTAAAACACGAGGTTTGGAGCTGCCGCCCACCGTGTCTGCAATAGCACAGTCTGTTAGCGTTTTGTATGGTGAAGGGAGATCCCCAATTCCTCCATTTATTGTGCCAGGACCTCCTCCCCTCAAGCCCAAGGATCCACGCCGTGGGCTGAAGAAGAAGAAGAAGAAGAAGTCACATGCTTGTGGGAAGTCTACCCTTTCTGCTTTGAGTGCATTCTCTGGCGGCCACCATGGACAGAATGTTGGCTCGACCTCTGTTGCCCAATCAACGACATTACCTTCACACCCAAAGCCAGTGATTGCCGCACCGGGAGTACCCTGTAGTGAGGTCAATCTCAACACGTCTCCTTTGAATGTGAAGAATGGTTCCCTGCCATCACCTCCTGTGATGAAAACATCAACTGCAATTACTGGATTGTCACCGCCTTCAGCAGAAGTCCAGGAAATGGTCTCTTCCTGTGCTGAACCAGCTCCTCTTATGACACACCCAGATTCTGGTGAAGGCTTGATGCCTAAACCAAGTGGTGTTGATGTTGTTGGGTCAGAGATAGAGGCCCCCCCTATGCCTAATGTGGAGAAGAAATCAGATGTGACGGGGTCAACTGCTGTGGAAGAAGCGAAAAGCGGGGGCTCGTGCAGGAGATGCCCAGACCCTGTAGATGATATTAGGCCACCAGGTATGGAAGAGGTATCTTCAGAAGGAACTATATCAGATCATCAGCCTTTAAGCAGCCGTGAGATGTAATAGATGTGTGGATGCATGCAGCAGTATCCCATTTAATTGGATACAATTCAACTCAAGTCAACTCATCTCAATGTGGGCTTAGTTTTGCAGTGCAGCTCAGGGTGTTGTACTAGTAAAGGAGACGTGTGGATATAAAAATTATCAGGAAAAAAAAAAAAAAGGGAAGAGAAGATGAAGAAGAGGGGGAGGGTCTTTTGTAGATTGATTAATCCTATGATGCAATCATATGATATTTACCCAAATCCGTTTTACCTGGGGCTCGAGCCTAGGTTATTTTTAATCTCTATAAAGTATATAATATATATATATATATATATATAAAGATAGGATTGTTGAAGAAGATAGACAAGTGGGATGTGGGGACACTGCTAAGTGGAAGAAAGATGTGCATGGAATGGGATGTTGTGTGCAGAAGTGGGTGGGGAGAATGCATGGGATGTGCACTACAACAAAGTAGTAGTAGTAGTAGTAGTATATATATTAGAATTGTTGTATGTATGTCTGAATGAAAGAAAGAAAGTAAACTAGGGATTTGCTTGTTTTGTTAGTCAGTTGTCGTTCCTACAAGTACTGCCACCCACGGACTTACTAATATCATTAGCACTACAGACGGTACTATTTACTGCGGACGGGATGTTGTCAGACGGAATCCTATCCGCTGTCTCATACACATCGTGTTTATATATACACACACTATGAGTGTCTGCCACCCACCCCCAAGTGACCAAGTCTCTAGGCGTCAGCGGACAGACAGAGCCGCGTCAAATCCAGTCCCAGTCCCTTTCAGTCAGTCTTCCCTTTTCCTCCGGATGGGATTGTGTCTGCAGACAGAATTCTGTCTCATACACACATTCTTTTTATTTTTGGGATCACTTTCCTCGTAATCCACACTACTACTACCCCACCCCCCCGGGCTTCTGCTTCTTCCATCGATTGATTCTCTCCTGGAATTCCTTCAATCATCCTCTCCCTCACTGGATATTTCTCCTGACCGTGCAGCAGTCAATTCATATATACTCCCCGCCTGTTTGGTCTTCGGGTTTTAGTTCCGTTCACTTTCTTCTTCTTCTTCTTCTTCTGCACTACTATGGCCCGGGCTACGAGGAGCCTTCAGTTGACCGCGACCGCGGCTGCTGGTAGAGTATTGGAGGCCGACTCTGAGGAAGAGAGACTGCTACGCACTTCTCGCCCGGAAAATTTTGAGAATTTACGAAAGATTCAGGTGAGGGTAACGGGGATGACCTGTGCTGCCTGCTCGAATTCCGTGGAATCGGCTCTCTTGCAACTAAATGGCGTCGTTAAAGCCTCTGTTGCCTTGCTTCAGAACAAGGCTGAGGTCACCTTTGATCCTGCCTCTGTCAAGGTCCGGCCGCCCAAGCTCTTTCTCTTTCTCCTTTCCTGAATGTTTTATTTTTGTCTCCTCGTACTCGCCTTCGATGCCTCTTTATCTTTGCATGTTGATTACATCTTGCCTGCTCCTTATCCTTTGCGAATTTGTGTTGGTTTTAAAGCTACGGTAATGTTGATGAGTAGGCCTCACACTCGAAGATGATCCAGTTAGTTGTGTTCCAATTATTGTTTTATTTCCCTTTTCTTTTTTCTTAATAGTTTCAGTCCGAATTTGATTTGCATGCAACTTTGTCACCTTCGTATTAATTGGGTCTGACTGTCTTCCTTATAATTCTGCACTCCTTGCATTGTGATATTGAAATATTTTATAAGCTTTGGTTGTTTCATCCAGATTTTGTTTTCTTTTATGGTTCCTGAGTGTGTTCAGGTTTCTCTTATGTCTTGTTTCAGGATCAAGACATTAAAAATGTGATAGAAGATGCTGGATTTGAGGCCGAAATTCTTTCTGAACCAACTACACCTCATTCTAAGCCGTGTGGAACCTTAGTAGGTCAGTTCACAATTGGAGAAATGACATGTGCCTCATGTGTGAGTTCTTAGAAGGAATTTTAAGGAAGCTACCAGGTGTGGAAAAAGCTGTTGTGGCTTTGCCAACGTCCTTAGGAGAGGTTGATGAATATGACCCAGCTGTTAATAGTAAGGATGATATAGTAAATGCCATAGAAGATTCTGGTTTTGAAGCTGCATTCGTAAGAAGCATTGAGCAGGATAAACTTGTGCTAGGAGTTGCTGGGGTTGCAAATGAAATTGATGTGAAGATGTTAGAAGCCATTCTCTGTATGATAAAGGGAGTAAGAAAATTTTATGTTGATCAACATTTAAAGAATTAGAAATTCTTTTTGACCCTGAAATCATTGGCTCCAGAACATTAATCGATGAGATTGAAAGTAGTAGCTATGGAAAACTAAAGTTATTTGTGAAGAATCCTTATGGTAAAATGGCTTCCAAGGATCTAGAAGAGGCTTCAAACATGTTTCGGTTGTTCTCCGTGAGCTTGTTCCTCAGTGTGAGTTTCTGTGTAATATTTCTTTGTTCATAAAACTTTCAACTTTTGATTTGTTGATTGATTTGCGTGCATAGATTTCAAAACTCTTCTACTAACCACTTAATTCGCAAAAGGTCTATAATGTGAAGATTTTGTCGACTGATATAGTGATATAGTATATTCTTTGTTTTCTCTTCAATTCCTGCAGATACCCGTCTTTTCTATGAAAGTGATCTGTCCTCACATACCTCTGACATATTCTTTACTACTTTGGCGATGCGGTCCATTCCACATGGGTGATTGGTTGAATTGGGCTTTGGTCACTTTTGTTCAATTTGTTGTGGGCAAACATTTATATGTTGCAGCTGGTAGAGCACTCAAAAATCGATCCACTAACATGGATGTCCTGATTGTGTTGGGAAGTTCTGCTTCCTACTTCTACTCTTGTCTGTGCATTACTATATGGTGCAATGACTGGGTTTTGGTCTCCAACATACTTTGAAGCAAGTGGTATGCTAATCACTTTGTATTCTTGGTTAAATACTTGGAAAGTATTGCCAAAGGAAAGACGTCAGATGCTATTGAAAAGCTTGTGGAGCTTGTGCCAGCTACTGCTATATTGCTCTGTAAAGAGAAAAGTATGGGTTTCATACTCTACACAAAGTAACCGCTGCTATTTTTGGCTTACACTAGTTAAAATATTACGAGATAGAATACGAGTCTTTATGAAGTGAAACATCTTTATGATGATAGCCAGAGTAAGTATGACTTTATTCTTGCAGGTGGAAAAGTTGTTAAAGAAAGAGAAATTGATGCTTTGTTGATTCAGCCTGGTGATATATTGAAAGTTCTCCCAGGGTCAACGGTTCCTGCTGATGGTTTGATTGTGTGGGGTTCCAGTTATGTGAATGAGAGTATGGTAACTGGAGAATCTGCTCCGGTTCCAAAAGAAATCAATTCTTCAGTAATTGGAGGGACACTAAATTTGGATGGTTTGCTTCACGTACAAGCCAACAGTGTGGGCTCTAACACTGTTTTAAGTCACATTATATCTTTGGTGGAGACAGAGCAGATGTCTAAAGCTCCAATTCAAAAGTTTGCTGGTTTTGTAAGTGGTTTCCTTCCATATATCATATTTCCTTACATTATTATGTAGGTATTATATATATTCATAATATATATATATATCTATAAAACGAATTTACTCTAATAGAGGCTGGTTATGCTAATGAAGTGTTGATTGATGTAGAATACGTTCGGCAGTTTGCTATTTTGTGATCCATTAACACCTGCAGGTAGCAAGCATATTTGTCCCTGCTGTCGTCACTGTGGGATTTTTTTACGTTTTTTGGATGGTAAGCATACATCGGCTATATCTTGTTTGACATTATTGCGTGAATTATTATAAATTGTCTGTAGTGCATTTTTAGTAGTTGTTTGCTATTTTGTAAATAATGATCATCTGTTTATTTGAAGGTATTTTGCTGGGATTTTTGGAGGGTACCCACCAGAGTGGCTGCCAGAAAGTGGCAACTATATTATCTTTTCCCGTATGTTTGCAATATCAGTTGTTGTGATTGCATATCCATGTGCACTTGGATTAGCTATCCCAACTGCTGTCATGGTTGCAACAGGAGTTGGTGCTAAGAACGGTGTTCTTATTAAAGAGGAGATGCATTGGAGAAGGCCGGGAAGATCAAGTATGTCCTATTTGATAAGACTGGATTGTAAAGGTTTTTTCCAGGCACGGATCGCGGTGAATTTCTTACACTAGTTGCTTCAGCAGAGGTAACGGAATTCAGTCCTGAATCCATTCAAGCCTTGGTTTTCTGCAGTCTTTCTATTTTTTTGTGCTGCCTCCAATGGAATATGCCTTAGTTGACAGACTTACATTTCCTATATGTTTGCAGGCTAGTAGCGAACACCCATTGGCCAAAGCAATATTGGAACATGCCCGCCATTTTCATTACTTTGATATATCATCTCCTCCAGAGGCTGGTCAAAATTGTGGGCTGGAATCTAAGTCCTTTAGATGGCTTCTTGATGTATCAGGTTTTTCTGCTTTTCCTGGACGTGGTGTGCAGTGCTTTATTGAGGGAAAAAAGATTTTGGTGAGTTTGTCACGCCAGTTACACTCATCAAATTAAGACGGGAAGCTGTTTAAGGTGATGATGTTACAATCTTGTCCTTGTATGCTCATCCTCAGTTGCATCTGTTTAATAGGTTGGTAACAGGAAGCTGATGACTGATAATTTGGATCACCATACCGAATCATGTAGAGAAGGTTGTGGTGGAGTTGGAAGAAAGTGCCAATACTGGAATACTTGTGGCTTACAATAATGAGTTAATTGGCGTAATTGGAGTGACAGATCGACTGAAGAGGGAAGCTGCAGTTGTTATAGAGGGTCTAAAGAAAATGGGTGTCACCACGGTAATGGCTACCAGGGATAACTGGAGAACAGCCAAGGCTGTAGCAAAAGAGGTATTTATCTCATGTCATATTCCTCTGTATCCCCTAGGAAAACTTTCTTTGATCAAGCGCTTTGTCATTTGCTAGTTTTGAATGATTGAGTATGCAGCAATTACAAGTATTGAACAAATCAGTTATGAGGGGCCTGGTTCTGATGAAAGAAGCCATCCATTTCCCTTGTTGACATGCAGGTTGGCATTACAGATATTAGGGCAGAAGTGATGCCTGCAGGAAAAGCTGAGATGGGCTTGCTCGTTCCAGGGAGATGGAAGTGTTGTTGCAATGGTGGGGGATGGTATAAATGACTGACTCTCCAGCAATAGCTGCTGCGGATGTGGGGATGGCAATTGGGGTCGGGACAGACATTGCAATAGAGGCTGGGGACTATGTGCTAATGAGGAGCAACTTAGAAGATGTGATTACTGCTATAATTGCTCTCTCGAGAAAGACCCTATCCAGGATTCGCATGAATTATGTATTTGCGAGTGCATGTAATGTGGTTGCCATCCCGGCGGCAGAGAATTTGAGAATACCAAATCTTTGAGATGAAGCTGCTAATGAATGGATGAATGAATAGAGTTAGTTAGTTGATGGTTTTTAGCTCACCTTACGCCCTTCTTACCTACACCATCCATCCATGCATCCTCCATCTCGCCAAAACCAAATCAATGAAATCTAAAGCAAGAACATACATAGTATTAGTAGTAGTAGTACATGATAAAAGTGGACTGCGAAGCAAAACAAGTAACCTGAGGCTGAGAGATGAGATGAAACGTGTGCAATAGTATTATATATTGTCTCTCTGGGTCATACAATGCACTCATCCATCCATCACTTCAGTCCAACTCTGCTACTGCTACTGCTACTGCTACTGCTAGTAGTAAATCAATTCATTCTTAGGCTGCTGCGGCCCAAATCAAGTATTAGGCTAAAGCCCATATAAATAAATAAATACCCTGATCCTGATCCTGATGATTTTATTTTATTTTTCCCTAGGAAAGCGACGAAGAAGCGTGCTTTAACAAATCCCGACTTCTATCTTCTTGTACTACTACCACCACCACTACTACTACGACTACTACTTTACGTACGGCTGGCTCACCGCACCTTCTCTTCCTCTGCACCCAAAGCGAGACAATTCCCAGCTCCGAAACCCTAACTTCTCCGTCCACCCACCAAAGTCGCCCACACAGTTTAAGATGAAGATGCAGTTGAATTTGAAGTCGAAGGTGAAACTATGTCCATCGCTCAACTGATACTCGCCCGCCCCCGCCCCCGCCCCCACTGGGAGGAACACACGCTAACGCTCTAATTGCATCTCTTAGGTTTTGTTTACCCTTCTGCATACACTACTGAGTCCCCACTGTCTTCAGATCCACTCCCAATCGAGAGGGGACGGGATAGATATATATACTGGAATAGAAATACAAGAATTTTATGGGGAAAAAGAAGAAGAGAGGTGCGCTCGATAAGGTTTGGTGCTATTACTGCGATCGGGAGTTTGAAGACGAGAAGATATTGGTGCAGCACCAGAAGGCCAAGCACTTCAAGTGCCATGTTTGCCACAAGAAGCTCTCCACTGCTGGCGGCATGGCTATTCATGTCCTCCAGGTCCACAAGGAACAAGTCTCCAAGTTCGTCTCCTTCTCTTCACTTCTCATTTCCCCACACAAACCCTCTACTGCATTTTAACCCGTTCCTTTCAACTCTTCAGATCATCTAGTTTCATTCATTGATCTCTCACTCTTATTATTATATATTGTATCTTTGTTGCCCCTCGATCTGGTCTTTCTCTCCCTCTCTCTCTCTTCTTTTTTTAAAATTTTAAATATTCCTAGTTTTTTGTTTGTTTAATGTGGAGCTACAACACTAGGTACCTCCAAGTCGGTAAAATTATTATTGTTGTCCTCGGGAATCCTAATTTCATATCCTGTGGCATTGTTGTCCAGGGTTCCTAATGCCAAGCCTGGAAGGGAATCAACTGAGATTGAAATTTATGGAATGCAAGGAATCCCCCCTGAGGCCCTGGCTGCACACTATGGAGAGGAAGGTATTCATGCTATTTTTATAGCTCTATTGTTTCGTTTTTTTGGATGTTGGTGTGGGGAATGATGAAGTGAATTGTTTCAGAGAAACAAATGTTAAAACAAGTCCCTGTCTTTAGCTGAATGTTTCAGTTTGTTCCACTTTCTCAAATCTTGCATATTTGATACGATTTTTCTTTCTTCTTCGGGATCAAACTCTGTTAATTAAGCCAGTCAAATTGTTATGTATTTCTCCTGGAACTGAATTCAGTCCATTGATTCAGCACCAAGAAATTCAATGATTTCTTATCATCTGAGGTTATGACTTGGGAAAACAAAAATCATTTTCAGCCCAAAGCCATTATTGGACCAAACTAAGTGTATGCGTTTATCCCACTACAGATTTTGAAAATTTTACAAATCTTCATCATTGTACAGTTGCTTGATAATTTTTTGCTTTCTTTTTTCATCTTTATTTATTATTATTATTATTATTATTATTATTATTATTATTATTATTGGCATGTAGATCATATTTCCTGGATATACTGTACATCATATTGCGAACTCTGTCTTTCATTTTGCCTTTTCCAGAGGAAGAGGCTCCTTCGAAAACGGCTAAAGTTGATCTTCCACCATCCCAACTTGTTAGTGGTGTGATCCCTGGATCTGTAGGGGTTGGATATCCTCCCCAGTCTGCTCCAACTTTGGGATCAGTTCCTCCAGTGTAGGTTCCCATGCATCTGCTCTTTAGAGAAATTGTTTTCTTTTTATTTATGGCTACACATCAGAATGTAATTTATATTTGATATTCAAGAGACACTAGTTTATGTATGTGATCATTGAATTATGTTGTGGAGTATGGATATCAGATGTCTGCCAATTTATATTGATTACTTATGAAATGGCGGGATGCCCTTACCTTAAAAAGTTTATACATTGAAAATTGAAATTTGTCAAGTCAACATTCTAGTTTGGAAAGTCTTGACAGCAAGTGTTAATGTGTCTGCTTGTGCATTAATTTAGTTATTTTCAACTTTACTCTAGGTTTCCTTGAAGTTGTAGTACCTTCTGGCTTTACGAGCAAAATATATCTGACCTCAACTTTGCATTTGTATGCAGTTATCCTAGAATACCTGTCCCTCCAACTGGCTGGCAAGTTCCACCTCCCCCACAACCATGGTATCCTCAGCATACTGCTGTTTCAGTTCCACCTCCTGCACCAGCAGGGTTACCTCAACAACCTTTGTTTCCTATACATAATCTCCGAACTCCTGTGCCACCGGCAGCACCACCTGTGGTTCAGCCATCATTGCCAATCACTCCTCCAGGGATGCCTGCTGCACCAACTCCTGTTTCTGTTTCTCAACCCTTATTTCCTGTTGTTCCTAGCAGCAATATTCCTACCCAAAACTTACCTTTTTCTACTCCTATGCCTTCAATGAACTCTTCTATAGACAAGAATGTGGAGCCTTCCTTTGCTGGTAGTTTGGCAACCGGTAAGCATAGCGCATCAGGAATGAGTTTGTTTCATTCTTATTAGTCCACGTCTTCTATTATATCATAGATCACCTTCTGTTGGCAGTAGTCTTTGGATAGCTGAAGTTTTATGGTACTTACTGCATTCTGTTAATGCTGCATTCTGTTGTGTTGGCGGTACATAGAGTATCATATAGTGAGGTGTTTTGTCAACATATATTAATGCACCGATTTTGTACATGCAAATATTTGGGTGTTTTTGTTTTTCACTTTCATTTAGTTAGCAGGTTCCCAATTTGCCTCCCAAGTTGAGTTATTAATTTTGATCTCCTTTGATGTTAATAGTATTTCAACCTTAATGATGTGTTGTAGACTACATTTTATCCCCAGGTGACACTACATGTTTATGTGAAATCAGTATTTGTTATATGGTTATTTCTGCTTTGTAGTGAGAAAAACAATTAAGCCATGTGAATTAACTTTAATGTAATCTACAGAAATAGGATATAATGCAGAAGGAAACCTGCTTCTGCAACTTTATAGGAAGTCAGAGTTATCGCATCTTTTTATGAGCATTGTTATGTTTTGGTGTTTGTGTTTCTGCTGCTTTCTAGCCAATTGATATGTGTGGACACCTACATGTGCTACACTGAAGAGCTCATAGTCTTTCACCGTGGTTATTGCAGCAGTAGCATCTGTAAATTCACATTCTTATGCTTCTGGCCCAAATACAACCGGTCCTTCTATTGGCCCACCACCTATAATTGCAAATAAGCCCCCAGCTATTCAACCTGCAGCAAATGAGGTCTACCTAGTGTGGGATGATGAGGCTATGTCCATGGTTAGTTATTCTTTCTTCTGGACAAGTGGCTCTGGCAATTTTTAGTGGCGTTTGTTTTGTTTTTTGGAGGGGGGCTGAGATTCACACGCTTGATGTCTCTTCTCTTTTCAGGAGGAAAGAAGAATGTCCGCATTGAAGTATCAGGTGCATGACGAGAATAGCCAGGTAAGTCGTAATGGCCTAGTAAGAAAACTATTCTTCACCATGGATATTGGGTTGACTTCAACTATCCAGGTGCTAGCTTTGCGTTTTGCTCTCTTTGATTCATTGATATGAAGAAGGTATTTATTTCTATGTGCATGATTCTCTTGTTGAGGTAGAGGGGTCAGGTCACTGCAAAAAATGTATGTAGGCAGTCATTTATATTATTACTTCTTCTTCAACCCCAATACTGTGACGGCCTGATCCACTTTTACGGCCACCCTCGGGTTGGCTTGCTTGCAATGCCCATGCCCCACCCACCCCACTGATTTGTGATTTGGACTACAATGGTCGGAAGTGCGATTGGTAATTTTGTTCTTGGTCACCCTTAGTAATTTAGTTGCAACTGGCTTGCTGCAACCTCACATGGAGCGGAGCCTCCTCCATCTGTAGCTTCCATGCAAGGAGTGTATGTATTTACTTTTTGGAAACTTTGATCTGTTCAATTTCATAAATTTATGCGTGTGCTTGATTGATTGATTGATAACCAAAGTGTTTTGACTCGGGTGGAGCAATCAGAATTTTGCCCATTGGGTATCTTCATACACAATGTTTTATTTAGATGGGGAGTCAATTCAATGGTCCAGGTCAGCTTCTTCTGCAATGATTGTAATGATATGATATATGATGTTTTTATACCGAGCATCATTAAAGCTGCAGACGATGGCAGCTGAATGATGAGATTGGATTATTCTGCTTCATTTACATACACGCTACTACTACTACTACACGTACATCATTTACGCGGTGGTAGTAATAATACTAATTAATAACAATAATACTCTCTCCTCTTAATGAATGATATGATATGATCTAATCCTTTCCTTTCCTGACGCCAAGTTGTCGTCTGTTTCAGATGAGCTCCATCGATGCTGCCATTGACAAAAGGATCTCAGAGAGCAGGCTGGCTGGTCGCATGGCCTTCTGAGGACGCCTGCCTGAGATTGGGGTTGGAGCTGCCTGCTGTTCTGATCAACCAAGTGGCTGGCTGTGTCCTAACTAGTGCTGGTGCTGGTGCTGGTGCGTTCTTGACTGCTTGCTGCCTACCTGCCATTTTTCATTTTCATTTTCATTTCCATTTTCATTTTAATTTTTATGTGTTGTATTCTTTCGGGAGAAGGCTCTATTACACCTTGACAGATTGTGGGCAAAATAGTTTCTTTCTTTTCTGTTCTGTTCATTTCATTGTTTTAGCTGACTTAGGTCCAAGAGGGGGGGAGAGGTGTAAGCAAGCATGAGTCGCCTGTCCCTGCCTCCCTCGCCTCAAATATATGAACAACCTTTTACCCATGGATGCCATCATCATCATCTAAGTGAGTAAACTAACTACTCAGTGGTTTGGCGTTTTGAGGGTGATGCTCATCTATCTTAATGTTTGTTCCATTCATTTTCTTGGTGATGAATGGAAATGGAAATGGAAAGGGAAAGGGGGGTATGGGATGGGTGAGGGTATGAACGAATGGCTGCCTGTCTGGCCGTGGCTGTGGTGAAACGTAACTAGTTGATTTTTGTAACGCCTCTTTACATGGGCTGGCTTCTTCATGCAAAAAAGGCACTTATAAACAATAGTAAGTAAAGGGTGTGGGCTTGGGCTTGGGCTTGGGCTAGGGCTAGGGCATCTACCCGATTGAAACGGGGAGATAATTGAAGCATCTCCTCCTCCCAACATACAGTGACTGTCTGTGTCTGTGACACCACAATCAAGTCAAAACAAAGTACAACAAATGAATGACTGACTGAATAGCATTGGCATTGGCATTAGCAGCAGCAGCAGTGGCACACGCGTTGCTGGGCAGGCAAGTGTGCCTGTATGTATCTGTGTATCTATGGAGAGTGGAAATGTGGATGGATCATGGATGGATGGGTTGATGGGGTCCATGGGGAGGTGTGGTGTAGTGTAGTGTATAGAGTAGTTCCTTTCTTTGCCTGGACCTGACCTGACTTGACTTGAAGGGGGCTGGCTGGCTGGCTGCATTGTTTCCATTTCGGGGAGATTTCTTGAAACAAGACACTTTCTCCAAATCCCATTTCCATTTCATTATCATTATTATTATTATTATTATTATTATTATTATTGTCTACGATTTTGATTGACCACACACGCTGACGCTGACGCTGAAGCAAGGCAGCTCCCCGTCAACCAATTCCATCTCCTCCAAATGCAGCAGCAGCGGCAGCATTCCCAACAATTCTTCCACATAAAGAGAATTTTATCCTTCATTCAAAATAGAAACCATCCCAATCCATCCGTCAGTCCTTCCTCGCTTTCTCCATCCATCACAAGGCACCAAATTCCATGCATCCTCCACTGCACTCTAGAAGATGTCGACCTCTGCCCTCACAGCCCAGCCCTCCAAAATCTCTACATCTTCTTCAACCTCATCTCAACGTCCTGCATGTCTCTCTGTCTGTCAGAAAGATAGCTTTCTTAATTCAGCAAATGTAACTCTTGAGTCAGATCCCGCGGATGTCCTCTTCCTTCCTCGGCATTGACAAGAAAGCACTGGACTGAAATGATGGATGGAACCATCAAAATCAAAATGACTTTCAGTGCCAGGGGGAGACGGAGGAGTATAGAGATTAGATAGAGGAGGGGGCTGCTGCTGCAAAGAATCATTCATTAGGAGACTCACAGAAGGCAGGCAGGCAGGCAGGCTCACAACAATACAATGCAGTACAATAGTGCCTTTGCCTCTTCCTATATATATATATATATATGAACGAATATATAAACAACCTGGCCGAAAGACAAATGTACACCAGCAAAACAGAGATTGATGGAGCCTTTTCACATAAGCAGCAGCATTCCTACTGCTACTGCTCCCTACTGGACGGATATGGATCCCAGAATATGGAGCCGGCTGCCTCAGAGATTGATGGACCGCACCATTGCCTGTCTCCCCCCGCCGGCATTCTTTCGGGCTCGTGCGGTGTGCAAGAGGTGGTATGCCCTTCTCTTCTCCAACGCCTTCCTCCAGCTCTACCTCCAGGCATCTCCCCGCCACCACTATTTCATCTTCTTCAGGCAGCAGCAGCAGCAGCAGCACCACCACCCAAGCCTCAGAAGCTGCTGCATCTACAGCAGAGACAGCAGCAGCAGCAGCACGAGTGATCATCATCATCATCGTCGTCATTTTCAGGCGCAGGAAGGATACCTGTTCGACCCGGACAACCTTAAGTGGTACCGCATTCCCTTCCCCCTGATCCCCCCCGGGTTCTCCCCGGCGTCGTCCTCGGGGGGGCTCGTGTGTTGGGTGTCCGATGATTCCTCCACCGGGTCCAAGAGGATTCTCCTGTGCAACCCGGTGACGGGTGCCTTCTCCTCCTCCTCCCAGCCCCAGCTGCTCCAGCTGCCCTCCACCCTCAGGCCAAGGCTGTGCCCCTCCATGGGTATGAGCATCACCGCCTCCTCCATAGACGTGGTGTTCGCAGGGGACGACCTCATCTCCCCCTACGCCGTCAAGAACCTGACCTCCGAGAGCCTCCACGTGGATGGGGCCGGATTCTACTCCATCTGGGGCACCACCGCTCCTCTGCCCCGGCTCTGCAGCCTGGACTCCGGAGGGGGGATGGTCCACGTCAGGGGGCGGTTCTACTGCATGAACTACAGCCCCTACAGCGTGCTGGCGTACGACGTGTCGAGGAACGGTTGGAGCAAGATTCAGGCGCCCATGCGCAGGTTTCTGAGGTCGCCGAGCCTGGTGGAGAGCAGGGGGAAGCTGGTGCTGGTGGCCGCAGTGGAGAAGAGCAAACTGAACGTGCCGAGGAGCTTGAGGATGTGGGCACTTCAGGAGGAGGAGGAGGAGCGGGCGTGGGTGGAGGTCGAGAGGATGCCGCAGCGGCTGTACAGTGAGTTTGCGGAGATGGAGGCGGGGAGGGGTTTCCGGTGTGCGGGGCAGGGGGAGGTGTTGCTGCTGATGCTCCCCGACACAAGAGCCCTGGTGTTCCATACGAGGACGAAGCGCTGGGTGTGGGCGCCGCCCTGCCCCCACCGCGCCGCCGCCCACACCGAGCAGCAGCATTTGCTCCAGGGGTTTGCTTATGAGCCAAGGCTGGCCGTGCCCGTCACTCCACTCCTCCAACAGCTTCAGCTTACCCCCCGACCATCATCCTAATCCCAATCCCAATCCTAATCATCATCCTATATAATTTATTACAGTTCCAAGGCTAATTATGAACTTGTATTTCCACACCGCATCTTCTTTGTTGACCACCCATACGTGTATATCTATATCATGCATGCAGTAGCTAGCATTTAGTCTGAACTACCAGTAGTAGTAGTCGTCGTCGTCTTCCTCTGCCGTCCACCTCAATCTCATATGTCCTAATTATATCTATTTAGGCATACAAACATGGTATTTAGAATACCTGTTTGCATATGCTCCCAACAACCACTCTCTTATTATTATGATTATGATTATTATTATTATTATTATTATTCTTGACTCGCTAGGCACGCCCCTCTATGTATATGTGCATATTTCACATCTTTAATGAAAAATAACTTAAAATAAAGACATTGTGTATAATGCATGCATGTGTGTAGTGTGTACGGATACGAGCAAACAACAACACACTGATCAATTCAACTAGCAATCAATGGGCACAAACATTGGCAAGAAACAGGACAAACAGTGTGTGTTTGCTCACATATATTATATATATAAAGAAAAGCAAAATTCAACACAAGATATAAATGTCTTATCGTTGCATCTAAGTCATCTGCTCAAAACTGCAGGAAGGAGGAACTCACACACACACACACACCTCTTTTGATACCCAACTGCGGAACAGAAGCGTGTGTGGCTCTCACTTCTAAAATAACAATGCTTCTTCCAGCTAAGGATCCGAGCCCCACAAAAATCAAGCAAGAGTGTGGTGTGAAAATGCAGCAGCTTCAGCTACTCCCCAACCTGATGACCTTAGTCATGCCCCTTGCTCTGTACACCTGCTCCGGCCTGGCCGATAAGCATCTATCTTACTCTACCAAATTTCATTTGACCCTAACCATGAGGATGAGATGGACATCTCTCTTGAATATTGACCTCAACTCTTCATTAGCTTCCATGCCAATCCTCCTGAACAATAATGTTTATTACACCTGATTACTGACTCACCACATTTGATAAGTAGTTGGTGAAACAAAATGATAACCAGAATGCAGAGATAAATTTTGTCTATAGGCTATACAAGATTTTGTATGTTGATTATTATGAATTATAGCAACCCACAATCATAAGCACCAAAGGCAAAGCAGATGAAGAAAACCCAATCAATGCATGGAAAGAACTTAAACAACAAGATGAAGAGAAAACTTCAAATGCATCAATTACAGTAATGACACACTAACCCTATTTTAGAGCCCTTCTTCCCCACCAAAATTTTGCGCTGGCTAATCTTGTGTGTGATGAAATGCTGCTCAATTCGGAGAGAACCATCTCTTAATTCCTTCCAGCTGACCAAACGATGTTCAATTCCATATGGTATTTCCTGGGTTACATAAAATCAATCAGCTCACCAGAAATTTCATTCAGGTTCAGCAATCATCTTCTAAAAATACAACTTGCAGAATAACCTGATGCACATAATCCAATAACTTCTCTCTTACAACTTCAAGCGATATGTTCTTCATTACTTCTTCACTCATCACGAACGGATCTTCATCCCACCGTCTTTTTACTGCCTATGTTCAAATCAAAATTACCAAAGCAGCTGTAAATCATGGACGGTGTTGATCCCATGATATGCACAGTTAAGATCAGTGCATCATAAGAGAGTAGTCAGTTGTAAAAGGGTGTGCATACAGCAGTACAACTCAAAGAAAAATTTACCAAGGTAAACAAAAGCAAGAAAACAAAGAGAATAATTTTGTGTTGACAGATGAAATTGTCAAAAAGTTTACAGAAGACTTCTCTGAAATATTATGATCAACGGCAGTTTCCTCACAGCTTGCCTAGGAAAGTTTATGAAATTAAACGAAAACAACATCAAAGCTAAATGCATCTACATGATAGACATTGGAAGTTGGAACTCCAGTAAATTTCAAAGAACATAATTGAGAATCTGTATAGTAGTGTAGCAACAAGCTTCCATATTGTCTAATCAACAATTAACAAACATTGTTCAATACACATTTGTAACTAACATACAAGTCAACATTTATAACATGCCTTATCCATTAAGTAACGAATAAGTTCTTTAACTCCAGCGCCCTTCAATCCTGAGATCATGAAATGCCTGCCAGATGGTCAACACAAATATCAGGTGCCAGAACAAAACAAACTTACATGTTTAGAAGGAAGAACTTACTTATCATATCCAGGTAAATCTTTGAACTCCTCAACAACCTTCAGTAGATCATTCTTTTTCGTGACCAAGTCAACCTTATTCATGCATAACACACGCTTCTGATTAGTGTTAGGAATTGACCCCATCCTTTCTATTAATCTCACCACTCGTGAATCTGGTCTGAATTCAAGAAAAATTAAGATGAGAAGTTTAGAAAGTCCAACGTCTTTTCAGATTGCATACACTAGTACATGCATCAGGTAGCAAATTTGGTGGGACAATAAATAAAACAAACTGAACAACTATTTATGATTAGCTAGCAAATCATTAGTTTTTGTTATATTTCTTGATCAAATTAAGTAAATAGGATAGAGAAGTATTTCAAATTAACCATACAGCCATATAATAAAGGAAAATATAAAAATGGCTCTTTAGAAGGGCTCACACATTCAATCTGCATTTTATGATGAAAAAGTTCAGTATGATAATGCCACACAAGGATCTATGTAGAACATTATGAAGCAAAGGAACGATTCAATTTCCAGTAAGGAAGATGAAACCTGATAAGATGTCTGTGAACATCAAAAATAATCATCAGCACATCATATAAATTAACAGAACTCCATGCACTATCATTCCGGACTTTAATGTCATTGTAAGGAATTCCACTCTTCTTTAACATAAGCCCTGGTGTATCAAAGAAACACTGCACCAAATTTACAGTTTGTCAAAACACTTGAATAAATGCAATCAATAAATGGAATAGGGAAGGGTCACATGATTAGAAAATAACATACAATTTGTGTAACGCCTTTAGTCAGAACTCCCAACACTTCATGGGTGGTGGTATTTATCTTCCGAGAAACGGCTGAAACTTTAGTCCCAACCTAAAACAAGAAGAAGAAAAGATGATGGCTTTGGAATGCATAAAGATACTACAGGAAGAAAAAAAAAAAAGAAAAAAGAAAAAGCTACAGCTATATCCAAGCAAAACGCGAAGTTTTAGCGACTCAATCAGCCCAGAAACAGAGAATATCAAACAATGGCAATAGACCAAGGAATTATTGAGCAGGGAAATTCCGAACAGACCATGAAATTAGTGAGAGCAGACTTGCCAGCATTGGGAGCCCCAACTATACCGACAGACAAAGACTTCTGATTCTCCTCCTCCACCTCCACCACATCGACATCGACATCCTCGTCCTCATCTTCGTCCAAGGCCACTTCTAGCAGCGCCCTGGCAGCTTTCGTCTTTTTCTCCTCTTCCCTCTTGAGAATTCTGAGACGCGAAGCATCTTCCTCCCCAAAGACCTTGCTTTTGACTCGGTCTCTGTATTTCTCCTCCCAGGAGGGTTTCTGAATAGTATGGTCGGAGAAGAGATTTATAGGATGAAAATGGGAGCTATCGAATACAGAGTGATCCATGGAGGAGGGGCATTCTTCTTCAGTGGTTGGTTGGGAGGGAAGATGGTCATCTCGGTGAGGCTGGGCAGAGTAAAAGCTGAGCAGAAAGGCGGCAGAATGGGTAAAGAAGTAAAACGGCGTAGAGGAGACTGATGGAAGTAGTAGTCTCAGAGGCCTCATCGACTTCATTGCAATCGGTGCGGCTACTTGGAGGAATGGGAAAAAGCTTAGGGAGGAGGAGGAGGAGGAGGAGGAGGCGGAGGAGAGTTTGTTGATGGGAGGCGCGGACGGCAGAGCACAGGAAGGAGAGTTTTCGAGGGTTTAGCGCATCCACTTGCACCACTGCTCTGCAGTGCAGATACAACGAGAGATTTCATGATAATTATTCGCCACGGCCCGGGCCAAATACGATTTTAATTTTAAATATTTTTTTAGAAAAAAAAAAAAAAAAACTGTTCTTTCTGTTTTTCATAACTCCAACCTCTAAAGTTCAAGGAGTAATCTTTAATTAAGTGAAATCTTGCCTTTTCAAGCAAATTTATTGCTTTTATTTTCTATTTTCACTTAGTGCTTTTGTAATGTAAATTTACAGTTTTCGAATTTATAAAATGTCATTTTTATTCTTCATATCTACTTTCATTCATAATATTTTTATTTGTATTTGATTATTTAAGCTTTAATTTATTTTTTTTTAATAACGCTATTCGAAAGTGATGCAATGGGCAAATTCCGGCCGAATTTAATACCTGCAAATTGGTCGAGACAATAGTCTTATCAATGCTTCAAGTTATTATTATGCATCTGAATACCAACGCAAAACACATGAATACCAACTTGATTTTCATGGAAAACAAAGAGCCAGTATTTATTGTTGAAACGTGACTTGAATTTAGTGAGTCTACCTAACCCAAAATCAAAGCGAAATGGATGTTTCAATTGACAGGGTTCCTTTTGGGTTTATCCTAATTAATAACAAATAGGCTTAGAGTTTAGGGTGTTTTGGGTGCTTATAAATAGATAGGTATGGTTCTTAGTCGGATAACATAATTGTAAATCTCTGAATCAGTATAATAAAATTTCTCTGGTTCCTGCCCGTGGACATAGGTTAACACAACGTCACCGAATTACGTAAAACATCTATGTTCTTTATTTGTTTTCTTTCTCATTTTCTCATAACAAGTAGTATCAGAGTCATATCTCATTGATTGAAGGTGTCCTCGTATAAGTTTGATCCGGAAAAGTTTAATTGATCGAATGACTTCACGCTCTGGAAGGTCAAGATGAGGGCACTTCTGATTTAACAAGGATGTGCGGCTGCGTTGGAGGGAGAAGACAAGTTTCCTAAAGACACAAAGGAGGAGGTAAATAAGGAGATTTTGGCAATGGCTCATTCCGCGATCTTGCTGTCAGTTATTGATGAGGTGTTACGGGAGGTTGTAGATCAGACAACGGCTTTTGGGTTGTGGAATAAACTATGTGAGAAGTACCAAAGTAACTCTCTCACGAACATACTATATCAGAAGCAACGTCTTTACACCCTCCGGATGTCCGAAAGTAATCAGGTAAAGGATCATCTTGATACCTTTAACCATTATCATTCTTGATCTTCAAGGGGTTGAGATTAAAGTAAATGATGAAGATCAAGCCCTAATTTTAATGTGTTCACTACCTGGTTCATATGAGAATTTTGTAGATACTATGCTATATGGTAGAACTACAATTTCTGTTAATAATATGAAAGATGCTCTTATGTCCAAAGAATTGAAAAGAAAGGTTTATCTGGAAGAGGGTTCTGATTTATGTTTGTTTGCAGGTAGGGGAAGACCACATGAGAGGGGTAACGGGAATGAGAGGTCGTATTCAAAATCAAAATCCTCTAGCAAAGTTAAGTGTTATCTTTGCAAGGATAATGGGCATGTTAAAAGGATAATCCACAGAAGAAGGGAAATACAAAAGTTGATTCTAGTAACAGTGGCAGCAGCGCTGCTGTGGTACAAGACAGTTCTGATAATGGGGACTTTTGTGAAGTTCTGACAGCGTGTAGTGCTAGTAGTGCTGATTCATGGATTATGGATATCGGTGCTTCTCACCATATGACGTTCTCTCGTGATCTACTCATTTTTTTTAAAGAGTGGAATTGAACGGTGAAGTTAGGTGATGATGGGGTTCTAGCCATAAAGGGGAGCGGGATAGTGCAGATGAAATTGCATGACGGTACTGTCAGGAAATTTGACTGTTGGTATGTTCCTGAACTCAGAAAGAATTTGATTTCTCTTACACCTTAGCCAAGAATGGTTTAAAATATCATGGTGAAGGTGAGTGGGTGAAAGTCCTGAAAGGTGCTCTGGTAATGATGAAGGAAAAACTGCAGCATGAAATTTATTTTCTACAGGACAATTCAGTGATGGGTACGGCGGCGATATCCCAATCCTTGGATAAACATGATGACAGGACAAATTTGTGGCACCGTCGATTAGGTCACATGAGTGAGCTAGGGTTGTTCGTGTTGAGCAAACACGGTTTATTTGGTGGGGATGTGATAGGTAAAATTCAATTATGTGAGGCTTGTGTAAAAGGGAAGCAACGCAGGGTGAGGTTTAGTACCAATCATCATACTTCAAAAGAAATTCTGGAGTATGTTCATTCAGATCTATGGGGTCCCTCTCCGGTGAAATCACAGGGCGGGTGTTTTTACTTTGTCACTTTCATAGATGATTATTCGAGAAAAGTCTGGTTGTACTTTCTAAAGACTAAAGATGAGGTGTTTGGGAAGTTCAAGGAGTGGAAGACCATGGTTGAAAAACGGACGGGTAAGCAGGTCAAGACTATAAGAACTGGGTTAGAGTTCTGCAATGCTCCATTTGATAATTTTTGCAAAAAAAGAAGGTATAGTGAGGCACCGCACTGTACGACACACACCACATCAAAATGGAGTTGCAGAGCGAATGAACCAAACCCTCATGGCGCGTGCTAGGTGTATGCGCATATTTGCTGGCTTATCTAAGCAATTATCGGCTGAAGCAGTTAACACTGCTAGCTATCTGGTTAATAAATCTCCATCAACTGCAATTGACTTAAAGACTCCTCAAAAGGTATGGTCCGGTAAACCCTCTGATTACTCTAATCTAAGAATATTTGGATGCCCTGCATACGCTCATGTGAATGATGTTAAGCTGGAGCTGAGAGCAGTAAAATGCATATTTCTAGGGTATGCAACATGAGTAAAAGGTTATCGATTGTGGTGTACAGAAGGTAAAAAACCTGGTAAATTTCTTAATAGCAGAGATGTAACCTTTGATGAATCTGTTATGCTTGATCAGAGTACAAGTTCTGAAAGTATTGCAAGTACAAAAGATTGTGGTGCTGACCAGAGGGTAGAGTTTGAGACTCCTGGCAGAGTTGTGTTAGATTTAGAGCAGCAGGATAATACTATTGATCAATCTGATCAACCAGATCAGTCAAAACCTCAAGGGAAACCGGTTTAGGGGGAAGCTAATGACGTTGGTGCTGGGGTTGAAGATTCCATAGCAGTAAGAAAGGGAAAGAGAAATATTCAGAAACCAGCTAGGTTTGCAGGATGTGTCAATACATGTGACATAAATTATGTGGCTTATGCACTAGCGGTTGGTGATGATCTTTGCTCTGATGAGCCAAAGACATATAAAGAAGTTGTGGCGAGTAAAGATGCGGAAACCTAGATTATGACAATGAATGAAGAGATGCAGTCTCTTGAAAAGAACAAGACTTGGGATCTTGTTGCACTACCAAAAGGGGTGAAGCCAGTGGGATGCAAGTGGGTTTTTAAAAGAAATGAGAGAATTCCTAATGTTGAACCTGCTAGGTTCAAAGCGAGACTTGTGGCAAAAAGGTTCTCACAGAAGGAATGAATCGATTACCATGAAGTCTTTTCTTCTGTGGTGAAACACAAAACCATTCAGGTTCTTTTGGCAATGGTGGGTGCTTTTGATTTGGAGCTGGAGCAGCTTGATGTAAAAACAACATTCCTTCATAGTAATCTAAAAGAACAAATTTACATGTCTCAATCGGAGGGGTTTTACGGTTCTAAAGGGGACCAGGTATGCTTGTTAAAGAAATTTCTGTATGGCTTAAAGCAGTCTCCGAGGCAATGGTACAAGAGATTTGACTCTTTCATGGTGTCTAATGGTTATACTCGTAATCAGTTTGATAATTGTGTTTACTCGAAGAAAGTTTCTACTGATTCCTTTGTGTATCTGCTGTTGTATGTGGATGATATGTTAATTGTAGCTAAAAACATTGTTGTAATTAATAACTTAGAAGGCTCTACTAAAGGGTGAGTTTGAGATGAAGGATTTGGGTGCGGCAAAGAAAATACTTGGTATGAAGATCTGGCGTGATAGAAAAGCAGGACGGCTATGGATTTCTCAAGAAAAGTATATTGAGAAAGTTTTGCAGGCATTCTCTGTTGATCAGTCCAAACTTGTAAGTACCCTTTTGGCGACACACTTTAAACTTAATCGAAACACTATACCGGGTACAGATGAAGAGGTTAGCTTCATGAAGACGGTTCCATATTCAAGTGCAGTTGGAAGTCTTATGTATGCGTGGTATGTACGAGACCGGATCTCGCTTATGCGCTTAGTGTGGTGAGCAGGTTTATGGTTAATCCGGGTAAAGCTCACTGGGAAGTTGTAAAGTGGATCTTGCGATATTTGAAAGAAGCGTCTGATATTTGTCTAGTATATGATGATAACGGTCATGTTGATGGTCTTGTTGGCTATGCATACTCTGATTACGGGGGTGACTTGGTGAAACGAAGATCACTGACTTGTTTTATCTTCACTCTGTTTGGATGTGCAGTCAGTTGGAAGTCTGTTTTACAACCTACGGTTGCACTGTCGACGACCTACATGTCAATGACTGAAGGTAGTAAGGAGGGTATCTGGTTACATGGTCTGATGCAGAGTTTGGGTCTGAAGGTGGAGAAACTGACGTTATTCTGTGATAGTCAAAGTACTTTGAGTTTGACTAAAAATCCAATGTATCATGAGAGAACCAAATAGCTACATAACACAATCCAACTAATATGTTGACAAATGCGCTACCGACGGAGAAGTTTGAGCACTGTTTAAACTTGGTGAATATTCGCAGGAGGTAAAGCCCTCTCGGGGCATCTGGTATGAAGGAGACAACTGAGAGATACTGACGAACTTTTGCCGGTTGGAGAAACTCCAAGTCAATGTGGAGATTGTTGAAACGTGACTTTGATTTAGCGATCTACTCGACCTAAAACCAAAGCGAAAAGACTGTTTCAATTAGCAGAGTTCCTTTTGAGCTTATCCTAATTAATAACGGGTGTTTATAAATAGATAGTTATGGTTCTTAGTCGGATGACATAATTATAAATCTCTGAATCAGTATAATAAAATCTCTCCGGTTCCTACCCATGGACGTAGGTTGATACACCATTACACGTAAAATCTTTGTATTCTTTATTTACTTTTTTTCTCGTAACACTTATATTATCAAAAGCAATGAAAACAACACAACTAATTATTCTAAATTAAATGTAAAAGGAGTCTCAATTTCAAAATTCTCTGACCAACAATGTTCGTGTGTTTGAAAACGACAACAAACAAAACAATGATGACATGATCCATGATTGTTTGGTGATACGAATTTTTCACCTACTGATACAAATTTCAATCAAGAATTGGATGACACAAATTTTGGAAAATAGAGTTAGAGGTATGCATTCAACAGTCCAAGATATGAACATGATGATCTCGTGTTTAATGGCAAAAATGCCAACTTCGATCGCGATTTATAATTGGATAATCAATGGACTAATCATAACAATGATGAAGATGATTCCCATATAAAATCTAACCATACTCAACTATAGTCACTTCATTAGAATTGAAAGAATAAGTTCAAAATATTCAAGATGTGGGTGTTTCCCCCCTATTTCTCTCTCCGTCCTCTTTCCTTTAATATGCATATATATATATATATATATTATTTATGGTGGTTGTGGATTGGATTGGATTGGACGAGCTGAGCTGGTGTTGCGTTTGGTTAAACCACAAGCAGCTACTACAACTCTACTCTACGTGCGTGTGTGCTTGCATGCCGTGCTGGTTTGTATACTTGCTGTTCCATCGAGCATCAACAAATACTTCCTTTTAACATGTGTGCGCATGTATGTTCACATCATAAATAAGCAAGCAAGCAAGCTTCAAACTTCTTCTAACTTCTGCGTTAATAAAGTTCCTACCTACACCGAACGGAACAAACAGATAAAGCAGAAAGGGAGGGGCAGGGAGTCCAGAGTGATCGAGCTACTCATCCTCCAACAGTCACACTCATCCGGATGAATGAACGCCTTTCTGTCTGTCTGTCTATCATCCAATACAAAAATATGTTTGATCCGATGACAGCCAGTCTTGAGCCGCTACCAAGTTGGGTAGCACAATAGCACCAGATTTCCTCCATGCCTTGGCATCCGGCGTTGAAAATCTGTCCAACAGTAACGCATGCATGCCTATGCTCTTTGCAGGCAAATAGTCCTTCCGCATGCTGTCTCCAATATGGAGAGCTTCTTCGGGTGAAATGTTGCCGGCCCTCTTCAATGCGATCTCATACATTCTAGGATCTGGCTTCTCTACACCTTCAAGGCCTGAGAATACGCCAAAATCCCATTCTGAACCCTAAGCAGATTCAAGATGTGGCATTTACATGTGGTGGAATAAGAGAAACAATCCACAAAAGTAAATTTAAAGCACACGCATACATAGTCAGTCAGGTACCCCACCTGGTGCAAACCTAATGCTGGAAGGATCACATCTTGGTACCTATACTCGGCATTGCTAACAATGCCCACAGTAACACCCTTCCCATGGAGCCATCTTAAGAATGGCTGTGAATCTGGAAAAATGGAATATGGGGCAGAGGACCCAAAGGTAGCATATATGCGTTTGAAAATCTTCTCAAATGTTTCATCATCATAATCATATCCTGCCTGCAAGCAAACCAAAATTAGAAAAATTATAAACAGGAAAAAATCAGAGAATAGAAAGAAGACGCTAAAAACCCAATGTCATACGCATCCTATCTCTCTGATGTAGTAAGGACATTGAAATGCAAGGAAACATTCCATGAAAGCCCAATCTCTCTCACCCGAACAAAAGATTCCCTAACAACAGTCTTCCACCAAACAATATTGGGTATCTTCTCTGCAAACCCAAAGCATGGATGTTTCCTTGCCATCTCTGTATAAGCAAGTTTGAAACCCTCATGCACTCTCTCATAGTCAGGACATGGGAGTCCAATGGATTTTGCTGCCATGCAATAGTAGTCTCCAAGCTGCCCTTTGTAAGCAATTAGTGTGCCAGTAACATCAATGGTTATTAGACGCAATTTTTTTAGCATGGACATTTTAGAAGAACTGCAGCAGAATACAGGTGGCTGGGATCAATATAAGCATGAATATGCTCTAAGCCAGATAAAACGAATGCTTCGGTATGACAATGCGCATGGTTCCAATGGGTAACTTGAGTATGAAATATTTCCAAGCCATCTTGAACACATTACACAATTGAATGCCCTTTAAAACACATTTTACACACCTGGCAAACCAATCTGACTTTATTCATATTGATATTTAAAAAGCATCTACAACAGACTACCTAGGGCATTAAACTAACTTTAGGTCCAGTTTAAACAGAAGGATTTTGATAAGGATGTGAGGAGTGGGCTTGAAACGACTAAACAATTGAAAGACCTTCAAATTTATTCCAATGTTACATGTACACCTTAATTATAAATGTGGAACAGTTTGAAATCCTCATTAATCAAAAGTGTTGGGTAACAGATTTTAGTGGGACGGATTTGAATTTCCTCCCTTCAAATCCTTCATTCGAAATGAGTTCTCAGTGAACTCAAAGTTCAAATGCAATGATGATTGCGACTCTTACTTTTCATGGTTTAATCAGAGTTTCTGTTTCAGGAACTATTCCATCCATTTTCAACTGCTACCCACCACGAACAGGTAAATCAAGTAATCAACCCATTATGATTATCTAATATCAAACATGCAAAGCCAGCGAGATCCTACAACAGCAATATCTAACGAGAGAATGAAAGTCCCCATAAACCGGTACTCAGCCACATGAGACAATGCAGCCTAGTATCATTTTACGGGGAATTGATATCTGCATCACTTCAGAGCATTCAAGCAGGAAATCTCAGTATGAAAATCAACCAGATGGTTTTGAAGAACGTTCACTTGATGAGATTTAAAGCTATATACATGGAATACGATAAGATGCACACGGTGGCCTATCAATAAGTTAACTAAACGGGATTGTAACATACAAGTTAGGATGATTGCCGTTTTATTTTAATTTTCTTTTTTTTTTTTTATTCACTTATGAAATATTGAAAATGATAAAGCAGGCGCGGCAACATAAAACCAAAGCAACTACGTTTCAATTCAAGATCTAAAAGCGTAAATCAAAAGCAATTTCAATCCCATATTATCTTGGTATACTTACCCGACAGAAGGGGTGAAAAAGGATACCAAACAAGAGGAGAGCAGCAGCAGCAAAGGCGTCCTGCGAAAAAAAAAACAAAACTTTGGAATCAACGAAAATGGAAAGGGGAGTCCAGCCTCGCTCGGCGAGCGGGGATTTTGAGAGAGAGATTTGAATAGGAGATGGATATGACTGAAAAGAGAGATTATTTAGAGAATTAACCTAGCAAAAGGAAATTGGAACGGCGGAATTGCAGCTTCCAGAGGATGTTGCTTCAATTTGCGGGTATCATGAGTAATCAAGAAGACGACGCCTCCTTAGCCTGCTTGATCGCTGATGCCGAATCCTAACCGAAGTCGCAACCCAGTGTCCTGATCCACGGATGCTATGAATGAAATGCGTATGAACAAAAAAAAAGGAATAAATAAAAGAATGCAGTACGGGCGTCACCGTCGCCCGAGCCGAAGCCACCGTACACGGTACACGACGTCTCCCACCCAGAGGCAGAGGCAGGGGAAGAGTCCCAGAAGGAGCACGAGGTCGAGGAGGAGGATAAAGACGTGATTAGTGGTAGGTCGGGTCAGGACCTGTACTTACGTGACCAGCAGCAGGAGCAGCAGCAGCACACTGTTTTCTGCACTGCACACATTGGATCCTTTACGTCAAAACCATGGGCGAAGATGGGTATTTGGGGATCTCTGTACTTGCACTGGTTGGTTTTCTTGTAACAAATACTCCTCCAATCTATCCATTTTTTTTATTTTGATCCGTCCTATAAGTGTTAGTAATTGTATTATCGACTCAAGCGTTACAAATACCATTCTAATTTACCATTACACAAATGTCATTACATTTATATAGTAAAATACTAATGGGTTAATTTAGTCTTTTTATTTTTATTTATACCAGTATAATACTAGTATTCCTAAAAATTTCGTGCATAAACAAAATGGATAGATAAATTAGGGACGAACGGAGTAACAATCAACAATATCCTTATTCATTTTTTAAAAGAATCATTTATCTTATTATTTATTTATAAATACTAATTTATTTTATTTTATTTTTTTTCAAATTTTCAAATACTAACTAATCATATTATTTTTTTAATAAAGTGAGAACAGTTTTTTGAAGATACACACTACCTTGAAACGAACTTAATACTCTGCAGATTTTTGATAAAACAAGTTAATCAAATATGTGGGATAGGTTCGGATTTGAATCCATGATTACAAAGTCACAAGTTCACTTTCGTTATTAATTATTCATTACATATTATATTAAAATATCTTCAAATATTTTCATAATTTACTAAATCCAAAAATCCCTTTAAGCTGACGAAATGAGTATAACATAGACAAAATTGCACAATTATTTTTCACGTTGGTTTCAATAAATTATTTTTTACTAGGCTTAATTTCATAGATTCAGATTGCTTTCCTCCGGTTCTAAATTTATTTATAATTTTATAAGTTTAAAAATAATTTATGAAACTCATTCCTTTTTTTTAATATGGCGTAAAAAAAAAAGTTTGACTCAATTTTTAAAATACCAAAATTTGACAGAATCACATATAAATTTTGTCTATATTATAAAACGTTTATTGTCATGTAATATATATCATAATTATTTATATTGCATAGTTAATTTATAACTTTAATATACATATATTCATATATTGTAGTAGTATAAAATTCCTCTGATAATCATAAATATAACCTTGTCACATGGTTTCGAAGGATGTGCGGAATTTTGAAGTCATGAAATTCATCGCATCCTTCAAATTCACCTATAATTGGACTAGGCGAAGTGTCATCAACTTCCTCCTCAATTGATTCCACCATCAGTTTCGACGCCATTGGCCTCATCGCAGCCCCCTGCAGTCACTATCGTGGCATTTTCTCGACTGCAGATTGTGACTTTAGAGACATGCGCGCCAACAGCCCGAACTTCTGTATGTTCATGGCATACATCAACATTGCTCTCTGATTTGACGGCCGGGGCAGGTTTATGGCCTTAAGGCTGCGACTCTGCTTATGGCCTTAAGACTGCCCCCCCTCCCCCCAGTTTCGTAGGCAATACTACTGATCATATCGAAATGATTATGCATCATCAAATTAGGCTGGACAAGACATTGTTAGCATTTAAAAATTAATGTACCTTACACATCCACAATGGTGTATGTGACACCATTATGTGATAGTACATATTACACTAGGTAATTTTATAGTATGAAGATCCCTTCCCTATGTTTCGAAAAGAAAATGTAGTATGTTATTGGATGATGGTATATATGTAATTTGTGATTGTGACCGTGAGGTGAAACACAACAATATTGGTTAACTATCTTATACATACACAAGTATGTATATATACGTACCATGTATATATATACCCGGGGTTAGATATAGTGTAGGGCTGGATTAAATTGGGCTGATCTCCTCTACATCGATCCAATCAACCATTCTAATATATTATTCCCGTTCCTCCGATGAAACTGGATCCCCTGACCTTCCACACCTTCTGCTCCAACATCAGCCTTCGTATCCTCTCTGCCTCATCCCACTTGCCCTGCAACACATACACGTCGCAGATGAGTGAATAAACCCCGCTGTCATTCTCCGGGCGCACCATTGCCATCGCTCTATCAATCACCTTCTCAGCCAATTCAAGCTGTCCGTGCACCTTGCACGATGACAAGAATGAGCCCCATATAACCACATTGGGCTTGTATGGGTGCGGCATCGTGTTAATGAGCTCATACGCTGCCCCCAGCATCCCTGCTCTTCCAAACAAATCCACCATGCACCCGTAGTGATGAATGTTTGGCCTCAGCCCCCAGCGCTGGAACATCATCCCAAAATGTCTGCGCCCTTCGTCCAACAGCCCTGCTTGCACACAGGCAGTAAGTATTCCTGTCAATGTCAGCTCATTGGGCCTCATTCCTGCTTCAATCGCCTCCTCAAAGATCTGCAGCGCCTCTCTCCCATGCCCGTGCTTTGCTGCCCCACAAATTAGCGACGTCGTGGCCACCACCCCCACCACCACATTGTCGCCCTTGCCCCCCCTTTTCATCCTGTTGAAAATTAGGCAGGCATCGCGCAGGAGCCCGCATCTTGCGTACATGTCAACTAAACATGCACCAAGCTCCGCATTCAACTCCCACTCGCTCTTAATTACAAACCCGTGTATGGATTTTCCAAACACCACCCCAACCGACCCCATTCGCCCGCAGCCTCCTAGCAGTGATCCCATCATCAGTTGGTCGGGATACAGCCGCTTGCCATTGCCATTCATACTCGTGAATGTCACTTGCCGAAAAAGAGCTAACCCATGGTCCCAGAGTCGGCTGTCCACATAAGCTGAGATCATTGCGGTCCACGAAGCCATGTCTCGTTGGGGCATGCTGTCGAAAACACCACGGGCGGCTTTAGTATCCCCTTGCCGCGAATATCCGGTGATCATAACGTTCCAAGTGACAGTATTAGGAGCCGGAATTTCGTCGAACAGGATACAGGCGTCCCGGAACGCTGTGGAGGCGTATACGGCGAGGAGAGTAGTGGCGACGTAAACGTGAGCAGAGAAACCGAGTTTGAGGAGGTGAGTGTGGAGGTGGCGGGCAATGCTTATGGTGGTGTTATTGGGTAGATGGGCGCAAGATTTAAGAGCGAAGAGGATGGAAAAGGAATCAAAAGAGAGGGATTGGCGATGCATGCAGGAGTAGAGGAGGAGGGCTTTAAGAGGAGAGGAGGTGGAGGCTTTCCTAATGGCAAGGGCCCAGGGAGAGGGAGAGGGAGAGGGAGAAAAATGAGCGGCCGCTGCTGCGAAGGCCCTCCGCAGGGGATGGGAGGTGAGACTACGAACAGACAATGATACCATGGGCTGTGAATTGTGATGAGAGGGAGGGAGAGATGTTGCTGGCTGCCACCGCTGCTGTTAATTAATCAAACGGTAACAAACTATTATTTTATTAATATTTATTAGGAAAAAAATTAATTTTGATCAAAGTATAATCAAAATTAATCAATTTTAGTCTTATTGTAAAAAAAATTCATCAATTTTGGTCTCAATATAAACAAAATTTATCAATTTTGGTCCAAATATAAAAAACTCATCAATTTTGGTCCAAATATAAACAATTTCAATCAATTTTGGTCTCATTATAAGCAATTTTTATCAATTTTGGTCCCACCGTTAAAAAAACTAACGGAAATTACTGACGTGGACATGACGGAGGTGACGTGGCAGTTGACCTGGAAAGTACACGCCCATGTACAATTATACACGACCATGTTGTTACATGGCCATGTATATTTCAGTGTATAATTATACATGACCATGTTGTTACACAACCATGTACAATTATACATGACCATATTGTTACACGGCCATGTATATTTCAGTGTATAATTATACATGACCATGTTCTTACACGGTCATGTACAATTATACACGGCCATGTTGTATATTTCAGTGTATAATTATACATGATCATATTGTTACACGGCTATGTATAATTCTACACGGCCGTGTATCTTTCTGTTTTGTGTCTAAAATTTTAATTTTTTGTTATATTTTAAATTTTTTTTTTGAATTTAGAATAGTTGATATAGTTAAAATGGAAAATAATAATAATAATAATTATAATATAATTAAAATATATCAATTTTAGTTCAAATATAAGTATTTATCGAGTATGTTTTTTTTGCTAAATAGTAGAATTTTAAACAAAATCTTCCAAAAGAACATACTCGATAAATACTTATATTTGAACTAAAATTGATATATTTTAATTATATTATATTATTATTATTATTATTTTCCATTTTAACTATATCAACTATTCTAAATTAAAAAAAAAAAATTAAAAATATAAAAAAATTTAAAATTTTAGACCGAAACAGAAATATACACGGCCGTGTAGAATTATACATGGCTGTGTAACAATATGATCATGTATAATTATACATTGAAATATACATGGTCACGTAACAACATGGCCGAGTATAATTTTACAATGGCCGTGTACTTTATAGGTCAACTGCCACGTCACCTCCGTCGTGTCCACGTCAGCAATTTCCGTTAGTTCTTTAACGGTGGGACCAAAATTGATAAAAAATTATTTATAATCGGACTAAAATTATTGAAATTATTTATATTTGGACCAAAATTAATGAGTTTTTTTATATTGGGACCAAAATTGATAAATTTTGAACATATTATAATCAAAATTGATTAATTTTTTATATTGAGATTAAAATTAATTAATTTTGATTATATTGTGACCAAATTGATTTTTTTGCCTATTTATTATTATTATTATTATTATTTAAGCCCTAGTAGTAAGTATGAATACGGGGGCAGACTTGGGATTGAGATGCGGGGTGCATATAAATAATCTGTCGATTAGTTTGACTCCCCTCTGGGTCCGTCCGTCCAGGCTCTGCGTTTTTACGATCATCCCTTTGCTTGCGTAATTGGCAGGTTTCTGTTCAAACCGAACGCCTCCCATAACTTTGCCGTCGCCGTTCACAACAAATATTCTTCAGCGCCCTCATTCCGCTATCATGCCCAAAGGTTTCTCTCTCTCTCTCTCTCTCTCTATTTACGGTTTACGGCTGTCCATTCCGATTGATTACGTTTTCGCTCGCAGAGCTTCCGGGGTTCTACTATGATGCAGAGAAGAATAGGTATTTTCCATTAAAAGGCCCTATTCCGGGTTCCTCTCCAAAACCACCTCCCATGCCACCCTCTTCGCGGACCAAGCAGGTAACTTTTTTGTATTGCCACGAGTTTGAACTCGAAAGATTTCCAAGGCTTCTTGAGTTGGGTTGTTTTCTGCTCTTGAGAACTCTTTTAGGCTTCAACTCTTAACAAGCTTTGTAAACCTGGAACAACCAAAACATTCATTCTATGAGCACCATATTATTTAGCATACGTGTAGCAAACCGTACTAAGCTATCCATTTGAGAGTCCTGAGAATCACCAACTATATTCGTATGCACTACCAACCTTATCTATGCACCTATGAAAATATTCTATGATTCTCGCGGTGGTTGTAATTTGTCATGGATGTCGTATATATATATCAAAGATTTAGGATTCCTATCCAGAACTTGAGGTGACTGGCTCTTGTTAACTGGCGCAAACTCCAGGGAGCTGACGAGTTCGAAATTCGTTCCCATGATACTTCTTTTTTCACTTTATTTAACTAAAGCGAAAATCATACAAAGATTGAGGATTCCCATTCCAGAACTTGAGGTGGCCGACTCTTGTTAACTGGCGCAAACCCCAGGGAGTTGACGAGTTCGAAGTTAATTCCCATGAAGTTGTTTTTGTTGTTTCACTTTATTTTACTAAATCAAAAATCAAGACAAAGATTGAGGATTCCTATTCCAGAACTTGAGGTGGCTGGCTCTTGCTAACTGGCGCAAACTCCAGGGAGTGGAAGAGTTTAAAATTAGTTCCCATGAAGTTGTTTCACTTTATTTAACTAAAGTCAAAATCGAGACAAAGTGGACTTGGAAGGAGAACTTGAAACTGACTTAATACATCACTCTACTAGCACCTCATTATATATATATATGAAGTTTGAGGTAGCTATTAAGTGAACAGTAACTAACTACTTTATGGCCATTGCAGGAAACTACCGTTCTCCTCCGACTAACTCATGTGAGATTTTACTAATATTTCAGCTAACCCACTAAGTCCTCGTGCTATCACCCACAGTACATTACATTTATGCGTGACGTTTTTCTGTAACTTTGATCATCGCAATGTGCAAAAAGAAATTTGAATTTTCTTGTCTGTGCACAGATAGTTCTGACACTTATTGATCTAATTTTTATACTTCTTTAGTAACCTCCTCTTATTTTATTGCTTAAAATTCACAGGTTGACGTATGCCAAAGCACAAAAGTAAGACAAGAGGAGCTTCTACAGGCACGGGAATTGTTTGGTAAGGTGATCTCTTCCCGGAAAGGGAAGGTGAGCATGCAGGCTGAATATCAAAAGAGACATGCATCGAAACCTACGGTAGAAATTGCTCTTCTTAAGTTCTTTCCAATTCATAGATAACTTTCTTCGATATTGTTTCATTTCACCAAGAAAAATGAATATAAATCCATGTGTAGTATGTCGTATGTAGGTATAAGTCAGCATCTCATCCATATAGTTTCTCCTCACAAGGTTTCTGCATTATATGTAGGTTATCTGTGCATCAATTCCTAAATTATGTTGGGTTTCTGTGATACCCTACTTTCAATATTGTTTTTATTGGGGGGTGGAAAGAAGTTGAACTCAACAGAAGTTAAAGGCCCCAGCTAAACTAAAGCAGAATTCGTATGAGTTTGTTCATTGGACTTGCTTATTTTAAACCTTGACCTAAATTTCTACGAATTCAGCTCGAGAACACTTTATTTAATCTTATGCTGAGTTCAATGATTGGGGTGTCAAGTTTGGGTACTTAAATATACTCTTATAGGAATAAAAATTACAGCAACCACTAAACGAATTGATTCCTCAATTTAAACTTGTGGAGATATATTTTAGATACATACTTTCAGAGTGGTTGTGAATATCAGATTTGAGAGGCAGAGGTACATTCCAGGGTATAGGAATGTACACAGAGAAAACCTAGTTTTGATACCACGTCACATTTTAGGAGAATTTCTAAGTTGTTTATGAATAATGAATTTAGATCTATTTATAGACATAATACAAAATAGCTAAACTCAAATAATAAAAACACAATATAGTAGATATTCCTAAATAATAACGACCATATCTAAATAATACTAACCAAAATATTTATCTAAAATATATCAACAAGACTATATGTGATTTGAGAGAAATTTCTCTCAACAGAAAAATATAAAACCAGATGCATGGAAAGGCACAATCATTGTTCCAGAGTTCACTTGCAATTATGGTGGGTTCTGGGAAGAGTGGAACTAAATAAAACATGTGAGAATGACTAGCGGTCAAATTATTTGAGTTGCTATCCTTGTAAACGAATTCAAGAATAAAATCTTAGAGGGGCTTACAATTCAGATCCGAGTTTGCAGTTCCTCAGTTTCTGTGGGATTAAACAAATTACAGAGTCACTGATCAGTGTGAGAATATCTCATACAATCAGTTTTAATATAAAATGTTTCAAGCCACTCCACACTGCTAGCGACTTAAGCTCTATCCCACAAAAGCTTTATTTGTTACAAAGGCATCAGAATCCAAATCTTAGGTATTTCAGATCTTGGCACTTCAGTTCTTATCTCTTAGTTCTTCTCCTTGTAGAGGTAAATTGAATCTTTGCTCATTGCAATTCCTTGTTCATTTACTAAGCTTTTTTGTTGTGCATATGCTACTCTGTACATTATTATTAAGCCTATACCTGTTTCCATGACTCAATTCTGTGTTATCATTGAACTTGAACTATTCAATTCAGGTGTTCCAAATCGATTTAATTCTTCAGTTCAATTGTGTTCTTATTATGTTAAGAAAATTTGTAGGTATGGAAATATAAAGGGACCAAAAGGATGGGAAATATTGCATTGGAACATATGATTGCTGATGTAACCTCGCCACATGGTCTAATAAAAAGAGACATATTATTTACAGGTGGTGCCAATGGTCTATTGTGGTAAGTTGTATTCTGGAACTTTGGATTGAGGTTCTGTTTGTATGTGGGACTTTGGGTGGACTTCCCCTATTTATTCCACCCCCTCTCCAAACTATCAAATTAGATACCTGTATTTAATTTTTTATATTACACCAGAAACAAATTAAGTTTTCATTCAAAACATCACATCAAACACCTATTCCAATTCAAGTTTTTACTATTACCAACCCCAAACCTACATCCAAACACACTGAATTTTCCTCCATGAATACTCTTCTACAAGGTTACTCATATTGTGTGTATTTTAGTCATTTGAGCACTTTTCATTCAACCTATGATTGCTACGTGCTTGTTAGTTCTTTATGCTTTGTTGAAACACATCCTTGTGCCTTTTATAGATTGCACTCGTTATGTTAGGAAGAAAGATCTGAAGCCGTATGAAATTTGGAATTACAGTGAATCTTGTGCATGAACAAATAATTTGACAAGATGAGTTTCATAAAATTTGAAGTAGCAGAGCTTGCATGATTGTGATTGTATTTGGATTGAGAAAGACGTTTGAAACTCCAGCACTTTGTTACTATTTTGTATGTTCCCTGCTGATTGGTTTATGATTCCTGCCCTCTGTATCATATACTGCTAACTATAAACTCTTATATTTTGTAGTCTTTTTCAAGTTGGAATGGCTCAACAAGACATAGATCCAACACAAGCTTACAAGGCAGATTGCATATGGCCACTCAATCTGGACCAAGCACCCACTCGCAAAGAGTTATTAAGACACCTTGGGAGCTCTTATGGAGCTACGACATATATGTCCTCGGATGTGTCATCTATTAAGGCGTCAATGAGTTCTTCACCAGCCAGTGATATGTTACCAAAACATTTCTTGTATCCTTCTATAACTACTTAATCATTATTGTGGAATTTTCCCGTGTAGCAAAATGCCTATAGGGCCATTTCACCTTGAATAGGACCGGACTTTCTTATTTGGTTACTTTGTCCTAGAGTTTCATACTATTAAATTCTTTGGACGAGGCTCAAATTGAGGTAAAGAGTAATGTTTGGGAACTTCATTCTTTGAGCAGATCTGTTGTCGAGGGTTTATATGACTATTGGCTATTCAGTTGAAGCTTTTTAAGTTATTATACATTTTAAGACTTTAACAAAAACTCAGGATAACAACTCTGGGATCTGGCAGTGCTCCCGGATCTGTCTACCTGCTAGATTTAACCAAACCACTTGACTTTGATGCTAGTGTTCCCATGGCTAGGGAAGGATTTTATGAACTTGCTTCATTTAGGCAGACACTGTGGACTGCTGATTGTGGTCCTGGTGGAAGGCATGCTGCAATTGGCAAGTTCCCTTGCATTATTATTTGTTTTCGTCTTTAAATAATTGAGTTTCTCCCTTCTGAATTTATCCCTATTATGTAATCTATAATTTGTCATGTAGTACAATTGCAAGACAGGTGTTTCCCTAATCATAGATTTCTTAATATGGGGAAATTGGTGTCCTCTATATGATACATGCTTTTTTTATCATGTGTCTTTGGTTTATGCAGGAACCAATAGGGGAGTTGAGTTGCTCAATATGGATACTGGAGCATCATCACGGGTGCTTCATTGTGAAATTGATGTTTTGTCCCTGCAGATTGATCAATCTGTAAGTAACAACATTGCTGTGTGAAGATATATCTCTAGAGTTGAACCATTGATCAACTGCATATTGGTTCCACTTTTTTAAGATGCCTAAAGATCCGTGCATATTGATCAACTACATATTGGTTCCCCATTCAACTCTGAACCAAGTCTAGACTGAGAAAGATAATATTCTTTTGGCATATACATTAATATAATATCCATAATGTTTCTTTAAATATCAACATTTTTGCTATGGTACAGTTATTACCTGTTAAATTAGTATAAGGATAACCTATAGGCATATTGATGAACGCATGGCTTTAGTAAGCTCTTTTGCAGTGATTAGACATCACTATAGTTTGGCAAATTAGTATGAGGATAACCTGATGTAGCTAACTTTTTCCTCATTCGTTTGCAATGATTCATGAACCAATTATAAAAGTTCCTCTGTATTTTTTGCCTGCTATTCAGCTTTTTCTTTTATTTTTTAGGGGAATTTCATTATTTCTGGTTTGAGAAACGGAGCAATTATGACTGTTGATTCTCGCCAAAAACCAGTAAGAATATGTTGCTTTGGTGGGCATATTACTCACTTCTATATCACTAAACTTTCCTATATATTACTCATAATGTTCTTTGAAGACATTATATCGGTAGTCTTACCTTATGTGTCCTGTCATAAACTTTCAAAGTTGCCTGTAAATATTTAATTTATGCAGATCAAGAGGAGCAGAAATTTCCAATCGAAGAGTATGATGCCTTCTTCTGTTTGTTGGTCTGTATGCTTTCTATGCATTCGTTTTCCTTCACTCGCTCCATTACTTTCAGTTATACTAAGTAGACATGTTTTGTGTATTGTAGTTTTTAGCTTTATTTTCTCTGTATGTAGTTTGACATCACTTAAGGCATGGGATCAATACTTCTTGGCGAGCTCCATGGATGGTTCGGTTAGTTTCTGTGACTCATGATTTTGGTCATTTGTGAAGTACTGAGAAGATACTGAAATGTTAAATATGGCTATTTCAATTATCTGATCTCCACCTAGTGCATCTTTCAATTTATTTTTGTGACACTGACATCTGATCCATGACTATGAATTTTAACAAAGCGCTGTCTAGGGCTATTGGGTTGAGATGACTGCTTAATATTCACTGTGCTTAATTTTCTTATGCAGTAAATGGCTGTAAACTTGAAAGCTTAGGGTATTTGCAGTGACAAAGAATGTTTAGTAAATTGATAACATATAAATGTATAATGCTCAAAATTATGTAACAAAATTTTATCTAGTGTCATAAATGGAGTAACTAGAAACTGCATTAAATGAAGCTAAGAAAACTATTAGGAAATACAACACGCCATGGATGAATCATGATTTTTTGTTACTTATTTTGTTATGCTACTAAGTTTCATAACTTGAGCTTGTGAATAACACATTGTGCACCTCACTCTTTATTTGAATACTTCTATGAATTTTATATCGTAGATTGCCCTTTAGAAATTGCCATAGTTTTGTCATTGAAGTCATTATAAGCTCTTGTTGTGAAGACAGAGAATTTGATCGGAATTATATGTATAATTGACAACTACCCTGAAAATAATTTCTCTTCCTTGGACTCTTTCAAGAACTATCTCCAAACATGTAATTGCATTTTGTAGCTCTCTGATTCTATATTTGGGTTTTATCTATTGTTTTACTTTAGAATTATATGTTTGTCTCATATATTGAGCTAAGATGTATAGGTTTTTGTTGGCCATTAGGGCTAGAGGATATCCTTTCCTTTGGGACAGACGATCTCTGTCAATGCAACAGGCATGCATTGTCAACAAGTAGTGCTCACATGTTAGAAGCTTGCTGGGGGCATTCAAAGAAAATAAATGAGCAAATATATATAGTTGGATAATTTTTCCTTTTTGTTAGTTCAGTTTTAGTTTCTTCGATCACCTACATGCAAGAACAAACACATATATAAGCATCTAGATAGTTTTTCAAGTGGTTCAATAGGTTAATGTCATAAATCACCTAGAGCTTTGGCAATAATTTTTTTAGAACCTGGAATATCAATGGAGATAGGCAATGTAGCCACAAACTTAAAGACTATAAAATTGGATGTCAATTCATGAAGAAATGGAAGTGGACAGGGGCATTCTGGATGAATTTAAGGGCGTGGTCAGGAGAGGGCATTATTAATGCAAGGGGCAGTTGCATATCTGATTGCCTAGGTGCTGTTATAATGGTTAGAAGCCAGTAGCTGTAGCTGCTACTGGTGCCTGGACCTTTTTCAGTTAATTTATTATTTTGACATCTTGTGCATTTCTGTTGTACTGTTTTGGCCATGAGCAGTATAAATTGGTGCTAATGGTTACCGTAAGACTACATGCTGAACAAATTTGGATTGTCTAGATCTGGCTCTACGATCAACGTTCACTTGAGAGAGGGCCAGTTCAATCTTATGAAGGGAATGTAAATTCACATACTCGTATACAACTTGGAGTTGACCCATCAGAGAAAGTAGTCCTGTCAGGTGAGCACTGTTTTAATGCATGATTCTAGCTGTGGTTACTGGAATTGGAATCCTGATCGGGATCTTGGATGCTAATTATGTGCGGTTGGTTGTCAGGTGGAGAGGACTGCTGTGTCAGACTCTGGGATATCAAGTCTGGTGAACTTCTATTCAAGGATAGAATGATGAATTCAATCCCCTCAGCTGTTTGCTGGCCAAGAAACTCAGGTACTTTGCCAAGACATATTTACTAAGGGTGTGCTCGTTTTTGGGGATTGGATTTTCAATCCACTATTAATCCCATTTTTTTCTCCCAAAAACATCAAATCAAACACCTATTTTTCATTTTTATATTATAATAAAAATCAATTTTACATTCAAAACATTACATCAACGTCTATTTATATCACATCATACAACTATTCAAATTTAAAATTTTTACTATTCAAATCCCAACTCAAAATTTAAACCCCAAACAATCACACCCTTAAGTGTATGTATGGTCTTTGGATTTCATAAGTTGTTTTATTAACTAGAGATTCATGTGGCCTCTGGGAACTGGAAAACAGATGGGCAAGATTGCAACAGATGGTACTGGGAGGAACATCATTTGGGGGCTTGGCTGGGGTCATATGACGGGATCACTTACATGGACTGGCTGTGATAGATGGGGGTGCGGGTGCTGGTCCTGGTCCTGGTGCTGGTATCGGTCCGGGGCCTTCTCATTTACCGGAAATTTACTTGAGTTGAGCTCGCTGGATGCAACTCTAACTCCCTGGTTGGTTATTTTGTAACAACACAATCAGTGCAATCTTGGGATTAGATCAATCAGTTAGTTATAAACGGATAGCGCTTGGTCTCAGCACATGGCATTTGGACATTATCGGACACCATGGTTCGGTGTGGTGTGGTCAGCCATCTGGAGTAGAGTGGGGACAAAAGGCCAGCACCCGCCCGTGATCACGATAGATAATGATTGAGACCCATGTAACAAAACAGATATAGGTTGTATTTATTTATTTATATATGATTTTATTCTATTTTATTTGACTGGACTGATTGAGGGAGCTGGGGTAGGAGTTGTTCAACAAATAAATCCAAAAGATGATGGGAGGTGGAGAGAGGGACGAAGTAAAACAAAAAAAAAAAAGAAGTGTAGATTTTAAACAATGAGGGAGAGGAGCATAAAAATTCTGAGCCACCAACTATTGATTAATGAATAATTCAATTGAGAATCAAACTTGGGAATAGAAAGAAATGGGAATGGAAGGGGCCAAGCAGCAGCAGCAAGCAAGCAAGGTTAGAAAGTTAAAAGTTCCAGCGCAACTGCTACTCTACTCCACCCATCCCACCCATCAGTCAGGCAGGCAGGCAGGCGTGTATCATCATCAAATCAACTCAACTATTCTCCCTCTCTCGCCCTCTTTCAAGTCTTAAAACCACTCTCTTCGGTTCCACAAACTTCCTTCGGATATCCTCTTTTAATCGATCCGCTCTTATAATACTAAAAACAATAATAGTTTGTATTGTACTATTAACGTGTTCTTGTTTGTGGCCTGCTGTCAGTCCGTCCGTGTGTGAGCGCCGCCCTCTTTTAATTGCCTCCCCTCCCTCCCCCGTCTTTTTTTTTCTCTTTTTATTTTTTACCTACTCCTCCGGTCAGTTCTCTTTCCCTCTCAGTGGTTCAAAATTCGGTGCCAATTAATGCCCACCCCCCCCCCCCCCAACCCTCCTTATTCTTTCACTCCCATCCGCATCGAAATCAATATCAATACAAGATTGCTGTGCCGCGTTGACCTCGAGTAACCCTTTATTGTATGCTCTGCCACTGCCACTGCCGCTGCCACTGCCATTCCCATGACCACCACGCGTCTTCCTTGAAGCATTCATCGCCAGGCTGAAGCAGAGACAGAGGCAACAGATGAGCGAGAACCCCCTTCAATCCTTCACGCAGGCAACACCCCGTGTTCTTGTCTATCTGTCTATCTATCTTTCTTTCTTTCCATCCATTAATAACATCTGATTGGGCATGGCCTTTAAGCCGTCCCCACACTAAAATACTTCATTTCATTTCATGCACGTCCTCTCCTCGCACCCTCCTACTCTTCCCTCTCTAGAAGGGCCACGTCCCAGCTGCTGCCTCCCCTCTCCCTCTCCCTCGCCATAATCATAATCATCGCCATCATCATCTTCTGCTGAAACCAAACAGTCCTGCAGCAGCTGCAATGGTTGCTGCTGCCAGAGTAAGGGCAGCACTCCTGCCTCATCTCCTTCTCCTCCTTCCTCTTCTTCCTAATCTGCTCACCGCGCTCCTCCCCTCCGTGTCATGCCAGCAACCAGCTGACGCCGCCGCCATTCTTCAAGTCCTCTTGGAGGTGAGAAGGTCCTTCGTCCGAGACCCCCTCAACGTCCTGCGAGACTGGTCCCTCAACAACTCCAACTTCTGCTCATGGCGAGGCATCTCCTGCCGGAGCCAACACCACCTCCCCGTGGCCCTCAACCTCTCCGACTCTGCCCTCGGCGGCTCTATCTCACCCGCCCTGGCCCTCCTCCCTCACCTGCTCCACCTCGACCTCTCCAACAACCGCCTCTCTGGCCCCATCCCACCTGCTCTCTCCAACCTCCCCTCCTTGGAATCTCTGCTCCTCTTCTCCAACCGCCTCTCCGGCCCCATTCCCCCCCTCCATCTCCCTCGCCTCCGTTCCCTCCGGATCGGCGACAATGGCCTCACCGGCTCCATCCCCCCTTCCATTGGCGATCTCCCGAGTCTGGTCACCCTCGGCCTGGCCTCCTCCCGCCTCACCGGCCGCATTCCGCCCGAGCTCGGAAGGCTGGGCCAGCTCCAGAGCTTGATTTTGCAGCAGAATCAGCTGGAGGGTCCCATCCCCCCGGAGCTTTCCAACTGTTCCAGCCTCCTTGTCTTCACGTCGGCCCTCAATCAGCTCAGCGGATCCATCCCTCCGGAGCTCGGCCGTCTCACCAATCTGCGCCTATTGAATCTTGCTAACAATACCCTATCAGGGGAGATCCCCACCCAGCTCGGTGCGTTGAGTCAGCTGCAGTATCTGAACCTCCTCGGCAATCAGCTCGAGGGTCCCATACCCAGCTCCCTGGCAAACTTGGCCAACCTTCAAAATCTCGACTTGTCTGGCAACCGGCTCACTGGAGAAATCCCTGGATCGTTGGGGGGTAGCCTGAGCCACCTGGTCTACCTCGTTCTCTCGGACAACAATCTCTCAGGCGCCGTTCCGGGAGACATATGTTCCAACACCACCAGCTTGGAGCACATGATGCTGGCACAGAACCGACTCTCTGGCCGCATTCCACCCCAAATAGGAAACTGCGGGTCGCTTCAGCAACTCGATTTGTCCAACAATACGCTGGATGGGCTCATCCCGTTGGAGCTCTATGGGCTGTCCCAGCTGACGGACCTCTTGCTTAACAACAACACACTATCTGGTCCTATTTCTCCCTTGATAGCAAACCTAACCAACCTGCGGACTCTGGCGCTGTACCAGAACAACTTTCGGGGCAGCCTGCCTAAAGAGATGGGCATGCTTGGCAATCTTCAGATCCTTTACATCTACGACAACCAGCTCTCAGGCGAGATCCCTGCAGAGATCGGCAATTGCTCCGGCTTGCAAATGGTTGATTTCTTTGGAAACAAGTTCTCTGGCCGTATCCCAATCACCCTCGGAGTGCTAGGGCAGTTGAATTTCCTTCACCTCAGGCAGAACGATCTTTCTGGCGAGATTCCAGCCAGTTTGGGCAACTGCCGTCTGCTGGCCATACTTGATTTAGCGGACAACCGATTGGCCGGCAGCATTCCTGCAACTTTCGGGCATCTTTGGTCGCTGGAACAGCTTATGTTGTATAACAATTCCCTCCAAGGCAGCCTGCCAGACGTTCTTACCAATCTTGCTAACTTGACGAGGGTCAATCTGTCGCATAACAGACTGAATGGGAGCATCACTCCGCTCTGCAGCTCCCGTAAGTTGCTCTCGTTTGATGCCACCCATAACTCGTTCGACCGCGACATTCCTCTTCAAATCGGCAACTCGCCTGCCCTGGAAAGGTTAAGGCTTGGCAATAACCAATTTACAGGGAAAATCCCTTGGACGCTGGGATTCCTCCAATATCTGTCACTCCTCGATCTCTCCAGCAACTCTTTAACGGGCAACATACCAGTTCAGCTGGCTGCATGCAAGAGATTGACCCATCTTGATCTTGATCATAACCTTTTGTCTGGGCGAATCCCCCGTTGGATCGGGCATCTTCCTCTGTTGGGCGAGCTCAAGCTATCAGCCAACCGCTTCTCTGGGCCTCTTCCTCAGGAATTGTTCAATTGCTCAAGCCTACTGATCCTGTCCCTCAGTGGCAACTCCCTTAGCGGCACCCTTCCCCCGGATGTCAGTAGGCTTGTGGCTCTCAACGTCCTGGATCTTGACAGCAATAGGCTTACTGGTCCAATCCCGCCTTCCATTGGGCAATTGGGAAAGCTCTACTCGTTACGGCTCTCCCGGAACTGCTTCTCGGGACAGATTCCGCTTGAGATTAACCAGCTCCAGAACTTGCAAAGCATTCTTGATATCAGCTACAACAACATCTCCGGTAGCATCCCATCGTCCGTTGGCCAACTGTCCAAGCTGGAAGCACTGGATCTCTCCCACAATGAACTAGGGGGTGAAATCCCTCAGCAAATCACTGAAATGAGCAGTTTAGGATTGCTAAACCTCTCCTACAATCGGCTTCAGGGAAAATTGGACAAGCTATTTGCAGCGCGTTGGCCAGCAGCTGCATTTGATGGGAATTCCGATCTCTGCGGAGCCCCTCTTCAGAGCTGCAAAGGCATAAAATCTGCTGGTAATCAGCGGGCTGGCCTCAGTGAGTCATTGGTGGTGGTGATTTCAGCTCTATCAACCACATTTGCGATTATTATGCTGTTGCTTGCAGCTGCCACGTTCTTTAAACGCAGGCGAGAAGGCTTGAGGAGGAGCAGTGAAGTGGACTGCGCATACTCTTCATCACCATCATCTTCTTCTTCTTCTCCATTCTTCACTTGTTCTTCCCAAGCACAGAGGAGGCTACTGTTTGGCAATGCAGGCAGGCGCGGGTTCAAGTTGACTGACATCATGAAGGCCACAAACAATCTGAGCGAGGAGTTCATAATTGGAACAGGTGGGTCTGGAACTGTCTACAGAGCTGAATTGTATAGCGGAGAGACGGTGGCAATCAAGAGAATTGTGAGGAAAGATGCTCTCTTGTTTGACAGAAGCTTTGCGAGAGAGGTAAAAACGCTGGGTAGAATTAGACACAGGCATCTGGTCAGACTGTTGGGGTACTGTAGCAACAGATCTGTGGGGGGTCCCAATCTGTTGGTATTCGAGTACATGGAGAATGGAAGCGTGTGGGATTGGTTGCACCGGAGAGGGGGATCGAAGAACGAGGAGGAGAAGAAGATCCTGAGCTGGGAGGAGAGATTGAAGATAGCTGTGGGATTGGCCCAGGGGCTGGAGTATCTTCACCATGATTGCGTGCCAAGGATACTTCACAGGGATGTCAAGTCCAGCAACATTCTGTTGGACGCCAACATGGAGGCACATCTGGGGGATTTTGGACTGGCCAAACCCCTCAAGGAGAACCTTGACTCCCTAAATACCGAGTCCAATGCGGGGTTTGCGGGCTCCTACGGCTATATTGCACCAGGTATGTATGTTTGTATGTATGTACGCGTGTTCTGTGACGGAAAGGAAGGGATTCTTGATTGGCCTGGCCTCTCTCACTCACTCACTCACTCATTTGCTCACAAGAAGTCTGTTTGATTAATTGATGGTGGTGCTGATGATGTAGAGTATGCCTACTCCATGAAGGCGACAGATAGAAGTGATGTGTACAGCATGGGCATCGTGCTTATGGAGCTAGTGACAGGGAGGATGCCCACAGATGGGAGATTCAGGGGGGACATGGACATGGACATGGTGAGATGGGTGGAATCACATGTGGAGATGCAAGCCGAGGAGGAGTTGATTGATCCATTGTTGTTGAGACCACCATTGCAGCATAGTAGTAGTAATGAAGAAGAAAATGCGGTTGCTAATTCCAATGCCAATGCCAATGCCAATGCTGTGGTTCAAGTCCTTGAAATAGCATTGCGCTGCACGAAAACTGCGCCAGCGGAGAGGCCATCCTCCCGCCAGGCATGCGACCTGTTGGTGCATCTACTAAATGATACTTCTTCTTCTACTGGTCGCAAAACGAAATGATTATGTTGGGCATATGCATTCCACACAATGAATGTACTCACAGTTTTTGTTGTTGAGACTACTATGCTGCTTGTTGTGATTATAAAATAGACCAAGTAATTAGCTTACACTCACACGCACATGCATAACACGGGGCGGACGGGACGGGACGGGACGAGTCGGGTAATTAATCCAGTTTGACAAACTCTCTCCTGTCCATCCATCCAATCCATCCTTATCGGGAGGGAAACTGAAGCTGTGCTGCTCTACAGTTCAACTTCAAACACAAACAAAAACCAATTCTGACGTTTACAAGTAGCAAAAACCATTGCGCGGCTTTTTTCTTTTCAAAGATGAAGCAGCATCACGTACGTTGACCAGACCTTCATGCACAAGTAAATAAGCCAAGCCAAGTGTGCATTTTGGTTGTTGCTTTCATGAATTGAGGAGCTTTATGCGCTCTGTGCTTCTAAGAAGGCGCTTAGATCGCCATCACTGCCACCATTATCCAGGGCATGTGCGTTGCAGAGGAGGAGGAGAGGTGGAGATGAGGATGAGGATGATGTTGATGAACTGCAGGGAGCACCAGAACCAGGAGAGGAGAAACGAACATGACGACGAGGTGAATGGTTGCTGTCAGCAGCAAGCCCAACAACACCAGTACTTGTACTTGCCACCACATTACTACTACTACTATGACGAGGAGGAGGAGGAGTAGGATTAGTGGTGCCGGTAGTGGTAGTGGTAGTAATTCTAGTATTTTTGAGGACCCCTTTATGAGTACTACGACGAGTGTGGGTGTGGTCGAACATGAAACCTGTTGTTACTGGGGACTCCATATCGTTGACGATGCCACTGCTGCTGCACCCTATCAGCTCCACTGGCAGATCGAAAAACAGATTGGACGACGACATAGCTGTTGCATGATCATCTCCTCCTCCCCCGTCTATGTCTTCATAGTAGCTGATGACCGCTGATGACCTCCAAGACCCGCATTCAAATCGCTCCAGAGACACTCGCACATCGCCGTCTATAATATTGGATATGGATACAGCTGCTGCTGCTCCGTTGGGCTCGTTCCTCCTTGCTTTCACGGCTTTTCCCCTACCACCAAATCCGGGCAGGAAGAGGCACGTCCCGCATTTGAACTTGTGCGGCGGCGGCGGCGGCTGCTGGCTAAACATTATTGTTGCCTTATCTTCTTGGTCTAATCTGCCTCCTCCTCCTTGGTGCTTCCTGTTGATGGCTGACCATATATCAAAGTCGACAGAGGGCTGGCATGCTCTTCCATCCCCGCACGACTTACTCCTCCTCATCCTCATCAAGTGGCTCTCCCGCAGCCGCTCCAGATTAGTCAGCGCCACCGAGTGCTGGCGAGCGAGAGGAGGAGGAGGGAGAGGAAGAAGGAGATTTCTACATTTCTTCTTGTGCCTTGTCACAAAACGAGGCGATGAAGAGGCAGAGTTGGGGAGGCTGCTGCTCATGAATTTACCAGTCTTTCCGGTGGCGAGAACTGCCTCCTCCTCCTCCTCCTCTATTCTCCGCTGGGTAGTCACAGCTGGAGGATGCGGATGATGAATATTCCCATTCCCATACTCCTTTCCCCTGGAGCTGCTAGAGATTCCGCGAGTCAGGGAGATTGGATCCACCAGTATCTGTTTCTCCCCAGGTCGATGTACGTTTTCCCTGTCCGAAACGACCTTCCTCTGCTCCTGATCTTCCCAGGCAACACGGGCACCCAGCACTGTTTCTTCATGCCCACCACGCAACTTAATGGCGGAAGCAGGTAGAGGTAGAGGTAGATTCATCCTTTGGATCACTTGTGGTTCCAAGAGATGGCCATCCTTTAAGACACTATTTATAATATTACGTGCGCTCTTTCAAGGAGGAAAGAACGTGAATGCATGTCTACCTACCGGATTCCGTAGTGATTGCCACGTCTCTCTCTCTCTCTAGATATATATATATATATATATATTCAGCCTAAGCTTGACGGGGGTGAGTTCAGGAAACTGATGAATAGAATTGCAATAGAGCACGTAATTGACTCCTCAAATTCTATGCTAGGCCTACCTGTACAAACAAACGTACATTTCCCAGCATGATTGGCATATTCACAACCGTGCCGTGCTCCTCACAGGTTTATGCAATATAATTGTCACGCCCACAAGTTTATATGAATTGGAAATTTGGGATTCAGTTTTGTATTTGGCAACCAGCCTGAAGCTCTGAATGGGAGTGAAAAGGAGCAGCAACGAACGAACGAATTCAGGGAATGAATTCGGAATGGAATGGAACGATCCATAATAGAATGAAGACTAGTGAACAAAATAATCATCAACTCTGATCTCTATCCCACAGCACCACGCTGCAACTATAGCTATTCCCTTCAAAAATCGGAATTCGGCAGCTGGCCAAAGGCAAAACACCATTGAGAACCACAGTATCCGAAACCTAACAGGACTTTGCATACATTAATAGCCAGAACCGTATGATGATCCGCTGAAGCCAGCTTGAGGGTGTGAATACGCCTGTCTCAAGGTTTTGCTTGCTAATCCATCAAGCATGCAAACCATTCCCATTGCAGTAAATGCCATCCATAGACCCATTTGCTAGCTTCGGTTTCTCATAGAGGTGTGACGAACCATTGCTCCTCCTGCATGTCTTTGTTGCACTTCTCATCAAGACTGCATCCAGCTGACCTATAGCTGCTGCTACAAGTCCTGGTGTTCAAAACAAGATGATAATAGCAGAAGCTGTTTAGTTACTTTGGAACTTGCTAATGATTTTTCCCAAACATGAATGTACATCTGAATGGAGAAAACATGCATATAAATTTACTAACCGTCCTAACACAAAAGAAAATCAACAGTTTTTGAGATGTTATGGAGTATTACCGTGACTGACTACAATGTTAAAGGGGAGGGAAAAAATGTGAGAAGATGCTTGGAAAATACCAAGTAAAAGTGGGGAAGGCTTTCCTGGCCTTGATTTAAACTCAGGGTGAAATTGTGCGCCAACAAAGTAAGGATGTTCAGGCAGCTCTACTATCTGCAATGATAAGTTGATTCTATGACAGAAAGCAAAGACGGAAAGTCGTCATAAAATATAATATGATGAAAACAAATACCTCCATGCGACAACCGGTTTCATCTTTTCCAGTAAACAAGAGGCCAGCATCTTCGAATTGCTGAACCATATTAAAGTTTACCTAGACAAGATTAAGCTAAGTATGTCAATTATCAACGCCTATAAGCAATTAAATGAATGTGTTTCAGTAATTATAATCTAGTATGATCCATAAGTTAATTCAATGGCCCAGAGACTGGTTTCCTGCACCTCATATCTGTGCCGATGTCTCTCATCTATAAAGCTCCTATTGCCATATCTGTCAAAAACATGACAAGTAGCAAGAATCAACAGCTATCGTTTACATACAATTACTCATGGGCACGTCTTCCATTTTGGCTGCATAGGGTTATTTAATTCCACAGAAGCTTCAGTTAATTTAGGATTTGCACTACTTACTATTGTAAGTTATATTATATGGCTAATAGCAGGATGGATTGACATTGATTTCACTACACTGCGCCAGTAGTCTTGGGTTGTGACTATGCTCAAAGAAAATGGGTGTTAGTAAGGGTGTATTTATTTGGAGGATTTTGTTGGATTTATACTATTCATTAAAGTTTTTTACCAAAAAACACTAAATCTAATACCTATTTTTCATTTTTTATATTATACTAAAATCAATTTTATATTTAAAACATCACATCAATCCCTATTTATATCGTACAACTATTCAAATTCAAAATTTTTACTATTCAAATCCCAACTCAAAATCCAAACCTTTAAACAAACACACACTAACTTAAAAGTCCAACAACCCATGTTCGAGACAATTTCAAAGTAACATGCATTTTATATATACATATATACACAGACAAAAACCAAGATTATGAATCCCTGAATCTTACAGAATTATGATTGAATATAATAACCATAGACACCAAAATTTAAAATGAAGGCCTCACTACATAAAAAGTAAAGACTCCTCCAACCATCCTATCAAAAAACCAGTCGCTTATTCCGATTAAAAAAAAAAAAAAAAAAACCAGTCACTTATTCCGATAAAAAAGAGAAAAACAAAACAAAACCAGTCACTTATTTTTTGTGTCTAGACTCTAGAGATAATTGCTGGAGTGGTGAAGCATGAACAACACTCACAGTTTTGCACATTTACTTTGCATCCCATGAAAGTATGTTTTCCTTGATCCAAGGCGCATAGTTCCTCCCATATGGATTTTAGAACCCTGCTAAAGCAACATATAATGGAGAATTGACATAAGTGAAATGCAATTAATAAGACGTGCATATATTGATGAAATACTTTTTGATTGAACAGTCCCAAAAACACTAGCAAGGCATAACCTCTGGCATGAAAATAACACAGGGGTTCTCTGTATTTGGGTCAAATTCTGTGCTATTTGCATTTCGTAGACCAAGTACTGATCGTGCAAACTCAATGACAGCAATCTGCATTCCTAGGCATATCCCAAGATAAGGTATCCTATTTTCACGGGCATACTTTGCAGCCAGAATTTTACCCTCTACTCCTCTATCACCAAACCCTCCTGGAACTAGTATGCCATCAGCTCCCTATAAATCAATATTTAATCAGAGGATATGGAATGAATACAATATAAAAAGGAATACAAGATAAAAGATTACAAATGGCAGGGAGCACCAATAAAGAATAAACCAATCAGACCTGGAGCAATTTCCAGGCACTTTTGTAAGACTTGAGATTCTGCAAGTATATCCATGGATAAGACAAGTTGTGAGTTATACTATACACAGAAGTACTATACAAAATAATAAAAGAGAAAAATTAACCTTATCTGCAGTTGAAACTTCTAGATCTTCAGCTGGCACCCAATCCACGCATAATTTCCTATGACATGCAACAGAAGCATGCAACAGAGCCTGCAAAAAGTTACCAATGCAACATTACCAAGGAAAATAACACTTGAAGATATCTTCAGCAAATGCCTGTAGAGATATTAATGGCTCGTGAAACTGAGGGAAGCCTTTCATCTTTCCAAATGAAAAAATATCTAGAGTTTGAAAATACCACATAGTGTTAATAAACCATGTAATATAAAACCTACATATATATACACATGATGCAATATGGTTCAAGTATCAACACATGAAATGAAACTCATTGGTATATATATAAATGCTAAAGTAGATTTTCAAAGCTTTCTGGCACACACCACCACAAACCTCATAAAGCCCACTTACACACCAATTTAGAGAATGGCGACTTAATAGAGACCTCTTGGGAAGTAGAAGAACTAGTTGAAGTGCATTTGTTTACTAAAACTGCTCAATTTTTTCAATGCCTTCGAAACTACAGATCATTCGCAATGTGCTTGGAAATGGTACAAAAAAGAAAAACATCATTCACTAGGTCAATAAACCTCACCAATGTCAGGTACTTGCAATGTAATTATTGTGCACATCCACACCCATAAAGTATTAAAGAAAATACCACTTGGTTGGACACACTCAATTGTTCATTCTATGAAGCCCCTTATTTGATTGATACGAACAAACAAGGGGAACCAGCAGCTATAAGTTACTGCAGAACCAATCATGAAGAATTCTTTAGAGCAAATGTATCAAGATTCCCATCTACCAATAACACCAGTCAACCATAATAAACATACTAATATCCTACCTCTCCAATCTAGCCCACTGAATAACAAATCAAGTTATTGCAAAATTTTAGAAAATCTAACAATGAGAAGAATAGCAGATGCTTCCTAGATAACTTGCTGGTCGTCCACAGGCAAAATAGTTATATACAGGGGATAATATGATGAACAATTGGCATACGTTTTTTTAATGACAAAACAATTGGCATACTCCGCAGACCTCAAAAGTAGATTAAGCAGTTTTTAAGGCCTCATGACAGAAAAACCCATCAGGTAACAGAGTATCTGACCCAAACATATTGATCTATTTATTAAATATGGAAATCTGAAAACCAAAAGTTGTGAACTCATTGAACTTCTCAACTCAAACTCATGCAATTTGATATTAAGCCAAACTCAACTCAACTCAACTCAGTATCTTAATGAGCCAAACTCATAATAGTTATAGTAATTAAAAGATATAATTGAATATTTAAAAATATGTAAACAAATACTATGTCTTATTGAATTAGAATATTGCCTATTAGAAAATTAACAACGATAGTGATGTAATGGCCTAGTAATTAGCCAGGTCTTGAGAAAAATAAGGTGTTAGGTTTGACTTCCCTGTCACTTAATTCATAAACAGCCTTGTACTACTTGCTTATATATGCTATATCATTGCAACAGCCTTCCCATCCAATAAATATCTCGAAACATAAAAGATAAATTGATCTTGAACTTGAGGTTAGCTCATAAGACCAATTCAAATATAACTGAGCTTGTTACATCAGTTTCACACCCCCTACTTTTACCTAGATTCTAATTTTGAAACATCAAAAGGATTAAAACGATTTCCACTGCCTTCGGAAAACGGTTTTTACTGCAGAATGAAGCCACCAGACAAAAAAATATATGCGTACATCCAATGTCTCAAAGAAATTTATAGTTTTGCAACATGGAACTACTCATATATGTTCTGCTGCCCAAATAGTACTAATATATAAAATGAGTTCACCTTCAGCACAGAGAGATAAGAATCTGCAAGTCCGGTGTACTTTCCAACCATAGCAATTCGAACCTGTATTTTAGGAGAGAGAGAGATAGAGAAGAAACATTCAGAAATCACAAGCCAACGCGAGGATTAAATGACACTTTTAAAAATGACATAACCTACTGGTTCACTCAATAAATCGCAGAGATCTGCCCTAGATGTCCACTCCCCCAGCACAGGTTCCCTAGTATAACTACATATAATATTAGAAGTATTAATTTCAAATGAAGGGAAACAATGACGAGAAATGTGGAGTTAACAACAATAGGAGCCTCATTGAGTTTGACTAACCCATTGAGGTTCAGAACCTTCAAAATTGCCTCATGAGCATTCTGATCCTGAGGGAAAAAGTAGGATGAAATACAACCTGTCTGTAAAATTAAAGATATGTCTACATTCAAGTTTAATACAACTTACCCTCAAAAGTAGAGGAACATGCCAGATGTTGGAAACATCGAACAATGTGATAATGTTCTCCATCTGGAAGCATGGCAGGTATAAAGTGGCTAGATATTAAGTAAATTTTGTAGCAGGCTAAAATTTAAATTTGTGTGGACATTGCAATGTTTTATTAATCAGATACCGGAACATGGCAAAAGCGAGAAAGTTTTTCTTTTACATTTCCATCAAGTTCCTGTAGAATGGAGTTAACTTTAGCCCAAGAACACAAACGTACACGAAAATAAAAACAACAAAAAAAAAAGAGAGAGAGGGATCCGATCAAAAAAGAGAGAGAGAGAGAGAGGGAAAGCCAGAGAGAGAGAGACTATTGTGCTGCGGCATGCTAAAATATTTGGAGTCAGACCCAAGCTTCTTAGTCCCCTAACACTGTGTTGAGTCGGTTTTGTTTTCTGCCATGTAATATTGATGCCAAAGATGTCATGAAAAGATGAGTGGTGTAAAAGACAATTAGAAATCTCCTAAAAAACTTCCACCTGTTCACCAACAACACTGAGAACAGGCACCAAGCTGACATGTATCAAGCAAAAGTTTCCAACACCTGAGAAGATAAATAGAAAGTGGTCAGATGGTGGCCTTAAGGGCATAATCCTAAACTAAACTGTTTAAGGAGAAGAACAGTATTAAAGATCGTGATCATCATTGTCAGCATAATGCTATGAGCATGAAGGAACCAAACATTTTCTTACCCACACGGTATGAAAATTGACCAAGAGCCTCAATGAAGGGCATGGATTCAATATCTCCTGAAAAAAGAAAGGAATTTGGTTCAGGATTTACCGCCAAAATTTAGTTAAATACGAATTTCAATCACATGAGAAAGTCATCCTGTTTACCTATAGTGCCACCCAACTCTACGACACAAACATCTGCTGGACCTTCCTTCCCATCTACAGGTATAGCAGCAACTCGTTCGATCCATTCTTGAATGGCATCAGTTATATGAGGTACGACCTGGACAAGGGATCTGGTATTGAAATTGAGCACTACCAAGGACAGTGCCACCAAAAGCTTGAAAGTGCAACATACCTGAACCGTCTGCCCAAGATAATCGCCCCTTCTCTCCTTGTCAATGACAGACTAAGCCAAAGATGGATCAGTTCATCAAGTCAATGTTTGGCAAATATAGTAATATGTTTAGAAAGCATTGAAAGGAGACCACAATCACATTCAGAAAAACGAGCTGTCTCAGCACTTGCCTGGTAAATTTTCCCAGTAGTTATATTGTTATCCCGTGTCAATATAATGTCTAGAAACCGCTCATAATTTCCAAGGTCCAAATCCACCTGTAAGAAGAAAATCAGGTCATCATTGCCATGGGAAATATCAATCTTCCTCCTTACATATTGGATAATACACATCTCAAGCAAGTTTGCACAAACAAGTAACTAGATGCCATAGATACATAAACTGGGGAGTGTTAAGTTATTTGCTAGCTTTTCCAAAGACGTGGAAGATAGATAGCATTAGGCATCACAGTGAAAACCATCAGAAAAACGCAACACAGCGAAAAGTACAATGAAATAGTATTCCGTATCTTACTCAAGAAATAGAATATAAACTCATCCCACTCCCACACACCTGAACTAATAGTATGTTACAGGAACCCTGCACGCAGCAGCCCCAAGAATTTAAAATTACCGAAAGAAAATGAAAAGGGAGGCACATTTCTAACCTCCCCTCCATCATCTAGAACAAATACTTCTCCATGTTCGAAAGGAGACATGGTTCCAGCATCAGTATTCAAATAGGGATCTGAAACAGAAGAGCGAAAAATTAATACGTGTATATATATATATATATATATCATTCCGTCATCCCCTTTGGAGGAGATTCCAGATAATCTTGAATTAATTTAATATCCGACAGGAGAAAGAACACAAGAAAACACCAAGAGACAAACAGAAGAACACAGAGGAAAAGAACATGCAACAGCAGACAAATAGAGAAAGTAGAGAACTTTGCCAATTATTTGAGCTAATGACAAAAAAATGCAGGAAAGACTTTTATAAATATTGTGGCTGTCGCAGGACACATACTACTATTAAATCACCGTGTAGGAGAAAGGAAAAGAGTATGAAAAGGCTCTATCATTCGATAGGTCGGCGACTTTTGTACGGCTAATCTTTTAAATACAAGGTGGTGGTGGTGGTGGTGTTACAGGAAGTGAGAAATGGGCCCATGCTTTCAGAAGCAGTAGAGAAGAAAGCTGGAGAGGAGTCTTTCTCTGGTTGCTTGGACCTCTGCAAACGCTAGAGGCAACCCAAAGAATGGGAGAGCATTGCAAACCTATTAGGAGTTTAGGACTCTTGTCCCCGATTTGTCGTCTGGCCATTTTGGTGATCTCCAGAAGAAGAAGAAGCGTAGGCGGAAAACAGAGAAGAAAAGTTGGCGGTAGTTTTTAACAGAATCGCGGAATGTTTTAATCTTTCAGGTTGCAGCAGACATGAGATACTATTAATTTGCTTGTTCGGACCTTGGGAAATGCTAAAAGAAGCCCAAAGAAAGGGGGGAGTGTTGCAGACTTAGCAGGACTCTCCTTGGTATTTCATTCGGGTACGGGCATATTTGCATATTATGGTTTACAGAAGAGGTGCAAAACCAAAAAGAAAGAAAGAAGGCAGGGGAAATGACCAATCTTTATCGTGGTAACGCGAAGACCGCAGGCCTTGAGGATAAGACCGACGCTGCTGGCGGTGACACCTTTGCCCAGGCCGCTTACCACTCCTCCAGTCACCAATACGTACTTCATTTTCAGATTGGAACGGCCGTCGAGAACTTGGAACCTGCTGTGTAATTTGCTTCTCCGAGACTGAAAGCAGAAATAATGGGACAGCGACTGAACATGTGCTGAAGAGGAGCGGCACTGGATACGAAGGAGAGAGGGGGGGGTTGAAGGTGAAGGAGAGGGAGGCAATCGATTGGAATGTCGACTTTATAGGCACGAGGAGGATGGGGCCGAGGGAGGACTGAGGCCTGAAGGAGGAGGAGGAGGAGAGAAAATACGGGGTTGTATTTATAACTTCTTTTTCCTGGACTTGACATTCTCACCCTAGCCAGCGCCAGCGCAACAATGTAGCCGTCGGCCCTTTACGCCTTTACAGTGTCGTCATATATATATAATATATTAAAATAATATAATTAAAATATATTAATATTAGTTTGAATATTGAGATCAGGTCCGGTCAGATCTAAATTTTAATAGATGTAAGTGTTAATTTTTACATCGTCAAGTTGGTTTAAAAATTTATATTTGTTGTATATATATATTTTTTTTAATTATATTTTTTTCGTCAGATAACTTATTTGCTACACTGTAGACATTAGGAATAATATAATTAGTAAATAATTAAGAATGTATTAGTAAAAATAATTATTTTATAATATAAATAATTATAAATTAAGATTAAGATAACTAATTAGTTTAATTAAAATTAAAAAAAATAAAATTTAAAAATTTAAAATGAGATTAAAGTGTGTAATATTTTCATGCTATGTGAGACGAACATAAACGGCAACGTAAACATGTATTTGGGACGGAGGGAGTATTTTCTTATAGACTCATATTTTTATTATAATTATAATATAATTTTAAAATTATCTACAAAGAATTTTCTCGGATATTAATTATACTTCTTTTTACTATCAATACAGTAATCAGTCATAATCCAATATTGAATAAAGAACAAATTGTAAAAAATATTTTATACGTATACCCTATTATTATTTTTATCTTATATTTATTTCGTTAACAAATATATTATACATGTTTGCAAAAGTCGCAATTTCTATTATTTGGTCGCGCGATGGTGAATGTCATGTACAAAGAAATAACAAAAATAACGATTTTTACATACATATAAGGTATATTTTGTTAGAAAAATAATAATAGGGTATTCGATATATTTTCTTACAATTTTCTATTGATAATATATCATTTTAATTATAAATAAAATGTAACTATTTAAATTAGACATTTTTGAATAGAAAGTAGAGTTATTTAAATGTGACAAAGTGGATATATATTTCGCAGCATAACATAATTTTAGCGTGTTTGGCCATTAATTGGCCAGCGGAAAGCTTAACGGAAAACGTCGCGTGTGTGTGGAAAGGGAATGAAAATAAACAGCATATGTGGTCAAACTTGGAACGGATCGGATGATAAAAGTGCGTGGAAAGAATCCTTATAGTATAACATATTACAAGAAAAGCCAAGATCATGTGGTCGACATGCTGCGTTGGATTGCTTATATTAAATAGGGAGGAGGCTGGGGGAGTAATAAGAGTGCAATAAATCTTTTCATATATTCTACCTACCTACTCACTCTCCATCCATGCTTATTCACAAAACGAATGGAAGAGAAACAAGTGTGAGTGCCTGCGCGCATGCCCGTGTCTGTTTGTCTGTTGTATGTCAGCGTGTGTGATGGTTGGTTGTTTCTCCTTTTGTTTTTATCAAACGGTTCGCTGGGGACCACCGCAGTCCCTACCTGTTAAAACCATGTGTGCAAGGTAGCCCGCGCTAGCAGCAGCAGCTAGCAAAGATAGATTATAATATACGTATTGATATCTAAATCTATATCATGTTGGTCAATAAAAGACAGCGGCACAGCAGATGACGGAGCAGATGATTGTATTTTCTTAATCCGTCCTAAAATAGATAATTTTTTTTATTTTTAATAAATTTATTTGTTTAAATATATTTAATAAATATACATTAAATTAATTAAAATTTATAGAATTTATTCATAATTTTTTTTATTTATATTTTTTTACTAAATAAATATTTTTATTCATATTTAATTTTTTTTATTTTTATAAAATTAATTTCAAATTAATAATAAATACATAATTTTTTTTTATTTATTTATATGTATTATACAAAATATTATTATCTATAAAAAAATATTCATATTATATACTGTTACGCACAAAAAGTAATAATAATAAAAATAATAAGGATAGTAGGATCTTAAAGGAAGTTGAACACGAAGTCGGGTGAAAAATGAGAAAAATTTGTGGTCAGGTCGGTTGGTCCTAGGTCGGTTGGTCTGGTCAGTTGGTCTTCGGTCGGATCGGCAGGTCGGAAGGTCTGCGGTCGGATAGGCAGGTCGGTTGGTCTTCGGTCGGTTGGTCTGGTCGGTTGGTTCGCAGGTCGGAAGGTCCGCAGGTCGGATAGTCAGCGAGTCGGACGGTCTACAGGTCGAACGGTCCGCAGGTCGGATCAATAAGTCGGATGGTCTGTATTCGGTTGGTCCGTGGTCGGACCAATTAAAGTCGGGGGAAGAAGAATGAGACTGGCGATTCGAGGAGGTCGCTTGGTCTGGCGATCATCAGTTAGTCTCTAGATTGGTCGGTTGGGTATGCGGTTGGCCAGACGGGTGAAGACACGTATCGACAGAGGGAGACCTTGTGGACGGTTGCCGTAACCGCCCAGGCGACGTTTCAAAACGTTTCATTGTGGGCGGTTGACGGCGGTTGCTAGCGACGGTTTTGAAACGTCTTTTCAGGGAATATTTAAGGATTTAAATTTTTCTTTTCAATCATCTTCAATTAACTTTAACAAAAGCAAAGTCAGATTCGGGGATCACCACTTTAGATTTTCAGCACTTTAATTTCAAGTTAATTTTCTTATGTACCGTACAATGTTTAGAGATTCCTAATCTCAGGCATTAATTAATCAAATTTAAGGATATTTCCATATCTTTGAATTTTACTTTTTGTTTGTTGAAAAAATACATCAACGTATACTATATTTATTAAAATATAATGTTAAAAATATTTAAATATATATTTTTTAAAATTTTTAATTATATATAAATTCATATTTTTAAAAGTATCGATAATACCATTTATATAAAAAATAATAAAATAACCTAAAATTTTTATGATTGAGGATATCAATATTAATCATACTGACAATGTCGATGATAATATCATAATTTATTATTAATAATTTATTAATTTATATTATTTAAATAACCGTACTCAAAATAAATAAATCATACTCCCCCCGCAATGCAAACGTGTGTTCATTTGTAGGGGTGGGCAAAATATCCGAACCGAACCGCAGAACCGTCGAACCGAACTGAATCGAACCGAATTTTCAGTTAACCGAGCAAATTCGGTTCGAATACAAATACTGCATATTTGGTATTTGTTCGGTTCGGTTCGGTTTCGGTTTCTAACCTTTTTTTCGGTTCGGTTAACCGAACCGGATAATTTTATAATAAATTAATTATGTTATATTATATATTTATAATTTATTTATATAAATTATCATTAATAATATACATTACAGCCAGTCCCCTAGTGCAGACCCGGTTCAAACCCAGTGCAAACCGCCAAACCCCATCTCCCAAATCTCAAACGCGATTTCACAACCCTAATTTCTTCGTCTACCTCCTGGACATCGGCGGTACTTCACCTGTTCACCATCTTGCGATTTTTCAGCCAATCAGCGGCGGCTTCATCTTGTTTCTGCGATTTTTTATTCCATCTCTCAGCACGGCTTCACCCCCTCTTCTGCAGTTTGTGTGCAACTATCCAGACAATCGTTTTCAACTCTTCGCGCACAATACAACTACAAAATCTTTCGGGTAACAACTACAAATAGTCGATTCAAGATTATAAAATCTTTTCCATTTTATTTACATTGTGCAGAGTTTTTTATTGTTTTTTTAGTGGACCGTTTTTTTTGTTCAAAATTTTTTTCCAAAATATAAATATAATTGTGCAGGTTTTATTATTGTTTTTTTTAACAATTAAAATGCTAACTTATTTATTTTGAATCCAAAATTGGTAATGAGTGTTAATTGAAGCTTATCTATTATTTATATTTTTTTCCGTTATTTCTCACTAAATAAAATTATTTTTATTTATGCAGGTTTAATGGAATCAATGGGTTCAAAAACAGACGGGTATCCTATGGAATCTTTTATGCCAGAAACACAATCTCAACCAGAATCAAAGGATTTTCAAACTCAAACAGCGGATGATTGTCCTGCTCCTAAGGTACCTAAATTTCGATCTGTTGCTTGGGATAATTTTAAAAGGACTGAATCTGGAGATAAGGCAAAATGCAATCATTGTTCTACATTGATTACGTGCAAATCTAAGCTAGGCACAAGTACTAGTGCTATGTTGAATCATTTGAAAAGGTGCAAGGCAATTCTGAATGTGCAAGGTACAAGTACTAGTGCCACCTACAGAGGATGATTGGTCTTATGCACGTGGATTTCTACCATTTTGAAATGTTTTTATGATACAACTGTTAGAATCTCAGGCTCTAAGTATGCAACTGGAAACTTATATATGAAAGAAATTTTTCGTGCTGCATATAATATTCAATCAATGGTGGAAGATCCGGATTCATTAGTTAGATCAATGGTTTCCAAGATGTCTGGAAAGTTTTTTAAATATTGGGGAGATTGGAAAAATGTCAATCCAATGATTTATCTTGCAACTATT